TTGAAGGGGAGACGAGTGATGCGCAGGATGTTAGGAGTGCTACTGCCCTGAATGAGGTTTTCTTTGGTAAGGGTGGGAAGGTTCAGCATGAGGGGGCGTTTGTTTCGGTTACGTCGCATTCGGGTGAGATTTCTTCTATTCTGAGGGTTGTCGGGCACCGCACGTTCAAGTTGAATACTGGAGCTGTTATTCCTGTCCTTGTTAAGGCTGTTAAGTCTGGGAAGGGGGAGATTGGAAGTGTCACTTCCTCGGCGTCGTGGACTGTTAGTCCGCATTGTACTGAGCCGCCGGTTTCGTCGGTTACTGCTTGTGTTTGTCCTTCTAGTGCTGTTCCTGTTACTACTCCGCTGGTTACTGGAGCTTAGATCTGGGTGTGGTGGTCTTTGTTTGGTATGATATGGTGTAGAAGATAAGGAGAGATTAGGGTTGCTATATACTAGGATATATTTTGCTCGTTTTGCTCATTTGAATAAGAGATTATCTTGCTAGAAAATTTGACCAGCTAAGACCGTATCAAGAGGACACTGACATGTGTATGAAGTGCAGTTAATTCTACGTGGCGTGGCTAAAAGCATTGGTAGTTGTCTGGACACAGAGGGGCTCTAGGGTTGATGTCTGATACTTCCTAGCGACTTTTACTATTGTGTCAAAAGTAGAGGTATATAATATACGACGAGAGACATAAAGTAGAGTCAGCTGTCATAATTGAGGCGCGTAGATGCCATCCAAACTAACTAGCAGAGATAGTAGAGTAGAATGGCTTACTTGCTAAGTACGAATCGAGGCACTTTAAACGTTATGGTTAAACAAGCTATTCTCTACGCGTTTAATTGTAACGAATATTTCTCCTCCCTGGATCGTTTATATTAAATCAGTCATACCTTATGTTAAGTCTATCGGCAACCTATACATCTAGTCTAGTTCGGGCCAAAAAGGTAGGTGAAAACTTACTTGTTCCCCGCGCCACAATTATCATTCAAAAACTAACAAAGCGCCTGCTGTGGTCTCGGTAGCTAAGATCTGGATAGAAACTTCAAAAAGTAAAAAAGAAGCGTCCCCGGGAAGGCTCGAACTTCCAACCTCCTGATTAACAGTCAGACGCGCTAACCAATTGCGCCACGGAGACTTGCTTGTGGCGAAACTAGGGGCTTTGTGCGTTACGGGTGGGGACTCTTCTTGGCTGGAACAATCGCTTTTGTTGTGGACTATTTTTGTGGGACATGATCATTTAGCACATTAAGAGAGTATAAGAAGTTGAATAACTGTATTAAGCTTTATCTAAGCTAATTTATACGGATTTTGAGATATTTCAGGCCTTTTATTACTTCGTTGTCTGCTTTGGATCTTTTTGCCTTGACTGCGAAACTAGATATTAGCTATAACTAGATACTTCACAGCTTTTTCCTCTCCTTCCTGGTTTCATTGAACCTAACAGATCCATGATAGAATAGTACACAGTGGTTCTTTGATAATGTGGTACAAGAAAGTCTCCATTTTTTATTCAATGGTCAGAGTGGTCTAATATAGTGATAGCAATCGACATTCGTAGGCAAACACTGGATAGACACTGCCTCTTATTTAAGGCTGTGATCTTCAGCTCCCTTCCACTAGTGAACCAAAGCCTCCTACTATATTACATTCCCTTGAAAGTTCATCATTTCTACATCTTCTATATACCTATAACTCCCGGGCTATATCCATATAGCATATAGACTTTCGTATACGCTCATGCTGGGCGCTAAATTCTCACGGACGACTGGGTCCAAGATATTGCGCTCTCCTCTTTCCCTTGCTCTTATCCTGGTTGCACTGGGTACCTCCATTGGTTTGGTTGATTATCTGGAGAATTAGTCGAGCTGACTCTATCTTAGTTAGCCATGGCCTAGGTTAACCACCTTTGACTCTCCAGCTTCGACTTCGATCCATTGGCTCGTCGAATTCAACAGCTCAACTATTGACTTGACATACTCTGTCTCTCTGTCGTTCAAAAAGAAATCCCTTTAAGTGACACTGAACTTGAGGAGCTGACGCGTTCGCAGCGAAGCATGCCAGTATGTCTCATTTATCGCACATTCACCAATGTACTTGCTGATAGCCTCCTACAGGAAAGGTATTGGACAGAAGGAGGTGCAAAACCGGGTCCTACGGGCTCGTTTTGCGTGCAGCTTAACTTACAACTTTTACTGGTCCCTGATAGAACGATTCCTTAGCAGCGTACAAGACCCTTGAATAACTTTATGGAGAGTTGCTCTTTCCCTCTTTCCTTGAACGCCTAATTTCCTGCCTCATTAGGAAAGGTCACAGGATCCTCGTTCTTTTCTCAATGCTGTAGTAGGGCCTTGCCTCGTGACCTAGAAAGCCACGGGCGCAAATATATGAGAATTGTATACTCAACGCAACCTGGAAGTATTTCAAGTCGTTGAATCGCCGTTAAAAAGTCTCAGTGCGATCGCCAATTCCCATGTCCATATATAGCAGTTCATTGCCTAGTAACTTAACTCACAGACAGACCAGGTCGAGAATGCAGCTCCGGAAAAGAAATTTCCGCGCCCGGAACTGCTACCCAGGTACAAGAGCCCCGAGACAGAGTAAAGACAGACCATATAACCCAGCGAATCAATGTCTGTATAAAATGGGCCGAAACCTGGATAGGGATAGTTGTAAGTGCGTAACTAGACCTTCACCTATCCGTTGCGCTTCTCTTTCTGATTCATAGATCACAAAAATTGGCAGCTCTTCAACAAGCACGTCTCCGTGGCGCAATTGGTTAGCGCGTCTGACTGTTAATCAGGAGGTTGGAAGTTCGAGCCTTCCCGGGGACGTTCGTTTTTTGTTTTTCGTTCAATCACTCATTTAATCAATGAAGCTTGTTTAGGGGGGTTTCATTGTAATTTGATTTTAAAAAGAAAAAGAAATATTTTGTTACTCAAAATTGGGTAAGTATGGGGTGATAACCTCCAATCTCCTTTAGCTTCGCAGCATTTTCTAGTGCTGGAATGCCGGCCGAAAGGAGTTTTTATTCAATATGTTCAGCTGAACTTACATGATTTACAATTATGAGACCGTTGGTCAAAGTGTCCTGGTATACACCAACGTATGTGTCGTGTGTCTGTAGGAGGCTTGCATACCTACTGTTTATCTTGTTAAGTGATTTACATAAGGCGGCTAAGCTATTCCTTCTGTGGGATTGTATGTTTAAGCAGTGAAGAAAATCGGGCTTTTCCTGGAAGATATGTAATATGATTACATGGCCTTGAGGTTTAGGTCGGTTGTTTTACCGTTGTAATATCTATATGCTCTGAGGGTGAGGGCCGACCAGGTGATAGGATACGATGAACCTACTGAGGCGATCAATTTACCTTTCTTGCAATAAGACCCTTGCTTGATCTAGGAGAACTTCCACGGTGTGGCTGCTCTAACGTCCCGTGACAGGTGCTCATATATGCGTTTGTCGTACACTTGAGTGGGTGTATACTACGTTTGCTGTGGCAGAGACATCAAGATCTCTAGGTGTTGTGACATTGATTGCTTCATATATTTATTCTAATTATTCATACGCAGTCCAATTTGGTAGAGGGGCTAAGTAGGTAAGCGAGGAAGGAGGGAGTACCTAAAGGGTGTCAATTACCGGTCCATTATCTCAATCTCGGTTAACACTCATATGGAGGAAGAGAGGGAGAGGGGTGGGGGGCGGTGGTGGGCATCGGTTCCTAGAGATTTCCAACTTATACTCCGCGGTGTTAGGTACGGTCTTGCCATGTCAGACGCTCTTGCTCTACGCAAGACCATCCGGGGGTTTAACATAGTATTCACTGTGTGCACTTGGTAAGGAAGTCTATCGCAATTATAGCCTCCTGCTAAGGTCATTTAGTTATTCTTTGGGTGCCCTTTGTATGTCGCTAGGTGTGCATAGCTCTGATCTTCGCTGGTGATCAGGCTCTTGTCTTTTATATGATACCTAGGCAGCCGGGATCCTTTAGGTGATAATTTGAGGTTCATTGTGTCTTACTTGGAAGCTCGGGTGCTTGCGTTGGTGTTACGCCTTGGTTTGTTCTTCTGTCAATTTTGTGGGGTCTGCTTTGCTTGGGGTATGAGGGTTGGGTGTCAAGTAAGTATGATAACGTTTTTTGTATGTCAGTAATAGAACAAGTTATTTGGCCATCTTCAGAATATCTAGTATCGTATATTGAGACTTAGTCATGTACAGGGTGTAATTTTGCTCTGATGGTCAGCTACATTGTTCGGTGAACAGCTTGTCATATGGTAGATACTTCAGGCGTTGAGGCGCGGCGGCCAGCTATAGCTGACAGCTTGTTGTGTCCGTCGGTCTTTATTTTTGTGTGGACTGGGCTGCCTGGCCTCCAATAATATAGGCCCATGGCCGTAGTATCATCAATGTTCGCGGTGATATATATCTACATTCGATCACCTCGAAGAACAAACAACCAAAAGATAGATATATATATATATATTTTTTTAAAAAAAACATATTTTTTTCGAGTATTTACTGAACAAAAAGAAAAGACTTATTACCTAGAGCCTAGTATCATCTATTCAGATAGATACGCTTGACCTATAAGCAATGTAGGTTCCCACTAACTTATCGTTCGTTTAGTACTTTGTATCGAAACCTTTTGGCTGATATAGCAAAAGCATACTAACTATCTCAACAAGCAAGTCTCCGTGGCGCAATTGGTTAGCGCGTCTGACTGTTAATCAGGAGGTTGGAAGTTCGAGCCTTCCCGGGGACGCTTCTTTTTTCTTTGTTTGCTTTTTGATTTTTGCACCCGCCCACTACTAACCACGACGCTAAACCACACACACTATCAATTTACGTTAATCGAGGAGACAGGAGTGCTGATTTCTTCAGTCTTCTTACAACACACCATAAATTCGAGTGGAATGATATTCAGCGTCCTAATGCTCAAAATCGAAGAAGTTGATCAGCGTTTGAATGTCAAGGGTTGTATGTAGTAGGCAAGAAAGACTATTGTCATCTACGAAATAACGCCAACCATCTACCACATCAACCAGAAGCCGGATAACAACGGAGTAGAGTAGGTAGGGTATGTACCATTTCACCATTAATCTGAAACTAGTGCAACGCAGGCAAGGGAGAAAGTACAGAAAGATGAAAAGAGTAAGCATCTCGGATGCCGATTTAAAATGCGAGAAGTAACAATAGACAGCAGAAGTGGACACCAGAGAGATAGGAAGTGATACACCATGCAGAGATAATGCAAGACAGAACAAACAACCAAAGATAAAACAACAACGAAAGGAAAGAAAACCACGAGTCTTAAACAAGACGGTAATACACAAACAAGAAAGTAGCAGATAGTAAGATAATGATAAGAAACCAATACATAGTGGAGATGCAAGTGAACACTGAACACAGACTTCTCCGAACGGTCGAGAGATTATCAGACGTCTCGGCCAAGGTACAAGGACAAAGAAACTAGACCGAATTTCGACAGCCGTACACACACATTTCTATCGACCATGTATAGGGCAGAAATAGAAACATACAAACTCGTAATCTTGTAACACTCTGTCCAGATAGTAGTATCAACGCCGAATTGATAGAAATCAGATGGAAAAACAACGCCGGCAAAGGCACACCGGAAAAAATAACAACCAGGTAGGTGCCTTGATCACGTACAACTCAACAAAGGGTATAGGAATATTGGCCCAGATTAACATTAACCGAAGATCCTTCACACCACAGCATGCAGTGAAGAATGCAGAGGAACACTGGAACATCAGAAAAAGGGGAGTAAGTCAGACACAAAAGAGAAAAGCAGATGATGAAAGCATAGCAAGGAGATAGCGTCTCAGATAATGCTGTAAAAGCCAAGGGAAAAAACACCAATTTAGACGATGCTGACTGCAATCTAGTAACCCCATCCGCCGCCAAGTGGGCTCCCAGACTGGCCTGACTGAGGCTGTCCGGCTTGTTGCATCGGCGCACCAGGTCCAGCCCATCCGGGCATACCGGCGCCTCCCATGCCCATTGCAAGACCCGCCTGCTGAGGATTTCCAGCCATAAATGGCTGGCCACCCGGAGCCTGATTTGAAGGGTACATAGGTCGTTGCATGCCTGGATAACCGGCCGGTGTGCCACCAGGATAGCCCATGCCTTGCATACCTTGGGGCTGAGCCTGTTGTGCGTGCTGCATTTGAGGGAATGACTGTGGCATTTGCGGTATTGATTGACGCTGCTGGTTCCGGGGAGACTGGTGGTGCTGCTGCTGCGTATGAAGAGGAGATGGTGTTTGCTGAGGAACTCCGGCCATTTGTTGACCATACTGAGACATGCCAACACCCTGATGACCGGAAGAGGGCAACGGAGATGGCTGCGGTTGGGGTGGTGGCTGTCCCCACATTTGCTGCTGCTGAGATGGATACCCGTAAGGAGGAGGCTGAGCCATACCAGAAGACATGGACGGGTTGGATCGTTGGTGCATCATGCCAGGTTGCATACCCGGAGGCACTCTGAGGGGAGATTGTCCAACGGCTTGGTGAGTCTGCGGATAGCCTGGTTGTCCACCCATCATAGCGTTTTGGTGCATCGAAGCCTGCATGGAAGGCTGTTGAGCCATCACGTGCTGGGCATGAGAAGGGTTAGCCATCCCGCCAGTGGGGATATGGGATACTTGAACTGGCTGTGACACAGACAAACCCGAGTCAAGAGCAGTACTGGACTGAGGCTCTGTTTCAGGAGCTTCACGGGGCCTAGAGTAGAATTCATCCAGACCTTTCTGACGGAAGGTGCGCTGCGAGCTCAGCATCTTGTTAAAATCGGCGGTATGTGAGGCCTGATTGAGGAGCTCTGCTGCCGAACTGGTTTGCGTGCGGTCATGATAGGGTTGTCCCGTCATCTCCTGGCGAGAACGAGGCATGACATTGTAATCTCGCAGTCGTGGATCATCTGTTGTTGCCATTTGAATCATCGGGAGTGACGACAGGGAAGCAGACGCGTCACTAGTGTCAAGAGAAAGTCCAGGAGGCAACGGTTCGATAGTACTGCTGTAAACAACATCGTTGTGGGGAAGCGCCGGTAACAGGTTGGTTGCAGGCTCTGTGGTCGAGCCATCGCGAGTCTTGGCCGCACCAGGACGCTTCTCGCCCGCCAGGTCATCCTCTGTGAAACCCTGCTTCCTAGCCTTGCTCTCCCAATAATCATCCCGAACCCGACGGCCATTTACGATCACCCGACTCCCAAACTGTCGGAACATGGATCTGGCGGAAACAATGGCGATTTGACGGGACCGATAAGAATATGGGAGAATATCTTGCTGGATGAGGTCGTCCTTCTCAATCTGGGATGCGATGATCTTATGCAAGGACCGGTTTTTGTTGAACAAAAGATATGAATCTCGGTAGTTCAGTACCCTCGCGCATTCGGTTGCAAGCATGAACAGTTTGTTACCGCGGAGGGGAACGCGGAATGTCCGGCATTTGTATTCGCGGCCACCAAGTGGGTATCCCATAGGGTCTGCCTTTGTCTCTCCTGCCTCATCAAATTCTTTTGGAATGTACTCATCGCCTTCTGGATTCAGCTGGTCGGATGTATGATCCCTCACGGTGGGTAGCGCTTTAACCTGCGACTTTGACGGGGTAGTCTTATTTTCCGGAGGTGATGCAAGAGGCGGCGACCCGGCGTTTGCCTGCGGCAGTGGGCGAGATTGCATTTGGGGTGTTTGAGTGGGTGTGTTCGCGACAGGTTGTTCACTGGAGCCTGCGCGAGGAGTCTTTGGGGGACGACCGCGCTTGCGACGACTTTGTTCATCTAAAGAGAGATAAGTTAGTACAACTCATAGAAAAATCCAGATGCTGTGAGAGGGCAGATATGCAAGCATTGCTAGGATTAAAAAGAAGTATGAATGGAGCGTATTGATAACGTCTCCCCCGCCGCGCACATACCATCATCCAGTTCTCCTTCGGCATGTCCATTCCCACTGTGTTCTGGAGTGCGACTACGCTTGACACCACGGGGACTTGTATTTAGATAGGATTGGGCTGGCTGGACAACAGATACTAGTAGGGGTATCAGTTTGAAAGCAGCGACGGGGGAGTGATACAAAGTAAAAGGGCGGAGGGCCGATGCGATTCATCAGAGGTCAAGAACAGGCCGCGGACGCGAAACGATTTGCGAGGTGAATCGAAGAAATAACAAAGGCGCAAGGACAGGGTAGCATAATAGAAGGTGGAACATACCAGAGTTGCTCAAGTTCGCAGGATCGATAGTCCCCGAGCCATCGACAGGATCTCCAAGACCATTCATTGTAGATAAGGAGTGAGGCGTGCCATACATGGTTCAAGGCGCCCGTCGCAAAATGGCGCGTCGGGATAAACGCGCAAAAGAGGCCCTGAAGAGGGAGTGGCGCAACAGAGGACTTTTGGCCTGAGATCAGCGGATAGGTCAAGTCCAAGGAGCTTGGGGCTGGGTAGGTTCGGATGAACTTGAGAGGGGAAGACTCGAGGCGGTGAAGGTTGGTGGCCTGATATATCAGGGAGCAACGGCAAGATATACTTGATCTGCGTTGATCTGACTTGCACTTTGCTCTTGCTTGGGTTTATCGGGGAGAACTCAAGTTGCAAGGGGAAAAAGGGGTGTGGGTGTCTTGTGATTGGCCTCGGGAAGCAGAAAGATGAGACTTACTGTCTCCTGCGAGAAGCAAATGTGGCACCGAATCAGAAAATGACCTATTTCTGCACGAAGATGCCCCGTGCTCTTGGGAAGCACTGAAAGCAAGTATCTGGATGCCAAATCAAGCAAAATATAAACACCCAAGATCCGGATTCTCGATGTTGGAGGAGATAGGTACTTTGGTGCCCCAGGCAATAGGATCGGATATGGTCCACACTTCAATGAGATATGGAGCCGGAGGGAACAAGAATCTTTTTGTGATCTTCTAGGCGCGGATACGGCGCCAGGGTACGAACAGGGTCAGTACAAGTGAGATAATTCACGGTGGAACCCGACTGTAGCCTAAGCCTCAGAATGCTTCTCTGTTTTTTTGACTCCGGGATCCAAGCAGGACGATGTTCCGAGGTGGCACAGTGATCGAGTCCTCGATATGGGTTGAGAAACACGGAGGACCCTGCGTCTTCTGGGCAACAAAGGAGAGGTGCATGCAGGAGTGGGCAAAAGAGAGAAACAGAACAGAATAATAATTAAAAAAGGTGCAACGGTAGCACAAGAGCACAAGGCTTTAATTTCAAATTCCGAAGTCACTTTAGGGCCAATCATGAGATCGACCACACCTGAGGTATTGGTATTGTCCGTGTATTTTTATATTCGGATCTTGATACTTCCATGCTGATCGTTGGAGAAGAGCGGACTATGTGCATATATTAAGCTAAAGAAACCCTCAAACAGCGTCTAAATGGTCTGGCCTTCCTATTTTAACTCTAGAGACCATCTCATCACAGCAAGGGCAAAGTCTAGACACTGTAATAGGCCTTTGACTTTGATAGGGCTATGATCGCGTCGATTTAGTCTGGATTCTGGGACGGTGTAACTCGAGGTGTCTCAAAAATGCAGGCCGATGGGTTTATGAAAGAAGTAGGAAAGGCGAGTAAAGAGAAACGCGGATCGAGCTCATAAATGTAGATGATCCTATAGAAGCGGAGAGAGATGAATATAATACCAGGAGATATGCATGCTTCTGGGCGTCGGCTAATGCAGCATGCAGGTGCGGAAGGTCCAATCCGGAGTAGAGCACCAGAGATATGCGCGGTCGGATCATATCGGATTGAACACCGAAGGTTCCTGAATAATGAGGACAAGATAAAAGAAACCACCTGACTATTCGAGTCGTCCTGGCTATTCAAGCCCTAAAGGTATTTCCTGCTTTTGTGCCGACATCTAAGAATCCGGGCGATATTTCTCCGGACGAGGCAACGAGGGACCGTAAATAAGAGTAAGGAAAGGGCCGAGGGGACTGAGCCCAGGCTGCACATTGTCAGCTTAGCAGGACCTTGGAGCTACGACCATTTAGAACTAGTGCTTCATGGATGAAGATAGGCGGGGACATGCTTGCGGAAAGTTTTATTTGGCCCGAGGCTGCCATGTTTCATTTAGATATTATACAGTGCATTCATTATCTCATAGTTTCAGGAAAATGAGGAACAAGTCATGATCATAATGAAGGAGGATGGCTCTACAAGCCCCATGAAATAGACACTATGACGGGGGTGGAATGGCCATGTTCGCAATATGCACGAAAGCCTTGTATCGCGGGACCAGTGCCTTTCCAGATCAGGAACTATTCAAGCCAAGCACAAACCTATGATTCGTCCAAGAACTAGCAGATGACCAACAAGAGAGGCTATTGACGGATGAAAAGGTCACTTGAGCGGAAACTAGGGAGTCGATCAACGGCCCGTGCGCGAAACAGAGTCTCTTGAACTGACCCAATCAGCATAAGCTCCAAGTTCCATCTATACAACGGTATTGACTATGTCGACACTATCGCCAAATTCGGAATTAATTATCTCTATACTCGGGGACCGCACCGTCCGCGACGGCTGTACGAGGTAGAGCAAGATGTAGCTAGGTTGCACAACAACGCCCGTCGTGACATGGACGGACTACATCCATAAGTATGTGCATGTACGAGGTCAAAATTGGAAATAGACCAAAATAATATACACACTGGTCCAGGGTTTCACAATAGCCGGCTCAGAGTGCTGCCATTTTCCATGCTCGGCGCCGGCTTTTCTCCCTAGTTACACAGATGACAGCAATGGTGCCGCGCTCACAGAGCACAAGGTGACTCTGCAACTCCAATTTGGAGAAAAACTGGATCTCTTGATCATGGGCACTCAAGTTAGACCTTGCAGAATCGATATTTGTATTTTAATCGTATGTCCAATTTGATCTACGGCGCTGGAGGCAACATGTAGTCGTGATTACCACCTCGAATATCATTGAGTAACACTAATATAAGGGTGTCTGTGCTGTTTTATGCCACGCAAATCTATCGCTCGTAGACTTAGACCCTGGTAGGGTACTGCACAATATGTATATCTGAGAACAAACCCTATAAACGTCTACCATATAGACTAAAAATTACAAATACGGAGTGTTAGAAATCTGAGGGAACATATGACTACCACGATGCCGCGACCTCCTAGCCAGGTAAAAGCCTTGTTCATGATGTATACAAGACCCTCACTTCTACTGTATCCCTTCATTCCCAGGGAACTATGTTCGACACGTGCGGGGCCATTTTATTGACCAAAAATCAAGCTGCTGACAACGATAATCCGTCAGCGCCAAAATCATTGCAAATGCCAAAGATGGCAGGTCCAATAGCATTCCCAGCCTGTTTGGCTTCTAAAGCTATATCCAGGTCAAAGTTCAAGAAGTTTCTCTCTTGATGCAACAGCGACACCCAGCGCTTCCCGGCACATCTCTACTAGTGGAATAACCGTCAAATATGGTTCTGACCGGGAGTTTAAACAAAAACGACTACTCTGGAGACCAGCCAGCCCCATTTCTTTAATAAGCCAAGCCTTGGAAAGGCGCAGCCTCCGATGGAACGGGGTGCACAGATCCTGACCTATCTTAGACAATCTTAGATCTGCCATGGGAGTTCAGGGACGAGTGGTAAGCTATGACTTGCGGGGAAAGACAAGCAGGCGCTGAACACTAAAGTATGTAGGCGTTGTCATCACGCATCACAAGCAAGATAGAAAGCAGGGAGTTGTGGTTTGCCTTTTTCCATATTGGGTATACCCGAGATGACTCGGAGCGTTGCGCGTCGGGGCTACGTGTTGTACAGATTCACATCTGAATTGGTTGTCTCCTAGCTTTTGAACTATCACAGTTTACAGACCTTTGGAATGACCTGGAAGAGGTTAAATGACAGACAGTCTACTTAATACTTGATTTGAATAGTGTTATTTGTGTCTTATTGAAAGACAACATAGTGCCTATGGGTCATTCTGTATTACTATGAGATACAGATCTGGGCGTTAAGTTGTCTACTGAGTGGCACATTTAACACTCATTGATGTGATAAAGATGACCAGAGAATGAACTAAAGAGACGCGTTGTATAATTTGCCTGATACTAAGTCATACCCCCACAAATACGAGATCCCGGAACAACGGCAACGGCGCCCACCGAACCCATGTCGTCTGACATTCACTGTATGGTGCAAAGGTCTAAGTAAACCCAGAAAATACCTTAGCTGCAGCTGTATGTCCGATTCTCGGAAAGGAAACCCTGACACGGCAATGATAGTCATATCCAAATCCCGGCTGAGGTTAGGCATTAGCGTGAGTCAGGAATGCTTCAGGCCGCAACAGGAGCTGGTTGGCGAGATGCATTGCGCATGGGGTGAAAAGCCCATGAACCAGGCAGAGATCGAGTAAGATCGGCAGGGTGCAAAGCCCTTCAGTCTCTGCGGAGTTGGGGAAAGTCATCTGATACCATGGAGTAATTGCCGCTGGACTTGACGAATCGAAGGGGATGAGATATGACTAGCGGGGTTCCAAGAGATTTATAGTCTGTTTCTATTGGATTGAATGGTCTTTGTAGTTTGTTACGAGAAGAAATCTTGGACAACAATATGGCTTGAGAACAGGCACCTATCACATGGAGAAGACATCGAGGTACTACAGTATTGGACCGCGTAGTTACCTGATCAAGGATTGAGTAAGGGTTTGACAACATATTCTAGGTGATCATGACCAAAACGCTCGAAAGTAGGTCTGTGCCTTCAAGACGGATGGGAAGACAACGTATAGATCTAAGAGGGCTGAGCGGTTATCTGGTTATGTGCACACAAGGGGAGTGTGCTAAGCAAGGCCATTTCCAATGATGCATTTGCGTTTTGTAGTTTCTCTCAATATTTCTTACAAGATTTGAAACAGTTCTAACCCATCCTTAAAATTAAAGCGGAGGTAGAGATCACTATACCCCCCGAAAAGCTACACAGATATGCCACGGGCTGAGTAACTTGAATATTGTATGATAATTAATTAGCCCTAGAAATTACGGTATATTCTCAAAGCCCCACTAAGTCTCATTTTCTTTCATAACAAATGCGGCCGAATGTGCCCAGGTGACACTGAAGATCTCGGCGGGACGGCCGGGCCGAGTCCGAACCACGGTAGGGCGAAACTACGCCATCGGGATGCTACATTGATGACAATGAAATTGTCAGGCTCTATCAAAATTGGAAAGACCTTGTTTAAATTAGATGGCAGTATTGTAGACTGGAAAAATATTTCCCTCTTCTGCGGTAGGAGGAAATTATCGCAGCGGAATGCTTGTTGACACGATCCTCAGAGAGAGCAAATTTCACCAACTAGTCACTTTAGCTGCGTTCTTGATCTAGCTCGTGAGAAAGACCGAATACATGTTCAATTGTTCTCAGGGTGAACTTCAAGCCCCGTGCCATGTGTCCATTTTGCAGACCCCAAAGGCCGGTGAAACAACGAGATCAAGTTGGATCAGCGGATGAACCGCATCGTATTCAGCCTGCGCAACTCGTAGATAAGACTATCAACTTTTTTGACGATCGCTCGTGGTTCCAACAGAAACCGCGGCACCGCACGGGCAACATCCTTGTACATTCAAGCCTCGGAGAAGATGTCGGGCGTCCGCCGCTAGAGGGTATCCATCACAAAGTAAGACGGCGGATGCATAAAACCGACCAGACAAAGTAGATATAGCCTGCAGCACTACTCGAGCAAATCAACATCTGAAACATTCAACGCCTCATTAATAAACGTTTGTTAGCTCGCAACATGTGAGAGAACTAGTTCGAGCTAGAAGCTGTAGTGGGCCCAGCCACGAGTGCTAGCGTGCGAGAGAACCTGCTTTCCATTGTCCAGCCCTCTGAAGGAAATTCTAGACTGGGTTCTTTGGCTTAGGTGGCTGCAATAGCCTTGACCAACGCACTAGAAACAGTGGGGTTCATTAATGCAGCGGATTTGGCCATATTTTGATTATTGTCTCATTCGTCGCCAACGGTGTCGCGTCTTGATCTGCAACTCATGCCTCTGGCTTGTTTTGGATTGCTTTTCTGAGTCTGAGCTTACGGAGTACCGTCCATTGTGAAGTGTACATGTACCTGTATATGTACAGTACCGTCAGTCCCCCCTTAATAATTCTTGGGATATCGGGCGGGCAAATATTAAAGTCGGAGCCATCGGCAAACACAATTTTCGCTATTGCCATATTACAGTATTTTGAGCGCCAAGTTATTAACAAGTGCACTCCATATTAAAGCGCCACTACTTGATTTGTTTGGTCGGTCTCCACGGAAGGCCAGGGTAGGTTTAGGGAGGGGTTCTGGAGCTTAGCCACGGTCACACGGGCGGCGGATATTATAACCAGGCGACTAGGGACCAGAACCGTCTTCGGCGAATGGACACCTGGCGCTCAAAAGATCGTCAAGAGGGAGGGGGGAAATATGAGTGGGACACCAATGTGTGGAATGCTAGGTGGAGGAGTCGGTGTACACGCATATACACATTCACCACATCAGCCGGGGAAGAGGATGGTCGGGGAATGCAGTGGAATTCTAGGGTTGTCAAAGGGTTGAATGCGCGAAGTTAGGGTTTGCTGAGTCACCATGGCCAAAATCCACTATAGATGCGATGGTTAGAGAGAAGGGTGGGAGATCAGGGTAGTTCTTGAAGGGAATCTGAGTTCTATTTCTGTTTGATTTGCTTCAAGGAAAAGAAAAACATCAGCAGACGAGACTGGTAACTGCAAGCACCGTTAGCATCGTGAAGCCGAAAACGTTGCCACAGGGGGCGAAGCGATGAGGGGGTTCGGATTTCCTGGGAAGGTAATCCGTGGGGATCGTGAGTTTCCCCGTGCAACGTTTCTATTTTTTTTTCGCTAGGGATCCTCACGAATAAAGCAAGATAAGCTCCGCAGAAAGGTCCCCACCGAAAAATTTTCGAAGCATCAACTGATCAGAAAACTGGGCCTCCCCACTCTGAGGGTCCGTATAGCCGCTACGCACACCGCGCAGTGTAGAGAATTTTCACCCACTTTCCATAGGCCTTCCTTAGGGTTTCCCTAGGATTGAGAATCATTTTCTTAACGGAATAATTACAGTTGGAACCAAAATATGGGGTAAGTTAAGCCACTATGTTAGGTTTGTAATGAATCATACCAAGAAGCCAACGAGGCCAAGGGTTGGCGGAAAAAAGGGATCTGGGCCAGACACATCACAGGCCTAGAACCGGTTTCGTGATCTGGTGACACGGCAGAGCGCTTGGACCAGGTTCCCCATTGCACGATCTGCACGTATAAGACTTGGTACTCCCTTGACCCCCTTCGATTTCTTTCTTTTTGAATCTCTTAATACCTCTAAACGTTCTCTGTTCATCGTTCTTAAAACCTTTTGACTTTGACACACTCTTAAAAATACACTCCATACATACATGGTTTCAATTTAAATCCACACATCAGCATCAACTATGAACGCTGGTACCACACAAAGAACACCCAAGACACCAAAGCCGACTGCCTCCGTGCCAATTCCACAAAAGAAACGTTGGCCCCCTATGGCGAACCGCAATGCCCTCCCTTACAAGCTCACGCATCTCTCCAAGGAGAAACTTGCCCGTGAAGCCACTGCCCCCGATCCCGACCTTCGCCGCTGTGTGGCTCACTTCCGCCTGCACTGTGGCTCCGTGATGTGGACCGAGAATGATATGAAGTCTCGCATCAGCTCATTCGACTTCGAGGATACCGACGAGGAAGATGAAATGGACGATATGAGAAACGCCGAACTACCTATGCCTAAGATCCGGGCCCCGGCCAACGAGCCTCAGATTGAAATCACCAACCAACAAGTCTCCATCAGCGCTGAGCCTGTCGCTGTTCCTCCTCCCACAGCCTCACCACCGTCTCCCGAGCACTCGTCCGAAAATGGTTTTTTGGAAAAGGGCCGTAACTGTCTTGAGGCAACATCAAAACACCTCTGGACAGGAGGATCATGCATGGTTTCTCCCATTGCGGGTTAAACTATTGATCCTTGATGATGCCCTACTATACCACTCTCTCAACTTCACCTATATCCTCGACATCCTCGACATCCGAATATTTCCTGAACCATTTTTTTGCGGCCTACGATATTACGACTTGACGACTTTGATGATCAATAAAAATGAGCACTGTATATAACTACTTAACTATCTTCAAGACACTGTCTTTATTAATTTACCAATAATTTTTTGCTGGGCACATCCACATTACAAAATATAACATTCCATTGTAACATCTATTTTCTCCATGTACGTCGTTTGCCTCCACATAATCTATTCTTGACTTCCCAACTGGGCAGGTATGGCGGATGGCGAACGTGACTCATCCAAGCCGCGTAGCCGGTCACATGACACACTAAACCGGCGACATCCGTCGTGACGATCCGTTGCCCCAGGGTCATAGTCTGGAGAACTAACGCAGGCCCAAAAGCAAGAACAGGGGGGTGGTGGACCCTGATCCTCACTGGTGGAATATGAAAGAAGGCGATCGAGAATGATGTATGGGCTAAGCTGTCAGGGCCAGTGGCGAGGTTCCCGCCGACCTGGTCAGCTTTCATCATACCAAATGTCACATCCTCCATTGCGCTGGAGCCCTCTTCAGTGCGCTGCGAACTATATGCTCAAACAAAGTATCAAATGACATGCCATTGTGCGCAGCAATCATCGGCAGCTGAGACCATTCAGGCTTCAGACCCGCCAATGGATTGATCTATATCAAAGAAAGACATTAGTATCGGACGTTCTCCAAATTGACGTCAATATGACGTTTCATCCTTTCTGCTCACTCCAACGACAATGAAGATAAGCAAACAAGAAAACGAAACAGCACAAGCACACGCTCTCGATCAATCGAGCAATCGATGTCATCGAGGTTTCTGCCCCTATGGCATGACACTCTCCGTAGGACGTCACTTACCTCCAGAACATTAGCCACTCCGGCCGAAGCATCGAACCTGATATCAACTCGTCCACCATCACGACAGCCTATTGCTCTCCAGGCCCGCAAGGCGACCGTGCATGCCTGCTCGACCAGTGGATCGGCCCGATTGGCTGGGACTTCATCCGCGATGCCATCCCAGTCCTCACTAGTCTTAGATTTCTCAGTCGCAAACTGCACAACGTCAACAGCAACGTCAGAGTCCCCGTTGACCTGATCGTTCCACACAATCTCATCGACTCCTAGAACCCATGCGTCATCGCCTGTGCCTAGGATCCCCACAGTGAACTCACGACCTGTCAAGAACTTCTCGACTAGAATTGCTGGGATCGCGCGTGTGCTTAAGCGCAGTTCTTCGATGGCTTGGCAGAGCTGATTAACGTTATGGATGACGCTTATCTGCTTAATTCCTTTCGAGGTGTCTTCTGCTAGTGGCTTTGCGAAGAGTGGGTACGATGCTGGGTCCAGGAGTGACGATGCGTGTTTGGATCCTTTCGTCAGGGAGTTGACGACGTTTGGTGTTATGGGTTTGTCGGGATATCGGTCTAGATTGATGATTGCGAAGGGGGATGTCGGGATGCCGTAGTGCTCGAGGACCATCTGTCATTGTTTGGTTAGTATCCATTGTACTCCGTATAGGGCTGACCTTCGCTTAACATCCAGGTTGTAGATCGATCTTGGATCCTATAATTTAGTCCCTCTCTTGCCCTCCACCTTGGATACATGTACATTATGCATACAAAAATAAAATGGTTCACTGCACCTTTGTTTTCCCCTTGTCCAAACAAAGCGCCATAGTCGCCGCATCCGAAAATGTAAACGGCACCGCAAATGCCTCCAGCATAGCGGGCACCTGCGCTTCCCTTGCAGCTCCATACACCCCCGCAGCGATATTCACCGCTAGATCCCACTGCGCCCCTTCACCGGCACCAAGCTTTCTCGCCAGCGTCTGCACATCCGGGATAGGAATCACCCTGTGTCCGAGCCTGCTGAGAGCGACAATAACATCCTCGGCCGGGGTACAGGTATCTAGATGGGAGATATGAGAAGCTGGGTAGCCGAGATCGCGATAGATCTGTGGGTCTTCATAAATGAGAGCAATGAGAAGGTTGGATTTAGTTCTGGTCATTTTGGAACGGCGGTGTAGGCTGAAGATCTTCTGTGTATGTTGTTTTTGGGATTGGAGCTATCATTTATCTACTTTTCGAGGAGACTGCATAGCTGCCCAGATGCTTCAAAATGAGGATTGTGTCATGGCCCCTCTTTTGGGCTGGTTTTATGCACGACGTGGTAAATCCTTGTCGGTCAAGTTCCACGCGCAGTGATCTCGGACTTGCAATGCAGTGTAAAGCGGCCGGGGTTATTTGGCCAGATTGAGCTTCGCTGTTTTCTTGATCAGATGTTGTTCTCGGTCCAATACTGTCTCAAATGTATTCCTAATATTCGACCACGTTAGGCACGTCAACCTCTGTATTTCCAGAGAGTAGCCTGGCACCTACATTCAATTCCTCTGACATATTGCAATTACCAGGCAAGCCAGACAGAGTGCCCAAGCGAACAGGGATCAACCAAGAAATGCTTTGAATAACCGGTCTCTATTCAAATACAACAATGACAGCATCTATTCTAAACATATAAAAGCAATCTATAAACGACCCATCCTCAAAATCATAATCAACCCCGTCCGATCCGACCATTTAGCAGAACTCCGATCATCCGGCAAAAGATGCTCATCACCATTCGCAATGAGAGCTTCAACAAGGGTCGCCCTTCCAACAAGATCAAATCCAAGACGCTTATACAGATTAACGGTAACATGATTCTCCGGCTTAACCATAAGCCGCACCTGGATTCCCTGCGGAGAAGCTCGATATGACCGAAGATAATCAAGTGCATTCTGACAAAGTTTGGCGCCTAGTCCATGGCCACGATGATCGGGCAATGTAAAAAGGCTTAGCATCTGCCAGCATTCTTCTTCGTCGTCGGGTTTCTGCGCTGGTTGGCCTGATTCTTCTGGTAAGATGAAGTCTGCTTTAGAGATGGGTCCTCGTAGAGTGACTTGGCCGATCCATTTTGTTTGCGATTGGTCGTGGACTGGTGTTGCGACACAGATGAAGACTTCGCGATCGGGGACTGTGATGAGTTTTTTCCAGTGGGCGTCTGTGAAGAGGGATTCAGTTTCGTAGGTTGATGCGAATGAGCCCGGTGAGGCTTTTAATGCGTTTAAGCGTAGGTCTCGGTATTCCTGGGATGACGCTTCGATATTGTCGGTTTTGGAGACGCGGAGGAATGAATAGGTATATGTTGATGCCATGGAGAAGACTTAAAGATGAGATATTTCTTTCGTGAATCTGCAGGGCTTGCTCATTTATCTGCCTTTTCTAGATATGGCATACGGCTAACTTCAAGTTAGCCGACGCCGCTTACCCGCGGTATGGTCCACTTTTCACGGTCAAATTCAATGCAGCCGGCCTGATGATAAATCGGAAAATGCTTCATAATACGTACATCAACTGGAAGAACTTGAAAAGGCTAAATCGAAATCGTTGAACATCTCCACCGGATCCAGAAGTCCAAAGTCCACATGAGGTCGCGTCAGAAAATTTAGCATAGTGGGCTGGTGAAGAGCCATTTCTGTAGTTAGATAGGGTACGTTGGATTCAAAGAGTTGAGAATTCAAGTCCTCTAACCCCGAGGAAACATGAGGATAGCCGGAGCATCGGTTTGGTCGTGGGGGCATTGGAAGCAATCCTTCATCCATCGGTAATGCATTGACGGGATTATTTTCAGAATTATCAAGCGCCAGTGCAGGAGAAACAGAATTGTCATCAAGACACTGCCGCACCCGCGTAAGGTGATCATAAAGGTCTCTTGACGCAAGATTGCCAGTCAAGCTGAGATTCTTTAGTATCTCTAAGGCAGTTTCGGTAGATGCCAGATCGCCTGGATTCCCAAGGGGCAAAAGACTCGAGACAACCAAGACGAGTGCGGCTGAAAAGAGATATGCTGGGAAAGCATAGCCGTATATTGCAAAGGATCCTCTCGTCCACTCATCCACACATAAGGCGAAAGAGTGCCTTGCTGAGTGTATGCATGCCTCACTCAATGTGACCAGAACTGGTGAAATTGTATCGGTGGACTGGTGGGAGTGGCCTTTCTTGGTCAACTTCAAAATGTGCAAGAGGACTGGTCTAATGGCCAAGATCACGCACTAAGGAGGTCAGCATATAAGTTCAAAAAAGAGTAAAGGTCGAGCTGGAAACTTATTTCTTACAAAATTGAATTGAAGATGCAGATGAATCGCATCTTTGGAGTTTGGCTTATCTGAATGAAGCCTCATCTGCTCAGGTAGGGATTGGACGAATTGTTTCAACTGAGTCAGAACTTTCTGTTCACAATGTAAGAAACTCTCAACAGATTGCTTTTGGCAGTAGATATCTCCTGTCGTGTTGCCGGTAATCTTGGCAAGTTCAATGGTTGACATTGCGAATGCACTGTCAGCGAATTGGTCTGGATATGTTTCAGAGGCCAAACCGGAGGGAAGATCAACATGAATCCACTTATCGTGAATTTGAACAGGGAACCCAGATTTCAAGCCCCAGAAGCGATCAAGTGTATAAATAGACCACCAAATTCGAATTCGGTGCTCTCGCGCCACTGGATGTAGATTTTGACTTTGTGGGACGTTATAGTTCAAGCCCATGCTGAGCGCTAGTCGCAATGCATTTCCGATGAAGAGATACGCTGAATGAAAGCGATTCAAGAATTGGCAGAAGAATGCCTTCAAAGATGTTAGTTAAGAAGAGGACCGTTTAGGAAAGACGCACAAGCAAGAGCAGGCTCTCTATATGAACCATATTTGGTCTTTCGGGAATGACCTGGATGAGACTCAATGCCTTCGCAAAATAATCCGATCCCGGTACATATGGCGCATCAGAGGACCCATAAGGAGTCGAATAAACTTGCCCAAGTGCAAAGAGAGCAAAAAACTTGCACTTGATACTTGGATTCTCAAAGTCTTGGCTCTGATAAACGCTATGGAGCATATCCATGGTGTCCTTTTTCAGAACAAAATGGAAAGTGGACATGTTGTGACCAAGTGCGGTTTTGACCAAAAGCTGGGCACACACAAGGCTGGGCCATTGTATGTCCGCATGAAGGAGAGATGTAATTGTAGGCTCGTCAGTATAACGCGACCTTGGAAGATGCAATGTTGGCGTATTCGTTCTCTTCAAGGATTGGCATAGACGAGTGGCAAAGGCGGTGCAAGTCGCTTCACTGATGTACAGAGGAAGCAATGAGGCATCGTGTGATTGGAACCATGGCTTGTCCCCGATGAGGTCAGTTTGTGCCATCGAGCCAGCATTCCCCTCGATTGTATCGGGACTTTGCCGAAAGTCTGAGATTTGCTCGGATCTATTCGGGAGTGTCTCTTTCAAACGACGCTTTCGGTCATGCAACTCTTCGCTATCCTTCAAGAGTTGCTCCAGGTAGCTGTGGTACATCAGCAATAGTTTTGATCCCAGTCAAACGCACTGATTGAGGAAGCTACCTTTCATCCACTCGTACTTTGCGATCCCGAGTCGCATACCTGCATTGGGCTTCGTAGCCCGCAGATCGACATTTTGAGCATGGCTTTTCTCCGGAGCATTTAATCTTCTGAGCGTGGCATCGGTGGCAACTCGAGAACAATCAGCGGACGTCCTTGCTGCATTGGCTGACACTTACGCAACAGCTCTTTTCTTGGGTCTTGCTGGGGTTCTAGGAGTAGTGCCTTGACTATGGCATGCAGACATGTAAAAATCAGCGCACATATTAATGAGTATTTGGAATGTGCTAAAGAGAAAGACGGCAGAAAACGTGGCGGGGAATATCGGCAAATCTTAAATTCGCCGGTTCCAACCGTTACGGCAAATCTTCGACGTTTGCCCTAAGTTCAAGATCATCCTGTTCCAATGCAGATATTTTCGTTTCAATATATACACCACAAGATAAAAAGAGCATATTTCAAAAGAACGTAACAAGGGTCATTCTCGTATATCTAATGCAACAAAAACCGCGAAGGAGCCTCCTGAGACTCAAGCTCCAATGCGACTGAACCTTTCCGTCGCTTCTTAGGAGTCATAACGTGATTCTTCAATCCTTTGTTGAAATTGACGATACACAACACGGAGTTGACGAGCGTCATACCCATCAAAAGCAATGATAGGGAGGAAAATAGTGTCAGGGAGACTCGGACTGAGCTGAATTGGTTGCTTTCACTGGAAATGTGCATTCGATAGAGAGTCAGGCCGAAACATCCCATGATGACGAGCATGAAGAACTATCGTGATTGTTAGTACGTGATTAAAAACCCAAATATATGACCTCTCGATTTAAATCTTACCATCATAGTTATGAGAGACTTTGTTTTCTCGCGCTTGCAGAACTGAGCAGCGCCAATCAATGTCGCTATCGTAACCGGAATCAAGGCAGCATTAACGATGAAATCAGAGTCCTCAGTCTTAAAGACAACAAGGAGAATCTGAAGTTGGCTTCCAAACACGAAGAAGAAATCGAATTTCAAGAGCGCAATATAAACCTAGAGAGATCAGTTTCCTAGAACCCCCAAAAAAGATACAAATAAGCAGCCCTAGCAACGAACCTGATAAGTAAGATACCTCCGCTTCATCTGCAAATCCGCGCTGATATTCTTATAAATAGACCACGAGAACTCAGCCCGCAACTTCCACGTAAAGAAAGTCATAGCAACAGTCCCAACACCCAAGATAACGGGAACAAGCACAAGCTCAATGCGATATATTTTCAGTAGATGGTCGCTGACAGTCTTATCATTCAGCGCAGTGGTAACGGTACTTCTAATCTCCTGCATCTGCAAAAAGCCATAGGTCAACAGGCCCAAATTACAGATACAGAGCCCGACCAGTTGGATTGTATTCTTTCGGCGCAGGGCGTCATATGATAGAGCCAGTTCGTATAGAAGTGCGAAGATGTATAGGCCTAGGAAGGACTGGAGGCGCATTGTTCCGTCATCTTTTCCGTCGTCTTCGAGGTGGTCGCGCAGACTTATGAGGATCCAGCTACATGTATATGGCGCTGTCAGTGGAGTCCCGGGTTGGGGTTGGGGTTGGGATTGGCAGTGCAAGGATTCGAGCGCATACCTTTCAATTGCGACTGTGAGGACTGTTTCGGCGATTACCGTTATCGCAAATGCGCGTGTCCATAGTGTATTTGGGATGTATAGTAGTGGCTGGCCTTTATGCGGCACCGAGTGGTGGTGATGGTGGTGATCATGTTCGCTCATGACCGGACTGGATGGCACGCAGAGCGCGCGACTGTCAATTGCTTCGGTCTTGTTGGCAGACTTTTCGTGCGCATTGGGGTTGGGGGGTTTGTTTCAGATTTATGATAGGTGGCCTAGAAGCGTCGTGCGTGGATCATGGCCCGGGGTCGGGGTGGCGTAGGGAAATGGATGAGGTAGACTTCATATCCCCGGAGAAGAGAAATCTTGGGCTTCAGGAGTAATGTTTTGAAAGAGTTGAAAGCGAATACGGGCTTGTCTTTAAGGTGGGGCCATGCGTAAGGCTTCTGAATTGTGATCGATCTAGTACTTGCACTAATAGGGGAGATGGGCCCTAGTGAACTTAGTGTGTGGATATATTTAGTGACAGCTACGTATATAGGTCTACGTTTAATTTGGTTAACTAGTTACAGTTAAAGGGCCCATTCAACGAGTGGCTTTCATCTGAGAACTTATGCTTCTACAAATAGGTCTACTATATACCCATACCCTTCTGATACATTAAAGCGGGGACGTCAGCTCTACTACTCCGAATAAAAGAATGTATTGCATATAAAGATGTTAAGATAATGCGGTGGGGATATATGTAACCAATGCCAAACATGAAGATTCAATCAATGCATGCCAGTGCTTTAACCGTGCTTTAACCCCAAGCTTGAACTCCACAGCCCAGGGGTAATGACCCAAACACCAATAAAACGTGTACAAAAATAAATAACAGAACGATCAAACAGTATCGGCAAACTCCACATAAAATGCATGACACATGACCACGCTATGCATTCAGATATGCTTATGTAGTGAACATTAAAAGTCCATCTCATCATCCCAGCCAAGTTGCTCGTAGATCGACTTCGACTGCGATTTGTCGGGTGTCACTGGTACAGCCGCAGCACCTTTAATTGGTGTCCCCATGACGGCTGGCGGGGAGTGTGCTTGAGGAGGTTCGACGGCCATGGCGTCGAGGGTTGTAGGAAATGGTATAGAGGGTGTAGTGGGTGTCTCCTGCAGTGCACGCTTCTTTGGGGGTGTTTCCATGATCGCCGAGGAGCGAGCATCGCTGAGAGATTGACTGAGCTGTTGAGATGAGGACATCGTTTCCGTCGATGCGGAAACTGTCTTATGGCGCGAATGGACAGGCGTACCTGGGACCATTGATTGGGTGGTGGAGCGGGGAGCAGGGAGGTTGGGTACTCGGAAGAGACCTTTGCTAGTGGAGGAAGACGGTCGACGGGCAGCCATGGAGTCTCCGAGCCCACTTGTACTCTGGAAGATTTTGGAAGAGGGTTTTGTTGGAGTTTCCTGGACAGCTCCGTCGGGCTGACTGGATCGCGGGCTTCGACCATTGGGACCGTCCTGGGGATTAAAAGGATCGGAATCGGCACCAGAAAATGATATCGCCCGTCGACTGGAAGAGGGGACCATGAGCGGAGACTCGCCGAGAGGAGAGTTCTCCACACCAGCAAATGATCGCGACGAGGTTAAACTACGAGGTAGCGGAGGTAGACCTACCACCTCCTTCTTTCGGTTGCCCCGTGGAGTCGCCATGACCTGTACGCCTTCGCCAAATGGATTGCGCACAGGGTTCTTTGGCTTCCTGGAACTGCCTCCACTGGTTGTGACCCGCTTGACTGCATCGTCTGCTATGTCCTTGGAGACGAGTTCTCTGTTGGGTTTCCGCAGCGCGTGGATAGCAGCGTCTAACTCCTTCTTCTGATCGACCAGCATTTGAACCTTTCTGAGTTTGGTCTCGTGCTGCCGCGCCACAGCATTGAGATCAACTTCTCGGTTCTCCGTGCGCTTTGCTTTATGAATGCCACCCCGGACACTGCCACTCAGAACAGTAGGCAGCAAAGGCTCCCCTGTATCACGCTTCAGATTGTGCTGCGACGGGGCTGTATTAGAGCGACTAAGTCCCGGGTGTCGGACATGGGACGCTGCCGCTTTCTCATCCGTAAGCACACGCTGCAATGTCCGCCGAGCCTTCTGTGCTGGCTGCTGTCGCTTGACTTCCGTGCCGGGTTCCACTCGAGGCGCTTTGCTCGAGGACTGCGGCTTTTTAGAGGCCGGAGAGATACCGCCAGATACACCGAATTTGCGGGTGATCAGCTTGCACTTATCGGGGACACGCGCGGCATAGAAGGGAATGATGACTTCCGTACAAAAGTCACGTACTGCATCACTTTCGACTTTCTTGCCTGACATATGGCTGCTGCTGAACGAGGAAGCCTTTGCTGTATCGGCAGCAGATGTCTCTTCCATGCTCACAGCATGCCAAATACACATTCGATCGAGATGGAGTTCGAGAAGCACGTCCAGATCCTGGGGTTTCTTGGCCTTGGATTTCTTCGGCGTCTGTTTCTCGCCTTCTTGTTCCTTTCGCTTGTCGGCATTGTCCTTCTCCGCCGAGGCAATGCCCATTTCCAGTACCATGACTTCCAGAACCAACAGGATCTGCAGCTGTGTTTCGCGGAGCCGGAGATCAGATATCTGCTTCTTGGATTCTGCTTCGCGCGAGTCCTGGGCTGAGGACTCGTTCGTAAGTCTGTCCTTCCACCATCGATGGATGAACCCTTCCTCCTCTGGGTATAGACCATTCTTACCCAGCTTCTTCTTCTTGCTCTTTCGCTTCTTGGATTTCGCACCATCGTCAGAATCAGCTAGCACAGCATCGCGAACTGCTGATGGTACCGCTTCTCTATACTTGAGATCCATTTTCTTGGCCGCAAGAATGGCCTCACGATAGAACTCAACAAGTTCCGCTGGTCCATGCGATTGCTCCGTATCCCGAGCCTGAAAAGCGTTCCGACAGCGCGTCAAAGGACCCTTAGCAAAGTATGCCACAGAAGTCTAAGAAGCTGTTAGCTACACGCAATCCAAGCCCTAAACACCTCGAATGAGAATCACCTTTGAAACATAAAGAGCCTGCAAATAATGATCCCTCATCCCATCCAGCAACACCTCAGGCGACTGCTGCACATCCACAGCATTAGACTCAACCCCATCAACATCCATAGCATCCCCACCATCCGCCAAGCCCTTCGGCTCAGTCACGAACGGATCCCCATCATCATCATCATCAAAGCTCCTGGACGGCGCAAGCGAATGACTCCGATGCTCAAAAACACCCACAAATGAAGCCGCAGCAACGCCGGCATCCGCCTCAGACGGACCAAAAACAAGCGCAATATCCAGGGTAGGCTTCTTGCCCACCCCAATATCAGTAATCGGCTCGTCAATCTGAGCAGCTTGCCACCAGTCATACCCATCCGGCATAACAGTAGACTCATTGACATCCTTGATATCGACGTCTGCATCCTCGGATCCATGCCACCCCTTAGCCGCAACGACGATATTACCCTCATGCACCCATCGCGCGAGTTTAGAGAGCGAGTATATACCCCGCTTTACGCGCTCGACAATGTACAATCCCCCATTGGCAAGAAGGCGGACCGCGAGGACGGTAGGTTCAGCTTTGGTGCACAGATCAACTTCCAGTGTAGGAATATCAGCCGTGAAGAGGCCGCCTGGTTCATCGTCTGAGCGGGAGGCGGGTGTATCGTCTAGCCATGAGAGTGGGAGGCGGGAGCGTGAGAGGACCGTTATTGGTTCGAGGATTAGAGGGTGGTCGGATAGTGACGCTGCGTGTGCCTGGATGGGTTGTCAGTAACCAAGTCAAGCGTAAGGGTAAGGAAGGGTTCGAGGATTGGATTGGAGTGGGTTGGGTTGGCCAGGGTCTCTGCTTACTCTGATGACAATCGAGGAGGTTGCAAGCTGGCCGGCAGCATTGTAGATCTCGTCATCATCGCTTCTCTTTCGCTTGAGTGTTGGAGGGGTCGGTTCGTGCAGTTTGTTCAGCGCGGATGAGGTGAGGGGATCCAGGATGTTCGGTACTATACGCGAGGACATGGTCGCATCTAGAGTGGCATCGTGTAACGGCGTAATTGTGTATGCCATGCAAACAAACGAGACATGCGATTGCAATTGAGGGTGTTGTCAGATCGCGCTCAAGGCGTAGTGGGTCGGGCGTCACGCGTCGGGACGTGCACTCCGCCTCGGCTTTAATTGAGCAGAATTGTACAGAGGTACGGGTTGAGGGAAAGAAAACGTAATATCTGAGGTGTTACAGCTACGAAGGAAATAAGGTGCAACCCAAACCAGTGGTAAATGTGATAGATGTGAAGGTATGATTATTCTATCGCTAATGTTTAGATTAGCTTGTCCAGGACCTACGAAGAGCCTCGAGCACTCTCACAGAGAGCGCTACGCAGACTATATCGCATCGAGAGAGTAATAGCCCTGTGTGGAAGCAGGACCAACTGATTCTCGAGAAGCACCGTGGACGGTGTTGAGGTATTGTGAGGTTGTTGAAGACTGTCGCTCCTGAAAAACGCCAAAAACTTCCTTCCCAGCCGATGAAAAGTGGTATCATGTTGAATTTTGTCTTCGCCGAAAGGCCCGTCTTTTGCGCGACCATGCAGATAATGAAACAAGGAAGTTGACCCCAAGCGGAAGCCAACTTCTGGATTTTGTAGGGTTTTTTAATTCTATGCTCATCGTGCTTCGAGTTGTTGAAAACAAAGCAAACTCATCAAAGTCGTCAAAATATGTCCGGCATCACCGGATCACAGCAAAGCCCGCTTAGAACTTGAGGGCCTTGGGGGACTCCCAGGAGAACTCCTGGTTGGTGAAGTGGCCGTTCTTGGCTGTCTGAGCGTAGATGGGCTTGGCCAAGTCAAGGTCCTTCACGATGACACCGGGACGGAGATCGAAGTTGTTGCGGATGATCTCGACCAGCTCGTCGGAGGTCTTGGAAGAGGTGCCGTAGCTCTCAACGAAGATGGAAAGGGGCTCAGCGACACCAATGGCGTAGGAGAGCTGGACGAGGGCACGGCGGGCAAGCTTGGCGTTGACCAGAGACTTGGCGATCCAGCGCGCAACGTAGGCGGCCGAGCGGTCGACCTTGGAGTAGTCCTTTCCGGAGAAAGCACCACCACCGTGAGCACCCCAACCACCGTAGGTATCGACGATGATCTTACGGCCAGTGAGACCGGCATCACCCTGAGGACCACCGATGACGAAGCGGCCGGATGGCTGGATGTGGTAGACAGTGCGGTCGTCAAGAAGCTCAGCGGGGATGACCTTGCGGACAATCTTCTCCTTGATGACGGAACGGAGCTCCTCAGTGGAGACATCGTCGCTGTGCTGGGCAGAGACAACGACGGTGTCAACGCGCAGGGGCTTGACGGCACCATTGTCGTGAGCGTACTCAATGGTGACCTGGGTCTTGGTATCGGGGAGCAACCAGGGGATGGAGCCGTCGTTACGGGCAGCCTTCATGGCAGCGTTGAGCTTGTGAGAGAGGAGGATGGTCAAGGGTAGGAGCTCAGGGGTCTCGTCGGTGGCATAGCCGAACATGATACCCTGGTCACCAGCACCGAGCTTCTCAAGAGCCTCTTCGTAGTGCAGACCCTGGGCAATATCGGGCGACTGCTGCTCGATGGCGACGAGGACGTTGCAAGTCTTGTAGTCGAAGCCCTTCTCGGAAGCATCATAACCGATGTCCTTGATAGCGCCACGGATGATCTTCTGGTAGTCCAGACGAGCCTTGGTGGTAATCTCACCGAAGACCATAATCATACCTAGGTGAGATGTCAGATTTCGACGATCATATCTGGCCTGAAATAATCAGAACCTACCAGTCTTGGTAGCGGTCTCGCAAGCGACCTTGGAGAGGGGGGTCCTCAGCCAGACAGGCATCGAGAATGGCATCGGAGACCTGGTCACTGTTCACATATTAGTTTCACGGAAATGAGAGCAAAAGTCAGATATAGGGGAAAACTCACGCAATCTTATCGGGGTGACCCTCACCAACCGACTCGGAGGTGAAAAGGAAAGTGCCAGGCTGCGAACCGTTTGCGAGAGAACCCATTGTGAATGTGTGAAAAAGGGAAATGAAGAGAAAAGAGAATGAGAAAGAGAAGGAGAAGGAGGGATGGGAAAGGAGAAAAAGGAAGAGAAGGGGAGGGGAAAAAATGGTGGGGTTTTCTTTTTGCGAGTACACGGCTGGTACCAATAAATATGCGTTGAAAGTGGGGACCAACCAGGTACTGCCAATGTACCGATGTACGCCGTACTTTCTGTCCCCTGTCAGCCCGTGATGGCGCGATCCCGAGAGCGGTGAAAGCGGGCAGATCACGGCAATACAATTTTCTCGTTACCGACGCGATAAGAGATATACTGCTTTCTTTCTATATCGCTTCACCATACATCATGTCGAAGTTCGGTGTCCTGGTTATGGGCCCTGCAGGTGCAGGCAAGACCACCTTCAGTAATGCTATGATCCAGCACCTGCAGTCCACTCGTCGCAGCTGTTTCTATGTCAACCTCGACCCCGCCGCCGAGACCTTTAGCTACGAACCAGACCTCGACATCCGCGACCTGATCACATTAGAGGATGTGATGGAAGAGATGGGTCTGGGCCCTAATGGAGGTCTGATCTATTGTTTCGAGTTCCTGCTCCAGAACCTGGAATTCCTATCAGAGGCCCTGGAGCCACTGAGCGAAGAGTACCTGATCATTTTCGATATGCCGGGCCAGATCGAACTATACACACATATCCCTCTCCTCCCATCCCTCACAACATTCCTTTCTCGCCAGGGTCCCTTGAACATCAACATGTGCGCCGCCTACCTACTCGAGAGCACCTTCGTGATCGACAAAGCCAAATTCTTCGCCGGAACACTCAGTGCCATGTCCGCCATGTTGATGCTGGAGATTCCACACGTCAACATCCTCAGCAAGATGGATCAGGTCCGCGATATGGTATCACGCAGGGAGTTGAGGCGGTTCACCAATGTGGATGTGCAATTGCTGCAGGATAAAGAGGAGGACGACCTTACCGCCAGTGCCAACCCCATGGCAACAGATGCATTGATGAGTGGTGGATCCTTCAAGCAGCTGAACCGTGCCGTGGCCCAGCTGATCGACGACTTCAGCATGGTTTCATTCCTGCAGTTGGATGTCCAGGATGAGGACAGTGTGGGTGCTATTCTGAGCCATATTGATGATGCCATCCAGTATCACGAGGCTCAGGAGCCAAGAGAGCCTAAGGATGAGGTCGAGGTCAATTACGAGGATTGAGTTCAATAATTGATTACTGCATATGGAACACAGTCAGACACGGCTCGTCTCACGGCCGATCACATCCGCAAATGCAGACAAGTCAACTGCAGCTGCAATTCTTCTGCAGCTTACAACGGTTTATCTCAGGGAAGAATACTCCTACGCTCCTTGCACTGCGCATCGCTCAGCTGGCAAACTCGGAAGATTTACGACAACCTGGATGCACTCCCAGTCCCATTGTACAAGGTGTGTGCGGCCTTTGAATCTTCAACCCGGTCGGGAATAATAGATGCTCGAGGCAACATGATGGATGACTGGGGCCATCGGCCTCGAGGATCCTTTCTAAATGGATAAGACCAAATAACCCCAAATAATGGGAGCAATAATGAAACCAAAAACACTTCATGAAATGTACCATGTCTAAACTCCAAGGATTAACCAACACCCGCTACACTAGCCCAGAAAGTTGAAAAATAGAAACAATCAACAAGAACGCTCTCAGTTTTCCACCCCAAGGCATTCACCATACGCCCCAACGGCATATCAAATAACCAAAAGAAGGAAAATAGCACCATCCCTGCCCGCGCAATAAACACAACCCCCTATACTAGAATCCGCCGCAACGCCCACTTTGCGACAAAGAAGAGCCCGGAGACTACTTCGTCCCAACATAAGCAGCAGCCTTACCCTGACTCTTCTCAACATAATCCCCCACAAACCCAGCAACAACCCCAAACAACCACCCTAAATCCCTCGCAGCATCCTCAACGCCAACACGATAAACATAGTACCCCATGCCGAGTAGGGATCCCCAAAAGACAAGCCGGAACGCCAGCACAACCCAGAACATGATCACGCGACAGGCATAGTCCAGGATCTTCAGCGAGACGAGGATTATTATGGCAAGTAGGCAGATTGAGAGCAGGTCTGGCATTGAGGAGGAGTAGCTTGTCAACAGGGTTGATAGTGGCTCGATTAGGTAGGGTTGGAGAACTGTTGCGCGGAGGTCGGACAGCCGTGATGTTAGGTGTTCTTGGGTTGTTGATTGGAGGTAGGTTATTGTTGGGTTTTGGAGAATCGTTTGGAGGTTTTCTAGGTGGTTGGTTTGTTAGTTTGTGTTGTAATATACGTGGATGGTAGGTATGGTGGGATGTGGGTGTGGGTGTATGTACCTGGTAAAAAGTCCATGGTTGCTTGAGTTTGAGGCTGAGGAAGAGGGCTTTGAGAAGAGGTCTCGTGTATGTGTTGATGATTTGGCGATGGGTATTTTCGAGACGAGAGGTGGTGATATGATAGGATAGAGAAACACAAGGGATCCCTCGTTGGATGCGGTTCAGGCGCAAGTTTCTTTGACTGGCTGGCTAGTTGCTTGAGTCTTTGTGATCGCCAACAATTGGTGTTCTCGAGAAAGCGAGTGTGAGACGGAGGAGGGGGGGGGAGAGTATCGCTTTCACTTGTCACGTTTCAGCTCGGCTTTACTTAGATTCGAGGGCCCTTTGTTCGTTGCCGACGGAGCGTAGCTCGTTTGTTGTAGATCGTTCGGTCGCGAGCGAGGCTGTGTCGCAAGAAGGGTCTGCGGAGTTGGATCAGCTAGAGAGAATGCTGGGTTAAGAAGCTGAGGGTATATACGCCGATGCGATCAACAGTGACATGTTATAAAGAAGTGACATCCAAGAATCCAGTGGCACCCGACAGTGCAAAACAAACAAACATGGCATGTGAAGGTTAATCCTTAATCCCCGGATTCAACATTAAGAATTTGTATCGTTTCTCTTATTTCAATATCAACTGATCTAAATGCTTACACCAAACTTTTCATAACAATTATACTGTACATTCGATTAAATATTTACCCAGATAAAGACGGTTTTTATATACAAGCATGACCATAGTCCACCGCCAATCCGGTCTGTATAAATAGACCAACGCCAAAGCCCGAGCCTGGGCACGGTCAGCACGATGCCACGCGCATAAACTTCACATATCGAAGGGGGAAAAAATCCAAAATTGAACCCGAAAATACTCCGGGCGAAACTCCAAGACACCAGGGACTCGACACGATCACGGTGGATGGGAGTATAGATGCAGATGCAGATGTGGTATAGTAAGAACAGAAAAGTGCAATGCGCGAGATCTATAAGGCGTTGATGAGCGACTTCAGGGCATCACGCTCCGCTTGGATCTCGGCCTGGAGTTGGCGGGTCTGGCGGAGAGAATCCTCTCTGTGTGACGTGTCAGTGAAATGTCAAATGAAAACTCGGGTACCTATAGGGAGGGGAATTCTTACCTGTCAGTTTGAAGCTGGGCCACATCAATCTGTGTGCGGTTCATTCGTCCAACCACTTCCTCCATCTCCATATCCGCATCGCGGAGAAGCTTCTCGAGATCTTTGACTCGACGTTCGAGGACCTCAGCCTGGACAACATCAGTCAAGGGGACACCCTCACCGCTCGAGGTGTGATCCAGACGCGGTGAGCGGGCGTCGAAGGGTGTACTCGGTGGCTTCGGTGAAAGGCCAACGAGGTTACGGCCTCCGTTCTTCATACGCGTGAGCTGGGCATTCTGGCTCTCTCTCAAGAGGCGGACTTCTTCCTCATGCTTGCCCATCTCCTCTTCGGAGTTTTGCTGGGCAACCAACAGGACGTCCTCCAGTTCCTTCATGCGGTTCTGCAAAACGTTGATTCGGTTGACTGAGATCTTCTGATCGTTGTCACCCTTGTCAATAGCCTCTGCTAACCGGGCGTGCAGAGATGTGTTGTTCTGAAGCTGGTAATGAACCTTGTTGGCTAGGGACTCTGCACGGGCAAGGGAAGAGGAAAGCTCTTCCGAGTTGGCGACATTCGCCTCGGCCGCTGCCCTATCGGCCTGCAATTGCTGGTAGGCAGATTTCAGAGAAGAGGATGTAGCCATGACAGCAGCGAAATCCCCTTGGTCGGGATTTGATTCGTCAGATACGGCAGTATCCTCCTGGAGAAGGACGCGCAGGGAGCTGGTCTCTTGCTCGGCACGGTCCAAATCCATCTTGAGACCAGCAAGGTTCTTCTCGCACTGCCACTTGCCATCCATAGCATCTTCAGCGCGCATGCGTAGATGGTTGACTTCATCACGCAGGTTATAAACCTCTCTCTGATAGCCCAGCCTCCGGGGCTGGCCCGATTGCTGGGCCCGAGCAAGCTCCATCTCAAGCATACGGGTCCGCTTCTCGTATTCACGGGCCTGGTATGCTTGACGATCGAGCAGGCTTCGCAATGTCTGGTGAAGGAAATCGCGTTGGACCTCGATGTCGTTGACTTTGTCTACCAACGACTCGCGTGTTTCTGGTGATTTGCCTCCGTTGTTGGAAAGGGAGTTGGATCGAGAAAGGGAGCCTGAACGGGCGAGGCCGCTAGGCTTGCGAGCAAGGGAGTTTGATCGTGATAATCCAAATGCTGAGTTCCTCGGTGAACCACCTTCCTCGGCGATCGAAGCGAATCGACCGCCCTGTAGCTGGGCCAGAGAGGCATTTTCGATCTTAAGAGCCTCGATTTCTTCAGCGAGCTTGTTGTTATCTCGCAGCTCATCTCGGTCGTTGCGCAACTGTTCAAGCTCGACTCGCATGGCAGTAAGCAAGTCTTCAAAGTTGTCCTTGGACTGCCTCTCCTCAAGTAACTTGCGCTTGGTGTTTTCCAGAGCGGTCTCAAGTTCTTTAGTTTTAGATGACATATCAGACAAATCGACTCTGTCACGTCGAAGCTATTGAAACGTCAGGGGTTGCTGTTTATAAAGATTCAAAGGACCTTACCTGTTGAACTTGAGTCTCCAAAATTTGAACATGCGATTCAGATGCTGTCCGTTTAGACCGCTCTTCTTGCAGCTTTTGTGACAGATCTAGCTTGAGTTGAGCCCGTTCTTGCTCCGCAGCACGACGGATCTTCTCAATATCTTCCGTCCGACCAGCGTCTGAAGCATATCGAACAGAACTAGTCCCGGAATCCGAGAAATAGTCACTGGTCCGGCGATTGGAATCCGGTCCTTCTAATTGTAATCGTTCAACTAGATCCTCCAGCTCCATTTCTCGACGTATAGACCCTGCCAATTCGGAACTTATTTCTCGTAATTCATTCTCAAGGTCCGCCATTTTGGACACAAATATATTCTCCTTTAAACTCCCAGACCCCACCGATGGAGTCCGCACCGGGAGGCTGTAGCCATTGGTCTTGGTATCATAGGGGGAAGGAGGTTTGATAGGGACATTTGCTAATGGTGGCATAGGGGAAGGCATTGTGGACCGACCCGAGTCTGAGATCTCAGTGCTGGATGATTCAGCCCCAGGAGATGTCGCTGTATTATTATTATTCGCCGCCTTCCAGCCAAAAAAAGAACTGATTTTGTTCCCCGGTGTCTTTGGGTTTCTTGGATCCGTTGCACTCATTGACATTGATCGCGGATCCACGTCGATATGTAGAGGGGGTCGGCTCATGGGGAGGTGCAACGCCATACTCGTTGCCCGTCGTGTTGGAGGAGGGGATTTGAGGACCGGGATAAATGGTTCGCTATCTAGACGACTGTGCAAGGGGGTTGCGATTCCATTCGTGAACTGGTGTTCGTATTCTTCGTCAAAGTAGTCAGGCCCGTCTTCGTCGTCGTCGTCGTCGTCTTCGAGTACGGATCTCAAGAATGCAGTGGAGCGGGGCCGGGAGGCAGTGGTATCGATTTGTAGGGGGTTCGGAGGGGCTCGTCGGGAATATCTGAGGGACAGGGGCACCCGATTAGTCTTCAAGTAGTTGGAGAAGCGGAGTAGCATGTAGGTGCCATGTCATGTTCGATCGACAGGTAGACGGAGGGAAAAGGAGGGTCTGTCGAGGTCCGGGGGTTTCCAAGAACTGGGGTTGGCGAGGGCGCATACCTATTCGGGTTCTTCTGCACCGATATAAAAGAGTCTCCATCCGCCGACGAAGGGGATGGTGGTCTAGCCACGGGAGCAGTGGGAATGAGAACGGGTTTATCTCCCTCGATCGAAAGGGGAGAGGAGGGGTGGACAGGTCCGGAGGTCAGATCGACATTCTGCGGGACAGGTTTCCTTCGAACCTGAGTAGGGGAAGGATTGAGACTAAAGCTCTCTGACGGAGCGCCGCCGGGAACAAGAGGAGACGCCATGAAACACCCTGGTCCGTATCAAAAAATAGCCATCGATCGACAGTCACTCATGCTAGCAAAGTAGAGAGGCGCCAAAAAGGGAAAGGATTATTAGGAGATATCAAAGGCAAAAGGAAGAAAAAGGAGAAAGTTAGGTAGAGGCTTAGGGCGATTGGCGCAAACCGCCCGTGGGTTCCAGACGCCATTCAGTAGCTCCGAGTAAGCGTGGAGCGCAGGGGGTTGGTGGGTCTATAGTTGCATTGATTCCATTGGCAATACAATGAGATAGCGCTGGAGGATCGACGTCTTTGAACAGTGTATCCTGGCTGTTGAGGTACTCGAAGGCTTGTTCTGAGCATGCTTGAGCATGGAATAACTGAATAAAGACACTCATTACCTCGTCGAGGATGAAAATAGAAAGGCTTCAATAGTGTCGAACGGCACAAACAACCCCTTGAGTCGATCTTGAGGTTGGCCCGTCCAAGGCTTGGCGATTCAGGGGTAGTGAAGGTCCTTGCATGTACCGCCCAGGTTTCTTTGCCTATGTTTACCGCCTACCTGCTACTTCCAGGTACTTCTCTCTACTTTTACAATATACTCCCATAGATACTATTACTTGTATACGCAAGGCTGCATCAGAGTCAACGACAAGCCTTCAGTACATACATGTACATGAGGATACTCCGAACAAGCTCAATATTCCAATAGATTAAGGGGTGTTCTCTACTATAACTCTACTGTATATACTTTGATCTTCTGTGGGGATGCCCCTTTTCCCCTTTAGATGTATATCTCCTTATTTTGTGAAAATCGGCCAGAGACGCCAAAGAACGTGCGCAATCCTTTGATGCACGCTACTCAAACCCTGCCGTGTGCGCCACCAATCACATCAATATCACCTCTGATCGACTCGGCGTCTCGCCAGCTCGGGCCAGCGCGTGGCCGGCATGTGTTTCTTCAACGGGCAAAGCGCTAAAGCTCTTACTATCACATCGGATACAACTTTAGCCAATCTGATTGCACCTGGACAGATTGTGATGGGCTGACCTAAATGTTATACAGGAACCTGCTCGGCTCTGAAGACCCCACTGGTAAAGCTGGCACTGCAATTCTCATACTTCTGGACTGATTGGACAGGCCAGCTAGTGATCCTTGCTCCAAGGCAAGAATCTAGATCCTGAGGCTTCATGGCAAACACTATGCACACCCTTGACTCGGAAGATTCCGTTTGAGCGCTAATTAATACAGAACCGGTGTCTGAGAAATATGCATTGAGTGCGTCTCACCCTGAAAATTGTGCACGTATAAAGGTATGCCCGGTCGGGTTTTGGATTGGCCACCATAGTCTGGACCTTTGGTCGATTGCAATGTGTTACGCATTCATAGTAACTAGATTTTTCCCTGGTCTCAAATTCAAAGACCAAGGATACTGCAAAAGCCTCTGACGATAGCGAAGCCAAAGTAGCTAAATTTAGGGCATGGCTTGATTTATTGTCACACCATGAAGATTATTGATCCCAGCGCCAGTGTATAGGGCTGCTCCATAAGGGTCCACCTTAGCTGCCTCAGATTGAGTCGCAAGCACCGGCTTTTTCTACAAAGTAGGAAGTAATTTGTTTGACTAATCGTTAAATCTTTCACTTGGCTCATCTAATAGCTAGTACTTTTAAATTTTCCTTCATTTGCCTCTAGTTATATATTCCCATTCATCCTAACTCACTCAAGCCACGAACCCAGCATCTAAACCTGATTGCCTTCCCTACACAAACCAGAAGCTACACGCGACACTAACAAGCTATCCTAATCCACCCTTCTGCATGCCAAAAATAGTGGCTTTTGTTACCCCGTTGGCTCCACCTCCTTGGCAGTCTAGACCTCTAGACCATAGAATGTCTCACCCCCGAACACGTCACACATTTAAGAATTGGATAGCTCAAATCCTTGGGGCTTACATCAATCAAGGATTACGTATCCATAGTGAGTTCCCAGCCACAACCGCTGGCTTGTTCCGTGGTTAGAAGCGTTTGCGGAGCCCTGGATCCATCTGCACGCCCATGTCTCGCCGGTGCGTCTAGATGTTTCAACCGTGGCTGATTGTCTGAGGTATGAACAGCTAGATAAAACGAGTGGACAGGAGAAAGCCGAGGTGATGGTCTAGAAATACACGCTTCGCGCTAAGGGCTCATACAATGGTGAATAGGTTATTTTCCGATATGTTTACTTTGTTCTAGGCCTAAATATGGCTTGAAGCGCACGTACGATAAAATAACAAGAAGAATCGCCCTCAAAACTCATTTCATAGTAATTAATTCATTATAATAGGTATCATTCCATCAAAACTATGCTTCATGTCCAAAACACTAGGGTAGGTCTTGTTGCCAATTGGGGTTATACCCTTCTGCAATCCCAAACACATTCCGAACTGTAAAATGACCATTGTGACTTTCGTAAGAGGTGGCCCCAGCAAGACAGCCAAGGATCGTATGGAAGAAGCCAGTGATAACACCATATACAGCGCCGGCGGCAGCTGCAACGTTGTAAGGGCATACGTCATAACCTGTTGTTGATATCGAGCGTTAGTAAAAACATGTATAGATCGGGGTAAAAACAGCCAATCTGATAATGTTCAACAGCATTGCAAATTCAAAGGGCTTTAACTGACCGAGATTATGGCACATTCGAGCAAACACATATCCCCCTAAGGCATCAAGGCCCAGAATAAAGACTTGGGACTGAGGCTTACCACCATATAACCCTCCAGCCGCTGGAAGAGAAGTAAGTATTGGCGAAACTGGATTCTAATGCTGTATACGTGACCAAGGATAAAGTACTTACACTGATAGATACCAATGCACTCCCCAGCGAGTGGGATAGCAGCGACAACAGCCGCAATGAGCAACGCACTCGGTGCTATGTACAATCAGCCTCAACGCCTGCGAATTGTATCACACAGTTCAAATATAAGCGAACATGTACTCACTTTCTCCAAGCACCAAATTGCTAACCTCCGCAGTAATCAACACACAAATTCCAAAACTACTAGCCATCAAAACCATTAAAATCCACGCCGGCGTCGGCAAGCCGGCATATCCGAGGAATTCGACAAAGGCCAACACTCCAGATTTAGTCACTCCGGCGATCGCACCGATCTGCATAGCTCTTACCGTCAAGGGACTGCCGTTGACGTGAGTAGCGGTTGCAACAGCCGCAGGCCCAGCCGCGGCGTTGGCTGCAATGTCGAGAGCCGCAAGGGCGAAGAACGTCCATACTAGAGAGGCGGGTTTGGTTAGAAAAAGAGGCACGAAAAGCGAAAGGATTGCATGATCACTACGTATGCGGTTTAAGGAGACTTTGTGCTGCCTGATGCATTCGGTCCTGCATTCCCAGAAAGCAAAAGAAGATTAGTTAGTACTTACTGTTGATAGCTGGATGTGCGACATTATTCATATCCATGATGGCGGAAATACCACCAACAGAAAGCTGGATATATACTCAAAGCTGAAGAGTGTAGTGTATGAAATAGCGAATATAAACCAACTTGGTTTGATACAAAAACCAGAGCGACAGGATGTCTGGAAAGAAAGCCACAAGCAAGACACGATAAAGTAGCAAAACAGCCTCGCTCTGCAAGACCCTGCGGCAAAAGTGGACATCGCGGGAGGCTGGAAAGTCCCTTTCCCATATCGAGTGCCAATTCACGAAGAATGAAACGAATGACTGCACTCCAAGATACAGTTCTACAGTTCCCAGCCAATCATCGGTCATGATTGGCGAGACTAAATCCCTGGTGTCGGTTCGAGCACCCTGTAAGCCCTAAGTTAGGCCTAGCGGTCCCTGCAGTAAGCATAGTCCGTAAGCCACATGGGAAGGAGTTCCCAGGCGACCCAATTGCAGCCCGACGTAGACTACAACAGCCACAGCATCACGCTTAGCAGGCTCAGCCGCTGCCATTGCTGTGCCTATGACGAACTGGGGACTCTGAACGCGACGAGTGATTGCTGCAATTTGTGGCGCAATGAGCTTGCTGAGCCACTTTCGTGTCCAGGTGCATCTTTTTTGCTCCTTGGCCTTTTCTGTTATGCAGATCGAACGAGGCTTTTACGAGGTTTTCACTCTGTTTTGCGGAACCGATGATATGGGACACTGACCCTGATATTGAGATATAGGGCTACCTTCCCCACCATTCGCGTCCTTGCTCGGATTCTGCTTGCAACGTAACGCGGTTGCAGCGACAATTGTCTCTGACAAGATGAACTCAACAGACTGTGTCATCAAGGCTAACCCCGATGTATCAGGAGCCGGAGTTAGTCCCATACCATACTCCCTGCCGCTGTCCAACACCAACTAATATATTCACCTACAGATCCGCATATCTATCTACACCCTCTGCCTAGGCGGCTCGATAGTAAGCTACCTCCTCCGCGTCTTCACACCAGGCAAAGACCAAGAAGAGTTCTCTCGCGGTGTCTCCTCCGCACTGGGAATGCAAGGCCTTGCAATCCTCTGCACAGCAATCTACCAAACTGTCCGTGGAGATCTATCCCTCTTCCACGCAATCTGCGTAATCCACCTCCTAGCCGTGCTGGGAATGGACCTGATCAGCAAAGGCCGCTATGCAGGTCTCGGTCCATGGCGGCTCTATTTCTTCGCTGCGATGCAGGTCTTGGCTCTGGCTGCTTTCCTCGCTTTCAACGTCTATGTTTGGATTACAGCACCGCATTTTGGTAACCAGCCCGAATGTAATGTGAATACTGTCTATGTTGTCTTTGGTATTAGTATCAAAGCTACCTCGCCCGTCTTCCGGTATATCATTCTCGGGACACTGGGTGCGATTGTGGCTAGTTACGTTATTGCTTTTACTTGTATGTTGCCGTGTCTGTGTGGATTAATTGCTCACCGGAGACGCAATCCTGGAAGTGGGAACCGGATTGAGGGTCATAAGAGGGGCTGGAATTGGTTTCTCAAGGTTAATCGTCCTGACTATCGGGTTACTGATGAGGATGAGACGCCTCAGAGGTTGCATGGACAGACGTTGCTCCGGTTTACGCTGAATAAAGCTGCCTACTGTGGCTTCTGCATTTATTTGATTGTTTCGTTGGAACAGACTATCCAGCGCAACGATCTAGATCCTGAGGAAAAGGGATGGACTTTTGGTCAGGTTATTGCGATCTTCTTGTTGTTGGGTGTTGCTAATGAGCTTCTCAATGTTTTGTTAGCGAGTTGGGATAGGAAGCAGAGCGCAAACGCAAATCCCCAGCAGCTGGTGCAATATGTGTCGGGCACTGGGTAGTCTGTGTATCCCCTCCGTCGTGATATGGCTTGATAATTGTATATATGAGGAACGACCATACCATGATTTTAACCATGTCCCACGGCCACGAGACCCACTACATTGTAGCATAGCCAAGCTAGTTGATACGCAGTCCTTTCAAATCCTTTGAAGTAGTCTTCGAGCATGTTATCTACCAATACATCTACATATCTCTTGCGCTCTATTAAAACGAATGAATAGAATGCGATTTATACAATAGCGTGAATAGTATCACTAGCCACAGCTTCCAAACGCCGGGCTTGATATGTACTCCAAAAGTCCAACCGCCAATACCCTCGGCTTCCAAGGTTATACCATAACAAAAATGGGACAAGAAAAGGTAGAAAACGAAGTAAGATCAAATATGTCCAACCCAAAAATATCAATAGTGTGTATCGTCGCACGTCAAAACATAAAAGTAAGCTCTTACCAACTTGGCCCTCTAATAAGGGATGAAATCAAACTGCATCCGGTCTATATGAAGAGTTAGCATACCAACCCACAGGTAGTCGTGGATTTATGAGAATATCATACCAAGGAATTGACTCCAATCCTCCTCTTCACTAAGCTTATCAGCCCAGTACTGCTCCAAGAACTTCAACGACTGAAGAACGTTGGGGACACGAATGGTATCATGCAAGGAAGATAGCAATTGCCTGACAGTGTCCCGATCTTGACCGTGCGCCTCACAGCCCGCAATGAAGATCGGCGTCGTCAACATAACCCAAGGCGAGAGACCTGACGATGGCCCGATCTGCGCTGTACATTCCAGGATGCGCTGGACCGACTGCTGCACTTCTGGCGATGTAGTGGGTGTCTTCCGAAGTCGCCTATGAATCTGGATGAGTGCACTATGCTGGAAAGCCTCATTACAGAGGAGAAGCTGCTGTGCACTCTCCGGCGATAACTCTTGTGCAGCACCGGGGTAAAATGAGGGCTGTGAACTTGAGTCACGATCCATGAGTTGCCGAACTGCGAATTCCAGAGATGCAGCATCGTCCTCGACATTGCTGTCAATCTCCCCTGCAACGAAACCCTGAGTAGCCTTCTCAACCTCATGGCTCCGCCAGGCAGCAGCGCCAATCTGCCGGAAGACAGCAGCCAGGTCGACGGTAAAACCCCAATAGTCATCTAGATAATCTGGGGAATGTCCATAGCCCATCAAATCAGAAGACGCAAAGTCCGACATATCTCCAATCGGTGGCCCATTGCCCGTCAAAGCCGTTAGCGATACAATCGACCAGTACCAGCGATCTAGATACCGGCGGAACCCGCTCGCAGACCGAAGCGAGTCCTCACCAGCAGCATCAGAAGCCCTCATCAACGCCCTCGCCCCATCAATATGTGCCCTCCACGAATTCGGGTTGATCGCCCCAGAATGTATCTCAGCCAGACACAGCGTCCGGGCCGTCGCCACCAGCGCCTCGGAGTCTTTCGACGAAGGATTTTGTAACTCTGTTCGGAAATGCTCCAGACTGAGCGCCATCAAACGGGCAATATCCGGCGCAGTCTTCACAGTCTCCGATTGATTATGTAGGGCTTGGATATGGATCGCCGAGAGAGCGGTGGTGGCGTAGAGTAAGGAGGGAGTCTGCAGGGCCATAGGCACCAGCATCCGACATATATCTTGCTGCATGCCGGAGTGGCACGCCGTAATCTGGGAAGCATCGTTGATGAAATGGTGTAGCAAGGCCTTTTGATCGGAGGAAAGGGACGAGAAAGGGTCGACGGGTTGCGACAGAGTGAGATCTGAACCGGTGCGGGCTGATGCCCGCGCCTGCGCGGCCTTGGCCGCTTTGGTGGTGTAGATGAACTCTCCTGGTGAATATTCTGATATAATCAGTGAGTGCCCGAGACAAGGGCCTCCTGGTATAGATCACATACCAAGTCTTTCCATTCCGCCTGTCCCGACGCAGGCCCCGAAGCGCGATCGCGAGAATGCCCGTCCTCCCCACTGCAGCTGCATCGCATATTGACATTGTTCGCCTGCTGTTTGGCAGCGGCCACAGTTTGGTCTCTGCTCGTCACATTTTTGTCGGCGTGCCTTACATCTCTTGCAACCTGTGAACGATCTCGACATGGGTGCTGTTATCTGGTGGGATGGAGTGCGGCGAAGAATTTCTGCGGGGATCGTAGAGATTCCCCCGGTCCCGCGTGGCAAATCTTATTTCTGGGGAATGGCCTTGAATGAACGGTATAGATCGATTGGCTTATTGAGGAAGAAAAGAAATGAATTCGAGGGGCAAATAAACTTCGCCTGTTATCAGCATTGTGTTGTATCTTGGGTTCCCTAGCGGTCGATCGAAGATCCACCGATTTACAGTCTGATATTCCCCAAGTGGAACATGATAGGACATATTGAGTCTTATTCTAGTGAATATTCCAAGGAAACGAGAAATCAAGTATGCGCTATGGCAGAAATACACAGTACAGACCAACCGGAGTATATGTTCATCACGGGAGAGCCATCAACACAATAAAACAGAACCTCGGGGTGATCACCCTTCGAAGGTATACCGGAGCCATTCGCCCACGGCATGCAAACTCTCCCATCGTACCGACTCATCTTTATCAGCCATCAGTTCCATCACTCGTGTCTTCAGGCCCAGTCGCTCCAACTGCGTGCGGCGTTCCGGAACCTCTTTAACGAGACTACCCACGTCGTTGCAAGCGATAGCCAGCACCTGCTTATCATTGTCCCAGCTCTTAGACAGAATCTCAGCCAGCTTCTTGGGCAAAGCACCGTTTGACTCCTCGACAATGCGGCGGGCGTTATCTTTCCAGAAAGTTGGGTTCTTGTGTGGAGGCGACCAGCGCAGATGGCCCGACTGAACTTCGGCGGCGTATTGATCAAAGGTGGTTTGTGTCTTGGTGTATTCCTCCAGCATAGAAGACAGAGCTGTGAGATCCTCGAGCAGGTCGGGGTCGGTCAAATGACGGCCGGCCAGGTTGGTTAGGAGGGCTGGAAGGCGAACGAACACGGCGACGGGTAGCAGGGTAGTCCGGTTGCTGGAGAAAAGGTTGAGCAGGGTTGCAAGAAGGAGGCGAGTCGTCTTCTCTTTCGGTGAGAGGCGCAGAAGCTGCGTGTAGAGTTGAATAATTTCATAGTTTCTAAGCGGGGTTAGCAGGGTCAACTGTCCGTCCAAGCAGATTCACTTACTCTTGAAGTTCTTCGCCGACAAGAGGACCTTCGAAAGCAAGCTGCCATACAACTAGAAGCACTCGGTAAAGAAGCTGGAGACCAACACCACCGGCGAGACCAGGCTCGATACGACTATTACCACCCAGTGAGCTAGCATTGTCTTTGCCCCCAGCTGCAGACCGAAGAGTGTCGATCAAGGGGTCTAGCGTTTCCTGTCTTTGCTTCCAGAAGATCTCCCGAGATTGACTTGTCCTGAGCAAGTCCGAGAATCCTTGGACACCAATGTCCTGGAGCCCACTATCTTGGTTCTTGGTTAAGGTGGAGAGATAGGTGTATAGCTGCGGAAGAGCTTCATTGTCCCGGGGTGCGGGCTTCGAAGTAGCCACAAGGCTATGAGACACGAGAGCAATGAGGAAAGTAGACGTGAGCAGAGGGATTGGGTCTTCGGCATTTGTCGAGTGCTGCAGGAACGGGAGGAATGGCTTGTAGGGTTCTGGATGAGAGATGAGGGAATCGGCCAAAGAGGGGACGTCTAGGAGACCGTAATCAGTATAATACATTGGGAATGTGCCTTCATGTGTAGCGCTTACCTTGAATCAGGTCCGAGGCGAGCACCAAGATATACTGCACAATATCGGTCCTCCTGGCGGCCGAGTCCAAGACACTCTTGCCCTGTGCACCCCCAGCCAGCAGACCTGTGTATCCAGCAAGATCCTGTTCTATTGTCTGGCGGCGCTGGTCCTTGCGCACCTTGTCCACAGCCTTGATCTTCTTCAGATGGTCATCGGTGATGTTGCCCGCTCGGACAGCGCCCTCCCATGGAATTGGCCGAGCTCGAATGTTGTTCTGCAAGGAGCTGAGGTAGGTGGGTGGCTCCAACGACATTATGAAGGTGTTCTTGGAGACCTCAAGCCGGGGAAAAGAGCGTCGTATATGATAACTGGAGGTGTGTCCAGATGGACGGGGGAGCTTGGGGATGACGGAAGCCTGCGCCAAGACATCCCAACTGGTCTGGTCCGAACTCGTGTCTGTTCTCTACATCTCTACATCTCTCACTCTTTCCTGCTCATTCTCCTTTCTACGAGTCGTATTTTTGAATTCCTAATTGACGTTGCGCTCTTTGGCCTATCGGCCAGCCTAATCTGTGCCCAGACTTCTGCCTACTTTAATTTAGGGTCCGTCCCGCCAGTCTCTCGTTTCGGCCTCTCACCAGATCGTTGGCGTTTTCGACTACGCTTTGACGTATCTCACTAGTTCGCATCCTTGACCGCCGAACGGACTCAAGGCATTCTCCACGGTGATCGCGATCGCAAAGAGCCCGCGTCCGAGCGCAGCCCCCCACCGAATTCATGCGAAAGAAACACGAGGCCTTTGCTGCATACCAGTAATCTGTTCTCGCTGCCAACACCATAGCCTGTTACAATGTCACAGAACCCACCACAAGCGAATAAAAAATGGGGAGTGGGGTCGTTTTTCCAGCAAGCAGTGGCGGGCGTCGAGTCTCGGTTGGATCACATCTTGATGGAAGAGGAGGCATCACAGAACAGTTCAACTGCCAAGCCTTCTGATGCCCAGGGCGGAGAAGCATCTCCTAAAAAGACCCCTGTTGCTCGTACGAACTCATTGATATGAACTACAGATGGGCGAAGTCGCTAACATCTTTGCAGCTGTTTCCCGCAGTTCATCAACTGCGCGCAGAAATGACAGGCTTCAGGAGCGTCTCGCCCGCGCCATGGTGAAATCAAACGCTTCCAACCTTGCTTCACAGTCTCCCCAAAGCCGAGTTTCATCACCGCCTGCCAGTCCGGTACCTAGCAATGGGGCTCGGTCTAGTATGGATATCGATTCTAGCATTGCATCGAATGCGAGCGTGGGGGATGACTCTAAGGCTCCCCCGCCCAATGAGCAGAGCACTATTGGTGGATTGGATTCCCCGAGGATGAGCTACGACTCTGGGGTCTCTTCGCACGTTTCTGCGGATGTTAGCGTACCAGACTCCGCACCCAGAGATTCTGTAGATGTGGTTCAGGCGGTTGCGGATTTGGAAAAGACCAGCCAAGACCTGCAGGAGTCCCAGCGCAACGAGGCACTCAGTGTTGGTGGTTCGGGTGACAGTCCGCGTGTTAGCGTCGAAGTGCCATCAGAGACACCAGATGAAGACCAGAGCCCGGATGTTGCTCGTGTACAGGCTGACTATAAAGCCGCCGAGTCGCAATGGCAGGAAGAAATGTACGGCTATATCGAACGGATTGACGCATTGCAGTCAAAGCTCAAATATCTAGCCAAGGACGCTGCAGAATCAGCCAAGAATGCTGCCGCAAGCGCTACTCCAGGCAGTACACAGAAGCAGCTACTGGAGAAGGATGAGAAGATCGCACTGCTCCTTGAAGAAGGGCAAAAGCTCTCCAAGTCGGAAATGGATCACCGAACTGTGATTAAGAAACTTCGCCAGCAACTTACCGACAACAGCAAGTCCCAAGCAGAAATGAAGAGAAGGACGGAGAAACTTGAGCGTGACCTGGTCAACTCTGAAGCCAGAGCTAAGCGAGCAGAGGCCGCGGAGAAGAGGGCAGCCGAATCGTTGTCGTCCCAAACAAAATCAACTAAAGACCTGGAAGCCGTCACGAATGAACGCAATGCGCTTGCCCAGACTGTTCAAGAGATTAAGTTACAACTAAACCGGGCGAACGCGCGCGCTGAAGCTGCCGAGACCAAAGCGAACTCTGACGCCTTAGAGCAAGAGAAGCACCGAGTGACCGAAATGGAAGAGGAGCTATCTAATTTGAAGATGGAGCGCGACATTGGCGAAGAAAAGTCCAAGAGAGAGATTACCGAGCTCAAAGAAAAGATGGAGCAAGAAAAAGAGAGAGCTCGTATGCTCGAAGCAGAGCTGAAGGGCGAACAATCTGTTTTGGAAAGTAAGATGGAAAGTCTTCGTTCTCGCGCGGAAGAAGCTTCATCAGGAGCAACTGGGGAAACCCAGGCCAAACTTCTGCGCCAGATTGAGACCTTGCAAACCCAATATGCAGTCGCTAGTGAAAATTGGCACACCCTTGAGGGCTCTCTGCTTTCTCGATTGGCAAACGTGGAAAAGGAACGTGATGACACGGGACGACGTGAGAGTGACCTGCGGAAGAAGATTCGGGAAATGGTAAGACTTCGTCCACCTTCATCTGCACACGTCAAAATTATTAACATCCACTTTAGAACCAAAAACTCAAGAAGCTCGAGGAGGACTTGGATAACGCCAAGGAGACCGAGCATGATTTGGAGAGCAAACTTGATGAGCGCATGCAAGAGTTGCAGAAAATGCAACAGAAGCTCGATAAAGCGGCAGATGAGCTCACATCAGCGCAAAAGGATTTGGTCGAGCAAAAGAAGACATCTGAAGCTATCTTGACGCAGAAGCTCGAAGACGAGCGGGCTAAATGGAGAGACCAAATCAACTCGCCCTCACATCCACGCGGAATATCCCCAGTCCCCTCTACCCGGCGGTCAAGCACTCTCGACGCCATGAACACGGTTCTTCCTGATCTCCGTCCCCCCAGCCGACGTTCGTCCAACTTCCCCTTCGCGTCACCGGAAATTGGCACGCCACCTCGTCAGAACTCCTACCCTGCCTCGATAACCCAGGCGACGCTCTCCCCGCCGCACATCAACACCAATGCGTCAATATTAGAAGCTCCCTCCATCAACTTCGAGCCGGATGAGTACTTCGGAGAGTCTGGCACCCCTGCCACTCCTTCAGCGTATGGTGGAACGCAGGTACCGCCGCGCGGGATCAACGACATCATCTCTGAGTCAACGACCGGTGCCGGCCCCTCCGTTCAGCTGGTTGAGCGCATGAGTGCAACCGTGCGCCGGCTGGAGAGCGAACGTGCTGGCTCCAAAGATGAGCTGGCACGCGTCACCTCCCAGCGCGACGAGGCACGCCAACAAGTCGTGGATCTCATGCGTGAGCTTGAAGAGAAACAACTTTCTGCTTCTCGCGTGGAGGAGCTTGAGGCTCAGCTTGAAGACCTCGATCAGCGGTATCAGACTACCCTGGAGATGCTAGGCGAGAAGAGCGAGCAGGTCGAGGAGCTGAACGCTGATATTGCGGATCTCAAGAAGATCTACCGCGAGCTGGTTGACAGTACCATGAAATGATTGCAATGTCTTGCTTTTGAGATATTGGGCATGTCTAGAGTTGACCTGTTAGATTTAAGCGATTTTTTGTAAATAGAATATATCCTGTCGTGTACATCGACCTGCAGCCGTTTCGGGCCTGATCACATATTTTTTTCTTTTTTTCTTTCTTTGACCGCTGCCGTGCTTCTCGTATCTAGCCCTTGGCCGACCTCACCAATCGCCGCAGATGTTGCACAGATCTCCGCAGTATCTATGAGTCAGATACCCGTGGAACCTTGGATATATCGGTTGGCACATCCGGAGATATCACCTATGGCCAAATCGGGGATAAGGCCCTAATCGCCGGACTTGGCACTGACGCCATACATGAATCTGAGAATCTCAACCGTGGAAGATACGACTTGATCTGTCAGCAGCTTAATCTGACGCGCCCACCCAAAGATGAAAATCTCACCTCACCCGTAATTACGGAGCCTCCCGATGGCTTTACGTGAATTTTGTCTTTTTGCTAGGCTCGGGGTCGGGCCAATTCAAATACCATTTGAGATTTGGCGCACTATGGGCGACGTTGATTGGCCCCAAAAAGCGAATACCTTGATTTCTAATGTGATAAATAATCTGATTTGGTAAGCATAACGCTGTACCGCTGTACCTAACATAACGTTATTGATTTCTAATTTTCGGATTTTAGTCGCGAGTCATAGAGTCACTGCGAAGATTCTGTCGGTGATAGATGCAGTATGCGAGAATGGAAGTATTTAGTCCGTCTAGTCTACCATGCAATATGAGATTCTTATTTCAGTCCAAACTTTACTGTTCGTCTAGCCCTACAGCTATAGCCCCCAAAGCTATCTATCCTATACAATGGAAGCTGTCATTCGAGACGCCCCTTTCGGGCAGCTTGTTCGTCTCCTGACAAAAAACAAATACTTCCAATACCCCGAAGAGAAGCCCGACTTCAAGCTCCCCGACGCATGGCTTCAATTGTTGAATGAATCCAGTACTGCGGAAAACATCCCCGACGAGAAGAAGAGAGAACCAGAGGATCGTCATCTGAGCCAAGATACCAGTGAACCTCTCAGCCGCACCTCCTCCGTCACCCTTCCGTTCACAGAAGCCCGCCTCGAAGCCGATGAACAACATGAAATCGAAAAGATCAAGTCAATCCCGATTGCCCCAAAAAAGACAAAGGATGGTGCCATCCTTGTCGACTGGTACTATACCGATGACGCGGAAAATCCTCACAATTGGTCGAATACCAAGCGGGCTCTGATTACTACCGTCATTTGTCTATACACTTTCGTTGTATACACCACCTCGGCCATATATACATCCTCGACAGAGGGTATCATGAAGGAGTTCGGTGTCAGCACTCTGGTTGCTACACTGGGCTTGTCATTGTATGTTCTCGGGTATGGCGTTGGACCATTGGTTTTCTCGCCTTTGAGTGAGATTCCTACCATTGGCCGCAACCCAGTCTACATAGTCACAATGTTCCTCTTCGTCATCATCTCCATCCCAACCGCCTTTGTTGGCAACTTCCCCGGATTGATGGTGCTCCGGTTCCTGCAAGGATTCTTCGGTTCGCCTTGTCTTGCATCCGGCGGTGCTTCCATTGGAGATTTGTATAGTCTGATGTCCCTGCCCTATGCCATGATGGCTTGGGTCTCTGCCGCATACTGTGGACGTAAGTTCCTTCCATCATCTATTTACTCGCATTATATCTGCTCATGGCACTGACTATAATGTATAGCTGCTCTCGGTCCCCTCCTATCCGGCTTCGCAGTCCCAGTAAAAGGCTGGCGCTGGTCCCTCTTCGAATCAATCTGGGCCTCCGCCCCAATCCTAATCCTAATGTTCGTGTTCCTCCCCGAAACAAGCAGCGCCACAATCCTTCTCCGCCGAGCAGAGCGCCTCCGCAAGATCCACAACAACAAGCGCTTCATGTCCCAGTCCGAAATCGACCAGCGCAACATGCGCGTCTCTGACGTCGCCATCGATGCCTTGATCAAGCCCCTGGAAATTACAATCAAGGACCCCGCTGTCCTCTTCGTCCAGATCTACACAGCAATCATCTACGGCATCTATTACTCCTTCTTCGAGGTCTTCCCCCTCGTCTACCCAGTCGACTATGGCATGAACCTGGGTCAGATTGGCCTAGTCTTCCTTTGTATCTTGGTCTCATGTATCATCGGAATCGCCCTGTATGTCGCCTACATCTACTACTGGATGAATCCTCGCATTAAGCGCTTGGGCTTCCCTGCCCAAGAGGAACGTCTCATTCCTGCTCTGCCTGCTTCATTTGGTCCTACCATTGGTCTGTTCCTATTTGCTTGGACTGCTCGTGCGTCTATTCATTGGATTGTGCCTACTATTGGTATTACTATCTATGGTGCTACGGTGTTCATTGTCATGCAGTGTATCTTCGTGTACATTCCGCTGAGTTACCCGAAGTATGCCGCGAGCTTGTTTGCTGCGAATGATTTCTTCCGCAGTGCGCTTGCTTGTGGTAGTGTCTTGTTTGCACACCCTCTCTTCGGAAACTTGGGTGTTGCTCGGGGTACCAGTCTCCTTGGTGGACTGAGCGTCATTGGAATTATTGGAATTTGGCTGCTTTACTTCTATGGTGCCAGACTTCGTGCCTTGAGCAAGTTTGCTATCTCGGAGGAAGCTACTGAATAATTGGGACTATGTTTTCATATATTATACATAATATTGAGAGAAGCTATTGAACAGAAATGTCGGTTACGCTGAATGGGAGAGACTACTAAAGGGAGATAGGTGGTGGCGTTTTGTTGGCTATAAGGAGAAGCCTCACGAGTGACGGGAAATATTAATAAATAATAGATATGTTTTATAAGGCTCTGTTCATTGTTTAGAGAATTCTATTCTTAAGCCAGTATATCATCACAATTCGGAACAAGGACAGGGATTTCTCATAATTGTAAATCAGAAATTAAGCGATCTTTCAATTAGTATAATATACATCTAAGCAAAATCCATAATTGAGTTGGTGATAGAGCCTAACGAGCCTAACTTCAAGTAGCCTAAGCCATTCAAGGAAGCCCCTGCCTAACATCAGTATGCTCATTCAATCCCCAAGCCTGAGAACTCGAATCATGAACCGTGGTCCGCCTCATATCTCTCCTGTACGTTTTCAAAAATGGACCCCCAACAGCTCGGTGCATAGTACAGGTGTTATCCCAAACGACCAAATCACCCGGGGTCTGCCACTCAATCTCCACCACATTATTCTCCCGAGTAGCATGCTTGAACAATTTATCAAACAATTCTTGTGACTTCTCCGGCTCAAGTCCTTCAATGTGGTGCACATGGGCCGCTATATACAAGTTCATTCTATCCGAGGCTTCGTGACGTTGAACCAGTTTGTGTCGGCCCATTGGGTGATCAAGCGGGTTGATGTGGGCAAAGGCTTCAGGTGCAGCGACTTTGCGAGAGTGATGCATTGAATGACAGGCAATATAGTCATTTGCCAAGAGACTTTCTTTGAGATCGGCTGGGAGGTCTTCGAATGCCGTTCGCGTATCTGCAAATTCGGTGTGGCCTCCCATTCCAGATGGGGAAGCTCATGTGCAAGTAGCAGAGAGTAACCGGCTCGGCGGGGGTTGAAGCTTGAGTCCACGTGGAAAAGATGGTTTCCCTATCTCAAGGTTAATATGCACAATTTCCAACCTTATTAGGATGTTCAAATACCTTGTTCGCTTGACCACGCGCGCTCCTGGGGTCGAGAATGGTCCCATCAATCTCGACGTTGCTAACGTCAAAGAGTTCAGGGTACTTGAGACGATTCTTTCGACCTGCTGCAATGTATGGTCTCACGTCGTCTAGCTCTCCGAAGTACTTGGAGAATGAAATGTGGCTCTCATCTGTAAGCTTTGTGCCACGGAAGACGACGACTCCCCACTGATTCCCTTATATGTCAGTACACTCCATTTTGTTTTGGGATCTTTTAATAAGGCTGTAGATACTTTTGTGACGGCTTGCCGAATTTCACTCCATATCTCACCGGCCAACGGGACTGAGATATCCACTCCACTAATCTCCGCACCGAAGGTCGGATGCAGAGGCTTGACTGAGATGTGGTGGAAAGTTGGTATTTCTGAGCTAAGAGTCATGCTGAGTGGTTGGTTTCGATGGTGACAATAAGGGTTTGTTGGATTTGTTATAAGAGCTAAGTCATATATTATCTTTGAAATATATAAGTCTATGGGCTAGCTGAATGATTCAACAACTTTGCGCTTTGACACCCGTCTATAGCCGACTATGATGCATCTTGTTAGATTAACGTATCTTTCAAGTTTCAATTATTCTTAAAACCGCCGTCTATAACCAGATAGCCGATCCCGCGTGGACAAAGAGGACATGGGGATCACGCCGAGAGTTTTGATACATACAGTCACATCTTGATGAGATCGGGGATTTGCCATATGATAGATAAAAATTGCTTAAATTGACTAGGTTGATTTTTGTAAAGGTCGCAGATTGGCGAATGACATACGAACTTCATGTAGGTCCAAGTACAAAATGCGAATGAAAGATCAAGCCCAAGATTGTAAGTCCAACACAACCCGGCCTTGCAGCTTTCCATTTTTCATGTCTTGGAATATTTTGTTCAGATTGTTTACCTTCCCGACGGAGAAGGGCGTTGCCACGATTCTCTGTGCCATAGCCAGTGTCTCAATTGCATCTCTGCGATTGCCAACTGTGCTACCGGCAACATTCAGCTGCTTGGCGACCATCAAATGAGGACAGACACCTTCAATCGGCTTTGCTTCTCCAGGGACACCGACGCAGACCAAAGTTCCATTGAACTTAAGATAATCCATTGCCTGCGCGTACGCAGCATTACTGGCGCTGCAGACGATTACAGCCGTTGCACCATCCCCACCAGTGACAGTCTGGATCTCTTTGGCGATGCCTTTGCCTCCATCATTGGCAGAATATTTTGTAATATCAATGAACACCTCTGCACCACAGTTCTTCACAAACTCTGCCTTCGATGGCACATCCAATCCAATCATTCTGAATCCCATTCCTCTGCTACCTAGCTGAATTCCCAAATGACCAAGTCCGCCTCCAGCACCAGCAATGACAACCCAATCCCCTGGCTGCGCTTTGCTCTTCTTAAGGGCAGAGTAAACTGTAACTCCACCACATAACAGGGGTGCAGCAACCTCATTTGCCATTCCGTTGGGAATTGGAGTAACATAGTGAGCCGGCGCCAAAACGTATTCCTGGAATGTGCCTGGGCAAGTGAAACCAGATACCTCTGCCTTTGGGCAGATTCCGTCGGCGCCTGCCAAACAAGGGGCGCAGTTACCGCAGGCTGAGGCAATCCATTTGATGCCGACGCGGTCACCAACTTTAACATCTGAATTCTCACATGATGGACCCAATTGAGTGACGACACCGACACCTTCATGGCCTCCAATCTGCCCGGTTTTCACGGGCTCAGGTAGGAACTTCCACTAATATCGGCAACGAAAGTTAGCCAACATGGAAGCACAGAAGCTCAAAGTGACAGATGCTGACAGTGTTGGTCATGAGACTCAGATCAGAATGGCAGATTCCGGAGTGCGTACTGTGGTTTGTTGGTATCTATCCGTGAAGCAAACTTTATCATGGATTTCACGTACATGTTCACCAGTATCTCGCCTGGTCCTGGTTTAGGGGTTTCCACCTCAATGATGCGAGTAGAAATCTCACCAGGCTTATCATATACAACCGCTTTATGTATCGACATCGTTGTAGTTTGTGATAACAGAGGACTCGAAGCGAGTGTAAATTCAAACAGCTTAGTAGAAAGGCAACTTAACAGTGGGCTTCGTGCATGTATACTGAAAATGCTCTACAAATGATCAGAGAGGACTTTGGTTTATATCTATTCTTGTATGATCTCAGATATGCCATCTAGACCTATACTGGAGCTGGCTTAGGTGCCCCATAAGGTTCCGTCTATTGCCTGCAAATAATGTCGCACCTATAATTATGCCCAGATGGCTATAGGTGTCAATGGGTTTAGTAGTTTAGTAAAGTAACACCCGAGGCAAAGCAATCTAACATGTTCGCCGCTCCTAAAATTCTAGTTGTGATGTTCCCCGCACGTTTTTTCCGTCTATTGCCGTCTTAGCCATATTGGGAGATTGCGGTAGTTCCCGAGGCCGGGGTAATGTGAACAATGCGACAGTTTTTTATTGAATTCACTCTTCTCCTTGAAATCAAAATGACTCGCAGTAGAAACATCCGCCTATATCGTGCCTGCCAGCGCTGTCGCATGCGGAAGCTCAAATGTGACCCGTAAGTGCGCTGAGGCAATAGTTATTCACTTCGCTAACAACCCACAGTAGTTCTTCTCCAAACGGAACGAAATCACAATGCTTCGAGTGTGTCCGCTCCAATGAGCCGTGTATCCTTGCTGGGTCAAAACGAGGAGGCAACTTCTCCCCGAATTCGACACTCAAAACGTGTCGAAAGTTCCACGCTGCCTCCAAATCCTGTCAATGCCGAGCACGAAAATGTGAGTGAGGGCATAGGAGAGAACGAGAAAAGGACAGAAGATCCCATATATGCTGAGTTGACTAATCCGGGCGAGGCACTGCAAATACTTGCTCGGCTTGCGGCGCACGATCAGTCAATGTCGTTTCGCTCCAGTGATCAAATACCTGCAACCTCAACAAGCGAATCGCAAGTTCGGAGTGGTCATTGCAATGACAATCTGCCTGGCCATATAATGCGCCCTGTACTTCAGCCTACATTGTCAGAAACGGAGACATTGGTCATCGGAGTGCTGGGGACAGACACAACACAACACTTATTGAATTAGTATAAAGTCTCCGTGCAACGCTGATGAAATGGTCTCTAACAAAATAGTTACGCTACAAACTACCACCCGTTCTGCCCTCTTACGCCCAAAAAGCTCCTGGTGACTCCCGATGTACGCAAGACAGCTATTGATGAGCCATTTCTGCTTACGATAATCTTGACCATCGCATCGAAAGACGACACAACATATCGGCAAATACACCAGCATTGTTGGCAGCACATGAAGCGGCATCTTCTTGATATCCTGTTGGCTACACCATCCACACTGAATGTGGCAACAGTAGAAGGCCTTCTACTATTGGCAGAGTGGATTCCTTACTCAGAGGTTGAAACCTCTTCTAACCCGAGGGTGCTTTCCGGAAACCTCAGTGCGGTAGAGGATAACATGGCGTGGTCACTAATTGGCCAAGCAGTTCGACATGCATATCTCCTCCGTCTAGATAAAGCCTCTTTTCGCGAGAAGGTTGATGGGGAGCCATACGAGCTCGAGAATAGGAAACGATTAGCTTGGATATGTTCGTTTCCATACCCCAACTATATCAATGGGCACTGACAGCTTCTAGTTGTCTATATCGCAGACCGTCAGATCTCCGTGCGAATGGGACAATCATTTTGGTCTCGCGGGCCCTCACTTTCAACGCGCTTTACGGCAAAGGACTTTCCAAGCTTACAACTGAGCGCGGATGCGGAACATAACTATGCACTGGTGCTCCAGGGGACTATTGAATTAACGCAGCTTTTGCATAACGCGCACGATATTCTTTACTCGTCGAAAGAACGAAGGCTGCAGATGGTTCGACTGGGAGATTACAACCGCTACCTTGACGATTTCCGCCGGTCATTTTCAGGGTGGCAGAGCCGTTGGGATAGCCTCGAAGCATCCCCAAAGCTAAAGTGTACCTTGAATATCTTCAAAGAATATGTACGGCTATATGTGCTTGCGTTTTCTTTCCAGTCAATCTTATCAAGGGCTGTCCACGACAATCGGGTTGCCGGAACATCGGGTCCATGGTCCAAGAAAGCCCCATCACTATTCCCACAAGGCATCATGGCATCCCCAGATGGCGTTTATGTCTTCGAAGCCGTCCGCTCGGCGCGGGACATTCTCACTATAGCATGTGGAACGGATCCTGTGGCCCACATTCACTATATGCCTTTCCGATTCTATGTGTGAGTACCAATATTAAGCAACTATATGATCGTCACTAAAAGTTAGCAGATATGCTATTTACTCAGCTGTGTTTCTATACAAAGCAAGGGTTTTCGGTGCGTTTACCCAGAAGGAACATGGTGAAGTATCAGATCTGGTGCACCAGTTCATCAGTGTCCTCGATGAAGCAAGCACTTGCGACAGCCACATAGGGGGTCGTTATGCAAAACTTCTCCAGCGGATATGGCTTGTTGAACAAAACAAACGAACAGTTGCTGGTAACAATGCTCAGTCTATCGGTAGCGACAAGTCATCAAATCTCGATCCACTCGGGTCTTGGGATTACTACTTGCCTCTGGATATGAATTGTACAGATACGATGTTGATGCCCTCACCGGACTTCAATTTGTTCTGCCCGGATTTCTCAACATTAGAATCTGAACTCTTCGATCCAATGGCTGGCGGTGTCGAATTCCCATAGATTGAAGTGCAATTGAATGCCAGGCTTCCAACCCTATAGGCCTATCTATATATCAACAATCCGATGGAAAAAAGCCAATCCTCGACAAAATAAGGTCAGCAACAGTAGAGAATACGAGGAGGTCATACAATTCCAAGCTCATCCATTTGACTTTGTGACAGGCTCCACAGGTTGGGGTTGCCCCCACGCCGAATACTCCGAACACTCCGGTGTGACTAGAGACGCTTTGACTCACTGGACATGGGTTATAAGCAACTTTTTTGCATTCTTTCTTGACTTAATCTAAATGCTTTTTCTTCTCGATTCCGAACCAATTATCTCTAGCCACCTTTCATTGAGTGTTACAGACCTCGTCTACATTTAATCATGAGCCAAAGAAACATCCACATTCCAAGCCTTGGAAACACCAATGCATTCACCCGGACATTGAGCATAGATGATTTGAAGAGCTGTGTAATCGTCGAGAGTGCATTTACAGAGCAAGAGCGCTGCTCCGAAGAAAAGGTAAACCGCCAATTAAGTACCCGGAACCCAGAAGGAATGTATAACGTTAATTGAACAAAACTAGTTCCGTTACCGCCTCAGCTCATGTCCAGATCTATGCCTGGGCCTATTTGTCAACAACGAAGATGAAAGCCCACCCACACTCATCGGCCACGTCATCGCTGTCCGCTCACCTTATACGCTTGTGACAGACGGCTCGATGTCCATGCCAGAGGACTGGGAATCATTGCCGAATGATGAGCCTGTCTTCGTAAACGATGAGCTAATTGGCAACCACAAGTATGGAGATTCAATTGCTATCCATTCAGTTGCTATTTCTCCTGATTATCAGGGCAAGAGGGTCGGGAGGGCTCTTGTCAGTGCATACACTCAGCATCTTAAGAGGGGCTCTTTTGGAGCAAGCAGGGCTGTACTTATTGCTCATGACTATTTGGTGAACTTTTATGAGAGTGTTGGTTTTAAGAACCAGGGGTTGAGCAAGTCCAACTTTGCTGGGGGTGTTTGGTATGATATGGTATGTCTTCTTTTCCTTGTTCTTGTTGTTTGGATTCATTGGGTATTTGATGCTGATATATTCGCCTAGACATATGAGCTTTGAACACCGGCTTTGGTATGACTGTTTTTGTGAGTTGAGAGAAGTGAATTGAGAGAAAGAGAAGAATGCTACCCAAAAAATAGATGGGCATTGAGTATGAAAATAAACTTGTTGGCGACTTTCCTGTTCAACTTATTTACCTAGGTGTCCCACTTGAGTAAAATTGATTCAGAGTATGAAGTATATTAATGTTTGTTTCTTGAGATAGTCCACTACAGAGAGGGCAAAGTTGGATCTAAAGCCAGCAATGAAGGATGATCTGCAAGATTCTCCCAAAAGTCCGTCTCGAAGTCGCACAGGTCTTGACTGAAGAAGGCAGCCCAGTCGCCGTTTTCTTCCATCTGCGAACTGGGTTGAGTGGAGCTTTGTATTCCGTCCCGTTGCATCGAGTCAAGGAACCGTTCGATGGTTTGTGTTGCCTTGGATATCAATGCGTAATTCGGATCACTTGGTCGAACAATGCTGCCAACTTGAACCTGCGCAACAAAGATCCCCAAATTGAGTAAGGTTTTAGACCATGTTGAGCGAATCTCATTAACTGTAGAAGTTTGTTTCAGCATAGAGAGCAGGATTATGCCTGCTGCTGGAAGTCCAAAATGTGCAATCTGGTTATATTTAGCACAATGGTCCAACATAATAGAGTAGGAAGCACACATACCTTCCAGATAAGCCCCGTTCCGGAATTGACGAGCTGATCTCGTAAAAGTATTACTTCAACTACTAGGGCCAGCATTTGGTCTGAAACATCGAGAATAGCAGGATCGGGCCTCGCCAGGGTATCATGAAAGAGCAATCTCAGCAAAAATAAGGTGTGTAAGTAGTCCAATCGCAGGCCAGCTAGAAAATCACGCTCGAATGCATATCGAGAGCACTCTTTCAAACTGGACTTCAGTCGGAAATGGGAAGGGAGATTTTCCCACTCTGTTTCTGCCTTCTTCAGAATAGAACTATTTCTGTCGGTTAACGGAAGAATGGTCCGTGACGAAGCTTTAACATACCTTGCCTTTGAGCTGAAGTCCTCACGTTGTTTATCTCGAAGTAATTCCATAATATCTTCTTTCAATGAGGCACAGATAGTGGCCCATCGAATTCCTGCTCTATAGCTGACTGGAGTATCTAGTTCCGAGCTAGGACTCTCACCCTGAATATGCCGAGGGTTTCCAATACGTTCCGAGCCCTTCGGGGGCGAGGGCAACTGGAAATGACAGAAGCGCTTGCTCATTCGAGGGGGCCGACCAAGGAATAAAGCGATGTTTTTGTCTGCTGAGTACATAGTGGCCCAAGCTGTCTTTCGAAGCTCTGCTAGGAATGTAGGGATGGGTGGTTTCGTCTTTTCGACATCCTCGTGGTAGCCAATGGCAAACATGGAAGATATGACGTCTCCAAGTCGACTCCATGAATGATAACCTGGTAGTTCGGGTATAAGATTAGCTGCACAAATATCACATATCACCGTAAGTACATACTTTGATCGCCATCAACATGAGTGTGCATAATGAAATTTTCATACTGTAGAACGATTTGCAGATCATTCAAGCAATCCAGCGAAAGAGCAATATCCAAGGCTAGGTCGCTCAGTCTTGTGGCGAGCTTTCTGAGTGCGAACTGGTCATTTTCAGTTTTGAATAATGGCGGAAAGAAAGATATGTCAATTGTGGCCCGGCTAACAGCAGAAAGAAAAATGCCGAGGCTTTCCCATCTGAATTTTTGATCGAGAAATTGAGCAGAGAATTCAGAAATTTCGGACATCCCATGAAAATGTAATGGTTTGCGGGAGTTTTCAGTCAACCGTTGCGCATACGCCAAGTGCCAGTTGTCTTCCTGGGAGAAAGTCGTGAATAACCGGGTCATGTTTTCGGTGCACTTTTCCGTGAAAGGCTCTGCCAGTGCTAGATTTGTCCCCGTTGCCAGCCAGAACATGACGAATTCCTTCATTGCAGCCAAAGGAAATGTATTGAGGAGCTGTCTGAGCACGTCCGCGCCTTGGATCAGGAGTAGATTCTCACCAGCCGACTGCGATTGCATTAACATTGCTACGTCTGGTCCAGAAGCACGGTATGTCTCAGACGCATGATATTCTTGTGGGAAGATTTGATTGAAGATTGCAACATGGCTGGAAGATCCCAGAAACCCAGGGTTGGGATAAGGATTTGCCCTTGGCGTGTAGCATGATGATGGTTGCGCCGGTGATAGCCGACTATAGAGCAGTATAAGTACACGATATAAAGATGCGCAGGGGTCTCCATAGCATACCTAGGAGATTGTTGGGCCGATGAAGGTGACTCTTCGACTCTTTTCCTTTTGAACGGCGTGGTTCGATAGATGCAGATTCCCGCCCTATCGTTGCTCTCACAACGAGAGCATGCTGGTCTTTTATGATCGCAGGCAACCTTTGCCTTCCTGCAAGCTTCACATGCAGCTAATCTGGAGGCCATGACCGAGCTGTTCGGGGTTGTGTACAAGAGAGGTGCTGAACTGCGGAGAGTCCGGAGCGGAGAATTCACTCCGGAGAGATCGGGATCTTCGGCGTGATACCCCAACCTCTTCTGGAACTTGATCAGGCATTATTATGGGATTTGAATACTATTGATTTGAATTAAATTATCTTATTGGCGAATGGGTAAGAAATATAATCCATAATTATTTAGTCAACCACTCTTGAGAATAGACCATCCAAGTCTGTTCTAAGAACGATATCGCAATTTAGTCCAATATACTTCCACCTTATATCTCTGAAACCCATGTCTATTTATTTCAAGATTTTTTGGGACTACTCTCATACTAGCTTACATGTTCGCGGCCAAGATACACTACTGTCGTGCTTGGCCTTGTTCCAAGATTCATGGGATATATATAGCGGGAAGCTCTCATGACTCGCCATCTATAGGAGTTCATCTGAATCACTACCACAACCTCTATTGTTAAAATGCACTTTGACTGGCTCTCCAAACGCTTCGTATAATAATGGTAAGCTCTTGCGAGCCAGCCATGTGTATATGGAGAGAGTAATTCTGGAGAAGAAGTACATGATGCTGATATAAGTCGGAACTTGTACTAGCTGGCTGAAGCCAATCTTGCAAGATCTCTGTATCGAGCAATAGAAGTCAAAGTGATTTCCCAGGTGAAAAGTATGCGTTAAGAAACCAAAGATGAAGCAGACAAAAGATATATAAAGAGCGTTTGGTGAATGTTTATAGAGCCCCGCCTCAGCGGTGAACAAGTATTGCCGACCACCAGTTTTCTGAAGCTCATCCCCCACCATATTGAAGTGCCCGCATAATTGAATGCGACGTGATCAATAAACAGCATATCCACGATATAAAGTCACCGAGAAACTCATCGGTACCCCTTCGCTTTTCCGCAATTTCACAATGCCACCAAAGGAGGCCCCTTCGTCAGACGGAGCTCCCCCAGGCTCAAGTACGATCTTAACCCCCAATACATGCGACTCCGTTGCTCTCCAACCTTGTACAACGAACAATCTAAGCTAACCACTCCCCGGAACCAGTTAACCTCGCTTCCCTCTCTGTGCCTCAGCTCCGCGCACTCCAAACCCGCCTCACCTCCGAATTGGAACACCTGACCACCTCGCACTCGAAGCTGCGCGCAGCACAGGCCAAGTTCCGCGACTGTGTGCGCTCAATAAACGACGGCGTGACCGGGTCCGAGAACAAGGGTACCGATGGCCGCGATGAGATCCTCGTTCCCCTGACCAGCTCGCTGTATGTTAAGGGCCGGTTGACGGATCGGGAGAAGGTGCTTGTTGATGTTGGAACTGGATTCTACGTTGAGAAGGTATGTGATATGGTGTATGTTGGGGGTCGGTTTTCGAATTAGGCTCACATTTTGTTTTTCAGACCCCGGCCAAGGCGATTGCATTCTACGATGATAAGGTTAAGGGACTGGAGTCGAACTTGCAGGATTTGGAGAAGGTTGTACAGACTAAGAGCACACAGTTGCGGGTTGTTGAAGAGAGTAAGTTTATATCATGATTTGCTGATTGGATCTGCGCGTGCTAGAAGGTCTTGTTCGCTAACACTTATCACAGCATTGAGACAGAAGATGCTCGCCGGAGAAGCCGCCCCTCAAGCCGCTGCTGCTGGCTAAATTTGAGTCATGTGTTATTATTAGGTCGAATACGACATACCTTGAAGGAATAAAACAAATAAATCGATGAACTACACCATATCGAACCGGGACGGACTATTGCGTGATATGAATGGCAATCGCTTCATGTCTACCGCCTAGTACAAAGCCCTACATCTGGAATGGGGCTAATCTTATTTGTCTGATATATCAGACGCAGAATTCTGCGTTAACTTTTCCTAATCTTTAACTCTAGCTCTATGGAGAATAAGAATGCTTCAAGCAATGATATGTTAACCAGAGCTAACCACTGACCACTTACCACATACCCCTGTGAATATAGCTCGGGCACGAACTCGATGCCGAAGGCCCTTTTTGTGTCATTCTTTTTATTTCTTCGTGTTTTTGGACTTTAGGATTTCTGCTGTGGTAAAATACCCTTACTCAATGATTTGACAGGAACCGATGGCCATTGAACTTGCTAGAACAAAGTGCCAACGTCGCAATCGAGGACATTGGTCACGGCAAAGTCAGGAGACCCTAACACCCGGGCAATCTGCCGCAGCGCACTCATGAACACACCAAGCTGCACATCCTCATCAACCTCCGCTCCTTCGGCCGGCGGGAAAATTGTAGAGAGGCAAGCCTCTCGCGTGAACTGGTTGCCGTCGAGCTCAGTATTTTCACCGAGCATGACATCCCAATCGGGATCGAAAAGCGAGCCGCCCCAAGACACATCGAGAGTCTTTAAAATCCTGCCGTTGGTCACAGTGTACTTCACGAAGCGGGCGAGCTCAAACACAAGGTTGGTTCCTCTGACGTGAAACTCAATCGCAGCCTTCTCAACAAACCAGCTCAGCGGTGCACCAAGAGGGAACTTTGACATGCGTTCTGGCACAGAGGTGATGCTGTGGGCACTCTCGTTCCACACGAAGCTCAGCTTGCGCTTGAAAGCCTCTACCTCGGGAGGTGTGTCCTCTTCTTCTAGCATTTCCAGTGCTTTGATCTCTATTTGCCAGTCGGATCTAAATCAAAAGAGTTAAGCTTTGATTGAGCATTTGACAAATAGGGAAATTGACAAACCTTTCAAAGTCAATCATGCCGATTTGCATCGGCATTTCCAGTTCTCCAGGGCCCCCAATACTCCGAGGCTTGAAGCAACGAATATCATTGATCTCGAATTCTTCGCTTCCGCGCGGCAGCGAATAGTTCGCTTCAATGCGCACAGCATGATTGTTTTTGATCTTGTATTCGAAACAGGCCGAGAATCGGGGCTGGATCTTCGTAAGGCAACGAAGTGGCATAGTACCCGCGGGCACGAGGAGATGTCCTGCGCCCATGACGCGGCTGATGATCTGATTCTGTGAAAGTCGTAGTCTAACGCCCCAGTCAGTTACTAAATTGTCACTTCCCGATTAATATATTGCTTACCCGGGAAGCAGGCGGCCTTCAGTGTTCGTGTCGGCGATCATGTCACGGAAGTCAGGATACAGAAGTGGGCTATCTGCATCTTCGGTCTTTCGATAATCCTTTAGCATGAACGAACCGAACTTTGCTCGCATTTGTCGGAAACTGTGGAAATGAGGGACGAGGTGCAGCGCTCGCTTCAAGCGATCAACGATGATGACCTTGTTATCCTGTCTAGCCTCGCCTCTCTTTTTCTCCCAAGGCACAGCTTGCTCGATAGGTAGCTTCAACCCAGAGAGATAAGGCTTGGCCATATCCGAATACTCCTTCATGGTAACGTCCTTTCTCATGATTTCAGGGGAGGTGGCTCGACGAGGAGCACTTTGATTTCGGTCTCGCATTGCAAAGACAGTGTCTTCCACAAGTCCCGAGAACGGCTTACCATTCCCAAGAGATCGCCATGGTTACCCCCAGAAAAGTACAGATTCTCCCGTGCACCAGGCTTGGTGTAGATGTTCATACCATAGTGAAGGCGAATGCTATCAAGAAGCTGGCGACGTGATGACAGGCAATGCTCCTGGGATGGACCATTTGGCGGCCACACAGAAGAGACCTGTGATATCAGACGTATATTAGCCCTCAGTGAAGTTCGACAATGTGCGAACTCCGTTGTCCATCACATACCGTGCTATCAGCAACAGTTATTGGCGCCTTTCGCAATCCATCCAGTTGGGAAGTCCGGGCATCCTTTGTGTTGGCGATATCAACCTTAACAGTCGAGTGAGCATTGATACGTGTCCATCCGGGGACTTTGCTGGTTTCTTGCAGCTGATTGACCTGGGTAACAAAAGTGAGAAGGAGGGTATGGGCGGCCAACACCTGGTTTCTGTCTCCCCAAATGAGAACTACCTGATAGCATCGTTAATTCGAACGGTATATGCACGGCAAAGAGTTTTTTTTAAAACGGAAGGTGCGACGAAAAGAGAGACTGATATGCGGCAAACGAGAGTGAGACTTACCGGTACACCCTGATATCTCACTGTGAGATAAGCACCGGTAGCTTTAGCAATGAAATCACGGAAGTTAGTAACGGGTTGTGCAGTTTTCTTTGTCAACTGTGTGATTCTAATATGGAGTTTAGTGAGAGCAAACACCATTGCAAAGGAATATATACATACATCTCCTGGAACCGGTCGATGGTATGCGGCAACCGGAGATAACCTGAATAATTGTCAGAAGTTGTGATGAAAGTACACCTGGTGATTTTACCATCGGGAGTTGCGCCGGCACGCCATTTTGCCTTACCGAAAGAGTCTTTTGCAGCTGAGTCAACGCTCCCCTGAACGCCCTGAGTGGAAACGTTAGTCTCCAGGCGACAAAAGGCTTGGCTGACTGTTGATCGCTGTGTTCTACAAGCTTGGGGCTGGGTAACCGATGGCGACGACCTCTGGGTTCTGACAGGCTGATGAGATCTGGCACCACCACCCGCGAGAGGGGAGACCTGGGCTTGGATCGGTGGACCGCTGGTATTAGTACTGTGCCGGGTGGATCTTTTTCCACCCCATGAGCGATATGGACGAGGAGAGTTCCTTAACGGTACGACAGGAGCTGGGTTGCTGATTTTCTGCTGACTGGATCCGGCTCCTCGTGCTTGTTGAGATGGGCCTGAGGGCGAAGAAGCAGATATACTAGGAATTTGGGTATTTTGACCAGAGGACAAGCAGGTATGAGGAACCGCGGGTTGTGGAGTAGAGGTCGGGTCTTTGCTGAATCCGGAAGGAATATTCAGCGCGTGAGAAGGTTGGTTGTCTTCGTCTGGGCTGCTGATGGCTCCGATATCATACGGAGGCAGTGACCAAGCTGAAGTAGTTAGCATATAACCGACCGTACGGCAGAAGGAAAAGAACTGTTACCCTTCGATTGCTGTCTCTCCCAACTGTGGCAATAATTAGTGAGATATAACTGACGGTTTCAAGGTGTGAGATGCACTTACTCCTCTTCGAGAGGCCGCTCTGCCTCCGCCATTTTGGTAGAGTCAGCTGGATGTGAGTATCACGGTGAAAGATGGTTGTAAAGTCTGATGATGTTGAATCAAGAAAGATGTGAGAATAGAGATGAAGCTTGAGGAAGAGAAGGGAGGAGGTGAGAAGAGGAAGATGGTGGGTTGCGAAAAGAAGTTAGAGGGATGAAGCAGTCTAGGGACAGAAGCTGAAATCCGAGGTTGGAGAATAAAGGGCAAGAATTTTATTGACAAAGAGAGTTGGGTTAAATAACGAAGTAAGTATATCGAGGCGAAGACGATGTAGAGCAAATTGAGAATTTGAGAGTTTTGGTCAGAAGGGAAAGCATGGGAAAGAGCACGACTGTGTGATACATACGGAAAAACCGCAGATTAGGACATGATGCTATTCCTAAAGACTACAAAAAAAGAGTTGGCCTTCATATACTTATTGTTCTCTTTCTCCCCCCATTTCCTATCATTTTGCAATACAGTAGCATAGGGCATAATGCCTATAAGTATGAAGACCTGATGTTCGGGGTCGAGATGCCCACCTGGCTCCGGAAGCTCTGATCTATGAAGCTCCTGAGCTTTATGCATCTTATGTGTCGCAGGTGGCACATACAATCTGAAATAATTTACGAACAATCTGTATGGTCTTCACTTGATAGCGGGTGGCATAACTTATACAAAATGTGAAATCCTCTGCAAATGTGTATGGTCTTCACTTAATAGTGGTTGGTATGTACAAGATATGGAATTGTCTACTAATGATATGCATCTTCAATCAATAGCAGGTGGGCAGTGATACTTCGGACTGGAACAGCCAGAGTCGTAGAGGCCTCAACAAGTGGGCCGCAAGGCATCAAGGCACCAGAACTTTCAAATAACCATAACCAGCAGCGTGATGATAAAAAAAGCCTCAATACCCATTCACAGGCAGTATGTAGTAGCAGCATGATAAGTTTAATCCAGCTATTGAGTGTCAGTAATAAAAAAAGCCAAGGCTCAGTTTACTAGTATAGCCGAACCCCCAGTGTGACAGGGATTCCAAACAGAATTGGGGCATTCCCAGCTGATCATACATGAGGGGCGCGATGAAATGAAGCAAATACACTGAACTGACAAGCTATATAGACATAAATCGTCATCCTGCTCTTTTATACTTCACATACTCTCAGAACCTGATTGGGCCGAGCTCCTTGCCGGGCTAAACCCAATACGGAGTAAAGTGGACAACGCGTCAAGCGCGTTTTCTCCTTCTCCATACCTTCAGTCCGGCCACATCTGCAGCAATGAGCGACAGTGAAGCAAGCAATTCTCCCAAGCAGAGGGCCTCCGCGAGTGAGCGAGCTCTATGGATGACCAAGGGAGCCCTGGTCCGCGACGATTCCGACGACGAGCTTGGGGTTGAGGACCTTCCGTGGGAATGGGTCTACGATGCGAATGAAGTAAAGGAGGAGGAAGGCAACGATGGGAGCCCACAAAAGCGGGGCCGGAGACGTTCTTCACGACCTGCTCCCCAGCGCCGGAGGATTGTTGGGGCGCGGATGGGTCGATTCGAATGCAAAGTTGGTGAGGTGATTCTCTTGAAGTCTCCGGAGGCTGGAAAGGACTGGGTGGGCGTCATCACCGAATTCGTGGAGGAGGAAGATGATGATGAGGAAGAGGACGAGGTTGTCAAATCCGCCAATATTATGTGGTTCGCATCGCCCGACGAATTCATGGGTACCCGAAACAAGCGCCGCACCGATGCCTTGCCCAACGAGCAGTATATCACCCTCGATTTTAATACCAACCCTTTGACATCAATCAGCGGGAAGGGTATTGTCATGTCACAGAATGCCTTCTATAAAAGATATCCGAACGGTCCACCGAAGAATAAAACCGAATTGGCGGAATACAACAAGTGCATTGTTTGTCGACGAGGTGTGAACCAGGTCCAGGGAAGATACACGGATGAGTTCGTGTGGGAGGAGGTATACAACCAAGACAGGATCCATGATCTGATCGACCTGGTCAAGGAGGGCTTGAAGGGTTCGAGGAAACGCAGGGCTGCGGACGACGAGGTGAGTCGCAATGAATAGTCTAGAAGCAGAAGCTGTGGTACTAATAAAGGGTCTACAGTACGTCGACAGCAAGGAGATTGCAGCTCCCAGCACCCCAAGGAAGAAACAACGACTGGCGACAGGGAATGCTACGCCGCAGTCACAGCGCAAAAAGGCCTTGACCACCCCAACCCACAAACGGTATGAAATGGCTCAAGAAGCAGTGATCAAACAACGCTGACAATCTGCTAGGATCGTGGTCAAGAAGCCCCTCGAGTTCACACCACTGGGCACACGAGTTCTTTCCCCTACGCACTTCGCATCCCCCTATCGTCAAGCCCGCAACTTGCTTCACGTCTCAACTGTTCCAGACTCACTGCCATGCCGAAAGACTGAGTTTAACACCGTTTACAACCACCTCAGCGCTGCTATCATGGAGGGCACAGGTGCCTGTATCTACATCTCAGGTACCCCCGGTACAGGCAAGACAGCAACAGTGCGCGAAGTAGTTGCACAGTTGAATGGCGCCGTGCTTGAAGAAGAGATGGACGATTTCATCTTTGTTGAGATTAACGGCATGAAAGTTACAGATCCGCACCAGTCCTACTCCCTATTGTGGGAAGCCCTGAAGGGTGATCGAGTCTCACCCTCCCATGCACTTGATCTGCTTGAGCGGGAATTCTCCCACCCCTCGCCTCGCCGGGTATCTTGTGTGGTGCTTATGGATGAGTTGGACCAACTGGTTACAAAGAACCAGTCCGTCATGTACAATTTCTTCAATTGGCCTGCTCTCCGCCACTCTCGGCTGATTGTATTAGCCGTCGCAAACACCATGGATCTTCCCGAGAGAACTCTTAGCAACAAGATCTCCAGTCGTCTCGGTCTAACCCGTATCACCTTCCCGGGATACAGACACACAGACCTTATGGAGATTATTAGTACCCGTCTCGCTAATGTCCCCGGCAACATCGTCGATCCAGATGCTGTCCAATTCGCCAGTCGGAAGGTAGCAGCCGTCAGCGGTGACGCCCGAAGAGCCTTAGACATCTGCCGCCGCGCCGTCGAAATCGCTGAGCAAGCAGCCGACGAAGCTGCCGCGGCAGAGGACACAGAGAAAGACGAGACAGAGTCATTGCCTCCCACACCGAGCAAAACCCCTGCCCGACGCAACAAGGCATTGGCAGCAGTGGCGGCCAATGATTTACCAACCCCCAAAGCCGGACTTGCAAAGGGCCAACCAGGCCGAGTAACCATCGCCACGATCAAGCAAGCCATCCACGAAGCTACATCTACCCCCCTCCAACAATCCCTCCGCTGCCTCCCTCTATCAGGCAAGCTTTTCCTCGCTGCACTTCTAGCCCGAGTGTCCCGAACAGGTATCTCGGAATCGACATTTGGCGACATCCTAGACGAAGCACGCCGCATCGCCGATGCAGCTGTTGCCGTTGCTGGTGCCGCCGGTGCTGGCGTGAAAGAGTTCCTGCTAGGTGGCGGTCCCAGCGCTCGAGTGCGTTCCATGGGATATGCGGCTATGGAGCTTATGAACTCGGGTATTCTTGCACTGGAGCAGGGTACTGGGTCTAAGAGTGTACTTGGTGGTACTACGATTCCCACAAGGGGTGACCGCAGCAGCAAGGTTCGGCTTAGAGTTGCCGCCGAGGATGTTAGGTCTGCATTCCGGGAGGATGTTGAGGCTAAGGGCTTTGGTTTGGGTATTGAGCAGTGATGGTGGCGGTGTTTTGTTAAAGGACGCATTATTTGGAGTCAGTGTTATCGCACTTTAGTTTGCATATGATACCCTTTCGGTCAACTGGGCTTTTTCGCTGTAGATTGACATCTATCTCAGGCAGAGTTCGGATCTTACGCATGTTATCTTCTAATATGTCTGACATGTTTGGTATATAGAGCATCCCTTGACTCGATTGAAATTTGTATAGTACAAAACGACATCAGTTTCTTTTTTAAAAAATGAACCTTTCCAGGAAATAGCTCCCCAAACGTAACTGTGTGGTTCAAACCCCAGGATTGACCACAGACCACGCTGAACTCCACAGTGCCGATACAAGAACTTGATGGCGAAACAAAAAGAAGGGTATTAAGAAATCGGAACATAGATCACGATGGCTAGATATGCTGGTGATCCCTCTAGTACCGTTGTCTACCAAGAGTGGGAGCCCATTGAACGGGATGAGTCTCAGGTGTGGCATCCTCATCCTGCTTCCAGACCTTGATGGTCTTATCAGCCTCACCAGTAATGAGACGCAGACCGGTGCGATCGAAAGTAGAAGCCATGATACCAGCTTCGGCTTCGAGGGAACCTGGTTGCGCGGTGGTCTCGACAGACTGGAAGCGGTGGCCGGTTTTCCAGTCCCAGAAGGACATGGAGCCGTTATCACCACCAGAGAAGAGGACGTTCTCGTCGTTCACGGCGAGGGAGTTGATGACTGAGTTCTGGCCTTCGAAGTTCTGCATGAAGTCGCCCTTGGGGCACATCCATTGCTTGATGCTTCCGGTGCTGGCACTGGCGAAGGTGAATTCAGAGGGGTGGATGGCGATGTTGCGGACGCCCTTCTTGTGGTGTGTAAGGACGCCCATGCTCTTTCCAGCAGCCAGATCCCACAGACGGACCGTAGAATCCAGCGATCCAGAGATGATTTGTGGGTCGGCTTCTTGACATTTGATGTCTGCGACAGTGCCCTTGTGTCCACCCAGAACGTGGACGTTGCTCCGCGTCCGCATATCCCAAACTCGACACACACCATCACGACCACCTGTAACTAGCAGATCAAGACGAGGGTGCAGGGCTAGCGTGTAAACACCACTCAGATGACCATGGTAGTGACGAATAACCTTGTTGGTTTCCAGATCCCAACACTTAACCATCTTATCCTCACCACACGAGAAAAGGTACGGATGCCGAGGCGATACCGCCAACCCACGAACCGTGGAGATATGACCAGTAAGCGTAAGACGCAAAGAACCTGTCGCCAAATTCCAAATCTTGATTGTGCGATCTCCCGCTCCACTAGCAAACCACTGGTTGTTCGGCTCGACAGCCAAAGCCCGCACCCATCCCAAGTGTCCCGAGATAACGCGCATCAGCTTCCAAGGCGCGTGCCAATCCGGCTTCTGTTGCTTCGTGGCCGACGGCCTTGTGATCAAGCTCTTGGGCTGGTCTTCGGCCGCGGCTGCGCCTGCGCCACCAGCCGGCCGCTTCACAAGTGACATCGAGGCACCGCTGCCATCTGCGGGTGTCTGTGTCTGGATCTTTGGCCGTTTCGTCCGCCCGGCTGCGGCCTTCGCTTGCTTTTCTGCGAGTGCGCGTGGTAGTTCGGCGACATCTTCGTATTCTGCCTTTCGCCGGTAGGAGACGCCAATTGAGCCGTCTGTCAGGGTCGAGGGTGTGACCATCAGGTATTCTGTGCCGAAAAGCTCGGCTGTGCGCTTCGCTGATATGCGCACGGCGTCTTCGGCGGACTGGGAAGGTGCGTAGTCCATTTTTATGATTCGAAGGATGGGAGGGAGGTAAAGGTGTGTCTCGAAGAGTAGAAGCTCCACAGAGCCGCGGTCGGTCGCGCGCGCGGTGAAAACCCTGCGGTGGGTTGGTTTGTGAGATTCGGGTATGAGACAAGTTCAGTACATCAGGATTCTGGAAGGCGATGGATCTTTACGAGACACGAGGGTCGATTGCGAGGCAAGGCAATGATTGTGGGAGAAGAGGATATGCATGAATCTTTGCCAGAGTTCGAGTGGGTCTGATGCCTGAGGCAGTCAACATTTATACACTCGACGTGGAATTCTTGAACAGACACTTAATCACTGCAAGTGGATACATGGCCCGGTACTTCTTCTCAACCTGATTTTCTTGAAGTACTTAACACCATCTATTCCCCCACTTTTCCTCAGCGAACTGCGATGTTCAACTGTTCAGCTGACTCAGCCATCCTCCTTATCGCAGCTCTTATCACTTTCCTTCTACAAAGTCGCCCCAAGTCGCCATGGATTCCCAGAAGTTCGCCCTGCATGAAGCTGCGAGAGAAGGCAGAGGTAATTGTGATATTTGCGTGAACGTGGCACTATACTAACACTGTATCTCAGACCAGGTGGTTGAGTCATTGCTCAATGTGAGTCTTCCGATCTAGGCTGCCCCGCAGAGCAAGACAACCTATACTAGCATTTGTCCTTGTTGATATGATGTGAAGAGTATTGACAGCTGGAATAGGCCAATCCCAAGTCTGCACTCGTCAAAGATGATGATGATCGCCTCCCAATCCACTGGGCTACAGCGTACAACCGACTCCAGATAGTGGAGTTGCTAATGGGTGCCAAGGGATTCGATCCCGACGTAGAAGTGAGTGACTCCTACAATTGGATGACATGAACACTGGATTTCAAGATTTGAATATTTTCACGGGAAAAGTACTGATCTGACATAGGATGGTTCGGGTTGGACCCCTCTTATGATTGCAGCCAGCTTGAAAGGTGCCGCAGGTGATGCGATTATCGAAAGGCTCCTGCGAAAAGGCGCTGATGTATCAATCAAAAGCAACTCAGGACAGGTCAGTATCCCGGGGGATATTCAATATTCGACACCATCCTGCGGACATTTGAGTTGACATGCCAGCAGAATGCCCTTCACTTCGCCAGTTCCAAGTCTAACACTTCTACTGTTCGCACATTGATTGCCAACAAATGCAGCGCCAGAGTGAAGGATAAGCGTGGCCAGTTACCCCTGCACAGAGCAGCAGCTGTCGGTTCCGTTCCTATCTTGAAGATCCTTTTAGAGGAGGGTAAGAGTCCGGTCAACGCAACGGATGGCGACGGATTTACAGCACTTCACCATGCTATCTCTGAGGGACATGGAGATGCGGCAATCCTGTTGTTGAAGTCTGGAGCAGAGCCAGAGAAGCGAGATAGCGATGGGAGACTGGCAATCGAGCTAGTTCCTGATGAAAAAGTAAGTATCCCTTCGGCGTAGTCGTGATACGGGTGTCTAACTGTTATGCTACTACTTAGGTCAAGCAATACATTCTACAAACAGCAGAGCGCGAAGGAATTGAACTACCTTGATTGAAGTCTGCAGACGCTAAAAAATAAGCCTGTTACCGTTATACCTCGGGATGTGCTTCCCCGCATCTCAACCTAAATGATTATGCTCATGAATATGATAATCCTAGCATTTCAAATATGTTTAACTCCATTTTTCATGTCATAACACGTACTGTGCGTTGGTAAAATGTGATTGAATTAAAGGACTGCAGATAGTTCCCCCACGCGCTGTGACATGGGCTGGATACATACAGGCGTCAATCAAATGAGGGGCCTCGGCAATTATTGCGATCAGCAAAGAGTATAAATAAGCGCAGGCTTGGGCTTGCGGAGAAACAGTCATGAGCAGTTTCCTTCCCAGAATTCTGAGAGTTTGAATCCCCTCCGAGCTGCGGCTTTTACTACAATCACCATGTCTCCCCCAGTTAACACACGTCTCCCGGTGGGAAACAAAGACTTTACCAATGCGACTGTCGTGATTATCGGTGCTGGGATATCTGGTACTCTTGACAGCCTTATAATACCTAAAGAACATCACTGACTTTACAGGGATGTGCATGGCAATTGATTTGATCAAACGCAATAACTGTCACAACTTCGTTATACTTGAGAAGGGTAGCAGCGTTGGTGGAACTTGGAATGATAATAAATATCCTGGATGCTGTTGCGATAGTATGTCTTTCCTTCTGTTTATTCATCTGTTGTCAACTAACATAAATATTGGCGATATATAGTCTGGAGCTCACTGTACAGCTATTCCTTTGAGCAAAACCCTGATTGGTCAAGGGAATATCCTGGACAAGAAGAATTCCATGTGAGTAATGTTAAAACATTCTGCGTCTCTCTGTTGCCTATGAACAATTGTTAATTCTCGCGAAATAGGCATACCTAGTGCGTATTGCAGAGAAGTACGGTCTGTACAAGTACATTCGTTTCAACTCCACGGTAGAAGAAGCCCAATGGGATGACAACGAATCCAACTGGAAGACCAGTGTTGTGGTCACAGGAGAGAAGGATAGCGAATATTCCAACTCCTACATCCTCAAGTCCGACTTTCTCATTTCCGCCGTCGGGCAACTGAATCTCCCACGTCAGCCGAACATTCCGGGACTGGAAGATTTCCAGGGCAAGATGATGCACTCTGCTCGATGGGATTGGAGTTACGACATAACAGGAAAGCGAGTTGCAATCATTGGAAATGGTGAGCTCAAAAAGAAGCACTGTACATCCTCTATCCACCCCCTAATATGTTGCTATAGGAGCAACCGCCGCCCAAATCGCCCCAGAAGTAGCCCAAATCGCCTCCCACCTCACAATCTACCAGCGAACTCCAAACTGGATAATCCCACGAGGCGATGGACCAGTATCCGCCTTCCAAAGAGCCCTATTCAAATACCTCCCACCACTCCACTGGCGCAAACGCGCCCTCCAAATGGACTTCCGTGAAAGCTTCCACGCAGTAATCAAAGACGATAACTCACCCTTCGCCCAAATGATCCGAGACATGTCCACAGCGAGCATGAAAGCCCAACTCGCCACCAAACCTGAGTTGTGGGAGAAGTTGGTTCCGGACTATGCACCGGGATGCAAGCGAATTATCATCACCGATGATTACTATCCCACTCTTGCGCGAGACAACGTGGAATTGGAGACGCGGCCGATTACGCATATTACCGAGACTGGGATAGAGATTGAGGGCTTTGATGAGCAGGAATATGATTTAATTGTTCTTGCTACCGGCTTTAGGACGGTGGAGTTTATGCATCCTATTCAGATTTACGGTGCGAATGGGCGTCCTTTGCAGGATATTTGGAAGGATGGGGCTGTGGCGTATAATGGGGTTACTGTCGAGGATCTGCCTAATTTTGGGATGTTTTATGGTCCTAATACCAACCTTGGTGAGTAGCAGGAGTCTTTCTTGGTGAATGTTTTGTTCGGCATTCTGACGGGTTCATAGGACATAATTCTATCGTTCTCATGATAGAGGCACAGTCACGTTATTTGAATGGGATTGTTGGTGAAGTGATCCGGGCTCGTCAACAGGGCAAAACGTTGTCTCTGAAGCCAAAGCTGGCAGTGCTGAAGAGTTTCAACGAGAAACTCCAGACTGCGTTGCGGAATACCAGCTTCGCGGATCCAAATTGCAACAGTTGGTACAAGAGGGATGACGGTGTCATTACGAATAACTGGTCTGGGACTGTGATTGATTATCAGCTTAATCTGTCAAAGGTGGAATGGCAAGACTATGTTGTTGACGGCACCGGAAAGGGTGATGTCGAGGGCAAGGCTGCAACGAAGCTTGGTCGTGTTCGTGAAGAGACTTTACTTAGCGATACGTCATTGTTGATGGTAGGCGCCGTGAGCCTTCTATCGGCGGTTGGTTATTTTGCGGCTCGGTCTAAGATGCTAAAGGCACGCTAAAGAGACCAGTATTATGAGTACTCAAACACTTTATCAAAGAAAATGCATGGATGTGACCAAGAAGTATACAAATGCAGAGAATCAGCCTGCATTCTCGTAAAATCTACTACCATTGTTTCCCTTTCTTCTTTCCTTCACTTCCCCGTTCCCAAATATTGCCGAAAACCTTTGCCCTCTACTAGACTACCACATTGAAGAAAACAGACATCGAGTACCTGAATCAAAAGTTACGTGCTTAGACATCAAGAACATTGAGTTCTTTCTTTCTTTTACTGTATTTGATTTATTGCCTGAGAGAGATGTTTGACAAAATGACTTATACCTCGGGCATATTGATGCCTTGATGCCCGAATAGTAAACCTCCTGTTTGCTCCTATATCATTAGATTTTCCGTTCCCAGCTTGGCCTCCAGATCAGTGGTCCAGTGGTAAAGCGTCCGACACCTGTAGAACATATAAATATTTCAATTGCGAACATCCTCTTTCATGTGTTTCTCTGCGTTTCTTTTTTTTTTTGATGCATTATCAAACTGGATTATGTGATTATGAATCGGAGTCCTCTTCTTATTTTGAAGGCTGCATCAGATTTGCTGTTTTTATCCACAGAGAGAAACGATATCCTCGGGAACATATGGCTTCAGAATGCCAATGAGATCTGAAAGAGGAACCCAGTCAAGAACACCATGGATGCTTCTGACAGGTTGACCGCTGTACAAGACCCGGGCGTAGAGCGACTTTCCATCGGTTTCCCAAACTTCAAACGCAATGTTCGACGCCATAGCCGGCCAGCGTAGAGCGGCAATCCCAAGAGAGCCCAGGATGGGACCAATGTCACCATCATGAACGAAGATATGACTATAATCAACGGAAGATTTCCCATCTTGCACAGCCTGCAGACGAGAAACAATCTCACCAATGAACAGACCCTCAACAACCTGGATGTACTTGACCACATCCGGATTCGTGCGCCAATAGTAATTCCACTCCCAGTCCCCAGCACGGAAGACCTCCTGAGCCATCTGCATTGTAACACAAGCAGACGAGTTCGAAACACTGCAGGGAAGCTCGTATCCATTACAAAGGCGAGCCTGGAAGTTATCCGAGAAATGGTCAAAGGTACTCTGCCATGAACTGCTTGTCGCGCCGAGCATTGACCCAAGCTTCGTGCGCAACTCCGCGGTGACACTCAAATGCTCCTTCCACAGTGCTGTGGACTGCAGAGAAGAAAGCGTGGAGCTAACAGCAGAACAGGAATACCCTTCATTGACAGTGTCAACGGAAGTTACCATTTGATGCAGGGGCAGTGCACCCTTGTAATCGGGCCACACGCCACGCAACACCGCACCAGCCGAAGCCTGCGTGAGAGCTGAGTCACTGGATCGGAACCAGACCCGGTCGTTGGGCTCCTTGGGGATCAGACCGAGTTTCTTGCCGTAGACGGCCCACAGGTCCTTGCCGTGCTGATATCCGTCTTGGATACCGCCGATGGTGATCTGGGGGTACTGACATGTTCCGTTCACTCCGGGCGTGAAGGGGTTAGAAGGGTCTTGGTATGTTTGCGCATACATTGGCACAGGCTGGATGCCGCTTGCGCTGTTGGGGCCTGCGTAGAGATACGGGAGCACATTGTCGCATTCGTAGGCTTGGTTCTGGGCGTCGTTAGCTCTGGATATGTATTTAAGGCAAGAATATTGACTCACTTCTCCGCCAGGTAGAATGTTGTACGGCGAACGTCTCTGATGACGCTGCAGATACTCCAAGTAAACAAGCTTTCCCTTGGCCGATCCCTTGATTAAAGCTTCGGGCAGGGTATACTCCTCTGAGCGAGGATGCGGCATGAAGCAGTAATCATAGGTCCCATAGGGATCTCCAGCGGTCGGTCCATTTGTTGGGGCTTTGTAAATACCGCCATATGTCCCAATGGTGCTGTTGCTGATGTAGGCCGTGTCATTGAGATTTGGCGGGTAAAAGGTGTCCCCGGGTGTGAGTGCCAGCACAGGACTGACAGCGGAAAGCAAAGTGATACCGCGCATGTTGAAAAGAGTCTGAGGCAGTAAAGACCAAGTATCGCGCAGACTCGTGAATATAAACATGTTGTGCCATGCGACTACTGCCCACCCAAGGAGAAACAGGCTCCACAGTCCGCATGCCAGTCGCGACCTGTCAATTAGTGCACGTGGGAACGACAGCTCCATCTAGGAATCCTCAACTCCTGTGTGGCGTCCACATCGACAGTTTTCAACTATTTCGACACATTGTTGCGTGGTTGACGTTGGGTTGACTGATCTCATTCCCCGATTTGCCGAAATCGCTTGGCGTTGCCCGCGTATCCAGGGGTTGAAGGTGATGCCTTCCCACGGTTCACTGAATCACAAATCATTGTTTGATTTTTGTTTAGAGAAACAACCATGTGGAAGACTTCGAGTTTAATAGCCATTGTGACTTTGTGTCCACTGGTATCTTCTGCCCTGGCTGATTTCGCCCTTCACAAGGTCCTCAGCGATGCAACCCCGATCTTTGGATCTTATGTTAAGGAATCTGGCGAAAAGGCCCAATGGATGAAGGCATACCCGGATGAAACTTTGCTTGTCCACATGAACATTCCTGGCACACACGACAGCGCAACATGGAATTATACACAACCGACACAAGATGCTCTGCGAGGTATCACAGACTTGAACCAGGTCACTGTCCCAGTGCCAGAGACATTCCGCTGTCAAGAGCTGCCATTGATTGATATGCTTAATATGGGCATCCGCGCCTTTGATCTGCGCTATGCCCTAGATCCGACCAACTCCAGCCTCATCTTCTACCACTCGCAAGCCCTGCTCTCGGAGACAGCCACGGTCGATGACGTGCTGTTCGGATTCTATCAGTGGCTGGATGACCACCCATCAGAGACAATATTTCTCTCATTTCAGCATGAGAGCTCGACAGCCCGCTATGTCTTCGATGATGCGGCATCACAGCTGAAGATGTACAACGCCCTTACTTCTTCTGCCGCGCGTCATTATTTCGTTCAGACTAAGGGTCAATTAGGCACATTGGGCGATGCACGTGGAAAAATTACCCTCCTGCGCCGGTTTGATCTGGACAAGCTACCCGATTCTTACACAGCCACACTTCCCGGTTTGCATTTCTCGCCTAGCCTGTGGACCGACAACGGACCGGATATTAGCCTGGAGTATAATACTGATAAGCATTTGACTGCGTACATTGAGGATTACTATCAGCCTCTTACGCCCACAGGATCAAGCGCGATCGAGAATATCAAGTGGAAGTACAATGCTACCGTGGCAAATATTGACAAGGCCACCACACAACATCCAGATAGTCTCTTTTGGACCTGGGGATCTGGTACGAATCTTGAGAACAGTCCGCCTGATTGGCCTCGCATCATGGCTATAGGAAATGGCACTGGATACACTCCAAATGGTGGGGTAAACCAGCACCTACTGTCCTATCTGAGAGAGCAAAAAGGCAAACGGGTGGGGATTGTGATGTTTGATTTCTTTGACCAACCTTCTGGCTTGATTGATACATTTTTGGCCCTCTAAATCACGAAATGCTTTACAATGAAACAGAGGGGTGGGTATTAACAACAATGTTGGAGCCACTGTAAATACCAAATCATCTAGACTATCCCATGGAAGGAATATGCATGCACATTTCTTTTACCGAGCTACAACGAAAACCACCAATGCAGTAATTCCACGCGCAACAGCCGCGTTTGACGTGGAGTTATCTGATTTCCTGCGATTGACATTACATTACTCTATGCAGGCACAGTGGAGACAGCTAACAAAGTTCGGTCACCAAATACTAGTTGCTTCTTTTTTCCTGGCGCGCACAGAAAGCGCAAGGATCGACATAGGTCTTCATCCTGTGAGCCCCTCCAACGTGCATGGAGTGGCCGAAGGAGGTATGCATATACTATATGCAGGTGTACTTTGCATCCTATTCGCCCCTCGTCAGCTGCACACTCCGTGTTTCGGGGCAGCGGAATCGGAGAGGGCGGAGATGCCATCGAGGGATATTCGCCATAGTGCTCAGTCCAATTAATCCGTATCTGGTATGATCGGATAGTTGTATCTGGTGGTTATGGGGTATAAATGGTGCTGGGGGCCCCGGTCCTTTTGAATCCACCAAGGTTGTTTCACTTCCTCTTAAGCACTCTTATACTTCAACATGGCTGCTGCTGATATTATCTCATTGACTGATCAAATTAAGCAAGAGGTCTCGTTTGAGCCTTCTACATCTGGTCATGGTCATGCTCGTCTTCTTCAACTTGTCGATGAGCTGAAGTTGGCTATTGAGACTCCTACTGAGACCGTTCTCAGGTTGATCTACCAGGTTAGTGTGTTTGTTCATCGTTGCTTCATTGTGGTATACACTAAAAAAGTTATATGTTAAGCCACCAGAGAATGCAGCCCTGCGTACTGTGGTGGACCTGGGTATCTTCCCAATTCTTGTGAAAGATGGACAGAAGGACGGCCTCTCCGCAGCAGATATTGCTGTGTGCACCGGCACTGATAAAGGATTGATCGGTATGTCACTCATTAATCCTCAAGAGGAGCGCTCTCTAACATGAGACAGTCCGTTTAATGCGAGTAATGACGGCCCTTGGTCTCTGTGAAAGTACCGAGGCAGAAGTATACCGGCCCACCGACAAGTCCATCTCGATGACCCAGCCAATTGGTCAAGATGGTATCCCCTGCATGTAAGTATGAAACAACCACTCTACTACCATGCCACATTGACATTGTTTAGCTATGACCTGACTGTCCCGACCCTCACCAAACTCCCCGAATACCTCCGTGAACACAATTACATCAACCCTGAAGAATACAGCTCATCTCCCATGAAATGGGCCGTGGGCCAAAGCCAATTCGAATGGCTCGCGAGGAACAAGAGACATCAAGATCTCTTTAATTCATACATGTCCAGCCGGCGCGAAGGCAGGCCAAACTGGTTTGATGTCTACCCTCTGGCAAGTCTAGTCGACGGCACAGTCTCACATCCCGACTCGGTATTCCTCGTGGATATTGGCGGCAATCAAGGCCATGATCTCGGCAGGTTTGTTGCTCAGCACAAGACCGTACCCGGCCGTGTTATCCTGCAAGATCTGCCAAAGATTGTCTCAGGTGTCAACAAGCCGAGCATTGAGACGATGGGGTATAGCTTTTTGGACCCACAGCCTATAAAGGGTAATACTCCCTTCCATCTAAATAAACAAAATGTTTCAGACTGACAACCTTGAGTACAGGGGCGCGTGCCTATTACTTCCGAGCAATCTTCCACGACTGGCCCGACCATATTTGCCAGAAGATTCTTTTGAACACTGTTTCGGCAATGGATCCTACCTATTCGCGCATCATAATCGTCGACTTCGTGCTTCCTGACACCAATGCGCCCCGTATGCAAGCTGCGATGGACATCCAAATGATGAGCATTGGTGCCGGTGTAGAAAGATCAAAGCGGCAATGGACGGAGCTTTTGGCCAGTGCCGGGCTGAAGATTAACGGGATTTGGAATACCAGTCCGGGAATGGAGTCGATTATTGAAGCCGTTCCGGACTTAGGTGGATTGGAGGGAGTTGAATGATTATGCAGGGAATGTCGGCTACGGCGTTTTCGGAGGATTTCTTTAACTTTGGCTTATTGTGTCCATTATCAAATTATATTATCTTCTATCTTTTTTGAACAAGCTTCCAAGTATCATATACAGTAAACTGTAAACATCCACCGAATACTCCTTCAGAATATAATCTAGATCATGCCATGCGCAATCGAAGTCTCCGAGCCGTGCAGGGACACCGTCAGAGGTGCCGATCAAAGCCCGACACAGCCCTCTCACACTCCCTCGAGCCCACAATAGCCCACCGTAAAGCTTGTCTGAGCCTGTGCTGATCAAAGATCAGATAAGATCAACGGCAGTCTCCACTTCCATTTTCGCCATTCTCGCCCTTTTCGCCCGTGTGGAACCAAATTGTTACCTGTGCGTGTGTCACTGTCGCAGGTATTGACACGTCCTTCCCACTAAGTGGCCGATTTTCTCTGAATGCCGAGGTAATTATCCATAGTCCCTTTGCCGGGATATAGACGTTGATCATAATTTTAGGGTGTTTTGCCGAGGTTCTTTGCTTAGTTGGCTGATCGCACATTAGGCTTTCGATATATGGCCTGTACGCGTGTAAAATTGCTTATCACGCCAAGATTTACCAGCGGGTGGATTTGGTATAATCGCATGCGTTGAAATATTGGCATACAGACACATCAGATTTCAGACCCCTCACTTGAGGTATCTGTCCACTATAAAATAGCCTAGAGGTACCTTCCTTGTAGGGGGTTAGACTTAAGTCACCTCCTGCATCCAGCAGTATCAATAAATAGGCGCACTGGGTTCGAGCCACAACAGTACTAATAACAACAAAGGAACCGTAGAATTCTAATTTCCAGGTGTGAGAATACCGATCCATCAATTAATAACTCGAACTAAGAAATAATTAAACGAGGCAACACTAGTTGATAAGATACAAATTGAATTAATAGTCACATCGACCAAGAGCTTCCCCGACCAAGACAGCTTCTGTCCCTCTTCCAAGGCTCTCATCGGGCATAGCAACATCTACCATGCCATGGCACGATCCGCCAGGTTGATCAGCTAAACAGCTGGAGCCACTGCAAGGTCACGAAGAAGCTTGAGAGATGGGGTGAAAAAGTAATCACCGCCATTGGACTGGATGAAGGGTTCGAAGGTGATCTTGTTGTGCTTGCCCTCACCATCGTGGATGCTCATGTTCATGACTTTGTCATCCTCTTCGATGGCACCCTTGACCGACTGGCCAATAATGGGATCCTGTCCCGGGTTCATACCGCCAGTGAATTTAGTCTTATCAGCCGGGAACGTATCAGGATTGACCCATCCTTGGAAATTAGGGAGTCAGTGCTTGATAGATCTTCTTGAAGCGAGAGGTGACTTACGGTTCTTGATAAACTGGAAGCCGTTGGAAAGACTGGTTTGATAGCACGTGAACATAAGGCCACGGTCTAATTTGGTCTTCTCCTTCTCATCGGGACCGACCTCCGGTCCGTAAGGGATACCACGGCGCATGATGTCGAATTTATCTCGGTTCTCAACTATACCCCGGGGCTTGGTCTTGCGCATATGTGATGCAAATGGGCAGTTGAGCTGGTCATCCAAGGGATAGTCAAAGTTGTTGAACTTCGCATCCGCCTTGCAGTCCGCATTGGGATGCAACTGAACAGGTGCTCCTAAAATATCTCTTAGTACCTGGTATATGCAGGAAAATTGCTACAGCTTGCAGCTTACCGCTTTTCCAGCGACCGACAATTCGAGCTCCCAATTGCTCTTTGTTGAATTTTAGTCTTGGAGCCTCTTTTTCCAGGAACCTAAAGCCATAGTGTCAGACAACGGTTTTAGATATAAAACAAGAAGTGATACTATACCTGTCAAACTCAGGCACGAATTGCCTTAACTTGCGAAAGACATAAATACTGCCGTCCTTGGCCCAAGGGGGATGCATCAAGCGCGGATCATTGTCCATCTCCCCGTCGTGTCCAAATATGATAATTCTGGAATATATAAGCAACCTGAACAGCCATTTATCTGTATCCTTTAACCTACCCGGGACGAGTGAGATGCTTGCGAGCTCCAGGTTTCTCTGCGGTTTCGTCATCGAGGCCTATGATAAGTGGCTGCGAAATGCCATCCAAAAACCCAAAGCTGAAATATGTCAGCTAAATTAATCCCCCCGGTAGCAGTATTGAAAGACTTACTGCTCATGGCCCTTTGCGTCTCCGGATCTTTCTACGCCATCCAAGGTCAAGAGATGACGAATGCCTTGCTTTTTACCGAGGTACTTCTGGGCTAGCTCGTTGACTTTTTCCTTGACTTCGTGTTCGGTACCGCACACCAGCAACACCCCATCAACGGATCCATCTCTGAACTCAGGAATCCAATCTTTGGCTTCATCTCTGCCTTCACCCACCATATCCGCGAACATGCCCTTGAGTAGTGGGTCATCTTTGAACGTTTCCTTGCTCAGCTAACGAGAAGAAGATTATCAGAGTTGGTTCCTGAAGCTGAAAAAACGAACACCTCCACATACCTTGGCCATTCCCCTTTTGGTGAAAGATATGTTCACCCCGGTTATGCTGACATGGTCCGATCCTTTAGCCTTCTGGATCTCATGATGGGGCGGGAGGGAATCGTGTATGGCAGTAAGCACGTCTCGCGCCAGGTTTAAACCAGCCCCAGCTACGTTCAGTCCGCTTGATGGTGGTGCTTTAGCTTTGTGTATGATAGCACGATTGACCAGGGCACCGTGGGAGGAAGTAATGACTTTATCCGCCAGGTCTTTCAGCATGGGTTTAAAATCTGCAGGATTCTCAATATTGAAAAAGAAGAATTGCTGATATTTCTTCGTCAAACCAGGCCTAAATTCAAATCAGCACTAACGTCCTTGGTGGCTGGCAGGTCCTGAAGCTGGCTGACCAGATATCTCCCTGGATATTGTGGAGATCAAACTCGGAAGTGGACCCCATATTGAGCTCGTGGCGATTCCTTGAATAGACCTTTCTTGGTTTTGTAGATAATAAATAGCAAGTAAGCTAGAATCAAGCAAATGTATTCAAGACCGTCCTCGAGAGGCCCTTTATAGCTTACTTTACTGTGGAGTGACTTCTGCAACCAGCGACCAGTATACCGTCACATACAATGAACCAAGGAACGTAAGCTGTCGTATCTTTCCAAATTGGTTAGAGCGGTGTAATAGTGGGTGCCCGCTCATTGACAGCTTTAGCCCACTGGTGTTACCTCTGCTTTAGGAATAAATGTACGCTTAGTGGACAGCCACAATATCCGTAGAAGGCTCCAAGACTAGACCTCCCTCAGTTACCGACCAATTGGAAAAAAATATGAATAAACACTATGAAAACGGCTACCTAGTGTAATGGCATGGGCCTTTAGCAAGCTAGTTGATCACGGCTTAGTCTCCATGCAAGGCATCTAGACATGTTTGCAGAGGCTGAAGTCTTGCACATTTAAGGGCGTGGCAATTGGATACTACGCTATGAGGTTCATGGGATCATTGAGACTCTTGAGTCATTTACCAATGCTGGCACTGCTTATGGAAGTTAGTCGTGGTTGGTCTAAGGTGCGAGCGGTATCTTTGGAAAAATCATGACGAATCCGTCCATTTTCAGACCCTTTTGGCCTGACACCTTCCATTGGGCTTGAATAGCATGTTGGAGGCATCTTCATTACAGTGATTCCTCGTACAACGAGCCTAACGAATGCGACAAGACTGCTTTCCGCTTGGAAGGACGATCTAAACCGTGAATGATTAGCATTGTTACTCGAAAGCCACCTCGAAAATTAACCCATTGGAAGCCCAGTTGGATAACTTTTCTCGGCCACGTAGCATCCTTCTGCACCTAGATTAATGCAGGTGTGATTTCCAGTCCCGCTTCAACCCGTTCCAACCCTGCTGCCGGTTCTACGAGTAATTCCAACATTAAGCCTCTGCATTTTTGCGACTAGCATTCAGCTATTTACTAAAAAGAACAAAACAGTAAGGTTGTCTTATGAGGGTAAATGATCTACCATAACGTGAAGGCCAATAATATGATGTGTGTTTGTGACCATCCATTCTATCTGAAAGCTTTGACCTGAAGACTGGACTGTAACATGGAATCTGGGCAGTGGTATTTAGTTCCACCCCTACATTAAGACATTCCTCCTTTTCCATTTCCAAGAGAAAGGTCCAACACCGAATGGATGGTCTATGACGCTACAGTACCTAGGTAGATGAGGTTGAGGGATTTACCGACTGCCTACTTTGGTATTTCACCACCCTGTGCATAGAATTTAGCTTCATACAAGATTTAGCCGTGAATTCGTTTGACCCACTCTATATTCGACTTCTTCCATTTCCGGCTTGACGTTGCACCGGCAGGCTTCGCTTCGGGCCGCACACCTTAACTGATTGGTGTGGAGCACATTCCTGGTTTGTCTTGGCCATACAATATCGTCTCTCTACTCATGTATTCAGTCACCCTAAATCTAAATACTTTGTCTTCATTTCCCGCAGAATGTTTTTTACTTGTGTTCAAGGGGATGGTCGAAGGGCAGGCAGATAGCTGACTCAAACTGGAAACTTCAAGTATATCGATGAACACCTGATCAGTTTCTGTAGGTTCTTTCCGGGCATACCTGAGGCAAGCATTCTTCCTTTGTGTTACCAGCTTCATCTGTCCAATCAGTCAACAACAAAGATAGAAACGATTTCCCCCGGTTGCATTCTGCCTCCTAGATGTACGCTGAATGTGTTTTCTTCTTCGCCTATCGATATTCCCAGCTCCAGGACGAAGGGGATCTTCAGTCAAAACCCTTGCATGATACGTTATGCCCGTGCCGTTGCTGGACAATGCTTGGCGTGTTGCTATCAGAGTGTTGTCGAGCTTGACAGCTTTGATAAAATGGCGGGTTTAAAACCGGAAGATGCTCCTTTGGATAGACCCAGTCACCTCATTCCTCAAACGGCCTCTGCTTGAGCTCCCTTGTGTCTGTTTTGATCATATACAAGACACCTGAATCCAAGATGAAGCTTGATTGGCATGCGGCTGTGTTTCTCTTGGGGACCGCAAGGGCCCGGGAGATGTCAGACCTTGAGGCGCTTTACAGAGAGGGATTGACACCGGATACCGCGATCATTAACGGAGCGGAGGTTGCGACACTCTCACAACCTCTTCCACAAGGCCGTGAGATAGACCGCGCCAACTGGACCGCCAACTGTACTACCGTCACGAGCGGCCACAACTGCAGCCAAGCCTTCGATGGCGACAGTAACACCTATTGGCAAAGCGACAGTTCCGGCAACTCCCAGAGTATCACGATTGACTTGGGAACGCAGAAATACGCCGTGAGTGGCCTGACTATGGTTCCCAGGCAGGATGAGGCTACTGGTCTCATTGAGCAGCATCAAATCTTTTTGAGTGTTGACAATGAAACTTGGGACTTGGTTGCGTATGGAACCTGGTGGCCGGATCAAAGCCAGAAGCTCTCGGCGTTCCAACCGAAAAAGGTCCAATATGTTCGATTGACGGCCCCTGCGCCAAATGGAATTGCCATCGCGGATATCAGAGTGTACGAAAGCGAATTCATTGCCCCTAATGCTTCTCTGGGTGCCTGGGGCCCTACGATTGACCTTCCACTGGTTCCAGTCTCCGGTGCTGTCGATGCGAACTCTGGCGAGGTTGTCGCCTGGTCCTCGTGGGGCTATAAGATCTTCACCGGCGGCAAAGGAGGAAAGACACAAACCGCTACCTGGAATGGCAAGGCAAAGTCGGTGACCCGTCGCAGTGTCACTAATACCCAACATGACATGTTTTGTCCTGGTATTTCAATGGATGCGGACGGAAAGTTTGTCGTGACTGGAGGAAACGATGGAAGCGAGACCAGCATATACAATACCACCGTTCGTGACTGGTTCAAGGGAGGGGTCTTGTATGAGTTCCGCGGTTATCAAGCATCTACGATCTTGTCTGATGGGCGTATCTTCTTGATTGGAGGATCGTTCCAGGGAGGTGTTGGCATTAAGAACGGGGAGGTCTACGATACTAAAACCGACACTTGGTCTAAGCTTGACAATGCACTCTCATCAGCAATGCTCACTCAAGACCAACGAACATACAGACAAGACAACCACGGCTGGCTATTTGGATGGACCAATGGCTCCGTTTTCCAGGCCGGTCCCAGTGTGCAAATGAACTGGTTCGGCACATCAGCGAACGGCAGCACTTCTCCTGCCGGGAATAGGACCGGTGATGCAGACGCTATGTGTGGTAATGCGGTTATGTATGACCAAGGTAAAATCCTTACCTTTGGCGGTTCCCCATGGTACGAGACTCGTGAGGCCACCAACAACGCTGCCATCATCACCATTGACAAAGTCAACCAAAGCGCCTCTGTCCTTCCAAACGCAGGTGGTGGGATGAACTACAAGCGCACTTTCCACACGTCTGTCGTTCTCCCGGATGGCTCGGTGTTTGTTCATGGTGGCCAGGTTGTCGGACTTCCATTCAATGAAAGCCAGCCTCACATGACCCCGGAGCTGTTTATTCCCAATACCAAGGCTGCGAACGGAGGTACCTGGGTTAAACAGCAGAAAAACTCCATTGTCCGAGTGTATCACAGCATCTCTCTCCTGCTTCAAGATGGTACTGTTTTCACTGGTGGTGGTGGTCTATGCGGAGATTGTGACGCCAATCATTTCGACGGTCAAATCTACACACCTGCCTATCTGCTGAAACCCGATGGATCCCTCCGTGACCGTCCCAATATCAAGACCGTGACATCAGGCCCGATTCAGCCTGGTGGCTCTGTCGAGGTCACCACCGATGGCCCTGTCGATTCTCAGGCGTCGATCATCCGCTATAGCTCCAACACGCACACAGTGGATACCGACCAACGACGGATCGCGGTTCAATTGACAAAATCTGGGGAGAACAAGTACACGTTCAATATCCCTGCTGAGCCAGGAATTGCTCTGCCCGGCTATTACATGCTTTTCGTCCTGAAAGACGGAACACCCAGCCACTCGGTCAATGTCAAAGTGGCTGCTGCTTAAGCCACGGATGAACTGGTATGACTGTCCAAGAGAGCCAATATTGCCCAATTTGCCTACTTTACCACCGCAGCGACCTGAACGGAGGAGGCCGCTGCTCTAATACTTAGCTTATTTGAGTAACATAATGTTTTGATGGGAACAAAGTGCTTTTAAAATATTAGGGTACTGGAACACATAATGTCAGTCCCCACCCCAGTTCATAAATCCATAGCGTGTTATTCTGACTAGCAAGCAGATGGCACTCAGCAGTGAATATGCTGGTAGTACCCTTCGTGAGGATTTTGACTTTTCTCAAGACCAAGAGGATGTACTGCCAAGCTGTTAATCTTTGGATGAGGTGAGTTGATATGCATTCATACTTGAAAAATATCGGGATAATGAGTTACTGACTGGCGCAGGCTCGTTTAGCAGTATAGGATCGAGGGCTACAAACTGGGGCAAGGCTGTGCGATCCCAGACCACTCCCAGAATGACAACCAGAATCTTGTGAGAGAGCACAGTAACTCGAGTAGCCCTGACTCGTAGTGTATTTGAGAGAGGATTCATAAGGGATCCTCAAATCATCGATTAGTTCTGCGTGAACGAAAAGTAAAACTAAGGTCTCTGGGACCCTCTCCACCCGGGCAGTTCCGATCATGTTGGAACGTAAAGGCCATTCAACCTACCTAGGTAGGCTGGAGCGTTGGCATCATCGCCATTCTTCTCATCGAGGCTGTTGTCAGGAGAGTGTGGTCGGCTTCCGTGCTTTTGTTCTCCCCATCGATATTCTCACCGTTTGGTGTTGAGTCAGGCGCGGTAGCGGCGTGGGTACGGTCCACGAAGCGCTTGAAACACATCCTCAGTCTATCCAGACTAAAAGGGCGAGGGAATGAAGATTGGGCTAGGAAAAAGACCAGGTTAGCTTAGCTCTCATTTGTCATTTCTTCACTGACTCTGAACTCGGCATCCTCCATGCATCGAAGAAAGATATGGTCTTTATCGACTTTTTTGGCGATGGCTTGTCGCCGCTTTGCTGACTCGGCTTGAGGGGCCTTTAGGCCTGTTCGCCTGGGACCCAGTCGCCCTGGTGGATATTTCATTCATGGTAGGATCAGGCCTTCCTTTCGGGGCCATTCTCGGAAATTGGATTGTGTTGTAAACATTTCCGCGTTTGTGGAGAAGTGTTGTAGAACGAGGGAAGAGGAAATGGGGAAGAGCGAAGAAAAAAAAACCGAACTAGTTCTTTACAGCAGTCAGCCAATACATTAAGCTAGACCTTGGGGCGATAACTAGGAGGGTGAGGAGAGAGATGTAGCTTCAGTCTAATTGGTACCCTTGGACATTGCCTTGTTGCTCAGCTTGTGCGTTCTAGATATCTGACTTGCCTTACTATCGATAGCTTGCAATAAACTTCTTTTGACCTAAGCCTTGCTTGCCATGAAGTAGAGAACATCTGAGGCAAACAAAAGAAAAGCGCGCTAACACCCCCATGTATCTTTCTGCTCATTATCTCTTCTTCCTCTTCCTCTTCCTCTTCACTACATCAACGTCGGATCACTTTGCCCAGGGCACTATACGCCTACAGATCCACTCAAGATCGGATCTGCCCTGAGGGTATGACACTGATCTGTCCCTACAAGGAGCAGATCAAGCGAGTCATTGAGCGTTTCTCCGCGGAAGGTGTGGGGTACGAACGATGTTTGACGATGGACGGCTCACAGTTACAAATTCGCAAAGTTCCCAGTCATTCTGCTGTTCAATTCCCACTCACTGCGAACGCTAAGTTCTTCGGGATGCTTTCAGATCTCGGGTTATCCAGCCAAAACTGGAATATCTGCCTGTCCATATTCTTCATCACTTATGCTGCGGGTGCCAATACTCTCAAATACTTAATTCTGAGTGCGAAGTTCTCGGCTAGAGGCGAGTTAGGGTGAGAATCATATACGGAGTGACTAGATGTATAGACATTTCATCTGTTTCATTTCCAGTTGACTACAATATACACTACATTAAGTTATAGCTCAACACTTCCTGGGTATTCTACCTAGATATATAGCTAAAATCCGTTCTACTTTACACGGGTCCACTCATAATAACATCGCTCCAAATGCAGCATGTAGTTTTATTCGGCAAAAAAGGTGGCCCCTGACTCTAGTTCAGTGTATGAATCTGCGTCATCGGCGAGACCTAGCACTGGACTTAGTAGTTCGCAGGTTATACGGGCTCCGGCTAACATTTTCCACTCCGTTAGGCGCGACAAGGCGGAGCTTGCAGAGGAAGAAAATGCAGTCTAAGACGAGCCACTGCCATTCCAAACATCATCACCAATAGGCGTGTTCAGAATGTCGGATTCAATTGTATCGGCAGAGTCAGTCCAAAGGTTTAGACCATTGAAAAGCTTCATGGAGTCATTGTAAATCCCGGGGATCTTATAAGTCAAACTGGGGGAGCCGTTGCCGGAGCCGGTGACCTTGATCTGGGCACAGCTGCATATGTTGGTTAGATGATGCCTTCAATGTAAAATGTCACATGTTGTCTCACCTGTAGAATATCTCGGCCTCATTGTTCTGAGCGCCATGGAGGCCGACGTGTTCAGCACGGACAAGGTACTCGCCTGCCGGGGTATTTCTAGGGATCTCGAACTCAAATTGTGACATGCCGTAGGTGCACCAAGCATCCTTGGTGAGATCGCCGCTTTTGTTGCAAAGAGTCTTTTCCCAGATCTTGAACCATTCACCGTCGCCCTCGTACTGCTGGACATTACCCGAGGGTGCCTTGGACATATCTGTAGCAGAAGAGCTAGTCAGCACACTAGATATAGATATTCGGAAAATGCGTTCATACAAACTTGCCCTGGTCCAGGATGGGCGATAGTTCCGTCATAAAAGAGCTTCATGGCAATGCTATCACCAGCAGCGACCTCTGCGACCTCGGTCTTTGCGGCGTTGGTAAAAGAGCCCAAGTTGCAGCGGAAATCGCTGTCAGTGGGAGTCAGATTGTCGAATGTGGAGCTGAACTTGGTGGGCATATAGTTCTTGCTCCGAGTAGTCTGACGAATATACTGCCAGTCACTCGATGTTTCGCCGTTGACAACAAGCTTGCTGAAAATGTAGTGCGCTGAAGCGGACTGCGCCAGCGCAGCGGTGATTGCAACGAAGACTGCAGAATACTTCATCTTGGCGTCAGGAATAGATGTAAAACGACCGAGAGGAAAAGATCTACTCTAGGTAGGATTTGAAAGATATCAAAAAGCGAGTCCTGTGCTGATTGAGGATTCTCAACGATCAGATATTCTCAGATATTTATACTTCCAAACGGTATGTCTTCCTTCCGTTTGTGTGTCTCAAAGCATAGAGACTTGCATATTCTATGTCTTAACATCATTTACTTGATACAAAATGTATTTCTTTATATGTTTGATTGTAAAGGGCAGACCGCGATAGGTTGGCTTGGCTTCTAAGCCATTGTTTTCGGGAAATTGAAATTCAGTAGAGAATCTGCCGGGCAATTGTGAAACCATACGATTGCTATCAATAGGTTTTCTACCCGAATTTTGGGGTATGTTAAACTCTCAAAATACAAATTGCACGTGTGATCAGTCTATCTCGTTCTGGGGCTCTCAAGTATAATTGGTTGCCCGATATCGCCATATTGCAGCGCGCATTTTACATTACTGACAGGTGCGACTCCCTGGGAGGGGCTGTGGAGAATTAGAGGGCGCAATTAATAAGTGCAGATTGTGAAACAACTGGCAGGGACGACATTGTATCGCATATGTTCTGAGACGAGATAAGTATGTTATGATTTTAGTAAACCCCCGAGACCCAGCCAGGACAGCAAATCTGTTTCGCTCTTGAAACGGGCTAGTAAACATCCATCTATAGGCGTACTGCTTCTCTCTCAAGAAATCGATTACCTTAGCTGAGCTACATTTCCTTGTTTTATCTGTTTACATACTAAGTTGTAAGTGTTTAAACGTAAATAAAGAAGTCATTCTATGGTAAATGGTAATTGGGCGGATTTTTAAGAACTGTGGCATGCGTAGTAAAACTGCAGGTTTCTAGTAGAAAATCGCTGCTTTTTCGCGTCACAAAAATGTAAGGGGCTGGTTAGCTAAGACCCTTGCTAAATCCCGCGGGATTCGAATTACGGAGAGGGAGCCGTTTCTAGCCTTCAAATCGACCACTATCGACCTCAATTTCACCCTCATATGCTAGATGCAACCATTTTTCCAGTTGACTGAAAGTATATTACTAAATCCACGCGCCCAGTTGCGTAGGTCGAAAGTGAAGAATTATGAAAGGGTCTCTCAATTGTAAATGATCATTGCTTCGGACATTTAGATTACGGGAATCTATATGAAACTAACACGGGGAAGTTGCTGATAACCACGAAATGAACGTTGGGAACTGTGGGCGTAACAGGACACAAACACAGGCTGAGGGCAGTGACGTGACGTATCTAGGTGTGATACAGTATATAGCGCAATGGAAAGTTTCGCTAGATGAGGAAATAAAATCTCAAGGGTCCAACCACAATCATCACAGGTGAGATGAGATAATGTACAATTCAACGACAGGCTTGCTAATGTTACATACTACGGACAGTGAAAATCCCCGCTCGATCAAATTCACAGCTGCGTCAACAAAGATTCGACAAACGTGCGCAGATTATCCAGCGGCACATCCTCCTTGACGTCCAACCGACGGCACTGCACCTCAAGGGTTTGTTTCTTCTTCCACCCCTTGCCAACAACCACAATGATAGGGTATCCGATCAGATCCGCATCACCAAGCTTCCATCCCATACCTTTATCGCGATCATCGAGGATGACATCGACAGGTGCGGACGGGTCTGCAGTAAGGGAATCATATACCTGATCAGCAACGCTTTCCATGCCCTTTCCTGGGACCACGACCACCTCGTAAGGGGCAATGACACGCGGCCAATTAAGTCCCTTGGAATCTGCCAGTCTGTTTGCAACGGCAGAGATCATACGCGAGACACCGATTCCATGGCATCCCATTTGCATAGGTACAATTTGCTCCTTGGCAGAAGGCTTCGCAGCAGACTCAGAAGGCCCCTCGAGGAGAGATGAATTTACCGATACGGACGCATGAAGGACTTCACTGTATCTTGTTCCGAGGTGGAAGGTGTGTCCTAGCTCGACAGCAGAGTGGCTAGTCAATGATCCATGCGCGCATTGCGAGCAATGGTCTCCGTCATGGACCCGGACGAGACTGAGCTTGTTCGAGGTGTCGGGGAACCGGTCCAGCTTTGAGTACTCAATGTCATCGGGCGTGCACCCAGCTTGCTCGAGAAGGTCGCTTAGCGGTGGACGTTGGTATACCCTAACCTGCGAGTCGTACAAATCCAAGACACGTGACTTGTTTGTTGAGGATTTGTTCTTTTTGACGTGAGCAGTCCACTTCTGCAGTGGGTTCTCCACACTGAGATCGAGGTCAATGCCAGCGGCGGTCGCGATGGCCTTGACCGCATGCGAGTTGACATGGCGCTCAACGGGCTCCGTGGCGCCATTTTGCATTGAGAATTTGGGGTACCAGCCCCGTACAATAGTGTTGCTGTCGTGGGAAACGGCCATCCACATGCCAGTTGAGATTGTCGACATGCCCTCGATTTCGGCATCACCGGTCTGGAATCCAGGTATCCTGTTCTGCTCCGTGTCTTCGAAGTTATGCGTCTTACCATCGGCAAGCTCTTCATTATACACATGGTCACAGTGTGAGCAACTGACCACATCGTCTTCGCCCTTGGGGCTGATAAAATGGTATTCGTGGCTTAATGACCCGCCCATGTTCCCGGAGTCTGCTGCCGCAACCAGATACGGGATCTTAAGTTCGTCGAAAAGTCTTGTGTAGGCCCGCTTTACTGCATTGTATGTTTTCAATGCCTCGCTGACACTGTAGTCAAATGTGTAGAGATCTTTCATGATGAACTCCCGCCCACGGAGCAGGCCTTGTCTCGGCCGAGCTTCATCTCTGTACTTTCGGGCTTGATAAAAACACTCCAGTTAGCTTACTGAACAAGTTCAACCAGGAAGAGACAAGTCTCACAAATCTGATATACACGCAATGGCAGGCTCTTGTATGATGTTGTCAGATGCCCAACAAGGGAGGTGATCTCCTCCTCGTGAGTTGGAGCTAGGAGAAAACGAGTATCTTTCCGGTCATTAAACCGAAATAGCTACACTTGGGTTAGTAGAACGCTTTATACCATCATGAACAGTGGACCTACTTCTGATCCCTCGGTCAATCTGCCAGACTGTTCCCAAAGTTCCTGAGAAGATATCGAAGAAAGCGAGACCTTGGAGGCGCCTAATACATATGAGTGACAATTACTGGACAGCATGGTAAATTATCGTACCTAGTGAGCGCATATGCTTGTCAATTAGACCTTCTAGCTTGTCCTGGACACGTAACCCAAGCGGGAGCATGTGAAACACTCCAGAGTACGCCTGTACAGAGTTAGCGATGTATATAAAGACATAAAACCCAAAGTACATACTTGTCGAAGAAAGCCACCTCTAACGAGGAGGTCATTGGCATCCTCTTAAGGCTCTATCAGTATGTGGTGATCGCCGATTGTTATCGGGGCTGCAGATGGCGCACCTTTTTCTCCATCGACGGATTTCTTCGAGATTCCACCAGTAGGAATCCAGAAATTTGACACACGGCTACGGCCATCCAACTAAGCCAAGTCAGTATACCGATTTCAGGCCATTGAGACAACTTGAAGCGCATACGTGAAGATGGCATTGGTGGACGCGGAGGCTCAACGCCAGCCGGCGCGACGAGATACGCGCAAGACTGGGTCGCAGCCCAGAAATCATAATGAGATCCTACTTGAGAGGGTTTTCACGAATTGCATAGGAAGCTGAAATAGAATTAGTCGAGTAACTCGAAGTCTCCCTGATGTTTCTTATCGGCCTGGTCCGAGCGCCCGATAAACCCGCCGCAAAAGATTTCTCCGTCCAATTTTCTTTTCTCCAACATCAGTCAATCCCACACCACCACACATCATGGTCAAAGGGAAAGGAAAGCGCTCCTCGGGCGAAGACCAGATTGTGCCTGAAGCCAGCGTTTCAGCTCCCGATGCCCAACCTACGCCGAACATGCCGGACGAGAGCGCCTTCGCAGGCCTCCGACAAAAAATCGAACAACGTCTGAAGAACCAGAACCAGAACTCTGGCAAGGGAAAAGGAAAAGACAACAAGCCTAAAGCGCCTACTGAGGATGCTTCTACAAAGAAAGGGAAACAATCCCCCGCCAAGCCCGGCAAAGCCCAAGACGCTGCGCAAGGCAAGAAACGGGATCGCAATGGCGAGGTGATTGCTCGGGAGGAAAAGAAGGGTGGAAAGAACAAGCCAGAGAAGCCCAAGGGCTTTAACAAGAGCAATGATGATGAGACCCTGCGCCAGGAGATTCTCGCTATGGGTGGTACCGAGGAAGATCTCGATCTTCTTGCTGGTGTCGACTCCGAATCCGAGGTCGAAGGCGATGCTCCCAAGTCAAAGGGCAAGGGCGGTGATGAAGACCTCCGCAAGCAACTTTCCAGTATGCTGGAGGCTGCTGGCCACGTAGTGCCAGAGGACCTAGAAGATGATGAAATTGAGGAAGAAGAGGCCGAGGCCGAGGAAGAGAGCGAGGAGGATGTCGAGGCCGAGGAAAGCGAAGACGATGCACAGAGCAGTTCCCCGGAATCAGATATTGAGGAGGCATCTGCCCCAAAAGACAAAGCTGAAATTCCCATTCCTAAAGAATTTGCGAAGCTGGTATGTTATGAACAACCTAATCAGACAATACTGTTGCTAATCCAGAGAATAGAACGTCGCTCCTCGGGCCGATTGGTATAACGCACCTCTTCCTCCTCTTCCCCCAACCACCAAGCAGATGAACGCCCTGCCCCGTCACATGATCGATCGTATCCACGAGCTTGGAAACACCTTGCTCCAGGAAGAAAACGAGCAATATGCGGCCGCCCAGAGAGCTTCCGCATCTTCGTCCCACAAGTTCTACTCCACTATCATGGCGTCTGGTACCCTGAGCGATAAGATTTCCGCATTGACTCTTAACGTTCAAGAATCGCCTCTCCACAACACTAAGGGACTGGAGACCCTGATTGCCCTCGGAAAGAAGCGCAGTCGTGCGCAAGCAGTCGAAGTCCTGCGATCTTTGAAGGATATGTTCGCCCAGGGTACTCTGCTTCCCAGTGATCGCCGACTTCGATCTTTTGCCAACCAACCTGGACTCGTTGCAGCTTTCCAGGGTGCTGGTGGCCGATGGAACGATAAGGACCCTCTTCCCGGTGGTGTGCAAAAGAGCCACCTTATTGTATGGGCCTACGAGAACATCGTCAAGGATCAATTCTTCGAGGTTCTTAAGATTCTTGAGATTTGGTGTAACGACGAGATTGAATTCTCGCGGACTCGCGCTGTCAGTTACGTCTACGAACTTCTCAAGGAGAAGCCCGAGCAAGAGTCTAACCTCCTGCGTCTTTTGGTCAACAAACTGGGAGACCCAGGCAAGAAGATCGCATCTCGCGCATCATACCTTTTACTGCAGCTCGAGCAGGCGCATCCTCTTATGAAGCCTACTATCATCAAGTCTGTCGAAGAAGTGCTGTTCCGCCCCGGGCAGAGCCAGCATGCCAAGTATTATGCCATCATTACTCTCAACCAGACTATTCTGAGACAGAAAGAAGAACAGGTGGCTTCTCAACTACTTGACATCTACTTCGGACTTTTCCTTGTCCTTCTGAAGCCTCAGCGTAAGCACGAGGACAAGCAAGCACCCAAGGGCAGGCATGGAAAGCCCCACCACAAGGGATCAAAAGGCAAGGGAGAAGACCCTGCTAAGGGACAGGCTCAGGACGACGAGATGCGCGAGAAACTCATCTCTGGTGTCTTGACCGGTGTCAACCGTGCCTATCCTTTCACTGACTCTAACTCTGAGCGGTATGTTAATTCACTTGTATTGCTTGAAACGAGATACTAACTTTCTACTAGCATGTCGAAGCACCTTGACACCCTGTTCCGTATCACCCACTCCTCCAACTTCAACACCAGTATCCAGGCTCTTATGTTGATCCAACAGCTCACAGCTTCTAACCAAGTCGCTGGCGATCGTTTCTACCGCACTCTGTACGAGTCCTTGCTCGACCCTCGTGTTGCTACATCTTCCAAGCAATCTCTCTACCTCAACCTCCTGTACAAGGCCCTCAAGAACGATCTCAACGTCCGACGAGTCAAGGCATTTGTGAAGCGTATCGTCCAGGTGCTTGGTTTACATCAACCCTCTTTCATCTGTGGTATCTTCTTCCTGATCCGCGAGCTTGAGAAGACTTTCCCAGGCCTTTCATCCTTGTTCGACCAGCCCGAGGATAATGAAGATGACGATGAAGAGGTCTTCCGCGATGTTCTCGATGAGGATGACGAGCAGCCAGAGCCCACTGCCGTGGAGATCAAGCCCAAGGAATCCACTGTGTACGACCCTCGCAAACGCGATCCCGAGCACAGCAACGCCGACCGAAGCTGTCTCTGGGAATTACTGCCCTATACCACTCATTTCCACCCCTCCGTCTCCCTCAACGCTGCCAACCTCTTGGAACACAACCCCATGAGCGGCAAGCCCGATCTCACCCTGCACACCCTCACTCACTTCCTCGACCGCTTCGTGTACCGCACACCCAAGGCCTCCGCCCCCTCTCGCGGTGCTTCGATCATGCAGCCCCTCGCTGGTGGTGAAACCGCCGACCGCTTGGTCGAAGCCGGCAAGAAGGCGCAGAACGAACTGCCCCTCAATACCGAGGCATTCTGGAAGAAGAAGGCCGCCGACGTTGCCGCCGAAGATGTCTTCTTCCACGAGTACTTCACCCGTGTCAACAAGGACAAGGAGAAGGTGCGCGCGAAGAAGGGCAAGGACGTCGACCCCGTCGCCCGCGATGAAGAAGATGACGTTGATGGCGTCAGCGACGACGAAGACGAGATCTGGAAAGCACTCGTCGACTCCCGGCCCGAACTCGAAGCCGACGGAGACAGCGACGACGATCTGGATATGGACGACCTCGAGTCCGCCTTCGACGATTCAGAAGACGAGGGCGAAGGCGAAGGCGAGGACTCGGACGGCGGCGTTATTTTCAACGACGAGTCAGACGTGCCCTCCGACGAGGAGATGGCCGAATTCAGCGAACCCGAAGAAGCCGCTCCCGCTCCCAAGACAAAGAAGGGCAAGAAGGCCCAAGACGAGGACGACGACTCAGACGACTTCGACATGGATGTCTCAGACGACGGAGCCTTCGTCGACAGCGACGAGGACCTTCCCTCGGACATCGAGCTGGGCGGAATGGATCTCGCTCCCGCGGATGTTCCTGCGCCGGCCGAGTCGGATCGCAAAAAGCGTCGCAAGCTCAAGCAGCTGCCGACCTTTGCTTCGGCGGACGACTATGCTGCCCTGTTGGCCGACGACGACGATGGCATGTAAAGAGTTCCTTTGTATTTATCCTACTTTACCCGCTACCAAAAATTCTGTTTCCCAGCTGGAGTTGGGCTGTGCGTGCCTTTCCCTATTTCTTTGCCTTTTTATTCTGTTTTCATTGTCTATACATCCTGTATCTACCTAGACACCTCTAGTATATTCACTCTGTTGCCATTCTTATGAGGACGCTCAGAGTGGGTAAATTCCAGTCCTCTATCGACACTCCCATTCAAGCGTAGTTACACTGGGTCAATCGTGACGACTACTTGACCAGAACTCAACCCAAATTCAATATGTCCCTAGTCAGAGCACAAGGATATTCTCTCGCTTCCCACTCAGGCGTCCCTCTGGTGGCCATCTTATCCCAAGTGTGATTACACCGTCCGATCCGCTCACTAACAGCCTCCTTCCCAGGCGACTCCTGCAATCTCGCCGCCAAACGCTCCACCTCGACCGCCAGGTTATCATAAGCGGCCGTGACAATCGAACCCCGACACGGGTACCGGTCAAGAGCAGCATAAGAAGGCGGAATACGAGGATCACGGGAATCGACACTTGAGGGCATATAACAATACGCAAAGAACCGTATCCTGAACGGCAGCAAGGGTTGAGCATAACCAGAGAGCCGGGATCAGCGAAAGCTTCGACTACAGGATAGAAAGCCAATACCGAGGAGAAAGTGTCTGGGGCAAAGAGATGCACAAGGAAGCTATCAAGACAAGGTTTCCACCGGCGTTACCGATATGAAAACGCGTGACGTATCAAATATACTCGGTTGGCCGAGAACCCAGTTCACAGCGTCTTCGGTATCGTGCAGTGCAGCTGGGAATGAATGTTCGGGAGCAAAGCATTATTGGCCGTTGATGATGATGTACTTGCTCTGTTGGCTCAATCGGCGACAGAATGCGTGCTTGTACTCTCGGCACTCGACCTGGTATTGAAAGCGACGATAGATTTGGTCGTGAAGCTTTGACGACTGCAGCAGAGCAATATCAAAGTCGAGCTACCAATATTCTGGCACACGTCATTGGTGCATCTGGCTGGGATAATCACCACTGGACTGGGAACGGTCGATTAGCTCCATTGCTAAGCATCGTGAGCTATGTCCCGCTTTCAGACTCATCACTCCAGACGATATCCCTCCTCTGAAGTGAACATGAGTCATCGTAGCTAAAATCAAGAAAACGAGGATGTGACAAGAGGTATTCCAACCTGCGATTGACAATTTAGGGAGCCTATTAGGCGCAATAGGTGCAGGGGAGGAAGAATTGGTGGCAGGATCTTTATGAATTTCCCTAACTCCTGTGCACTTCTTTGAGCTTGCTAGAGAGCGGACACCTTCGGCTCTCGTGATGTTGGCGTATTACCGCAATGCCATGTGTTATATTCGGAATAAGCGGTGGATTAGCCACTTGAGCCAGAAACTACTGGCTGTCATATGACTGGACGCGTGTAATTTATTGGCCGTCAAGGCCCACGGAAGTGCTACCAAAATGTTTGACCAAATTTTACTCAATGTCTACTACGCTTCCAGAAGCGCATTCCTTTGGGCCGAAGCTCAGACCTACTGCGGCAATCACTAAGTACTACGAAGCGACGGCCTGGTATAAGGGAATCCCTGAGGGTACTATCTACCGCAGCTCTGGGCGCCAATATGACAAGCTTTCCAAGAACGGTTCACCCCTGTATATCTACATCTACTAGACCACTTCAGGTGTTGGCGGCGCCTGCAAGTATTATAAGGCGAACCCAGAATCCCAAGATCGCCTACTGCACCTCAGTAAATTCGGCAGAGTAGCAAGCTGTAAACGCCTAGAACAGCAAGCAGTACGAGCAGGGGGCATTCAAATAAGCTATTTCGATCAGCTCCGGTGGCTCAGCGCCCGGTGGAGTGTTGATGCCATCGCTGCGGGTTCGCACGCAAGAGCGGGAACGGGCCAGAACTGGTACGGTATTGATATTGGTATGGGTATATCGTATTTTTGAGAAGAATTGTTCATGTGTCAGGCCATATGTATGTCATTCATGGTTGTTTCCAAGGATGCCCTGGTGGCATGATGCTTGATGAAGGCGAACCTATGGTACCAATTCATGGACGTTCGGGAGGACCTGCCCACTGAGCTTTGACCCTGCGGCCTTGGTGAGGTGACTCAGCCATGAGTCAGCCGCACGTGCAGATTGAATGTTGATGCCTGAGGCGTAAATGGGCATTTCTACCAAGTGACAACAGGATCTAGATGTAGTTCTAACAGCATCAACCTCTGAAAACCTAGACCCTCATGGATGCGACTTACATGTACACTGTACCACAGATCCGGCAGTTGCCTACTGAGGAAATATCACCACATCAGTGGTCAAGTCGGAGGATCGGCCCCCATCGCATTCAGCCACGATGATCGAATCAGATCTCGGAAAATGGTCACTTTACGCTCAATACTCGAATACCAGGCAGAGCATCCATGTTTTCAGTGCCCCGTGTGCATGGATTCTGATTCGGACTCACCAAGCAGGGGGCTTCATTCGCTCGACCATTGCCGCATGCGGGGCCTGCATGGAGCTGATATGATATGCGGGCGCAACCGACATGCCCCCAATCAACTGCCTCGTGGCCCCCCTTGCTGGCAAATACGAAAAAAAAAAGTGAAATAAAAAAGTGGAAAAAGTGACAAAAAAAGAAGAAAAAAGATGCTATATCGAAGCATCAGAAAAGGGAAAAGTTTGTCTACCAGGATCAAGGATCCAGCTGCCGTTCCAGGTATCAACTGCCCCTTGGCGTCCAAGCGGTGGCTTACGCCTCTCCCATTGCGGGTTACTCCATCACGTCATATACTTAGCATTCGGTACTGTCGACTTTTGCGATCGACAGGTTTTTCTGTCCGGGATTGGCAGTGGAGCAATTGGAAATGACAATACAGAGTCGACTGTTCTACCGTACCTTAGTCTTCTTTTTCTCTTAGACTTTCTTAATTTTAGCTTAGCCTCTTGGTGTCTGTGTTCTCTGATCTCTTCTTCTCTTTACTTATTTCCTCTTCTCCCCCCCGGTTTGGTTCTATCCAGGCAATACTACCTCAAGTGGTATCCATGCCCTAATCCGTCCACCTCCACCTCCACCTCCACCTCCGCAGTCACTACTAGTCACTACTAGTCACCACTGCTCACAGGGACTTCATCTTGCATTGGAGCAAGGCGAATTGATCGGCGCAATTATCACCAAAAGACACTCCCCTCACACGCGACCAGCACCCTATCAAGCAAATCCTAGAGAGAATTACATGCATCCGCAGATAATTACCTCTCCTCTCAACTCCACCGAGTTTCGACAAGCGCGACTCGTCCGCTCGTTAAGTTCAAAATGGCTGGGCCGAATCAATCAACAGCAGCACCAGCCCCGCTCGGCTGGGATCACGACCGGGATATCAACCGCAGCCCTGACCTCTCCGATAAATCAGAGGAGCCTAAGCTGAAGGACTATGACATTGAGAGTCATGGTCGTCGCCGCAGTTCGCAACATGTTCATGCGCTCGACTCTTCTTCCACGACGGAAAGTGTCGGGCGCCAGATTGAGCTGGAGTCGGAGAATACTATCAAGTACCGCACGTGTAGTTGGCAAAAGGTGGGTTTTATGTCGAAACTTGCATCGCAAGGAAATTGAGGGACCAATTGGGCGAAATTTACTAATCCATGGTTACAGACTGCTGCGTTGCTCTTCTCCGGAGTACATCTGTCTGGCTATTATGTCCTTCCCCTGGTCATATTCCATTCTGGGCCTTGTCCCGGGTTTGATTTTGACGGTGGTGATTGCTGGAATCGTCTTGTATACCTCGCTGATTATCTGGTATGAATATTCGCAGCATCTGCAACCCCTGTTTAAACTAATAACCTGATAGGAGATTCTGTCTGCGACACCCTGAAGTCCGCGACGTATGTGACATTGGCCAGTACCTATTCTGGGACTCCAAGATCGCCTGGTGGGCCACAGCAGTGATGTTCCTCTTGAACAACACCTTCATCCAAGGCCTGCACTGTGTCGTAGGCGCCGAATACCTGAACACAATGTCCAACGGCGCCGTCTGCACAGTGGTTTTCTCACTGATTGTGGCCATCATTTCGTGGATCTTCTCGCTGCCACGTACATTCAGCGCCCTATCCAAGGTAGCAACCTTATCAGCATTCTTTACCTTCGTCTCCGTCATCCTAGCCGCCGTCTTCGCTGGAGTCGAAGACCATCCTAAGGGATACACTCCGGCAGACGGGGACCCGATTTTCCTCGCCATCCCTCCCAAGGGCACGACCTTCGTGCAGGGCATGAACGCGTTCCTGAATATCAGCTATACCTTCATTGGCCAGATCACTCTGCCCAGTTTCATCGCTGAGATGAAGGAGCCCCGCGATTTCTGGAAGTCTGTGACCGCAGTTACCATTGCGGAAATCATCGTGTTCAGTCTGGTCGGCGCTATCACGTATGTCTATGTCGGAACGCAGTATATGACCGCTCCCGCCTTCGGCTCTCTCGGCAACGATGTGTACAAGAAGGTTTCATTCTCGTTCATGATTCCGACCATGATCTTCTTGGGTGTCCTGTACGCCTCAGTCTCGGCGCGATTCATCTTCTTCCGCTTATTCGAGGGAACCCGCCACAAGGGTAACAACACCGTTGTTGGATGGGCTGCCTGGGCTGGAATCCTTGCTGGGCTGTGGATCATGGCTTGGATCATTGCGGAGGTTATCCCCTTCTTCTCGGATCTTTTGTCGATTATGAGTTCGCTTTTCGATTCATTCTTCGGTTTCATTTTCTGGGGAACTGCGTATATGCGCATGCGCGCTGCGGATCATGGTCCTCGCTTCTTTATGGTTCGGGGTATTCGTGGTTGGTTGGGATTCATTTTTAATGTTTTCCTTATTCTTGTTGGATTCTTCTTCTTGGGACCTGGTACTTATGTAAGTTGTCTCCGTACCATGGATTCTGTCCGTTCCTGGCTTTTGGTGAACCGCCGCTAACATTTCTCTTTCTTTTCCAGGCTGCCGTTATGTCTGTTGTAAGCAGTTACCGGGAAGGCACCGTCGGCGGCGTCTTCACCTGTGCCAGTAACGCACTCTAAACCACCGCAGGGCGGAGAGTTGAGTGCTTTTTTGTAAGAATTGTCGCATTTATCGCATCTTCTGCATGTTGTTTTCAATCTACCGGCGCTTGGACTCCGGGAACTTTATGACTGTGATGACCGAGAAGGTAAGGGGTCGTGAAATCTTGGTTTTTGCATAAATACCACCTCTTGGGATATCAGGTGGTTTATTTTCTTTGGGGCGGATCATGCTCTGTGGTTGGGGGATATCCTCCATCGAAATTCGCTTTGTATGGCTTGGCGAGACGCCCGGGGAGTTTGGTCTTGCAACGCCTTTATATGTATATTTTTCATCCCTGCATTCCTTGCACAGATTGATCTCAATTAAACGTAGGCTATCGGCTTGGAGGGGTCACGCCCGCTCTCCGGTCTTGACTTACCATTGCCGCGGAACTGCTCCGATTGTGTTCCGGTTGATGTTTAGTTTCTCCTGGGTTGTATAGCCCGGGTCTACTTTTGATCGATGGAGGTCGCCATAAGCATTTTGATGTGGTACCTACCCACTAAGTATACTCTAGTAGCTAATACTATAACATTGGCCAGTTAGAAAACGCCAATTCACAAGGCAATTGTGATTCCCGACGACATAACGCAGTCCGCCCGCTATAGAGCGCATCCCAATCGGGCAACCAGCTGCTCCGGGATTCGCCCTATCACCACGTGACTTTTCCGCACTGCTTCCCCGAGGGTGGATTGGTGACTTCTTACGGTCCATTTCTTCCTCTTTTCTTTCTTCTCTTCGATTCACTAGCATTGATTCACCATGTCTAGCGTCCGTACTCTCAAGCGTGGCGTCGACCTCGTCGCCGCGAGGGCCGCTGCCCTCCATGCTCCCCGCGCCTCTATCGGCTCCACTATGCTGCGGAGGGAGCTCTCCTCCGCGGCCATCGTTCGCCCAACTGCCCCTCGGTCATTGAGATCTAAGGCTCCAATTGCAGTCGCAGCATCACGGGCTGCTAATCAGGCTGTGCGCTACGCTTCCAGCTCCAATGAGTCTCTTAGCAAGACTCAGCTCTATGATCTCCATATCCAGCGCGGGGCTAAGATGGTCCCCTTCGCCGGGTTTGATATGCCGCTCGTCTACTCCGATATGAGCCATGTGGAGAGCCACATGTGGACGCGCGAGAAGGCCAGTCTTTTCGATGTCAGCCATATGTAAGTTGGCCTTTTCCGAGGCGGAATTGACCTGCAATGGCTAATTAATCTTCCGTTCTATAGGGTGCAGCACCACCTGAGCGGCCCCGGAGCCATTGATCTGCTAAAGAAGGTTACTCCCTCTTCGGTCGACAAGCTGGCTCCTAACAGCTCCACCCTGTCCTGTTTGTTGGAAGAAGGCACCGGTGGAATTGTCGACGACTGTGTCATCACCCGCCGCACAGAGGACACTTTCTACTTCGTGACCAACGCCGGCCGCCGTACCGAGGACCTGGCCTATCTGACCGCCGAGATCGAAGCCTACCGTTCCCAGCACGGTGCCGACAGCATTAAGTGGGACATCCTTGAAGACCGCGCGCTGGTCGCGCTGCAGGGCCCCCTCGCCGCCTCCGTCCTTCAACCTCTCATCCACACAGCCAATGCCTCATCCGCCGAGACCGACCTGAGCACCCTCTACTTCGGCAACTGTCGCGAGCTGCACCTCACTCTCCCCGACGGCACCCCAACCCCCAACCCTCTCCTCATCTCTCGCACGGGCTACACTGGCGAAGACGGCTTCGAGATCTCCATCCCGACATCCGGAGCCCCCAAACTCGCCGAGCAGGTCACTGAGCTCCTCCTCGCAGACAGCAGCAAGTCTCGTCTCGCCGGCCTCGCCGCCCGCGACTCCCTCCGCCTGGAAGCCGGCATGTGTCTCTACGGCCACGACATCACCACAGCACAGACACCACCCGCGGCCGCCCTCGGCTGGATTGTCAGCCGTGACCGCCGAGACCCCGCAACAGCCACCTTCAACGGCGCATCCGTCATCCTCTCCCAGATCGCCAGTCCCAAGAGCATTGCTCAGCGCCGCGTCGGTCTAACCATCGAGAAAGGTCCCCCAGCCCGTGAGGGCGCTATTGTAGTTGATATCGCTGACCCCGCCAACCCCGTTGAAGTCGGCGTTGTCACCTCCGGTCTGCCCAGCCCCTCGCTTGGCGGTGCCAATATTGCTATGGTTTATGTCAACACTGGGTATCATAAGAAGGGTACCGAACTTGGCGTTAAGGTCCGTAACAAGGTCCGCAAGGCTAAGGTTGTTGGTATGCCTTGGGTTGAGAGCAAATTCCACCGTCCTCCTCAGTAAAGCATCGGTTGGACTGTAGGGTTGTTCTAATGCTCTTTTTTTGGATTTGATTCATTGTGATGTTGGGGGTCGTGCGAAAGACTAGCGCTTTGATGATTTTAACCAACCTGCCTGTATATACGTTTCCGATTTTTATGACTGTGGAGCTTAACCTCCCAAAAGACTTTCTTATTATCTTCATATATTCTCCTTGTTCCATATTAACTGCAATGAGGTCAACCATCATTGTTGTTCTTGGGTAGGTATTACTTGGCGATGGAAAGGTTTCCTCGATTAGGGCTAACTATACAGCAACATCAAATAGCTTGGGCCCTATCAACCTTACAAGCTCAGCTAACATTAATTTCCAAGGTCGCAGCATTTGTAATAACTCAAACAACGTGAATGAAAGATAAAGTATCCTAAAATAACATAGGGGACAATAAAGGGGCAAGTTAGGGTTAGGAATCCAATATCAAACCCGGAAACCCTTCTTCCCCAAATTCCCACCCCCAGCAACACGAGCATGCCTCTCAAAATGCAAATGCTTCCTGGATTGACCACCAAGAGGAGAACCAACAAACAGCCCATCATCAACAACACCCTCCCACCTCCTGACATGCGCACCTCCCACCCGAACCTCCCCCTCTCCAGCCACCTCCCCAGCCAGCGAAGGCGGCAAATCCCCCTCCTTAGTCCCCCAATCCCCCTCCGAATCCCCAAGCACAAGAACCAACTCCCTCCCCTCCGTAAAGAAATCATGACCCACCCAATTCTTAGTATAAGCGACCCCATCGAGAGTAGCAGACTGAATAAACCCACTCCCCCCACGGCCCCCCGACCCAACCGTCCCATTAACAGTATTAAACTTCGCCCAATTAACCACCCTAACCGTCGCCGTTTTCCCCGTAAGTGGACTAACAATACTAACAGCCTCAAAAAACGGCACTGTAAGCAGGTAAACGCTCTGGCCCGGGTTCGGGAATAGACCCATCATGGCCATCGCGACGAATGAGCCCATTGCGCCTGAGTCGTCGTTTCCAGGTAGTCCTGCTGGTGTCGGTGAGAAGTAGTCTGGGATGTAGGTTCGGACGCGGGAGGTGGATTTTGCGGGCCGGCCGGCGTAGTGGTATTGGAAGACTGTTAGGAAAGCTGGTTCATTGCCTATGTAGGTTATGTTTGTGTCGTGCAGGTGGTCGAGGCGGTTTGTGAAGTTGGTTGGTCCCCCAAGGTAGGTTATTAGGGTTGACATGTCGTGTGGGACGAAGCTGGTTATTTTGTTAGGGGGTATAGGGATGGATGGGGGGCTGGATGTTCTTACAATTGATATTCCCAAATACTCGATTCAAAGGTTTCTCCCGCTGTATTCTGAAGCGAACATGCACGACCACTCATATCAATATTCGAGCACGCAAGCGGATCTTGATATCCCCACGTCCCATTCGAATACTTCGGCTGAAAGAATCCCGTAAAGCCTGTATCGTTGCCTTTCCACAGAGATGTCTGATCTTTCTTAAAGAGATTTCGCCAATTGCGAGATCGTTTCTCGTACCGCTCTGCGTCGACTGTCTTGTTGAGACCGCGCGCCATCTGTGCAATGGCAAAGTCATTGTATGCATACTCGAGTGTGCGTGAGATACTGCGAGTCATGGTGCCGAAGCCTTCGTAGTCGAAGTCTTCGACTGGGATGTAGTGTAGGTTTTTCCAGCTGCGTAGGCCGCCCCGGCCTTCACTGGACCAGTCGTATGGTTCGTCTTCGGCATCTTTTTTGACGGCTGCGTAGCCGGCGTCCCAGTCTATGCCATCATGGAGGCCTTTGAGGTAGACGTCTGCTAGGATGTTGTCTGCGTTTGAGCCGCCTTGGGTGTATCCTGTAGGTATTCTATGTCAGTGTTTATTCCTGCTATACACGGCTAGGTAATTACCTTTGCAAAGTGACATGCGACAATCTGGTAGCCAGCCTAGATGGCGCTGGGTATCGATAAGTGAACGGACCATTTTTATCACAGCGCTAGGATCGAAGATAGTCAGGAATGGGATTTGGGATCTGAACGAGTCCCATAGACTGAGGTAATTGTTAGCTTTGCCTAGGCATTTCCCAATCAAAGTTGACTCACCAGTAGAAACTGTCAAAATAGGGCTCATTACTAGACCAGAGCACATTCTCTCCCGTATAATCTTGGGGATTGACCATTGTGCGATACACACCACTGAAGAAATTGGTGAGAACAGAATTGTCAATTCCAGTCCGGGACACGCGAATAGGGCGCATTTTCTCTGCCCATTGATCAATGGCAGCTTGATGGGTGGCATTGAAATTGAAGTCCTTGATCTCGGACTCCGCGTGTGAGCAAGCCTGTTTCGTGCTCACGAAGCTAACTCCAACCCGAGCCAAAATGGTATTGTCTGGGGCAGACTTGAAGCGGACGAATCCACCGCCCTATAATCATGTATAAGCCATGGCCATACTAGGGGGATGCTACGCAGCTCACCGGAAGAGGATATCCATTGATAGACCTCGAAATCTTCAAATCGTGAACATCAGCACTAGCACGGGAATTGACAAAGATCCCACTGTCTCGCTTCAAAGCCGGACTCTCAAAGTCTGCACAGAAATACAACGTATAAAATCCACTCCCAAAACTAGGCGTAAATCGCGCATCACCAGTCATCCGACCAGTCGATTCATCGACAGAGATAGTCGCATTATCCTGTCTAGAATCCGACAAATCGGTAAGATCAAGCAAAATCAACGGACTACTACCATTCGGAAACTGGAACCGAAACAACGATGTATGCTGTGCAGCAGTCATATCAGCACGGACCCCAGACGCAAGCTCTATAGCAAAGTATCCAGGATGCGCCTGCACCGAGTCGGGCTTATATTTGATTTTGCGCTGCTTTTTCGGATACACACATCCGTTCACTTCATCGCCGGCACATTCTGCGTATGGGAAAAGCGGGAAATTTCCCAGCGACGGACTGCCTCCGGTCCCTGAATCGTGCATGCTCGAGAAACCCGTCACATTGCCGCCTTCGTAGGCGAAGCCGCCTTGGTTGCTTTCTGAGTCTGTGTCTGCGACGGCTTTGGCCATGCCATATGGTAATGTAGCGCCCGGGAAGACATTTCCTGTGTTGGCACGATCATCAGTATAGGCTAGAGCCAATTGCCAATTGTTCAAGCTTACCTCCGTTGGCGCTGCCGATCAAGGGATCGACATATTGTAGGACATCGTAGTCCTCTACTGGAGAGGGGTCCGCTGCGTTAACTAAGACACGACTACTGGCAAGGACCAGCGACAGTAGTAATTGATATGGTGGCATGGTCGCCTGGTCGAATAAATTTGAGAGCCGAGTCGCGTGTTAGAAACAGCAGTCTGGCTGGTGTTTACTGCAGATCCCCCTCTACCCCTGCATCCCAGGGCGTGCTTGTCTGGCATGTACAGTGCTTCCCCTGTCGATCCCCGCGTGCATTCTTATCCCACATAGTGATGAGTTGGTATGTGGGTGACATGTTCATTCGACGGGTGGTGCAGAACGTGTTCAATTGGTCTGGGTTGGCAGTGGTGGTTGGACAGCCTTGGAGATGTGATTGAGAAATTAGCCATGACAAATAGATGGAGTTTTATTGAGGACTGAGATGAGACTGGAATTATACGTTTTCTATTGTGGTGAAGGCAGCTTTTCCAATCAATATATATCTTTCTCCAAAGGTGTCTTTTACTACAAATTTCTCATTCTTGAAATTCTACTTAGCTAGATATATATGTTACCTTGTAAAAGTAAGAAAAAATGAACTCATTCAACGAAAGAATAAGATCAGTGATAGCCCCTATCTACATATCCAACCAGTGTCCGTAGATCGACAGTATTAAGGCTACTTATATCAGTGTTTATAGTATTATAACAAGAGGGTCCACTAGCTTATAATCTCATCATCCCGAACTGTCAAGCATCAAATACGATAACTTTATCACTTCCAAGGACATGATGTTCGCATAACAAGGTAGCACTGAGCCACGGTGGGTTGCCACACCACTGTACGGTTACTCATGACTTGCGCTTTAGGCAAGACTCCGGGATATGTTATGATGAACTCAACAGAAACGATCAACCCTGTATCACGCTATGGTTTATTTAAGTTGACTGTGGTTCCAGAACACAACCAGTTTACTTCCTTTAATTATCTTGCCCTAACCCCCGAATATCATCTCGTTGTCGAGCACCATCGCGTTCTCGGGCAGGGGACTATTGTGGCGACTTGTTGCTGCATAGCCCATTACAATCAGGCTGGCGAGCAACAGCTATTGAAGGACGGAGAGCCAGTTTACTTCTTTTAAATTTCGTACCTTGCCCTCTGAAAATGTTGCTCACCCGCCTGGTCGCTACAAGCTATGCAGCAACAAGTCACCACAATAGCCCTGCTCGAGGCCGCGATAGCGCTTGACAAAGAGAATTACATTCCGGAACTCTACCTCGGAGATGTCATCAGGTGAGTGCGAATGGAACGTACATTATTCAAGAGCCTAATGATCCCCATTACTTAGTACCGGACACTATGTAAGGGGAGCAACAATGAAACCGTCGAAAGCGCATAGGTGATTCGGAGATACTAATGGATAACCTTTACTTTAGGAGCAGATCAGACTAGTTGCTCGGTCCAGTTCCCATCTGGTATAGTTCCTCAACGTTTATCAATCTGGTGATTTGTGCTCAAACCCGAATCCCGATGATCTGTCCGAGGTTGGAATGGAATGGATATTTGTAGTAACTTGGATGTAGTTTAGACTAAACTATAGTCAGATGTTTCCATTGGATTTTCCATTGGATTACTATATTTATCACTGAATATGCCCCATCTAATCCACTGGACAAATCTAGAACTTGAGTGTGGAACTATATGTCTGCCTACGGCGGAGGGTCTATGAGAAGGATATTTAGAAGGGCTTAAGGCAATTATTATTGAATTACTGACAGAAGGCCATATAAGATAGAAAAGCAAGTTGTGATCTCTCCAATACATCCACTAATTAATCTTTCATCTGGGGTGCAGGTCTAGTGCAGAACAGCCTGACCTAACTTGGACAATAAATATAAGAATCACATAAAAAGGGGAAAAAGGTACAAAAAAAAAAAAAAATTCCCAAAACAAGGCAACATGCAAGATGAGAGACAGAAAATAGAGCAGTGGCTTACAATCAATATGCAAGTTATGCCGTGAGATTCACGAACTCCGTCCGCCGAATTCGAGATGCCGAGGTCTCTCCACTCTCAACTTTGTCTCAACACTTCGCCTCTCTGATTTTTTCTGTGTTTTCGCCATGATTCGTCCGTTATCTCCTTCACTTCGTTCTCTCTCTCCAAACTTCCCTTCACACACCTCTCCTCGACTGCTCACCCAGCGCCGAGTCTCTCCACGTTCTTTCTCCGGTTCCCCGAAGCCTCACCACCGAGCCTACACAACAGGTAAGACACCTCCTTCTTTCCGAATACTTCACTCTTAACACACCACAGGACAAGCCCAAGCCGCCCAATCTCTCCAATCTCCAGCCCAGCCCTCGCGTTTCCGCCGCTTCGCAGGCTTCACAACGATCGCACTTCTCGCATTTACATTCGGCGTAATCTACCAAACCCAACGCACCGTATCACGCCTCATGTCCGTCACAATCCCCACAAACGAGGAGACCCTGGCCCTCTACACACCAGAGGATGCCATCGCCGAAGAGATTGAAACTACTCTCCGCACTCACCCCGTCGCCGAGTCCCTACGCGCAAACCCGGAATTCACCGAAGCGCGCCCACACCTCAAGATCCCCGAGGCCCTGCGCGAGCGCAGCCTGACTGGCGGCACCCTGCGCGGACCGAACAAGATCGTCGTGCCACCCCTCGTCTTCAGCGAGCGCGATGGCAAGAGCATGGTTTCGTTGATGTACCTCGGCTCCGATGTCTGCGGGCATCCGGGCATTGTGCACGGCGGTCTGCTCGCGACGATTCTCGACGAGGGACTTGCTAATTGCTGTTTCCCGGCTTTGCCTAATAAGGTGGCTGTGACTGCCAACTTAAATATTGATTACCGTGCTCCGGCTATGGCGAATAACTATGTGGCTCTCCGCGCTGAGACTGTCAAGGTTGAAGGTCGCAAGGCGTGGGTTGAGGGTCGCATTGAAAGTCTCCCGACTGATGGGAAGGACCCTGTTGTGTTAGTTGAGGCCAAGGCTTTGTTCATTGAGCCCAAGCAGGCTGCTGTAAGTGCTTCACTTCTACTTTTTTCCTGATGGTCGCTAATTGTGCAGGCGTTATCGAGTCTTTACAAGGTGGCGTAATTTTCTGAAATTTCTGCATGGTTCGTTCCTGGTTCCTGGCGTAGGGAGTTATAGATGTACATAGAACATATAAATAGAGAGAGCTGTCTATATTTTCTATTCCATTCCACTCAACCCATTCCACTCGTATACAATTGCGCCATCGTATACTTGACCGCCAAGATCTGCGAGCCCCGCGGATCCTCATTTCTTCTTACGCGGCCCCGTTTCAACTGCCCCTCGTCTTTCTTCCTCCTACATCTCCTTTGTACAGTGTGCAATTCCTCCAAAATGTCTACGTACGATCCCAATCCCACTCCCATTCCACCCCTGCGCCAAACTAACCCCACCACAGCAACATCACCTTCCACGCCAGCGCCCTCACCCGCAAGGAGCGCACCGAGCTACGCAACCAGCAGGGCCTCACAATCTGGCTGACCGGCCTGTCCGCCTCAGGAAAGTCCACCATAGCCGTGGAACTGGAGCACCAGCTGGTCCGCGACCACGGCGTGCACGCCTACCGCCTCGATGGCGACAACATCCGCTTCGGCCTGAACAAGGACCTGGGCTTCAGCGAAGCCGACCGCAACGAGAACATCCGCCGCATTGCAGAGGTCGCCAAGCTCTTCGCGGACTCGAACTCGATTGCCATCACCTCGTTCATCTCGCCCTACCGCAAGGACCGCGACACAGCCCGCCAGCTGCACGAGGTCGCTACTCCTGGCGAGGAGACTGGTTTGCCGTTCGTTGAGGTTTACGTTGATGTCCCCGTTGAGGTTGCTGAGAAGCGTGATCCTAAGGGTCTTTACAAGAAGGCTCGGGAGGGCGTTATTAAGGAGTTCACCGGTATCTCGGCTCCTTATGAGGCTCCTGCTAACCCTGAGGTTCATGTTAAGAACGATGAGCTTCCCGTTCAGGATGCTGTTAAGCAGATTATTGAGTACCTTGATTCCAAGGGATATCTGCCTAAGAAGAACTAAGGGGAAGGGGTTTGATGTTGTATATAGAGTATGCTAGATGCTTTTCTCAGATAAAGGTTGTCTTGTACAGCGGATTTGGTTTGGGTTTTGTTTCTTTTTCTCATCTTGATTCCCCCCGACTGCTTGCTGTACATACTGGACAATATAGACTTTTGATTCGAGGGAACTTGGGTTGTCCTGTTTGAGTGTAATCATTGTATTCAAAACTAAACAAAATATCCAAATGCTAGTTTGTGCTCGATGTACCCAGATGGTATATGTACGCAACGTCCATAACTTTGTATCTCTCACAGCAATGTCTCTCCAGTAGCAACACTCAGTGGAACGCGAATTCGTAAAACACATACGGCGTATAGTCCGCACCTCCCTCACCACCAGCATGCATCTCACCAGGATCATCGCGCTGCATACGACCCTTCTTATCGCGCCCAAAGGCATTCCCAGCCAGATAAGAGTATTTGTTCTCAAGGTTGGACTTGGCACGATCAGCCTGCTTAGAGGATGGCGCCTGTAAAAGATGACCGTCAGCAATTGCCTTCCCCATAAGGAACCAAAGAACACAGCAAATACATACCCGAACCAAAGCACAGATGAAATCTAACGGCAAACCATACCGCAAAACCGTCTCAACAAAAACCCTCAATACCAAAATATGAATCCAAACCATAACAGCCTCACTCCAAGCCGTCCGACCAAGCCGCAACGTCTCACCCCATAGCTTGCGCTCATCACCACCAACACGCTCAACCTCCTTGCGCTCCTCCTCCTTGCCACCCTCGACATACTTAAAGTCACGCGGAATCCACTTCTGCTCGCGGCATTTATGCACAAACTCCGCGCTGTGCTTCTTGAACGATGTCACGGCGTACAGCGTGAACTCGCTGTCTTGAGCGACAAGTTGCGCGGAGCGGGGACCACCATCGGCGCGACGGTCTCGTAGGTCTTCAGGAAGTCTTTTACTAGTTGGTTTGGGACGGCGACCAGGTGGGTTTCGATGTATTCGGAGTCCTGGATGATGGATTTGGGGTCGATCACCGAGGCGAGGGACTTGGTTGAGAGGTTGCCTCTGTAGAAATAGATGTGTTAGTTTGGACTTAGTTTGGACTCGGACTCTTTGCTGGTGTCGTGTGTAGTTTCCAATGCCGTTCACGTACGTTTGTTTGCGCTGCAGCTGGGACAGGTTGTTCTTGACCTGGTTATATTGGGAGTACTTGAATCGGATGTCGTTGTCGATACTGGCGGCTTCCTGTAGTAGACATGAATGATTAGCCCTAGAGCGACGGATCGGGGATAACTACTCACCTTCTGCAGCAAATCGATCAACTCGGCCAACGGCTTATCAGCCCTGTACTTGACTTTATTCCATTGGAAAGTACGAAGGTATTGATCGACAGGCTCTGTAGAACAGTCAGCTCACCCACTTCCCAAAAGTACAGCTCAGACCAAGCAGAAGACGTACTATCATTGACAACCTTCATACTCTCAATCTGCGCCTCGTCGCCGCCAAGGATATTCTTCAAAGCATCGCCAACCTTCGCAACGACACCCTGGCACGAAGCCTCGAGCTTGGCCAGTTCGTCCGCCTGCTGAACCAGGGCGTCTAGCGTGCCGATCTTGAACTCCGGGATCGGGAAGGAGGCGGCGGAGCCATTGTCCGGGGAGATTGTGGTTGAGATGGCTTGGAGGGCGTCGTCGCGGTGGTGCGAGGGGACGATGGAGGTTGGGAGGGAGAGGAGGAGGTATTGGCTTGGTTTGGACATTGTTGCTAGATATTCATCGAGGGGTATTGGTATTGTATGTCAAAGGGGAGGCGCCTCGTGGAGGCTGCGGTTTGGTGTTGGAGCTCGGGTCGACGTAGGCGGTGGGTGCTTGGGCCACCTATATAGGACTGCAACATGCCCCATTTACATTTATATTCAACACTACATTTATTGTAAGATCTATTCGATGTGGAAATTGTATTCGTAATATCATGGCGTCTTTCTAAATCTATGCAACTATCTCATCCACCGAAGCATATCGTTTGAACTGCTGGATCGAGATGCATAACGCTAGAAGACTACCTAACGCTCGTTGAGAGTTGGAATAAAATAAAACACCAACGTGGGGAAAGGAGAGACATAAACCACCCAGGGAAGAATAAGGAATTTTGGGCCCGGAAGCAGCTAGCAAAGCTCATTGCGACGGGGAGTCGACTAGCTTCGAACCTGCGGAATATGTAGGGAGAAGTTGGGGAAAAGGGAGAACAGAAGAAAAGGCATCACAGGGTATTTGTATCAAGCGTACAGTGCTGATCATGAACCAAGTATGAGAGGAAGGGGAAAAAGTAACGGTGGTATCTGTACAAGCAAGGCGAGCGGACATTGAATCAAGAGTAAAGCATGGGGTTTGCGGAAAAATAGTCAACACCGGAACCACACCAAGGATTGGATTAAATGATGATTGGCAGCGTGATCGTTAAAATTGATGGTAAGGATAAGGGTGGAAGTATCGGCTTTAGCCTTGCATGCCCATGAAGACTTCCTGACAGTTCTCCACCAGGAACTTGAGGACATCATTCTTCTTCTGGACATCGGTCATCTCACGGGCAAGAGATTCAGGGCGCATGATAGTTGGCGCGAACACCACAGCAACGTTCTGGCTGGTCATCAGGTTCTCCTCGTGACGCTCAACAACACGTCTGAGATGGAAAATAAGGAACTCCAGGACGTCACGGTGCACGCGAGGCAGCTCCAGCAGACTCTTCTGCAAAAGCTCAATGCGTCCCTGCGTGGAGGGAATTTCGGCGGAATCGATGATAAGTTCGTAAACATCATAGGTAACCAACGGGTTGGGAAGCTTGCGGAAATACTGCTTCAAAGTAGAAGTGACAGCATGGATATCGAGGTCGGGGTCGGAAATATCATAATCGAATGGAGATCGCTCGAAGCCTTCGCGAATGATTTGGATGGCGGAAGCGGCACCAGATTTGCGATAGATGCCCTCCATGTCCATACCTGATGAACTTGTTAGAAACCAGACGGCCAAATACGTGTAAACCAAACATACCTCGAAGTTCAACTTCTTGGATACACCTGGTGACAATGGCGGGAATGATGCTCTTCTCGTGTTCCATGCGGGCCTCTAGATCAGTACCAAACAGAGCTGGAGATTGTTAGCTTATACTATATAGCTGTCGGGAGCATCGATAACATACCATCACCGGCAACCTCAGCCAACACTGGCACGCTGTCAGCCTGAGACATCTTTCCTCCCTGCTTGTGCCTCTGGTTCCCGAAGAACCCAAAGCCTTGACGACTTGGATCCTGAGTCTGAGAACGTGGAAGACCACCGGCAGCTTCTCCCTCGCTAGACATGAAGGCCCCCTTGAGACCCTTAACACCCTTGGCAACATTCTGGCCACCCTTCTTCCAGTTGAATTTGCGGGGCTGTCCCTTGCGAATGCTGACAACCTGAGGCCCTGGAACGACCGTAGCGGTAGCAGGTTCAGATTCTTCTGTGATGTGGGCAGTTGAGATGGAGGGTTGAAGGTCATTGATGGCAGGCTTCAGAGCCTCGATGGAAGTTGTGGACTTTTCTTTGTTGTGAGAAATGCCCAGACCGTTGGATCGTGGCTGACCCTCAGTGGCTTTGTAGAGCTCTTGGATCTGATGAACAAGCTGGTTGTTTAGCTCAGCCAGTTGAGCATTCTTTGACGACAATTGCTCGAACTCTTGGAAGGTCTTCTCCTTCTGACTGATCATGGATTCAAGTTCCTCGGTCAGGTCGTTGCGCTTCTGGATGAGCTCCTCAATCTGCGGGGCATAGGATTCCTTCAGCTTCTGAATTGATTCGGCCAGCTCCCGCAACACATGGTTCGAGAGTTTCCCAAGGTCCAATGGACCACTGGTGCCGCCGCGCTTCTCCGCTTCCATGTGGTCGGTGAGAACTGTGAGCTCCCGCAAAACGATCTCGCGCTGGGCATCGAGAACAACCATGGTGGAGCGCTTCTCAGAAAGCTCAGTGTTGACTTGTTTGACGTTCGCCGTGGCACGAGCAGCTGATTCCAGTTCCACAACACGTTGTCGTTCCTTGCGCAATTCATTTCGGAGCCAGGAAATTTCCTCAGCCTGAGAACCTGTGGGACTACCAATGCTGGCGCCAGCTTGGCTTCCGTTGGCTGGAGACTGGGGAGTCTTGATGTCTCTTCCCCCACGTAGGCTCTTCTCACTGTAGCTTCGGCCATGGCGAACGGAGTTTGAAACACGACGCAAGAAAGATTCACTCTCTCGGCCAACAGGATCATCACCGCCGATGATCCGAGACAACTCTTCATCCATGGAGAAGTCACCGCCGCTGTTGTAACGTAGCAAGGAGGGCGAGCCCGCGCCGTCCAATTGAGAGTGCGAATCAAGGTGAGATGTATTCAAAGGAGCGGATTGAGAGGGTGGTTGGAACGTATCACTCCGTAGCATCGGTGAGTCTCCGTATTGCGACGAGGCAGGAGATGATCCGACCTCCTTTCTAGGAAGTTGATGATGTCTGCCTTCGAGAGAATCACCCCGCTTGGGCAGATGCGGCAGGTTAGAGGGCTGGGAGCGGGCAGAGTCCATAGAGCCATTCTCGTGGAGACGTCGAAGTTCGTTCGAAGGACGAGCCGGTGCTGAAGTGATGCTGTCCAAAGGCACCTGTCGTTTTGTATCACTGGAGGCTTCCTTTGATCCGATCCTGTCGGGACTGGTAGCTTCGGAGAAGTTGCTTGTTTCTCTAAAGCTGATAGGGATGTCGATGGAATTGCGCACTGAGCTCGACTTTGCAGGCTTGGATGAATCGGCAGTTTGTGGAGGTTTGTCGGGTGAAATGCTATCGCTTCGTTCCCAGCCCTTCTCCTGGTAGGCAATATGAGGAGAGGGATTTTCGGAAGAGGTTCGAGAGGGAAGCTCCTGCATATATTCACGTCCGTCGCGAGAGGCCCTGTGTGAGGATTCACCAGATCTCATTTGGCCAAAATAGTCACGGGGAGGCTCTTGTCGTGTTTGCGAATGACCACGGGAAGAACGACCTTCGGCCGATGGATCAAAGGCGAGAGGAATTAGTAGCTCACCACCGTCTGCATCAGTGTTCCGCGCCATTGACTGCCGACTGCTTCGGTATGTGCTAGACGGGAGAATAAGATTGTCTAGGGCGAAGAGTTAGTGGGGTATTCACATATATTGTGCTTGTCCCATCAAGCTCCGACAATGTGTGCTATTGTAAGCCACAATTGAGCTGCGACTAAACGCAATCCTCAATCGGCCGCGACAATTGAATGGTAGGATAAAGAATTTCTTGCTTACCATTGTCCGCTGCCTGATTTGAAGTCGAGCTCTCCGGCCTCTCATTCACATCTGGTGTTCCCACCATTCGGCCAGGATCAGGCGTCATTGCCTCCGGATATTCACTCGGCGCTTCGTCCATCAACGATGCCTCTTCCATGCTCGGAGGCAAGGAAGGCAATGACTTATCCAGCTTCACATTAGGCCCTGTTGGCCTCTTGCTACTGGCGCCAGCTTTTCGTTTCCTCCGTCTTGCCATTAAAGACTCATGGCAATCCATACAGAAGATTCCTTGTGACGTGCGCGCATAACGGAGGTTCTCAATCTTCTTCTTGCAGTTTCGACATCTGAAGCATTGAGCGCAGAACGCCTGATCTCCAGTCAAGATGGCCAAGTCTTCAATCTTGTTATTGCAGGAGCTGCAGCTATACGTGCAATTACTACAGATAAGGGATCCATCGCCTAGCAGGAGGAGGTGTGCATCTGAGTCGAGGAGGGTGCTGCAGGTACTGCAGCGAAAGCAATCGATGTGCCACCTGTTTCCAGCTATTAATGGTTAGCGACATGCAAGACAACAAACAAAATCAGGAATCCGCAACTCACCAAGTTCAAAGGCTTTCCCTTCTTCTAGCGTCTACCAAATTTGTCAGTCACGTCCTCATAGGACCTTCCATATGCTGCTCACCTCTCCACAACCCTTGCAAGGATAGGACTCATCCTGCTCCATGGGAGAGTCTGGATAGCTTGGAGTGTCCATCTTGAAACCCCTTGTCTAAATCACAGCGAAAGGTCGACAGTCGTTCCCGATTCTCTCAAAAATATAGATCCGGCACTGGATACTCAGACACGTTCCACAGACGTGTATACAGGCGATTCGTGGTCGCGACGGTACATGCGCTTTCGGCCGCTCGATGCTTGCGAGCGCACGGCGATGGAGAGATTGAACAGGACGGAGATTGTCGGCGCGGATTTGGAGAGGGGATTCGACAGGGGGGCTGAAAGAACGGGCAAGTGGCTGAATCGGCAGACTGCTGAGGCGTTAACCAAAACGTGATCCAGCCGTAGGCTTAAGCGTGAGACACCCGCTTTGGTCGAGGCAACAGGGCTGACCACACCTAGGGACCAGGGTAATAATCGCTCACGGGCCAGGGGTGTTTCGACGTACCTGGCTCTTGCCAGCCGTGCTACAGGGCCGTTTCAGATAGATAGGCGCGGGTGTTGCGCTTGTCGAGCAAGCGAAATGCGGGCTGCCCCTCGCGGGCACTGAAATAATTTGGAGTAATTTGGAGGGACAAACGGACAAGTCCCCGAGGCTAAAAGGGAATGACAACCGTAAAGGAATAACCAACAGAAGAAAGGGAAAAAAAGCAAAGAAATGAGGTTAGGTTGATAGGGGTGGGGGGGGGGATTAAAGGAGTTGAAGACTAAAAAGGGAAGAGAAGGTTGGCGGCAGAATCAACGGTCAATGTCAATGTTTTTCCTTTCCGTCTGTCTATTTTTTCCTATCTGTCTCTGTTTTCCTTTCCTTCTCTCTTTCTCCCCTGAATTGTCCTGTACATATACCCAAATGGTCTTCATGTCTGTGTATACGTGTACAGTGGACGCCTAGAACGTGCGGGCCTTCAATCCCCCCTACAGCCAATAAGCACTCCCTGATGATTTACAACTGATGGAAATGATCTGATTTAGGGACATTGTGCGTCTCAAATACTGTGTACTTTTTGACAACACATCAACGCCTCAATCCTGCAGGGGAAGGCCCGATCAGACAGTTCAGCTCTCCGGATCTACAGTGTCCAGGGGGTGCCCCATCGCCTGGTCCACCTTAGTCTCAATCTCCCTCCAATTTGCGTGTCACAGCTGCCGGAGGCTGAATCCAATCTTAAGAGTTTAATAATATTCCCGGACTCCTTCATCTCAGTTCAGACCCGCTGTTTCAGCATTGTGAAACGCTTATGGTGTCACGTGGCTGTAGATCATATTGCAAGGGGCTTGAGTGTAGACTGTTCTTATATTAGCCGGTAAGCAGGAATCTGCCCTGCAATATGTACAAGGATATATTGTAGGTCTACTGTGGAAATACACCCCGTCATACATTTGTCGTGTTTTTATTGCGAGCATTCAACTATACACATACACCTGCAGTATCTCCCTCAACTTTGCCCCCACATACAGTCACCTGCCTAGTTTACTCACAGACCATCCTAGCCCTCGAAACACCAAACTCTAAGGCTAATTCAGGAACTGTCGGGGTTGGTCTCAAAAAGCGTCAAATCTATTTCTGGTTAGTACCCCACTATATGCAATTCATGCCCGGAGCGCAAAAACGACATAAATACGGAATACTCCTTGGAGTCTTTATCTTCAGTAACATTATACATTGTAGGATAGACCAAGCATCGCATGCCATAGTTTGATCCAATTCGGGATCCACTTGCAATTATCAATCTGGTGGATCAAAAGATGATCGATGGATATGTGAATTATGGAATACATGTAGAGTACAGTGACCTATTTTCCCTATTTATCAAAAATAGACCAGCTTCTCACTTGTTAATGCGATTATAATAGAAGCCAAATATAAACTATCCACATCCTACACATGCAAAACCCCTGTAGTGCCGCCAAGAGTGGGGTCTAATACGCGCGAGCCCATCACATCGCTTGTCCTCCAAAGATTCACTTGCGGAGCACGTCCGTTCATCTACACGTCTTCTCTGTGGCTACTCTGGCCAATAGCCATGTCTGAGCGAAGAAAAAGATCAAGCCACTCAAAGAGCCGCTCGGGATGTATAACATGCAAGTAAGTAATATAGGTACGGTCCGTACCCCCCTGGACTCTGCGCGACGTGGAGAACACGCCCCCTACGAAGATCTGCCGATATTCACCTATTGTGGTATAGACATCGACGCAAGAAATGCGACGAAACTCAGCCTGAATGCCGCCAATGTATAACAACGGGAAGGATATGTGATGGATATGTCGAATCACCCGATAGACGAACACGAGCTTGGAGGGAGCAAACTGCACGTCAAACAGAGACCCCGGAATCCCGAGAAACCACTCTATATACACCCAACATTCCCTCTATCCCCGTTTTGGTTCCTCCGATCAATGCAAGCCAGGTCGATCTCGCCTGGAATGAACGCTGGCACTTGGATCTCTTCCGCAAATTCACAGTGCACCAATGTTCTGAATATTTCGAAGACACCTTTTGGTCCAGTTTTATTCACCAAGTTCTGGAAACTCAACCCGCAGCTCGATATGCAGCCATAGCATTCAGTGCCCGACATTGGCAATACGATCAGGTCGAAACAAATCAGATCGCTGACCGCGAAAGTATCCTGGCTCTCCAGCATTCGTCCAAGGCAGTCTCATGTCTTCGAAAAAGCTTGATTAACGACACGCCTGATCGCGCACACAGAGAAACAGTCCTCGTCACTTGTTTGATCTTGACCATGCTGGCTCTATTCCAGGAGGATAAATATGCTGCTCGCTGTCATTTCCTTTCCGGTTATAAATTGTTCCAGTATTGGGAAGCTGTGGACTCCGATGTGAGCCCGAATGGTCGGGCTCTGAAGCAGGCGTTTGTTCAGCTGCACTTGCACTATATGACTTCCAATAACCCTAGATTGTTTATTAATAACCAGCGCTTGGTTTCCCCCCAAGTTACCGACATATCTACCAATGTGCCTTTGAGTGGTGATGCAATGACAAGAGCTCAGCGCTTTGTGAGGGTCATTGCGCGAGTGGTTATGCAGTGTCTTCCTCATGGTGGATTCTGCATCGGGCCTGCAAGTTGGGCTCTTGGCCGCGGCGCAACGGCTCTTTTATGTGTGCTTCGGATGTGGAGAAGTCAGCTCAAGTCTTATTCCATACAAGGAGGAGTTCTGTCGGGCTTTGACCATGATATGCTCACTTTACTGGAATTATGGACTGTGGTTATTGATATCAAGCTGGCTGTCTGCGATAGCTCTGAACCCCTCGAAGTGGCATATGATGATTATGTTGAGCACTTTCGAAGCGTGATCGAAATGGCAGAGTCACTGCTACAATTACAATCTAATGTGGAGGTTATCTTGCCGGCAATTATTATCAAAAGCTCTCTTGTGCCTGCTCTGCTATGGTGTGGAGTGAAGTGTCGCGACTCTCTAATACGAGATGACATTATTCGACTCATAGATGGAGCGAAAGGGCAAGATACTGGGATATCTGCAGTATTATTGGCACTACAGAGAGTGATAAAATACGAGACAGAGGATGTGAAGTTGGGAACCACAATCCCGGATGCAGCTCGCGTCGGCTCAGTACAGCTTAACATCCAACCAGGGCAAGACCAAGTTGACCTCTGGTATCGAAGATCTCGATTAAATTCTCATCTACATGATGATCATGATATATGGGAACATCATATCATATCTGTTTAGTTTAATATCATATCTGGCCCAGAGAACAGTACTTGATAATAGTGCCAATAAGTTAGAGCCAATAGGGCGAATGTATTGGACAGACTAGGTTCGGACATATACCTAAGCGGCCCATATCAATAAAACAAACATCGCAGTGAAGGATAACCCCGTACATGGTTGTATACTTGAATGTATACTGCGATTTGTAGACCCCAGGGCCGAACTAATGCTCAACCACTCAGTGAAAACCTCATACGTTTCGATTTGAAACGTAATTACATTGGAGCTTGTTACATATAAATTCAAAATCAGACTCTCATTGGCCCCGAAAAACTTCTCTTTCATGAACTAATTGTCAGTTATGTTCATTGAGGTACCATGAGGGACCCGTGAGAGAACCCTGGTGAAAAGGCACTGATGACATACCGCGGTGTAAGTGTTGTGTTGTTCTATGCAGCATAGGCATCGAATTTGAAATTGGGCGGCAACAAAAGGGTTCTGCCAACCAGCTCAGCCAGTCCCTTAGAGAAATTCCGACACAGGTCATCCACCAAGTCAGGACCAAGGTGATTGTGTTTCCCCGCTGTCTCCTGCGAGTTCTTTGCCCATGGGCCAAGCGATCCTTAGCGGAAGGATTTGCCGTTCCACAGCGAGGGGCAAATGAATGGGATTGTGCATCTGGTACGCGATATAGGGTGGTCATCTCTTAAGAGCAGTAGAAACACCACAGGCAGGGATAGAGGAAATTGCCCGCCTCGGAAGCACTCCTACCAGGTCCAGTTGTCAGTAGATATCAGTCGGTTTGACTGGCTCCAAACACTTGACCCAGGATGTCTTTTTTCTATCGACTGTCTCGAACATTTGACCCACACGCCGAATTGTGGGAGTAATCAGGATTGCTAAGAAATATTTGAGGATAAAAGGCTCCGATATATATCTGAGAACCTTTGGCTCTGGGATTCGAACCTCACGACAAATTCACAAATTTCGGTCATGAGCTGAGGTGAGCTAATTAAGCCGAAAGACTTGATCGGGCAGTACTGCCCCATGAGCTTGAAATATTCAGCATTGTTTTGATGGCCGCAAATGAAAGTTTAAACGAAAATGTAATTTGTATTGTTGTTATATTTCCGACATGACCTCATATATAAACAAAAGGACTCTCCAACAGGGTGCATGTTCAAATATTTCCACCTGGGGCCACACAACATAAGTGACCCAGCATGACAAACAAAAGAAAAATCGTCAAAAGTCATAAAAATATGTACAGACGCTATATGCTATACAGATCAAGTAACATGTCCAACGAAACACACCTACAGGCGGTGCTGAACGGGCGACTCTGGCGCCGGGATAGAGGCAGTAATCTTCTCAGCAGGCTCATCCCACTGCAAGACATGAGCCATCTTGTTATATGAGTCGATACCACGGCGAGCATGGTCGGCAGGAACAAAGGGATCAGTATCACCAAGGGTACGGCTAAATAGCTCGAGAGAAACCCAGCCGCGGAAACCAAGGTCTTCAAAGAAGACGCGGGCAACATCCAGAATGGGCAGGTAACCACCACGCGACTCCTCGAAGGGGAAGAGACGAGCATTGCGAGACCAGTTCATGCGCACGGGATTGCCCGCAACGTAGAAAGGATGCTTCTCATCCAGCGGAGCAGAAAGACGCTCACCATCAACAAGCTGAACATAGAAGATCTTCGCAGGATCGATGTTGGCAGTACGGAGACGGTTCAACGAAGCCGCCAGATCAGCAGCGGCATTGGGGGTACGTCCAGAGGGAGCAGCAGGGTCAGCGTAGACACGGCCAGCGATGTTAAACGAGTCCAGGCAGAGACCAAAGTTAGGACGGTCGACATCACGGACAACCTCCCATGAAGCCTCCCAGGTATCAACGTGATCACCCCAGCAGAGAGCCTCGTACACAAAGCGGAATCCAGCACCGGCACCCAAGTCTGCCAGACGCTGGAGGTCACGAACGATGACCGTGTGGTCACCAGTTGTGCGCGCAGCTCCGGTCTGAGGGTCCGGACCGAGGAAGTTGGAGGGAACTTGGATCATGTCTGTGCCCAGCGCCCGCGCCAGGGTGAACCACTTGGGGAGCTTCTCGTTCACGAGACGGTCTGACTCGGCCCGGTCGATGAGGCCTTCGTACATGGAGAATGGCTGCAGGCAGATGATGGTCATACCGAGACGCTCACACATCCGCCGTGTCGAGTTGGCGGCTTCGAGGTGGTCACCGTTGAATACGCGCTGGGCATAGCAGTCCAGATCGTCGAAGAATAGTTCGATGCCTTCGAAGCCGTGGGCTGCGGCTTGCATCAGCTTGCAGGGAAGGTCGTGTACCCAGGGCCGACCTAGGGACATGGAGGCAATGCCCGGGCGGTTGAAAGCCATTTGTTATAGTTTGACTGTGGATAAGACTGTCACTGGGTGTTTTGTATATGATGAAATAGTAGAAGCCAGTTGATATGGATGTTCAGGCTAGGAATGAAGTAGGTTGAGGAGAAGTCAGGAAAAGTAAAATCTTAAAGCGGAATGAATGATATTAGGGCTATGAAGAGGAGATAACAGTCTCGCGACAAAACATTGTCCCCTAGAACGTTCTGCCTTTTTCCGTTTCTTGTTGGAGATAAGCAGGCTGGTCACATGCGCGGGAAAGCGTTATGCCCGTTACGTTTACCCGACGCGCAACGTTCCGCTCCACAGCCAACTCCACCACCTCCACCATCCCAAGGCCGCGGATTATTCTTTAGAAGTGCTGTTGCCAGTCTCTGGTCCCCGACAGTATTTCATTGGACCCGCCAAGCAAGTCAAACCGAGGCCCCGAGTCGGACGCGGTTCAGGGTCCGCAATGTCCGGGGCAATGACACATTCTTCACCGGGGTACAAAGGCGAACAAAAACATCCAGATTGATCTTCCGCTTGAACACTGAGAGCTACAACTTCACTTTGCCAAACAATTGAACCAAGTTGCTTCTTGCAATTCAGTCAACATGTCCATCAAAGTTGCAATCGTCGGCGCAGGCCTCATCGGCCCTCGTCACGCGAAATCCGTCATCTCCAACCCATCCACTGAGCTCACAGCCCTCGTGGACCCAATGCCAGCAGGCGAAGCAACATCAAGAGAGCTAAACACCAACTACTACCCAACAGTAACATCTCTCCTCTCCTCCCCCAACCGCCCAGACGCAGCAATCGTCTGCACACCGAACCACACGCACGTTCCAGTCGCAAAAGAACTCCTAGCGGGCGGCGTCCACGTCCTACTGGAAAAGCCAGTCAGCGATACCCTCGAGACCGGCCGCTCTCTCCTGGAGTACGCCAACGCCCCAGAGCGCGCCCACCTCAAACTGCTAGTCGGCCACCACCGCCGTTTCAACCCCTACGTGCGAGCCACCAAGTCCATCTTAGACTCCGGCTCCCTCGGTCGCCCGATCGCCGTGAACGGTCTGTGGACGCTGTACAAGCCAGACTCATACTTCGCACCGCCCACTGACTGGCGCGCCTCCAATGAGCGCGGCGGCGGCGTCATCCCCATCAACCTCGTCCATGACATTGACCTAATGCACCACCTCTTCGGTCCAATCGTGCGAGTCACAGCCGAGCAGATCCTCCCACAGCGTCCAAGCCCACCGCATAATGCGGACGAGGGCGCAGCTCTCACATTACGCTTTGCATCGGGTGTTGTTGGGACATTCCTGGTCTGCGATGCCACACCATCCCCCCACAATTTTGAAACTGGGACTGGTGAAAACCCGCTTATCCCTCGCTCGACTACTGGCGGTGATTCGGACTTTTATCGGATTTTCGGTTCGGATGCTTCGCTTAGTGTGCCTGATTTGACGCGCTGGAGTTATGATGGACGTGCTGAGAAAAGCTGGAATCATCCGCTGACTGTGGATCGTATTTCGCTTCCTGACGAGGCTGCGCCGTTTGATTTGCAGCTGGCGCATTTTGTTGATGTTATTCGTGGGACGGCGGAGCCTAGTTGTACTGGTGAGGAGGGGTTGCGGGCTTTGATTGTCTGTGAGGCTGTTCAGAGGGCTATGCGGTCTGGACAGCCTGTTGATATCGATGTTGATTTGCTTAAGAAATGAGATGGGCGAAGGCTGAGGGTTTGTTGGGGTATCTAGTTCTTCTTGGCTTTAGGGGAGTTCTTTTTTCCCTGTTTAAAACGTTTACGATGATTGATGTATAGAAAAAAAAAGAAGGGTATATCCATTGAAAGACATATACAGTAAAGCGCTAATTGCGTCTTTACACACTTGTGCAGTGTATGTATAAACCAGGCAGCCTCGAACAGGAAGCGTCTTAATCCAAGGACCGAACACAGTCTAGTCCATCCAAACAAATCACATCAGTCGACGCAAGACATCAAACGTGAAACAGAAAATCATCAACCTCAAGCATACTTCGCCTGAGCCGCATCAGGAGAAGCATCCTCAACCTGCTCCGCAGCAATCTTGCCAACAGAGATCCCCGACTCCTCAACATCATGACGGAACCTAGCCTCATCCTCGCGAAGCTGGGCAACCATCCGCCCATGCGCACGCCAGACAGGCTTGATATCGAAGAGCTGGTCCATGCTTTCGAGGGGAATACCCTTTGTCTCGGGGACGAGGAAGTACACGAAGATGATAGAGCAGATCATCAGCGACGCGAAGAAGAAGTACACGCCGTATCCCATGGTTGTGAACATCTGCGGAGTGAAACGTGAGACGAGGAAGTTCCACAGCCAGTTTGAGGCGGCAGCGCAGGCTTGAGCGAGCGAACGCATGTTTGGGTCGAACATTTCCTGTGGATGTTGTTAGTGTTTGTCAAGGAAAGGCGGGTTGATGTGTTTCTGTGGGATGCTTACCGAATTGAGGACCCAAGGGGTTCCGTTCCAAGTTGGAGTATAGAAGACGGTCCACAGGTAGAAGAAGAACATGGCTGCGATACCGCCGCCGCTGAGGCTGTCGCTGGTGTTTTCCTCTGGTTTGGCGATCTTGATGTATGCGCCGACGATCCAGAGACAGACGGAACCACCTGCGGCGCCGATGAGGAGGAGGTTACGGCGACCGACGTGGTCGATCAGCCAGAGGAGCCAGATGAAGGTCACCACGGTCTTTACGACACCGAAGATACCAGTGGTGAAGAGACTGGTGTTGGTACCCCGGACACCGATCTGGAAGATTGTCAGCATGAGTCGTGAACAGCTGGGATAGGGCGAGATGAACTTACCGACTTGAAGACGGTCGGGCTGTAATAGTTGATGGCGTTGATGCCGGAGCCATTTTGCCAGAAGAAAAGAGCGCTGCCGAGGAACAGACGCCACATGACCTTCTTGTTGGTTCCAGCAGCTTGGAAGGGCTTCCAGAAACCGATACCGATGGTACGACGCTGCTCTTCCAAAGCCTGGTCAATGGCACCAATCTCCTCGATCATATAGATGTCATCAGCAGGCAACTGGCGAACCCAGCAAAGGTTCTTGATAGCCTCCTCGCGGCGACCACGACCAAACAGCCAACGGGGCGACTCCCGGATGAAGACAGCACCGATAATCAGCAGACCAGCAGGAATCAATTGCACAGCAAAGGGAATGAGCCATTGCTTGTGGCTAGGAGCCAAGGTCTCGTCGACACCGAACTAGTAACAGGATGTTAGCATTGAACACAGCCCACACAAAGGAAAATAAACTCACGTTGATCCAGAAACCAACAAGACCACCAACCTGCCAGCCAAGCTCATAAACACCAACCAATCTACCACGAATAGCAGGAGGCGCCAATTCAGAAATGTAAATAGGAGTGATGTTAGAGCCAGCTCCGACACCCAGACCAGCAAGGACACGACCAGCATAAAGCAGCCCAAGACCACGATCGGCATTAACACCAAGCATAAGACCAGCACCGAGAATGAACACCAAACCAGCAACCAACAGACCGATCCTGCGGCCCCAGAAGTGCCCGATCGGGTACGCGAAGAACGCACCGAAGAAGGCACCGGCCTGGTAGCAGGAGACAATGTTGGCGCTGATGAGGTTCTGGGTGGCCTTGGACATGGTGTCAAAGGCGAACTCGGCCTTGAACGAGTCCAGGGCGAGGGTTGTGCCGATGAAGGCACTGTCGTAGCCGATCATGCAGGATGTACATGAGGCCACTGCTGCCAGGAGGTAGACCTTCCAGTTGTAAACTGCCCTGGGGGTTGGCCGGTCTTCGACCAGCTTTAGGATGGACATGGTTGCGGGTTAATATAATAGAATAGAATGAAGAATTGAGTGTGAATGGAATAAGCGATCTTGATCTTTACCCAGTGCTAGTTGCAGAGAGGTAGGAAGACCTTCGACCTGAGCGTAGGAGATCTACCACGTGGGACGTGGGAGGTGGGAGAGTGATGTGCAGGGGTAAGTGTGTGAAAGTGAAGAAGGGAAGAGGGACGAGGTTGAAATAAATAGAAGAGGCCGCGCCACGTTTTGTTAGAGCCAACTAGCGAGGATGGCCACGAGCTAAATAGGCTTTAGCCCCGGATTGTCGATTTGCCCTTGGGAATGGGAGAAAGAGAAATCTGGGGTTGAGAAAGGGGGACGAAATCATGGAGATGTGGAGGCGGAGAAAGGTATAGCGCAGATGAGGTATGAAAAAAAGAGTGTACTCGCCAAGGAGCGGCAAAACGAATAGTCTAAGTTAGCGAGAACCATGCATTTGGGAACAATTTGGCTTTTGCCTCTTGGCTTTGTGGCTCTGAGAGCAGAGATTGACACAGAAGCCTTGGAATTGGCAATAAGAGAGAAATCTCTGCTGTTTGGTTGGAGAGCGCCGCAGTGGGTCCGGGGTAGAATCCCGTGACTTGTATACTTCTGGCCATCTGGGGTTACCCCGGGGGCAAAGCCATGCACGTCCCGTTCCTTGGGGCCAGAAATAGCGAATAAAAGAGGGATTTGATTGGTAAAGCTTGAATGGAGCCATGAACATGCGAGCCTGGGAACGGCCAATGACGAGTTGATGCAAAGGAGTGGCGGGGAAAAGCGCTTCCCCGGTGGTTCTATACGAACAATCTGTTCACTGGCATCCCACCTGGGCACTCAATCTAGATACCTTGGCCTGTTCAGCCTTCGTCGCAACAGTTGTCCTCTTATTGGTTTGATCTGGTCTTTGTGCGTGTCATGGTTGACTCCCCCCATGGGGTTGGGGCTGGGGAAAAGCGTTCAGCCCTAGGGATGTATAGTGGCGCCCCTGACGAAGGATGTCTGCAATCAAGTCAATGCATCTCAGAATGAAGAGATAACATCTTAATGGTACAATAATTTTAAAATACTGTTAGAGATTCAATAATATCCCGAGGCCGGGGGTAGATGAGCGGGATATCGGATGCCCAGTGGGTGGAGTGGTTGAAGGAGCAGAATGTTTCTCCGGCCCCCACGGGTCAATATTTTCCGACCTCATTTTGTGCTATAACAATTGACCCCTTCCCTCGCTACACTGTACACACACATCACAAAATCAGTTCATAATGTCCGTCACAGAGATCAATCAAACACCAGAGGAGCCCATCTCCATCCCCTCCAACCTCGATGGCGTCGCCTACCTCTACGGCCACCCCCTCCTCAACTCCCTCTCCCCCCTCTCCACCAGACCGTCTACAACGCTCTCGGACTGAACTGGACTCAAATTCCACTGTCCAGCGTAACCGGCACATCGGAGACCTACCCACCACCATACACAAAGTCCCCCCCAATTGAGAAATACCTAGCCTCAATCAAATCCAACCCTAAATTCGTCGGCTCATCCGTGACAATGCCCCACAAGGTCGCAATCATGCCTCACCTCGACGACCTGACCGAGCACGCCCGCCAAGCAGGCGCCTGCAACACCATCTTCCTGCGGAATGACCCAGCAACCGGCCAACGCCAGTACGTCGGCACAAACACCGACTGCGACGGCATCCGCGAAGCCCTAACCCAAAACGCCCCGGACGCCTCCCGCTTCCGCGGCCGGCCGGCCCTCATCATCGGCGGCGGTGGCACTGCCCGAACGGCTATCTACGTTATGCGCCGCTGGCTCGGCTCCAGCGCAATCTATGTCGTCAACCGTGATGCCGACGAAGTCGCCGCCATCCTCGCAGAGGACCGCGCCCGCAACCCGGATCCGACTGCCCAGGCGCCGCTTATCCCTGTCACGGATGCTGCTGAGGCTGCACGTCTTGAGGCACCTGCTGCTATCGTCTCTGGTATTCCTAACTACCCTCCCAAGACTGCCGAGGAGTTGAACACCCGGGCGGTCATCCAGGCTTTCTTGGGCACTGCTGTCAACGCGGAGAAGCAGCAGGGTGTTATTTTGGAGATGTGCTACCACCCCAACCCCTGGACTGAGATCGCTCAGTTGGCTTCGATTGGTGGATGGAAGGTTATTCTTGGCTCTGAAGCTTTGATCTGGCAGGGTCTTGAGCAGGCGCGTTTGTGGACTGGCAAGGACGTTATAGGGACTCCTGGCCTTGTGCAGCAGGTGAAGGATCTCATTAACAAGTCTATTGCTGAACGGTCGACGAACAAGTCTAGTCTGTGATTCTCATGACTTTCTCGGCTTTCGTAATGTTTGTTTTTTTATGACTGTATAGAGCGCGAAATAGTTGCATTGGCTACATAGGTATATACATGGCGTCCGTTCTGGAATATATGTCACTCAAGATCTATCACATGTTCAACATGTAAATCATTGTCTTATGCGGTAATGCGTCTACGCTCCTGGTCGTGAATATTCCAGGTTGCGAACCCGGCGCCAGACTTCACGTACTGTGCGCTCTTGTGTCTCGCGGCCTGTCTCGGTAGCGGAAGGACCAGCCGGTCTAGAATGGGGTCAGTAAACCAAGGAAAGAAGTTGGAATGGAGATACATACCTAATGGCTAGATACAACCGACTTCCCAACTTAACATCCTCAATCGGACAGGTGGCCTCATCCTCAGGAGGATTAGCTGTAGTCATAAGACCACCAGCCTCCAAGAGAATAGCAACACCAGCAGCGACATCCCTATACTATATCAGAAAAGGTACCCAACCAAAGAAGGTTCTGTCCAAAAGGAAAAGAGAAGAATACGAAAGAAAGAAAAACTCACCACTCCCAACAACCCCCCTCCCACCAAATATCGAAAGACCCCATAGCAACGTACGCCAAATCAAGGGTGGCACTACCCAAACTGCGCATCCCATGCACCATCCCACCACGCCCCTTCCGGCTCCCCAACTCAGCAGCCATATTAACAAAACTCTCAATCTTGCGATGCATATTGCCATCGGGGATATCGCGGCGGTCCTTGCCCCACTCGCAGGAGAATATACACTGCGACGGCGCGTTGGGCGGCATGGGCGGGATCGGGTTGTGGATTAGGGGCAGGCGGCGGGTCTCGTTTAGCCAGGCGCCTCGGCCTGGGCAGGCAGACCATAGTTGGTCGGTGAAGGGGGCGTAGATTACCCCGATTGTTGGGCGGTTGTTTACCACGAAGCCGATTGAGACGCAAAACATTGGGAAAATATGCGTGTAGTTTACGGTTCCTTTTCTTCGTTAGTTTTGGTTGTTTGAGAGTGGTTTGGGGATTTACCGTCTAATGGGTCGATGCACCATGTTGGATCATTGTCGATTAGGTAGTCGCGCGACTGGCCTTTGGCGTATGTCTCTTCGCCGAGGAATCTGCGGTTTGTAAGTTTCTTGTTTCTGTTGTTTGTTTATATATACTAACTTGTGAGTGGGATATTTAGCTTGCAGAGCCGATCGAATGAATACTTCGACATCTGGGACTGTTAGCTTGATATCGCGCAGTCTTCTCGCCAATGTAGGTCAATACCTTCGTCTGTCTGTGTCACGATGTCCACTGAATTCTCCTTCTCTTCAAATGTTTGGCTGATTCCATTTGCGTTGTCGATGCGCTGGTCTACGCGCTCCATGAGCATTTTGCCGGCCTTGCGGCCGAGGTCGATTGCGAAGGCGTATATCTCGTCGTACTCATCTTGGGAGAAGGTTACGGTCATGGTGGATGTGATGGTGTGACGGTATACGATTCAGTAACGGGAATAGAATATGTGTTCAAGAGAGGAAGTGAGAGGGGAAGCTCATTGAGTCACCCGGTGAAAATTGGAAGGTCAAAGGAACCGCCACTAGCCGTCGGCTTATCGAGAGTTCTCCACTCAGGCTCCGGGCGAGGGACTTGGGGTATAAACTGGCGACCTATTCACTAGATTAGACCAAATTCCGATGTATCTTTTACTTTAGCAATTAATACAAGGAGTAATCCGCAATTATGCACACCTTATATTGGGATATATGTAAGTGGAACGTTATACCTGAGGTTTCCGCAACTCTCGTCCCCGCAATTTGAACAACCTGGAGTACAACGGCATTCTGATTTGTAACATGGGGAAGGATAGTTGAAATGATCGAAATAGAAAGGGGTCTGAGTCCCCGACAAATCTCAGCTCCGGTCATGTTCATGTTTCATGTAGTGCGGGCTCCCCCACACAACACATTCGGGCAGTCGGGGTACAGACTTGCGCTCCCACGCTCACACTCCCACAATCGCCACAATTACTCCGTCCAGTAGGAAGAAATGAGATCATCCGGATACCAAATCCAATACTAACGGCGCAAGATTACAATACAGCGAAGACCCCTCCGGTATTCCGAGTTCCCCACCAAAATTCCGCGGCAGAGCACTCACCCGGAGCAAAATGCGGAGAGGCAAAAGTCTATACCGAATAACCAAGCAACATATTACACACATTTCTAACCACATATCCTACTTCTCTTCATTCTACACAATTCAATCCAATTGAATCCAGTCTACTCCTCCTCTCCTCCATCCCACAACAACCACCAAAATGCCCAAATCAATTCTCCTAATCAACGGCCCAAACCTAAACCTCCTGGGCACACGCGAACCACACATTTACGGGCACACCACACTATCAGACGTTGAAAACAACAGCCGCGACGTGGCAGCCAGCCATAATGCAAGCCTGGAATCCTTCCAATCAAACCACGAAGGCGCAATCGTCGACCGCATCCAAGCAGCCCGCGGCAAGGTCGACGGCATCATCATCAACCCGGGTGCGTATACGCATACATCCGTGGCGATCCGGGATGCGCTGCTTGGTGTTGAAATTCCTTTTATTGAGCTCCATGTGAGCAATGTCCATGCCCGTGAGGCGTTTAGGCATCATTCCTATTTTAGTGATAAGGCTGCTGGGATTATTGTTGGGCTTGGGGTTTATGGGTATAAGGTTGCCGTTGAGCATGTTTGTTTGAATTTCAAGGAGTTGGAGAAGGAGGCTAAGGCTACTCTGTAATTTGGATGTTGGGTATGATAGTTTGTTGAAAACTTGGTTGTATATACTCTTTGGTGAATTGTGGTTTATGAATGAATATGATTTGAGTCAAGTGATGTATTGCTATTGTTACATACTTCCCGCAGGCATATCGTGAATAAGATACTATGTAATTTGTTGAAATAGTTGGTCTGTCCGCTACCTTGGGGTAGCTTCGTCGGATTCTATCAGGCGAGCGAAAGAATATGCTTTAGAATCGACATGAACGAGTCACGGTTGTGAGCGGATTAGGACAGACAGGCCGGCCAGCGGCAGAGGTTTTCCCGTATATTTTGACGATATTCTGATATATCCGAAAGCCATCATCGTTTGGACATCCCTGACATGCCCAAAGACTGCGACTCTCGCCGCACACCAGGTGGAGTTCCATTACTTGGTATTTGCTGCGTCTGCGCGAGCAAGAACGGCTCGATCTGACCCGAGAAGGAGTAAAGCTCAGGAATACCAGCATCAGAGACGAAACCTAGGTTCTGCATGAACTCCGGTTGATTATCGGCTCTGTGAAGTAGCTAAGTCAGTCATCATTGTAGTAAGTTTAAGATTAGGCGAGACATACTTCTCGGCACCATCTAACGATGCTAACTCATCAAATAATGCATCGAGATCGGGGGCAATTCGTTGCCTGCGTGGCGGGCCGTATCCATCCATGTCAACAAATGGACCCAGACCAATCGATGGATCTTGGTATGCTGCTGGATGGTATTGTGCGGTGGGGTGATATGAGGCAGAAAGATCAGGAAGCATGCCCGTGCCATTGCGAGGCTTCGTAGGAGCCGAGGTAGGATGGTGAAGCCCACTGACGAGGGTCCCGTCCAGATGGCCTTGTTGTGAAGGTACTTCTGAGCCACCGCCGACCGTGTTCAATGATGGTGTAGATGTAGGGAGAAGGGACACATCTTCGATGTGCTGTGTGGCCCGGAGCCAAGGTGTAGAGATGAATGGGTCTGCAGGAGCAGACGAGGGATGTGCGCTGCTTGAAGGCGGGTGACCGTCTGTGGGAGGGAGGTGATGTGTAGGAGTTCCCACTGACAGTGAGGACGGCATAGCCATATCCGCGCTCATGGATATTTCCATTTGTTGCGAAACTGCAGGGGATGTACCCATGACCTGCGGTCTGCGTGGCATAGTTTGACCAGCAGTCGGTCGGTCAGACATGTTCCATAATACGGAAAGATGGGAGGAGAAAGTATGGATCTTATTTCGGAGACCCATATCGAGGTCTGAGGGAAGCTCTCTGGAGAGAGATCGCGGAAGGCCGAATCGAAGCATCATGCCAAAGGTCGGTGCAGTAGCTGAGAAGCTATACGTATCCATGTAAAGCTGAAGTAGCTGGAGTAACCGGTTCGAACTTTCCGCCGCACGAGCTTTGTGTGGTGGGTCCGGGATGTTCTGGTCAGCTTCACGAATGGCAATTTGGGAGCTTAAAGCGATCACAACACTCTCATAAGTTATTTCCAGACTGAAGATATGCGGAGACGCCAACTTGACAGGACGACTCTGTAGATCCACGCGATAGCTCTTGGGCAGAGCAGTAGCCCAGCGTTGTAAGTGCAGTTCCAGTGATTCAAGTTGCGATCGAGAGATAGTTGGGTCATGTTTGCAACAGCACAGATCGTTTAAGATAGACACCAGACTGACGAGACGGTTGAAGGTGCTGAGTGCATGAAGCGGTCCCCGCTGCATTGAAGCACGAGAGGACTGGGGAGGTCGTAACCCAGTCTGATCTTCCCACGGATGCCACTCCTCGAGTCCATCCTCATTGATAGACCCCACCCTCGCCAAGTCTGCCTTTCTCAGTGAAGGACATTGTGAAGTTTGCTCAGCAATAAGAGTCTCAAGGACAAAGCAGCCAAGAAAGACATGTTTAGCTCGCCCAAGTTGCTTCTCCTGATCAAGAGCTCTTGAAGAGGATTGATGAGAAGGCTGATCAAGACCCAGTGTGTGAGAGATTCGCACGGCTTGACCGACAAGCATCCATGATCCAGTCCATTCCTGCTGGCCAAATTTGACTAGACCCAGGATTAACAAGGCTTGGACATGTCCGATTTCGTGGGGGCCACTTTCAGATGGGATGAGTTGTCGGGCAATATTGTACATTTGTGAGGGGCTTAGGTGGGCATCGGGTTGTTCGTCCGCTTGTCGGGTCGCCGCGATCGACGCATCCTGCAGCGATGCAAGTGTGAGGACGGCCCACAAGGCTGCGTGCTCACCAGACCCGGGGGCAAAACGTGACATGTATACATCGCCTTCGGTGTATTGGAATGCGGTTCGAAGGATATCGTGTTTTTCCAGTATGGGGAACCAGCATTGTGTGTAAGAAAAGTAGACGTCAAAAAGGGGCCATGCGTTGTAAGGAAGTTGGAGCGGATTTTTCATCAGCGATGGAGGGTCATCGAGGGCTGAAGAGAGAGTGTAAGATGGTGATGGTAGATCTTCAGTTGGGGTAGTTTGAACGCCGGAGTCGCGCATAGGACGAGCGCCGATATTTTTTATGGGGGAAATGCCAGCTGTTCGAGTTGGTGACACTCCTGTCAACGGAGTCTCACGCGCTTCCATCCCTTCCGGCATCTGCCACTCTTGAGCTTCAGCAGATGCAAGAATCCCATCGACGTCTAGAGGTGTTTCCCCTTCGCTGTAGGCTTGGAGGTTTCGCTCCCTTTCCTCTTCGGGCTGCTCCAGGACCACCAGTATCCGCTCAATATCTCGGAGGACCGTGCTGTTCTTGAAGGAAGACAGTAACGTGTCAGAGCCTTCTGCCTCCTTGCCCATGGTAGCCAAGTGACTTGGAAGGTTGATTGATCGCATTAGAGCACGCATCACATCCTCACTTCCTTGTATCCTTTGGAACACCAGTCCCCACAATAACTCTAGGGATCGAATGTATCCCGTGGGCAAGCCTCTTTTCTTCGGGTTGGCTTTATATGTACAAGGACGACAGAGGGATGCACAAGTCGAGCATACAGGTTGTATCCCATCGCACTTGTCCTTTTTCGACCGGCAGCTGTCACAGGCCCGTGAGACTCGCTGACGCTTCGGTTCGCCCATCGCCTTCCCATCTTCCTCGGGGTCGGTCCCTCGTCGTTTTGATTTGCTGCCCGCGCCAGTGGCTTGGCGCGTTTCGGCGCTCATGGTGATTGAATTCGCGATCCACCTGGATGGTTCGGTCGCATGTTCCTGCAGAGCGATCGTATGACGAGATGAATCTTTTGCCGACGGCGGCAGCACGGACAAGCCGGCCTCTACGCCATGAATCTAGCCCCACTAGCGTAAATTAAAGGCAGTCGAGGGCTTTGCAATGGAACGCAAGAGGTGCAGGTGAAGGTGAACAGTGCTGGCAAGTTTGTTCCGGGGAAAGATGGATACCCGGCTAGCGGTGAGCCAGTAAATGCCTTGCAAAAGGTAATACCGTACAGACCGGAGGCGGCGTTCGACCACCACAGCGTGTTTTTCGGATGATTAGTGCTCGAAATGAGAGCCTTCAAAATTGCGACTAACTCGATAGTGAACCGATGATTTCCCGGGGCCGCGATTCGCACGTTTTCGCTTTGGCCAGCATCTGAGCGCAAAGTACCAACCCCGCGGGGAAAGGAAACCGCCGGCAGAAGCCTGTGCCGCCTTATGTAATGGTATCGAGTTCGTAATTCTTTCTTTCTCCCCGCAAAACTGGCAGACGCTTACCATATCCAGGGCCCTTCACTCCGCAATTTCTCCGATCTAGCTTCGAGTTCATTATATTCCTCTGATAACTATCCGTTGCCCTTCCCGTTCCCCATTTTCCCTGTGGTAATGGGTTTCCGTTACTGTTCCTGATACCACTCCCTATCACGGACCTCTCGTTGCGCCATGTCTATCCTAGCACGCCCCCCGAAGCGCAAACTGCACGAGGTCGAGGCGCTGGAGGATGGTCATCGAAAGTATAGCCCCAGCGGCCTCGCCTCGTCCATCACATCCATGTCACGGCCACCCTCTCGCCGGTCAAGCGAGCACCGAGAAGCATCCGACTCGCATTCGCTGCCTTCCTTGCGGGAACTTCACTCCAATCGGGGATCGCCCGTCATGTTTGAGAATAGTCACCTCCAGACCCATCGTACTTTCAGCCAGAAGGCATCCATCGTGTTGATCGGAATCCGCGGGACGGGCAAGTCCAGTCTGGCGGTCATTCTCGCAGCGACCTCCGGCCGGCGCTTGATCGATGCAGACCGCTACTTTCAACAGATTGTGGGATGTTCCCGTGCTACCTTCAAGAAGGAGAATGATGGTTTCATATACCGACAACAAGAGGCACGGGTTATGGAGTCGATGCTGGCGGACAACCAAGAGGGATGTGTGATTGCATGTGGGGCCGGATCGATGGAGCGCAACGGACAAAGACTTCTCAGGGAGTACGCCCAAACACATCCAGTGATCCACGTCATTCGGGATCCGGAGAGCATCCAGTCTTACCTCAAGGCCTGGGATACACAGAAGGTCCGCCACTTCCTCGAGATATCCGGCCCGATCTACCGAAGTTGTTCCAATCTCGAGTTCTTCAATCTCTCGGAGACCAGAAGCGACAACGTGGACAAGGACAATAGCAATGCTTCCCCAACTCATAAAATCGAACCACGATCACATACCCCCATCCCGTTCTTGACTCTTAAACGAGTGCAACGGGACTTCCTTCGCTTCATTGCCTTCATCACTGGCGACATCGCCGAGCTGAACAGTCAGCATGCCTCTTTTCCTCTCTCGTTGCTACCTGTGGAGTCTCGGACGTACACATCCGCTGTATCTGTTCCACTCTCCAAGCTGGGTGAGAAAGGTATCGATATCGAAGAGCTAGAGTTCACTGCCGATGCTTTTGAGCTGGCAATCGACGTTGCTAACCCTTCGGCTCAGCCGGAACTTGACTCAAATATCGCGGACAATATTAGTCAAGCCGTGGCGACTATTCGTCGTAACATCATCGTCCCCTTGATTTACCACGTTGAAAGTTATACCACCCCTGGCGGTACCTCATCACCCACCCGCGCTCCTGTACGCTGCACCGACGAAACTTATTTGAGCCTTGTTCGCCATGGGCTGCGACTCTCAACGGGATTCCTAACTGTGGACCTTTCCCGTGATGATCACATTATCTCCCAGATCATCTCCGCAAGCGGACGAACCAGAATCATTGGCCACTTCGAAGCCTTTCAACCTCTACCGGGAGGCTGGGATGGAGATGAATATATGAAAATCTACGAGCGGGCTAAAAGACTGGGTTGTGATGTTGTGCGGTTATTCCAGCCCGCTGAATCTGCAGAAGATAATCTGGCAGTGCAGCGTTTCCGTCATCGAGTCCAAAGTCTGCCCGTTTCGGGTCTTCCCTTAATTGCCTACAACACAGGTCCCCTCGGCCGCATGTCTCGCTGTTTCAATCCAATTCTCACCCCTGTCACACATCCATCTTTGGCCACTCAACCCTCGACTCAATTACGCTCAGATATCACAGCACGCGAAGCACAGCAGGCACTCTACAGCTCCTTTGCGTTAGATCCGATGCAGTTCTTCGTTTTCGGTGCAAACACTACATACAGTATGTCCCCCGCGATGCACAACACAGCATTCAAAATATGTGGCTTGCCACACAAGTATTCCATCCACCAATCGCCTACTTTACGTGGCTTGAACGATCTAGTGGAGAATCAATACTTTGGCGGATCAAGTGTCAGTCTTCCATACAAGACTGAGTGCATTCCTCTGCTCCATTCAATGTCTACACACGCCCGGGCCATTGGTGCCGTCAATACCCTCATTCCTATCCGAAATTTCAGTGACACCAACAACCTCCTTCTGCAAGAATCATCAGTGTTCCTCGAAAAGAGTCATGCAGGCCCTATCAAGGGTCTACATGGTGACAACACTGATTGGATTGGTATTTGCAACTGTATTCGCCGGGGTCTGTCTCCTGCGAACGCAGTACGGCCATCATCTACTGGGCTTGTCATCGGATCTGGTGGAATGGCTCGTGCTGCGATATACTCCATGATTCATCTCGGCGTGCAGAACATCTTCGTCCACAACCGCACCCTCGCCAACGCGGAGAAGCTGGCACATCATTATAACCGACAAGATCTCCACCCCAAAGAAGCACACGGATCTGGCCGTCCCACTGTCCGCATCGTCGCTTCGCTATCCGACCCCTGGCCTGCAGATTTCAAGCAACCCACCGTTGTCGTCTCATGTATCCCAGCTCACAGTATCGGCGGCCAACCAGCACCTAACTTCCACATGCCTACTCAGTGGTTAGAAAGTCCGACAGGTGGTGTCATCATTGATGTAAGTTTCCATACTTCTACAGTAGTTTAATGTATTCCCCACAACTGATCTCTAACCCGTTTTTATAGCTCGCATACAAACCCCTGAATACCCCTCTCATGAAACAAACTCGCGCCCTCTCCCATCGTGGCTGGGTAGCATTGGACGGCCTCGACGTCCTTCCCGAACAAGGATTTGCTCAATTCGAGCTATTCACAGGCCGTCGCGCGCCCCGTCGTGTAATGCGGAGTATCGTGCTCCAGGAGTATAAAGACGATGAAGGAAATGATGACCACGACGCGATTCAAGATCGGCTGCAGCAGATGGACGGGCAGCCAAGTTGAGGCGTTTCTTCTTTTGGGACGCCATTGGCCTCCCGTGCGTGCCATGACCTCTGAACACCTAGGCGAAGCTGAACCCTGATACCCAAATAAAAGCGCTATGCCGAAGTACTATGACACTGAAAATCATTTGATTCCTCATGCAACACTGTGGCTCATGCGCATGTTTACCTTTGATGAATGAGAGCGATATGTTTATATATGTCCTAACGATATCAACAAGAATGTGCATTGCACTCGTCGCTTATAATAGCATTTGCAGTAGATGTTCTCTTCAATATTTAGCACCGTAGGGGGTGGAAAATATACATGAAAGAAAGACAAAACGAGAGGTATAAGACAGGCAAAAAAGGGAAAGAAAGATAGCGAGAAAATAAATCGATACTAGGATTTACTAAAAGAGCCCCACTGAACATCTATAGACGTTTTCATTATCACCAGTTTCTGGCAGCTCATGAATATGAACAATCAGCTCCAATGCTCTTGCTTCATCTAGGGACTCCTCCTCAACAGAATGCTAGATAGGAGACCAACAGCAGCAACACATGCATATAGAATTTCATCGAATGAAGACTGGCAACATAGGCAGCGCGAACCGCATGTAGCTGGTCAACAAGAAGTGATGCCGATAGATTCACGCTGGCTTCCACACTAGCACCATTGAACTTTGCATAGAATTCTGGAAGACCACCCCTCCGATGGCGACGGATACTGATGTTGCAATATTTCGAGTGAAGCCGGATGTGGCAGTTGCAGTTTCAAAAATCAGACGGATCGACGTGTGATTGAAGTGTAATCCAAGCTGACTGGAAGTTCAATCCTACCCCCAATCCAGCAACAGCCTCAATGACTGCGATTTTAAAAATTGACATATCCTCGTCGAATGTGAAAAATAGCCCCGAAGCCCAGTGTTAGGAATGCCATTCCCCGGTCCATATGGGTTCGCAGTAGTAGCCTGTTGCAAAAGGTTAACAGGCTAAGGGAGACCCTATGATAAACAGAGTGGAAACAAGGAAACGGATGCTATAGTTGCGTTGAGGCGTGGGTTTTCGCTCTGTATTGCTTTTTTATACAGTATAGGAATGGGATTTATTCTTAACATGATGGGTGGTGGAGCTGGCCAGCGACAGGCGGTGGGAGTTATTCCCTACTAATTGTGTCTAGTATGCTAGAATAAGTACTAACATTGAGGCATTCAAGCACCTTTCTTCCCCCAGCAAACTCCCAGGTTCATTGATCATTAATAACCAGAAACACCGCTCGGAGGACGTAGACCCCAACCTTCACACTATTGGCCAGGGCTTCCACCGCACGGTGTGGGCAACTGGTACAGCGATGTGAGCCTAAAAAACGTTGCTAAATATACGCATCGCATCAGTGAATTGCGTGGGCTTTAAGTGCTGATGAACACCTTCACTTTCTGGACCAGGGATAGCCTAAGGCCCGGTCTGATTGGTTATCCATAAATTCCGAGCACATTATGACAGATCTGGTATTCTCAGGATGAAGCCCAGACCCTGGGTTCACAAAGCCAATCGTTGTGAAACACATCACATGCGGTTTACGATAGAGTGGGAAAGTGGCGCGATTCGCGCAAGGCCGAAGCCGTGAAGGTTCTCGGAGATTAGCGATTATCTGATTGATAACCGGGATCAAGGTACGCTAGTAGACTAGCGCAAACATTACTCTCCACTCTAAGTGTTCTCTTTGACTGATTTTCCCGTTCGTGACCTTTAATGTGCTAAGCTTCAACTCTATAACCTTGACATTCTTTGTCAATTATGGTTTTCTCTTCCTTTCAACCTCCCAATGGGTAAACTTGGGTTCACATGTTTTAGAGCGTCTCGGGTATGCTCCGAACGCGAGTACAATTGCTGACTGACCCACCACACCAGCAAGGATCATCGCTTAAGTCTGCCAGCTGGAGGGGGGTCCGAGTACCTCTCGCATAAAGCGGCAGGGAATAGTGGGCCCATCTGCTAATTAGGCAGGGAATCCTCATGTGTGCTCAGCGAATCAGTCAACACAGCCAAGGCGGCCCCCGAGACGAAGACAAGCACAACCACCGCAGCCACCCGTGCTCATTCCGTTCTCTTAGTGCTCATTGCTTTTCACTAAGAATCCGACTTCGGGACTTGTGTTCTATCTGGGTAAAGATCCGCATCGCCTTGTGCGAGCTTTAATATTTAGCGTTTGCGACGTCTGGATCTGTTGTGACTTCTCTATCGGCCGCCACTATGCGTGTCCACCCTGTAATCCGTCGAGCGCGAACGGTATATCGTCGCATGCCAAATGGCGCAACCCAGGAGAACATCGAGACAAGCACAATACATAACACCAAAAGCCAGGTAAATCCTGCGGGCCAAGATGATCTCACGTTAAGCTACACCAATTCCGAGCCACTCCGCGAGCAGATGCCCGATGAACATGCCCAGCGCGGTGTTCAAGATGTTGAAGCTGTGGCTCTCACTTGGTCGAAAGGCTATCTGATTGCAGTATTTGTTAAGTATGTATCTAATCACTCGGCGCATTTCCGTTATGAATTTTAGGTCAGGCGCTGACAACACAAACTTAATAGTATTTGGTGCTTATACTTCGTCAATGCATTCCAAGCAACAATGAACACGAGTCTGAACCCATACGTGACGAGCACCTTCCAATCACACTCGCTTTCGGGTGTCCCCACCGCGCTCGGCGACGCCTTTGCAGCCGCCACCTACCTTCCTATGGCAAAATTGATGGATGTCTGGGGTCGCGCAGAGGGCTTTCTATTTATGATAATCTGTCTTACGATCGGACTGATTCTTATGGCAACTTGCCAAACATTCGAGACCTATTGTGCCGCCAATGTAAGTCTCAGATGATCGCCAGCAGGAGGGATATGTGCAGGATGCATATTGTCAGGAATACTGACATCGTGGGTTTAAGGTCTTCTGGTATATCGGTTTCTACGGCACAGAGTACGCAATTGATGTTGTGACTGCCGATGCTTCGACTCTTCAGAATCGTGCGTTCGCATATGCGTTTACATCCTCCCCATACATCATCACTGCTTTTGCAGGACCAAAGGTGGCGGAGCAGTTTTACTACCAGATTTCCTGGAGATGGGGCTTTGGTGCCTGGGCTATCATCACGCCTATCGTTGCTGCACCTCTATACATCATGTTGAAGTACAACCTTCATAAGGCTGAAAAAGAGGGATACCGGATAAAGAGACCAAGTGGTCGCACAATGCTGGAGAGTATCTGGCATTGGACTGTACAGTTTGATCGTGAGTATTACTATCGTCGTTTGTTCAATCTTGAATCCGTCTTTGCCCTATGAAATTACATTCTAACCCAAAATGATAGTGCTCGGCGTCTTGATTTTTACGGCTGGCCTCGTACTTTTTGAGCTTCCATTCGATATTGCTGCCTACGCTCCTGATGGCTGGGCCTCGGGTTACATCATTGCTATGCTTGTTGTCGGATTTTCGATGCTATTCTTCTTTGCAATTTGGGAGAAATGGCTGGCCCCGGTACCCGTGCTCGAGTGGCGTCTACTCACAAACCGTACGATCATCGGTGCAATTCTCCTTGACGCAACCTATCAGCTTTCCAACTATTGCTGGAGTTATTATTTTACCTCCTGGCTGCAGGTTAATAATGATCTCACCATTACTACGTCGAACTATATCAACAACATTTTTGATATGGTATCAGGGGTGCTTTTACTGCTTCTGGGTTGGTTTATACGCATGGTTGGTCGCTACAAATGGACTTTGTACATTGCTATCCCACTCTACATTTTTGCACAAGGATTAATGATTCATTTCCGCTCGCCGAATGGTAACGTTGGCTACCAGGTGATGTGTCAGATCTTCCTTGCCATCGGTGGCTCAGTCTTCATTCTCGTTGAACAACTCGCAATCCTGGCTGCAGTTGATCATCAGCACATTGCTACAGCCCTGGCTCTGCTGAATGTGGCTGGAACCATTGGCGATAGCGCAGGCATCACCATCAGTACAATCATCTGGCAGCAGACATATCTGAAAGCTCTTTTCCGATACCTTCCCGAATCGGCACTACCAGATCTAAAGAACATTTACGAAGATCTGACAACTCAAACGAGTTATCCTATTGGAACCCCGGTCAGGTTAGCGATTCAGAAGGCCTATGCCTACGCCGAGCTTAGACTGCTTGCTGTTGGGTGTGGGATCATGGTTCTAGCAATTCCTTGGACTATTCTGATCAAGGATATGGATCTCAAGCGGAAGCCACAGGTGAAGGGGACTGTGTTTTAGTTAAAAAATAACTTTTTGTATATATGGAAATTGCATTTATTATAGCAATATGTCACAACTTCATTGAACATGGTTGCCCCCGCCCTCGGGTGTATGATCAATTCCTCTGCTAGTCGTTCCTAACATTGGTAGTATAAATGGATCACACGCGTTGCTGTGTGGGGCCAATAAAAAAGTGGGTGCTAACGCGGCTCGTCAGGCACCAAAGTACTGATGTGAGCGGTCAGAATAATTCTACGCTAGCTGACGAGTAGTTACGAGTTTAATCCAGAGAAAGACGTGCAGATCGAAAGTCAATTATGTCGACAAAACCGAACCCGATATCGGACAGGGAAAAGTTGATCGAAACGCCGCTCTAAGCGCGTGGGGCTCAACTCGCGAGCTAGGGCCGAGTGGACGGCTTCGGTGGCAGTTAGCATCTCACTAGCATCAATGTTGCATCGCGTTCCGAACTTGGTCCTTGCGCTCACCTTGTGATAGTGTCATAGGTTATTCACGTCGTTGGCTGTCGCGATACCCGCGACGTTGTCGTATGACACGGGTGCACGACCGTCCGGGCTGATAAAACACAATCAGATACATAACGCGGTACTTTGGATTTCGCAATGTCTCAGCCAGGTAAAAAACAGCAGATGGACTTCAGGTTCTCTGAGTCTGACGAAATTGAAGAAATCGAAGAACTGAAAGAGCTCGTCTGCGAGAATAACGGCGAAGCTGAGATTGTCAAGGCTGGAACTCTTACAGCACTCATCGAAAACCTGACTCGCCATGACAGGCTTGATGCCTCCTTCAATCGGATATTCCTCACCACATACGAATACTTTACATCAAGGCCGGCGTTGATTGATCTCCTGATCCGGCGGTTTGCCTGCCCACCACCCGTCACTTTTAATCCAACTCAGGTGACAGAATGGTCAAATGAAACGAAGCCTTTGGTTCAAGTCCGCGTGATCAACATTTTGAAACAGTGGCTCGAGCATTTTTGGACCGGCCCGGAAGGTCCTGATGACCCAAATTTGCTAAAGCTGCAGTCTTTTGCGAATGGTGCTGTCACAGAGACAAGTGCGGCGCAACAACTTGCTGAGCTTGTCCAACGCCGACTTGCGGGTCTCGACCTGAAAAGATCTCATCCATCCACTCCAAAGCCACCCAAACCAATCCTGCCCCGAAAACTAAACAAACTCGAGTTCATCAAAATTGACGCTAAAGAAATTGCGCGTCAGTTAACTATTATGGAAGCGTGCATGTTCAGCAAAGTCCAGACATGTGAATTCTTACATAAATCATGGCAAAAGAAAGAGAGCCCTGATGCATTTTATCCGGCACAAAACATTAAAGCTTTGATTCGATATTTTAATCAACTCTCGAACTGGGTCGGCGCCCTCATAATTGCAGAATCCGAATTGAAAAAGAGAACTCAATGTATAGGGCACCTGGTCAATGTTGCCACTGTAAGACATATTCTTCCGTTGAGAGAAACACTTATGTATACTAAACCCGACTGAACAGGAATGTTATAATCTGCAAAACTACTCCGCGGTGATATCCATTTTGTCAGGACTGGAAAGTGCCCCAATCTATCGACTTGCCCGCACATGGGCAATGGTTACTCAACGTAGCTGCGATGCTCTTAGACCTTTACAAGCCATGGTCTCAAGCGCACAGAACTATAATGCCTACCGTGAAATGTTACGGATGACGGTCCCACCATGTATACCCTTCCTTGGTGAGTTATATCATGAACATGTTGTCAAATTCACCAAACTAACAAATCATCCTTCAACTAGGTCTTTACCTAAAAGATCTGACTTTCATTGAAGATGGAAACCCGTCTGTTACACAAGAAGGCCTCATCAATTTCCACAAATGTACCATGCTAGCATCAAGTGTTCATGAAATTCGGCGTTTTCAACAAGCTCCCTACTGTCTACAAACGGTTCCGGAGGTACAGGAGTATTTGGTTACCCAATTGCAATCTGCGCCTGATGTACACGACATGTATGAAAGAAGCTGCGTGTTAGAGCCTCGGGGTCGGGGTGAACAGAGACACAGAGATTCTTATACCGCCACTGGCGGTATGACGACCTCGATGGTTATTGCCTGTATGATTCTAGACGATTAATGTTTCGATTTCAAAATACCAAGATAAGTTTGCATCTGTCTTTCATACGTCCCTGGTACACATACCGATATCTCTAGATAAATACTCCAGAGATCGCCAATAGGTTAATCCTTGAATGGTCGAAAGTGAGGATACTTTCTTGACTTATAGACTAATTTTATATATTCCCTGCCTCTCTCAATTGACGAGCTCTTCCCCTAGCCCAATCCCACGGTCTTCTTGTCGCAAATACACAGTGACCCTACCAGACGCTCCTAATTCTTCCATCAAGCGAGCACGTCATGAAGCTGTTATCCACAGTCACACCTGGCTGGCCAGGTCGTCCCACCGGTATAACATTCATAATCGATTCCCACCAAGGGCGCATCGGCCTTGGAAGTTGCCTTTCCTGTGGCCTTCTGGCTTGCACCTTGCCTGCTCGGAAAAGTGTCAACCCGTCAAATCTTCTGGATCGTTCTCCTTCTGGCTACTCAGCCTTCCAGGGTGTAACCATCCGATGTAGGCTTCACGGTTCATTCAATCCAACTGTGACACTCTGGCTTTCACATGATTCAGGATTACTGTTGCGGGTTCCATCACAGAGGCCCAAATGGCATTTACGGTACACCACGCGACTACGCGAGGTATGTCAATCGATGGGGAATTCGCACTCTTTGTCTGAATTCAAATATTACTCGGAGCAAATTCAAGATTCGCAACAGTTTCGGTGGCTTAACTTGTGCACCGATGTCAACTAAACTTGCAGATCATTTAGAACTTCCTTTGATGGCTGCAGAAATGCCGATCCAAACCGCACCGTATATACTGTCACTGTCGCGCTGATGATTCGTCCATCACTACCGGAATTTCAGCCCACGACCGCTCGCATACGTGTCGAACCCTGGCAAAATATGACGTCCAACCAACTGATCTCCGGCGACCGGGTCATATTATTCCTTTACGGGCTCATACAGACGGCTTGAGGGGTCGAATGGGACACACTGAAGCTTCTGTTGAGCTACGCTAACTTGCAAACAAAACACCAGTCGGAGTTATTGTTGAGCTGGTGTCAGATGGGAGAGAAATAAAAGGGTTGGCGGAAACGTAAGAAAATGGCATGTTGCGGCGGGATGGTTGCTTGGCATTTGGAAAGAGATGGGGGTTAGCTGTGATCACCATAGAGGACTTAGCGAAATATCTAAACATTGCTTAGAGTTGGATCTCTGTGACAAACGAGCTATAAGAAGCATAATAGGTTTATTCCATATTCATTTTACGTTTGCCGTCAATGCAGCGACCAATATCTGTATCACAGGTTCCCTTGTTTAGTTAGCTGAATACCATATTTATAAGTTAGGTATAGGTCCAAGGGAGTCACATACCAGAAGTTTAGCTTATTCTTAAGCTTAATTGAATTTAAACTCCAATCCAGTTAGCTGGTGACTATCCCTATCGAGTAATATGCCCCGTGCCAAGCTTAGGGGTAAACAAACGGTAAAATGAGCAGAAAAAATGCAATGGGCGCGTCAAATTAGATCCGATCCTCGATCATATATTTGTCCCTGGTCTATCGAAATACGACAGTATTCTCCCACATTTGTAGTGAATTGAAGGTATTGCACGTATGGACGGAGCGGAGCCACTGAGACACACGCTAAATCAGCATGCTACATTATCCCACACCACTGTGTACAATTAGGTACAGTTACATTACTGCGATCTCGATAAAGCCGACACGCCCACCTTGTACACTTCCGCCTCTCGGGTTTCATTCCAGCCTCTTTGGAGATGCTTCTTTACAAATATGGTGGGAAAGGTTCCATGCGTTATGTTTTCATCCATGGAAACCATGAAATTGGCCCTCCTTCGGACCAGGTGACCGTGGAAGCAAATATTGTGATTTTCACTGGGCTAGGCAACATGTACGTCGTACGAGATTCTTTCCACACAGTATTGACGAAGTGGATAGTATATATGGCAACAACGCGCATAATTTTTCTACGCCGTATTCTTTCAGCAATGGAGTTTGTACTCAGGTTGATGGGCAACCCAATAAGTTTATTCCCGCTCGGGAATTTACTGAGCGGCTTCTGACAAATGTTTCTATCCCCACCATTATCATGGGGGAATTTTCTACGTAAGTTATTTGGAAGGAACAGCTTTCCAATAGATTTCTGGCTAATTTGGTGTGTCTCCTATCTAGCGATCAAATCGGTATTTCGTCAAGACCACAGGATGATTATCTTTACCTGTATGAGTCGTTCTTACATTTCACTTCCACTTCCCACCCTTTAGTTTTCTCCTCACTGATGGTTTTCCAGGGCAGTAGTAGTATATGGCAGAAGTGACCGTCCACCTTGCAGTCTTGATGACAGAGTCTACCTTGCCAAAACAGTACGGGGCTTTGTGCCGTACTTTGTTCAGTCAATGTCCATCAGGAGCGACAATTATCTCCCAGGTGACGCGCAAACTTTGTGCAGAGAACTCACCAATTACCTCAAGCTGAAAGCAGATGACAAGGAGTTCAATGATTTTATTGAATTATATCGGAGACGCTATTTCCGCAATTCTTCGGTGCAAAAAGAGGCTATTCTTGAATCATGCTTGCTTCACATTCTCAAGATGCCTTTCGACCTGAGTTCTTCTATTATACATGGCTTGATAAGGCAATGAGATTATTCCTGTTTTGTTTAAAAGGCTACTTACCACAGACATTTTCCGATTTGCAACAACGCTTGTATCTTATGCGAGCCTTATGGTCCGCTCAAACTGGGCAGATGGTTATAAATAGCTAATATGCAGCCTCAAGGCTCGTCAGAGAGTTATAGACAGCTTTACCCACTTACCGATGTCGATTTGAAAACGTCAAGTGTGTTTGATATCACTGTAATCCACGAACATCGTCATGGAAGTACTCGCCAAGGCTCGGACGGCACCTAGTGCAGAATGCCCAGGTAGCATCTTTGAGTTCATAGACATCAATAAAGTTCGACTTAACAAAAGAAAATGCTCAATCACAATCGGGCTCGATGCCATACCAAAACTACTCGAGAGAAGGATTTTTAAATTCTTACGCAAGGCACTGATGTTAATATGCAGATGGTCGGTTACAACCCGTACTCGATGAACAAGCTTTTCTCTATGGACCCATTTTATAGAGCAGTGTCCATGTCTAAAGTATTGTCTGATCCGAAACCCTCCTTCAGGCTATGGGCGCTGACAAAAGGGTTGAAACATGTTATAAATTGGATAATAATTCGAATTCCTGCTGCTGCGGCAACAAACACAATGCAGGCTACAGCCACCCTTGAGTTCCTCATGAAGACTGGTGCCTCATCAATGCGCATATTTTGACGACGACAGAGATTAAATTGAAGTGTTGTCTGGGGGCCCAGGTGCCCACCATTGGAGAAGCAATGAATCGGACCGCGAACGGGCTTATGCGGGTTCAGAATGTAGTACTGCAAGTTATGATTCAGGATAAGCAACCACTCCTTCCCAGGTGTATCCGCTGGCAGGAGTGGTTCAGGAGGGGACCGACTGTCAGGAGTATAATAGCACCGTAAGGTATCGATAGTAGAGGATGTCCTGATTCTCTATTACTTTCATGAACTAACAGTTTATTGCGTCTGCTGACTATCTAGATACCCACAAACAGTAAAAGGGAAAGCAGGGCAAACAGTAGTCTGAAGAGGCTTCCTTTCCACCAGCTTTTCGGTCTTTATGGCAAATGTATCTTCTCCTGTAATGATTTCAAACTTCAATTGATGCTGAACGATGATTGCCCTTTTTGCTTCCATGTGAAACCCCTGGTCAGAGGGACTATAAGGTGGAGGGCACACATCGTCGGCAGCACCAAACTCATAAGATTCCAAATCGACGTCATCAATCATGGCCGCATGTCTGGGATTTCTGATGGCGAATTGAATGGGTATAAGCACATGTTTGTCTTCGTCTTGTGTGATGGTAAGAGGTTGCTTGATGTAGGGGTTCTGATCAGACCCCCAGTACCCCTTAATATTGCCCTTACACAACTTTCTGACCTTTTCACTCTTGCAAATGGAGTATTTATTACTTGAACCATCAGCAGGTTGGCTCATCACCTTGACTATTTCCTCCGCATACCATCTCAGTTCCCGTACCACGAGATGTTTAATCTCTGTGGTTCGCTGGCCTGGATAGGTTTGCCAGCGAGGGGAGATGGTAGCCGTAAATGAAAGTGTTGGTTCAGATCTTGGAGTGGATTGTTGTGTGAGGGTCATTCCCAGTATCAACTTTGAGAGAGGAAATTCCAACGCAGTTCGGATCAGGTGGGAGGTTTGCGAGTCGGCTTGACGGCAGAGTTTAACAGATTGACTCTTGATAGCAGGCTCGCGGTCTGCAGCTGTAGCCGAAGCAATTAACTTATATGTGACAGACCCCAGTGGCGTCTCTGTGGTTGTGGGTATAATTGCTGGGACTTCCAAAGAAAAATAGTATTTCGAAATGATCCTCCCTGAATGTTCCTTAGGGGTTCCTTCCAAGGAGCAAGGCAGCGAGGCAATTTCGACAGCTTGTTCATCCGTACGTGTAGCTTGGGAAGGGCTGGCTGTCGGGCTGAAGAACGAAGGGCAAAAGAGGCGGGTTTTTTCAAAAGAGAACCGTCGATTGGTGGCCTTCGTGCAGCAGCTCTTGTCGTATGTAGATTTCACAGTTTGAACAAGTCGAACATGAACTGATTGGCAAGGTGGGAATGATAAATTTGAATCTGCTGATATTATGGCATGACCAGAAAGTGTCGCGAGTTCGCCTTTTTCACCGCGTAAACGGTTGATATGGTGCGTAGAGGGAGCAACGAGCTCCAGGTCGAATGAATCCATGGTAAATAGGGAATAAGATATGGTAAACGGCCAAATCGTGCGTTCAGCGAAGTATTTGAAAGTTACGCGGGCTTAGAAATCCTGCTTCGGCGTGCCTACATTGTCACATCCACTCGCACATTGTCGCGATGGGCGATCCATGCCCAACGAGGAAGCCAAGAGGGGAAGATAGAGTTCTAGATGGGTCCACTACTCTCTTTCAGACAGAAGCGTGGCCTCTCAGTATATATTTCATCAGCAATGACGCACAGGACTATTAATGCTGCACTTTATTGAAGTCGAAAATCATCTTAAGTCAATATACAACGAAGATTTCAATTCACAACCTTCTCTCCGGACGCGACAATCGCCTGGTATTGTCCCATCGCCTTCGCGGCATGATAGAACATTACTGAGAAGTTTCGAGTCACCAATTCACATACCGGTGGCCGTTGCTGATCGTCAAGATATCGCCGATATCCCTTAGAATATCGGCTCTCGTATTCGTGGGATCCGAGGGCAATGAACAGGACTGGAGCAGGAACTAGCACCATTCACTTTGGCTCTTCGTTCGAAGGATTGGATCAACTGACTACGCACATTCTAGTGTGACTCCCAGCAATCTGTGTCAGCTGACTTTGAAATGCTTTGCTCAGAAAAGCCAGGCTTGCGTTGATCTATAAAACGCCTTTCCGCTCGCCCCGGGGTGGGGCGGCTCAATCCGCTCGTACTCCGCCACAGGTCAAAATCTCAATCAAACAGCCTAATTGGGTTTAGCGTCTTACCAACTTCATGTATCAAACCGCAAAAGACTTCATTCGCATCACCTGACTTCGTACCTGAACCCACTACGACCTTCTTATCACTGCTCTGGCTAGTTTAATGGACAAATGTCCGAGCGTCCTACGAAACAGCCACCCACAAAAGGTAATGATCCTTCTGTCCTTTAGCTCGCGGTTCTAACTTGAGCAGATTGCCCAACTTGTCAAAGGCGACGGATCAAGTGCGACCGGGGGCTTCCTGGGTGTTACAAATGCAGTAAACGTAATTTGGAATGTCCGGGCTATGGGCTGAAGCTCAAATGGATCGAAGGGGTTGCCAGCCGTGGCAATCTGCGGGGCAGATCGATTCCTGCAGCAAACGCACCCAACGCTACATCGCAGCCCTCGCATCATTGGCCACAACTAAGTACAACCACAAATGATATTAACACTCAAAACATTTCAATCAGCCATCGGTATACCTCATCACATTCAGGGCCTCTCTCGCTGCCTCACTTCCTACCATCGCCCCTTTCTGAACTTTGCCTAGCACAGTCTCGGCCACTCCACGTGTCGCGGTTGGTTTCTTGGTTTAATGAACGGGTTGCTCCTCGACTTGCGTGGGTTCCTCAACAAAATGCGTGGCGTCGTATGATTTTGCCCATGGCCGAAAATTCCGAGACGGTTCTCTCTTCTATTCTCGCTATTGCTGCTCATGACCTGGCGTCTGAGTACCACTCGGATGATGTCGGTTCTCAAACTTACCACCAAATGTCGAAAATGTACCAGAATAAATCGCTGGCTCTACTCGCCAAGGAGTTAAAAACTCTTTCCGCGTCGTCTTCCTCGGGATCAGATGTGAGCGCATCATCTGCCTTCACTCTAGCATCTGTGATCATTCTTTGCAACAATGAATTCATGCAACCACAGCGAGCTGGATGGCGGGTCCATCTTGCGGCTGCAAGGGAGGTCATCCTGGCATCGAAAAATAGATCACATCCTCACAAACAACTGACCAGCATTGAAGAGTTCCTCATGATTGAATTCTATGAAGCATCGGTGTGGGCCAATTTAACGACTTTCGATGACTCGAGCGAAGACGTCAAGCCGTTTCCTCATAGCAAGGAAAACGCGGTATTCACCGATTTTGTCCGTGTTATCGATGAAATCACTCAACTGGAGCGTCTTAGGTTTCGGTCCCAGTCACACAGCTTCCCCTACCATTCCGGGCCAAGTCCTGCTGTTATCATGCAGATAAATTCCGCTAGATACAGCATGATTCATCTTGCCGAAACCATCAACTTTCATGCTGAAGAAGATCGACGGACCTTTCAGCTCGTGGTGCTGATGTACTACCACGCGACTCTCATTTACAGCTGTCAAGCCCTGGGAGAACCACCCACCCGGGACTTCAATGCAAACAGCTCTCGCAACGAGATCCTCAAATATTTACAGTCTCTTTCCGGGATGCGGATTGACCTCTTTGCTCAAGATCTTGTTTGGCCACTGTTTATGGCGGGAACCGAACTTCGAGGCAACCCGGAAGCACAGAACCTCATTCGTGGTGGTTTTCATTCGGTGATGCAATTCAGCCGCACTTTGGACAGGGCGCGTGTTCTGTCGTTCCTGGAATCTTGGTGGAAAAACCCTGGAGCTTACGTGTCTTGGATTGATATGGCCCGAACGCAATATCGGTCTTCCCATTGTGACTTTCTCGTGGTTTGAGATATCACAGAACAATCCATCAATAACATAATACTATACTGGAGATAGTGATCAATCCTTGCGGGCAACTCCATATGAGAATAGTCCCAGTCCATGTACAACAAGGGTCATAATGTGTATACAGTGCTATGAAGTGTCGGACAGTTTCTACACGAAAACCTCGAAGCGAGTGTACCGTTTCATGTATTGTTTTCGTCCTACTTTGGCCTCGTCAGGTAAGCGTAAGATTGTGTGGGGCCCTCTCTGATCAGGTCTAGTGCATTTCAATTCCTAGATAGTGACCTCTCGTAACCGGCGGCACGACCTACTTAGAGCTGCACTCTGCTCGTAAGAGGCACGAGATCTCTAGCACCCCTGCATCACCCTGTCGGCACGTCTTGTCGAGTCCTCCTTGGAACCACCGGGATGGGAGGTGAGGGGAGTCAAACGGCGTCCCCTATTCTCATCACCCCTACAGACGTTCTGCGCATGGTATTTGCATCCCTATCGACCAGCGATCTTGCTAGGGACTTACGCTCTCTTGTTGAGCTATTCCTCTACACCCGCATTCAATGGATAGACAAGCCCTCACTACAATTTCAAAATATATTTACCCTGACTATCAGCCAGGGCGTGTGGGCTCTCTTTTTCGAGAAAAAAAAAGACTCATATGTTGTGCCTAGTTTGAATTTGCTTTTCAATACGAAGCACGTGCTGCAAGTACCCATAACCACCTGGTGTCCAAAAACAGGTTCTTCAACACTCCGAGGTAAAGTTTCGCGTGGGCATACTTGCCATTATTGAATGAGCTAGAGTATAATCGATTTGAATACCTAATGGTCGTTCTGCGATCGAACTATCGAATGTATCACTGGAACTCGGCTCAGGTTTCCGGGCCACGCTTGGCAACATTGTCTCCGAGTCTGGTCGTTTGATGACAAATGCTGCGAGTTGAAGGTAGGGTGAGTTTGGCAAGATCTTTGTCTGCGATATTAGCAAATTTGAAATTAAAACATGCTTTGTTTTTCCCTATAGGACAAAAATGTCCTGCGAAAGTCAAGGATTCTGGTGAAATGTGAAATCTATAAATCTAATTTGTTCAATGCCCCCATGGGCAAGATGCCTAACCTACACCCGACGTCGTAGCCCCCTCCGGAAGCCACCTCAGAATAGTAGTGGTTGTCACATCTGTAGACATAGTTAATCGTAACTAGACAGCCGTCCCCTCTGTGATACGTGCCACACTTGCCACATCCGCCAATTTTGCGGATATTCTGGTTCATTCTACATGTCGTTACCACTGATACTACAGTTCGTACCCTGGATAAAGACGCCACATCCCCGGGTCTGATCGCCCCAACGGTTTCCCGAGAGACGGTTGGGACTAGAGAGGTAAAATTAGTATCGAACGTTAAGGGGTAATAAGATATTTGCATGCTAATGGAGCAAGATACAGAGCACAAAAAGGAAATGGAGGGGTTAACTCAGACGTAGAATAATTGGGTGTGTCATATCGCTGCAGGTAATTGACGGCGCGATCGCACCATTTCAATATATCGGGAGTCGTACACATAATAGAGCCCTCGCAATCGTAGTCGCTGGCGTCCGGCTCGATATAGTTTCCCGCGCTATTGTAGCCTTCTGTCTAAATCACGAATTTGCTCGTGTCCGTAGTCAAAGTTCCTAGGAGTAATGTCCACGTATATATATAGTCCTTGATATCAAGAATGACGCTCGAGAGCGTACTCCACGACTAAGGTAGAGCTGTGGAGCCTTTAGGAAGCGTGCTAGTGTAGCTGTATAGCGTGGTTCCCTCGACTATGTAGTGAGGGTAGACGTATTTGTCAGTTTTGAAGTTAACACTCCATGTAGGATCGGTATCGAAATCACATCCCACCGAGTCCTAGAGATAGAGGCGAACGAAAGCGTAAGGAATAAAAAATGTCAGCTTTGATGATAGTCGAACCTTCCGTAGGAGTGGAATGCTAGTTAGCGACAGTCTTCCCGTTTAGCAAAGAGTCGGTTTTGACCGTAACCGTATCGGAAGACGACCCTAGATGTCTACCTCCTCCCACGGCACTCACGTGGAACACGTGGTTAGCTCCTAGTATGAGACCGCTAAGTGTGATCTTAGTCATTGAACTTAGAACGCTTATAACAACAGTATCGCCCGAATACACGTGATATCCAAGGGCATTCGAGGCCGAGTCCTAGGACAATTGAGCAGAAGTATAGTCCGAGGTCACGACTAAGAGTCTAGAAACTGTTCCCGCAGCGCTTCTAGATACCTAGGATACCGCGTCGTTGTTTAACAGCGAGCCACTATTGACTACACCTATCATACTCTTTATATAGGAATCGCTAGGCAGATTGTCGTATAGATTAGGTAGAAGGTCATCTATGTTTTGAACGAAGCTAGCTCCACGCTCCTTAGATAATTAAAGATTACTTTATCAATCGCAGACTCTAGCACGTTATATATGATATGCTATAGTTTCCGTGGGTCCTTTAGTACCTAATCGTTAGGTGTGTAGGAGTTAATTTATACGTTATAATCTAGTTCGAACGTTAGCAGCGTGTCTATAGTATCCTCGAAACAAAACTCCATAGGAGATCTAGGATTCAGGATCGTATACGTGCCGGGGTAGGTGTGCTTAGTATAGTCGTTAATATACTTATATAGGTCCACATATTAGTTGTTGTCCTCACATTTAGGCTAGCCCTCGTCGAAAAAGATGCCGCCAATACTACTACCATAAAGTGTGTACCACATATCGATATCTTTCTCGATCTAAGCGGTCTAGTCCGCTAAGCCGCCTAAGCCTAGCCGCGTTAAGGATTTCTGGTTACTCACGCCAAGGTATCCCGCTCGCACATAGCCAAGTACTGTTTTACTAGAAGCTAAACCTCGATCGATAACGTTGGTCTAATCCTTATTAACGGTGGAATTAGGATCATTCACGACGTTAGAAATCAGGATAGGCATCGTGTTAGAAGCATAATCGGCGATTAAGCGATCCTAGGCGGACGTGTCTCCGAGCGGGTTGATGTACGACGCCACCGCGATTTGTTCTAAACGTAGGTATATCACGTTATCTTGCCTTATTTGACGTAAACTACCACATAAACTACCAGTGATACGTATGGCCGTCTAAAGCATTCGAACCTAATAAAGGATAGTGAGGGCACGAGTCGAAGGATAACTGCTCTAGAATTGCTAGATACCCCCTGATCCAGCTCGTTCTTATTAGTCATCTAATAGATGACCAGCGAGACAATGATCTAATGAAGTAAGGGCTGCGGATAGAACACACGCCTATATCTATTCATCATTCGTTTGTTAGCGAAACTTAATTGTTTGTCACGATAGGCTAGACACTTTTCTTACTCGTCTAGCAGGAGGTTTGGAATTCCTCTCCTAGAAATAGCGGCACTTTTGAGTGATACTACGTCAGACGCGGAAAACCCTTCAATAGAAGCGGTAGAGGCGGTAGATTCGTCGGAGATCATGGTCTGGTCTGTGAACTTAGGGTCTAGGTCTACCTCAAGTGTGATCTACGTAAGCATGTTTATAGTGCCCTCGAACGTTCCTTCCGCGTGGGTCTCCTCGCTTCGTTTCTAGGGATTGCCGCCGAGGATGTCCCAGTATTAAGCTCGTAGAACATAAGCCCGGTTCTTTCATAGATATTGGTATATAAGATAAATGAGCTTCGAGCACTCACCTTATGTTGCTTTCCTTCGTTAATTCATCGAAACCTTCTTCACAAAAACTGCTATTAAAATAGCCTACATAATAGTCGTAATCTACAAACTTGACTTGATCACCGGCTCTCTTTACTACAGCTAACTACAGAATTATTCAAGTTAGTAATAGGTCTACCAGATAAAATGAGAAGAACCAAAACGAACAATCTACGAGTTAACAGCATTAATAAGGTCATTCATTGTTTTTCGAAGATCTTTCGTAAGTTTAGCCGAGCCTGAAATATATTGTATGATTTCTAGCCGAAAGTTAGTACCATACTGACCGTCGTTTCTTTGCCACTCACATGAACCTAGGTTAACCAGGTAACTGTATCACACGCGGATAATAAATCTTCAGCAAAGAATTTGGCATAGCTTGATAACCACTGTCAACGATGTCACAAGGAAGAAACGGCATAGCACATACCCGGTGTAGTAGATCATCCCACTACCTTTGGTCAGCATTCAGACCTAAACGATAAAGTATTGTGACTAACTCTGATGCTAGCTTTAGCTTTGCCGCGGAGATAACAGAGTCCAGGCTCTTGCCAAAGGCATCTCTAGAAATAAGCTTTTGTGTGCGAGCCAACTGCCCATGGCAACCGAGACCTAATGAGTCCTAGTTAACGTCCGGTCCCCATGCAAAATTTGTATCTAGAAGAAAGGCTGCCTTTACAATTTTTACTTGATCGGGGTTCAGTACGGCCTATTGGAAGATACACTGGTTCAGGATGTTTGAGAGCTCAGCATCATTGCCACCTAAGACATCACTCGTGTCAGTCCAGTTCATAGGAAAGAATACAGGTATATACATACCAGCTGATAGCAATATAACCTGCTGGTTCCCGTTGATGTTAGGGATCTGGTCGTTAAGGACATCGTCCGTGACTGCCCCAGAACATGATTCGAACCAGAAAGTGCGTGCTGCTTGATCCCCCAGCCGTTCATCGGTAAGATAAGGATACGAATTATCATAGCACTGCACAAATAAGCTTTCGGGTCTAAAAAGCATCTATTAGGCAACGTGCTTCAGCCTCGAGTCAAAGAGGAATTTATTTACGGCTCACTGATCCAAGCCGGCTACCAGCGCCAATGCCGGCCGAGTAGGAGTCACCGATGGCGGCCATGCTTTTGATGAAGGAAAGATCTGCTAGGTCGAATTCAGTAGTATTTCTCGCCATCAACCGCTCAGTGTTCAAGCTTGCATTTCCTACCACGTTCCAATACGCAAGAGGGTTTGCAAGGGCGCAACTCGCAAGGGTAGCAATGGCCGCCAGGCCATGCCATGGTTGCCCGTGCATAGGGGAACAGAGGAGGCGATGAGTCGAGGAGAGGGTGGACAAAACAAGACCTTGCGGCGATTCAATAATACTCAAACACCAAACGACAAGAGACTTCTTATAAGAATGTTCTTGGTCTGGTATTAGGATTATATAGTGCATCTGGTTTCGCCCCCAACACCCCATCCAACTCCTATCCACCAGGACGATACTAGTCCTTTCCTAGCTGCTACCCTCGCAACCTGTAAGGTCGGGCAAAATACGGACAAGGGCTCTAGATCCACCCGTTGTAGCAGTGCATGGGGCGGATTTTTTTATAGCAGATAGTCTGCGGGTATGATCAAGGATGAATGGGTTCAGAATGGATCCGAGAACGGTTGCGTGCATCTGACTTGCAGTAGTGAGATTCAAGTAGCTGGGACAGAGCCTCATGGGTCCACTTGTCAAAAGCTTAAGGTTACGTCGGCAGTGGGAGTTTCGGGGTATAGATATGGAAAATAACAAAAGGAGAAAACGATAAATTAAGCCTTAAACACCCTAGCTATGACCTTGTTGAAGACAGCACTTTAAGTCTAGCAAAATGGCCACCACAATGCATGGAAATGAACCACCATTCTATCACGGATATCTCAACTTTTTGGGTTTCTCACTGGCATTTACAAGAGAACGCAGTGTTTCACATCCATTCCCACATCCACATGCACGCACCAAACCATATCGATTCGGCCTTCCCATCTATGAAACCGAGACAATGGCTTTCGTTCCTGTTGGTGAATTTCGGTTCAGGTGTTGGTGGGACTCAAGAGGATATTGTTGAAATCCCAGAGTGCCAATAAATATGTATTTTGTAAGGATAAAGGTGGTCAGGGTTTTGGAAGGGTAATGACCCTGACGGATTTTCGCAGGAGTCGTACGCCTTGTTGATAATTGGCGTAGTTCCCTGGGAGGAAGACGAACGGGGATAGCGATCAGGCGAAAATGAATTTACGCCTCTTGGGCCCAGCGAGCTTCGCGCAAGGGCATCTCCTCACCGGCTTGTTTGCGGCTTCCGTCGATCTCACGCTTCCAGGCAAAGTACTCGCCAAGACGGGTCTCAGCGTAACTGGCGTAGTCGAAATCAATCTGGGAGATTTGTGCTTGGATAAGCGCCCAAACACCCCTAGTGATAGATATTAGTACAGGTTATCCTTGAGATTGTTTTCAACTGTCGTCCAAACTCACCAGTAAAGACCGGGAATACCACGGAACCGGTCAACGTCCTCATACAACCGTTCAACAATATCAGCCTCCGATGCAGCATCGATGCCACGCTGCTGGCAGTAACTCTTGGTATACTCAGTAAGGAACTGACGACGCACAGACTTCGTCGGCATCATGTTGTAGTCGCAGTCATAACCACCCCATTCGGCTAGGTGGTTAGAGATATCAAAGGCAGCAGGAGCAGGAACCGCGTATTCATAGTCGATGAAGTTGACCGGCGCGATACCGTCTTCAGGAATGGGCGCGTTATCCTCACTAGGAAGAACGATAACGTTGGCGCAGAGCAGGTCGCAGTGCGAGAAAACAAGCTAGAAACCCCAAATATTAGTCACAATCCACCCGAAACAATCGCAATCGCACATCCAAGGAGTGGAGCCACATACCCCGTCTTCACCGATTCCCTTGCCATCATCGAGAACCTCGACAACCCATTGCAACTCCTGCTGCAGACTTAACCGGCGCGCACGCTGCTCAGGCGTAGCAATCGGCAGAGCCAGCACCCACTTCTGCAAAACTGCCCACATAGAGGGCCCACCACGACGGGGCTGGATTACAGTGATCTCATCATCGTGCGACTGGGCAATCTCAGAAACAGACGCTTCGGTATCCTTAGTTGGGGCCGCGCCGCTACTGGGGAGCACGGCGTGCCACTGCGCCAGACGGCGAGCGACGCCACGCCAGATGGGCGGGGAGACTAGATCCAGGTGGCCGCAGGGCTTGCCGCGGATGAAGCGGTATAGCAGGCCGTTCTTGAAACGGGCGAGGAGGGGTGGGGCCAGGCCGCGACTGGCTAGCAGGGCGTGCGACTTGGTTTCTCCTAAGGAATAGATTCTACTTCAGCAAATGTCGCAATGGGCAGTGGATATGAAGGCGCAAGGGGCTTTTCGGAGGTTGGGGGAGGTTTGGTTGGACTGTGGTGGTCCGGCGGATTGGGGGGTTTTTGCTCGTACTTTCACGGTCTATGAGGATCTCTGTTCCGTTTCCGTATGCCCTCATCAGTACGGCCTCGTTGTCTATTTGTTCCTCCGTCAGGCCTGCCTTGGGGTTGATGATTTTGAGGAGCTGGAGGGTGTTAGTTCCATTGACTTTGGAGGTTCCTGTTCGATTTGCTGGAAGCGACGCTAGGGGAGACGCACGGTGTTCGTAATGCCGTCGGTGAAGCGCACGAATTGAATGTTGTTGCCGGGGCCTTCCCAGTCCGGGTTGAGGGTCAAGATCAACCGCAGGGCTGAGGCCTGGGAGTCGGCATGGCTGTAGGAGAGGGGGATATAGCGGAAATCCGGCGTGAGGTCAGTCAGAGTCTCTGTCGAGCCCATGTTGGCGGAGTAGAGGGCGGAGGTGGAAAAGGGGGGCGTGTCGGGATGCTGTGAGGTGTTCAATCGAAGTGCAGCTTTACAGGCAGCACCTTCAGATCAGAAACAATGTGTCTGTGGCTAAGGTTTGAACAATCGCAAGACCAGAGGGGCTTCAGAGAAGAGCAGATTTTGGACGTAACGGCGGATTATGTATTAGGGTATTAATAAAAAGTCAGGGGCGATATGAAAGAACGCTATGTCGACGGCGGGGAGGTTAATGAGACAGGAGGGGAGGTCTCGTGCTCCTGACCCATGATTGGAAGATGGGCTTGTACAGGGGCCCAAGGTACTTCATTCTTGATGGCAAATGTACTACTGCCTATCTACAGTATTAAGTTCGGGATATTTTGTGGTGGCGGGATATGCTATTTGCAGCTAGATACTTGCATTCGCACTATTTGGTGGCGAATTTAACGTCAACATGTACCTGTGTAGCCCTTTGTATGTTTATTGACCTGGTACCAAGCGAACTTGCCCTCTTGTCACATGAAAGAGACTGCGCACGTGTATGTATAAGCCCTAAGCCCTATTCCCTCTTTGGGTATAGACCCACAGTATTTGTCACAAAAACGGAAAAACATTTCTGCCGCCAGACACCGAGACCCAATCAGAACTAGCGCCAAATAATCTCGACAGCATAAAAAGGGCCAGGTCTGCCGCGCCTTTCATCTTTTTTCTTTTCTCTCCATCATCAGTAGTGGTTTACTATACTTATAGTAAATTACAACGGGGCTCCATAAAATATGGCTTGCTGAGGGTTATCCGATGGCTTCGGCCTGCGTGGGTTTTCTTCCGTTCCCGGCCCTGGAGAGTAAAGGCGTCTCTCTTTTTCCCAATCACTTTATGGCTATGCTAGGGTTTCCTTCGGGAATGCTCCATGGGTTTTAGCTGTGGAGAGGACGTCACATACCTTTTTGACTCGTGTGAGTTGCTGTCTCTGGACGGACTGTAGTTGAATTATATCCAATTGGTACGGAGTAGTCGGTGCATGCACTGTTACATGTTTATTCTTAGCTTCAAGTCCTGTGGCTGATAAGCTTTGAACCGTCGTCTGGTTAAGAACCATATGTAGTTGGTTTCTTGCGAAGATATCCACGGGTTCGTCAACAGAGCCTCGAGCTCTTGAACTCTTGAACTTCCACTACGTCGCATGAAGCTACAGGCTACATGTACTCTGTTTGAGGACGTCAGTTGTCAGCACCGTCAATCCGTTTAAATTTTTATCATAAAATGGCATCTCATAACTGCAGTCATTCATGCCCGTCCAGCATTTCCAATCTGGATACGCTGCCCAGTCCACTTGTCATCGCTGCGCAACACAGGCCAGCTAGTACCATCAGCCTTGACCAAGGTCAACTCCAACTTGGTGCCCAGCACGCGGAAGCTCGACTTCTCAGGATCAATGGCCGCATAGAGGCTGTATGTATCCTGGAAGCGCTTGTTGTCGGTCGTAGGCAGGTCCAAGACAATCGAATTGGAGGCGAACTCGACGCGAGCACGCTCCTTGTCGATCTTCTTGAAGTAGAGGGAGACGTTGACGGCCGTGGGAGTTTGGTAGAAATCGTTCCTGTAGAAGGATAAACCTGGTCAGTTTGATGCCGGCAAGAGGAATGAGGCATGGTATAGCCAGTTCGCCGGTCTGTATGGAGTACGCACCTGACAGATTCCACCTTCTCTTCGCTGGAGCCCTTGGCCTTGCCCACAAACATGTGCCTCGTCTTCTCTGTGCAGCCGGGGATCCTCAGGAACTCGTCGAACTCGAGCACGCGGCGCTTGCAGCAGGACCAACCCTTGCTGCCCTCGTGGAAGATTGGCTGGCCGGGGTGGTGGGTGCACTTCTCCTCATCACGAGCGGTTGAGCCAGTGTAGGAGGCACCACAGCCTCTGCGACGACATGTCGCATTAGCCGGGATCTCCACGTCAGGATCATCCGACTCAGGCTCCTCGGTGACCGGCTTTGCGGGGGGCGTCGTGGGGACGTTAGCGGGGATAGCAACGGGCGGCCGTTCGGACTTCTTCTCGACGGCGACGGGAGGGGCAGCGGCAGCTTCCTCGGCCTCGGGCTCAGGCGCCGGGGTATCGTCGACGGTGGAATGCTTGCCGGTTGTGCATGGCGGGATAGCGAGGAATTCCTCAAAGGTGAGGACACGGGGCTTGCAGCACTTCCAGCCTGAGAAATTAGCAGGATACCGGGTAAAGAGTAGAAAGATATGGTATATCAGAGTGCGCGGATGTAATGCCCCTCTCAAGTAAAGCGAGGGGCACAGATCTGGAGCTCCTCCAAGGTACTTAACTTACCTTTCTGCCCCTCGTGGAACACTGGGGGTCCGGGATGATACACGCACTCCTCCTCGGGGTCGGAGAAGGTCTTCCCACACGCTTTGTGAACACACTTGCCAGCCATGATGTACAGCAGATGAAGAATGTCGAGACACAGAAATTGTGGTAATGGCGCAGGTTGCCTAACGGGGTTTAGCGGGGAAGCTCGAATGTTCCATCGCGGAGAACGCCTGACCGCCGTCGCGACACGCCTGATTCGGGTACATCTTGCTTTCTGTTGTCGCTTTGTCACTTGTCGTTTTACTTTTGTCATGTTTCCTACACGCGCCCTCCTCGCCTCAGCTCGACTGACGCTTTTCACTCGCGCAGGCTGTGGCCTATGCGACACCGCCAAAAACACCGTACTTCAGCTCCAGAAACGTCGATCCTTCGAGTACGTCGAGCAGGATATTATGGACTCGGGGAATAAGCAATGGAAGGATGTTTACGAGTTCGATGTGCCCGTCCTACATGTCCAGTCTGTGAACGATGGCTTGCCGAAGGCGGCTGATCTGTCTGATGCTAGGAAACTGTTCCATCGATGGACGGAGCAGGAAGTCGAGCGGTCTGTTGAGGAGGCGGAGAAGCAGTATTCCTGATCACAGTGAAATACTGGCCATCACACTGGAAATCGCATTGTCGTTCTACTATCAATCTCCCGGGAAGCGCGCCGCCTGGATAAAGTCGCATGTCGCTCGAATTCCCTGGTATAAATCATTTATGCATATGGCTCCTGGCGAGCCCCTGTACCATCACAATACTTTTCTGCTTTCGCTAGAAGTTAATTTCTCAGATGTAATACATTTACCTATGCGACTGGGGCCACAGGTAGATCTGTGATCCTGCATTGAGTACATGAAGCTCAATGAACTTCTTCGCCTTGATAGAGTATCCAGGTAGACTTGAAATTGTTTCGATATATTGATTCACGTCGTTATATCACACTGCAAGCATTGTCATTGTTCTGATGTCTGTCACAACCGAGCACCTCGATATATATTTATGGCATGGGATTCAGATCCCCTTCTTTTTTTTTTTTTTCCGGATTGCCTTCATTCCTTGAGGGATAACTATAATAAGAGACTATGAAATATGGTAAGATGCCTGATCGGGAGGCGGTAAAGCAGCAACAAAAACAGCACGCTTGGATCTACGAGTCTCTTGAGATCCGGGGTAATCATCTCGCGTTGTTAAATATTGGTTTGGAGTTTGCGAGTTTTGCATTGTTCGTAAAGCTCGACGAGCCAACTTCTGACGTTCCATTTCTTCTCAACATCATCCATCCACACGCGCCCACGACTTCTTTCATCCATATCAGATCGGTGAAGCGATTAAGAGTACTATATTCTCGGTATATCCGGTGAGTTTGAGCCGATTCCGATCATGACTGCTCGCGCAATGGCGATCCCCGTTTTGGTGTTCCTCTTAGCCCGGCGCGCACGCGTCGGCCTCCCTGGGCATAACTGACGATCATGCAGCCAGATAGCAACAGACACCCACCATTTCTCCTCAGAGTGACTAGCTTGCGGTAAGTCATAACTACTAGTGGTGCAATTGTCATACACGGGAAAGTCATGATCTGTTGTATTCCGGTGCTGTCGCGACATGCGCATGAACCCAACCAAATTCACTACTAACATCACAAAAGCAGACCCCGTGATCTCTTATGAGCACATCCAAAGGAGAATTATTGCCAATGGCTCAAAACACACTGGCCAGTGTTGAGGCAACGGCACCATCATCATCGGCTGTTTCATCAACTGGATCAACCGCCTCGATGAATCCATTGGGACCCCCGTGTGTTCTATGCAAATCGAAGCACACACGCTGTGACCGATCGAAGCCAGGTAAATGCTACATCCCGGCTGAAATGTCCATAATTAACCATTTCTACAGCATGTGGAAGTTGCTGGAAACTAGCACGCGACTGCTCATATCCTTCTACCAGCAACACGTGCGTTAGGTCTCTGCTATTGAGCAATTTCTATTAACTAATGATACTAGTCAAAGTAGCACCCCAAAGGCAGATGCCCGACCACCAACAATAACATCGCCTGACTCCGCGGTTTTGATCCGGTCCAGCTCCCCTGATCCTAAGCCCAAGGGAAAGCGTCAACGAGCTGATGATAGCCCTGATACCATTCGAAATGGCAATGGAAGCTCCCAAGATGCTTCAGGTCCTTTCCAATCGACAAAAACAGCCCAGAAACCATCCAAGCGGACTAAGTTGACCACAAATAATGAAACAGAACTTCGGTGCCAATTGATCAATGATATCAATATACAGAGATCAAACCATCGCAATATCACGGCCGATAACCTAAGGAGCATCATTGGACTGCTGATCCAGGCCAAAAAAATCGCAAACTTGTCTCCTCTAGCGACGAAGAAAAGGAACAGTGGCTCGAGCAAGATGAGCTTATGGAGCTTGCTGCTATCAGGATGGAAAAGGGTGGCCGATGCTCAAGGGCTGTTTTGAGTCGTTGGGAGCTGTTTCTGACTGCTCCTATGGTTGATGAAGCAGACAGGAAAGACCTTGAGCGGATCATTGCGATCGAAGAATCTCACTCCGCTATGTGCGTGACCACGTCATATAACTTTTTACACCTTCGCCGTCTGCAGCGGATCCTCCAAGACCCTGCCGCCTACGGTGTGAGCAACCATGCCCCAACCAGAACATACCTGATGAACATGGTCACAAATGCCCTTGAGGACAAACGGGCTTTGAGTCGGGCAAAACACAAGATGATTATAGAGTTCATTGATCCGGATAAAGAGATTATCACGCCCGATTTGTCGTCATTCAAGAAATCAGAAGAACCGGCCTTATCCAAGGAAAAGGCCGCGCCTTCCTCTTCCAAAACTCCCCAACCCTCCACCCCTTTCTCTCGTGTCCATTCCACTCAGCTTCACAAAGATCTCTCAAATTCCTCAGCTTCACCACTGTCCACACCATCTGCCACCACTTTGAAAGATCCCCAGTCTGCTCCCACTTCCAATATGTCTTCCTCTATCAAGGACCTTCTTTCATCCAGACAAACCTCGTTCCAACCACAACAACAACACCCCTCCCCTAAACTCAAACCCGACGTTCCAATGAAACTGATCAAAATCTTCATGGAGCATGTTGCTCCTCTCTTGCCCATCTTCGATCTCGACGATCTGGACCGGTTGCTGAGAATGACCTCGCTGCATGGTACCTTCACGTTCCGCGGGGTTGATCCAACGCTGGGACTTTGCTTTGCCCTTGCTGCTCTGCAGTCTCGAGACCGTGTTCACTGGCAAGCTCACGAATGGTACAGGGGTGCTGAAGTTGAGATCAACTCGGACGAACTCAACGAAAACTCGATTCTTGGCATTCAGCGACGAATTCTTCAAGTTCTGTATCTCCAGATGATTGGAAATCTCAGCAAGGCCTGGAGTGTTCTGTCCTTGGCCCTTGGCCTTGCAGAGGCCAACGGGATCCAAACAGTGGCTGGTGGCCCTCTTGCCGTCGACAGCACCTCCCAGCAGCGCGTGCGGGTTTTATGGCATTCCCTTTGGATGATGAGACTTAGCTTGGCCACGCAGATGGGCATGAACTGGCAATCCCTGGAGACACGTTATCCGGTGCCAAATCCAACTTCTATTCCATTGGGATCGAAGATAAGCCAGACGCAGCTTTCTGCGATCTCTTCTTTCTTCAATTCTTCTATCTCGCTTTACAGACACATGGAAGATATCTTATGCAACGACGAGCACCTGCGTTTGCGTATCGACATATGCCCTTTTCGATCATTGTTTACGGCAGATCTCTGTGAGCTTTTCGAGCTTGACGGCAAGCTTTTACAGTGGAAGGAAGCTCTTCCTACTAACCTACACTGGGATGGAACGGGAATCTCTCTGTCAATGGAGAGCGACTTTGCTATTCGTCGTCTCCGCATCCTCATTCGTCTGCGATATATGTTTATTCGACTTCGAGTTTTTCGCCCTTTTCTGATCTTCTGTCTACGCCTTTCCCATACATGTTCATGCGCATCCGACACTTCTCATGCATGCGCATCCGGCCCGCACATTCTGGTTGGCAAAGAGGCCGAATCGGTCGATTCGCCTGCTATCCTTGGTATTGTCCGTGATTCGACCCTGAAATGCCTTGCCGCAGCACAAGATATCATCAAAATCCTGACGGACCTCCATGGGAAAGGTATTGGCAAGGGCAACGATGACACCCTGAGAATAACCACATCCTCCTACGAATGTCTGGATTACATCTACACTTCGGCTCTGATATTGATTGCTTGTCTTGCAATCCCTTTCATCGTAAAGGGCGGTGGTGCGAGCAAGTCGGCTTCTAGCATGAACGAGCAACTACGCCAAGCCGATATACTCCTTCGTAACTACGAGGAGTCCTCTCATCAGACGGATGAGCTTTCTGGAAGAACTCGACGCTGCCGTGAAGTCCTCGATTTGTTGAAGAGTCAGATCGGGAGTGGGACCGTGGCGCAGAGCCCAACCCTATTCTCAGATGTGAGGATTTCCGTTGGTCAGCATGTTTGGAAGAGGCTCTACGACCGACTAGGGCTTCAAGAAGAAGCCTCATCCAAGGAGGCTTTGTCTAGCAACAACAGCACGGGACGAAAGAACTTTTTCGCCTGGCTGGAAAGTCTGCCTACCGATCTGGATGGCTGGGCCCCGGCTAAGACACAGAACGCTTAGTGATCTACGGCTCATTTTTGCTAGCATGATGACGACCAGATGGACAGCAATTTTAAGTTTTAGGTGGGGATCTCGCTTCAATTGTATCCGTTTCTCACTTTTATTCTTACCTGTATTTATCATCACTTCTAGGCTGAAAACCGAACTAATATCAATGGAAAATGATCAAATCTCATCTGGCATTATGCCTAGTGAGTATTAACTGACATCTCGACACCTGCTCGGCCTTTCCAGCCAAATTCAATCCTTCCACCCAGCTCGCTTCGCAATATACTTAACAGCATAAACCAATCCCAGCAAAACCGGCACCTCGATAAGGGGTCCAACAGTAGCAGCAAGAGCCTGATTACTATCCGCCCCAAACACCGCCACCGCAACAGCAATAGCCAACTCAAAGTTATTACTCGCAGCCGTAAAACTCTGCACAGTCGAAAGCCGATACCCAAACCCAAGCCGATAAGTAAGAAAAAGCGTCGCAAAAAAGATAACAAGGAAATAAACAATCAAAGGAGCAGCAACCCTCACAACAGAAACAATCTGATGCACAACATGCCGACCCTGCGACGCAAACAAAACCAAAATAGTGAACAAAAGTCCAATCAGAGACCACGGACTAAGCCACTTCAAAAATGTCTTATCATACCATGTCGCCGAGATCCGGCGCAGCGTGAAGCGCGTGAGGATTGCTGCACCAAGTGGGATACCGAGGAAGACAGCCACGCTTTTGGCTGCGGTAGAGTATTCGAAAGTTACGGGGTCGCCGCTTATCACACTTATGAAGAATAGACCCATTGGAGCGAAGAGGACCATTTGGAGAATTGAGTTGAGAGCTACCAGGATTGCGCAGTATTCGTTGTCGCCACCTGCTAGACCCGTCCAAACTAGGACCTATACAAAGGGTATTAGTATATACTATGGGAATTTGTTGGATTGGATTCGGCTAGAAAAATCAAGAAACTTACCATTGCGATGCATCGAGCCAGGCCAACTACTATTAATCCTTCTCGTAATTCTGGTTCGTCGGGCAGGAAAGCCCAGGCTAAGGCCAGCTTGAACAAGAGAGGAGGGAGTTAGGAACGGGTTTGGCTGCGATATATTATTTGACATACCATGAGGAATGGTGCAACGATCCAGTTGAGGATTATGCTAAAGGCCATTTGGATCCAGATATCTTTCGTTCGGAATACATGGTGTAAAGATTCAAAGCGGACTTTGCAGAGGATGGGGTACATCATGATTAGAAGGCCGACCGCTGAAGAGCGATATGTTAGTGAGGAAAGATCAAGATCATGTAGGTGAAATATAACGCACCGATGGGAATTGACACCCCCACAAACGTCCCTTTTTGGAGGGCCGGTCCTGTATTTGGAACAAAATTGCCCAGGATGATCCCGATTGCCATGGCTAGGAAGATCCATAGTGCGAGGAATCGATCGAGGAGACCGAGACTTGAGAATGCTGATTTCTTTTCTTGGGGTTCGTTTGGATAGAGGACTTCATGTTGCTTTTCGATATCGCATGTTTTGGGCGCGTTGCTCTCTGGGGGTATAGGATCTGTATGTTGTAGGAACGCCATATGTAATATTGAGATTTGGTGTATAAGACGAGATGGGAGTAAATGGTGAAGGGGCGCTAATCGAGAAAATGTTAGTTAGAAACTGATATATATGCACATTGCAAGTATAAAATTCTAGATTTGAATGTCACTGGTGGTCGCTGATTGGTGGGATCTTCCCCACCAGGAGTTAGACTCCAAAAAAATTCCAGCCAATCAGAAGCAGGACTCACGTTCACTCTCGGCGGGGTATTGTATTTCAGTCAGTGGTCTGAACAACTTCACTTTATTCAATCCGACTGATTTGGTCACAAGATGTCAAGTGAAGCCCCATGGCACGCAGCCTTTCCCGCCCCCAAGAGCGTGGCGCCCTCCATATCGCGAGAGGAGTTCCTGCAATGGATTCGAGAGGGTAAACAAGCTGGCAAGGACTTTGTGCTTGTTGACCTACGGCGTAATGATTATGAGGTATTCATTGGAGAAAGTATGGGACACTGCTTCACATATTGACAGATGTATAGGGTGGCACAATCCAAGGATCACTGAACCTGCCTGCCCAGAGTTTATACCCCACCATTCCGACATTATATTCCCTTGTATCGAATAGCAGTGCAAAATTTGTGATTTGGTATTGTGGTGAGAGTTCCTATCTTTTAGCAGTCAAACCGGGAGACGAACTAAATGGTATATTTCTTGCAGGATCTTCTGCAGGCCGGGGTACCCGCGCAGCTGGCTGGTTTGCCGATTATCTCAAGGAGAAGAATGATACAGAAATCAAAAGCTTGGTACTTGCAGGTGGTATCAAAGGATGGGCTGCAGCTGGAACGGAATATACTGCCTTGATGGACGGCTATGATGCTTCGGTCTGGACGAAGTAGCCACTCCTTTGTTTGGACCATAGTATCCTTTGGGCATGATTGAACCAAATATCAGATTAAATGTCTATCTCATGGTTCAACGGGCAACATTAAGAATACAATCGATGGACATATCATGCTCATAAGCGTAGTCGGAAAATGCATCGAGCCGGAATACTTGAACATCATAAACCGAGCGAGTTCCAACTTTTGTTGAATTCGTTAGAGGAAAGGATTAACGAACAATTTGTAAGGTGTTTAAGGTGCAGTAGCTTATTGCATATAGAGATGATCCTTGTCGTTTTGGACGACGCCCTGTATACCACCTGGAACCGCCCTATACGGTCATTAATATTATCTCGTGACGGTAAGAATAAAGACCAACCAACTTGAAAACTATTATAATAGTTAAAATCAGTTATTGGAGAGCTGAGGCTTCAAGTGAGGATGCGCGAGGTTGTTGTCTAGAGAGTCTCTTCGTGCATCCTCCTGACACGTGCGCCGGACTGGACATGGAGAAGCAACCTCACTCAAGTTGGCATAAGAGCTTCCATTCATTTGCTCTGTTTCAAGGTCTTCATGTGCCTTGGATTCTTTGGTTCCGGAATCTGATTGCGGTTTTGGTTTCTTCCTACAGCCACAGGTAAGCACCTGTCGGAGGTCGCCATATGTCATATTTTGCTGAGGAGATTGATAAACGCGAACTGTAGAAACAGTCTGTGGTAGGAGATTATTTGACATAAAATGATATCTGTTCCCGACAGGGAATTAGCGTCTCATGTATCAAGTGACATTGGCCACTATAGCTACGTCACGAATATGAATAGGCATTTGTATGGACTGGCTGTCATTCTGGTTGAATTTGTTTCCGACATGATTGAAAAACAACAAATAATACTTGTATATTTGGTATGTAAATTGGTTATCCAAAATGAAAAATTGTTACAAGCGCTGCATGGCCGTTAAACTGTGGCTTCCGTTGTTATACTTGCCCAAGATCTACGGGCGGACTTTGCTTAACTCCGAACTCTTGACTACAACCTCGTACTTCATTCTCATCCCCACTTACCCTTGTAATCGCCCTGCTGAATATGTCTTCCCCCAATAGTGAAGCTGCAGAAATTACTGCAGACATTCCAGAGAGCTTGGACCCTGCAGCCCGCCGGAGGATCCAGAATCGTCTCAACCAACGCGCAAGCAGTAAGTCTCATCGCCACATCTTATCGCTGACTATCAGCCCCATACTAATGATGCCCTTCAGGAAAAAGACGTGCTGCCCAGTTCAAAAAGCAGGGACATACAGACTTGAAATGGGTCATCTATACCGACCATGCAAATACATCGAAAAACAACAGTCCACCCGTCAAATTAGACAATGATCAACCAAGTCATGAACTCATTGACCCCACAACTACTCAGATCAAACATCAGGAACAACAACCATTCAGCGGATTAGATCTAGCAAAACGGTATAAACAGATAAACGACATCCGAAGAAGAGCCCTACAAAGCCTTGCACAAAAATCAATCTCTCCAAATGCAACCCTCTGCGTATCCCAATACAATATCCTCCGCGCCATGTTCGCCAACGCCAAAATAATGGGCCTGACAATGGAACTGCTAAACGAAGACATCGCATCTCAATTCAATATCGTCGGCCAACCAACATTTCACCTCCCAGCAAGCCTTGTCCCGTCCAAATCACAGAAGGAAATCGTCCACCACCCCTGGGTTGACATAATCCCAATATTATCTTTACGTGAGGCTCTTTTAATTCGGGAGGATCTATGTGAGGAAGATGAGTTCTGCGGTGATCTTTATGGGGTTTGTGCATCGACAACTGAAGTTGGGCTTCGGGTTTGGGGTGAGGCTTGGGATCCGTTTGCTTATGAGGCATCGGAATATTTATTAAGGAAGTGGAGTTGGATGATTGAGGAGTGTCCGGATATTGTTAGATCTACAAATTATTGGAGGAGGAAGCGTGGAGAAAAAGCTCTCGTTCTTTGATCGAGTTGAGGGGCTCGTTGACTGAGTAATAAGCTAATTTAATTAGCCTTCATAACGATCCTGATTCAATTCTAAAGTGTGAATTTCTCTTGAGTCAGTTGCTCGCTGAGATCCCACAGTCGTTCCCAGTTGCCCTCGTCCTTGATGTGCGAGTGCAATTCATCGTCCGCAACCGCGTTCTGGTTCAAGAAAGAGCCGGAATACTCTGAAAACCGATCAGTATAACCATGCAAAAGGAGAATGAGAATATATACTAACCCGCAATAGTAGGATCTATCATGCCAGTGATGACAGTAGCAGCACCTTCAGAGGTAGTAGTCCACGGGGGAATTTCATATGGAATTCCGTCCAGGTCAACCATGGCTAGTAGAACAAGTTAGCACGAGAATTGAACACCCAAGGGAAAGAAGATATCATACGCCCAGCCTTCTTCCATTCGGCAACCTGCTGCTCGAACTCGGGAGGACAGTATCTTTGCAATCCGGTTAGAACGGCTACAAATATCAGCGAATGCTCAACAGTAGGGTAAGGAATATTGGAGCTACCTCCAGGGTCAACGCTGAAAGCACGGATCTGCTGCGCCTTCAACTTCTCGCCCAATTTCTTGATGAACATCACTCTTGCTGCGTTCGATTGGCCGTATGCGGCCATAGGGTCATAGGTCGCGCCATCCTATAGAGACAAACGAAAGGATTAGAGACTAGAACCAGAGAAGGTGAATAAAATGGTAAGAAGGGAAGCGCTACACTCACACTGAAGTTATAATCATCAAAATTCATCTTTCCCACCCGGACTGCCGACGAAGCCATAACAACAACAGACGAAGAAGGCCCAGCCGCCTGAACCTTCGGCAAGAGTAACTTGATAAGTAAAAAGTTCGCCAGATAGTTAACAGCCAATTGCTGCTCGATACCATCCTTCGTCTTGCCGTATGGTGGGGTCATGACACCAGCCACACAGACGAGGTGGTCAATCGTAGGTATATCAGCTATGTCATCCGCAGCCCTCCGGACAGCGGCGAGGTCGCTAAGGTCCATGTTAAGGTAGCGTGTAGCTACATTTGGGTTAATTGATTTGATCTTTTCTGTCACCCCGGTCACCTTTGACTCGGCACGCGCGCTAAGGATGAGAAGTTTGGGATGGGCGGTTGCCAGTTGAACTGCTAGTTCGCCGGCGATGGAATCGTTGGAGATGCCGGTGATCAGGACTAGAATGGGACAGGGGCTAGTTAGATATGTGTGCTTCTATATGATTGATTGACTTTCATACCTGTTTTTCCGGCAAGGGACTTGCCATATTTCTCGAGGATAACCTCTGAGCGGAGGATCTGTCGTTTGTCGGACATCATGGATCAAGACGGGATGATAATGTAGAAGAGTGGGAAGATTGGTTGATGTGTGATCTGTCTAGAATATCCTCACTACATGCCCCCTTTTATATCTTTTCTGTCGGTCTTAACGGCAATATTCACCCTTGGATGCATTGGAGGCATACTTCGGAGTGACCAATCAGCGTGCCTAGAAATCGCCACTAGTCGATCCTGTGCTTCCATATCGGGTTAGCGCCATGTCATCGCTCTCTACACTGTCAAGACGCATTATGATGTTATGGTTGTGTGGAATCCGTTAGAAGAAGCAGATGAGGTAGTAACGGGGATACGAAGGAGATAAATTCCAAACTCCGCCTCTCCAACGTGGAACTTTGTAAATTGGAGAGCTCACGGTTTAAACCCGCACCCGGATCAGTAGATAATGATCAGTCTGTCTCTTTGCTAATGTGATGGGCTATTGAGATGGGATATGCATTGAAGCAATTGGAAGTGCCTGCTGCTATCGCTGATTGTCTTCGAACCTGTATCTACGTGCCTAGTACTAGAGTCAAATGTTAACCTTGGAAGTATGAACTGTGAGTAAATGAAAATGGTAAATTCGATTAATAGTATCCAACCGGAGGCTAAACCAGAGCCACCAACCAAGTGTATATCTGACAGTATACGCCAATCCCAATAAGACAGAAAAAGATCATCACACGTATCAAGGGACATAGATGAAAATAGCAGTAACCAAAACAGCCCCGTGCTAGAACCACATGATTCCTGCCACAAGACCAATCACCACAGCCATACAGCTCCCATGGAGCTCCTGCGAGTGCCGACCAGCGGCAGCATCGGTGGCTTCCTCAGCACCAACTTTTTGCTGGGCTGGGGCAGGGGGCGGATTTGATTGGTCTTCCGGTTGGGCGGGACAGGGGGTGGGATGGCGTATTAATGTTGTCGGGACGTCTTTCTGTTCGTCCACGTGGAATATGGATTTTGCATACTCTGCCCCGGAAAGCGCCAATCGCTTTCCGAACTCAACTGCGGTGTGGCAGGCCTGCTGACACACCTTCCGGAGGGACCCAGGGAGCTGCAGCCCTGTTTCGTGCATATTGTATGAAGTTGAATGATTAGATGAGGATGTCGTGGAGGTATGATCTATATTGGGAGTCGGGGGAGTGGGTTCATTCAGGGTGATGGTCGGGTATGCGTTCGCGGAGGCCGCTGATGAGCGGTTGGAGAAGGGGGCGAGGAATGGGTAGTCGTCTAATTGTTGGATGAAATAGGTTCTGAATGCGCGGGCTCTCCGACTAAATGAGAATGATGATTCGCGGGCGATCGAGGAAATTCGACTTTTGTTCGCCACGGCTGTCGTCTCGCTAGCTGGAATTGCAGCAGCACCTCCTATGCGCGAGGTGCGCGAGTGGAGGTTCACACGCGAACGATGGGGCCCAGCGGGAACCCATGGTTTCCGAGGGTCGTTTACGGAGTGTGCTTTCGGGGGTATTTCGGTAGCTCCATCTTGAAGAAGGGGGACCTCTGGAGAAGCAGGGTTAGCGAGATCTATTATCCGAATTGGGGTCGAAAGAGTAACATACGGCGAGATGTACCGGGGTAGAAGCTGAAGTCGGCGAACTTGAGGTTGTAAATATTCGACAGCGATGGCACCAATGTGAGCAGCGAGAACACAATCAACGCGAGGAGTGGGAGTGCGCCAGGTTTATCCAAGCCGAACCTCATCGTCCCCCTCCTGACCTGGTTTGAGAGCTTGGAGAAAGGTTTCAAACTTCGCGAGCGTCGGGGTGCAACGTGAAGTCCATGAGGGGGAATGGGGATTTCGCGTCTCAATGCAGCGATTCACGGATCGCCAAGTTTGCAGAGCGCTGATGCGCAAGGCGAGGAGGGGAGAGGAGGTTGGTGAGATTGGTGAGGGGAGGTAGAGGGAAGAAAGAAGAAATCGAGAAATTGAAGATCTCTCCCCGTTAGACGATAAGACGTGTCTGCACTTCTTGGCGTTTCGCACAGAGCCTGCAGATGACGTCGACCAAGGATATGTAACCCCCCAATGCGTCGACAATTGACTGACTTGAGACTTCTATCTCACACTTCAATATCCGCTGTCAAAAATGAAGAATGTTCCGTTTGAGATTTTCTTCTATTCCAGGAATGTTGCCTCAGGCCATCACTCCACCCTAGCAACGCCGATCGCGACATCCCGAAACAGGATTTGATCACTGCACTCTCGCTTTTTGTTTTTGACCCCTCCATATGGTCTAGTGTGATATAGGCCTATATGTCGCACGAGGCAACCGGATATTTGCGACATTTATAGCTGATCGGCACGGCGCTCTGAATATTCTACGCCCTACAGGGTTTATACAGATCGCTCGACCCTTGGCGCTCGTCAGCGGAGTCCTGCTGGGTGAATGATTGGGCGATATGATACACTAAGATGTCGGCTGTTGCTATTTACAAGGTTTTTCTGCTGAGATCTACATCACACAAGCAAGATTGGGGCGTCAGCCAGGTCCTGGGTTCGATATCGTGCTCAGTATATCCAATAGGCAGATTCTCTTGCTCTGTTTCTTATTCTCAAGCCCCGGCATTTATCCGCATTGTTCGTCTATGTACATGTATCGATGTAGATCTTTGGCATCTTCGATGCTGTTTATTGACAGTAAAGTGTAGCATATGAAAGATCGGTGAAGATAAGCTCACAAGGTGACATAGCGTAGTAGAAGTACTGGACGTTATAAGCAGAGGATTTTATAATAAGTGACAGGGAAAGCGATACTGTTAAGTCCTTTAGGATTTGCTGGATTAGGCCTGTTTGTCTATGCCGACGGAAACGACGAGGGTTAACATATGCTCCTGGTAATGAAGTGGCTGCATCCATGAGGTGTATTGGATCTTCTTACCTTACTTCAGCCAGATGTTCAATATTCGGAGCTGCATTGTAAACACAACCGATCAATGTATCCTTTCCCTCCGCCCCACAGTGGACCTAGCAACCCCAACTAATACTGCCAAACCATTCTTATTTCTCATCACAAGTCTTCAACGTAAAGAACTGCGCTGCCATGAGTGTGAGAATGAGGACACTCCACCGTCGAGTTTGTCGAGTCGTAGCAGGAGGTTCTCCGTCAGCTGAAGAGTGTGATTGATACCATAAATCCCACGAGCGAGCTTTTGCAATTCTGCAATGCTATTCGTTTCAGCCGTGAGTGCAACTGGTTTATCCAAACACTCGGCGTGGATTTCCGGGATCTTAACTTCATGAGGGTTGTCTATGCCAGCATTTTGGAGTCATAGGCTGAAGTGAACGCCTAAGTGTCAGAGCCCCGATAGATACCACAACTACATATTGAGTGACATATGAGATGCGAGAGAAGTTATTCTAAAAGTTGTATGGGTGAGCGTAATGGGTAGGGAAACTCTATGTTGACTTGGTATGATACTGAGGACTATATCCTGTAGGGTGGAACTATGTGATTTTGTAGGCGTAACTTATACTTCGCACGGGATACAAACGGAGTTTTCATCGCTTCAAGGGTCCCCAGGCTTGGCGCACGTGTGCGGTTCATTGGAGAGAGCGAGCAGACGCGTGACAACGCCGATCTGGGGAATTCGAGCTAACTGAATTCAGAGAAATATAATTTATTCTCCCTCTTCAACAACTTCAACTTTTGTGTGTGTAGTGCTTCGGACTTGGATCTATTTTACTAGGCTCCTCCAGGGCTCTGATTGGCTGCGCCTACTTGATCGGCTGCCACTCCCGCTGAGTGACGTGACCCAACTTTGCCCCCAGGATTTCTTCCACTTTCATGCAACGCCTTGAGGTACAGAGGACGCACTCATGCAGTCAATTTTCTTGCTGCTGGGCCTCTCTGCCGCCATCTCTGCTAGTCCTCTAGGTCAACAGGTGCCCTTGAGCGAAACAGAGCCTGCAGGACAGGTGCTGGCTTCTCGCAAACCACTAAGTGGTCGATTTTTGCATATAACAGGTACGTTGGTGTCGCGTGCTCTCCCCCTGTGTAACCGGTTATGCTAATTACCAACAGATTTACATCCTGACCGCCTTTACAAACCCGGCACCTCCATCGATCGCTCGTGCCACCATGGTGATGGACCCGCAGGATACTTTGGAGCCGAGGGCACCGACTGCGATGCACCCCTGTCCCTGGTGAACGAAACCTTCCGCTGGATCGAAAACAACTTGAAGGACGACATTGATTTCGTGATTTGGACCGGCGATTCTGCCCGACACGACAATGACGAAAAAGTGCCTCGCTCGGCCGAGGAGATTGTAGAGCTGAACAGATTTATGGCACAAAAATGGATAGAGCTGTTTAGCCAGGGACAAAGCGAGGATACCATGGGTGCGGTCTCGAAGTTATCGGTCCCCGTGATTCCGACCTTCGGCAACAACGATATCATGCCCCACAACATTTTCGACGAGGGTCCGAATAAGTGGACGAAGCGCTTTGCGGAGGTATGGAAGGAGTTCATTCCGGAGGACCAGCGTCATACCTTTGTGGAGGGCGGCTGGTTCACTTCTGAGGTAGTCCCCGGTCGGCTGGCGGTGATCAGTCTGAACACCATGTACTTTTACGACTCCAACAGTGCGGTCGATGGATGCAGTGCCAAGGACGAGCCTGGATACGAGCACATGGAGTGGCTTCGCGTCCAGTTGAAAATCCTCCGGAGCCGAAACATGAAAGCCATCCTCATGGGACACGTTCCCCCGGCACGCTCGAGCGAGAAGAAGAACTGGGATGAGACTTGCTGGCAGAAGTATACTCTCTGGATGCATCAGTATCGTGATGTTGTTGTTGGCAGTCTTTACGGCCACATGAATATCGACCACTTTATGCTTCAGGACAGCAACAAGGTCAAAATTGCCTCTGATGCTGACGGGAAGATGTCTATCCGCTCAAAGACCAACTACCTCGGATCACTCCGAGACCAATGGTCGTCTTTACCCTCTCCCCCGACCGATGTCTTCAAGGAGTTTGATGAGATCATGTCTGGCAACTATGATTCTGGCGTCACGTCCGCGAAGAAGGGCAAAAAGCACAAGAAAAAAGAGAAGAAGAAGCGCAAGTTTCTCGACAAGATTGGAGGTCCCTGGGCGGAACGATACAGCGTATCGCTGGTTGCTCCCAGCCTAGTACCGAACTTCTTCCCAAGTCTCCGCGTGGTTGAATACAATATCACCAATCTCGAGAATGTCGCATTTGTGGCTGATTTGACCTCTTATGAAACTCACACTACATCCAATGATCCTGACCACACCGCACATGAAACATTTGAATCAGACACCTCTACCCCAGAGATCCATAAGAAAAAGAAAAAGGACAAGAAAAAGAAGCCGAACTTCAAAGTCCCCGAACCCCCATCGAAAACTGCTCCCCCAGGCCCCGCATATTCCAACCAGGCGTTTTCTTGGCTGGCCTACACCCAATACTTCGCAAACCTGACCCAGATCAACCACGAGATCGCGACAGGCCAGCGAGGTGACGACCCTCGTGTCGACTTCGAGGTCGAGTACCGCACAGATGATGACGTGTACCAGATGAAAGACCTCACAGTGCGCAGCTACTTCCAACTCGCAGCTAGAATTGCCGAGGAGGACGAAGCCGACGCAGACAGCCACAGCGGCTCTAATAGACGGGCAGCTGATTGGTCTGCAACCGATAAAAAGAAGCCAATCAACACTACTTGGCGCGCTTTCCTGTCGCGGGCCTTTGTTGGATTCGAGGATATCGGTGACTTGATTGACTAGTGTCCTTTCTTTTGCTCTTTTTTTCCCCCTTGTTCCATAGATTCATAAGTTGCATTTGGGGATAGAGAGACTTGTGCATGACAAGGTGTTATTACAGGCTACAGGTGGTACATGGGAAAAGCCGGCTTTAATGGATAAGGATAAACAGAACATTTACTGGCAGAACATTACACAATATGACATATTTGGCGACCATCTAAGTTTTGCTTCTTACTTGAATGGCATTGTGATCAGCATTGGTATTCTGGCGGTGTAGACTTGGGATCTTCACTATTTCCTCTACACACGATGACTACATACATCATAACTATTTAACTTCCATCCAGTGATACAATCCCTAGATGATCACACATTATTACTCTTGATCGCAATCTTTCTATTTAGGTTCATTGCTAATTTGACTGCCATCCTTCCGAGGTTAAGGCGGAATGTCCGAGCTCACAGCCACTGCCAACGTGGCAGTCCGAGCTAGCAAGGTTCAGGCGCTTTTATATTAAATTGCCCGGGGACTTGGGCAGCGACTTTGCCGCTTTTTATGTACCAAAATAGCTGTTAAGTTGCTTACACTCACCGCATCTTTCCGCTTTGGTGATCATTTTTGTCGCCTTTTGGTTGATAACCTGAGGACAGACACCTGTAACGTCCTAATCCACCAGAACCTTATAGATGCTCACTTGCCTACGGTGCCACCTATGCGCAGACCTTTGATCAAGTCACAGGTGAATCATTTGCAGAAATCTTCATTTTTCGATTATAGAAAGGAGGCAGAAAAAGACAAGAAACCCCATGGATTGATTTGGCGTAACGTTAGAGCGCATATAAACATTTCGAAGACGGCCCCGAGCACATGGCTCTGTCCAGTCTGTGACATAGGTGCCAGGTTGTCATTCTCTTTCAACCCTATAACCACATTTAGGAAATATATAATAACGACATTTGCAGCCATCTGAGAACCGATTGCCTTCCCAGATCCACGACAGCGAGACGACAGGCTCTTTGTTGTTTGTCCTATGAAGGAGCTTCCCAAGCTCGGTCTGATATGTTTGAGTCTTGGGCATAGTCAATGAGGTTGACGAGCAACGAGAAGGATTAGAACGATGTGAGATATAAATGAAGAGTTCGTTAGATTTGTTTTGATCAGCTTAAGTTTCGTCATCTCCATATTCTCAAGGGATAAGGACAACGGTAATTGCATATGTTTCTCTGGAGATTTGCAAAACGAGAGTCCATCTTATAAGATTGGATTTATCACGTTTAAGTGAGCCGGGAAAGGTAAGAAGTAATGCTTGGTTTGAGCATCTGGAAGGCTAATCATAGCAAGACTTTGTGTATGAAGTAGCGAATAATACAGTGGAATGAGGAGAAGACTACAATCTTAGTCTTTTTAGTGAGAAAGCATGCTTTTGGCCACTACTCCTTGCTTATTTTTGCAGACATGCCCAGTTCATACCATGATATGCATCACGTGACATTGAAAATAATCCGCATCCATGGATGAAAGCGGCAGTTAATTTACCTTAAATTTGTATATATCAGGTAGACTGGAACATCCAAGTTGCCAGCGTGGCCGAGCAAGGTTTGGCTTGATTAGCCCGACCTGGGCACTTAGCTGCTATTCTACCCGAATTGCTGGTCGCTTACTAGCCAATCCCTGTTTATAGATCCCGGCTCTTGAGCCGCCACGTAGACAATGAACTTGTCCAGGTTACTGGGATTGGCATCGCAATGTGATTAGTGCATGCATCGACAACACAGAAGCCCTTGCCACTTGAGCGATTGCTGCCCTTTAGGCAGAGATAGTATATTTAGTCCACTGTGGGCCTTCAATTCCGAGTCCAGCCCCCGCTCCATGCGTCATATCAGGGGAAACCTCCGTGCAGCGTGCATATGGTCTCTTTTAAATCTCTGCTTCGGTGTGGCTTTCTCCCGTGAATACTAACACTTCCAATCGCAGTTATAATCCCAACCAGATTGAACTGCTTCAGCTCGAGCTAGCAGCATCGCACCCGAGACAGTTCCTTCCCCGCACAGTGCGCTGGCAACGAAAATCCTCACTCCACCTCCCTGCTTTACCGCACGATGCGTCGAGTCTCGCAACTTCTCTGTTTCCTGTCCTTGCGTTGCTAGGGATATTTCGTGTGCCCAGCCCCTCGCCATTGGGTGATCCGGCGTCTGCTAGACCGAAACAGGAAATATTGATTTGGATTGATCGCGAGCACGCTGCGCGCTGTGTCGATTCCCTCTCGGTATTATCTCGATTTTGGTGAATTTGAGCTCGAAGCCATTGGTTATTTTATAGCCCGGAGATTTGCCTTTGTCGAGTGAGGCTCGACAGCTCGATTCCCGCGGTTTCGGGTATTTGGAGGTTGGTCCTCGATCTGGTGCACACATTGGGTTTAGGAGTGATCGTCAAGATCAATTGGCTTGACGCGCCTCGGAGCATGGTGCAGGCCCTTCGTTTGCGTCTCGTTTGAAGCCCTGTTTGCCGCGCGCTTTTCCGTAAGTCATTGCTTGTCGCGTTATGCGCCTTTCTTGCAGATGTCTCTGGCTCCCACCGGAGTTCTCCTTCCATTGCCGTTCTTTCTCCCTGTCTTACCTGACTTCCAATTGCTGCATTGAGACCCGAGAGCAAAATGGCTGATTCTTCCTGTTCCAGTTCCCCAGTCTCCGCGACTTGCGCTTTATGGATGGCCTCCTCCGAAGTTGACCAGAAGGCCTTGGGCAATTTTGCGGCCGCCATGAGCCTCGAAAGCCCATACCTCTCGGCAATGTTATACAAAGTGCTCGGCGTGTCTGTCATGCTATCGAAAAAGCTGCTTCGGGCCCGCAAACTCCGGCGGCTAGATACAACACGCGAAACAAGGTCCCTCCAGCTGTACCACCACATCATATGGCTCTCCCGTGAGGGCCTGCTAATGTTAGAAGGCGCTATTCTGCCAATGGTGGACATGTCTGTAGAACTGAAAGTCCTCTCCTACAAACTCCGCGCCTCATTCTACCACATTTTTGTCCTGTTCCACAATCGCCCCGTCGTCCAAATCGATACTGAGCCTCCAGCTCGCTTCAAACATGACTCAATATATGGTTCGGACTCCTTAACCGCTCTGGACCCACCCGATCCTCTCCATCCAAAATCGATATTCGCCTCCCGGCCCCCAGGCCTATCCACAGTCCAACCAGTTCAGCCACCCCAACCAGCCTCCTCCTTTCTCCTCCCACCACTGGACTACACCGCCACAGCAACAGCCTGCTTCAACCATGCCGCCACCCTCTCCGACAAACTTCTCCCAGGCTCCCACCCGCTCCGTTTGTCCGTCAAGCTCGAATACGCCGCATACCTCTATGACTGCCTCCAAGACCCGGTCGCCTGCCGACGTCTGGCAAAACAAGCAATCGCAGATGTCTACAACGCCCAAGAAGGCATGGACGACGAAGCCTTCGAAGATGCAGCAGAGATCGTCGGCGTACTAGGCAAGATGGTCAAGCGCGGCGGCAAACTGGGGAGCAGTACCGCCGCCAGTAGCGTATCACGCGGCGGTCAGTCACAGAGCCAAAGCAGAAGCAGTCGCAGTCCCAGCCATCTCGATACGAGCGTGCCTACCACTGTGTCTCCCGTTCCAGTTACGAAATCCACACCTGCTCCTCCCTCCGTGTCCGGGATGGAGCCCGCGGTCCCCAATGCGAACATGATGAATCCGATTTAATGCCTCGGTGATGCTTTACGATTAAGATGAGCGCATGCCTTTTGAGTTTAGCCTCTACGGAGGTCGTCTTTCGGACTTGAGATTTTGGGCTTCTGTATATAGCCATGCATTTCGTTTACTGTATCTAGATATGTGATATCATTCGATATAGTCAAATTCAATTTACCAAGGAGTTGCCATCTGGATCTTTTAACGACTTACAATGTTGTAGGATTTAATGCAAAATCGCTTGAGCATATTAGCTGCCTCAGATTTGTTGGTGAGAAAACCTGCAAACTCGTATCGCGAGGCATGATCTGTTTATCAGTGATCAGAACATATGATGACCGTCAGTAATCTAGATGGATCATCAGGTGCTGTATCGGTTCGGATGCGGACGCGGAGATGGAATCGGAAGAACGGGTTTGCCGAGCTTACAAGTCTGGCGATCATGTTGTCTGTGGTGTAACAGTTGATTTTCTGTTTGAAGATGTATTGAGATGTTTTGGAATATGCTTGAGGATCGTACTAAGTTATACATTTCACGCTCTATACGGCATGCACTTCGCCCGTTCTAATGAAACAAGATGCCACCACCACAACAGGACAGTCATATCTCATCCTGCCAGTATATGACATTATGTCTTTGCTGAAACTTGGTGTTCACTCGCTGCGGTTAGGTTCGATTCGGTGACCGGTGTTTTGCTGTGCTATACCGGACGCCTCATTATAAGACCCTGGTTTTAGCGTTGAATGTCCCTCCTCAGCCAAACCGATTTGCCTGTATATTTTTCTAACACATTTAACTCGAACTTCCACTGCCTTGTGTGATCAAAATAGTGAAAAGAGCATACTGGAAAGCTCCAAGGTCGTGTTGATAACATAACATTCGGATGATTACTTGCAGAAGGCGTGTGCACATCAACAGTCAGCTAGGCATACAAATATGCTATGCCATTTACTTATCCGTCGTGGATATGATACATCGTGCAATTGTGTTGGATATAGTCGCAACACCGTGCCGGCGCGGGGAAATTGACATTCCGTGCTCCGAGCTCAGCGCCACTGACGACCTGGGAACTTCTGTCGATCGATGCGCAGGATTCATCGATCCGATTGAACTGCTTTTAACTTCCACAAAGTGAACCTTTTACTCTTTACAATCTGTCGTATTTCGGACCCGAAGAGATCTAGACCCGCCCTGAGAGGTTGCTGTCCGCTGGCTTGTACCCGAAGGAGGATATAGCCCAACCCATCTGTCCATCAATCTCTCTAGCTGGAAATAACAAGATTCAAACGGATATACCAACGCCATTATGGTATTTGCTGCGCTTTACCGTATCTACGCAGGCTTCATCAATCCTCCACAAGCTCGAAAACAGGATGACGCCATTCGGTTCGGACTTCTCGGAGCATCCAATATCGCGTAAGTAAATACTATCGGATCCTTGCGACATGTTATCCAATTCTCCTCTTTAGTCCTCCTGCCTTAATCTCGCCGGCGAAGTCACATGGGGAAGTCATCGTCGCCGCCGTTGCAGCTCGAGATCGCAGTCGCGCAGAGGCGTATGCCAAGAAGCATGGGATTCCAATTGTCCATTCCTCCTATGAAGGTAGAAATCCCAAATTTATCGGAGATACCGGGAAGTTCCAACAAGCATGCTAAATTTCCCAGACCTGCTTAATGATCCGAGCATTGATGCCGTCTACATCGCTCTTCCCAACAGTCTGCACTTCGAATGGGCTTTGCGCGCGATCAAGGCACGGAAACACGTTCTTCTAGAAAAGCCCTCGTGCTCGAATGGCGAAGAGGCTAGGGCGCTATTTAACCACCCCTTGGTCAAGGCACCTAATGCTCCCGTTCTACTGGAAGCGTTCCATTATCGCTTCCATCCCGCATGGCAGACTTTCATGTCACTCATTCATGATGATGCCGTAGCCGGGCCGGTGAAGCATGCACATGCGCAACAATATCTTTTCAAGGGCGTCATCCCTTTCGATGATATCCGGTGGCGCTATGATCTTGCAGGTGGTGCTATGATGGATTTCGGCACGTATACTGTTAACTGCTTGCGCCAGATTCTGCGGGAGGAACCAAGCCAGGTCATTGAAACACAGTGGAGGGGTGTTCCGAGTTCTCAATCTGATCGGGCCGAATGCCAGCAGATTGATCAGGCGATGACCGCAACATACAAAACGGAGAGCGGTGCCACAGGGAGCATTATCGCTGACTTGGCTACGTCGGGGGGTTGGCCGTTGTTGCCTTCGTCCTGGACGAAGAATCTTCCAAGCATTGGCTGGCCGAAATGCGAGGCTGAGCTCGGAGAGAAGGAGGTGGAGTCCCCCAAGAGCGCTGACGGTGAAAAACATTTCGTTAAGCGGAAGGTGACATTGTGGAATCATCTTGCACCGAGCATATATCACCGGATTGACGTGGAAGATACTCACACTATCCATCGGGATGGAACTTTATTGAAAATGTGGAAGGAATCGCAAAACCTCAAGTCGTACTCCTGGCCATCTGGTGGCAAGCAGGCATATGCCGGTGAAGACTGGTGGTCAACTTATCATTGTCAGCTTCATGAGTTTGTGAACAAGATCAAGGGCCGTGAGGGCTCTGGGGTTTGGGTTGATGGCGATGACAGTATCAAACAGATGGACGCCATCGATCGAACATATGAAAAGGCCGGGATGAAGTTACGGCCCACGAGCAAGTTCGAGCTGCCGGTTTGATGTATTTTAATGTTTCTGGTAAACCGACTGGGTTATGAACCTGTTGTGCTGAGTTTGGTCTCCAGTGTTAGAATAGCCGATTAGAACCAAGCGTGAAATTTCGGAATCAACATATGATCTCTACAGATGCAGTGTGAATAGTCTCGGGGGAAAGCTCTCTAGTAGAGGTTGTTCTGAAAATGTCTAATTGATTTGCAAGCCCAAGGAAAGAAATTAATATACAAATAGGCTAAACTGAATCATCCTGACTCCTGCAAGATTCCCGTGATCTATGCTCTTTGAGAGGTGAATCTCGAGACGATGTTTGTCGATAACCATGATCGGAATCATCTGCACCAAAGCCCAGAGGAGCAACGTTTCCCGAGCCATTGTCACTCCACTGGGCCTCCAGGCGGAGATTGCCATCCTCATGCAGCTTTTGAGCATCCTCAATAGTAGATGGACTTGTGCGAATAACAACAAGCAGACTGTTGAGTACTGTGAACTCCAACAATAACTTGATGCTGTAGACGACCGGCTTGTATGTAGTTTGGACATCGAAGTGGTTGGTGTACTCGGTTGACAAAAGTGATGCGTCCAACAAGATCGCAATGGCGTTGACAACAATAAGGTTCGTGATAACCCTCTTGCCTCGGGTTCCTTTCAGAGCCAAAACAGGTCTCAGATTTGTCATAGTTTCCCAGATATAAAGACCGCTGATGATGGTCTCTTGAATAGCGAACCCAGCCAATTGAACACGCTCGTAGATATCGAATGGGTTATAGAAGCTGTGGATGCCGTGATTTAGCCCGAGAAAAAGGACCGTGGTGGGGACGTGTAAGGCGCAAAAGTTGAAGACGATCATTCCTAGCACCCAGCGAGAGTAGCGATCGACGCAAGTCACCAAGTGGAGTCGTGAATATAACACCACCGACTGCCCAGTGACCATACCATACCAGCCGATGCAGATCAAAACACACATAGGAAAATTCGGGGCGAGGGCGAAGTAGCGAAGGAATGATGTAATTGTGTGTAGAAGGATTCCCAATGTCGATATTAACATGCTCCAGAAGTAGAGGCCTTGGCAGCGTCTGAAGGTGGTGAAGATCGCAACCATGATCTGGAGAACGTTCCAACATGCTAATGCAAAAAGTGCTGCAATCACCATGGCAAGTGATAGGGACACGTCAAGAGGCCCATTCTCGCCGGCCATGTTGGCAAAGGGGCGAAAAGTTCAAGTCGACTGGCTTTGCTCGACTTCGCAGGCTGCTAACCAGCTCATAGTAGCCGTAGAGACATTAAGAGAATGAGCTCCAACTGGGAGCATAGCTGAGTTGAGCAAAATATGGGAGGGAGATGTGGGAAAAGGAGGCACTTCAAGGGTTCTTTTGCAGGCTTCTTGGCAGATTTAGGTTTCTTGGCAGGCTCGATCCGGTGGATCGGCGCACTTGGAGTTGAAGGGCATACGATGGGGGCAGTTACCTGCACTTTAGACATTTCTATTGGAGCCACCACCCCACCCTTAACTGCACACCTCACTAACTTGTGCCAAACAGGTCTGACTATCGAGTAGCTGGACTTTGATATTCACATTGCCTGTTAATCGTAAGAGCGCCTGTTCAAAGCCCAGATGTCTATGACGTATGGTTCGGTCTAACTTCGGTATAATATGGGGCAAATCGCCCTCGAACCGTGGTTCAAGTACTTTGACACACCTGACGTAATTTATGGGTTCTGGATGCGATCTTCCCACTTTTGTGGTCAGGAGTTGATTGGCGCTTCCAGTATTAAAGTTATTGATATGCTCGAGAGAAATAAGTCATTGACGAATAGCTGCGTATGAACCGCTCACGGACAGCCCCCACGTCTTGGCATTGTTTTGGACAAACGAGGTCTAAGCTGAGCACTGCAGATCCATAGCAATCTATCCATGTGGCTTGAGTGGATTGATAGTGATAATCTCCATCTCACATGGGCTGTGACGACATCCCTTCGCTACCTTCTGCATTGGGAGCGATTAGCGCTCGGACGATCTGATATTCTAACTGTGGTGGCTTGTACGCAAAGTCAAACCCCTGCCCAAGTTGTGACTAGGGCTTGCCGTCAACAATCTATAAGGAAGTAATACTGTATTTAATGAAGCCATTGATTTACTTCGGAAAGTGCGAGACGGACAACCCTTAAGGATAAATGGACACCAACCTTCCTATATCAGAAGGTGGACCGTAAGCGTATTACACCCGGGTGTATTGTAGACTTCCGCAGAGCCCAAAGCCCAACTCAAACCCAATCCACCAACCCATTAGGGGTTGGGCTTTGGGTCTGGTTCTTGAGCCCATCTTGCTAAACAGTGCAAAAATGCCTAATCACACGACTTATGAATATTACACTATGTTTGAAGCTCGTTTTTATACCTTATATATAGGTAATATTTATTTATTTGTAGATATATGTACCAAATCCACGATCAAAATTATGAATTACAGTCTAAATCATAATATTATACTAATATAAAAGGGTTTAATATATCACGGGTGTCTAGTAGTAATCGGCGATGCTCAATCTTCATATTCAAACTATAAATTCTACAATTAATATCTTACTCGCTTTCCACCGGTCGCTTTAAGCTCAAAGTAAGATACTATATATAAAAGGCCTTTTTAAGGGTAACATCTAATTTTTAGCTACATACGACCGGCAGAAGGACGAAATACAGCAATTACAGAAGGGTTGACTAAGCGGGTGTATAACCGCCAAGAATCGGAATTTATCCAAATAGGCTTTCGTGGGCCCATTTGGGTCCCGTGAGCCGGGGGTTGGGGTTTGGGCCCCAGGATCCGGGCCCAACGGTGGGCTTTCCGGAAGACTAGTGTGTATATCGAAACCGTAGTAGTCACATGATAGCCATATTATATAATACGGCTAGACCACCGAATTGCTTAAATAATAGCCAGATTTTCTCACAAATACCATGGTTCAAGGTCGTTACTTACCAAAGTAAATCTCAATCCGATATATCTTTAAGAATAACTCAAATTCCCTATTTAGGACTGGTGTATATATATACTCACGGGACTTTAACCTCTGACATAGCGATTTGCTATGACTTTTAACAAAATTTTGCTAAGTACTTAAGCGTGTGATACACTTACGACCCACATTTCTAATTAGGAAGGAATGCGCCCATCTAGCCTTAGGGAGTGTCCATCTAGCACTGTCCCTTCAATAGGCACACTAATGATGCTAAACCATAATAGTCAGCTGGCGGCCTGTGCTAAGCCTAAATAAGTATTCCCGCCGAAAAATGACAGGGCATCATCCGAATGCACGACAACCACAAAATATCCCGCTATTTTGATATTGCTAGTTTGGGAGTTCTAAAGAATCTTATATATAGGCTTATCAACCTACTGGTAGATTTGAGGGAAGTGAAGGTAATCTGCTCTGAAATATTGACAAGACAAAATAGCCTTCGAAATGGTTTTTGGAACCTTGCACACATTTCCTGTACGTACAATTGCGAATCATTGCAACGTGTTACCCCTTACTGACAATCGATTTACTTTTAGGGCGATCAGTGTCGAACGATAGCCATCAAGGCCGTCGCAAAGCATAATGGTCTCGACCTCGACATTCGTGAGATGCCCAGGACCTCTGACCATCTGAGTATTAGCAAACTCGGCAAGGTTCCTGCCTTTCAAGGTGCGGATGGCTTCAAGCTATTTGAATGCATGGCGATTGCTCTCTATGGTTAGTCCGTTTCATCTTGTTTGTGCTGTCCAAAGCTGATGTCAACACTTCCTCAGTCACTTCTCAAAATGAACAGACAACTCTTCTCGGAGGGAACAAGAAGGAATACGCCGAGGTCATTAAGTGGATGTCTTTCTTCAATACAGAGATAGTCATTCTTATGACTCAAATGTTACTGCCCCAGCTTGGTATAATTCCCTACGACAAAGACCAGGTAGAGTTGTTCACCAACATGACCCAGAGATCCGTTGATGTGGTCGAGGAGTATTTGCAAAACCGCGAATTCCTTGTTGGTGAGCAGCTATCACTTGCCGATCTGTTTTGTGCTGGAAACATCTCTCTCGGCTTCCAATTTTTCTACGGCAAAGCTTGGAGGCAACAGAATCCCAATGTGTCCCGTTGGTACGAGATGATTTGCCATCAGCCAATTTATGAGGCTGTAACCGAGAAGTTTCAGCTTCTGGATGAGCCCAAGTTGACCAACAATCCGCCCGAAAAGAAGCCTGAGATACCACAGCCCACAACTGAGACCGCCCCGGGGAATGTCGATGCTGTTGCTATTGAAGCTACCCAAACCTAAGCACCATATGGCGGATTCTCTCAAGTTTATCTTCAATAACAAAGGAAAAAAATACAATGCCATGGAATCAGGCAACTTCTTTAGGTCATTGACTGCTCCTAAAGGATTGCATAAAACGTATTTTACCAGTAGACCAACAGGCCGTAATGAAATCGGAACATCCGATTGTTATACATAGACTAGGGCCTAAACTCCTTTTAGGGCCACAAGCATAAATGACTTCGGTCCCGCCGGAGGCTGGGTCTTCGGCAATTAAATGCAAGGACCGACGCAGGTCAGCTAAGGGGAGAAGTGTATCAAGATCACCGAGATTGCAGCTCCGGAGATCTGACAACGAAAGCGGAGAAACTTTGTATTACCTATTGGTATTACCTATTTGTAAATGATGCAAGATTCAAGGTGGATGCTGCCCTTCGTTTGTCAAGCTTCGGATTCAGTAAGCATAAGTTCAGGTCCCACAGCTTTTATCTTAAAACTAGATGCGTGGAGAGTTTTAATTCCTTTCATCATGGACTTCAGACTCGCACTAGTCATAACTGTCCTTTCAGCGCCAGTATGTGTCGCCTTGTACATACAGATTCGCTCGTCCCTTGAGGACATACAACAAACACCCGAAGAGCTTACCTTTACTCCTGCGAGAGCTGAACCCGCGGCGCAAGAGGGACAAATATTCTCCAAACCAGTTTACCCGATTGACGCCTTCCCAGGAAGCAGGCAGGTCAGAACAGTATATGGAACGATCCATGTGTTCGAATGGGGTCCTGAGGATGGGGAGAAAGTCTTGCTCGTGCACGGCCTAGGTACACCCTGCATAGCACTTGGCGACATGGCGAAAGAGTTGGCTAGAAAAGGCTACAGGGTTATGATATATGGCAAGTTTCCTCTGTGCTTGGTGCAGTGAATGACGGCAGTTTTGTCAGTGGGATAACTCTGACTGACATACTACTTGTAGATCTGTTTGGTCGAGGCTATTCCGATGCACCAAATGACTTAGTTTTTGATGCAAGACTCTACACCACACAAATTTTGCTTGTGCTCTGTTCCTCCCCGCTATCCTGGACTGGAACCTCCGCCTTCCACATCATCGGCTTTTCCCTCGGTGGCTCGATCGCCGTGGCTTTCGCCGCCTACCATGCAACTATGCTTCGTTCCATAACCCTGGTTTGCCCAGGAGGACTCATCCGCACGTCGCACATGAGGCCTCTGGACCGAGTACTATACTCATCTGCCATGATTATACCGGAGTGGCTACGCCTCAAACTCTTTCGTGCCAGTTTGGAGCCCAGGAACGGTGCTGCTTGTGCTGATGTTCCTGGAGAAAAAGAGGACGAGGACGACTTGGCATTTGATGATGTGCCCATCGCGGAAGATCGGCCACATGTCACTGTCGGAGATGTGATTAGATGGCAGCTAGGAGCCAATGCTGGCTTTGTGCGGTCTTACCTGAGTACGCTCCGCAGTGCTCTAGTCTATAGACGACATGACAGAACGTGGAGAATTTTGGCCGACGAGCTTGCCAGAAGAAGAACCGCAGACGCTCTACCGGGATTGACGGGCGGAAAGGTCTGCCTTATAGTGGCTGAAAGAGACGTCATTGTTGTGGGAGATGAATGTGCCACTGACGCGGGTGAGATACTTGGAACAGAAGCCGTGCAGACTCACGTCCTGGGCGGGGGGCACGAGATTGCCATCTCGAGAGCGAGAGATGTGAGCTCAATAGCCATGGGATTCTGGAATAGACCATAATATAAATATGATGATAGACATAGAATTCAACTTACTCTCAAGTCCCGTCTTTCTGCGCTGTTCCGGTCGAAAGGCCATTCATTACAACAAGATTCTCTGCGGACAGCTTATGCTAATTAACAGTACAGGGTAGGTGTAACATGAATTTATTGTTCAACTCGCAGTCACATTGATTGCATTCTGAATATGTTTGAGACAAAGATTCGTGTTGCAAAAGTCGCATTTCTGGTGTAGATTCATCAAATATCGAAGCGATGTATATCATCGTAGATTTAAATGCCCGGCTGCCTCCTCAACTATCTTGGTTCGATATGCGTCTCGAGCCTCAAGCTTGCAACCAAACTTCAATGGTCTCGGGGCTGGAACTGGTTCATACTGTAATTCCTCCCGAAGTTCGTTACCGTCCTCATCCGTCGGCCATCCAATATTCAGCGTCCATCCCAGCTTTGCAAACATGATGACTAATGTTCTCTCTGCAAAGTCAACACCTGGGCATGCGCGCCTACCATAACCGAATGCTGGAAATCCTTGACAATTCGGATACGTGGTTAGGGGTTCCTTGTAGGTCGGGTAACTAGGCTCAAGCCAGCGGGCAGGATTGAAAGTTTTGCCATCTGGATAGATATCTTTGTCCATGAGAATAGACCTGGTAGGTGTTAATAACAGGTTCTTGCAAATATCCTCGAGTGAGTGCGGGCAACCACTTACGCGAATATTGCGTTGAATACGGTTCCTTTCTCAAAGAAGTAGCCATCGTAGATGTCGTCCTCTTGCAAGCAATGTCCAATGCCCATTTCGGCAACAATACTTCTGTATCGGACAGTCTCTTTCACAATAGCTCTCACAGTGGGCAAACTGGGAATGTCCGTATAACTCGGCATTCGATCCTTGCCAACGATCTTGTCAACCTCCCCTTGGAGCTTCTTCTGCCATTCAGGGAACTCCATCATGAGGAATAAGAAGGTAAGTAGGTTGTTGTGGGGAGAGCGAGTTCCACCGTCAATCATAGCCTGGAAAGTATGAACTGACTCTTCGTCGGTGACGCTATACTCGCTTCGGTTGAGAAGGAAGCGCTTATAGATGGACTCTGTCGCTGAGCCGTCCTTGACAAGCTTCTCAATCTTGCTTCTGAAAGCCCACATCTCGCTTACATACTCTTTCCTAAGCCTTTCCATAGTTCTCAAGCTTGGCATAAGCCACATCGGCATCTTCCTTAGCAACGGGAACACATTGGAAGGGAAGCAGTCAGGGCGGAATGAGTTCATGAGTTCAGCGGTGAATGTTTCGTTGTGGTCGATAAAAGGGTCAGATGGACTGCGGACTGAAAAGCCGAGCAACGAGGACGTCAACACAGAGTAGGAGTATCGCAAGAACTCTCCATGAAATGAATCCGGTGATTGTAGAAGTGCGCTCAAGGTGAAAGTCGCTTCATCGTCCATAAGGCTCTGATATTTATTGATGGAGGTGATGTTGATAGCGCTTTGTATCATGCTTCTTTGGCGACGCCATCCATCTGTAACCTGTCAATCCTTTCCTCACAATCCCAAAGCAGGCCAAAAGATCCTGTTCTCGTCGTGAGAGGGGCGTGATTCTTACCGTCTTTAGGCCTGAAACCAGGATTCTGTTTCATGGAAATATATTCCACAGCATGGGGGGCTCCACGATCGGAATACTTCGTTCCCCGCTTAACAAATAACTCTCTTGCATCCTTCTCTTCAGTAAGAATTACTTGCTTGTCCCCCATGGCGCTGAACTGAGTTATGGAGCCATGTTGCTCTGCCCACTTTTTAAAGATGCCGATAATACCATTAACATCGACGGCAGCTAGTGTCGGCGCGCTTCCAAGAAATGGCCATCCTTTTTTTATTGTTAGCCAGTGATTCAAACCAAGGACAAGAATTGAAGACTTGAGTTGACTCGACATATACCTTTTGGCCCAGGCGGCACCTTGGCGCCCTGTTTACGTTGACGGTTTGACAAGACCCCAGCAACATAATGCAGAACAAATGCCATCAAGCCGAGCCACGACAAGTGGTACAAGGAAATCATTGTCGCGTTTAATTGTCCCCGTCGTTTTTCAATAAGATGCCACGAAGTCGTTCTTCGTGCTTTGCTCGTCGAGTTCAGAAGGTTATCATGAAACCGTCCTTGGCAGATCGTGGATAACCAGGCTGGCCAGCGCCGTGGCTCGGACTTCATCATGCAATAGATAACTGAATGCAACGGATTCTCTATGCATTGGTCCACACAAAAGCGAAGACATTGTCCATTTCTCGCCGCAGTCGCGAATCACTCGCCGTAGGACCTGACCATTCGGCATATGCATCAAATTCGGCACTTTTCCCAAATACGGCAATTACGCCGTTCGGCCCGGCGATGCAGACATGCACTCAGTTCGCATTTCGGTACAAGATAACGTTCTAATGCCTAAATTTGATCCACTGAGAATTGGCGCAACGAAGCAGCAATAATTCACCCGACGTTGCTTGCTCAAGTACAGAATCGGCCCTATCGGATTAACTCGTAACTTAACTAGACTTATCCACCTTGCATCTCCGTTGTATGTTTTAATTTGACCAGAGAAGAGATCATTCCACACCAACAGAAGGGTTATCAAGAAAGAATTCAAAATGAATAATTTCATGCGAATGACCAAGAACCTCGGGCACAAGCCCGAGCTGCTACGCTTGATTGCGCTTGATGCCACTTATGATGATGCATTGGGGGGTAGACTTGTGGTGGCTCCCATTGACATGAACAAGCCGGGCAAGAAGATTCTGGACTCTGGTACCGCTGATGGTAAGCTGCTTACTTCTGACTTACTCTTTTTATGGCGTTGACACCAGTTTCAAGGCACCTGGCTTCGCGGTGTACGTAGCAAGCAATCAGTCCAGCATGAATATTATGGTAGCGATGTTGAAGGCGAGCTGTTCCCAGAGAATGCAGATGGCATCACCTACTTCGCCCATTCTTTCAAGAACCCATGGCCCCAGCAGTACTTGGGCATTTTCGACCTTGTCCACATCCGAGGCAGCATGGCGGGCTCCGCTCCCGAGGGACCAGCCCCTGTGATCAAGAACCTTGTTCCTCTGCTAAAGCCCAGCGGCTGGGTTCAGCTCATGGAAATGAATGGCTTCAGCCCGCCAAAGAATGGCCCTGCCATGACGGACTTTGCCAAGATGGCGTCTGAGATGTTTACCGGTATTGGTGTCGGTGACTTTGCCAACAACAACAAGACCATGTTGGAAGAAGCCGGCTTCAAGAACGTACAGGAGAAGCGTGTCATAGTAAACTTGGGCAAGAAAGCGAAGCCAGAGCTTCACGATATCAGTATCCATGGGGTCACCGGACCCATTGTGCCATTGACTAGCGTGGCCAGAACGGTGCCATCTTCGTTTACCGACGAGCAGCTTGATGCGCTTCCGGCACGTGTCAAGGAAGAGCTGGAGAGCGAAGGCGGTCAAGTTGAGATGATTATTGCCTTTGGCCAGAAACCTTGAGAATTTGCCAGTGGCCTCAGACTACCCCTGTGAGCATGAATATTTTGTTATGCAGCAAATTCCTAGAAAGAATGTTAAACCGTGGACTCCAACCCTGCCCAGGTGGAGGGCTTCATGTGATCAATGACTAATCTGGTCCTACACATATCACATAACTGTATAACTTAACCCAACACACTGGTAACTTACCCGTAATTTGTACTTTGCTTCTGAGACAATCGTACATATCCACAAACACGCCCGTACTAATGCACTTCAACGCAACTTCTAACAAAACTCTGTTGACGCCATTACGTGTCAAGCAAATTCTTTGTTTACCTGCGGGTCATTCAATATCAAGTAACTTGCCGCTACGCGAGGAGTTACGCCTCGTTTATGACGAGTTCATGGCAATTGGACGTTTCAGATGTTGATAAAAGAATTTGATAACTAGACGTGACCCAAGAACACCTAAGCGCCGTTTATACCACATAACAATCTTCCATTTCACTCTGCATGATAACCCCTTTGCAACAGAGGTGCTCGAATCACTCCCCTAGAGGCCAACATGAAGGACCCCAAAACCTCGTTCAACCCCTTTTGAACAGATGTAGCGACCCATTCCTTCAGGGGTAAAACCTGCAGTGGCCGCCCTTCCAATTCCTCGACATACTTTTGCAAGTCTCCAACAGCGATAACGCGCTCGCCACTCTGGTGGACATAGACAAGATCACCACCACTGCTTTGGTTGCCATTGACAATACAGTCAGAAATTTTCTTTGAAACAGTCTCAATGCTGATAAAGTCAAAGAAGCCAGTGGACCCGGTGAGATCAGGTACAGCCCCTAACTCCCTGGAGAACTTGAGCAGACTATGCGCAATATCCAACTCGGAAACATTGTCGCCGGTGATGCTGCTCGGGCGGTGGATCCAGACCTGCCCTTGGAAGCGTCTTTGAACCTTTTCAAGGAAAACCTCGCTTGCCCATTTGGATGCCACGTATCCGTCAGACCCATCGCTTGGAGGGTAAAAGGCGGCGAGTGATGCCTCGGGCTGCACGTCGGCGCCACTCAGGCGCGCTACACCTCCAGTGGAAATGTAGTGAATGGGGAGACCATAGCCCACAGCCAGCCGTGCCAGGTCGATTGTCGACAAAACGTTGGCAGCTCGAAGACTGCGATAATTCTTCATGTGCGACACTTCAGCGCCATTGTGAACGATGACATCGATACTCTTGAATAGATCTGAGGCTCCGGACTCGCTCATGCCCAAATTGGGAAGTGCAAGATCACCAGAGTGACGAATAATCTTGGGTGATTCTACGCTCAATTGTCGGGGTACACCGTCCATGCTGGGGCGAATGGCCACACAGTGGACTTGCGCGACACTGGGTAGTTCCACCAGTTGACGTAAAATGCCACCTCCCAAGAAGCCTGTGACGCCAGTGAGAAGAACAGAAATTCCCTTCGAACTACCGTTCGACGATTCATGTCCGTTGACTCCGTTGGTAGCGCGAGGTGGTGTGAATGTTGTCTCGTCCAAGGCTGTCTCTTCGTTCCAGTTGATCTGCGCCAACAAAGAAGTACCATCGAGTCGCGCAGCGAGAAGCTCAAGCGTGCTGGCTTGGAAAATTTCAGGGACCGTGAGTTCAACTCCAAAGGTTTGAGAGATCTCAGCCTTCAGAGGCAAAAGTAGCAGGGAATTACCGCCAACAGAGAAGAAGTCGGAGTTACGACGGATTTGAATGGATGAAGTTATGTCGCCTAGGACAGTTTTCCAAATTTCTCGCAATCGCGCCTCGGTTGATGTAAGCTGCTCGTCCGCATCTTCGAAGGAAATCTCGGGTACAGGCAATGAAGCCAGCTTCTTAGTGTCAAGCTTGCCGCGCTCAGTCACTGGGAGAATATCCAGAGGGACGGTGATTGCTGGACGCATATATGCAGGAGCAGGGAGCTCCTGATTGAGTTGACGGAGATATGTGTGCTTGTCTTGAATATTGCTGGTACGGGAGAAGACGACGTAGGCAATGAGATATTGGTTTCGGAGGTCGTTTGGCTTCAGCAGAACAGCTGCATCCGCAAGGACGCCTCGAGATGTTTGGACAAGAGCTTTGGCGACCTCGCCAAGTTGCACTCGATGACCTCTAATCTTGACCTGGTCGTCTCCATCCACACGACCAGAGATCACAATAGAGCCGTCGGAAAGCATCCGACCTTTATCGCCGGTGAGGTAAATAAAATCTGATCCAGAAATGCCGCCCAGAGAGGCTGAAGACTTGAATTTAGCTTGGGTCAGCTCAGGGAGGTTTAAGTAACCACTGGCAACACCAGGCCCAGCAATCGCGACCTCACCAGGCCAACCAAGAGGAACAGGTTTACAATACTGATCCACGATGTAGGTCCCGTAATTGGCAATAGCCCTTCCGATCGGGATGCTGTCTTCGGTTGAGTTGGTCTGTTCCAAGGATACTTCGCTCAAGGAAGAGCAGATGGACGCCTCAGTCGGGCCATATGCGTTGATGACCTTCAAGTCGGGTCGGTTGAGCGCGCGGAACTGATCCAAGAGGTGAACTGTGAAAGCCTCACCAGCGACCATCGCAATGCGCCACGAAGAACAGTTGCGAAGTTGATCGTAACCATACTTTAACAAAGCCTGCATTTCCGAGACAATGAGGGTGGTACAAGTGACATTTTCATCACCCATCACAGTGGCGAGTTTTGCAGGATCGTCTCTATTATCAGCCATGATCACGGTACCGCCATTGGCAAGCGCAATGAATATCTGGAAGACTGCAGCATCGAATCCTTGTCCACTTTGCTGGAGGACAACCTCCCGCCCAAGTGGCACCCTATCCGAAACACCGAGGATAGGTGTTCGGATGTTAGCATTAGTCAATGGGATCCCTTTTGGCTTGCCAGTGGAACCACTAGTGTAAAGGATCATTGCAAGACTCTCTGGGGCTGAGACGTCTTCAATCCTTCTCACAGTCTTCTGGGGGACAGCATTGAGAGTCACGCGCTTGATTTTGAAAGAGTTCCCGAGAAGCTTCTTGCTGCGTTGGGCGGTTGTGATGTGATAAAGCACAATTCTCGGTTGAGATTCTTGCAAGATATCAGTGAGTAGTGCATCTGAGCTCCTCGTATCAAGCGGCACGTATGAAGCTCCAACGCGAAGAATGGCGAGAATCGTGGCAATCGTGTCTACCCCGGGCTCAAGTAGCACACCGATCGGATTAAAAGGCTCCGCACCAGCATTCATCAGCGCTGCTGCGATAGCGTTGGATCTTTCTGAGAGCTGCAAGTATGTCTTTGTGTTGCCACTAGTATCCTTCACGGCGACAGCGTGGGGGTCCTTGCCTACCCAGGTGTTGATTATCTTTGACAGTGTGCCAGCAGAAGGGCCTGCAAGGTCCAATCTCGACCCGGTACCGAGTTTGATTGCCTCGTGCTCTAATGCCGCATTGGAAATTGGCACAGAGCCAACCAGACGGTCTGTGTCCTCTGCCAATACCTCGAGCATTTGCGTGTACATGGTGGCAAGGAGTTGAGCACCCTCTTGGTCATACAGGTAATCTTGAAGATGGAGTGTAATCATGGCCGTTCCATCATCTAGTTCATCCACAGTCGCCACGAGATCGAACGGGTTCATGGCGTCAACATAGTCCAAGAATGTCATTTCAACTCCTTGTAGCGGAGAGGTGCGGCCAGCTCCCATGCGGTAATTGAAGCATACTTGGAAGAGTGGTGTTTCTGTTGCCGACGATGCGACACCGCATGCTCTCAGGATCTCCTCAGTAGGAACACCAGTCTGTGACAATGCAGCATATGCCTTGCTGCGTGTTTCCTTCAGCAGTTCGACAAACCTTTGCTCACTGTCGACCTTGAACAGCAAAGGGATAGTTTCCAAGAAGAACCCGATAGTTTTGACAAACTTCTGGTCAGACCGGTTGGCGTCCACCACCCCAATGCACATCTTGTCTGTGTCGAGGAGTTTGTGTAATAGAACCTGGAAAGTCGAGAGGTAGAAATGGAAAGGAGTGGTGCGAGAGGTCTGGCTCGCCTTCTTTATTGCGCTCACGACATTGGTATTGAGATGGGTGACAACTTCTTGAACAGCGTACTGCTTTACAGCCTTACGTGTGCCAACTTTGGCGAAAGGGAAAAGAGGCAGAGGTTCAGCATACTCTCGCAACATATCTTGGAAGAACCCGAGTCTTTCGGCGTAGGCTCCATCGGACAGGTCCTGTTGCTGCTTTAGAGTGAGCTCGGAGTATTGAGCTTCCAAAGGTTTTGGGGAATTAGCCGAGTCCGAACCGTTGTAGAACATAGCCATGTCCGTCTGGAATATTTGCCAGCTGAAGCCGTCCATGATGATGTGATGATATCCGAAGATAAGGGTGTGAGAATCCTGACCGTGTGCCAAGATGGTAGCAGCAAAAGTGTCTGCTTGCTCGAGATCATAGCGACGGTAGTGGATCAAGTCAAACTCTTTCTCAATATCGGAGGAGTCACTGACACCAGAAACAACCTTGAGTTGGAAAGGGGACTGGCCGAGCACTCCCTGCATGGGATTTCCTTGCTTTTCATCTGTGTAAAAGGAGGTACGCAAGTTCTCATGACGTTGAATCACCGCGTTGATAGACCTTTCCAGCTTAGACACATCCAGCTTCCCGGAGAGGGTGTAGGATATGACGCAGTTCAAAACGATATTATCGTCCAGATATTGAGATAGGAAGTATAGTCTGGATTGACCTAAAGACAACGGCTGTGTGCTTATCGGGGTTGGGCGAGGGCCTTTCTTCGCGGTCCTTTCACGAGCTTGATCCCTGCAGAGAGACTTCGACTGTTTGACAAGATTTGAAGATTTTTTCGAAGTACCGTTTGGCGACGCATTGTGTCCATTTGTGGCCATTGCTGGGCTGGAAGTGGCTGCTACGTCGTCCTTTGGCTTTGTATTAGTGGGTGGTTTGTCCCACGGGCGAGCCTTCTGAGGCGGTGCTGCGTGACTTTCGATCTTGGCAGCTGCAATCGAATTCTTATCAAAAGACAAAGACGAGACCACTTCACCACAAATCTGTTCGACAGACGATCCGCCCAGGATCTTCAATACGGGAATGTCGTATCCGGCTTCGGCCCAGATCCAGTTCCGAATCTGGACGGCGACAAGGGAATCGATACCTAAGTCAATTATGGGCACATCGGTATAAATGGTCTCAATTGACAACTGGGTATTATCAGCATACGAAGGCTCAGATTGAGGGCTGCTACAGGTACTTACCTTCAGCGAGGACGCTAGGTATTCCAAGAGAGCATTCTCCATGACCTTTGTCGCTTCATTTGCTCCACCGGAGCCAAGCAGCATCTCCTTCAAAGATTTCTGGGCGCTACTAAGAGTGTCTGTGCCAGCTTGCGCAGCATCAGGGTCAGTGATGAGATGAGAAAAGCGCAGATTGTGGTGCCAGAAGGGTGTCTCTCCTGTGACGGCCTTGTAAGTCTCCAACCCCGTGATAAGCTCCGGAGACTCGTCACTCTGACCGACGAGGATAGCCTCAACGAGGAGATGATGGAGGTCGGTCTCAGACACGGGCATATAGTCCATCTGTCGGATAGAGTTCTCCATCGCGCTGACACCCTTGTCATTTTGAGATCTCTGGATAACACCCATGCCGACGATCATGCCAATATCAATGACAGAAGCGGGGAGACCACGCGCTCTTCGTCGCTCAGCCATAGCAACCATAAACTAAGAAGAACAATTAGTTACAAGTATCCTGAGATATGTCACAGGTTCTAGACGTACGTTGTTCGCAGCAACATAATTAGCCTGCGTTCGCTGACCCGTCATGACCGAGATTGACGAGAAGAAGAGGAAAAATTCTAGGTCATCATTAGAGAAAACCTGTTCCAGGTATATTGAACCGTCCACTTTAGGTTTCATGGCAGTTTGGAAACTTTCAAAAGTCATGTCAAGGAACATCTTGTCATCCAACACCATGGCGCCATTAGCAATGCCACCGACTGGAGGCATAGAGCTGACAATCCGATTGCGGAGCTCCGTGATGTGATGCTTTTTAGTAACGTCAGCTGCTTCAATGACAATGTTTGCTCCTTGTCCAAGTAACTCATCCCGCCAAAGCTGTCCTTGCTTCTCGGGGTTTCTGTAATTCATCGTTACTCAATCCATGTCACGTCCAGGCTTCGATCTCACAGACTACGTACCGACTTGTAACAACGATATGACGAGCTCCGCTTTGTACCATCCAGCGACACATGGACTGACCAATATGCCCAGTAAGGCCGACAAGGATATATGTCTTGTTGGGAGAGAATAGGTTCTGAGTGTCAACCGGTCTCTGAATAACAGTAATGTTCTGAGCACCTGTCCAGTCAACGACAGCAGCGTTAACATGTTCCCTGAAACCCCCTGCGACCAACGCAGATGCCTTGACCACACTACTGCGGTCAACTAAGGTCTTGTCGGATGGCGAATAACCCTGTACAATTGTCAAGGCCTCTGCAAGCAATCCACGAGGGTTGATATCATGAGCGCCAAGATCACTGAAAGCGACAACGGTAGCGTGAGTGGGAAGAGCATTCTTGAGAGCCGAGAATTCACGGTTGTCGGTTTCACGTTCCATGTGAATGAGCATCCTAGTCTTGGGGGATAGCTTCGCTTGAATTTCCTTTTTAGAGGCATGCGGCTCAATGAGAATATGATCGTCTGACATGGACCCTGTTAAATCGGGTTTGAAACCGATAGACGAGATCTCTGGTCGACCTGGCCTCTTCAATGAAGCAGCAAGATGTGCGTCAGGTTCGTAAATCAGGGGAGTACATCCGGGGGGAATGAACCTGGCGATGGCAAGCGACTTTATCTCGGTTAACAGCTCACTAATGAAAGCACCATCGTCCTGCGACGTATAGTTGTCAAATTGTATCGTCAGTTCGCGTGGCACCTTTACAACGGAGGCATTGGATGGCGAAAGAGCCAACACACGTGCGCCTTCTGACGTGAGTCCAAGGCAGCAGAAGAGAGCATCATTCTCAATGCTAGGAATGACAGGATCGATAGAACAGAACTCCACTTGAATAGTAACTGAATCGGTTGTATCCTCTGCTGAATCTCTGCGGTAATGGACTGCCTCAGCTGTATAAGTGAGTTTGCTATGCATAGATCTGGCGAGAGCAATAGGCTGTGTTCCAGCAGTAGCTTGTGTCTCCACCTTGCGCTTGACAGCGTTAAGCCTGTTATTACGCTTTGTATCTGGGAAGAGTCTTGGAACAAGGTATTTGCCTTCCTTAAGAGAGATTTCTGGCTCAATGTTCCATAGATGAGTCGCGTCCGTGGGATTGCCATTCCTGAAATTGACGCCACCGATGAGTCTGAGGAACGTCTCTGCAATGGTTGAGTCGACTCCATCAAGCGTGTCAAGATCAAGGAACTGCAGTAACTTCTGTGGATTCTCAGACTGGAATGACCGACCAATGCCAATGGTAGCATTTTGGTAGGGATTATCAGCTTTTGCCCCTTGGGTTATCCAGAGGACTATCTTGGCCGTTGAGAAGAGTTCCTGCAGACCCTTGAAGGTTGGTGCCCTGATATCCTCCAGGATTGGACGATCAAGATCTGCCAAACTCAAAACAGCCTCAACGCCGCTGGCTTCATCACTCAGCTCAGCCAGAGTTCGGACATTGATAATATCTCCCTGCCAAACATTTGACACTTTTGATTGTATACTGGTAGCAATGTTGGAAATATCTGGAGTAAGGCCACCTACAACGAGAAGGTTTCCACTGAGGGGAGCAAGCGAAGGAGATGTCAGCGGGCTGCGTAAGAAGCTTATTTGATCATCGAGCGCCTGGGATATGACAACAGAGAATGTGTGCTTGTCTGGTACGTTGTCTAGAGCAATTGAGTCAACTCCAGAGAATCCTACGCGTTGAAGTAGGTGGTGAATTTCCTCGCGCGCAGGGTTCATTAGTTTGGTCTGGACCAAGCCATCTTCATCGAGAGAAGGGGGTGCAGACAGCAACATGAAGGGAAAACGAAGCTGGGCACCAGTCGCAGCCATCATGAGCATGAAACCTCCAGGTCGCAACAGACCACGTATAGTCTTCAAAGCGATGACTTGCTTGGTAAAGGCCTTGTGGACTATGACCAAGTCAAAAAGTCCGGCACTGGTCAGATGGCTAACTTCGTCGATCCCATCCTCAACATTGGTATGTTTAAACTCCACTCTTAACTGATCTGCTGCAAGAGCAGCCTTCATTTCCTCGATATTGTGCTCTGAATCATCGGCCACGGTATATCTCTCCAAGCCACGACCCAACTCACGGCAAACCGAGCGCACTAAATTTGATGAAGATGGACCAACTTGAAGAATTCTCAAATTGGCGTGCTGATGAGAAATTTGTTTAGCTGCGCTCACGAAATGCCGCTGGAGTTGCGGGAAACCCAGGCCCTCATTGTGCCAACGATATATAAGAGCACGGATACCTGAAGGGGTAGCTTGGGAAGAAAGCGGGCCAAGGCTCTCGGTCGGGGAGTTCAGCAAACTCTCGCCAATAGTGCGCACGAGGGCGAGGTCTATGTGGTCACCGACCTCCTCCACCATTGATATCATATCAGATTGCGTCGGTATGCTAGTAGTGCGAGCTTCTATCTCGCTGATCAGAGAATGTAACCCAGGAATCTTATCAGCCAACTTTTCAAGGTGGCCAGCTCCCTTGACTTTTGATAGGTAGTACTGAATAGCGCGTTCACAGGTATCGATAACTTTCGACTCGCTTTCTGGGACGGCGATGTTATGCTCGGATGATGCACACAGAGCTCCGGAAAGCATATCCTGTTCCCACACATTCTTCAGGTAAAACCTCCTGTCGTCACTCTCAGAGGCAGGGAGGAATGAGCTCATAACAAAGTCTTCAATCTTGACTTGTAATTGACCGGTCTCAGAGTTGGAAATGCTCATATCACCAGTTAGAGTGGGCAGTGCTACCTGATAACCATGGACAAAGTCGGTGATGTGCGCGTCAACAATTACCGAAGCGCAAGGGCTCTGAGAATTGCTCGATGGGGAGAAGACCATGCGACCGATTGTAGTGGGCATGAAGGCCGTCCAGAGTGAATTGTCAAGTGGGGCGGCAAACGCCGCGAGGAAGGTCTGGAAGCAGGCGTCGAGCCAAGTGGGATGAACAGGGATCGTCTCGGCAAGGTCTCTATCCACAGCCACGGTAGCAGATGCATAATTTAACCGTCTCTGCATAGACGTCATGGCTCTGAACGGCCCACTATAGCTCAACCCGATCTGGTCCATGGACGCGTAGAATCGATCGACACTGGTCGGCAATAGATCCAAAGCCACCCGTTTACGTCCATCGGCAAACGAGATAGATGATTCAAGCCCAGTGTCATGGTTGGCGAGGGTAATTCGAATCTGCCCGGTGGCGGCAGTTCTCAAATGCCTGTCATCCATCGCCCCAGCGCTGAGACTGAAATGTGCTAGGATCTCATTGTCATTCTTGTTGGAATCAAGATCGCTACGCACAGAAAACAGGGTCTCGGTACCATCTGACGCCTCATCTAGGACGATTGGGCGTAAGATGGCCACGTTCCACAGCTCAATACTTTGCACATTTTTGCCCCGGCAAAGGACCTTGGCAGCCTCAAGAGCCATAACGCAGTAGGTAGCTGCCGGGACGATAAACTGCTTTTGGATGCAATGGTCTCGCAACCAGGGCAACTCGTCCATGATGAAAAAGTTTCGCCATCTGGGCTCATAGTCCGTATCATCGGGGGTTCGGCTACCCAGCAGCGCGTGAGGCGGATCAACCCTGTTGCGGACATTCTTGTTAAGCCGAGATTCGCGGTACAAGACCTTTTTATGATCCCATGGATATGTCGGCAGGTCAGACAGAACAGGTGCGTTTAAGACGGAAGCGTTGCTCGGGTCAAATGCCGACGCATACCCTGCAAAGTCGACCACCCCGGACCCCAGTGTCAGCCATGAGAACCCAAGAGCGGCACTTAAGGCGGATATGTCGTCTGACTTGCGATCCAGGACACCAGAGTAAGGAATGTCGGAGCCAAGCTTTTCTCTGATTGTCTCCTGAGTAGGTCCTTTAAGGGAAGGATGCGGTCCAACTTCAAGAGCGAGGTCAAAGTCACCATTCCCCTCGTCCATGGCGCGCTCAACTGCCTGCGAAAACAAGACTCTCCCAATGAGGTTGTCTTTCCAGTAGGTTGCTTCCATATCTGTATCCTCAGCGGTTGTGACCATTCGGTTATCTTTGTACACGCTGGATGCCCAAGCAGTATCATTAGATTTGCCAGCCACAAGACCGCAGCGCTCGATGGCAGCCAGGTACGGCGCCGCGCAGGGGTACACGTGAGGAGAGTGGTAGGCCGTGTCGAGCCGGAGAACACGATTGAACAGTCCTTCAGCGTCCAGCATTTCTTTGGCCTCCTGGACAGCATCCAAATCTCCAGAAAGTGTCACGCTCTTGGGCGAGTTACTGGCAGCAACAGTGAGACGGTTGGCGAATTGATCAAGCGCACAAAAGTTAAGGCCTTCTTCATAGCCAAATCCAACGGCAATCATACCGCCCTTCTTTCCATCTTTGCCGATGGCGAGTTTCGTGTACACCCCGCGGTAGTAAGCGATCTTGATTGCATCAACTTCGCTGATTTTGCCCGCTGCATAGGCCGAACCAATCTCACCACCTGAGTGACCGACGACCATGCTGAAAGTGATTCCTGCACTCCAGAGTACCTTGACAAGACCAACCTGAAGTGCCGCGCAGACAGGTAGTGAAATCTCAGCTTCTCCCAGCCGAGACGTTTTTGGTGGCTTCATGATCTCCTCTTTCAGAGACCACGCTGGTCCATCGGGGAGCTGTGCCATTGCCTTTTCCATTATCTCAATGGCTTCTCTAAATAGCGCACTCTTCTCAATAAGGCCTTGACCCATACCTGCCCATTGTGCTCCTTGTCCAGTAAAAACACCCAGGATCTTGGGACGTTTGACCTGATCAAACTCCGGAAGGGAGGATCGAGTGCCAATCTCCGCACCAGGACTTGAACGGATTTTCGCAAGTTGCGTCCGGATCGCCTCGAGAGCGCCCGCTCTTGAGGTTCCAGGGATGGAGATCCTGACTGGTAAAGTTGAACGATGAGAGTTGAGCGTCATGGCCAGGCGCTGAATAGACACGTCGGTCCTCTCCAGGTACTCCTCATACCTCTCCAGCATGGCACCGAGGGCTGTTCCTGAGCTAGCTGAAAATAGTAGAGGGATAGGTGAAAAGTCATTCTCTGGTGTAACGACAGGTTCTGGGAGATGGCGCAGGTGTTTTGGCCTTCCCCAGGGGCCATTGTCATGAATTTCGGGCACATAGCTTTCTACAACGGCGTGGCAATTGGTGCCTCCAGAGCCGAAACCGTTGACACTGGCCCGTAGCGGTGTGTCTGGAGGCAGTACAGGCCAGGCCTCCGGTGAAGTAGCCACCGAAAGGTATTTGAAAGAAGGCTTTACGCTGGGATTGAGGTTGTGAAAATGTTGGTTGGGGGGAATGGTCTTATGTCGCATGGCCAGGACAGTCTTCAAAATTCCTGCGATACCGGCACCTATGTATCACCAACAGTTAGTTTCCCAGCATTCTTGAAGATGACGTGTTACTGCTTACATCCTTCAGTGTGACCAATGACGGTCTTGATTGACCCAACGACAAGTTTGGGTCTGTGGCTGTGGTCTTCTCCAGGTGGGAAGAACGTGGTGCCAATGGCGAATGCTTCTCTGGGATCTCCAGCTTGGGTACCAGTTCCTGACAAGCAAAAAGATGATTAGTTGCAAAACCATGAAAGTCTTTTAATACCGGTGACTCACCGTGTGCTTCTATATATTGTGGGCGATCTTCTGCCCTTGAGAGGTCAAGCCCGGCGTTCTTATACGCAGTCCTCATCAACGAGATTTGGGCCTCAGCACTCGGTAGGGCGATTCCCTGTGTTCGACCATCCGAGTTGACACATGTTTCTCGCAGCAGGGCGTCGATTCGATCTCCATCTCGCAATGCCTGAGATAGCGTTTTCATGAAGAAGACACAAACACCCTCACCTCGGGCATATCCATCAGCAGCTTGATCCCACATTTGGGAACGGCCAGTAGGCGAAAGCAGATGAAGACTTGTGGCAGCAAGGTAGCAATCCGCGTTGAGAATCACGTTGGAGCCGCCCACGCAGGAGATTTTACATTCTCCAGCGCGTAAGGCTTGGACACCAAGATGCACCGCTGCCAGACTTGACGAGCACGCCGTATCAACGCTAATAGAGGGGCCTTTCCAGTCAAAAAAGTAGGACAAACGATTGGACAAGAGGGCACGGGACGTTCCGGTAATCATGTATTTGGAGACATTCTCAATGTCTCTCAGCTGAGTATCTGTGTAATCGGCCGACATAGCGCCCATGTATGCTGAAGTTTCGCTGCCTCTCATTCCATTGAGTGTAAGCCCTGCATTTTCCATAGCTTCATACACTGTCTCAAGCAGGAGCCTCTGTTGCGGATCGATAGATTCTGCTTCGCGCGGGGCAATACTGAAGAATCCAGCATCGAAATGTCGCGGATCTTCCTCAATAAAATACGCATTGCTTGCGTTGCTGGCACCGTGATGTTCACCATCGACATTGTAAAAGCCCTTGGCGTTAAATCGTGATTCGGAGGGAACTTCCCTCGTGAGATCCCGCGGCGAGTAGAGTAAGTCCCATAATTTGGAAGGAGACGTCGAATCTCCGGGGAAGCGGCACCCGCTGCCAATGATGGCAATGGGCTCTTTTGGTGAATGGGTGTAAACCATCACGCCTGAGGTCGACTGTGATAGTATACAGGGTAGAGAAAATTGAGTGTAAGGATGAATATGGTAAGGAGGGCTGTGTTTAGTAGCGAAACCTCACTAGGATGCAAGGCATCTACTTCCGATAAACCAAATTGATCCGTAAATACACCGTATACGGCTTTCTGTTCTTGCACGAGATCTTGGTCTACTAACATCCGATCCATGGATGGCATTCGGGTTGTGGGCCAGCAGTATTGCGATTGGTGGGACTGTTACTACCGAATTCGGTGTGGGGCTATAAACAAGAAACCGAATCCAGCTAGATCACCGTTTCTCCGTATTTACGGCGCACACACCTTTATGGGTTGCATCAATGTACCACTGAGGACGAGTCTCAGAATGAAGAGACACTCAGACATCGTTCTCGTACTATCGCGATCGTTACCCATTGCCTAAATATACTAGAATACCATCTCGAAACTCCTAGGTCACCCATACCCCAGAAGCTCTTGCATTTTGAAAACAATCATGGCAACCATCCATAAGCTATTCAAGTCGCCCTTCTTCGATTTTGAGTTTCTTCGTCTACTGGCCATGGCGCCACATGAAGGAGCCGAGATCGGAGAGGCGCTGGAAGCAGCAGCCAAGATCAACGATCAAGATCCAGAGTCATGGTATAGTGCCCTTGTCGAAGCTGGTAACAAGGCAGAAGCCATTGCAAAAGAAGCTGAGGCCTCTGGAGATCGTGTGGGTGCGCGACGGGCGTATCTACGCTCGTCAAACTACCTTCGCGCAGCGCAGTTCATGCTCAATGAAGGGCCTATAGGACATGACAAAAGGGTCCTTCCAACAATTGAACGATCCATTGCCAATTTTAGAAAGGGCGTCCAGTATCGTGACGGAAAGACCATTTTCCTGGACATCCCGTACGAGGACGGAAAACGGTTGCCTGGTTATCTCTACATGCCGTCCGCCTCAAGCCGCATTTCTGGTCGCAAGATCCCCATCCTGCTCAACTCTGGCGGTGGCGACTCTACTCAAGAGGAAATCTACTTTGTGAACCCAGCGTACGGGCCGGATGTAGGATACGCAGTCCTCACTTTTGAGGGGCCCGGTCAAGGAATCGTCCTCCGTCGCGACAAGTTACCCATGCGCCCTGACTGGGAAGCCGTCACCGGTCCCGTCCTGGATCACCTCTTTGATCTGGCTGCTCGTCATCCCGAACTTGACCTAGATCTCGACCACATTGCCGTCACGGGTGCGTCCATGGGTGGTTATTTTGCACTCCGCGCGGCTACAGACCCCCGCATCAAGGCATGTGTGAGCGTGGATGGATTTTACAGCTTGTCGAGCTTCGTGGGAGGCAGGATGCCGGCACCACTATTTAACGGCTTTATGAGCGGCTGGATTTCTGACGGCATGTTCAATGGAATACTCAGCTTTCTCAAGAAACTTGACTTTCAGGCCCGATGGGAATTTAACCACTTGAAGTGGGCCACGGACTCCAAGACGGACGCGGATATCATGCGTAGTTTTGGCGACTACACATTGCAGAACGCGGACGGCACAGAATACTTGGCTGACGTGAAGTGCCCAACACTAGTGACGGGGGCAGGGGCAAGCTTCTACTTCAACCCAGCCACGACAACAGACAAGATTTACGAGTGCTTGACTAGTCTCAAAGACGGCATTGACAAGGAGAAGTGGATCGCTACAGATGTAGCATTCGGAGGCCTCCAGGCCAAGATCGGTGCGTTTGGATATTCGGCACAGAAAATGTTTGAGTGGCTGGACCAAAGATTTGAAGTTGAGAGGGAGCCTTTGACGGCCAGCTCGAGTATCGAAGACTTGGTCACCAAGTTTTAAAATATATACTCTCTGAAACTCAAATCTTACTATTGTTTTCCATTTACACATAATTCCTTTATCCTCGGTGGTGTAATACTAATTAAAATCACTGGGTTCAAAAATCTAGTTTTATAATTGACAGAGTACTGAAAGGAAATATATCACTGTCTCCCAATTATCGCAAGACTCACAGGCAACTTGCTACGACTAAAGTAAGTATAAGGTTAAGAAGGTCCACAATATGCTACCAATATTTATAGCTATTTATCAAAATTAACATATAATAGTGAAGAGCGATCGTGGAGTGTACATAATTGACACTGAATGTGTATCTTACATACAGCGTGATACAGTAAAAAGGGTTGAGGCCAGTCCCGTGACAGTCTACAATTAAAAAAGAAATACTGTACGTTTATTGTTCGTCATCTTCCTGCATTGCGTCCGGGGTCCGGTGGACCTAGGCAAGACTACTTCCGCTATTATTTCCTGTTATGTTACGTTTCTCTTAGATATCAGAGCAAAAGTCCATCGTGCTTTGCATAAAATATTGGTCTATTTACTTTTGATAAATATCCATGTCTTAGCTTAACATTACATACAAAAATAGAAGGAATGAGGTGATTCGTTGAACAAGGCCCCTTGCTGGTACCCTGGTGCCCAGGTGGTAAGTTTCCACGGTACAGTCCGACTGCAGCCAAACTCTTCTAAAGAAGCTCACCTCTCAGACGAGGGAAGATAGGTAGTATGTTACTACCAAGAAGCCAAAACTGTATTTTGGAGTCAACGAACATGGAACAGGCGGCAATATGAAGAACAGGATAGACCTACACCATACCAGCAATAAGAGACATAATCGTCCTTCTCGTCATAGCTGGAGAGGAAACCACCAAGACACCGCACACCCGCAGCAACGTATGCCAGAGTAACTATAGCCGGTGGTTTCCACAAGGCAATCAACCCTATGGTCCACGCGACCGTTATCGCGGCCAGTGACCAGCGAGCTACAGGCTGGGACAGCAGTAGCGGTATTGTTTTGCGGCCCCGTGTTGTATCAGCGGAGCGATCACGGAAATCCTGAGCATGGCCCTATACAAGTGAGACGTTATTAGCATGTGATTGCCTCCGATGGGAACAAAATTGAGCAAAAGAACTCACAGTAGTGGCAAAAATTGCAGCTATCATCAGTACTGCGATGGCTTTCAGTCCATATAACTCTTTGCCGCCATCTTGAAAACACTATCTGTTAGCATGTAACTTCGCAAATCCCCAAGTGTTGTCAGAGGTAATACCAAGAATTATCGTTGTCCCCCAACAATAGCAACCGAGACCAATAGCTCCGATAAAATTCTTGACTACCGGAATAGCTGCCAGGCCACCCTCGTTGTATACCACTATGGCAATCGAATAGATTAAAGTGCATCCGATCGTGTTTGTGTGTATGGCCGCAATCCACATAAATAGGAAGAGGACATGATAGAGCATGGTAGCGTGTTCTGGGGTTATCCTGCCAGAGGGCAAGGGTCGATGCGGCTTTGCAATGCTATCCTCTTCTATACCATCAATCTGAAATATGGTAAGCATTTCTTGTCGTTATCATCTTGTTTGTCGTTACGTGGGTATAACTAACCTGGTTTTTCACCTGACGATGTCAACATTTGATCGCCCTTGCCTGGAAAAGAAAGCCTCTAGACGCACCTGAAACGTGAGAAGATGTAATTGATTCCAGAGTACCCCCTTTGTGATCAAGTGGAAGCTACATGGTCCGGCAAGCACAAGGGCTACGACTATCTGCTCTCAGTGTTAGTCGCATTTCTTGTTCGTGGATCAAGAATTAGCAACGGCACATACAGAAGGTAAAGCTGCCGCTGGAATGTCGGACTTTCCGAACAGATATAAAGTCTTCAAAAAGGAGAAGGGTATTTTCCCCAGTTGTAACACTTCCATATCTGCTTGGAAATAAGGGCGTTATAACAGCTGCTTGATATCGATGGTGTCACAGAATTTGGTGCCCGGTGAATTAAACTTATCTGCAACAATGGATGGCTTAATAGCTCAATGTACAACGATAAACCTGTCTTAAATCCATTTTCCGAAGGATTTAAAAGTTTCGCTATTTGAACAGTCACACTATGACTCTGCCGTTTAGCCGTACGCGGCCATCACAGTAAAGCCATGAGTATGGATGGCCCTAGCTTACAGATGGTTGCTAAGATGACAGTCGTTTCCTAGTTTAGGGTATTATGCCGTTATCACAAGTTCCCGAATACATCCGACTATTTTGCAAGTTGGACGGGGGCATACGGTCAGAGTATTGCATTCACTTAATACGGAAGGAGATAGGAAATAGTCTAAATGAAACAGGCTCGCAGTCCCATCGAAGCCAAGGAAGACTCATTCGTAGCAAAGAAATTGACCTACATCACTTTCACATACTAATTTGCTCGTCCTTTTCTTGGTTGAGAATCCACAGTAAGGCTAACTCCGAACCAGCTGTACGGGCGTTAGGAGACAGAGTAAGCTTATGGACCTAAACATATCGGTAATCGGATGGCCGAAAGTCGATTATTAGCTTTGTGGCCAAGCTACCCTAGGGTTTGAGGAGATGGAATGGTGGAAATGACCCCTATTCGTGGTGAAAAGGGAGCGAACGCTCTCTAAGGGCGTAACCGAATGCGTGCGAAATTCGGATGTGCCGTCCATGTAATTGCCTGACTCAAATAATACTGGCAGGCCCGAGACGTAGACTTGACAGGCCAAACCCCTATTCTTGACTTAGATCATACAATATGGCACGCGAACTATCTACCCTTCAGCTTACCTGCGCGGCATTGGTAGCCTTCATAGCTGTGCTGGCGTTCAGCAAGCGAAGAAAGCATCTCAAATGGAAGGTCCCTCCTGGGCCAAAGCCATTGCCGGTTATTGGCAACTTCTTCGATCTCCCCGCCAAAGGACAGCCCGAGTATCAGCACTGGTTCAAGCACAAAGATGCCTACGGTCCCGTCAGCTCTATCAATGTCATGGGGACGACACTTGTCATATTCCATGACAAAGACGCTGCCCATGCTGTCATGGGGAAGAAGGCCCAAAAGACATCGGCAAGACCTCAGCTCAACTTTGCTCAGCTATGTGGGTTCGAGAACTTTCTCATCACACACCAGTACGACGGAAAGTACCGCCTGCACCGGAAGATGGTTCAGCAGGAAATTGGGACTAAAGGGCTCTCTGCTGGTTTCCGCCCCATCCAAGAGCAGGAATCTATTCGTTTCATCATTCAAACGTTCAATAAACCTGAAGACATCTTGCATCACTTGAAAACGTAAGAGTCCCCTAAGCCATGGCACTTGTCGTATACACATCATCTAATGGTTTCTTAGTTTGGCAGCAGCCATCGTTCTGAGCATTAACTATGGTTACTCGATTGAGCGAGACAGCCCCGATCCACTGGTCGAGTTGATTGAACACGCAATGGAGAATCTGTCCCAGGCATTCGTGCCACTTTCTTGGGCCATTGACTCGGTGCCTGCTATCAAGTATCTTCCTGACTGGTTCCCTGGCATGTCGTATAGGAAGACCGCGCAAGAATGGAAGGCCGTCAACGAGGCCGCTGCCGAACTTCCCTATGACTTTGTCAAGCGCCAGATGGCACACAAGGCCCATCGTCCTTCATATGTCTCCAACCTTCTCGAAAAGAACATGGCCAAGTCGAACCGTAATGATATCAGTTTGACTGCGGAAGACGAAGAGGCTATCAAATGGACTGCAGTCAGCCTCTATGCTGCAGGATCTGACAGCACGGTCGCCATCATCCACAGCGTTATCTGTGCTCTTGTCATATTCCCCGATGTTGTAACAAGGGCACAGGACGAGATCGACCGAGTTGTCGGATCCGATAGGCTCCCCAACTTTGACGACAGAGTCAACCTGCCTTATATTGACGGTATTATCAAGGAAGCCTGGCGATGGAATCCTGTAGGACCCATGGGCTTGACGCACAAGTCGGAGGAAGATATTGTCTACGGAGAATACTTTATCCCTAAAGGCTCTTATCTCCTTCCTTCTCTATGGTGGTTTTTGAACGACCCCAAAGATTACCCAGAGCCCCGAGTCTTCAAACCAGAGCGTTATATGGAGCCATTCAACAACCCTGATCCGAGTGAACTGGCTTTCGGTTATGGTCGAAGATCTTGTGCCGGTCGCTTCTTTGCAGATGCAAGTGTCTACATTGCTGTGGTCCAGCTGTTGGCAGCTTTCAACGTTCGTAAGGCTAAGGATTCCCAAGGCAACGAGATTCCTGTCACTCTCGAGGCTATCCCGGGCATGGTCAATCGCCCCGCTCCCTTTGAGTTCAAGGTGGAGCCTCGCAGTCAGCATCACATCAATCTTCTTCGCCGTATCGAGTCTGAGCAGATACCTGAGCTTAGCCATGCGAGTCTTCTCAGAGCGAGTACAGTGTGAAGCGCCAAAGGCACAGATAAATGGTTGAATTTGAAAATATTATAAGCTGGAGAGATACAAACTGTTTCGGTTGGCGGTTCAATCCAGCACAGCGCTCGCAATTAGTTACATTACTTTAAAGAAAATATGGAGTACTCGGTGTATGTTTATATTGCCAGTAGATTCTCCTCTCTGTCACACTTCACGCCTACTGAGACACGTAGGGTCTTGTGAGAGCACTCATGGTTCATGTTTCACGCAGGCAGACCCTTTTCTAAATCTTTATCTGCCATTAAAGCTCAATGTAAACCTCCACCACTGACAATGACTGCCGCTAGATCGGCGGCCCCTGGTAGGTCTTCGGCAGTGGAGAATATCGGCGATCACCATGGATTCGGTATCAGTTACCGAACGCAGGTGCAGAGTGAACGCTATCACAGCTGACAACATGTGCTAAGGTGGCATTCAGTCCATCGACACAGTAGTTTGATAACCCACAAATCAGCATTGGTTGTTAAGTCTGAATGCCATATTATCAGCCAACAACCCTAAGCCACCAATAGTGGCAGCTCTTTCGTTGTATTCATTCATTTCCTGAGTGGATCCGACTAAAATAATGGATTCGACGTCATCAAATCTCCTTTATCTTCAAGATGAAGCTCATCGACGGAGTCTACAAAACCCGGAGGAGTTCTGGTCGCGCCAAGCCAGACGTCTTCACTGGCACCGGAAACCTGACACCGCACTCCAGACACTTCAGAAGAGTCTGCAAGATGGCACCATTCATCCGACCTGGGAATGGTTCCCCGGTGGTGAAATCTCAACTTGCTACAACTGCGTCGACAGACACGTCGCTGCGGGCAACGGACACGAACCTGCGATTTACTACGACAGTCCGGTCACCAACACAAAGGAGACAATTACCTATAACACACTCCTCAGTAAGGTTGAGACCCTGGCGGGTGTACTGAGAGAGAAAGGGGTCAAGAGTGGTGATGTGGTCATGTTGTATATGCCCATGATCCCGGCTGCCTTGGTTGGCATGCTTGCCGTCAATCGTTTAGGAGCAATCCACTCAGTTGTGTTCGGAGGATTCGCACCAAACGCTCTCGCTCAGCGAGTTGATGCTTGCAAGCCTGATGTGTTTCTCACTGCATCGTGCGGCATCGTCGGGAATAGGCCACCAATTGCATACCAACCACTCGTCGCGGAAGCGATGAAGCTTTCATGCCACAAACCTTCACACATAATCATATGGCAGCGCGAACAACTACAGTGGAACTTCCAGGAGTCTTCAAATAGTTGGTGGAGGAAAACCTGGCGCTGGATACAACAAGTTCTCTTCCGTCGCAGGACAAACACGGCAAAACAATCATCGTGGCAGGAACTGATGACAAACGCCGGGTCACGAGGTATCACAGCCGACTGTGTTCCGGTGCAAAGCAATCAGCCGATCTATATCATGCATACCTCCGGTACGACTGGAGCACCAAAGGGTGTGTTGCGCAATTCAGGCGGTCACGCGGTTGGCCTACAATTCACCATCGATTATATTTTCAACATCACCGGCCCGGGACACGTTATGTTTGCGGCCTCAGATATCGGTTGGGTGGTCGGTCATTCTTACATCTTATACGCGCCATTGTTGGCCGGAGCGGCCACCGTTTTGTACGAAGGCAAGCCTATAGGAACACCTGATGCGTCTGCCTTTTGGAGGATTGTCGAGCAGTACAAGGTGAATACTATGTTCGCGACACCAACAGCGCTGAGAGCCATCAAGCAAGATGACCCTAGTAATACAAAATTGTCCGAGACCGGAGAGCGTGGAGGCTTGCGGACTCTAGAAGCTTTGTTCCTTGCTGGCGAGCGGTCAGAGCCAACCCTCATCTCCATGTACCAAGAGCTACTTGATAAGCATGGTGGAAACAAGGCACAAGTCATCGATAATTGGTGGTCAACCGAAGCCGGATCTCCGATCACCAGCCGAGCGATTGCGCCCCATATTGGATTGAGGGATGAAGTTGCAACAAGTCATAAACTCCCTCCAACCAAGCCAGGGAGTGCTGGAAAGCCTATGCCAGGTTTTGATGTTCGAGTGGTGGATGAGCACGGTGAAGAGGTACCAAAAGGATCCATGGGAAATATTGTGCTGGGCCTGCCTCTTGGGCCGACAGCATTCAGCACGCTGTGGTTGGACGAGGAGAGATTCTACAACAGCTATTTGAAAAGATTTCAATCCCGGTTTCTGGATACTGGAGATGCGGGATGGGTTGATCATGATGGATATGTTCATGTGATGAGTCGAAATGATGACGTGTTGAACGTTAGCGCGTATCGATTGTCAAGTGGTTAGTTCCATCCCTTTCTTGATACCCTCCCAGTTACTGATTTTATAACACATGTAGGAGCTATTGAAGAAGCTATCTCCTCCCATCCCCAGGTCGCAGAATCGTGTGTGGTTGCTATTCCAGATGAACTCAAAGGTCAACTTCCATTCGCATTTATCTCCCTCTCCGTGTCGGACCACCCAGACTCTGCTACACCAACAGCGAGCGTTGCGAAAGAGATTCAATCACTGGTCAGGAGTCGGGTTGGAGCATTTGCCTCTTTGGGAGGCATAGTACAGGGCAAAAATATGATACCAAAAACGAGGTCCGGTAAGACATTACGTCGTGTGCTTCGGGAATTAGTGGAGAATGGAGTTTACGGTGACTTCAATCGCAGTGTTGAGGTACCTAGCACAATTGAGGACGCAACGGCCGTAGAAGTCGCGAGAGCCAAGATTCGGGAGTACTTCAACAAGAACACGGGTAAACATAAGGCAATTGAGGCAAGGGAAACGGCATGAAAATAGGCATATTTACAATCATACAGAGCTAGTAGCTCAGAAGAATATGACCAGTCAGCATATTTAGTGGACAAGCTACAATTCCTATATGATATGTGAAAATATCAAGCTCTTGTGCCAGAAAGGCGGGAAGTTCTCAGAGGCCGTTTCTAGCCCGGTGATAAGTTCTGGTGTCTCATAGGTCCTTCCCACGAGGATCGCTTCAGCCAATATGTGATGAAGCTCGCGCTCGCAGACAGGCATGTAATCCAGGCCTCTTAAGGTAGAAATCGCAGCCTCAGATCCCCCACTGCTATCAATATTTTGGATGAATCCGAGCCCTATGATAGGACCACAGTTGATCACCGAGGCAGGGAGGTTGCGAGCTCGTCTCTGGAATGCCAAGCCATTCATGAACTCGCAGTGGTCAGTTTGTCATGACTCGAATCAAACTGAAGATTCGGGAAACTTACATTATTAGCAGCATCGTAATTTGCCTGGAATGGTTGGCCAACCACAGCCGATATGGACGAGAACAACAAAAAAAACTCCAGATCATCATCAGAGAAGACCTCGTCAAGGATCACGGACCCGTCCACCTTGGGTTTAAGGACTTCTTGTAGGGCGTCGTACGTCAGGTCGGAGAAGAAGCAATTAGACTGAACCATTGCACCATTTGCCAAACCTCCGATAGAGGGCATAGCCCCGAGAATGTGGTTACGAAGATTAATCATATCTTGCTTTTTTGTAACATCTGCTGCCCTAATCACAATATTGGCACCTCTCTTTTCTAGCTCTTCTTTCCAGAGTGTGTGTTTGTTGGGATTCCTATTAGGGTTAGTAGCCATTCCACATACAGTCTTGTCTCTACCTACCGGCTTGTGATCACAACGTGGCGCGCACCACCCTCTACCATCCATCTGGTGATAGACTGGCCGATTTGCCCGCTAAGACCAATAAGAACGTACGTCTTACTCGGCGAGAAAAGACCTGGGGGATTTCCAGCCTCTAATGTCCGCCGTAAAGAGTTGAGATGATCGTTGCGCTTTTTGTCGAAAAGAATTCTCGGAATGAGAAGTCTCCTTCCTTGGACTGACAGCTCCGGTTCAACAGTCCACAGCATGCTTAAGCTATTATCTCGCATCCGAACACCTCCAATAAGCCGAAGGAAGCTCTCTGCCACAAGAGACTCGTTGCCATAGATCTCATCCAAATCAAGGAGTTGCAGAATCTTCTCCGGGCATTCAGCTTGGACGGCTCGAACAAGTCCAATTGTACCGCTTTGGTGCGGGTTTTGATTTCTAGCGCCGTGGGTAACCCACAGGACTATCTTGGACTTGTCAAAAAGTTGATGTAGGCCGTGAAATGTATCACAACTGAGATTCTCCAGAACCGAATAATCCAACTCGGTCAGACTAAGGACAGCTTCCACTTGTTGGAAGTCCCGGCTGTTCAAGTCGGTCAGGGAACTAATCATGATGAGCTCCCCATCCCACACACATCTCAGTCTGCTCTCGATGATTTCTATAAATAGTTTGGTATTTTGCGACAAGCCACCTATAACAAGAAGTGATCCTCCTCTACTAAAAGCTGGTGTCGACTCAAACGGGGCTCTCAGAAAGCTGACCTGATCATCGAGGGCCTGCGACAAGATGACAAAGGACGAACCCTTTTCTCGTTTCCTTTGCAATGAGTCAACACCAGAAAACCCAGCTCTCTGCAACATTTGGTGTATTTCCTTGCAGGTAGTATCTGTTGCTTCCGGCGGAATGGCCTCCGTTACCGTCACCGTCATCAGTAAAAACCCTCCTTGTTTTAAGAAACCTCGCATAGATTCCAATGGAACAGACTCATCTCTGGAGGTCTTCAGAGCAATTATCAAGTCGAAAGAGCTGAGGTCAATTGGACTGAGGGCGGTTGACTCGTACAATATTCCAACATCCTTTGGAATGTCGAGGACTTCGAGCTTGATAGGCAAGTCGTGTGATATGGTCACCCTCCTCATTTCTGCTATGGCCCTGTCCGATGTATCCATAATTGTATATGAGCTCATAGCCTCCCCCAGATCCTGACACATAGCTTGTACCAAATGGATAGGCGACGTTCCAATTTGGAGAATTTTTAACTTTCGGTAGCGATGTGAGATCTGTCTGGTTGCTGCCAGAATAAACCTGTGACCGTGAGAGAAGCCCAACCACTCGTGACAGGAGGTATTATCATTTTGCTCGAGTAATACTCCCGATAGGATGTCTTGCTGCCATGCCATTTTCAGGTACATGAGTTTATCCTGCTTCTCGGCAGAGGAAATCGTGGGGCTCATGGTAAGACTTTCGAGGCGCATTTGTAACTGGCCGGTCTCTGAGCTGCTGACATCAATGTTCCCTTTGATCATGGGTAACATTGCCTCACACCCTGGCTCATATTCCTGTAGATGCGCTTCGACAGTAATTGAGGCAGGCGTATCCAGGCCGACGAATGAATGTGGAAAAAAGGTCACGCGACCGATGTTTGTAGACGTGAAGCTTGTCCATAATGAACCATCTCGAGGGGCGGCGAAGGCAAGTAAAAGCGTCTGGAAGCAGGCCTCCAGCCTGGTAGGGTGAAGCAATCCTGATACACCTCCTGCTTCGTCGGTCGTATTCGTGACAGCGCAAGCATAATCCAGACGCCTCTCAGCAGAAGTGAAAGCTCTGAAAGCTCCACGATAGCTCAAGCCTACTTCGCTGAGTGAATCGTAAAATTGGTTGACGTTGACAGGTATCAATCCACACGGCTTGGGTTGTCCGGTGGAGGATAATATTGAGGGGTCGGTTGACTCGCGGTCTGCAAAAGTGACGCGTAATCTTCCCTTAGCTGCAGTGGCCATCTTTTGATCGTGCGTTGCGACCTCGTTGAGACTGAACTCTGCCTGGATGCAGTCAATTCGAGGGTTACCAGAGTCAACGAGGCTGCTGATACGGAGCGAGGTCTCAAGCTCCACTGAAGGTGCTTTTAGTACGATCAGCGGTCCTATGGTAACACCCGAGAGCTCGATGATATCTGTTTGTCTGCCATTGCTGATATCCATCGCGGCCGCAAGGGCCATGACGCAAAGCAAAGCTGCCGGGATAACGGTCTCATTCTGTATGTGGTGAGCTCCTAGCCACGGCAAGTCTCCTAATTTGAAGACGCGCCGCCATTTGGCCTCATAATTTGTAGCACGTGGGTTTCGGCTCCCTAACAGCTCACAAGGGAGTTCCAACATGACTGTTTCGCTCGATAATAAAAGAGGGAAACGATAGCATCAAAGAGAGTGTACTCCTTCATAAATGAGAAGTGTCAGATAACTTAGGATCTAGTAAGTTACATGTTCTGTAATTTCATTGCGATGGCTGAGGATAAGGATAAGTCGGTAGTGGCCGATGACCGTACGGAAATCTTCCGGACGGAGAAGACCAAACTTAATTGGGGAGCTAATTACTTCCTATTCTTTGTCTTCCGAAGGATTCGGATACACCCGGTGAACGTCTCCTCTGTGACGGACGCTATGTGCAGCAGCTACGGCCAGGCCAGCAATGAATGCAAGTAAGTATTACTAAGCTCAATTTGCTTCTGCTGTATTCATTCGCATACACAGAAGTACCCTGCTGGATATTATGGTGCAGGTAAAACGATCCTTGAAGAATATCTTCCGCATTGTAGAGGCGCCTGTATTTCCAAACTGCCTTTAGTACTTGAGTAAACTCTGATATACTCCTTTTATATACACATTCTTCTTCACTATCATGACTCAAGCGACAACTGCAGTTGGATCCTTTTTTGGGGGATACTTCTGGGCCATATAAGTCAGATCGCCCTTCACAACATATCCAATGTGGCTCAGTGCGAGAAGTTCCTTCATCTGCGGGCTAAGCGTCTCTTGGAGCTCCTTTGGCAGCTTTGCTGACCAGTTCGTCAGAGGGCGCATATGAGGCGCGGAGTAATAGGCAAAAAGAATGGCACGATCCTCGTCCTTAGTAATGTTGGTTCCAGAGGTATGCCATAGGCGCCCATCAATAACAACAATATCGCCCGCATCAGCTTCAAAAGGGACCAGCAAATCAGGTGCATTATCGGGCACATCCTCCCAGGTGGTCCACTTATTTGAACCGGGAATATACAAGGTCGCTCCATTATCCTTGGTCGTCCTAGTCAGGCACCAAATCACGTTGACCGCCCAGATATCCAACCACGGCGGTGGAAGAACGATGCTTTGATCAGAGTGCAGAGCCATGCTCTCTGCACCAGGACGAGCAATGTTGGCAGAGAAGTTGCTGACCAGCAGTTGGTCGCCCAGCAAGGACTTGGCCAAGTCTAGCCCGGTCGGGTAGATGAGCATTTCTCTCCAATATGCGTCCACCTCTGGGAGGTAAAAGATGCGGACGTTGGCAGGGTTGGGATCCAAGATAGGCTGGAAAGTCGCTTCGCCACTAGCCTCGGAGGCAGCTTTCGCCCTCCAGAGGCGGTCAAGTGCATCTTGAGCTTCCTCTTTGGAGAGAACCGAAGAGACCTTGACCCAGCCGTGCTCTTTGAGATGAGCCTTAGCCTCTTCCATGTTTAATGTCAAGGTATCGAGGATGTTTCCTAGATTGTTGGTGGTTCCAGGGGCCAGGTGTGCATTGTCAATCTTGATTTCTCAGGGCATTCGTTGACTAGCTAATACTGATTTCGTGTCCACTCTTGATTTCCTAGGCTTTCGGCAAGTTTCATGTATGGTTCCGACAATTTCGCATACTGACTTGATGAAGCGGCAAAGGTCAATGCGGTCAGCTACGGAAGGAAACAGGACCGAAGTCCTCGGCCCAAGGCACAGCACTAGAATACTACTGATAGCTTGATTGGGTGAACAAAAGGAAAAAGAGAGAATTTGGAGACAGAGCCAATTGAATTTGAATATATAACCGTCTTCGAAAGATACATGGAAGGCATCAGAAGGCTTTTATATCCCTCACATTAATATCACTAGGAGTTTACTGCTTGACAGCATATATAGCCTGGTAAACATTCATCGAAAGAACTACAATATGGCATAAAAGGGCATTGATCTTCAATCTTTTGAGAAAATAGTACCCCGCAGGTAGTAATGCATCAGCCCATATTCCTGAAGGACAAATATATATATGTCAAAACCGTGGGAAACGTGATTTCTCTCCGATATATCGCGACTACAAAGCTTTACAATGGACCAGTCTATGAAGCCCCTTCTCCCGTCCACAAAACAGCCACGCCGACATCTCACGGCGTCTGACATCTCCGTAAGCTACTCAATTACCCAAAATTAGCAGCTAACAGGGCAACTGCTAACGTCACTGCTAACGTCACCATCAATAGTTCTTTCTCCCGAATCAATTTAGTCTCGGCACGCTCCTTTGCATCGGTTCTGCTATGCAGATAAGCCTCTCCGCCATCCTTCCCCTCCACTACTCCGCTATCCCATGTGCGACCGTTCTCCTCATATCCATTCTCACTACCATCAAATATTGCTTCCAACCGCAAGCGAATCTTTTCATGACCGACGTCGTCCCGGGAAGAACCACCGCGCAGATCCCAAGCAAAGATGGAGAGTACGGTCCTGGACCAGGGAAGGGCTCTGTGGCGGTGTTCCACTTAGGAATACAATACAATCACCCACTGGGGATCTTTGCACCGCACATGCTCGAAATCTCGACCAAGTTCCTCGCTATGCAACAGGATATACTTCGCCGTAAGGACGAGCTTGGCCTGTTGGCTGTGCAGAACTGGAGAGGCAGCGAGCGCAGCTCCAATAACACCCTGCTTATAAAGTATTTCTTTAAAGATGTGGAAAGTATCCATAGATTTGCCCAAGAACCGCTACACAAGGAGATTTGGGCATACTATAACCTGCACAACCCCGGTCACGTGGGTATCTTCCATGAGACGTTTATAACGAAAGCTGGTGGATATGAGAGCATGTATGTTAATTGCCATCCAACTCTGCTTGGACGAGGCGAGGTTAAGGTTAAAAATCGCAAAGACAGCACAGAGAACTGGATGGGGACGTTGGTTAGTGCTGATACACCCGGTTTGAGGTCTTTCAAATCAAGATTAAGTAAAAAGGATTAGAACTCGAGGGAAACCCTCTCCTGCAGCTCCAGCTCCAGCAGTGGCAATGCAATAGTTTCAAACACATGTATATTGCAAGTTTGGTGATAGAAATATGCAATAATTGTGTGGTTAGATAAGATCCAATGATGATAAGATGCACAGCTTCAGATACACGAGTAAAGTAGATCTGCGCACGGGTGTATGGCCCTTCTCCACCTGATAGCCCCTTTGTGATCGGCCCTCCACTCGACCGTATCATCATTTCTTTGCATCTCCGTTTGCAATCTCCGGTATGGGAATCGGCCCTCCAGGGGAATTCTCCAGTCTCGCAGTCAAAACCTCGACACCTGTTTCTGTGACAAGCATGGTATGTTCTATCAAGTTCCAAGTTAGTACCTAAAGCTCATAAAATGGCCTTTGAAAGGTCTATACGCACCGAATTGTGCTGTCCGCTTCCCGTCCACTGTAACGTTTGTCCAGTCATCTGGCCAATAGACTTCTCGATTGGTACCCAAAGTCAAAATAGGTTCAATCGTGAATGTCATCCCAGGTTTACATGTTCCCACAGCCTTGTTCTTCGCGTAGTGGGGGATCCAAGGGGGTGGGTGGAATTCCGAATTAATACCGTGGCCACCCCAAGTCTTGACGACGACTAGGCCCCTAGAGGCCGCGTGCTTCTCAATTACTTTGCCAAACTCGCGAATCGGTGTACCTGGTTTGATTATCTCAATAGCCATATCCAAGGCCTCCCGCGTCGTTTCGATAAGTCTGACCGAGTCAGGATCTGCTTTCGCCTTGTCGCCTACGTAGTAGGTCTCATTCAAGTCAGCATGATACCCGCCGTGGTACAGAGAGATGTCCAGGTTGAGAATGTCGCCATCAAGAAGAATTCGCTGATCTGGGATGCCGTGGCATACAACTTCATTCGGAGATGTACACAATGACTTGGGAAAGTGGTTGTAGTTGAGTGGCGAAGGATATGACTGCCTCATGCTTTAGCATGCAACTTGACATGTTTACACAAGAGTGAACCGCACTCACCTCTCGCTCAACGCAAGCTTTGTGGCAAATTTCATCCAGGTAATCTGTGGTCACGCCGGGCTTCATCGCCGCCGCAGTTATGTCGAGTACTTCTCGAGCTAACCTGCACACCTTGCGCATAGCCTCCTGGCCCTTCGCATCCAAGAGGTCCCATTTGGACCTGCTCAAGCGCATCTCACGCTTTGGAATGCCATCTTTGGCCCAGTCGGGATGCTTGATTGTTTTGGGCACAGTTCGTCGCGGGGAGAGCGGGTATACTGCTCTGACAGACCCAGTGTATGGGTATGCCGGGAAAGGGTTGTAAAGTCCACTAGCTGTATCGTGATTAGAGAACAAAGTCACAAGTAGCTAGTGCATGTCACCCGAACGTGGCGATTACCATTTTGTGTCTTGTGCATAGCCTTGTGGGTGGCCTGAATACGACCGGTGTTAGATTCTCAGTTAAAAGAGATGCCCAGGCAGATGTACCGACCCAATTCCTCTTGAAACAGTCTTGATTGCAGAAATAACTGCTTTTCACGCCCAGCTTCAGGCACGTTGGGCATTGCAAAGTCCCAGCGTCATTGTCACAATCGGCCCCTGAGCACTTTTGCTCGGGATTGGACATGGTGGCGGCTATTTTGAGATACCAGCTTGAGTGGGAGGAGGTGGTGTGGGATGACTGCTTATTAACTGGTATTTCTTCTGGGCTAGTACTGCCACAGTAACAACGTAAGCAATGTAACCAAAAGCCTTCGCATAAAATCTGGGCGATCCTAAGCGGACCGCTCCTTTGTTCTAAGTGGGCCCCCGCGCCACCTGTCTAACTGCCTTAGGAAAGACGTAGTATTTGTTTTACCGCCCATCGTCTCCAAAGTGCCTTCAAAATTAAAAAAAACACACTCGATGAAACTAGTTTCAATTTTACACACACACAAAAATTGAAGCACGAGACAAAGCAAGAAGTGCGGACATGCGTAGGGTATAGTGTTTATAGATCACATGATATACAGATATACACGCGGGTACCAGTTCGGCGTGGTTTGAAATTGATTCGGGGGGGGGGGGGGGGGTGGTTACGGAATACGGCCAAAGGACACGTCACATATTCCGGCCTTGGCTAATAGTGTATGGTTCCATTCAGAGATACATACAATGTATCTGTGTCAAACACTAATCAATGACGGTAAGGAATCCATTGTAGTGCCAAAACCCTAAAGGCCTAAGCAACAAGGTCTTATGAAAGACCCTCCGTGAAAGTGACCAACGTGGCAGCCAAAATGCAAAGAAAGGCCGGTACATTCACCAGCAGCGTTCGTGCGCGGTGTTTGGGAAGCCATTCCTTAAGCGCGTCCTCGTTTCGAACGCCAGCCGACTTAACATCGCCAATGCGGCGGAGAATAGCAAACATGGTTGGCCCCCAGCAAAAGTGGGCGATACTGAACAGCGCACCAGCGAAGTAAAGGTTGCGAGCCTCGCGGGTATGACCGCTTAGCCCATTGATAACGCAAATGACAGTGGCAGGCGGGTAGGTTAACCCGATACCCCAGATACCAGGACTCATGAAAGCGGGCAGGTATCGTGGGAGGAGTTTGCCACTAGGGTGGGCTGGGTCATTGCGTAGGGACGGGTGTAAGAAAGCACCAAGAGAGATGTCCTGCGACCAGCTAAACATCAAGGATGCTGACGATATGACAAGAGGTGAGACGCGCAGAAGGGCTGTTCCCAGCTGGGAGCCATAGTCTGAGCCGAATGGAGAGGTCATGGTGAGTTGTGCTCAAAATGTGTCTATCCCAAAGCTTCACTATTCGACTTTAATAATACCATATACCTATTAGCGTTACAATCGTTTACGCCGAGACTATCGGGGGAGCAAACCCATGGGTTTATACCAAGACTGACAACCATTGTCGCCAAGGACCCCCACCCGACAGAGGTCCCTTCCGGTGATCCTTGGGAGGCGACATATTCCGCCTGTCACAAGTGAAGGAGAAGACCCACTGTCTGGTGTAATGTTTGCTATAAGAGTTTCTGCCTGACCTTGTCCTATTCGGCGACAGCGCCGTATTGGGGTCGGATTCGGCATCACCGAACCCCTGCATGTGTCAAGTCTCAACCTCATACCGGAGAAGCATCGGCGGCAAGATGGTATACTCGGCGACGCCTAACACGGGTAGCCTCGACCAAGCAATACTTGCTTCCTGTTCGGGAACAGTCTCGGTCTGGAGATACCGACATAGCCATCAATCCCAAGCAGGAGAGCTGTGGCATTCTCCAAGGCCCGTGATGATGTAAGTTCAAAGGCCCATCCCAGAGTGTGCCAATTATACCAAAGAATAGTGAGGCGTGATCCATTCTGCGTACTATCCCTCAGAACACCTATACTTCATTGCTCGTGCCTCGAATTCATGCTATATTCTCACAACACGGATCCAGTTGTTCACCATGAGTAACATTACTCCAGATTATGATGCCATTGTCATTGGCGCAGGTTTCAGTGGTGTCAGATCTCTCTGGGAGCTCGACCGACTGGGCTTGACAGCAAGGTGCTTCGATGCGGGGTCAGATGTAGGAGGCACCTGGTGGTGGAATCGCTATCCTGGATGTCGGACCGATGGAGAGGCTTGGGTATACGCCTTGAAATTCCTGCCAGAGCTGTTGGAAGAATGGGACTTTACTGAGCGTTATCCCACACAAGAGGAGATTCAATGGTATCTGGGTCGTATCGTTGACCGTTACGACCTACGCAAGAACATTCAATTTGAGTCGGAAGTTAAATCAGCCCACTACAGCGATTGTGACAATCTTTGGACGATCACTACTATGAATGGGGGTGTGGCTACCTCGCGATACTTCCTCCCTGCCACAGGCATCACATCTATTCCCAAGGAGCCATCATTCCCTGGGCTGAAGTCGTTCAAAGGGGAGGTATATCAAACTTCTACCTGGCCGGAACACGAGGTCGATTTTCAAAACAAGCGAATCGGTGTGATTGGAACAGGTTCAACAGGCATCCAAGTGATCACCAAGCTTGCCCCCATTGCTGAAAAGCTCACCGCGTTTCAACGAACGCCGAATTATGTGCTACCAGCGCAAAACTACCCTCTCGACAAGCAAAAAGTGGAAGATGTCAAGAAGGATTTTGATGCGACCTGGGATATTGCCAAAGTTAACCTGGCCGGTCACGCCGTAAAGCATTCGGGGAGAACTGTAACGAGTATTGGAGACTTGAACGAGATTCAACATGTCTTCGAAACTGGCTGGTCGCGCGGTTGTTACGATTTCCAGCTTGGCACATTTGATGATTCATTCATGCATCCAGATGCCAATGCTGCTACGGCTGACTTCATTCGTGGCAAAATCCGTTCCATCGTTCGCGACCCTGATACTGCTGAGCTTCTATGCCCAACCTATCCCTTCGGTGCAAGACGTCCTCCTTGTGCAGATGGATACTATGAGACATTCAATCGAATGAACGTTCAGCTTGTTGATATCAGCAAAGAGGAGATAGACGTTTACGAAAACGGGATCAAGACTGCATCTGGGGTGGAATATGAGCTTGACATGATCATCTTGGCAATGGGCTTCGATTCAGGCACAGGAGCCATGAACAAGATAGACATCAGAGGGAGTAAGAACCAGTCACTGCGTGAGTCTTGGATGCAGAGACTTGAAACATTCGCGGGTGTCTTGGTCCACGGTTATCCGAACATGTTCATTGTCTGTGGTCCTCATTTGCCCGCAGGTAACCAGCCTGTCAGTTTAGAAGCATTCGCAAGCTGGATTGGCAAGACAATTGAGCATATGGAAAGCAATGGGCTCGCCAAGATCGACGTGTCTAAGGATGCCATGAATGCGTGGACGACACACGTCGAGCAAGTGTGGGCTGGTTCGTTCCTAGCCAAACATGCACACGAGCAGGGCTCCTGGTTTGTCGGGACCAACATTCCCGGAAAGCCGTCCCGAATCATGTTCTACTTTGGTGGAATTGTCAACTTGGAGCCCTGGCTCATCAAGGAACTGGAGACTCAGTGGTCAAGCATGAGCTTCACGCCTCTTGAAGGGGATAAGAACGCTAGCCATGGTGTGTCAAAACAGATGAAGACTGTCGGAGGGGTCCACGTCACCCCAGAAATGTTGGAGTCGGTCCAAATTCCTCTAGAAGCCGACAAAGTTGGCATGACTGTGGCGGCTAAATCCGACTTCGTCAACGCTACTACCGCTGTGTACATTGAAAGGGCTGTCAAGGAAATGAGAAGGCGCGGACTGAGCCCGAAGCAAGATTATCGGCTTCACTGGTGGAAAGTGATGCAAGACTTTGTTGATTCCGAGGAGGGACAAAGACTCGTCCAGGAGGCACCTTCAAAAGCAGAAGGACTTGAAGACTTGATTTCCAGGTTAGGCATTGAAGGCGAGGTGATTGCAAGGATGGGCCCAGAGATCGTGAACATCCTGACTGGCAAAACTCACGCCCTTGCACATATTATGAGAGGCGATCTGCTCTTCCGGGTCTATCTCTCTGACGAGGGTAGGCGCGCTAACCGCTATGTGGCAGAATACGTCAAAATCCTCACCTCCCAGAGGAAAGGTATCAGAATTCTGGAGATTGGAGCTGGAACAGGAGGCACAACATCGGAAGTCCTCGGCCTCTGCAGCTCAAATGGCGAGCCATTCTGTGCTGAATACATGTACACGGATCTCTCGCCAGGCTTCTTCAATACTGCGAAGACAACGATGAAGAAATGGGAGCACCTCTTGAAATTCAAGGTCCTAAACATTGAGGATTCCCCGACGAGCCAAGGTTTTGAAGAGCACACGTACGACTTGATCATTGCCGCAAATGTCATCCATGCCACAGCACGTCTGACAAAAACACTGAGCAATGTACGCAAGCTACTAAAGCCCGGCGGTGTCTTCGGTCTAGTAGAGCTCACGAGGTTAACTCCTTTCTATAACCTCACATTTGGTCCACTTTCTGGTTGGTGGGCTGGCGTCGACGAAGGGAGAATAAAGAGCCCCTTACAGTCTCCTGAGCAGTGGAATGAGTTGCTCAAGCAGACTGGCTTCTCTGGCGTTGATCTAGCTGCGTACGATCTTCCCGGGCCACACAGACATAGCTGTCTGCTACTGTCGACTGCCTTGGACAGTGCAACTACCAATGCGTATTGATGCCCTTTAGTTAGATTTATCGGAAATGTTTAAAGCTACGTTTGAAGCTACGTTTGATACTGTCTATGTACATGTCAATTTTATTCAAATCTATTTTCTCGATAGATATGGAAATTAGCCTTCATTTGATATAGGCAAACTGCTCTGCCCCCGAATCCCGGTGCGTGGTTCAAATTCAGTCCTACAAGAGCGAAAATTTTGTAGCACGAGCACCTACCGATATCGGAATGTGACTGACGTGCGTCAGGGTAAGCTGCATGTGCACATCTACCGAAAGAATATGCGCGCAGGCATGAAAGATGAATTACAATAGAAACACACAAGCGCTACCGAAAGTCCCCACAGCTCGGTGGTAGTGCTCGGGGGCAAGCAACTGCAGCCGAAGCGTAACCCTAGCCTACGTCGGACCTCACAGCAGCGCATGAAGACTGTCATGTAACCGAGATAAATAGCTCAGTTTACCACTATGGAGATGCACAAGGCGCCCTGAAATTGCATCCCATCTCTATGGCCGAACCTATCCAGAAGAAGCGCCTTTTGCGGATGACGGTGGCGCACTATCGCCAACCCAATGTCAGTGAAGAAGATTTCTATCAATGGGTGACCGAACAGCATGCCAGCCGTGCAGCCAAGTTACATGCCAAAAACGGGATAGAGGGGTTTTCTATCGTAAGTACAGAATTGAAATGGAAACTACGGGAGAATTTCAAAGTAACAGCAGTCTCCCTAGTTCTTTGCCCCCAAGTCCTTTCGTGACTTCACGTCGGAACTCAACAACATGCGCGGCAACCCATGGCGGATTCGAGAATTTGACGCTCAGGTAGAGTTCTTGTTTCGTGACATGGAAACGTTCTATAAGGGGGCGGCAGATGCGGACTTCCAGGCGCTTCAGGCAGAGGAGGGGCCTTTTATCAGCGGAGAGGGCGCAGAAATTAGTATCGGCTGGATTGAGACATACGTCAGTGATGGTAAAGTAGTCAACATCGATGAGGCTGGTAAACCTACTTTTCCACCCTTTACAGAGATGAGCAAGGCGCCATAGACAGAGATACTTGCTATGGTACAGATGGAGATCTAACGAATCAATGTGACCGAACTACTTTACCGAGTGTTCGTACTTGAACTGGTCAAGATACATTAGACTTGGGTCAGTTTCTGAAATTGCACGCGTCAGGGCTTTTTTTTGTAATAGCACACTATCATCATATATATTCGTCTTTTGCAAATCACCATCATATCTCTTGACTATGAAGAGCAAACACCACCCGCCTACCGTATGTAGCAGGCACCCCATCATCAGAGCATAACACGGCCAAGAGCCAATTTCGAAACAATATGCACCAGCTGTAAAGTGGAATCCTCATTGGCTTCAATTGCCTGTAGAGTCACCTTTGCTACGCTAGAAAGTCCACCACGGGCATCTGCGACCCCATTCATACTGCGCTTCTCGGCGGGCGGAGGGCCCGAAGCGACAGACTTTGACGCCAATCCGGTGACAATGCTAGATGTAGGTCTCATAATCTCCCGTATCAGGGAATGCATGTGCATCACGTTTGTCTCCAGAATGCACGCTAACACAACTGATTGGATTGACGAGGTCTTGGGTAGTTCAAATGACCCGACAGCCAGGCTTGGCAGCTGGGTCGGGAAGCAAAAGCTGCTCTCCTCGTGATTCAGAGTGGTAACGCTACCTCTGACGCCCATCTTCAGTCGTACATCTAACCATGCCTTGATATGCTGTAGGATCTTGTCATAGGATTCGAGAAGGCACAGGTAGCTGGAAAGAATAAGCAACTGGGACGGTTGGTCCAAAGTGGGCTGTTCTAACGTCTGGGCGTCGTTGGATGACCTGCATGACTCGAATCCAGCGCAAATACTGGTTAAGAGTGCTGTGTATTGACCTGATAATTTAATTGTGCAATCCACTGGAAGCCGTGCTTCCCCTTCCATGGAGCTCACTGAGCTTCCTGAACTACTGCGCGACCTCTGTCCTGTTTCAACCATGGGTATTGATTGCATGTGCTGGTGAAGCTGCACATTGGTATCCGACAGCATGCGAATCCAGGAGGTCATATTTGATTGATGTGTTTCAGAGGCCGGATCTGAGGGCTCCTCTTCGTCTTGCTGATTGCCCCGCAGCTGTGGACCTGGATCTTGCGCATCATCATCATAATGTGACTGTAGCAGATCGGATGGAGATAATTCGTTACCATAGCCAGAATCTGTACCTGAGCCTTTACCATCAGATCCTTTTGGATTCCCCCCTGCTTCATCAAAGTCCGGCATCATGTCATCTTGAAGTTGCTGGTGTGCATGGTGTGCATTCTGAGGGGACGTGTTTCTTCCCAGCGATACGCGATGCCGGGAATAGGTCGAGGGGAAAGAGGAGTGCACCGTGGTCGGCAATGAGAAGTCGCACATGTCGTTTGACGTATGTTGACTGGGAACGCCATTCCAGCTTGTTTGTACCGCTTGTTCAGTGGTCCTCAAATGAGACGGCGCTTCAGGGTATGACTGTTGATTGGCATGAAGGCTTTCTCCCCGTGGATACCGAGCCGTCAGTGTAGGTTGGATGTCGGTTTGTAACGAAGACGAATCCAATCCAAGGTTCAAGTCGCTTGGCATATCAAGCAAGCTCATCGGCAGATAATTGAAGTGGTCTGAGATCTCGTTGTTTGTATCATCGCCTTCTTCTTGATCTAGTGTGACCTAAGTAAGCCTCGCATCATTTACGGGAAGCAGCTATCGTACATTGCCTACTTACCATGATGTTGTCGTGTACTATCATTATCGGCATGGGGTTGTGACTGCTGCTGAATATTCTTGTTGGATTGAGTCCGAGACCGCAATCTCATTGGCCGTGGGGTACATCGAACGCCAGCCCTAGTACAGCGCACACAAGTGTTGCTATTATTCTCTCGTCGACAACGTAATTTTTGGCCATGGCACCGGTCGCAAGCTCGATGAGAAAATCCTAAGTCGTGAACAAGCATGTTCATTTCACGTTCGGCTAACGATAGGACTCGGGCTCTGCAACTGCAAGTAGTGCACGGGTCTCCTAATCGGAGAAACGTTGAACAGAAAAGGGAACCCAAGAAGCACGAGCTATATACCGAAAATTGTGGGATATCGGGATTTTCGGTGTTTCGCGACATCTCAATTGACAGACTTAACCGTTTTCGAGTCTCACTGCACACTCGTATTTTGCGCTAAGCTTACGACCTTGGCAGGTAATGGACATCGTGGACCGACATGATAGATATTGTTATTGGCCAATAATGGGGATCTGCATCACTAGTCCCTTAGGTAGCATCTGGGGCGCTTCGAACAGGGGGCGGGCCGAGGCAAATCGAAGTGGATCGTCGTCAGGCACCGAGAAGGGCATAGAGCGTAATCATCACCATTGTTCACGTATGCATGTTACTCCATGCACTAACTCGGCTTACACCTTCTCAATTTAGACGACGGCCCAATACATTTAGAGAATGAGGCAAACCGGATTGGTTCCGCCTTGGCATCAAACGGATGGGGCTCTGAAGGATTGCAACACGTCGGCCGGCGACGGTTGTAAGTGGGGTTATCTGCCTGTGTTTGGTAATAACATGCACTGGAGACGCATAAGGTGCATGGCTAGCGCCCTGTCCTGTAAATGTCACCCCATGTGCCCTATATAGGCAATTGCTAGTAGTAATCCCATACAAGCAGATCGGCAGATCACCCAGATCACCCAGATCACCCAATAACCATATATTTTCATGCTAGGATTCACCGTTAGCCGCGAACGTCAATTTATCTAAGACTGCTGATATAGTTTAGACGTCTAAGGTATCTGAAATCCCAGGAAGTTGGCTATCCTTGACTTTTGATCTAATGTATCGCCGTGTTTGGCCTCTTGCAACGATCGACGCATGGTATCGTCTCGGAAAATTCACTGACATTTCTAACTATGTATATCTCACGTACTAACGCGGGGTTCTTCACCCCAAAATGAAACAGTGCTAGACTTGATTGGGTTCGACTAGTAACCGAGCGATATATGTATATGTATTTGGAAACGTGTTAACATAAGCCTGGTCCGTAGGCTATGGCTGATGTAAAATACCGTCTAAATAGCAGTAGTGTGAATGCATTGCAAAGCGTCGCCCTAATGCACGGCCCCCTTCTCAATGTCTAGGCTGTGTACGTGGAACAAGTTCCTCGCTTGTTGAAGTCTTGTTAACATGGCATCCATTTGGCTAGAATGACCCCCCTGCTATGGTTTAACCTTGTTAGGAAAGGCATAACGGTAGTATTGTATCTTATCGAGTAGTGCTTAGTAATACTAAAGGTTTTTACTATAAGTTCTAGCGAGTGCGAGGGGCATGGGTGCTGTAGGCGGGGTCCCTTCCGATCCGCAGCCCTAGACAATAGGTAGATATTTGCCCCCCGGAGGGGACCGGTTGGATTTTGGAATATCGTTACATCAATTATTATGTTACCGCTAAAAGTGCATATCCTAAGAGGTCAGTTAACAAACCTTCTTCGCACAACGGTATGGGCAGCTTTAAGAGTTTAATACATTTTGGCCTGATCTAACATGGTGAAATACAATTACAAGGACTTTCCTAATAGGGTTAGACCATAGCAGGGGCGCCATTCCAGGCAGGTGGTTGTCATTTTAGTAAAACACTTTTTTTAATCCTTCGTGCTGGCACACCATTTGGTTCCCCCACCTGGATTTCGTTTTTCATCGCTAATGCGGGCTACGACCGACCAGTTGTGCTGAACATGACTGCCGACCCGTCAAATATTCTCGAGACGCCGAGCATCAGCGGTAAGGGTTTAGAAATCCCATACTCGACATATGCACCCAGCGGTAACATCAGCTAATACGCCGGATAGATTCTGGTGGAAGTGGATGCGCCGGCGCAGCAAACGTCACTTCGAAGGAAGCGGAGGACTTGGGCGACGATGTCGCTGAATATACCACGACAGTAGCTGTTGACGGCGCTGCCAAGAAAAAGAAAAACAAAAAGAGGAAACCCAAGAAGAAGCAACAGAAAGCCCAGACCGATCCGCCATCGATCCCCATATCGCAGCTATTCCCAAACAACACCTTTCCTAAGGGCGAGGAAGTCGAATACAAGGACGAAAATCGGTACCGAACCACCAACGAGGAGAAACGGTACCTTGACAACCTCAACAGCGAATTTCTCTCTGACTACCGTCAGGCTGCTGAGGCACATCGTCAGGTCCGTCAGTGGGCACAGAGAAGCATCAAGCCAGGTCAAACGCTCCTCGAGATTGCCAACGGCATTGAGAATAGCGCGCGACGTCTGGTTGGCCATGATGGCTTGATCGAAGGCGACTCTTTGATAGCCGGCATGGGATTTCCCACAGGTTTGAATATCGACAACGTCGTCGCCCACTATAGCCCAAATGCCGGTTGTAAGACGGTGCTTACGCCGAAAAATGTACTCAAAGTCGATATTGGCATTCATGTGGGCGGTCGGATTGTAGACAGTGCCTTTACGATGGCGTTCGATCCTATGTATGACAACCTACTCGCAGCCGTCAAGGATGCAACAAATACTGGTGTGCGCGAAGCTGGCATCGACGTTCGGGTGGGAGAACTGGGCGGTTATATTCAGGAGGCGATGGAAAGCTACGAGTGTGAAATCAACGGCAAAACTCACCCGATCAAGGCGATTCGCAACTTGTGCGGCCACACAATCCTTCCATACTCTATTCATGGCACCAAGAGTGTCCCCTTTATCAAGTCAAACGATATGACAAAGATGGAAGAAGGGGACGTTTTTGCTATCGAAACCTTTGGCAGCACCGGTAGCGGCCGATACGTCGAAGGAGGTGAAGTCTCGCATTACGCAATGCGTGGTGATGCGAATAGAAAAGACTTGACTTTGTCATCTGCCAGATCCGTCTTGGGAGCTATTAAGAAGAACTTCAGCACGATTCCTTTCTGTCGACGCTATTTGGACAGGATTGGGCAAGAGAAGTATCTCCTCGGTGTAAGAACTTCAACTATGGCCTTAAGATTGGAGCTCTTGACTAACAGGAACATAGTTGAATCACCTAGTAAAATCCGGGATTGTCGAAGATTATCCCCCTCTGAATGAAAAGAAAGGGACTTATACGGCACAATTTGAACATGTGAGTCATTTTGGTCCTTCTGAAGAATCAATAACTACTAATGGTGAATGATAGACCATCCTACTTCGACCAAACGTCAAAGAGGTCATTAGTCGGGGGGATGACTTTTAAATGTATTCAATATTGGTGCTTTTCATTGATTAGGGCGGATTCAAACAGTTACAGAAATCGGTACCACGGTTCGAGATTCTCAAAAGAAAAAAAAAAGGGAACTGTGTTGTTCTGTTCCTCCATACCGGGCACCTTATAAATTAGGGCCTCCACTTTTCATAGCTTCAAATAATGAATCTGTTTGACTTCTAGATCGGGCTATACCTGCGCACCTGCCGATGTTTCGGGCGGATTGATCTTCGGTTTAGGGATATTCTAATTTTCGGTCATACATACTGCTTACGCCCCGCCTGAACTCTCTGGCCCGCTCTGGCTTCTAGCCGGAGCGACATGTGCCGGATCGGACTCCCATTGTATGTGTATATATGCTTCTATGCATATAAGGATCCACAAATACTGCCGGCTAACGCTGTTATTATCCGCTATTGACCACCAATATCTGGCTACATTGGCAAGCATCAACGTCTAGTTTAATCCTGTCTTTTTACACACACCAAACGCTTTCCACCATGACCGGCACTGCGCAAGAGTTAATCGAAAGGATTGACGCCGTCGATGCTGCCATCTTTGAAGGCCAGGATGCCACGCGACAGCAGCTGGCACTGGCGGCCCGGAAACTGTTTCACAAGCTAGAGACAAAGGAAGAAAAGACAATGCGACTCGCCATAGAGGAACCAATCATGTTCTCTGTGCTTCAAACCCTCATTGATATTGGCATGTTTGAGGCCTGGGCTACTGCCGGTGGGGGCGAAAAAGATGTGAGCGAGTTGGCCAAGATCAGCAAGGAAGATATAGAACCTGAGCTTCTATGTATAGCTTTCCTACCATTATCATAGTGACATTGAATATGTATACTAACCAATTCACCAGGTCACCAACTACGACTGATGGCTGCCAACCACATTATCCAGGAAACGGCGAACGACCGCTATGCGCCTACGCCTTATTCCCTCGCAATCGGAGATAAGAGCACTCAGATTGCCCCAGGTCTTCGCATCAGGTGAGCTTCAGCCTCTGCTGATGGTGTAGCTATCGACCCCAGACGGATTAACGAGCAATGAGTTACTAGAACAGATCATGTCGCACCATGTGCCATGCACTGGCCCAATTTCTTAGCCAAGACCAACTACCGTAAGCCGGTAGACGACGAGGCTAGCTGCTACATCGATACCTTCCCTGAGAAGAAGAGCTTCTTTGAGCGTTGTAGCTCAAACCCCGTACACCAGGAAAGTTTCTCATCCTTTATGGATGTGTGGGCGAAAGGAAAGAGACCTTGGCCGCAGTTCTACGACACACAAGCACTGCTCGATGGCGTCGACCTTAGTGATGGTAGTCCTTTTGTTGTGGATGTTGGCGGACACCACGGCATCGATCTTATGCGCGTTGCTGAGAAACACCCAGATCTTCCCGCTGGATCTCTTGTGCTGGAGGACCTACCAGAGGTTGTCGGTCCTGTCAATCTCACGACGGACAAAATAAGGACTGTGGCACATGATCTGTTTCAGGAGGGCGTTGAGCAGCCCGTTAAAGGTGGGCCAGCTGGTCATCTACCTGTGCAGTGTCCAAGGAGGCTAACCGGAATATAGGAGCTCGAGCGTACTTCATGCATGCCGTACTGCATGACTGGTCGGACGAGACATCTGTCAAGATCCTTAAACAGATCGGCGCCGTCATGAAGCGCGGCTATTCGAAAGTGCTTATTAATGATATTGTGATCCCATCTACGGGTTCCAGTTGCTACCAAGCAGCCATGGACTGCCTTGTATTGCAGGCTTCGGCTAATGAAAGAACAGAGGCCGTGTGGAGCAAGGTGATTCAGGATGCTGGTCTCAAGCTAGTCAAGTATTACCCAGATGGCCGTGGGTACGAGAGCATTATTGAGGCCGAGTTGCCATGAACAAAGCCGTATTGCTTGTATCTAGAAGAAAGATGAGATCAACGATATTCAGCTCTTTCATGTCCCTGTTTGGTGCACCTCTCCATCGGCATAGATGTATTTGTGGAAGTGCAAATAAATTCCCTGCAGCGATGAGAGCGTGGCGCTACACTAACTCGTCATAGTATACTTGTGCAAGCTGGATTGTTCAATAAATTGAATTGGATCTTTTCTATGAAATATGGTGTAAAACCTCCGTGGGTCAAATAGACAATCGACCAGGCAGGACGTTCCTAAACAAAAATTTGATTTCTGCATCCGATGACAAAGGTGACCGCCAAGCAACGGAAAAAGCAAAGACAAAATTTGCATGCCCAAAATATGAGCTGTTCTGTTATATGTATCAAAATCGGTCGTATAAGACCTAGAAGTCTAGATATTTCTTCATAAAATCGAGCTGCCTCTGGAGAACTTCTTCTGCTCCCTCTCCGTTAATTACATCCATATGACCTCTACCAGCCACTAGATCGAACTCCTTTTGTGGCTCGGCGATCATATCAAATACAGCTTTCTGATCGGCGGGCGTCGAGATAGTGTCCTCGGCGGGAGTAACCATCATGGCCGGCGTCCCTTTGATCAGGCGCATTGCGCCATACGGCTGCCATGCCAGCACGTGGTAGTAGCTCTGGACTGTTGTTTGGTTGGTGAAGAACGAGGTGCCAAGAAAGGCTCGAAATTGCTCCATGTTGTATTGGTTACCCCAACCAGCTGGGTTGTAGCCATCGTCACCGACAAAGGGAATGTAGACCGGGTCATTGCCTGCGATAGCAGAAACACGATCCTGCATAGCCAAGGCCATGACGTTGTTCTTTTCCTTTTCTCTAAAGTCGTAGTTGGCAATAGGCGTCACAGATATGACCGCTCCAACACGGTGGTCGAGACCTGCCGCAACAAGTGCCGTCATGGCACTGAAGGAGTAGCCATAGAGGGTGATCTTATCCTCATCGACCATGGGATGACGAGCCATGAAGGTAAGAGCATCATGGAAATCCTCCACAAGCTTGGCGGGTTTGACATCATTGCGTGGTTCGCCGTCACTCGCGCCGATACAACGATTATCATACAGTAATACTGTTACTCCCTGCTGCTGAAACCAGGCCGCAACGTCTGGTAATAAAATCTCTTTTGGGGTGTTGAACTAGAAATATTTAGGGAACTGTTTTTCCAACTAAGGATACATAACCGTACGTACCCCTTGATTCATGACAACAGCTGGCCCACGGATTGTCCCTGGGTAAAGCCATCCACGTAACGTCAACCCATCAAAAGTAGGAAACTCAACATCCTCGCGATTCATTGTGACAGTCCGTACTCTCTGCAGTAGCACGCAACAAAGTCTCTAAAATGTATGCAGAGCTGCCATTCATGTTGTATATATCAACACGAAATGTGCAATAATGTACTGCAATCCGAACATGGGTGTGGTTTCGGTGTGGATATCGGTGATATTTCGGTGCCGATTGCAAGAGCTAATGTGGGCCGAAGAAGCTAAGAACGCCGATGGCTGGATATACGGGGGCTGTGGGGGCCGTATTGGTAACAGGATGTCCTTACACCAGAATCCGTGTAGTTTCTAACCCCACATTCAAGCTGGGATAGTGTCAGATCTAGAGTATCGAGATACTGGAAAGACTGGGATCATCTGAATCATTATTAAACTATAATTCTCCGCTCGAACATCCCAAGTCATTTTCGTCATTTTCCTCCTCATTGCCACAAACGCGAAATGACCGTCCCGAATGGTAATAAACATATCCAGCATGCTCCAGAACCTATCGCCATTGTTTCTGCGGCCTGTCGGTTACCGGGCCATGTAAACAACCCGCACAAGTTATGGGAGCTCCTTCAGTCTGGCGGCACTGCCGTTTCCAATGAGGTGCCGAAATCTCGATTTAGCTCCGAGGGACATTTCGACGGGTCAGGCAGGCCTGGCACCATGAAAGCCCTGAGCGGCATGTTCATAGAGAATATTGATCCGGCCGCCTTTGATGCTTCCTTTTTCAACCTCACCCGAGATGATGCTATTGCCATGGAGCCCCAGCAACGTCAGCTTCTTGAGGTGGTTTACGAGTGCTTCGAGAATGGCGGTATACCAATTGAGGAAGTGAGCGGGAAACAAATAGGTTGCTATGTTGGTAGTCTGAACGGCGGTAAGAGCTCGAGATATCCGGATCCTCAGATAAATCCTCATCATGTCACTTTTGCAAACATAAGTCGGGATCCTGACTGATCTAGATTACCACGACATGCAGATGCGAGATCCCGAGCAAAGGATGCCGGGTCATGCAGTTGGCACTGGTCGCGCCATACTGAGTAATAGGATTAGCCACTTTTTCAACCTAAAAGGATCTAGGTGAGCATTCCAAGGTTCTGTGGGACAAATTGGGCTGCGATTTGACCGTATCTAATAATGACTTTATCCTCATAGTTTTACAATTGATACAGCGTGCTCTAGCGGACTTGTTGGGGTAGATATAGCCTGCAAGAATCTACGGGCCGGAATACTGACCGGCGCGATTGTGGCTGGTGTCAATTTGTGGCTATCGCCAGAGCACACTGAAGAGAGAGGTACCATGCGGGCAGCATACTCAGCTAGTGGCAAGTGTCACACTTTTGATGCCAAGGCTGATGGTTACTGCCGAGCCGAGGCAGTTAATGCTGTGTACCTGAAGCGCCTGTCGGATGCTGTGAGGGACGGCGATCCCATCCGTGCATTGATTCGCGGGACAGCAAGCAATAGTGACGGGTGGACTCCAGGGATTAACAGCCCCAGCTCCGAAGCTCAAGCGGCGATGATTCGCGAAGCATATAAGGATGCTGGGATTGACAAGACCCAATACGCTGAGACGGGATACCTCGAGTGCCATGGCACTGGTACACCGGCCGGAGATCCTCTTGAAGTCAAAGGCGCTGCATCAGTGCTCGCTCACATGCGTCCACAAGAGTACCCCTTAATCATCGGCTCGGTGAAGAGCAATATTGGGCACTCCGAGCCAGGCGCAGGTCTTTCGGGACTCATCAAGGCTATGTTGGTTGTCGAGGAGGGCAAAATCCCCGGTAATCCAACGTTCTTCATCCCAAATCCTGCCATCGACTTCGACGATCTTCGGGTACGTACCTCGCGACTAAGCATCCCGTGGCCCAAAGAGTCGAACCACTATCGACGTGCAAGCGTAAACTCGTTTGGATTCGGAGGCTCCAATGCACATGCCATACTAGACAACGTTGATCATTACCTGGGGAAATATGAGACATCGCCCAAGATACCCAGACCTCACGTTAGCTCTTATATCAATATGTCCGACATGTTGTCCTTGTGTGACGGAATTCTGTCATCCGAAACAGCCGCTCAGCGTCCCCAAGTCCTCGTTTTCTCGGCCAACGAGGTCGATTCATTAAAACGCCAAATAGCGACAATTTCAGCTCATCTTCTCAATCCTCGAGTCAAAGTCAAGCTTTCAGATCTCAGCTATACACTCTCAAACCGGCGATCCCGCCATTTTTACCGTGCCTTCTTGCTCAGTTTTTCAACAAAAGGTGGACATGTCAGACAGATCGCAGTGGACGAGGCTCGAGTTTCCAAGATACCACAAGAGGCAACACGAATCGGCTTCGTATTCACGGGCCAGGGTGCGCAGTGGCCACAGATGGGGATGGAGCTACTCAGAGCGTTCCCACAAACCGCTAAGCCAGTCCTCGAGCAATTGGACAGAGTACTACAGGAATTACCAGTAGGCCTCAGACCAAGCTGGTCGCTGCTAGAGGAGCTGACGGAAGCTCGTTCCTCGGAGCGCCTGAGCAAACCAGAATTTTCCCAGCCTCTCGTCACAGCGCTACAACTGGCACAATTAGCCGTTCTGGAGTCCTGGAACGTGCGACCAGAAGCTGTTATAGGTCACTCCTCCGGTGAAATAGCAGCTGCGTGTAGTGCAGGACTCATAACACCTAGGCAGGCTATTCTCAATGCATATTTCCGAGGACTCGCAGGTAAAAGCGCTCCGGCAACTAGTCTAAAGGGCATGATGGCTGTTGGGCTTAGTTCAGAGGAAGTGCAGCCGTACATTGATGGCGCAAATACGGTCGACGGAGATGTGGTAATTGCCTGCTACAATAGCCCTGCTAGTGTCACTCTCTCTGGATCTGCCACTAAATTATCAGAACTACAAGATAGTATCAAGGCAGCTGGACATTTTGCCCGAATGTTGCGCGTTGAAGTGGCCTACCACTCGCACCATATGACCAAAATAGCGAACCGCTACCAAGAGCTACTCAACGAACATGGAGAGCTTGGGGACGGAGGCAAAGGCAATAAGAGCCCATGTCATATGATCTCAACTGTGACTGAGGATGAGGCAACTAAAGTTGAAGTCGGTAACGTTGAATATTGGAAAGCGAACATGTTGTCGCCCGTCCGATTCGATGGAGCCTTTAGCAAGATGATAGCAAAGAAGGAACTCGCACCCAATTTCCTGATAGAACTTGGACCAAGCAACACGCTTGCAGGGCCAATCACCCAGATTGCTAAAGCAGCCAAGGTCGACCACCTCATGTATGCCGCAATGAACAAGCGTGGCAAAGATGAGCGCTCCCGCGCAATTTTCGAGCTTGCAGGCCACTTGTTCCTTCAGAATTCCGACTTCTCCTTTTACAAAGTGAACTTCGGCGAAAGTATACCGGATGAGATGAAGCCTGCGGTAATTGTCGACCTGCCCAACTATCAGTGGAAGCATTCTACCCAATACTGGCACGAGAGCTTGGCGAGCAAAGACTGGCGGTTCAAGAAATTCCCGGCTCATGACTTGCTTGGTAGCAAAGTCCTCGGCACCCTGTGGCAGAGCCCATCCTGGCACCGGATGCTCCGTCTGTCAGATGCCCCTTGGCTGCGGGACCACCAAATTGGGTCAGAGGTAATTTTTCCAGCTGCAGGCTATATTACCATGGCCATGGAAGCTGTTCGCCAAACCACTTTCTCGACTGTGACAGGTCAAGATCGAGATGTCCTGAAAAAGAGAAACTACCGATACTGCCTTCGGGATATACAATTCCCCAGAGGATTAGTGCTCGAGGATGAGGTTGAAGTCCATATCATGCTATTGCTGCTACCCATGGCAAAGCTGGGGCAGGGATGGTGGGAGTATAAAATCACATCCCTGGCAGAATCGGATTCAACGGCATCGTCGCCATTGCCAATTTTATCCCCTAAGCAATGGACCCTCAATTCCACCGGGTTAGTTCGACTGGAGATGAATCCCGATGCATCATTGTCTCGAGCACCAGAAGACACCTGCATCTTGCCTTTGGACAACCCAACGCCCGGGAAGATGTGGTACAAGTCTCTGAGAGACGTCGGATACTCGTATGGTCCCGATTTCCAGAAACTAGTAGCAGTCGAGAGCAAGGAGGGAAACTCAAGATCTCGCTCTCTTATCTCTTTGGCACCGCCACGATCCAAGTGGGAACCACAGTCCGAGTACTCACTGCACCCGGCTCCTCTAGACAGTGTCTTACAGAGCATGTTCGCGTCGCTTTATTGTGGTAGCCGTAGCAATGTGGACAAGCTACTCGTTCCCAGAGGCATCCGTGACCTGACTGCCTCTGGTCACTCTTGGAAGTCCGGAGAGGCAGTATCTGTGACCAACTCGAATTTGACATCGGGAGATGCGTCTTTGTACGATCCTGCAAGTGGGTCGCTAATCATGCAGCTTAGCGACGTGTCATTCTCCCCCATGTTGGATAGTCGAGAGAGCGTTTACATGTCACACGTTTATACTCAGTTAACGTGGAAGCCAGATTTCCGACTCCTGGATACAAACGAGAAACTCCAACAAGTACTGTTTGGTTACGATGACAACACCGAGGCCCATGTACAGGAGATTCTCGATTTGGCAGCTCATAAAGCGCCAAATTTGAGGGTTATCGAGTTCAACCTCGTGCTGGGAGACGTGGAATCTCTGTGGCTCGCCAAAGATCCGACACCACGCCCAGTCCGCACTGCCCTCACCGAATTCCGTTTTGCTGCCACCAGCGCAGATGCTGTGTTAACGGCGGAAGCGAACTATGCAGAGTGGCCTGCGGCACGTGGTGCCCGCTTCAGTGTGCTTGATCCCTTCAGCAAAGCTTTTACCGTACCCGCAGGGAGTTCCAAATTTGACCTTGTGGTGATCAAGTGGTCTCAACACGAATACTCTGGCGAGCTCGAGACACTCGCGGGCAACCTGCGCAGTCTTACTTCTGAGGGTGCCAGCGTGGTATTCTATGATCCCAGCAAATCCAGTCCGTCAGAAGAAAATCGATCGGTGAACAAGAATAACTCTTTCAGCGCACTGCGACGGTTCGGTCTCACCAAGGTTCGCCAGACAATGGGTGGGGGTTGCATCGTCGCAGAGGTCAGCTCGGAACAGGCTCCCCTACCCAGCAACAATAATAGTGTGTACATTGTGCGTTTCTCATCTTCGCAATCAACTGTTGTCGATCGCACCATTTCGCAACTTCGAGAAGTTGGCTGGAGCTTGACTGAGATTTGCATCAACGATAAATCCGGCCATGGGCTTGCGGAGCTCCCTTACGGAGCAACAGTGCTCGTTCTTGACGAGTTGACTCGGCCGTTGCTCGCCACAGCAACAGAGAATGAATGGACAGCTCTCCAAGCGATAATACAGAGAGAGTGTCACTTGGTTTGGGTGACGCAAGGCTCGCAAATCAAGCCTACTGCGCCCCTCAAAGCCGTAGCCCATGGGACTTTTCGTACTGTCCGCGCCGAAGTACCCATGATTCACATCATGACACTGGACGTCGAGTCCGCCACAACAGAGAGCTCGGGCAGAAACGTGACTGCCATCAGTATTGCTCTAAGAGAGGTAATTTCAGCGAAGGATAGATCTCTTCCTGTTGAGTGCGAGGTTACTGAACGTGGCGGGCTGTTGTATGTCAGTCGCATCTGGCCTGATGCTGGGGTGAATGAACGCAAGGTGGAAGACGATGCGGGAGGCCCACCAGCTATACTAACCAAGTTCCATGACTCAAAGTCTACGATCCGATTGGTCACGAGTAATCCTGGTAGTTTCGAGGCGCTACATTTCGCGGAGCAAGATCCAGATGGGTCCCAAGTTCAAGTGATAGGGCCAGATGAGACTGAGATCGAGATATTTGCATCAGGTTGCAATTCTAGAGATGTCAATATGGCCATGGGACATTTGTCCGAGAACTCGGATAGATTCGGCTGGGAAGGAGCTGGCGTGGTCGTCCGCGTAGGCGACTCCGTCAGCACTCGCCATGTCGGTCAGCGAGTGGCAGTGTTTGGCCGAGGTTGCTTTGCCAACCGAGTGACGGTCTCATGCAAGGCTACCTTTCCCTTGCCTGATGATATTCCATTCGAGGAGGCTGCAGCGTTACCAGTCGCCTTCCTCACCAGCTTATACGCACTTGGTCATCTCGCACATGTACAGAAACATGATCGTGTCTTGGTCCATTCAGCTTTTACCGAAATTGGGATCTGCTGCGTTCGCCTTTGCCAACGTTCAGGGTGTGATGTGTTTGCGACGGTCGGAACCCTAGAGCAGCGCCATTTTCTGGTTCAAGAACTTGGACTGCCGGAAGACCATATCTTCACGTCGGAGCCTACATCATTTCCTCGTGCGCTGCATGATGCAACGAAGGGTCATGGACTCGATATCATTATCAGTCAGCCTACAAATGGCAATCTTGACTATGAGAACGTGCGGCTACTTGCCTCTGGTGGACGTGTTATCAGAATCACGAACGGAGGCGCCGATTTTGGCAATTTGCTGTTTACGGGATCACTCGCTGCCAACTGTTCTTTCCAGAGCTTGGATATAACAGCTTTACCCCAGGGAACTATTGAACTGTAAGTGAATTCTCGGTGAAAGATCGTCTTACCCCTTTATCAAGTGTTGGTACTCATCTTTGCAGTGTCTTCTCGGAGCTGTCTCAGCTCATCGCTGATGGCAATCTACCGGCCCCATCACCGACCACACTTTTGGGCTATGAAATGATACCCGAGGCACTCCGACTTCTTCGAGAAGGTACTCAAATTGGAAAGATCGTTATTTCAGACGGCCATAACACGAAGCTAGCTGTTCCGGTAAGAGTTCAAACATGACTTGAACTCAGTCGATTTCTAACCTTCTAGACCCGACCGGCAAGGACTTTGGCAGAATCCATTCTTAGCCCTGATCATTGTTATCTCTTCGTGGGAGGCTTGAAGGGTATCTGTGGTAATCTTGCCATTCATTTGGCCTCCCACGGGGCCAAGCACATTGCCGTCATGTCCCGCAGCGGTTATGGAGATAAGGTATCCCAGAGCATCGCTGAGAACATTACAACACTAGGGTGTGCTCTTGACTTGATTCAAGGCGATGTCACTTCTATCAACGATGTCCGGCGGGCTTTTAGCGAAGTATCTGTTCCCGTTGGTGGAATCATTCAAGGAGCCGCCGTGCTCAGGGTAGGATATCACCCCAAAGCCATGCTTCGTTATTCGGCCCTTACCAATCTAACAACTCTCAGGATCGGACGTTTGAATCCATGTCTCACACAGACTACCACGCTGCTTTATCAAGCAAAGTGACGGGTACATCCAACCTACATTCTGTTTCTCTTGAAACAAAGCAACCCATCTCATTCTTCACCATGCTATCCTCCATCTCCGGAGTTATAGGCCAGAAGGGCCAGGCCAACTACGCTGGTGGTAATGCATTCGAGGACGCCTTCGCAGAGTATCGCCGCGCATTGGGACTGCCCGCTATTAGCATCAACCTCGGGCCTATAGAAGACGTCGGCATCATCCACGGGAACGAAGATCTCCAGAACAGATTTGACGGTAGCACTCTGCTTGGCATCAATGAGCGTTTGCTACGCCGAATCTTGGACTACTCTCTCCTTCAGCAGCATCCAGACCCACATCACCGTCTCAACCTCACCAGTCAAGGCCAAATGATCACAAGTCTGGTTGTTCCTCAGCTCGAAGACAGCGACCTGCTCGGAGACGTACGCTTCAGGGGCTTGCGAGTCCTCGGAGCGGATGGTCCACGTTCGAGAGGGGACGCTAGCAAAGATAAAGAGACACGGACCTTATTGTTTCTAACACAATCGCAGAATCCCAACCTTGGATCCGTGCGGGCTGCAGCTATCACGGTCGTGGGTGCGCGGTTGGCAAAGCAGCTACGCTTAACTGGTGGGCTAGACTCGGCACGGCCCCTCTCATACTATGGGTTAGACTCACTGGCGGCTGTGGAGCTACGAAACTGGGTGCGTATGACGTTCGGGGTAGAGCTCACCACATTGGATGTAATGAATGCGGCGAGCTTGGGAGAACTGTGTGATAAAGTTGTCGGCAAAATGGGAGTTATCATGTAGTTTGGTCCCCACATTCCAATGTGGCTTGCTCTATGATCTTATCCGCGCTAAGGCCTTGGCGGTGGGCCTACAAAAGAGTTACTCAGTGTGGTCAAGCCGATTTCTAGAATCACTGTAACCTTGCCCTTTGCATCTTAGATTGAACAGTAAACTGAGAAAGGGCAAGTGGTTGTATCGGAACGGCGCTTCTGTGGGCCAGCCAACCCGTTGTCGCGTTTTTCCATTAATAAATCCATCTTTTGAGACTCGGCCTTCCGAGATATCACTGCCACAGCCTGTGACCAAGCCTATAAAGTAACGGAAACTGTCATATTCCGGGAAAGTTTTAGAATAAAGGCTCCCTGAAAGCAGTACAAGCTCTTGAGTTATTTCATAGCCACAGTGCTGGCGTAGATATCTTTCACTAGCAGCGAAAAAGGCTAGGTTGCTGGAAGATTGCATGGGTCTGGGCCCGTTATTCAGAGCCCCATCGCCACCACCCAGCTCGGTCGAGAGGAAATAAAGCTTGGGTAGGACTCAAAGGCACCCATTCTGTAAGCCAGGCACCGCCCTTTGAATACTCATCCAATACCAAAGGGCTGGATATCAGGAACCAAACAAAAATGAATAGGAAATTAACCCCTCTCCGCGGCCAAAAATGACTAAGCAGTGATAGCGTGAGCCTATTGAATACCACTTGAAGAGCGATGCCCACAGGCTGCACCAAGAAAAACAGGAGAACACCCCGTATTGGCTTTGTGTGACCGACCTGTGTATGGCTTGCACATGCGTGTACAACGCCAACCAAGAAAAATGACAGAAACATTCTAACCATCCGACGGCCTATAGGACTCTGACGCAGCCAGGATGGACAATAGTCCAATGCGAAGGTAGAAAAAATTAGAAGGTTGAAGCGATATGATTGATGCCAATAAAAGCTCCAAAAATCGGCTAGTGCATAATCGGAATCTAGCATCAGGCCCGTCGACCCAAAGAAGGGTGCGTATAACCAAGGTTGACGACATGGTATGAGAAAGGTGTAGATTCCAATATCAGGTACTATACACGCGATCACTCGTATGAACAGCCCACCAATTGTAAGTGCCAATGACACCAGATGTTTTATAAACACCCAACAAAGCAACATACGCGCCGCCCATAAGAGTATTGGTTGTTGGCCAATAAAATAGAATGGGGACTTTGGTAGCGGGGCTGATTGTAGAAAGCCCCAAAAATAAGGATCTAGTCGCGTGAGAAACGTCACCAAGTCAAGAATTATATAATCCCAAATTGCCGACATGGTGTGGGATTGCAAGCTCTCGTATGGTGTATTGACAGAGCGGCGAGTCCGACGGTGAGGATGAGGCTTCGAGCATTGCAGTTCCACCGGTAATGGACTCAATAGATCAAGACGCCAGTTCCACGCGGAGCCATGGTGAGACAAAAGCAGACCCAAGATCCATTGAAGGCGATGGAAAGCGGTATGCGGGTACTTCTGCCAGTAAACGGCCTCTCCAGTATCTAGCCGCAGGGTATTGTGACGACTTGCCAATTGCAGACTATGTTCTAAACGACAAAATTCAGCCTCGGGCTGACTGATAATCGTCCGACTTGCAACGCGAAGGATCCATTGTGATGTCAAAAGTCCGAGAAAAAAACCGTTGCCCGCAACCATCGTTCGACCATCACGAGTGATGGTCGCACCAAGATATAGAGTCACTGCAAAGAGTAGTAGACGCAGTTTTCGAGCATTAGGAACCAATGATGCCAGTACAGGTAAACAAATGAGAGCAAGTATAGGAATAAATGGGAATTTCGGTGTGCTATGATCGGCATAGGAAACAAAAACTCTGTCTCTGTGCTGAGATAAGGTGTGTCCGTAAGAGACTGGATCTGCCATACCGTCTGGTACATGTGAAAACATTTTGCGGCTTCCACTGATGGAGGGGACCGAATATTTATTCACTGCAGATGCTAAAAGGGCCTAGTGAGGTGATGCTGAAAATTTTAATTGCGTGGACAATTATTTTGAATTACGACAAAGCTTTCTCGGGGAAAGTAACTCACCACCCAAGCCCCAAGGACGATCATTCGATAGCTCACGGTTCACAGACACCTTGCTGCATATTAATTAGCAACTAGGAAGTAAAAGTGAAAACCAATCAAGCCCTTTGCATCGGCCAGAAGAGTACCAGATTTCACCGCTGTTTATATCTAGATGCTACACAAAGTAGCGGTCAGAAAGCTTGTCCATAAGCGCATTGCTAATTGTTTCTATATCATAAGGGTCAAGTCATATGTCTGTCCCTAATATTTTTATTCAGTGATAAAATCATACTACATTCCAATACTTCTAATTGGAATTTCGATCGATCTGTCGTTTTCCTACTTGTGTACCGGACTTCAAGAGCGGCTAAGAGCCTCAGAACAAGAAATGTTGTCTTTAAATATGGAAAGCTACGAGGTAACCTTGAAACAAGCCGAGCAGCCATTTTGGCATGTCTGGATTTATGTGTGGGCAGTAGTATTGGCCTTAACGTGGCGCATTTGGGTGTACCCAACACATGTTTCTCCATTTCGGCACTTGCCATCTATCAAGGTAGATATATTTTTCTTGACTGTATGAACTGCGTTAAACATTGCCAGTATTCGCTCTGTTCAATGAGCATATGGCTGTCAAGGTCCCAACTTTCGCAGTGGACCCAGGCACTGCCCAATAACGGGCTAATTCATATTTACGACAGCCTTCTTGGTCAGAGTTATGTTGCTCCCTGCAATATTGCAGCAGTTATAGAAATATTTGGAAATAAGAAAGACTATACGAGGCCAGAAGGTCTTCAGAGATTCTTCTCAAGGATCTTAGGGAATGGATTACTTACCACAGAAGGAGAAGTTCACCAAAAACAACGCCGTCTGTTGGGTCCGGCATTCTCCACGCGGAATATTCATCAACTGCATAACATCTTCTGGATGCAGACAACTCATCTACTACGAAAGGTGCAGTTGCAAGTTGAGACGGCTCATTCATCTGTGGAGATCACAGAATTGATTCAGTAGGTTTGCTACGTTGGTTTCATATCACTTTTGTTTATGAGCTAACTAGACGATTTTGCCTAGACGGTTTTCTGTTGACGTTGCTACTCTACTCGCCACTGGTCAGTCGTCGGATGACCTAGCCGGGCCAAATAGGATCGCTGTGGCTGCTGATGAGCTATTCCAGCCAACATTAGCCAGACTCTGCACGGTTTTCATATGGGTTTTCGTACCTTGGCTTCCCGATCTATTGAATTGGCGACAAAATACCAAGATATTCGCTATCCGTAATAGGCTGCGTGTCTATTGCCTTGATTTTATCCAAAGATCGCGACATGAATTACCTAAATCAGCAGACAGTCAGAAGTTTATTCTCTCGACGGTGCTAGCCGACCCAAAGCTCTCAGACGATGAGGTTACGGATCATATGATGACCACGCTTCTTGCAGGTGTAAGTTGACTTTTACTTCACTTTCCATAACCTTACTAACATCTGGTCAGTCCGAAACTCCACATGCCTCGATTGTCCGTTGCTGCGATTTGCTCTGTCGTGATCAAATCCTCCAGGCTAGGCTTCGGTCCGAAATTCGCACACATCTTCCGTCCATTGATCAACAACCAATATCAGCCCAGCAGTTCGCATCGCTTCCCTTGCTTCATGGTGTGATCGAAGAGACCCTACGCCTATACCCGCCAGTTCCAGTCACTCTCCGACAAGCTATCTGTGATACCACCGTGCAGGGGCAGCGTATTCCGAAGGGCACTCAACTAGTGATCGATATACATGGGCTAAATCGAAACTCGGAGATTTGGGGACAGGACAGCAATGCCTTTGTCCCTGAGCGCTGGTTAGACAATGTCTCACAGGAGCACCAGTCTAATAACCATCAAGGTCGACGGCTTCTAACATTTGCCTGGGGTCACCATAGCTGTATCGGAATGGAGTGGGCCCGAACCGAGATGCGATGTGCTATTGCTGGCCTTGTTGGGCGCTTTCAAATGGAGCTCACGAATCCTGATATTGAATTGAGGGAAGCAGGCACTGCCGGTGTGCGAGCAATAAATCGTATCCAGGTAAAGTTCAATCCAGTTGAGGGGTGGTGACAACTACAACAAGCCATTACAAGGTTACTGCCGCTGTGCGTGTCAATTGGCTTTACGTGTTGAATATGGCTCTATATAGAACATAAGTTTTGCGACAGGTGCTGATAAAATGGCGCTCCCATTGCCACATATAGCATAGCATGGTAGATAGGTTATAAAAATTACTGCCTTCTTGAAAAATCCTTATTAACCTACACCTGCACACTACTAGACCTGTCAACGGGTTGAGGCAAGTCGGCTTTAGTAACACAGTAGACCATGAAATGGCGAGTCGCAGGTCGAGCGTGGCCTTTTCCTTGCACAGGTTTTCCATCCCGTAGAGGTGCCTAGGGTTAGTGGTAGTGAACGATAATCCTAATTTCACGTAGTTTGGCTATCATGCCATAATTCATCATATGCTTGGGTAATAGGAGCTAGATCTACATCATTAATATAATTTTTGTTGCTGTTAGTAGTGCATCGATATGCGGCAGCAATGTAAGGATGTTGCATGCATAGGTGAATTATGTTGGTTGCGGTGAGGGGCAGATCGCGGTGTAGCAATAATGTAAGGATGCTGTATGCATAGGCTTACTATGTGTGTACAAGGCTGCCTTATAACTATCGAATCTTAATGCACATAGTTTAATTGGTCTCGTTATCCAGAAAAATGCGCTTTATAAAACTGTTCCAACGCGGTGTCCAACTTTCCACAAAGAGAATGGCAGACACTCTCTCTTACTATGACGTTCTGCGCTGGCGTGAAGATCAGATTGCCAAGTTCTACATTGATAATCGAGACCAGTCATTCCCAACGATCACTGTGCTGGCTTTTATCTGTCTGCCAGTAATTGGGCTCATGGTCTCTGGTTCCCGCACGCTACGCCTAGCCATATTCGCGATTATTGCGTATCTAGGCGTCCATCTGATTTGCAACCTACGCCTAATCTATTACAATGGCCATTATATTGGCATTATCGCTTATACCTGGATCCTGCACGTGGCTGTTCTTTTGTTGCTTAGCAGCCCTGAAAGGGATTTTCAAAGACTGGAGTATACTCGACGGCCAGTTGATTCTCGCAAGGCCCTTCGACTGCACAATGGACATTATATTCACTGGCAGCGATATCCAGACGCTCCACTTCATCGCCTGAACTGGGTTCTGAGTCTTCTACTTTCTATGCGAGGCTCCGAATGGAACTGGCGTATTGATTCTCTGCGTGATTTGCCAGCACCGCTCCAACTCTCCGTGCTTCACCCTTCTCGCCATCGAGCACACACGCTTTATACTATTAGTGACAATACCTTTCTATTACTGCTGGTGGATGTACTCAAAAGACTTGAGATAATTGGTATCATGCTCTTTTTCGCGGGACAAGACCCCTATTTTTGGGGGATTTTGCACACTCAGCCGCTTCCCAACTCGCCTATGTACATGCTCCGCCAATGGCCTCAGCTCATACGCATGTATCGTATGCTACTATGCTACGCCGGCTTACTACAATTTGTGAATCTGCTAGGTACTTCGAAGCAGCTACTGAAGCTAGGAGTAGCTTCGGCAGGCCTTTCACCTGTTCCATACGACCAGTCCTGGCTCAACACACCATTATTCGGGAACATAAGTGCGGCGCTAGATTACGGGCTTGCAGGGTTCTGGGGAAGCTATTGGCATCAGCTCTATCGCTTTGATTGCTTGACTTGCTCAGCTGCGGTGCTGTCTTTCTGTCCCAGCTGGGTTCGGCAGCATTCAATGGCTCGTCGGGTAATCAGAATGCTAGTCACATTTTTCCTTGTGGGCTTAGCACATTCTTGTGCATGCTATACGGCTGTAGGCCCGTCACGACCCATAAGGGGTGTCTTGGTGTTCTTTATGGTGCAGGCCTTGGGTATTGTTCTTCAGATGATATTTCTCGCCGTGATGCCGCCAAGACTGCGCCACCCCGAGATTGGGCGGGTGGCAAATTTCGTTTATGTTTTTCTCTGGTTTTTTGCGTGCGCGCCTCTCGTATTGGATGAATACGCTTCTGCTGGTATCTTCCTTTGCGATGTCGATGCGGCGCCGCCTCCTTTCAATTTACTTGGCATACCTTTTTCCACTAAAGGCTATGTATGATGCTGTCTGGATGTGTGGCAACATCCAGGGTCTTCATTGCAAACGATTGATCGAAGAAACAAGAATACATCATAGGTGTTCAATGTCGGAGAAGAATCAAGCAAGCGGACCGACTAGGGGTTTTTAAGTGCGTAAACAAGCAGATTAGCTTATATTTTCTTATTTGACGTTGAACTGTGTATTTACCCGTTGTGGTTGCAAGCCCGACAAAAAAGAAAATATCTTGATCAAGTCAGAGCTTACTTGGTCGCATCAAGTGCATAATAGGAAAATTATTTGGCCTACGATTCCTGTACAACTTAGGAAGGCCTGCCCCATCCCATGGAAAGGAGAGCTAGGTCAGCAACGAGAGCCACATACGGAGCGAGGCCCGACGATGAAAAAACGCACTGTATTTATTGGAAGGCTCGCAGGATGGTAACTGGCTTTTGCCACTTTCATTGATTGATACCCGAAATACATGAGAACTTTTTAAGGCGGCAACACTACACAGCCATATGGAAGAGAAGACAACATATTTATGCTCAAATGTCCTTCTCAGATTTCACTCTTACTTGGATGGAGTTGTGACCATGAACTGTCTGTCCGTTGAAGCAGTCTCGCACCACTGTCACATTAGACTCATCCGTGTTGTGCAGTGCCCAATCAAATCGGCGTAAAAAAATGGCTAGCCCAATATAGAGCCAGCAATAAGCCATGCTATACCTTGTTAGCAAAACCTTTTTGTTAGCCAATTAAGTAATGTAGCAGCTTACTTTGGACCTAGACATCCTTGACTCCCCTTCGAAAACGGGACTAGATAGCGGTTCATATCCACTGTGGAGGATAACCATCGGTCCGGGTGAAAAACCAACGGATCAGGGTAAATTTCGGCATCCCGAAGGATGAAATGGTTGGACATACTAATAGAAGTCTAGCACTTGCAGTCAGTGGATGGTCCATTATTTAATGACTGCGAAAAAGCGCACCCCTGCAGGAATCTTCCAACCATGGCAGACTAGGTCCTCATCCGGGGCAATTCGGGGCAGGCGTGAGGTTACTACAGCAGACAGTCGTAGGCCTTCTTTGATTACAGCGGTCTGTTGCTGTTAGCTTAGCTCCTCACATACTTCGTTCAACTAACAAGATACGGTAATCGCTCTAGCTCCACCCACGTGGGATTTGCACCTGCATCCGGAAGAGCTGTTTGCAGTTCTTCTTTGAGCCGGTTGTAGACATGCGAATTACGCAGAATATGATACATTGTAAGGGCCATCACCTGCGACGGTGCATCAGTGCCAGCTACTAGCAGGAACTTGGCCTCGTCAGACAACCGGGCTAGCGTGCGCTCGCCAGGAGGTAACTTCTCATTGTGCATGAGATGTGCAATAATAGAGCTTTTGTTATCCGCGGATCCGCTATAGACTCGTCGTATTTGACGTTCGATGTCCTGAAGATTGATATCATTTCAGCACGATATGTCGTCACTCGCGCTCGAGCCTAAGGCGAATAAGGGACTCACGTTTTCAATTGCATTGATATAAGGGAATATTGGGCAAAGCAAGGTAGATACAGATACCGGGAAGGCTCTGGATATGGTATACAGCCAAGGAAAGTGGCGTGTGATTAACAGCATTTCGAAAATGCTATTAATGCCTTTCTTCCATTTGTCGCTTAACACTGGCTCCTGTAGTGTGTTGAATTGATATCCCGTACCAAATGCATACTGCGAGATGGTATCGACGGCAAAGTTAAGGAAGCACGTATGGAGTTCTAGTGCAATACCTGTCTGCTGCGCTCGTAGAGCATGCGTACACAGTAGATGCATGTTGGCATGTATGAGCGGCTCGCATGTGCGAATTGCTTGTTTGGAAAAGAAGGTACTCAATCCGCCACGCCTCGCACGGTGCTTACTAGCTTCGCTTGCTGCAAATGACGTGCCTGGTGCAACAGAGGACAGAAACCAGGGGTCTTTGTGGCGGCGCCGGGTCGGTCCTGCGTACAGTGTGTCATAAAAATCGGCGGAGCTGACGTGGACCTCATTAGGGCCAATACGCACGACCGGCCCATATAGCTTATGTAGCCTCTGAAGCTTGTACATGAATTGGCCCCCACGGTAGACGTCGAAGTAGGTCTCATACCATCGTGTGACCGCCGCCAGTCGAGGACCAGGAATTCCTGCCAGGGGGCTAAAGGCGAGATTGTAGATAGCTTCGCAGAGCAGCAGAAATACCACAGTGCCTATGAGACACAGGACAGCAATTGTGAGTCCCATGGTGGGAGGTAGGTTGATATACAATGCTTTGGGTCTTGGAATCATGCTATAAATACTATACCTGGCACAGTAGAGCCCAATACGCCAAGAAAGAGCGGTATGGGGAGATAAGCTATCCGATATATGCTGAATTCTTCAGTACGGCAATTGAAACATGATCCACATGTACTGCAGCCAAATGGTATGTCGATGCTTCAAGTCCTCTTGTCGGACTTCTGTTCACTACAAGTCTATATACTTCCTTACATAAGATACTCGATATATTCCGGTATTTCAGTAGTCAAATTAAGGGGGGTCATTCATAGGAGAAGAGCTTCTCACTTCCGTGAAGCGGTATTGACCTGCGAAACGGAGCAAATATACTGTAGCTGCCCAGTAAGCCACACTGCCCCTATTACTAGTAGCATTTTAAAGGAAGTAGTCAAGTTGGTCTAAGTAAGGATTTTGAATTTTTTGCTTTCTTCCATTTTCATTTCGCAGGCAGAAACTCTCCTAATCGTGGGGCATTTGTAACTATAGAATTACTAGTGGGGTAGGTCTCAGATCAAGGGTCTTCGGCTAAATCAGACCAAAATCTTCATTTGGGACCCCAGCTTCTTTAGTAAAATGTTCAACCTGCTGTTATGTTGTACTGATGCAAGTTTTCGTTTTCACTGCTATTTGTTGATGTCAGGGACAGGTACTTATAAACAGATATTTTACCCAAACCCATGTACTATTTGCTATAAACATTGGCGTAGAAGCAAATTAACAAGTAAGTCAATGGGAAAAGATAGACCAACCCTCCCAAAAGAGGGACTAGAGAGTGCACTTCGTTCTCAAGACAAGGTACCTGTATAGTCCCTTTACTATCCAGAAGCAGTCCCTTTGTCGAGGGTGCCGGTGCATCATATTGGATAAAAAGATAACTAATTGCTATAAGCCAACCTAAGATAAACTGAACAATCTCCAAAATTGTCATCCATCTTTTAGCTGCCAGTGGTACGCATATCCGGAGAGCGCGCAGCACGTAGTACGAATACTGAGAGTTAAGTCAATGCTGTACAATGAGATCTTTTAGTATTCCTTATACTGACCATTAAGCTATGTAGAAATGAGTTCAAAATGAGACCAATCACCGCGTGAGGTGATGCCAGCTGCCACATTAGACATGCACAGACTATCACTCCAGCGTGATGAAAAATGTGTAGGTTGGTGAGACGTCGGCCAGCGGCAAATATAATGGCTGAGTCCAGCAGCTCGTAGTATTTGGATAAACAGAAGATCTCTGCTAAGCCACCAAATTCGGACCAGAGCCCATCCTGTCGTCCCTCGGTGGTCCACAGAGGCGCTTGAACTCGGCACAGGTAATCCGCCATTCGCGCTCCATACTCTGGGTTGACATAGTCGGGCAGCCCTCGGTAGATAATTTGCACAGCCTTGGCAAACACCACAGTGGAAAAGATTGCTAAAACAGCGTTGTGCAGAAGCGCCAGTCGCTGGAATAGCCTGCTCTCTGTCCAGGAACAACGATGATATCCCCGTTTTTGGTTGAGGTGGTTCCCTCCAATAACAAAAATGAAATAAATTGCCATCACTGTGACTGACATCTGCACACCGAGCACTTGGCGGTAGAAGCTGGCATAGGTGTCTGGTAGCCAAGCTGGAAACTGGGCGGTAGTTGCATTCCAGTTGGCATCCATTAAGTTTGAGAGGAAGTTATATTCGACCACATTCCGTAGCGATCCTAGGCTAGGCGCGGCCAGATAGACGGACGAAGAATGGGATTGGGGCATTATATGACACCGAACTTGGTAGGCTATTGAGAAGGTATCCATGCCAACTACTACTTACTATATAGGCTGTTGTTGATTTAAAATCTTAATTATTCAGAGCTGGCGGTGTACTTGAAATGGCGGTAAATGGGTTCCCCCGTTGCCCCCTTGCTTGGACGCAGTTTGGTTGTAATCAATAGGTCACGCATTGCAGCTGCCTTAGCCTTGTGTAATATTAGAACTGCAATTATGCTCTGCAAAAAAGTCCTGACGCTATGAAAAATGATTTGTTTCTGGAAAGCAGCTTGCCACTACCCAGGCATACTGTATCCATGGACAACCCCTAACCGACGTTTTTGCCATCCATTGTGCTGTTCAATTATATGTATATGACAAATGGTTGACAGAAATAGATTATCATCCAATGAGCCAAGTAGAAACTGTATCTGTATCCTCATCCGTCTTCCTGATATCGCCTCTTAGAGCCCTATGGTGGTTACTGAGTTACCGCTACCCCTTGCATTGTACGAACCAAGGATCGGCCGGCTCGGCTGGCTTTGACAATCCCCGAGCCATTTGTCTTTTGTCTGGTTGAAGAATTCTCTGATTTTGTTTTTCTCTGGCAAGTATTAAAGGGAAGAGTAGATGCCACCTGACCTAAAGTATTCTATACACTTGCAAAGCACAGTGGTCCATTTATTACGACTAAAAATACTAATGAAATCCCTTTATTCCCTCCACGCCTTCCTTCTTGCCACTATGACGGCCTTGACAGTTGATGAACGCCAATTCGAAATATTGATTGATCGTCAGGTAAGAATTACCGCGAATTCGGAGGGCAAGGAAATAACCAATGACTATCGATAGGAAGTTCGTGACGGTCCCCTTTGGCGAAGAGCAATAACTATGTAGCAGGGCCTGACGGACAGAAATCGATAGGGTGTAGGTGACTTCTTGCCTCTATAGGGAGGACTAATTATATGTCGAGGACTAATTGGTGGCAATTGACAGTTTGTAAGTGATGGTTCCTCTCGCTAAAGAAAAATGCTCTATGGCCAGAACTGACATGTGATAATTCAAAGTCTGTAAGTGACGAACCCCTTTGCTGAAGACGAGAAATATATGGCAGAGACTGATACAAGTCTATCAATAGGAAGTAAGTGATGGTTCCATTTGCTTAACAACATAAAGTATGCTTCTAGGGCTAAGGGACAGAAATCGACAGGGTGTAAGTGAATTGACTTTTCCTCTCGACAAAGCGTAGTAACCATATGGCCGCGGTTGACGGATGTTGATCGATAGGATGTAAGTGATATTCCCCTTACGGAAGCAAAGTATTATATGGCCAGATCTGACGGGTGGTAATGGTAGCCTGTAAGTGGTGATCCTCCTTGCTGAAGAACAATAACTGTGGCTTGAACTGATTAACGGCGATTGAAAGCTTGTAAGTGATATACCACCCTCGCTAAAGCACAATCATTATATAGCCCAAGGCTTACTGATAATAATTGACAGGGCGTAAGTGACTTTACATTTTAGTGTAAAGAATAACTACATGGCCAGATCTGATGAATGGTGACCGGCAGGAAGTAAGTGACGGTTTCTTCTATGAATAACAACACCCACAGGCGTATTTATAAGGCTGACAGATGGCGATCGGTAGAGAGTACGTGACAATCTACCTCGCTGGAAAAACGATAACTATATAATCAAGACTGATGGAGGACAATCGATAGCTTGTAGGTGATGTTTTCTCTTGCTAGAAAAGAGCAACCCCACGGCTAGGACTGATCAATGATGATCTATAGAGAGTAAGTAATGATTTCCGTCACTACAGAATAGTAAGTACATGGCCAGGACTGACATATGGCGGTTGATAGTTTGTTAGTAATGATAAAGAACCAAAACGTGGCCAGCATTGACGGATAGCGATCGACAGCTTGTAAGTGGCTTTTTGCGATGAGCAATAACCCTATGGCGAGGGCTAATAGATGGAAATTGTCAGGCTGTAAGTGATACTCCCTCGCACTGGCTGATAGTAACCATATGACTAAGATTTGTCAATGGTGTTCATTAGAGAGTAAGTGAAGGACCACTCGTGGAAGGACAAACAAATTTTTGGCCAGTACTGATATTTGGTGGCCGATAGATTTTAAATAATTTTTTTCCCTGGCCGAAGAACAACAACTGGATGGCCACGACTGATGGATGATTGTCGACAGGTAAGCGATGGTGAAGAAAACGTAATGGATTTTGGAGCTTACAATTCACCGGTAAACGCGAAGCACCCATGGATGCTTCTAGCTTAATTACTACGACCATCTCAGCTCCCATCACGTTCAAACCGGGAGAATCTTGATTGGTCCAGCCTTGATGTGGGTTTTCACCTATAGTATTAGGTTTCCCTACATTTATCTGCAAATGCAAAGGCGTATTGTCGATGGATTGTTGAAAATAAGATGTTTGGAACACCACTACTGTCTAGTACACCTGAAAGCAAATATAAAAGGGCGTGCCGACATAAAGTATTCTAACTCTCAGTTTGCTCTACCTATACCACATCCAGATTTTATCTAATTGTTGGGAGGTGCGCTTTAACTTGGGGCTATTGACATTTACTTTCGTTCCTTGAGAACGATACATAGACACAAGCCGATATTGTAGAGCTGTTAGCGCGTCAGACACATCTTGGGCGGAGCACAAGACCGAAAAAATACAAACAAAGTTGATCTAGCTGAGTATTACCTATATTGCTGCCTGCCTGATGGTTGCGATCTGTGCATAGGAGGTTCTCCCTAGGCCCTCACTTTCCGCCTGGTCTAAAAGCATGTCGCGCTAGTTTGCCCCTCAGTTTCTGCCCTACTCTTGAAGTTTGTAGCGGGAATACCACTGCTGTATTTATTACCATGAGCCTTTCGACCACTTTTACTCTTAACGTCATATATAATGATGGGCAATGTCTGATATGGTCTAACGATAATTATGGCTGCACGGGTTACTCTGCGTCTTTTGGCCTTCTTGATGGAGTTGATTGTTCAAGTAGGCACCCTCTGTTAAAACTTAACCGCTATTAGCAATTTGCTAGAGCTTAGTGAGGTCGTCAATGGCAACTGCCATGAACTGAATGTGCTTAAGGTCGATGTATGGGGTACAGAAAACGGTTCGCCTGCTGCCTGGATTCAGGCGAACCACACGGGACTAGCCACTTTTCCAATAAAAATGGGAATCATGCGTCCTATCTACTAAATGATGGATTAAAGGCTGGTAGCTGGTGCATTGCAACAGAAAAAATTGGACAAAATGAACTTCCCCTCCTACTCATCTACGAGTAAACTACCTACCGGCACTCTATAAACGAGCGCTCCCCATATACCAGCTCTCCGTCTATCAGTACTCCATCTACCAGCATGCTATATACCACTGCTTCGGAAATCACGGTCATTAGTACTTTTTGGCTACAGCATAACTATTCTTCACTAAAGCCTTTGTGGGAACGTCCTTCGAAGAATAACATCAGAGGGGTGAATTATTTGCATTATGGCGGCTATGAAAAGAAGGTTGAGGATCCAACGGAGGTCACAATCGCAGCGGCGATCACTTAGCCGTAATGTTCAGCTTGATGGCTTTCCTGCGAGAACTTTCTTGTCTCCGCCATTGCCCTCTCCCTTCTCCAATCGATGAAATATTTATTAATATGCCTTTTTGGACCGAAAAAGTTCCCACTAAGACTAAACGAACTAGCTAAATTGTATGATGACCAGCAAATTGTGCATAATTCCGCATCTTCGTGGTTGCGAAACTACAGAAAACATGCTTTTAAACCAAGTAATTGCTACTGTATATGGGATAAGCTCAAGCATTTTAACAGAGACCTATCTTCTGCCATAATAAAACCATAGTCAGACGGAAATCTAAAAGGGCTAGTGGAGTATCGGGTACATGCCGCGGAGACTGTATTGCATTTTACAGATAGTTACCAGGATGGTGGCATTCATCCGTATCGTTAATACCCTGGACACTTCAACTTCAAAGCCCCTCCTCTAAGAGCCATTTACGTAGCCATTCTCGACGCGGGGTCATAGAGTAAGCGACCTAAGAGAAATTTTCGCACAGCTACATGCCTTTTTTTTGACATTTCGTACCGTTTTCATATTGACCATTTCGGGTCTCGTTTTTCCCACTATCGATCCTTCCAAGTCAGCAATTGAAACTAACTGCAATGAACAGTACTACTAGTGTATTAGATTTACCGACTGAGCTTCATTTATATATCATCAAGTACTTGACTATCTTTTATCTGTTGCACTCTTACACCCCAACCGAATCTTCAGATCCATTTTTCCTATAGAGCCACCTACGGTAGCGGAATAGAAACTATCGTTTCTACTTGCTATGGAGCTGTGGCCAAAGCAAGTGCTTCCTAGCAGAACAAAATCCTGCTACGCCGACCAACCAATCTTCCAGTTACTAATAGTTTCAGATATAACCAGCTCTTTTCCTACGGCATTTGCATGAAACTTCGACCCAGAAATGCATTTGCCAACAAGCAACTGCGAGCCAGGCGCGGGAAAGGCCACATCGAGAACGACCGTGGATTTTGCCTCGATTGCAGCTGCTGCAACAGGATGTATCAATCAGGCCAATCCCTCAAGCTGGGTGGGCCGCAGGAGGTCCTCTGCGCCATATGTTGAGAGAAGTTTCGATATGGGCGATACTGCACGTATTGTTGCATGTGCGAGCCTTGTGTATTAAAGCAACCCCAGCTGCCTATACCCTTCCCATCCCCACCGAGGGAACTTGAGGAGCTTCGCTGTCTCTGGTGCTGGCACAAGGGCCTTATCAAGGATTTGGAAAGCCGCCACGCAAATTTAAGCTCGAAGAAATGCCAATGGTGATAATGAAGTCGAATGACCGACCTCGCCTAGCAATAATATTAGCTGTTACTACTGATTTCTTATGTGATTTTATGAATTTAGTTCTTCAATTTACTATTTGTCAGCTTCTGAATCTTGTACACTTCTTGTACATGACTTGGACGGATGAAGAGTATATAGATGTATGAGAGATATTCTATAACCATTTCTTATCATCTTTGGACCAAGAGCCCTAGGAATCTGATCGAAATCGGATCTTACTCTGGTGTGCAATTTTCAAAAGCGACTCATGACTCCAAAATATGAGGGAAAAGCACGATGCACAGCCAGTGCTTGTTGGGTCTCAATTCTATGAGCTTACTGAACAGAACTATGTCATTCCTTATACTTGCGATACTCTCCGAATTCCGGCAGGGTCCTGGACGTTGTTCAGGGAATGTCTTCACGATCACACGGTCCTGCCGAATGCCGACATTGTTCTTACCATTGGGGTCACATTAAATGTACAACATCATACTCAGTCAGCTCACTCTCTCGTCTATCTTGCTCTCGAACCATAAACAAGAGGAGGTTTTTGAGTTCCGAGATGGGAAGCCTGTATTTCAATACTGTAGTGGGGGAATTTCTGACTGCATGATGCTACGTGAAGTAGCGGTGTATCAGGACTGTGTGATTTATAAGACTTCCCTGTTCGCAAGATAGCAATTCAGACACACTTCTCTTCTTCTACCACCTCTACGTGCTCTCCTCTCTTACATCTCCTACTACCCCTCGTGGCCAGGAGCTGGTTCGCAGACAGGGGAATGGTCGGGTTTCCCTTACGGGCTCCCCTCTTCAATACTCATTTTATGAAACATTCCACATCCACGATCTCGTCTCCAGTGATATCTCGAGCGAGGAGTATGGATGGGCTTAGACCCTTAAGCTCTCTGAAAAGGACAAGGTTTCGCCAGTCGTTTACCGTACTCAACATTTCAATGATTCTGCATATGAAGAGATCTAGCGGGGCTTGATAGTTGCAGCGGAAAATAGGGAATAGAAGAGTACCACAATACCACAATATTCACTACTATTTACGGCGCAAGACCTCTATTACCGCGAATAGTTTGCAGACAAATATACTGTATGACAAGGAGTTTTGTCCCGTAACCCTGACCAAACAGCATGTACACGTGAAATCAAAGGCCACTTCATGACTCCCGTAGGTTCGAGAGTAGCGGGTTTATATTTGGAAGCTTGTTGCTATGCTCGGTCTAGCACGGGAGGCTCCTTGCTTGCGAACCCCTGGCTGGAGCACTGTTGACTGCCGAATGATAATCCTTTTTTTGGGTACGACGTTACGATTGACAGCTGGCTTGTCTCTTTTTTTGATAGGGGTTGATTGCCGCAACGAAACAATGGGCGGCGTCTTCGGATGATTCTTGGATATTGGGCTTCATAGAGCTTACAATCCTCACACAATAGGGATCGAGCTATTCTGAAGATGCTCCCGAGTGGGTATAGAGAGATTTGGCTGAGAGGCCAAATATCTCACTACTAGAAATGTTGCCACTGTGGTAAATTTAGCGATATTCGTTTGCTCATACACTGCAAAGGAAGTTGGGGCGCACTTAATACCTACAAGATGCTATCTTGCTTTTTTCTTCGTTTTAATCCTACAGCGGAAATTCTTTGCTCTATACATCGATGTTAACAAAGTGAAGGGCGGTTTATTGGACGTGGGATTCCGATAGAGAACAATCACCTAGTCTCCTGGGAACAATTTTCGATGGTCGTAGGCATGGAGACGCGTGTGAATGATACTACCCTTACATAAAACAAGACTTAAGTCTGCATAAGTGGAGGTTTCTGGGAATGTATATAAGACACGAGGCCCCCGAGAAGAATTGTTTAAGCTCTTAGGCATCAGCCTACATCTTGTCAGGGATATACATGAAGCATAAATGAGAAATGATATGCGGGACCCACATAGAGTATCTGGGTTCGGCTGAATGTGAGGAAGTCGCCTTTCTTTGCTTCCTCGCTCTACGTCTTGTATATAGAGTCAACTAAAGTTGTTTGTTTTCCTATTAAATCTTTTTGGCTGTTGGCTAGAAAATTTGGCTAGCTCATGGATTGCTCGCAAGGTTTACGGAATAAACGAAAGAAGTCTCAGCGTTCCCCACCACGTATGAAATGGAAAAGGAAACTAGCGCGAAGGCATAGCCATACTGTAGTGTATGTGCAGTTGTGATGGCTGCTAATGTAGTCTCCAGTGAAGCATGGTTGACAAAATCGATTTTAGTCCACACAACAATCTCACCAGAGTGGAGTTAGTGAGGGTTTGTAAGCGCAACCCTGGCCATCCGCACGCGTCTCCCAACTTTTCTATACTGAGAACTCGAACATTACTACAGCTTTGGAAGTGTTATCTTTGCCTCTCTCATCATTTAGTCGTAAGGCTTTTTAACGGAAGCCCACAGAACTGGTGTGGGGGCATAGAATCGAGACTAGAATGCATCCATACATGTACCACAGCAGACCGCAAGTGCGACTACTGTAGCACACAGTCCGATAGGAGTGGCATCTGTGTGGGTTAAGAGCAGTTTCGAGGTCAGTATCAAGCGTGTGGTATGAACAAACATTCATGCTCACTCTTGTCATGTGAATGCAGTAAGGCCGAGGCAATATGAAAATGTTTAATAAACAGTCAGATTCATCAGCTAGGGTCATGGTAGCTCGTGTGCACCTGCGTTGTGCTGGGTTTACAGCCTGTCCGGCATCAAATATATATCCCCACGAGACATCGTGCCCGATCGTTAATAACTCTCTACAATCAAGTATACCTGATTCGCAAAGACCCTGTAATCATCGCATTTGATGTCAGCTTGATCGTGGCAGAGGCCAAGTACTTGGAAAACTTTGGTGTTTCGACCCTTAACTCCTAGTTTGAGCCTGGGATCGGCTTACCCTACCTTTTCGCCAACAAAATGTCACACCAACGGTGGAACCCACCACTACCAGAGCCGATCATAGAGTTGACCTAAACCCTTAACCGAGAAAGCGTCATATTTGGGTTGCAGCCAAAGACTCGGTGACAGGATATTACTCGGAGCGGTTTTCTCTCATAATCGGCCAGCATGCCGTCGGTACCGGATTAGAACCTCGGTCTACGCTTCATATTTGAAAAATTTTTTTTTTTTTTTTCGGATAATTAATACTCCAACAACTTGAAAATATGATGACATGCTCGCACTTGGAAAAATAATGTCATGCAGCCGTGACCGAAACTCGCCGGAACCCGAGAATATTCGGGATCAGCTAGTTGTTGGTAAGCTGCTCTCTTCGGGTAGAGCTATCTCGGCATAGCCGCAAGTAATTAATGTATCGATCACCGTCAATCGAGAATTTCTAATACTTTCAGAATTTCGAAAGGAGAGTGAGTAAATGTGGCCCGACACACATTCTTCAGTCCCTAGCAGGACCTATCCCGTTTTACTGATGAGACACAATGTTCATGACACGAATTCAGGGGCTTCCAAACAGATAATAACGTAGAGTGGTTGGGAAATTTTAAGACGTACACTGGGTACATCACGACCCATCTGCGCCGGTATCATCCCAGCCTCCGTTTCGCAAAGAATATTGCCTTCAGTTATTTTCAGATCGGCCCGGGTCCTTGGGCTCGTCTTCGGTCCAACCTCCGTCGGAATGGTGAGCTGTCACGCGAGATTTCATCTGATCTGCGAATAGGCGTTCTTGCAAACCCAACGCGACGCACGGTGAATTCCACATAACCAGAGTCATAGCGAAAAAGACGTTTGATTAGACGCTGGGAGCCTCGGACCGAAGTTTGTTGAAGCGAGTGATCCGAAAGGATCGCATGCTTCTGCAGTATAATAAGAGAATAACTGAGCTAAAATAACCTGTCTCCTGAAAGAGGTTAGTGTATTGTGGGGGAGGAGCCGTGAAGGATCCAACACGGAGAAACCTCCGCGCGCCCAATGGCTCCATTCGCGCTTTCACTTTTCGCCTGTGAGACAAATGATCCAAGTGAGTTCCTGGAGAAACCTTGCAAATGGTTCGCTTTGACCGGGAGGCGCCATGTAATATACTGGATGGCGAGAACAGATATTATGTGTTTTGAAGCTAGGGGGCAAAACCCCAAAATGCCACATGGCCACTCAGCTAAGTAGAGGCGGCGGGCGTGTCGAGTAAATTAAGCACATTACTCTTGTCCTTGTGATTGTCTACCAGGTAATATTCTTGCATTCAGTTATTCCACCATTCAATGTCTATTCGGGCTTAAATTCTAGACTTGCCAGGTTCATGCAGCCGTGGAATTGTCTGCGATGAGGCTAGCCAATTATTAGATTAGAAAGGGGGAAGCCAGCCCCAACTGCTGGACTGATTTTTCTTTCGCCTCCTGACGGGATGTAGGGCCGGTCATCCAGGAATCGGTCCCTGAATTTGTTTGAATATCAAAATGAAATACAGTAATGACTTTAAAATCGAGTGGTATGATTGGGGAATGTGTCCGGTTCCAATCAGGATACGGAGCTATTTGTGCACGCCACTAGCTGGGCGTGCTTATTGCTAGCGAGAGCAGGGGTCCAGAGTCACAAGGCAATTAAGTCTGGGGAACCGGAGACTCGACCAGCCTTTCCGAAAAAGGGTTCTAGTCATTCTCTCGAACCGATTTGCTAGGCGATCTGACCTGCTGAGATCTTGCATTATAAGAACCTCACCGTCTCTCAGATTTTAGGAGACCCACGGTCTGTCGCGCCAACCCCGTCCATCGCCCATCGGATCAAACATCGAGATCGTCGATTCATATAGCCGCGCGGAAGGGACACAATAATGTCGGACGTTAAGGTTCATGAGGAGGTGCATGGCATCTCCACTGCCATCGAAGACCGAGCACACGTTCTTGCTGGATATGGAGAGACTACCAAGCGCGAGGGAGCGAAGACAAAGGAAGTCCACAATGTCAGTTTGTTGCCCTACAAACCTTTTGTTCAACTGAAATCTGACATCTACAACTAGGCCGATTTGTTTGCTGCTATCGAGGAGACAAAGATCGAAAGATGGAGCAAGGAGTCCCTCCACTTGTACTGTGAGTTCAATCTGACTGAATGATTTCCCAGAGATTTCTGAAAATACTGATATTTTTTTATGACTTTGGTAGTCTGTATCTTTGTCTCATTCTGCTGTGCCTGTGCCAACGGTTATGATGGTATGTCTTCGGAGCAGTAGCCTCAATTAGCGGCACCTAACGGTACTCTTAGGGTCTTTGATGGGTTCTATTCTTGCCATGGATCATTATCAGAATGTGTTCAATACTGGGATGGATGGACCTAAGGTCTCTCTGGTTACTTCCTTGTACACGGTGTATGAGCTTCCCTTTCAGCCTTTACACTGATCCTAGAGGCTAATATGCCTTCTTTCCTTTAGTGGATCTATCGTCGCTACTCCATTCAGCGCTGTCATTTCGGACAAACTCGGTCGTCGCAAGTGCATGTTTGTTGGTGCTTGGATTATCATCATTGGCTCAATCATCATCGCGAGTGGTATGACCTTGGCACAATTTGTTGTTGGCCGGTTTGTCCTCGGTTTGGGCATTCAGGTCATGGTCGTCTCAGCTCCTGCTTATGCCGTGGAGATTGCCCCGCCTCACTGGCGTGGTCGTGCTGTCGGTGAGTATACAGGAGTATTAGAATACTTAAGCATGTGCGATCGAATTTCGTCTGATCTCCGGAATAGGTTTCTACAACTGTGGCTGGTTTGGCGGCTCCATTCCCGCAGCTGCGATCACATACGGGACCAACTTTATCGGCAACAACTACCAGTGGCGTATTCCATTTATCTGCCAATGCTTTGCCTGTGTGATCGTAATTATCTCCGTTTGGTTCATCCCCGAGTCGCCTAGATGGCTCATGACCCAAGGCCGGAACGAGGAGGCAATCGCGTTCCTGGTGAAGTATCACGGCAATGGAGATCCCAATGCCCGTCTGGTCCGTCTTGAAGTCGAGGAGATGAAGGAAGGCATTCGCATCGATGGTATCGACAAGAGATGGTGGGATTGTAAGTCTGAGGATAAACATCGGATCATCGGAGTTCCTTTAAACTAATCGCCCATTATAGACCGTCCATTCGTCACTACTCACAGCGGACGCTGGCGTTTCGCCCAGGTCATTATGATTTCAGTCTTCGGACAGTGGTCCGGTAATGGTCTCGGCTACTTCAATGCTACCATTTTCAAGACCATTGGATATACCTCCAGCTCTATGCAGCTGTTGCTCAATCTTGTCAACTCGATTGTGTCCGCTGTGGGTGCATTGATTGCTGTGAACCTCACCGATAAGATGCCTCGTCGCCCCGTGCTGGTCTTTGGTACCCTTGGTGAGTTTCCTTTTCTATTCTGGATGGCGTCCATTGTTCCCATCTGGGTATATATGTCAAATGGCTAACTCTACTCAAGCCTGTGCCGTCACACTTGCCATCAATGCTGGTATTCTACAGGAGGTTGCAAACACTGGTCAAATTAGCAAGACCAAGGGCCAGGCTGCTCTTGCATTCTATTATCTTTTCAACGTCGTTTTTTCGTTCACTTATACCCCACTCCAGGGTGTCATCCCAGCCGAAGCCCTGGAAACAACTACTCGTGCCAAGGGCTTGGCTCTGTCTGGCTTCATTGTCAGTAGCATCAGTTTCATCAGCCAGTTTGCCACTCCTATTGGTCTGCAGAACATTTCCACGAACTATTTCTGGATCTTTGTTGGCTGGGATGTGATCGAGTCGGTCTTTTGGTACTTCTTCTGGTAAGTCCCATTCTGTGTATCTTTCCCACGTCGAATCAATTTATGAGCTAACGCATTTGGCGTAGTGTGGAATCTCAAGGTCGGACTCTGGAGGAGTTGGAGTGGGTGTATCAGCAACCCAACCCAGTCAAGGCGTCCCAGAACCTCGACAAGATTGTGGTGCAGAGCGATGGTACTGTTACTGAGAAAATTGAGGACGATGCCTGAACATGAAGCTAAGCCTGCACAACTGGGTAAACGATGTTGAACAGTGGTGAGACGAGATGTGGGACTAAGACGTTGCGGCTGCAGTGTATACATATACAGTTTTGGCCCGTCGCAGAAATTTGAGGTGTGTTAAATGGTTTAATTAAGTAGGTGGATACTTTGTATTGAGCAATATAATGAGATACCAGTGGTTTCTGTTGCAAGTTTGGACTTCGCGCATGGCAATCAGTGCTGCACGCTCCTTGCAAGATTAAATAACATTTGTTCTTTAAACTGTGACTCTTTCCATGTGTACAAATGACATCATTGTGTATTCTTTTCCATAAATCAAACTACAAACACTTAGTTCCTGGATGGTGTGACAGCGGAGATGTGCGGAAACACCCCCTTCCCGCGCCTTACCCGGACGGGTAACCGGCCCTTCCCCTGTGGGCCCCACAGCGGACAAATTGGAGCTTAAGACGCAGCCTCGCGTCGAATGAGGGGAAATGAGATAGATAGTTTTATGAAGCTCTGTGTCTGAGGGTATTTGAAGGCTCCCCTACTCAGTTGCATTTGCCAAGAAGCATTGAAACAGAACCAGCACAATGATCACCCCCACGCCCAGGAAGGCCCCAATAGCGCACCACTCAGTGCCGCGGCACGTGTTGCTCAGGGCGAGACCCCGCCGAACTGGGTCGCTGTCAAGGAAGAACCCGCCTACACCCCGAGAAAAATCAAAATTATCTGCGTGGGAGCTGGGTGCGCCGGTATCACTCTAGCGCATAAAATCAAGCATGAACTTCATCTAGCAGATGTCATTGACTACAAAATCTACGACAAAAATGCGGAAGTTGGTGGAGTCTGGACTGAAAATCGATACCCGGGTGTCGCTTGGTGAGAACATATCTATGCTCTTCGTCAATGGTGATATCTAATTTTGCGAATGCTATAGTGATATCGCTGCTCGTAGGAGTTCCACACTGCTTTCTTGAACACTGATTGACTGGCCGACCAGATGCATATACGTTTCGTTTCGAGCCTAATCCATACTGGTCTCATTTCTATGTCTCCGGTCCGGAGATTCGTGAATATATTCACAACACGGTCCGGAAGTGGGGGCTTGATGACAACATTGAGTTGAACTCGAATGTTATAGAGTCGGTATGGGACGAAGACTTAGGGAAATGGAAGGTGAAGATTGAGGAGAATGGCAGGATTAAGGAGGACGAAGCTGACATTTTTGTTAACGCATCGGGCATATTGAAGTGAGGATAGATTTTCATTCTCATTGTCCAGGGATTGCTAACCCGGTCTGTCAGCAACTGGAAATTGCCAGATATTCGAGGTCTGGCTGACTTCAAAGGGAAATTAGTCCACACTGCAAATTGGTAAAGCCAGATTTTTTAAGTTTGAATATTGCCCAGCACTAATTCTTAGACAGGGATGATAAGTACGAGTGGAAAAACAAGCGAGTGGCGATTATTGGCAATGGTGCATCCGGAATACAGTGTGTTGCCACCATGCACTCTGAAGTATCCAAACTAGTCAATTATGTTCGCAGTCCGACCTGGATCACCCCCAATATCAATGCCGAAATGACAAAAAATGGGGATAACTTTGCATACACGCCCGAGGAGCAAGAACGGTTCAAAAGCGACCCAAAAGCGTTCTTTGAATTCCGCAAAGAGCTTGAAAATCAGTAAGTATTGATCCAGTTTTTACCCATCACGAAGATCGAAACTCATTAGCACTTACGCGTGCAACTCTGACACCTGGACTTTAGTGTTAATGGCGGGGCTTACGCAACACTCAAGGACCACCCCCTCCAACATTTTCTCAGGGGAGAGACATTGAAGCAGATGCAAGAGAAATTGAAGGCTCTAGATCCCTCGATTGCAGCTAGAATCATCCCTGACTTTGCACCCGGCTGCCGCCGCCTTACACCTGGCAGTGGGTATCTTGAAGCCTTTTCAGCCAATAATACTGAAATGTGCTGGAAGGATATTGAGCGGGTCACTGAAACTGGAATCCGCACATCGGACGGGGAAGACGAAGACTTTGACCTCATTGTCTGCGCAACAGGATTTGACACGTCGATCATCCCGCGCTGGAAGCAGATCGGGAAGAATGGAATCGATTTGAGGAAACATTGGAAGAATGACCCAGAGGCTTTCTTCAGTGTTCATGTTGATCAAATGCCAAATTATTTTATGATCGGTGGGCCAAATTTTCCCGTATCCCACGGCACTGTCACGACTGGGTTTGCCATTGTGTGTGACTACATCTTGAAATGGACAATGAAGATTGCCACGGAGGATATTAAGTAGGTCTCAATCGTTCCGTCATGATAGTTGTCAGAGGCTGACGCCATCGAAGATCGATGGATGTCAGGAAAGAATCGTTGGATGATTACAATGTTTGGACGCAGGAGTATCTCAAACGCACAGCTTTTTCGGAAAAGTGTCGCAGTTGGTATAAGAACGGAAAGGCCTCTGGATTAATTACTGGGACCTATGCCGGGACGACAAGTCATTTCCGAAAGTCACTGGAGAGGATCGGCGGCGAGCACTTCCATATACGATATAATTCTGTGAATCGCTTCTGGTGCTTGGGCAATGGTCAAATGGAGGAAGAGAGAAACGGAGATGGGGATTTGGCAGATTACTTTGTTCAGGGCGTTTGGGGCCCTTGAGTTCTACCTTGGCATTCATGTCCCACATCTCGTGGATCATACTATCATTGATTCATAAGTTGTGAATTATCTAATATCTACACATAAACATGTATTGACTTCTTTGAGGCTGCAAGCTCATCCACCTGGTCGCTGCCCGTTCCATCCCATTCCGAAATATCATCCGCGCTGGCATTCCCATCCGAGATACGCATCATCCCCTTCCCAGGTACAGTTGGTGTCAACCTCCTGGACCGAGGCCCGGAGCTTCCTGCATATGGAGACCCTAATTCATATGTACTCCGCCCAGTCCCTGTTGTTTGCTGTCCAAAAGGCCTCAGAAGGGATCGGATGCAGGGAATCGAAGCTGTAATAATGACCAGGTATGTTTCGATGTATAGCCAGCGATCTAGGCTGATGGTTGCCGTGGTTGGGTCGTCGTCAGCGTGGGCGAGAATTCGAGTTTGCACGGTTTTGATTATGGACGCAACCATCGCACTACCGGGAACATTCACATTAGTCGGACGCTTGATAGAGAGATTCAGAAAGACAAGTCACTCACAAAAGTCCCAATCCAAGAAGTGTAACTAGACCCAACTTGACCTGTAACTTCAAGTTCAGATTCCAAAAAACGTAAGTGGAGAAAACCGCAAGGTATAGGTCTGTAGCTGAGTTAAAAGCTGCCGTAGATGCAAGTTAGCAACTTCTTCATGTTGAAACAACCATAACAGAAAGAATGACACCACGTACAGCCTTGGTAGTACCCGTAGTAAGCTTGAACGCGAACATCCCAGCATTTTCCTTTTCCGTCCTGTGACCAGATAGCCGAAGCATGTCCCGGACACTGGACAAAGAGTATGATGATAAACATCCCGTTCGTCACGATCTGTAGCGCAACAAGCACCCACAAGATCACTCTATAGGCCTTTCTGGTTCCAAGAAGCCCAACCACGAACACAATGAAGGCAATTCGACCTAAGGTACCTCCAGCAATACCAAATGTCTGCGTCAGATAGTCATACATAATGACAGTGGCGGTATGATCGGGATTGATATCCCACACGTGGCGGCCGAACCCGTACTGGACGCCCATGGTGATCATGACTGATCCGACTATAGCTAGACACTAGGGGTCAAATAAGTCAATTTTGGCCTCAAGTTTGACCATCCTGGAGATCATTTTATTCAAATAACTAAAACAGGAGAGAGAAAATGCTAACCAATGCGAAAACCATCAGGACATCATCCAATCCGAATTTCCGGATCCGTATTTTCGCAACTACTCTCAATGCGATGATGAAAATAGCGACCCCGGTGAGGGCCCAGACTTCTCTGAGAAGACGGGGCCCCACATCATAGAGGGCCTCTCGGGGTAAAACAATCATGGTTGCTCGAGATGTTCGCACTTTCCCAGCATGAGCGATGGGGACGACGAGAGACTGTCATATCCATATCGGAAGACGATCATGGATTGTGCGAGTTATATTCAGATTTTCGTATCAGCCGCTTATCAAGTAAAGCGTTATCAGCCTCTTCGGAGATCCCCATACTCCTGGGTGGCTGAACCGGAACCTTGATTATTTTAACATGTTCGTATTGTGTGGAGGGCTGTCGGCGGTCTCCGCGGGAGCCCGGGCACGCGACGATAAGCGGGCGTATAATATGCGCGAGTTAGCATGAAGCTTAAGTGCCAGGATTAGGGCAGGGGCGTTCTCTTGATAATGCCTTGATTGTTGATTGGTCCCCGCCATGGGTCCGATCGGTCAGATACCTTCGGGTATCGTGTGCCTGGCAGGCTCAAAAAGATATTTCGCGAAGCTGCCGCAGTCCAATGAATTATGGTCGTTTTATCTGTAGTCAGGGGTTGTCAGGGGTTGTCAGATGTCTCTCGGACTACCACCCTTCTTTCGTTCAGATGAAAGTATTCCACTGTACCACGTACGCGACATAGGCTAACGGGCTTGGGCTTTGGAAAAAACATCGGAGTACCCCAATCGTCACTACTAAAGTCTCGGTCAAAAACGGCGTGGTTCAAGTAAATACGGTGCGTTGACGGGGTTGACCTTCGGGCGGCCATCGGGGAACAAAGGGAAGAGGCATGTCGTAGTCAGACTAGGAATACTGTCCTCGGCATATAATTAGTAGAGACTATGAATATTTAAACAAAGTATAGCAGATATTTCAAAACAACGAAGGACAGCTTAATTTAGTTTTAATGTTCAGTTCTTGCCTTGTTTCTCGGGTCCCATTTCGCCCCTGGGCTGAGCTGGTCGCTGTCTGTGCAATACCCAGAGCATTTCCATTCGTCAATTTATATAATTTTCCTCATAATAATCTGAAACATCCAATATAATCAGCAGATATTATGTGGAGGATCTAGAAGCTCGGAAAGAAGATTAACTTGCCAAAATAGCTTGCGGAACAGGGTATATGGAATTTGCTATCTCATCTAGCAGAAAGCAAAATGGCACAGTAATTTATTTAATAAACATATCGGAAATGCGGGTTTTCCCGATCGGTGATATCCTCAAAGCCGTGAGTATAGTTAACATCGGGAATCACCTCTCCTGTCGCGATCTTAGCATCTCGCTTCCGGTTCTGAACGCTATACCAGACTCTCAGGGAGAGAAGAATGAGGACGACAAGACCAAAGCATCCCAGCAAGATCGAGAATGCGAGATAATATCGTGGCGCATCTTTATCGCGGAACACCTGTGGGCCGATCGAGTTACCTGCAGCCCAGAATACGAAGTTACAGGCAATGACGATTGACTTCTTCGTTTGACCGGCAACATTTCGAGAGAGCAGAGCGAGCGAGAGAGAGGAGACTGCAAAGAAGGAGTAGAAGATCCAGTATGCGATGAGCATGCCAACTCTCTTGCTTGGGGTGAAAGGGACTCCAAGAAGGATCGATGATCCGATGATGGAAGGGATAACGGAAGCAATCATAATCCAGATAGTTTGGTGGAATTTGCGGTCGAGGTAGGCAGAGACGACCATGGTGATTGTTGTAACCGCTCCAATTACCATGGAGAGGAGCTGACTTTCCCAAGTAGTAAAATCGAATGATTTGAGGATGATGTTGGCATAGGCACCAATTCCACCGGATGGAATAGTCGTCAGAAGTTGAATGAGTGCAAATGCGTATACTAAAAAGTTGTCAGCAACTACATCAAAGATACGGATAGAGGGAAGCAAAATGAAAATGGCATGACGTACATTGTGGATCAGTCAATGCATCCCAAACCTGCTCTTTTCTGAAGTGTCGGTTCTGGAGACCAGTCTGGTTTTGGCGCACTCGCTCTACCATCAATTGTTTGTCCTCTTCAGTCCAGCACTTGGCTCTCATGGGTGAGTCTGGCATCCAGAAATACACGAACACTGCCCAGATCACCGTGATGAGACCGTATGTCATGAACATCGCTTCCCACGATTTGAGCGGAGACCAAGAGGGCACAAAAGAGAATCCGAAAGCCAAGAGACCACCGACAATATTCTGGAGTCCATTCATCATGTACCTGTTAGGGGAGTGTGAGCGACGACCAATTATAGTAGTGGAGATCCAGACTGACCAGTAGTTGATGACACTTCCCTGCTCTTCTCGCTGGTACCAGGTGGCAGACAGAATAACAAATGTCGGCTGGCATGCAGCTTCAAAGGCACCCATGAACGCTCGAAGAATAACCAGTCCGGTGAAGTTCTTCATCGCAGAAATGAGTGTGATGCAGATACCCCATAGCAGGATGTTTGCCGAAAGCCATTTTCCAATTGGCACCCGTTGAATAATCCAGTTTTCCTATACTCTCATCAGCAACCGGGAAGTTGAATGTATCTACGTAGGTTGAAATACCGGATATTCAACGACCAGGATTGCGAGATAAACAACCGTCGTCAGCCATTGGTACTATAATCAATCAGTATTCCGCAGACAGGAAGCTCAGTTACGATAATGGCTCACTTGATTATGTTCCAGATGTGCATCCTCCACAATACCCATAATTGAGGCAAAAGACATTGCCCCCTTGTCCAACGTTTGGATCAAGTATGTGAACATCATCACCACCAAGATGCGCTTATCGATCATTCGTCGCAATCGTTTGTTTGTCGCATCGTCGATATAAATAGCCGTGTCTGTGGCATATTTGGCGACCTCTTTATCGACCAGCTTGTAGTCCGTGTGGTTTTTTTCCGGGCCTTCATCGTGGAAAATAGCGGCTCCCTCAATGTCCTGGTTGTCTTTTTTGTTCATGGTGGTCATTGTGGCACCGGTGGTTGGAAATTTTTCAGGTACTTGCGGCACCCAAACGAGAAAACTGGGGTCTGTTAAGTTGTGCTGGAGAGGTTGATGACTATCCATACTGGTTCCGGGGATGCGGGGGTGGAGGCCGGGGGTCGCGAGCTTCGGTAGAACATCATCCCCCATGGGGATCCAATGGGGATATGCCCCCACGTTCAATGACAAGCCGAATGTCCGCTGGCCAGATTTCAACTCGCGCTAGGGATTATTTCCATCAGAACTCGGCAGGAGAATGCCGATCTTTGTCTCGGCTCCCTGTTAATAGCTGCGTCGGCAACGGAGGTGGCCGTATTAGCCCTAGTCGTGCTCCACAGCCGGGTGTGGCTGCTCGGTGCAACAACAACCCGAACAGGTCATCCCACTTGAGTGGAGAAGAGAGTGTCGCTTGGAAAAGCGTCACAGGTTCGCTGGAGAGGTCAGTTTGAACAGCAGCCGAGCCCACTGCCCCAGAGGAATGGTTTCTTATTTCCCACCAGATACATACGATCTTCTATTCTGTAGTGCTGAGCCAACGTCGATATCATGTTGGAGAAGCCTTTTGTCACTTTCAGCCCTGTACCAGACCACCTTGATCTCATCGGTGCTCCAATTTTAGTAGACAGCGACGACTTCGTCGGTGTTCATCATGCTAGTCGAGCGCTCGCAGAGGACTTTGGCCGGGTAACAAAAGGGAAGGCCAGTCCATTCAGAGCAATCACGGTCGATAATTCAATATCTCTAATCGACGCTCCTTGGAACACTGCCATTATTATTGGGTGCGTCGACACCTGCTGGATGCTCAAACATCTAGAACAATCAGGGAAGATTGACATTGGCTCTATTCGGGGCAAGTGGGAGTCGTTCATCACAGCAGTTGTGAAGAATCCTTTCGAGGGCTGTGAAAATGCAATGGTAATTGCTGGGAGTGACAAAAGAGGTGCCATCTTCGGCGCTTACACGCTCTCTAGCCAAATAGGCGTGTCTCCGTACGCTACTTTAACCATAAACTAATGCTTATAAACATCCAGCTGACTTTGAACACAAAGATGGTATTGGTGGGCCGACGTACCTGCAAAACATCACCCAGAAATCTACGCGCTACCTACGACGACCACCCATGGCGAGCCGAGCATCCAATACCGCGGCATTTTCATCAACGATGAGGCACCCGCGCTGACGGGATGGGTGTTGGAGAAATTCGGAGGATACAACAACGAGTTCTACAGAAAAGTATATGAGCTCCTCCTGCGGTTAAGGGCAAATTTCATGTGGCCAGCGATGTGGCCCGGATACCCCAACCCCGGAGCGATCTTCTTTACGGATGATCCCGAGAACCAGCGTATCGCCGACGAATACGGAATCTGCGTGTCAACTTCGCACCACGAGCCTATGCAACGCGCGACAACAGAGTGGTTTGAAGAAGGGCGTGTTGATGGTACATGGGACTGGACAACACACCGGGACGAGATTATCGAGTTCTTCCGTGAGGGTGTGCAGCGGGCCAAAGGCTTAGAGTCATACTTCACACTGGGTATTCGCGGTGAATACGATCGTCAGATGGCAACTGATGATCCTGGCAGAGTCGTGCGCGATGTGCTTGAGCAGCAGCGAATGCTGTTCAAGGAGGTTCATGGGTGTGAGGATGCTGTGCCACAGGTTATGGCTTTGTACAAAGAGATACAGGATCTGTACCAAGCTGGAGAGTTCACTGTGCCTGATGATGTGACGTTATTGTTTGCAGATGACAATTTTGGCTCTTTACGCCGGCTACCTTCTGGGCCTGAGAAAATTCGAAAGGGTGGCGCTGGAGTATGTCTCACCCCATACCGTGCTTGCATAATAGTTGCTAACTTTGTCGTAGATATACTACCATTTTGAGTATGTCGGAGCACCTCGGAGCTACAAGTGGATCAACTCCAACTCGCTGGTTCGTCCCTCTTGTTCAGATCTTGTGGCCCATCTAACAACACATCACGCACGCATAGGGCAAGATATACCATCAACTGTTTGAGGCGCACCGTCGCAATGCTCGCAAGATCTGGGTCTTCAATATTGGAGACATCAAGCCTATCGAAGTCCCATTGACCTTTGCAATGCAGTTGGCATGGGATATCAACTCCATTAGCGCGGATAATATCCCTGTTTTCTTGAAGGACACTGCCTCCAGCTATTTCGGCGAGGAGCTGAGCACAGGTGCGAGCTTTATTTGGCACGAGTATGACCGCCTGGTCCGCATTCGAAGACATGAGCATATCGACCCGGAGAGCTTTTCATTGCTCCACTACAACGAAGCAGATGATATTGTAGCCCGGTGGCAGTCATTGGATATCGCCGTCGACGCGCTTTATCAGCGCGTCCCACCTGAACGCAGAGCCGCATTCTGGGAGCTTGTTGTGCACCCAGTGAAGGCCAGCACGATTTTCACCCGTCTGCGAGTCGCTCAGGGACGGAACCAGCTCTATGCACGTCAACGACGCAACACAGCCAACAAGCTCTTGCGTGAAATCTTGGACTTGTTTGATGCGGACTTCAAGCTGTCGCAGGAGTTCCATTCTTTGCTTGACGGTAAATGGAATCATATGCTGTGCCAGCCGCACATGGGTTACGGCAGTACATGGCATGCCCCATCGCGAGACGCGATCTTTGGGTTGGCTTACGTCCAGAGACATCAGAATAGCAATTTGATTGTCGGACAAATGGGTATTGCTGTTGAAGGACACGAAGGCATCCGGGCAGGGCGTATCAATGAAGAGAGTGAGCGAACGCATCCAAGCCGACGCGACTTAGTTCCTGGTCTAACTCTCGGTTCGATGAGTCGGTATGGCCCAGCTAAGCGCTGGTTCGATATCTTCACCAGGGGAGCGCAGACCATACACTGGGCCTCGTCTGTTCCATATTCATGGATTCAGCTTTCGATAACAGAAGGAATACTAGACCCTGATGGAGACGACGCTCGTGTTTGGATCTCAATATTATGGAACCATGTCCCGGTCGACTTCAACGAGGAAGTTTTGATCACCATCTCATCGAAAGAAGGAGACTATGAGCACGTCCATCTTCCCGTCCATGGTCACAGTGTCCCAGACTCGTTCCGTGGTTTTGTTGAAGCAGACGGCTGTATTTCTGTGCCTGCATATGGCATGAGTACGAACCCTCCCTATAACCATCACCCAGAGCTCGGTCGCGGAAGCGAAGGTGCCGTCACACTCGGAGATTCCGACCGCTTGGATGGGAATGAGGCGCCATTCCTGGAATATCCCGTCTACCTATTCTCATATTCCAATCCATCCACAGTTATCTTGTATTTCAACATGACCTTGGACATCGATCCAGCCCAACGAATGTCCTATGAGATCAGGATCGATGATCAACCGACCGAGTTCCATAATCTCCTTGCGGACCCAGGGCAAAGCAAAGGCAAGCTTCCGGCAGTGGGCTGGTCAGATGCTGTTATGGACTGTGTTTGGAAGAGAAAGCACACCGTCACTGGCTTAGGAATCGGTGCTCATACAATTAGTGTCCGGTTGAACCACCGAAACATCATCCTAGAGAAGATTGTGCTGGACCTTGGCGATGTCAAGGAAAGCTATCTCGGTCCCCCTAAGAGCTTTTGCGTATCGGACTGAGCGCATTGCGCGCGATGCGACAACAATGGTCAAATGATCGTTTATATATATTGCCATAGCTTGCGGGGCCGTTACCTCAATTTTCCAATATTCAGTGTCGGGCACCTGAACTGCATTTGCTCATTCGCGGTATCCAATAGAGAGCGCTCGGCTTATCTAGCAGTTGTATATAAGCCACCATCACTAATTTCGGAATGATCAAGTGTTTTGAAGATACTTGCTAATCGACAGCATAATCTCTAGACTTGGCGTAGGTAGAGAACCTTACTACAGTTTAGTGATGTTCTATTTAACCGAACCCATATTTATCAGCCAATCACAGCCCGTGAAAGCTCTGCCTATGAACCGTCAGCAATACATCAGCATTAGATGAGCCGCTAGTCCGCTTCTAGCTTAGCGCCACCCTTATTGATGCTCGATAATGCTTCCATAATCCCAGGGTTTTCCAAGCTTCTGGAGCTTGCTAGATAATTTTAATTCCTATATAAAACCCACGACTCCTCTTGGATTCTGCTTATTATTAGAAAAAAAACCGTCTTGTCCACATTGTCACAGTACATGCACAATTCGTCTCAAACCATGTCGAACCCCCTCTCCCACGCTAAAATTGTTCTCCGCCGCTCCAGCGAGCGCGGATATGCCGAGCATGGCGGCTGGCTCAAGTCATTCCACACTTTCAGCTTCGCCAACTACTACGATCACCGCTTCCAGAACTTTGGCAGCCTACGAGTTTTGAATGAAGACCGCGTCTCAGCCCGAAATGGATTCCCTACGCATCCCCACCGTGATGCGGAGATTTTCAGCTATATCCTCAACGGCGAGCTCACCCATCGTGACAGCATGATTAAAAAGGGCGCAGAGGGAGAGCAAGGAAAGCAATTCTTCCGCATGAAGCGGGGAGATGTACAGTTCACCACCGGCGGAACAGGTAAGCCTCTTGGCCTTGGCTCTAACTATAATGAACACGAGCTGACGTGAGACAGGTATCGCTCATTCTGAACAGAATGAGTCCAACAAGCCGGTACACTTCCTGCAAATCTGGGCCCTTCCCTGGAAGCAGGGCCTGAAGCCACAATATCACACTATGACCTTTAGCGAAGAAGATAAGCGCAAGGCGTTTGTTCCTATTTTGTCGCCTCTTGCTGCAGGCCCCCAGGCCACCCCAGCACAGGAAGATGCCGCTACTCCTAAGCTTCCAGGCACCATCCCCATTCATGCTGACTTTGTCATGGGAGCTGGCATTATTGAACCCAGTTCTACATTCAAGTGGAATGTTGGCGTGGGCGAGACCGTTGAATCCAAGAAGAAGCGAAACGTTTACATTCACCTGCCAATGACCAAGCAGGGCAAGTCGAAGGTCAAGCTTGATGGCCGGGAAGATGCCGTGCTCGAAGAAGGCGACGGCGCCTTTGTCACATTGGTTAATGCTGGAGATGCGCTTCGTGTGGAGAGCGTCGGAGAGGTAGAGGCTGAAGTGATAGTTTTGGATAGCAATTAAGCTATAATGTATTTAATGAACTCTTTTTATTCTTACATCTTTTGTCAAGATAATATGATTGTTTATCTGTTTAATTTGTGGTCACGTACTTGAATAAAACTGGGATGCGTTCCTACAATTCCTGCAAATGGATTCAACACTAATTCCGCCTTGTAGAGCACCTAACTTCTGTCAAGAACCTCAGGATAAGGATGATTATTACTGAAAATATGTTTAACAATTTTTAGCGTCGATGGGCTAGACGTTTCTACAATTAGCCTTAACGATTTGCAAAGTCGCCTGGCTATCATCCCCCAGGATGCCGCCATTCTTCGAAGACATCGTCCGAGATAACCTTGATCCCCATAATGACCATGATGATACGGACCTTTGCCGTGTGCTTGGCGAATATTCGCAGGTATTGTATCGGTGTATGTACGTACGTGTATAATGTGACTCCTCCTGGAATGAACTTAGAGCCTCGCTGACGCCTTCTGTGGCCAAGAGACATAAAAAATGGTCTAGGCGTTGAGGCTGTATAGTCTAGAATCGCGCACCTCAAATTTTCCCGTAACTCTTTAGCGGTTCCTAGGAGCGGGAATATTTTCCTACTACGCCGTTGGTCAGGTAGCTTACTAGAGCAACCAGTTACAGCATCAGATGGACCTTGTTGCTCCCGTCATTCCTAGGACATCCCGGCTCATCAACATCGATGCCTTGGTCATCATCGGTGGGTGTAACCGTGTAAGTATCTTTTTTTTTTTTTTTAGATCACGTGAGCGTACAAATGGTATATCGAGTCACTTGTTTTATCTACTCTCCTCGCCCACTACAATACCCTTAGTCGCATTATTTCAGATACCCTGCATACGGTTCCGTCTAAGGTAGTGGCACGGCGCCTCTACATACTCAATCTCAATTCGTTGACTCCGATTCGATACCGATTGTCCATCCGGCCTAGCTACTTGATATCATAGTCACTGAGCTATGTTTCTCCTCCATCTGCCCCCGGAATTGGTCATAATATCAGGGCAGACCTTAGGGGAAGAAAGAGATATCCACTCATTATGTCGAACTAGCAGACAGCTCTACGGTCTCCTGAATCCATACCTTTATCGCATCAAATCTCAAAATTCAAGTTCCTCAGCATTGATATTGGCCGGTATAAAAGGGAGTGAGGCTACAGCTCACTATCAATTCAATAAGGCGGTGAGGCTGGTGGACGCAAGAGAATGCACAGCCGCTCTCAGGATATAGTTGCGTTTGTACTGACTAGCACCGAATAGGACATACCTGATCAGGCTATGCATGTAATGATCCCGTATCTATTGCTAGAATCCTAAAAACTCACCGGAGACGTCAGATAGTTGAAAGTATGTTTTCTTTTGGTGACATTGGCGCGATTTGAGTGGATGTCACTGTGCTTCAACCTGTCGATCACCATGCGGCTCTAGTGTTGCCTTGACCGCAGAGGGTGCCTCTTGGCCCCCACTTGGCGGCCCCGCCTCTTGGCACTTACTAGGGGTCCTCTAGGGCATGCTGATAGTTTTGACGTTCACCTAACTCTGGTCTATCAATCACCCAAGTACTTGATCTCATATTCCAACATGAGCTGCAGAGTAAGCACACCTGATAGACCTGTAGGTACAACGTACATCTCAGCCACCTATCACGGCGACGCCAAATATCTTGGCATACGAAGCTAACATGATGACTTCTAGGTCGTGCCTGAGTTCGTGAAAACACATGAAGCGTGATCCTACAGGCGGAGGACTTACCCATCTCGGAAAGGATGGCGTCCTGCGTACCATCTCTGGTAACTACGAAGTCCTTGACGCCCGCGGACTTAGTCCCAAACAGATCAATGCGTTTCTAGATGTCATGCCGGACGAGCTCGTGGAAAAAGCAGACTTTCGCGATGTGGATGGTACAACGGTGACAAGCCAGGAAGGACTCTTTCATCCCGCGCCCGGAATTCTACCGACAAAGCCAGAGGATGACCCGAAGTCGGCGGAAGAAAGGCGAAAGCTGGTGGAACAAAATCGTGCCGCCTATGAAGAGGCAAAAGGAAACTAGTAGATGAATTCTCTTTTTGGCCCTTCTTCCTCAAAACTGTTCTTATTTGCCGTAGTGGCTCACTGCATGAAGAATTTTGTTAATTAGGGATACAGTGGCCGGAATCTGATATCTTTGGCCGCACAGAATGGCCACGATACGGTGGGGAAGGTTTTACTTGAGAATGCAAATGTGGATGTGAACATGAAGGACTGTCGCTATCGAAATCCGATATCATATGCCGCAGTAGGCGGCCATAAAACGGTATTTAATCTTTTACTTGAGAATAGAAATGTGGATGTGGGCATGGTGGACATTTGGGTCAAACTCCGTTATCATATGCCGCAGCAGGCGGCCATGAGACAGTGGTACAGCTTTTACGTGGGAATGGAAATATGGTCGATTAGTTAGATTAAAGGACTAAGAGCATCGTATAGTACCATTGGGCGCGCCACGTCGAAATCGTTGTGACGGCTCCGCGAAATCCAATACGTCTTCCACCATCTATGCTCGAGAGGCGTTGTCTGGCTTACCTCTCCCTCCTTCATGAGAGCCTCCTAGTAGGCTCGACACGCCTTCAAAAGCGTCGCCGATTCTCTCCCGTAGCTCTCGCCGCAGGTCTCTTAGATTGGTGCAATCCTACAGAACATAGGTGACTGCTTCTCGGTCGCCTTAGACGCACCGGTTATTGTCCTAAAAGTGAAAGGCTTTTGCGTAGATCGATAACTAGCCGTGTCCCGTTCGAAGCTACGTTAGTAGGTAGGCCCGATTACTAGGTAGGAAGCTGTAAAGTCGCCTAGTGTACTTGGCTAGTATTACCTTGTCGATCCGACGGAGATGGCCGCCTTTAGTAGATTTTGTCTAATTTCTCTTTCACTAGTAGGATTCCATTTTGAAGAAACACACTTTGTCTAGGCAACAAAGGGAAAAAAGATATTCTTGGTAGGGCATATTAAGCAGCTTCGGCAAGCCTACTTATATAGACTACTATGCTAGTTTTCCACCCGATAATCAAGGCTTCTAGTCTCTTAAGGTTGGCCTCTCCACCCACACTAGGTGGTGTAAGGAGGTGTCAGATGTGTTGGATTTACAAGTAAATATATGATTAAAGATACAATGTAATCTAAGTAAGAAATAATACATATTGAACTGATAGGGGTGCTCCGGAAAAATTCCCAATCTAGATTAGTGTGACTTAGCATTGGGGTTGGAGAATTCATCAAAGAGTGTAAGTGGGCGCACCAGTTTCGGAACGTACTGTACCTCTTCGGATATTAATCATTTCCAAATCACGCCGCGGCTGATGTGGAAACCGTTGCAGCTCTTCAGCAAACCCTACGTAGCGACATCTTCAAGAACCGCACCATCACCAAGATTTCTCAACGGATTAATACCATCATCGACTCTGATCGAATCTTTGTGTTGAATATAGGGGAGTGGTTGGGCTCGATACTCCTGCGAAGCGGCTCAGTGCCCGAGATGAGTTTTACGAATTGGTCAAAGCGGCCGGCTTGCTGGAGGATTGGCCTCTTCTGTAATGATCCAATCCATGTGGGCTTGGATTGTTTGAAGATTTTAAATAGGTACAGTCCAGATGTCTAGGTCTATCATGGCTGGAGTTATGTTCATGATGCTAGTACTTGATTGAGGTGGCTGTATCATCTAAGTAGATGGGATATTACAGACGAGCTCGAAATCAGTTTCACTTCTTTACACTCTTTAATTCTTTCTCGGACTCTATTTGAAATACACTAGTCCATGTTTGATCTAACAAGTTTCAAGATATCGAAACCTTTTGCAAAGATAAGTCACATGATGTGCTACTATTCTCTGATCACGTAACCAGACGTATTCTCCTCGACCAATGGCCCTCGTCGCTCAGGTGTAACTGTCTGATCATTTTCTATCTTCCAAGCACACGCAAAATACCGTGTGCTGACTAACATACAGGATGACTAAGTCATGTTATCTAATTACATAGATCCACAACTCCGACACACCCCCTCAGCGCTGGCACTCTCTGGCAACGCTGGACCAATTCCCTCAATTCCTCCAATTCCTCAATTTCCATCCTCCAATTCAATCAAATGCCTCACGTCCCTCAATCCTAGCATCTTAACGAAGGCTGTATGCTTTTGTCTCGGTAGCACCTTGGTGAGTCCATCCGCTATCATTTGTGCGGTGGGAACCCATTTGATGCGAATCCGCCCATCCTTGACCTCCTGTCGTAGCCAATGACCGTGGATGTCGACATGTCGAAGCTTCGTATCAAATGGTGTATCCTCGGCATTGATCAAAGCAATTGTTCGACTGTTGTCGCACTCGATTGTCAATGGTTGTGGGTATTGGAACCCAATCCTTGTGAACAGTCGATCCCACCACTGAAGAGCCTTTCCGGCGTCAGATAGGCCTAGTAATTCAGCCTCTGTCGTCGACGTTGTTACTGTACGCTGCTTGGTGGCCTTCCAATCGACTGGACCTCCGAATATCTGGCAGATGTAGCCGGCGGAGCTCTTCCTATCGCTGTGGTCTGCATATGATGCGTCACTCGATATCTTCACCACCTCGCTGTCTTCCGCAACTGGACCGAACTCGATTGCCATAAACCGTGTGGTATATAGGTAGACAATCAAGCGATCAACTGCAGCTTGGTGCTTAGGTCCCGGGTTCGTCATGAACTGGGAAAGCACTGAAGCCACCTTTGCGGCGTCTGCTCGCGTGATTGTGGTGCTATACTGTACCGATCCCACCTTCTGTTGGTAGGCATGAATCTCTTGGGGGGTGGCTTGTCCCTCGTATGCCTGCAGTGGTTCAACACCTGCTGGTGTATATACTGGCGCTCTCCCAGTGAGCTTATAGCGCTCAGCAACCCCTGCAAGGTAGCTGTCCTGCACAAGCCACAGCTTCCTCTCTATACGATTCCGTAGGATTCGAATACCGAGGAACCATTCAGCATCCCCTTGGTCAGTCAAATGCCAGTGCTTCTCGAGTTCTCGCTCTAGCTGACGTGCTCTCTCCTTTGCCATTCGGTGACTAGCAATTAGGATATCATCGACATAGAAGAACACGATGATCCCTTCTCCGACGAACACACATGGGTCCTCAGCAACCTGCTCGAGTCCCAATTTCCTTAGCACTGCTGCTGCGTCCTGCTGCCATAGACGCGGTGCGATACGCAGTCCATAGAGCGCTCGATGTAGCAGCCAGCATCGTCCGTTTGTCTTATAACCCTCTGGCATCAGCGTGTAGACCCGAGAGCGCAGTTTGCTGTTCAAAAAGGCATTTACTGCGTCCCGCTGACGTAGATCTAGGTCATATGCAGCAACCAACGCAAATAGCGTTCTTGCTGTGCGAGCTGCGAGCGTTGCAGCCCTTTTTTCTTCTGATGATATGGTCTGCAGATCTCCGCGTACACAGATGCGTGCCTTGCACTTGAGAAGAAACCCGTCTTGATCAAACTTATAGGCATATACCCACATGAGAGGCAACACCTGGATCCCACGATCCTTCGGCGTTTCCACTTCCTGGTACGTACTCTTTGCTTGTAGACCATCTAATTCCACCCTCATTGCCTTGCTGAACCCATCACTTAGCGGGTGCTTCCACACGTCTTTAAACCTCTCTGGCGGCGGTGGTAGGTCATCCCTATGCTGGCGACACGTGGGTTTCGGGGCAAATAGACCTGTTGCAAAAGCTTGGAGGGACACCGGCGTAGTATCGTCATCTGCTAACGCGGTTTTATAGGCAAACTCCTCGTCTCTCCGTTGCTTGCGTATCCTCGGTCCAATCACGATGTTTTCGACGTCTAGTCCATCGATATGACCCGATATCACCTCTTCATTCACAACCGGCGACTCCGTAGTATCATCATCTGCTTCCGACGTCGTCGATTGTATTGATATAGGCGATTCTGGTATCAGATCACCCTCAATCTCATGATTTTGGTTACCATACCCCACCCCCTGATCTGTGGCAGAATCCAAACCATTCGGCGATCGTGGTGGTGTGTGGGCATATGACTCCTGTCCCTTTGAGTCTGTTTTCTCTGTATCCCCCTGGTCTCCCTCCTCTGCAGCAGTTGGTGTGGTTGGCTCATCCGTGGCAAGATATTCACCCGCACCCCCTGCTGCTAGAGAGAGTTCTAGAGCATCATTTGTCCCTGTGACTTCTAGTTGTTCTGATAGACCCTGAAGAATTGATTCTATCTCCATGTCCTGTTCAATCACTTTTGGTGGTGTGGCCTGCGGAACTGGCATTTGGATCACCTCATCAATGACTATTTCGGCCGAAAAGCGCCTCGATTCGTCAAAGACAGCATCCCTTACCATCCGAACCTGACCACGATGTGGCATCCAAATCTTCCAGATATTTGACGCCACAAACCCGACTAGATATCCAACCTCTGCCCTTGATTGCATCTTGTTAAGGCGTGGAATCGTCGGAATTCGACAATAAGCTAGCGAGCCGTATAGCCGCACGTTGGATAACGACGTCTTTGGCTTCTCGCTATTGTCGATGAACTTGCGTGCTTCCTCCCATGGAATGATCCACTTCCCATCCACCCTTGTCGGCGTACGATTCAGTAGATATACGGCAGCATTAATGGCCTCGGGCCACAACTTCTCAGGCAATTTCCCTTCCTTAAGAAGTGCCCGAGCACGCTTAATGAGCACACCCCCTGATCGTTCGCCGGGTCCATTCATCTCTGGCGAGTATGGGACTGTGAACGTGTGAATACACCCCATTGAGTCAATCATCTTGTGGATTCGCATGTCAACCGACTTCTCGTTGTCGGAGTGCCATACTTTGATAGGCAGTTGTAGCCACTTGATAGCAAACGCCACAAAGCTCTGGATCGCTTCCTGACAGCCGTTCTTGTTAACGTGTGTCATAGTCCAATGGAAGTGAATCCCTTCCACATAGAAATGGGTAATCCAGCAGTGCTGGTTATAACCCATCGTCATCGGAATTAGATCAAAGTAGACCCGTCCATATCGTCCATAGTGCTTGCCAATTGGACGTCGAGATATCTGGCGAGGGGCATTGACAAGATTACAAACCTCGCATAACTCTGTCTCCCCTTCCGATCCATTCTTGATCTCGACTCCATTCACTAGATACGGCAACTGACCAATCGCGCCCTGATAGACATGCCCTAGTCGTCGATGCCACGTACTCGCTGTTGCCGACGATATCAGCGGCTTCTCAGACTGTCGTCGGGTAGCCAGCGCTACACCATCGTTTGACTTCTCATTCCTTGGCTGTAAGCAAAGATAGATATCCTGATCCGGATCCCGATATACCACCATCACCGGAACTCCTTTGTTATCGATAACCCAGCCTTTCTTCGTGTTCCACCATCCCCCCTTCTCCTCAACTCTAGCTAGCGATACTAGGTTGCAGTGGAAGGATGGCGAGTATAGGCAGTTCGAGAGGGATATGTTACGCGCCACTCCGGTAACTGGATCTATCCCTGTCATGATTGCAGTGCCAACACCTAAGGCGGGTGTTTGACCATTTCCTGTACGGAGATAGGTCTTGTTTTCCTTGTAATCAATGAACTTTGTACGGTCATTGCACACATGAACGCTCGCACCCGAGTCCATTACCCATTGATCCCGATACTGATCATCTAGCATCATAGTGGAGAACCCTGTGTAGGTTGTAATGTTGTCTGAGGCCTCGGTGGTAGCCAGATTTGCCGATCTCTGGTCTCCAAATCCACCCTTATTCTTGATCTCGTTCTCAACCCATATCTTCCATTCGGGCTCTCTCCCGAAAGCTTTGTTGATCTTCGCTTGTCGGTGATCCGCAACTTTCCACCCTTCTGGTCGGATAGTTGGATTCATCGACCAACAGTCGGCAACAGCATGGAACCCTCCACACGGGCACACACGCCGATCCTTGAATTCGATAAACGTCTCTGCTTGATTCCCTGGCTTAGCCTCCTTGTGGCCTTGCCATGTTGACGTTGCGAACGCTGGCTTAGAATTCGGCACAGCGGGCGCTGTCTTTCGAGTTTCGGTATAGGACGCACGAAAGGAATCGAGTAAGGCGACCATGTTTGTAGGTTGGCTTTCAATCACAATCTGTTGATATCGAGCCTCCCACCATACTGGTAGAACCTCCTTCACGGCCTTCAAGAAAAGAACTGAGTGAAAGGTGTCACTCTCAAGCTGCAGTTTGATAACCTCTTCACGTAGAAGCTCCCAATCTTCTAGCCATTGCAACACATTCGCACCCTTCTTCGGGCCTTTGATGTCCTCCTCTCTCCATCGGAGGAGCACATCCACATTGTACGAGTTTGATCTCGCAAACCGCTTGTATAGGAACCTCAGTCTCTCGTATGGTGTTTCCAGGCGGTCCATGATGCGCTGGAGCTTCACCTCAATTGAGTTGGTGATAGCTTGATCCACCAGACGGAGTCCCTTCTGTTGCTCCTTATACTCGGCTAAACTGAGCTTGTAGAGATCCATATCATCTCTCCAGCTTGCCTTTTCCTCCTTATATTCCTCTTTTAGGAGTCTCAACTGCGCCGTAGACAGGTCCTCGGCCAGTTGAAGTGTCGGTATTTCGGGCCGAACAGGCATCTCCATAGGTTGCCGAAGGGTGCTTCTAGATAGCTCCGGGTTACAATAAACCCATACATCTAGATTCTGGGCATACCGCTTCATTGCGGCATACCAAGAATGCCATTGCGCAGCACTCTTTAGCTTCTCTCCTCTCCATTGTGAGACAGTACTCGTCGAGTCCATGGTTTATCGGACACGTGTGGTCGTATATTGTGATCTCGGAGGTGGTTTCGACGTAGCGTATGCGTGCCTTGTCGATGCTCAGAGGAACTACTCAAACGATCCAAACACGTCTGAATAGCTTCAAATCCTTTCAACAGTCGATATCAGAGATAAGCCGGGCTCATAACTCTCTGATCACGTAACCAGACGTATTCTCCTCGACCAATGGCCCTCGTCGCTCAGGTGTAACTGTCTGATCATTTTCTATCTTCCAAGCACACGCAAAATACCGTGTGCTGACTAACATACAGGATGACTAAGTCATGTTATCTAATTACATAGATCCACAACTCCGACAACTATGTTTCACCTCTTTAGTCTCCTTAATTCTTTGTCGAACTCAGCTCTACGTAACGTTATCTATTTATGGGTACTGCCCCTGCCCCACATTAGTACAAAAATGGCTTTCCTGTCATCGTATTATGGTTGTATGGGCCATGCTCTGTCTAAACCAGTTCCTTGCAAAGAAACAAAGGATACGGGCAATGCAAGGCGATAAGGAAGGCAGCAATATTCAAAGTATTATACACGTAAGGCTTCGTTCTGCATGGTCTGCACGGTAAGACATTACCACAATTTTGACTCATTTCCTCGACCACACTTCCGGCACCTTGCTTGCAAAGCCGACATTGGTTTTCCACGGCCACAATTATCACAGTCTCCTAGTAAGGGATGATCAAGATATGTGTCGAGCCATCCCTTTCCGAAATCCGGCACTTGGGCGGCTATTGAATCGTACTTGGCGCGCACAGATGTCTCTCGTAAATGGAGCCAGAGATTGTCTCTCGAAAAACGGATGGCGATCTCTTTGAGCCCCTCGTTGTGGCTCGATGGCGAAAAGAAGACATCAGGTATTGAATCAAGATATTCAAAAGGGTCAAATCGACCTACAACCCTGTTCAAATATTTTTTCCGCGGCTGCGTCGCAAAGCTCCGCAATAAGGTATTTGTCGCCTAAAGCGAACAACTGTGCATGTAATTGAAGAGCTGATATTGATGCCAGCGGTACCTTTGGTGAGACATTTGTCGGACTATCACCAATAAGCTCTGAATAATCACCCGTGTATATGAATTCCACGCCATAAGCAGCGGGGCCTGTTCTGGCCTCGCGATTTCACCATGGAGGGCAATATCTTGCAGAAAAGGGTGCCATCCGGCGGCTGCGTTATCGGTTACGTCTGGGGCATCTCGTGGGTTCGCTGTCCACCGATCTACCAATATTTTGTCCGCTGCGAAACAGTTCGGTTGTTCGTGGTAATCAGTGTATCGTAGTATTTAATCAAAGTTCTTCACCCATAGCACTAATATTCTTGACGGCATCGAATTCCTCCAAAAGGGTCTCGAATTTCGACTTGGCCATTTTCCAAGAGACTGCTCCCAGAGGCAACCGTAGGGGTACACGCTCCTCGCGGCTAGCGATTTTATACAGGGTTTCAGCAACAGTAGAAGGCTCCATACCCATGCCAAGCTTCAATCCCTGGCGCACGTACCCCTCGAGCTTCCTTGCCGGCATATCAGCCCCGACATAGGCTGGATGAGGCTTGATGTTTGCTTTGCTATGACCCTCAAAGCTAGTTTTCACGCCACTTGGCTCGACGATACAGAAGTTGACTACGAAGCATTAGCGACCACTATCATTGATAAAAAGTCCCAGAAAGTGAGACAAAATAGAACACTTACTATTCCAATCTGGATGCATTTCTCTCGCCACAGATTCTGAAAAGCCCTCCACGGCAAATTTGCTAGCATGGTAAAAGGCATGACCAGGGAAGGCGCACAGCCCAGCTAGCGAGGAGATTTGGAAAATCAAACCACCGCGACGATCTTTGGCTTGCCGCATTATCTCGATGCTGCGTGTAGTTATGCGCACGGTACCGAAGAACAATGTCTCCATCTCCTGGTGCATCTCTTTTTCAGTTGCACCCTCAGTATCACCTGAGAGGGAGTAGCCGGCATTGTTGACCACAACGTCTAGATGGAATGCTTTGCCAAAATGCTTTGCAGCTGTAGCAAAAGCGGCATTTACGGAATCGACAGAGGTCACATCAAGGGTAAGTTTGAGGATATTGGCGTTGTCGTCTGGGAGATAGGATAGGTCGGCTGGATTGCGAGCTGTTGCAATGATGCGTTGGCTTGGCTTGCTTGCTACCAGAGTGGCAATCTCACGACCAATTCCTGATGAACATCCAGTGACTGTGGCTTTTGTAAGAATACTTCTAGACCATATTCGAGGGCAAGGTTACCTAGCCATGTAGCATCACTCGGGAGTTTATACGGCTTAATGTTGACAGGATTCATTGTATCAAGGTCGGACAAACTGTTCACTTAGCAATGTGTGGTCTCCTCTTAATTTTGAAGAATGGCCTGGGTGTTTAAATGTTCTTCTTGCATGTCTGAGCTCAATGCCATTTTGAGGTGTATAGAAAAGCTATAGGAAAGCCCCACTATTGTCCACATTGTGATTGGCTCACCCAACATTGGCAGGCGATTCGGAGTCTGTAAACGGATTAGAGTCAAGTCGAATTACGGAAGCTCCTACTGAAGGAAGTGCCCGACTCTAATCGGCGTCCGAACAAAGCTTGGTCTATAATTTATTATAGACATCTTTGACGTCTGAGCGTATTGTTTGTATGTAGATCTAGTCAGCAGGTTGTGAAGTCATGTTTATTCCAATTTATTTAGTTGTGCGATCTCCAAACCATGTACAGAGTACTGCTACTCGAGACATGTTAAAGGAAAAACTAGCATTCAGATGCTCATCGCTCCTTGTCACATCTTGATACGTCTGTTAAAAACCAGTTCCGCTCGACAAGCTCACCTACAAGCAGGAAGAGTCTGTCTTTTGGACATAGGATCAGAGTATTTCAATTGGTAGCTCGGTTTTCGCATACGGTTGAACCTCTTTCAATACACAAGAGGCACCGTAAACAGCTTTACTGTGTCTATGGTAGGGACGTGGAAACTCAGTCAAAATGGGTTTGGCTGACATGGAGAAAATGGGATCTTCAGCGAGGTTCAAAACCCGGGGAACCTGGAAATCACTAAAAATTAAATACAGCAAGTACAGCCGCATTTCAGTTGTTTGCTGTAGTCAATATCAATTTCCAAAAGTCAGAGGCCGTAACGGGGGCTCATAAGCGCGGCTATCGCTCCCGATCTGGACGTGGGGAAGCCCTATGTTGCCCTATTACATCACTCGACACTCTCTAGACCGTTTTGGGTGAACTCGCTCAGAACAATTGAATCTCCACTCCAGACGAAGCGGGATAATCTCCATAGCATCCCACTTGGAAATCATATAAGTCCTCGCAGATCCCCCACAATGTAGAGAGAAATATGCCCCCTTTACCAACAATCAAGACTTGACAACATGGTTCAGATCAAGACCCCATCCGTCTCTATGCTTCTCGCAAGTTTGACCGCTATGGGCGCCGCTATCGGTTGCTCCGCGGCAACTGTAACCAACAGCCTCTTGCTTGCCGAAGTAGCCAACCAGCTATCTATCCCAGCATCGACATGGTCCGCCAACGGCACGCACACAGCGAAGGGGTACACCAGCAAGTCCGCCGAAACAGCCTATATCGATGGCCTGAAGCAAGACTGCGATAACATCAATCTGAACAAGAAGCTTGCCACCGACTTCCGCAGCGACGTCCTCGGTGCGGGCGTGATCGGATTCTTTTATAAGTGCGAGAAGATCAGTGACGATACGAACAAGTACTGGTTCACTATCAGTGCTGGAGACAAGGCTCAGATTGATCAGCTTTGCGATCAGGATACTACCTATCCCATTGTCTATGATCAACAGCACAATACTTGGTTTATTGATGAGCCTTTTGATTGCACTCGTCGTACCAACCCCACAGACTTTTTCTAGGTTATGACATGGCTTGCACTGGTAAGTTCAGCACTTGCCCAAAATGTTTAGATTAAGAGACTAACAACGGCTGAAAGTGGGAATGGAGGCTAAATTGAATGTCACACTTGAGGTGCTCCATTTTGTTCTCAATCTTGATGCACCAGTCGGCTTCCACGGTTGAGAGTCACGAAAAACATCCATACCTGTTGAAAAGATCGTGACGCTCAGTAGTTACAATTTCTTGTGGTTAGTCCGTCGACTGTTCATGTACTATCTAAACTCATATCTTATGCGATACCAAGCTGTATAAGGCGGTTGAAGATTCAAAAAAACAATCCTTGTGCTAAAAAAAAGAATGAACAAAAAGGAAAATTGTGTAGAGTACAAGACATCACCAAAAGGCAAGAAATTAGACATCAAAAGAAATACCGCAATGAAAGAGCGTAAAAGAGATAATAGAATTACTCTTGGCCAGTGCGGCCTTCAGGGGCATCCAAACCCCACTCGGTCTTAAGATCAGGCGTAAGAATACCTGACTTTTTGAGAATCGTCTCAGCAAGAGCTGGGACCGAATCGCTCGTGAGAATCTCCAAAATTTGCAAATTAGCCTCCAATTCGCGGGTGATCCAGTTTCGGATCTCAATGGCAACTAATGAATCCAGACCATACACCGAGATTGGCAAGGCTGGATCGAGCTCTTCGATGGGACGCATTAGAATACTGGAAATCTTTTGAAGCACAGCAGCGCCAATTGCTGCCTCGGCGGCGTCACGTTTCTTGGATTGACGGATAGCAGACGCTGGGGAAATCTCGGTGCCGCTCTGCGCAGACTCGGGCAATGCGCCCGCGCCAGCGAGGGTGGATAGGCGCAAGAGGTGTGATAGCTTGGTATCGTTCACCCAGAATGGCTGTTCAGTGATCGGGGTTGTCTTGACGGCTTCGAAGCCTGCCACGCAGTGGCCTTCGCAGGTTGTGTCGAAGTCTTGTCGGATGGCTGCAGTGACGAGGCCACGGATATCGGTTGCATCGACTGACTCTGTGCCGAGCTGCTTGGTGATCGCCTCGCGCTTCTGGTCGTCAGAGAGATATCCGACTCCACGAACGACCGGAAGATCGATTGTCGAGCAGCGCATCTTCGCTGACTCGGGGTATTGTGCAAGTGCTGCCATAAAGGTTCCACTGGCAGCGTATGGGGATTGACCCATGTTACCGACGAAGCTGGCGGCGGATGAAAGGTTCACGAAGAAGTCGACGCTGCCGTTGTTGGTTGTGATTGCGCGTTGGACGTTCCAGATGCCATGGACTCGAGGCATCATAACCGTCTGATAGTCCTCGAAGCTGAGCTTCTCAAATAGCGTATCCTAAGAACAATGTCAGCGGAGGTAATAATCTAGGGTGTGGAGAACCACTTACACGAAGGACCATGGCTCCGAAAACAACACCGCGAGCAGCAGGCATGCGAGCGAGAACCGGGACGAGGTTTTGTTCAATGCTGGACCTGTCCGCAACATCGCAGCGACAGACCTCGACATTGACTCCTTGCCGAGTAAGTTCTTCAATAGCCTGCTTCGCCTTTTCAGTCGAGGCACCGCTCCTCGAAACCAGGATAAGACTTTTGGCTCCTTTCTCCGGCAACCAGCTGGCAATGTCAAGACCAATACCACCAGTTCCACCAACGATGATGTAGGATGCATCAGATCGGAGGAGGTTCTCGTCTCTTCTCGCGGGATAGACCTAGATTGTCTGTCAGGCCATGTCTGTACTGGGTTGTAAACAGGGGAAAGATACCTTAACCATAGAATCATCTGTAATCTGAACGACCATTTTCCCAATGACCTGTCCACCCTGCAAAGCCCGGAATCCAGTTTCGACCTGAGAGATCGGGAGAGTAGTGACCTGCCACCTAGCCTGGGCATTAGAGTCGACAAATAGCTTGAAAGCATCACGCAGGAGGCGTTTGGTCAACTGCGGGCGCTTCTCTCGAACCATGCCCAAGTCGACTGATGCAAATGAGAGATTTTTGTTGAAGTGGGCCATCTCCAATCTGGAGTTCTGCGTAATGTCACGCTTTCCAAGTTCGATGAATCGTCCAAACGGCGCAACGCACTCGAATGTAGCCTGCAATGCATCGCCGCTGAGAGAGTTGAGCGCAACATCTACACCTTGGCCACCAGTGGCGTGCTGAATGCCTCGAGCAAAGGACATATCACGACTGAAGAAGATCTGCTCCTCTTTGAGCTGGTATGTCTCCATTAGGAAGTTCTTCTTCTCGATGCTGCCGACGGTTGCAAAAATCTTGGCCCCAATGCTTTGAGCAATGATGATTGCCGCTTGACCAACCCCTCCGGCAGCGGCATGAATCAAGACACTCTCGTCTTGGGTTAATCGGCCGAGATCAATTAGCGAGTAGTATGCCGTACAGAACACAGCGGGGATAGAGGCTGCGATCTCAAAGGACATATCGTCGGGAATAACCCAAGCACCGGATGATGGGCACCGGGTGAAGGTGGACAACGATCCAGGCGACATCGCACAGACGCGATCTCCAGCCTTGAAATCAGAGACCGAAGAGCCTACCTGAGTGACAACACCGCTACATTCCTGGCCTAGTCTGTCACCTTTGAGTTGACCCATTGCCATCAGGACGTCCCTGAAGTTGAGACCAGTGCTGTATACTTGGATCTCGATGTGATCATCTGGTAGAGATGTGTTGCAGGAGATATCGTCTGTGAAGTAAAGTTCATCCAAGCCTCGGCCCTGTCCAGCAGCAAGTTTCAATGCCCGGTTCTGCTTGAAGGGTTGCAACTGGGGAGGCGCAGTGGGCGTCTCTTGTTGAACACTGAGATTCAGGGCGTGGTTGTCGACCAGTCGAGGAACACAGACATTACCATTTCGAACGACAAACTCCCAGTCACTGTGCATCAACTGCGAACGCTGGCAGAAGACACCCTTGAACACGTTCAACATGTGGCTAACAGCTTCAGCGTCGGGCATACTCTCCCGTTCGCCTAGATCCAGAGTGGCAAACTGGAGACCAGTCTCTGATCGGACGGTGCGGGCAAGACCAATTGCCATATTTGCGCCAAGGGACTCCAGATTGTGTTTACTGTGTCGAACAACCCACAATAGACCACGAGCACGACTCAGCAGTCGCTGGAGTGCCTGGAACTTTTCCTGTGTGAGATGAGACAGGATTGAGCGATCCATGCCACCAAGGAAAATGCACCATTTCCCAGTGAGGTCGACCTCATCAGAGTGCTCCGCTGTCGTTGGTACTGCGCCGGTCATACTCTTGAGGCCGGACTCCAAGCTAAGGAAAGACAGACTACCAATAGACTCAGTGCCAACAATGACAACATCACCATGGTTCATAGGTCCGGCAGCTGGGGCGTTGGCCGTAGTGGTCATCAAACAACCAGACTGGAACGAAGCTCCTGGGTACTCCTCAACACAGAGATCAACGCCAGTGAAGTCATTTGCCTTCATGACGTTGCTCCATCCCTCAACGGTGAGGAGGGGGCCATCCTTTCGGAAGTCGTCATTGGCCAGCCACCATCCAGACAGAAGGGCAAAGGGGAAGTGACGAGCCTTGGGCACAGTCTCCTCGATGAGAATGATCTTTCCACCAGGCTTAAGGAGGGACCGGATGTTGGCCATGGTCTCATTAATGTTGGATGTGGCATGCAAGACATTACAAGCAACAACAACATCATAGGAGCCAGTGTTGAAGCCCTGTCCAGTGGGATCTGCGGAGATGTCAAGAGTCTGGTATGTCATAAGATGGCCCCAGCTCTCGAATTTGGTCTTGGCCTTCTCGAAGAAACCTGGGGAAATATCGGTGTAAGTGTAGTGTCCGAACCGAGGGATAGATCCCGGTTCTCCTCCTCCTATGCTTTGCAGGATTGGCATCGTAGCACCACCGGTACCAGCACCAATCTCGATGATGTTGAGCTCGGGGTTCTGATGAGCCATCTTGTCGATCACGACAGAGACATTGGCGTAGGCTTCGCGAAGAGCGTCAAGGTCACTGTAGTACCCGCCGATTCCATCGTCCTCGAGGAGGACAGTCAAGGCATCGACCTTACCGCGAAGAATTTGAGGCAATAGCTCTCCAACCTTGAATGTCAGTTCACCGGCTCCGTTGATTGTTCGATTCTGTTCCAGAACGTCAAGCGATGGAGCTTCTGCTGGGCCAGCCTTTTCACAGGTCTTCTGGGCCCAGCGGTAGAACTTCTGATGCTGAGGCTCAAAGGTGGAGATCTCATCCTCTGAAACCGACTTCAGCATTTTCCGCAGGTAGTACTCTGCGACAGATTCCAATTGTTGCATGCGTTTGATCCCTTGCGTTGTATCGGTCTCTGGACGTGCAAGCTGACGGTAGTCGTCGCCAGAGAGGAAGTCAAAGCAAGGCTCATATTGCAGCTTGTAGCAAATTTGGTCTGGGGCATTGTCCTTGGATCCCTTGATGTCATTTGACACGGGCACCAAAGTGATACCATTAATGTCAATCAACAGATTGGCCGAGTTGCTCGGATCGGTAGCAAAGATACGGTTGTTTTCGGGGTCGGCGGCAGATTCACTACCGGACTGCTGACCGTATAGTTGAAGCTTGGTGCCAGCAGAGATTTCTTGACTCAATGAAACTGAGACACTCTTCACATGCGACGGGACGTGGGTGACCTGGGGTCCCGGCTCACCATAACCACGGAGGACCCACATAACCTGACTACACAGATCAAGTGTGACTGGGTGGACGATGCATGGGGTCTCGTACTCATGAGGCATGGCTGCTTTGGTATCTGGAACACAGAGGGTGGCCATTGCCCGGCAGTTTTTGTCGACCGAGATATCAGTCAATCTTCGGAAAAGAGGACCGTAGTGGACACCACCGCCCGAGATGTTCTTGTAAAGAAATTTGCTGTCGATCGGTACATTGCAAGCGTGGCGCATGTCCAGTGCTTCTTGTGCAAAGCGAGCAGTTGTTTCAAGCTGCTGTCGAGAACCATCGACTGGATTGATATCCTTGGCTTCTTGAACCATGATGAAACCGTTGCAGTGTTGATCCCACCCACGGCCTTCGGCCCATGAAAAAACTTTGAACTCGTGCCAGCCGAGGACGGATTTGCTAGGGGCCTCAGTGCGACATGGGCGCAAGCTGAGCATGGTCTCTACGGACAGGTTGTCCGGGACTGTGAGGACGCGGTTGATGAAAATGTCGCGCAGGTCGATCTTGCCTGGGGTGATGTGATGGATCTGTGCATGCTGGGAGATGGCCTCCATAGCCATGGCCAGGAATCCCGTCATGGGATACACGTTGCTGTCGTGAACTCTGTGTTCACGAATCCAAGGGTGGTCATCGGCGCGGATGGTATTCCTCCATCGGGGCTCGAAGTCCACGTTCTCCATGGTAAGTGAGCCAAGGATATCATTGCGAGGGAATTGGCGATGGAAATGATTATCACCTAGTCGGGAATTGAACCAGTACCTTTCCGTGTGGTTCCAGGGATATTTTGGCAGATTGGTCACTACAGAGGGCTTTCTCGGCGATCGGCTGAGGTTAGGGAAGTTGATGGCCTGGAAGTTGAGGGTCATCCCATTCATGAACAAGGAGCCAGCCAGGTTCTGAACGGCCTCAATGGCGTCGACCTTCCGCTTCAAGGTGTGGAAGTATTGCACATTACTCTTCGGGGCGTGGATCTGGGCAATATCTTTGACAGGTGTTTGCAGAGCAGGGTGAGGGCCAATCTCGACCAAGGTGCTGACGGGAGATACGGCCTGCTCATCTGTCAAGAGACTCTTCACGCCCTTCACAAATTCAACTCGGGAGATCAAGTTGTCAACCCAGTATGACGTATTCAAAGTGCTTCCTGGGACCAATTTGCCGTGCACGGTTGAGTGGAACGGAATTGCTGAGTCCCGGGGCGCGATTTTACCGAGTAACGAACGATACTGCTGCGAGACAATCCTCATATGGTGAGAGTGATAGGCAACATCAACTTGCAGTCTCCGAGTGAAGATGCCCTCCTTGTCCAATGCGTTTTGGAGATCGGTGATGACTTCTGCATCACCTGACAAGGTGACACTCGACTCGCTGTTTACACATGCTATGACAGCGCGGTTGCCACGCATAGCATCCAGGATTTGCTGGATGTCTGAAGCGCTAGCTCCAACGGCCAACATACCACCCTTGATGGATTTGTCATTCGCAACCAGGTTGGCTGCAACGCCACGAGAGTAAGCAACACGGACGCACTCCTCTAGTGTCAAGATGCCAGCCGCATAAGCCGCTGCAATCTCTCCACTGGAGTGACCAACCACTGCTTTCGGATGGATACCCCATGATGAGAGCAGGTCCACCAAGGCCAATTGCACTGCAGTACACGCAGGTTGGCTCATATATGCTGCCGAAATTGAGCTGGCGTTGGGGTCGGTCAAGCGTAGTTCGTCTTTAAAATTTTTAGTACTTGCCAAGGGAACACCTTGTTGGAGTGCGACATACCGATAATTGAGAAGGAGGCACCAAGCAACTTCAAACATCCATCCACGGATTTCATCGTTTGCTCGAAGACGGGATAAGTGCTAAGAAGCTCCTTGCCCATGCCATGCCATTGTGCACCCTGTCCAGTGAAGACGAAGCCAATAGTAGGCTCCCTGGAAGAGCGAACAGGCTCAGTGTTCAAGAGAGATGTATTCAACTCGGCAGGCAGCTGTGAAGAAATGGCGAATCTCCACGGGAGGAAGCTTCGGCGCTGGCCCAGCGTATAGGCCATGTTATCCAGGAGACTATCGTTGAATACCGGTGGGTAAAGGTCTAGATACCCACCGAGCCCTTTGCCCATTTGAATGGCGGCCTGCTTGTCATATCCAGAGACGACATACAGTTTGCGCTTTAGAGAGTCTGCGTATGCCGCACCTTCACCTTCATGGCGGGGGCCACGCTCGAGAATAACATGGGCGTTGGTCCCGCCAAAGCCGAAGTTATTCACACTGGCGTAGGGCTTGCCGCGAGGCCATGGCATCAATTTCTTGGGAACCTGTCGGGTTTTGGTTAGTAAGTGCCTTGTTCATCATTGCCGGTACTGTCTTACTTTCATATTCCATTTATCCATGGGAATCTCATCATTGGCCTTCTCGAAGTTACAATTGGGAGGGACGAAGCCTCGCTCAAGTGCCAGCGCAGTCTTGATCACAGAAACGACCCCACTAGTCCCCTCCAGATGACCAATGTTCGACTTGACAGAGCCAATGAGCAAGGGCTGTCGTGGAGTCCGTCCTTCACCAAAGACAGCATTGAGCGCCGTCGCCTCGAGCGGGTCACCAACTTTGGTGCCAGTACCATGCGCTTCGACGAATCCGACCAATTTGGGATCGATCCGTGCTTCCTTATACACTTGACGAATCAATGCTTCTTGGGCTTCCCCGTTCGGCATTGCAATACCTCTGGTGCGTCCATCTTGATTAAGACCACTGTTCACAACGACAGATCGAATCGCGTCACCAGCGGCCTCTGCGTCTTCAAGAGATTTCAATATAATACATCCTGCACCTTCACCTCGGCCAAACCCAGTTGCTCGATGATCAAACGCATAAGAACGGCCGGTGTCGGAGAGCAATCTTTCCGGTCAACTTGTTAGTGCCTGTCAAAGGAAATCGCAAAATTTGCCCTTACCTAGAACGAGTCATAGAAACAAAGGCCTCTGGAATAATGTTCAAGTGGCATCCTCCTACAATCGCGAGCGAACATTCGCCATTTCGAATACTTTGTGAAGCCAGATGCAGAGCAGATAAACTGGAAGAACAAGCCGTATCGACTGTAACACTGGGCCCGTTCAAGTCGAAATAATATGAGACGCGGTTTGCCTGCAATGCCATAGCTGTACCAGTAGCTGCATACATAGGGATGCCGTCGATATCCCTCGTGTTGTTGATTTCATAGTCGGGAAATGAGCCACCGGCGAAAACTCCCACCTTGCTTCCAACGATATCTTGCTGCGGAATACCGGCATTTTCGAGAGCTTCATATACACATTCAAGCATAATACGCTGTTGTGGATCCATGGATCGGGCTTCTTGGAGGGTAATATTGAAGAAAGGCGCATCGAACAATCCGAGATCTTCTTTCAGGAAGTGGGCTCCTAATGGGTTGAATGAGCCAGGACGATCCTGCTGAGGATGGTAGAAGGCATCAGCGTTGAATCGGCTCTTCGGAACGGGCGACCAGGCACTGCGGCCTCGGGAACAGAGGTCCCAAAATTCGTCGGGCGTAGAAACCTCGCCTGGGAGGCGGCAGGACATGCCGATAATGGCCATACGCTTTGGGGCATCACCAGTGACTTCGGTTTCGGGGACTGTGGCGGGCTCGGTAACTGGTGTGCCAGTCCCGTAGGGTTGTTGGAGACGCATTTTGGATAGAATCGGGTCTTGTCTGGAGTTTGAGGTCTAATTATGTACCTGGCACTGTCATCACCAAAGTCCAGCAAGAGTCCAGAGAATGAGCGTCGAATTTAGAGAAGAAAGGTAATATATAGAACAATATGAGCACGAAGGGACAAATTGGGCAATCAGTTGAAGCACTTGGAAGAGGAAACGAAGGGCGATATCAATTGTTAGGAAGCGCAATCCCTTGCATATTCAAACAAGCGTGCGCGTGCTGATCCTTGGTCTGCACTTCCTCGATTGAAGGGGAAAGCGAATCGGGCAAGAATACCTGGCGTCGAGGTCCATGCCTTCTTCCTTGATGACGCATACCACTAGCAGGTGCTTCGACGGGATCCTACAGGCACATGCACATATCCCTCTCCACTCGTTAGTCTCTTCCAGGGCTGTAGATCGAAAACAGTAGTTCGGTCGTGTCTTGCCCGGATGTTTCGAGTTGCCAATGTTCTGTGGCCCTTGCTAAGGCGAGGGTGCATTCCAGCAAAGGGGCAAAATCCCCGACCCTGGCAGATTCTTAGTGGCATCATTCTCTCCCCTCGCGCGAATCCTACAAATGCTCCGAGTGGTATCTGCCGTACGCCATTGACAGCTCGAACCGGTCGTGTTGAAAGCCGCAATGAAGTTCCTTTGTCTGCCGGGAGGCTACTGCAACATCACGGTATGTCATAGTTCACTGTATTGTAAAGAAAAACACTAACGAAATGCCAGTCGTTCACAACCCAACTAGGTAAGATACCACCTTGGAAGGTCCAGGTTGAAGGTTGGACGTTGAAAGAGAGTCTAACGTGGGTCCAGGGCCATTTGCCGACGCGCTCCGCACGCTTGACCCAACCGAGTTCTTTTACACTCAGGGCGAGTTCAGAGTGTATGTCCCAGATGAACATGCCGGGTTTTTCGGCCCTCCTCCGAACTGGACGTTTGCAAGCCCAGACGGGCCAGACCAGATGTTGATTAACATGAGCGACTTCCCAAGACGCGACACGCCAGAGGACGCCATGAACGTGGCAAACGATTTGGCTGGTAAACCCACATTCTCGTGTATGCCTGCTGTCATGGATCGCCTGATAAAGATCCTTGACAGCGAAGGCGATATTGATGGAGTGATTGGCTACTCCGAGGGGGCTCAGGTGGCTGCATCGCTCTGTCTTGAGGAAACCAGAAGACTGGAAGAATTTGGCCGGACTCCTCGATTGAAATGCGCGGTGTTTTTCTGTGGATGGCCTCCTATTCACCCGGCCACTGGGAAACTTGTTTTGGCTACGGATTACGAGCAAGATGCCATTACCATTCCTACCTGCCACATTGTCGGTGCCTCTGATCCATTTGTTGATGGCTCTATGGCGCTGTACAATATGTGTGATCCGGACACTGCTGACCTCTTTGACCATGGAGGTGGTCATGTCCTTCCAAGAGGAAAGAAGGTACTCGACGAGCTGGCTCCAATTGTACGCGATATGATTGCCTCGGTGTCTTGACCTCTACTGTTGTATACTTCCTTTTTTCCCCAAATATAAAAAGAAACATGCCTATACTTACGCGGTGCTTTAGCTGTACACTGTGTAGCACTAGATCATTGTTTGGATCCACTCCATAAATATAGATATAGTATAGCAATAATTATCAAAGACTACACCAACAACGGCCACGTTTCCGTCTCCTCCCCGTCTTCAACTTCCGTCCGACGACCCTTTCCAGGAAACAAAGCAAGGAAAGAACTAATCCCCAGATCCCAAGGTTGCCGATCATCACTACTCTCCCGATCGCTAACCCGATCATACTCTGTCTCTTTCCAACGCCGTCTTACACACTGTACAAGCCAAACAATCCCAAATACCACCCCGCCAAACGCCACCGTCCCCAGAACAGCTATCATAACTGACAGAACAGTCAACGTACTCGCATGACAACCTAGTGGCAGCGCCCTAAGCTCCCACCTCTCCTTAGAACCAAGTGGGCAAATAGACTCTGAGCTTATAGGCGTGAATATCGGAACCCGCGCCGTATTCGGCACGCAAGTCGAGGACTATAACGCATCAACCCATAGTCAGTCTCTTTCCCTTTCTCTATACTGTATCACTTTCCAGTACGGTGAAGGGGCTGATCATGCCGATCAGGTACGGATCCGGATGTATAGCTTTCCGAAACCCCTATCTCCCTCTCCCCATCCCCATTCCAGAGGCTGGGAAGCAAGGGAGCACGATGTGAAACAACAGTGGGGAATTTGGCAGAATAGAATGTGGCCAAAGAAGGGAGAAGGTGAAAAACCAATTCAAATCATTGACGGGGGGAATGCATGTAGCCGGGGGATCAATGCAGTGTCGGGTTTTTGTGAATTGAGGGTTTGGTGTAGATGGGAAGAGGGCGTATGGGTTGACCTACTATTGCGCACCAGCTGCAGGGAACGTCGCCTGCTAAACAGCCTAGACAAGACTGTCGACGCCAGCAGGCATGGAAGAGGGGATCGTTGTCTTCAAAGACGTTCAGGTTGGTGCTGTTGTTTCTTAGGAGCTCGAGGTCCATTGTGGTGATCTGGGGCACATGTAAGGCTTGACAGTGTAGGGGAAGGTTGGTCCTGTCTGTGCCTGGTATCGATTCTGCTATTCTCCTTGCATTTGTGGAAGGAAATGGTGGAGAAAACAATGAAGCGTTGGACTAGAGACGTCGGGTTCTCGTTGTTTGCGGGGTTGATGTATACTCGTCACTGTGAGCCAAACCCTGGAGACTTGACCGGGAAGACTCGACAGAGCTTCTTCGGCTTTTGTATATGCAGGGCTTTATCGTATATACCCTATTGCATATGCCCACGTGCAATTAATTGGATCCTGGAATTGACAAATACTAGCACGCTTTATAGACTGCACATCTACAACCCAAAGATCACCCGTTCACTGCGCCCAGGTAGTAGTACAGGTTTATATTATGTAGACTAAGGAAGATCGCATGACACCATAGCGTGAAAACGTGATAAATTTCTTGGTGAATTGCACTGGGAAGCCCAGCATGTTCAAATCCACCACATAATCGTCCAACACAGAAAAAAAGATATTCAATCCGAAGTAACGACAAGTCCAAATTAGACCACACGCTTGACCTGCAGATCAAAAAAGAGTTAGCATCCCATGTCCTCACACCCCAATTGAAGAAATCAACAAACCTCGAAGAATCTCTTGAGCCACCACACCTGGAACACACCCTCCCCAATTACAACCGCCAGCTGGAACATACTCCACCACTTCACACGGCCGTTGGTGCTCTCGGCCGTATTGCGGTGTACCCGCTCACGCACCACAATGTACGACTGCTCGTCCTTGACCTGTGTCAACGCTTCGGAGAGTTTGCGAACTAGATATTCCAATTGATCAGTCCATGGTTCTCTTCCAACAATTATTCCTCCCACTCTATTCAATATGCGATATCCTATATCCATTGTGGCGCTTACCTTCGGCCTCGAGGGGATCCTGCGACATTTCAGATTCAGGCACGTAGACGATTCCATGAACGTTGAAGGAAACCTCCTTGGAGTTGGAAGTCCAGCCCTCGTTGCTGAAACAGTAGTTGTATTTGCCGTCGGCCTGTGCGGTGAACGAGTAGTCTTCGGATGAAACGGCTTGCTTGAAGTACTGGCGGTTCCTCAGGGGATCCTCGACCTAGAGCGTGGCGAGCGATCGTTAGCATTGAAGTCAGTTAAAAAAAGGTCTCACTGAATCGAATCGGATTCATCGCCATCGCTTGCTCCTGTGTTGAATGGTATATGCCCCTCTCCATCCTATTCAATCCATCTAATCCACCATTCAAGAACCAAGCGACAGAATTGGGGGGTGACCAAGACGCCAGAAGGATGCCATACCCAGAAATCAATCTCGAGGTTTCCACTTCCTCCAAACTCCCGGTCTCCAACCTGGAAGGTAACAGTCATCACATCATCGCGGTGCAGGTTCTCGTGGAAGCATTCTCGTGAATGGGCCTTGAGCGGGATGGTGTGTGCGGTAGCGGCGCTGAGGTACCCCAGCGTGGTTACTAGGATAGTTGTTGCTGAGAAGCGCATTGTGACGGTGTGATGGATCGAGGTGAGGTGTGAATCTGTGAATCGGGTTGTTAACGCGCAAGGTGTCAATTCGTGACGCTCGGACCATGTCAAATAAACAGCGCTCCGCCTTCGCCTTGGTCGAGATGGATCGGAAATACTGTAGGAACCTTTGTTTTTTTTTTTTTTTTCCAAGGCTTTTTTTTTTTCCCAGGGCCAATGTATGTGCATTTGTTAGACTTAGCATATATAGAAGTAAGAAAAATGTGCAATCAGTGACTATGTAGAGGTGATCTGCAAATATATATCTTGTTCCTGTACGCAACTGCCACACCCAGAAAATATACATAATACTGCAAGACCGAGTGATTCCAAATGTGACCCTTATTAGCCATTTCGATTCAAGAGAAACGTCTGTTAAAACAACACCACAAAAGTACAAGTCATTTACGCATAAGTGGATAATGAATGATGTACTGGTGGCAGAATCCAATGGTACAGTACCAGCACTAACAACAGCACAGCTCGAGTGAACAAGAACCAACATAAAAAACTCTCATAGATTATTACTCGTACAATAAACCACAAAAAGTCTAGAATAGCCTAGAATAGCCTTAGTTTAACATAATTTCAACAAGAAGCAGCTACAAGAAGTAGAAAACACAGGGTAGCAACCACAAAAACATCCAAAAGGGCTGTAGAGGACATAAATAAGGTAATATAGTAACAGGAAGAAGGATAAAAGAGTGACACAATAACTATTAATATGTATAGAAGTGGGAAGTAAACGATATGACAGGAGAAAAAGGGGGTGTGTAAGTGTAAATCAAATCAAGATAGATAATCAATGTACAAGTTTTGGCGAAGAGGAACAAAATCAAACAAAAACGTAAGCAAAAAACGGGGTGGTATCAAATCCGAAAACACGCAAACATCGATCAACATGGGGATGAAGCCGAAAGATATGATATGTATGTCGAGACAGGGGGAATATGGTAGATATAATGAGAGGAGAGAAATTGAGAATTGGAGGAGAGGTGAGTGGGAGAGGCAGCGCTGTAAGCAACGAAGAACGCAGGAGATAAGGTGGCAAGATCTGATAATAGAAAGGGAACAAAAGAAACAGAACCAGAACCAGAACCAGAAACTCAAGACAAATTTATACGGGAGAAGATCAACAGCTAACGGCTTCTGTTATCACTCATGCTCAGCAGGACTCGGACTCAGCTCGTCCTCGCCTTCTCCTTCACCTTCAAGCTCAGCCTCCTCGTCCTCATCTTCAGCCTCAGCAATCTGAGGCCCAAAGGGACCATCATCCGTGCCCTTCGGTGAAGCTGAAACCATCCCATCAACGGTACTCTCGTTCTCATCGAAGTGCCCCTCCTCATAATTCGCCGGCTCGGCATCATGATCGTAGCTTGAGCGACGAAGCAGAGGCGGAGTCTTTGGTGGTTCAGGGACGGGGACATCCTTACGAACAGAGCCCCGTCTCGGGGTAGAAGTGAAGCCTCTCAAGGGCCGCGTCTCGGCGAAACGCGTAGCAGCGCTGGTCTGGGGTGCGTTTTGGCGGACGTGGGAGCTTGGGGGTGTCAGGAGGCCGGAGAGGAAGGTACCGGCGTTACTGGGCTTCGATGGGGTCTGGTCGGATGGAGCTGTGGCGTTGTCGCGGGCCTTGCGCCAGTTTCCCCACGCTGCGGCTGCGGCGAGAGGAAGAGAGCGGGGTGAGGCGGCGAGGTCTGAGAGGGATGGGAGAGCGCCGGACGTCATGCGTTCCTTTTCTTGCTGTTGCATTTGGAGGTTGGCCTTGAGACGGATGGCTGCGTCGCGGACGGCGTGTTGGTTGAATGAGGGCTGCGAGACGGTCTTGATAATATCCTGTAGATCGTCGATGCGGACGCCTAGAAGCTCGCGTAACCAGGTGATTTCAGTGTCCCGCTCCTTGATCTTGGTTGGTGCATCCTTATCCATCGTGGAAATCTCCTGCTCGAGTTCCTCGATGCGGGTCTCGCGCTGCTGGAGCTGATCCTGGAGCACGAAGATTGATTCACGCAGAGCCTGAGGGGAGATCCGCTCGGGTTCTCCAGATCCCTTGCTGAAAGACATTGAAGGCGTCGCCCGAGAATGCGAGGGCGCTGGAGTTGGGGCCGATGATGGAACAGGGCTTGCCTTGGCACTATGAGCTGCCTCAGCAGCAGCACGAGCAGCAGACTGAGCAATCTCGAGCTTCTCCTCAAGATGCTGCACCCGCTCCTGGAAGTGCTTGGCCTTGTCCTCCGCCAGAGAGACGCGCTCGTTGGTATGGTGCTCACCGCGCTGGCGATCCTCTGAAGAATTGTGCAGAGCGCGTGCGTGACGCTCACGCAGGTCATTGAGAACCCGCTCGTGCATCTTGCGCGTCTCGTCGATGGCAAGGTCCTTGGCAGCCAAAGCGGTGACCTTGGAGTCCCTGGCCTCCTCCAGGAGGAGTTCATAACGCTCCCGGGCGGTATCAGTATCCATGCGATTATTGTCAAGCTGAGACTGCAGACGAATAATCTGAGCCTCGAGCTCGGCGCGAACAATGTTGACCTGACTGTTGGAAGCCTCCAAGTCTGCCTCTAGTGAGGTACGAGTACGCTGGATTTCCACACGGCTGCTCTCACGAGCTTCGGAGAACTCACGCTCGAAGCGGCCAGCCTTCAATTGCAGATCGTGGTTCTCGGCCCGGAGACTGGTGATCAGATCCTCCAGTCTACCGTTCTCCTGCTGGCTTTGTTCATAGAGGAACTTAAGCTTGGCAGATTCCCGCTCCTGCTTCTCGAGCTCGCGGATATCCTCCTCGAGCTTCTCGCGAAGCTTAAGCTCGCGGGCATGAGAGGCGCGCAGCTCGTTATTCTTGGCAATTTGATCCTCTTCCTTCCTGCGCCAGGAAGCCTGGTCACGAGTAACATCGGCAGTCAGGCTGATCATGTCATCTTGGAGACGGTCGAACTTCTCAGTGAGGTTCTGGCGAGAGACCATGCTGTCTTCAATGCGAGTCCTCAGGTGATCGATAGTCTCATGGAGAGACTTATTCTCACCCTTGACGACATCAAGCTGACGACGGAAGTTATCACTAGAAACACGGTACTCATCTAGAGTGCCCTCTAGCGCGATGTTCTTTGTGGACAGCTCGGCGATAGTGACCTTGAGAGTCTCGGTCTCTTCTGCAAGAGACTCAGCGCGGAACTGCATCTTCTCGAAGTGGGGAATCTTCTCTTCCTTGAACTGAAGAAGACGAGACTCGGCATCTTCAGCGGCAGCACTGTGACGGGCAGCATCCTCCTCAGCATACTTCAGGAGCCGCTGAAGCTCAGTCATAGAGTCCTGAGCCTGGCGGCGATCCTTGTACTCCTGGTCGGCGCGCTCATCAGCGAGACGCAGCATGCTCTTGAGTCCATCAATCTGAAGCATCAGACTGTCAGCACCGATCTCCTCGGCCTCTGACAGGCGTGGAGTCAACTGGGCCTGGTGAGCCAATTGCTTGGCCATCATTTCCTCGACGATCTCACGCATATCACCGACGGGATCCTGAGCAAGCTTCTTGATAGTCAGAGCCTGCAGTTCAGCAATGCTCTCCTTAAGCTGGGACATCTCGCTGTGGCTGGAATGTGGCGCCACGCGCTGAGGAATGTCGTGAGTGATCAGGGCTTCCATGACGACGTTCTTGAGCATTTCCAGCTTGCGCTCTCTAAGGTTGTGGGGCGACCGATCTCTAACAGAGGCGGTCTCATGCTCACTATCATCTTCATCATCAGCATCGCTGTCCTCCATTTCGGCGGAGGTGCTGCGAAAGACGCGTCGGCTTGAAGCACCAGTGGCAATGGAAGCCACGGACTGCTGGATGACAGCCAGAGCACGCTCCATGGGGCCCAGGCGATCATCAATGGCGGAGCCGACAAGGTCGTTGATGCGACGGTCGAAGAAGCGGTTACGGTTCATGAACTTCTCGTCTTCACCCTCAGAGATCATGTCATCCCAGTCGCTGACGTGGTCATTCTCAGTGACAAGCTGGCGAACAGGGGACTGGAGACGAGAGATGAGGCTCTTCTGAGGAGAGAAGGTAGCGTTGCTGTTGGCATCGATGTCCGAGCCAAGCTTGGGGATGGAGAGCTTGTAAGTCTTGGGGGCACCGCCGGGACTGGGACTAGGGGCTTCGCTTCGGGCCTCTGCAGAGCCAAACGGCTGCTCCTTTGTGGGACCACCCATGGACTCTGTGATGTGTTCCGGTCGCTGTTGGAAGGGAGTCATATGGGCGGGAGTCGCATAGGCGGGAGTGATGCGTCTTTCAATTCCAACATCCGAGTCATCATTGAGCTGCTCCATGATTGCGTTCAACTCTTCATCATCAGGCGAGTCGTTTTCAGAGTCCCAGTGGAATCCAAGACCCTTAGGTTCACGAGTGATGATTTCTGGGTTCTCAGTAGATTGAGTGTCCGCCTCAGGCTGAACGGGAGAGGCTGCCTTCTTGGGTGGGCTAGCAGCAAAGCGAGAAGCCATAAGGCCGCCTTGAGGCTTCGCAGCAGGCTTCTTCACAGGGGTCTCAAGAGGCATTTCCTCAACAGCCTTCTCCTCAACGGGCTTCTGTTCGGAGAAGCTAGAAGGCTTGACTGATGTAGGAACAAAGTTTGAAACAGCGGGCTTGAACTCGAATGGTGGAGCTGTGGGCGAGAGCATGGTGCTCTTGATAGAACTCTTGGATCCTTGAGGAGCATGGTCAGGACCCTTTGCGGGGGCGGCTTCATCCGCAGCAGGCTGCTTCGGCTCACGCTCTTCGATGAGGATATCCTTGGGCTCTTCAGCGGGCTTCTCCTGGACAGGCGAGGCAGCATTGGATCTGTTTTCGGCTTCGTTCTTTGCATCGAACAAGGTCCAGGTATCAGCCTCGCTGGCAGGGGTGTCTCTGCGCTCGACAGGGTTCTTCTCATCGGGCATGGCGTTCTCCTTGCCTTCAGCGACAGAGTGGAGGGTCTTAGAAAATTGGACATTGCCCGTCTCGCCCAGAGGATGGGTCGAGATGCTGTATCTAGCCTCGCCTTCAGCGTGTCCCACACCACGGCGAGCACGCTTGTGACGATCAGTAGGAACAGGCCGGCCATGAATGTCATCTTCGTGGGTTTGTTCACCCTCCTTTTTCTCCTGCTCATTCTCATCCGGCCGGACAATGGGAATAGCCTTGGACTGCTTCGAGGGCTTGGAGATCTCGTTGATATCAATATCGCCGAAGATCTTGGTACGGTTGGGCGAGGGCTGGTCGGAGCTGGCGGTCGACTGGAGGCTAGCAGAGGGGTTGAACACAGGAGCATCCACGTTGAATGATGCGGCAGAGAACTTGAAGCCACCAGTATTGTTACGTGGCTCAGACTGAGCCGGGCCATTCGTGCTGGTACCAGGCTCGAAGGCGGGAGGCGGAGCAAAGCCAAAACCTTGCTGGCCCATGCCGCCAAACTGGAATGCATTGTTACCAAAAGGCACAGGCTGAGCACCGAAAGATGCTGAAGGATCGAATTCCTTGGCCTCCACGTTGAGGGATGAAGTCGAGAGCTGCGAGCGATGGCCGTGGTAGGAGTTTCCGCTGGGCTGGGTCTCATGCCACCGGCCTTGGTTGGGTATGGCACCACGGGTTTGTGGGGTTCCGGAAACACTGGGGTTGGTATCGAGATCAGAGCCGTCGTGACCGTTGTGCTGGTATTGCTCGTAGAATTGGTTGGGATGCTGGGAGAAAGAGTGAGACGCCTGACGAGAGCCGTCTTGGGGATGCTGCTGGTCGTGTGGTAACGCCCAGCGCGACTTGAGCATGCTAGCATTGAGACCGGCATGGTTGACATCACGGTAGTCATCTTCTAATTGCCGGTCGATTGAGTCTTCCAGGTGGTAGTCGGAATGTGTCATCTGGTCCAATCCTCTCTGAAGGGTCTCGCTGAGATTATGGCCATGTCCACGAGGCGTGGGGTGAGCAATTTCGACATTAGATGCGTGGAAGTGGTCCGGATGCCCGTTGACAGGGGTCTGAGGGGTTTGGTATGGCAGACCCTCCTGGTGCATGTCCGGGTGCATACCATGACCGAATTGATCATCGAAGACACCTTTGTCATTGAACCCGGCATGGAAGGAACCTTGCTCGTGCATTGGCGAGACAGGCGAGAGCATGGATGCAAACTGGCCCATTGCACCTGGGCCTCCCGAAGAGCTTGCCTGTCGGGCATTGATGAAGCCTTGTGGAGTCATGGAGCCCTGGGCAGGAGGTGTAGGCTGGAATTGGAATGGGTATCCTCCCATCATATTTTGTTCCACGCCCATGTATGGAGTCTGGATCAAAGGCGAAGCCATAGAACCCAAACCAGGGGTAGGAATTGAAGGTTGACCGAATGGAGAGAATGTATGAAGTTGACCAAGAGGGTTGCTCGCAGCTGATCCAGTAGGAATTGGTGGCGATGCCACAAGACCCGGGAAAGGAGTGTTGCTCTGATTGACAGAGTAATCAGGCGAAATGGATGGTTCGGGCTCAGGGTCACCAAACGATACTCCGAGAGCTCGTAGCTTCTCCTCTTGAAGATTGGCGACATAAGCATCCCAAACGGCCCTATCGGGGAAGTTGACGACTAGCTGTTGTACCTTCGATTCCTCGTGAAGCTCGTATGGTTCGGGGTAAAGGGGTCGGCTCAGACCTCCCAGAGCCGTTGTTTCAGAGGGATCCTCAGAATCGCCAATGGTGAACCCACGGATATCGTATCCTTCATCCTCCCATTTTTGCATCCGCTGTTTGACGTCTTCAGGTGTCAAGAGACTGTAACTAGATCCATCCGAGCCTCTTTTATCCTCCAAGGGCAATTCAATTATGCAGGCTTTCCCTCGCCAATTGAGCTTCTTCTTCCGTCGAGGAGTTTGGGTAGCTGATCTGCTGACTTCCGAAGCCTGTGTTTTCAGGGGACGCGGGCTGGACTGTTCTGTGTTTGCTGACGGGCTGTCGTTCGCATCTGTCGGTGGGGGAGGAAGCGGCTTTTCTACCGGCGAATTCGCCTCCATGGTAGGTTGTATGTCCGACATATTGTTCTGTGGGGGATCTTTATCGTAAGCAAAACCCCAGAAATCCTCCTGGCGCAAAGTATCCGCGCGTTTATGCAGAGCTTTCTTGGCTTTCGCACGAGCCGCGGCTTTCCTGCCAACAAAGTCAGAAAGCGTAGGCGTCTTCAGGAGATCGTCGTTGCGAAAATCGTCCTCCAGACCAAGCCAGTCGTCTGAAGCGTCGTCTGCAAATGTATTCTGCGCAGTAAAGAAGGAAGGCGCTTCACTACCAGAGTCGTCACTGAGCCAATTGCTGCGTTCAGTCCTCGGCTGACCAGTGAGATACTGATTGATCCAATCCTGGGTAAAATCGCGAATGGATTTCTCGCCGTTCTGACCAGCAAGTTCCCGCTCCGCGGTCTCAAGCGTATCGTTTGTCGCACTCGATCTCCGAAACTCGGTGTAGTTGGCTACCGACTGAACGGGGGAGTTATCTCCAGATTGGTGATCGACACCGGTGAGTTGGCTTTGGGTCACTGATAGTCTCCGCGAGCTCGGTGCAGCATACGGGGACCCCCAAGCAGTGGTGTAGTAGATACTGCTTTCTGGCCTCCGATTGACAGGTGACGACGTCAGAGAATCGCCGTTCCGGTATGTGGATAGGAATGGCAGCGGCGGGGGATCGAGGCTGATGCTCTGCGGTGAGGTATGTTGACCGGGGGAACCGACGGTCGACGGGCTCGAGTCTCCTGATGGAGAGGACAAGAGCAGGGCCGGAGCCAGGCGCGGTTGATCGCGTTCAGGGCGCGTGTCTCGTTGAAATGGTGGGGAAGAGGCTGAGATGGAGACGGAGGGATCTAGATCTGCAGAATCCATCCAACGCGGTTAGATTCGCATATTTGGAGGGGTGATTGCAAGGGGAGGAATGATCAAGTTGAAATCGCGTGGAAGAGACCTCCATGGGAAACTCCGCAGGGGTCACTCCAATTCCTATGGGGAAATTAAGTGACACTCACCTTCCGTGTCGACTCCTGCAGCAAGCACTTGCTTGCCGCTCCGCTTATCGTCCAGAATGTTGACGCATGGAAATCCAACCGGATTCAGGGACCAGTGGCAGGACAACCTGGGGATGACAGGCTGTTGAGTGGTACGTGTATACGTTGAAGTCTGAACGCGAGAACAGGGGAAAATTTGGCCTTAACGTCAGTGGATCGTGGGTACTGGGTACCTACTAGAGCGTGGGTAGCGCGTGCTAATGCGGTGTACAGGGTACTTTGAGTCCGGTGGAATCCGACGTCTCTTACTCGTCCAACAATGACCGAGGCCGTTGAGGCGCGTCCCAATTGAAGCCCTCCACGCTACGCATTTAGGCCCAAATTTGACCCTTACTGCAGATCCAAGGGGAACTTGACCGCCACACTGGATGTGTCTATTCTTTTTACAAAGTCCCTTGCTGGGTTTCACATCAACAATAAGTTATCAGTATCAACAGTATGAAAGTAGTTCATCGAAGTAAACAAAGAACATTTCAGGGGTAAAAGGACCATGGGACTGCAGACCACGTGATAGGCCCCAGTTCGGGAGTGGCAGCCAATCAGAGGATACTATTGCTACAGTACCTAGAAGGTCAGTCGTGAATAACTACATAGAACGTGGAAACCTGTATCTTGTAGTCTGAAATTAAATTTCAGTCCCAAATGCATACATCTGAAAGAAACTATCTACTAAAAAGACCGATGCTAATCTCCCAATCTACGGACAGGAGGTGTCGAACTTGGTCTTGCGGTCGGCAGTGAACAGACCCCAGTGCTGCTCATCCTTGAGCTCACCGTTGTCACCCTTGGTGTCGGGCTTCCAGGACTCATCAAAGGCCTCAAAGTAGAAGAGATCTACACCCCAGTCCAGCATACCGCAGACACCAGTCTTCCAGAAGTTCTCAGCATTCTTGGTGCCAGCCTTGGCGGCCTCATAGTCCGAACCACCATCGGTGGGCCAGCCAGTCTCGCCGTTGACAATGTTGATCTTGTTGGCGTTGTCACCGGCAACCTTCTGGATGTGCTCCATGGCACCGGCCATGTCATCGAAGTAAGTCTGGTAGGCCTTGTCGGCAGCAGTGCCCTGCCAGTACGCAAAGGCGTTGGCCAAACTACAATATGTCAGCGTTGAGAATTGATGTTGTGTACTGTATGTACTTACACATAAGTCACAATGGGCTCCTGGGTGAACAGATCGTCGCCGGTACCGTCGGCGAGCTTGTTCCAGCTGTCAGCGGTACCAACAAGGATACCCTCGGGGACACCGTCCATGACATGCTTGATGTAGGCGTGGAGCTGGGGTCCGGTCAGATCACCGCGGTAGAGAGTCTCGGAGCCAACGGTGATGGCGTGGATGACGTCCTCGTGACCGGGGATGGCCTTCTGGATGGCGGACCAGTCCTTGGCGAAGGAAGGCTCCGAGAGCAGGTCATTGGTATCGGTGGGCTTGCCGACCCTGTAGAGAAGGAAAAATGCGTCAGAGCAGTCTCAATGTGGTGGGATAAATCCTCCAGACTTACCACATGCCCAAAACAACCTTGAAGCCCTTGTTCTTCGCGGCAGGCAGGATATTCTGGGGAGTGTCACACTCGGTACCGGAGTAGGTACGGACGAGGGTGGACATGTCCTTCAGAGCGTCGAAGTCGGCTTCATAGTCGCTGGTGGACTTGCAAGTGCCATCGGCGTTCTTGTCACCGAGGGAGAAACCCAGAGTGCCCTTGGCGGAAACGAGGGCCGGGGCAGCAGCCAGGAGAGAGAGGATACCAGCACGCATGATGAAAAGTAGAGAAAGAGAGTGTGGAAAAGAATGCCAGAGAAGAAAGTAAATGAGCGTGGAGGCAACTCTTATAAAGGCAGTACGTCAGAAAGAAAAATGGAGAACGGGAGTTGGGGGAAAGTCAGGGTTCGGACCCTGAGGGTCTTGGAGTCTGGGACCTGCATAGGGGCAGACCGTGTACTACGCTATTCTGGGATCCAACCACTGGGTCTGGACTCCCTCCGGTGGCGTGGTCTTCACCATTGAAGGTTAAGTTAACTTAACTGTCTCGTTACTTTGACTTTGTACTACAGTTAAGATTGATTTATTACCCTAATCTCCAAGCTTCTTCTTTTGTTCCTGGCTTTTTCTCTTTCTCCCCTTCAAGCGGCTCCGTTGTCCGCTCTCCGCGCATCTACCCATACCCTCCTCACCATACAATGCCATAAAAGTCGTGATGTCACCTCAAAACCAACTCCAGATCAACCCTGGAAAAGGGTCCTCCACGGTGGAGAATTCGGGCAAACAATAGCAGCAAGTTGCTCACCGCCCACGGCCGCACCGCTCCGATGTGCCTCGGAAAAGAGAACCGCAGGACGGTGTATTTTGGATTGGACTTTCTATGGCTCGCATGTTGGCCAAATGGGATCTCTTTAAAGAGATCCCATGGATTTCTCTGTGTTCGCCTCTTCAACACGCTGACCCAGATCATGAAATGGCCCGACCCTGTGTCCCTTGCGGCCGAAACGTGATACGTCGTTCAAGGGGTTTTGCAATTAGCAACTCATTGTCGTCAGACAGGTTCTCGAACGTCTGCAGAGGATTCTGTAATGTTCCAACCTAATTAGGGAAAGATTACCCTGCGGTAAGCGTAGTTATTATGGATGTCCAGCTAGGATCGATTCTGCCTCACATTCTTACATCTTGCTTTTTCTTACAATCACTTTACGAAAAGCAGAATTTCGAGAATTTCAGCTGACAGTGTGTCCATTAAACTTCCAAAGAATAAAAATAAAAAATGAAAATAACCTGCTAGATGCACGTGGAAATAGATCGGCGATGTAGATTATCGACCTAGGATAACAAAGCTATATCATGCACCATTGATCTACAACTATAGTATAACAATCCTGCAGACACAAAAAACAGCAGCACCCTCTTTACTTTCCCTTATATCTATCCTGCCCATTCCCATTCCCATTCCCATTCCCCTTACACCAAACCCAAATCCCCTTACACCAAAACCAAGTCTCAATACACCCAACAGCGCCCAGAAAAACCACCAAAAAGATCCTCACATTCCTCCCAATCCTGAGAGACTGAATGTCCACACCCGGCAGTTCCGTATCAACCGGTCCGGCATCGCCCGGCGATGTTCTAGATCTAGAACCGGACCCCGGGTTGGAATCGGAATCGAAATCGGACTTTGGGGTTAGAGGGTTCTTCTTTGGATGTGCTGCTTGTGTGGAGAAACCGTATGCGCCTCCTCTGCGATATGGTACATGTGTTGGTAGAGACGTTGGCCAGACCCTGGGGATCCATAGGGCCGAGGTGTGGCGGGGTGGGGATGGTGGGTTTCTTATCCTTGGTACTTGGACGTGGATATGGAGACGTTGGGCCTGGGGGCGGAAGGAGGTTATGGCTGGGTTGGGGTGGAGTATAGGCATGGTATTGTTGGATGGGTAGGATGTACGGTGTATTCAGACAGTTGGACTAGAAATGGGATGGAGGTCGGTTGCTGGCGGGTTTGATATGTACTGCGTTTTAAGTTAACGTTACATGTATATGCCTGACACGTGAGAAGTGTCAGATGGAAGTGCTCAGCTGACCGTACCCTGATACATTTATACATCCCCCGCATCGAGAGTCCAGCTTGGAAAGTGGGAGGCATGTAGTTTTAGGAGTTAATTGGCTTGAAGTATGGCATCTACGTCGTGATGGCTATTCTTTGTACAGCCTGGTCATTGCTTACGTTTTCCGATGAGGACAACCTTGGACCTCAAACTCTCTTACGTGTAGTACAGGCTGGTGAACCCTAAGCGGCGGCTTTCAACGTATGATTTACAGGTATGCGTTCGGTAGGCTTAGATTGAGCCTGGCTGGTGGTACAAAGCCTCCAGAAGTGCCCTCGTCGACAAGCTGACTTGGTATGTTCAAGGGGTAGGCTGTGTACTAGTATGCGTAGTAGAGCTGCGTGGTATATCTGTGAAAGGCGTGCATAAGCATCGGCCTAGCTACAATGGCAAGGATCATGCATACACATGCCAGCCTTAACAATACGTGATACAGATACTGGTCAAAAGTATCTTCCACTCCACTTTCCGGCCACCACCCTCAATATATATATCTACTTTTTGCAACACTATACCACCATACTTTAGACCAATTACCTCGAGTAAAACATATGAATAAGCTTAATATTTTGTATAATAACCCTTAGCCTTTCGTATAGCTCTTAAACGTCTCCCTATCATTAAAATCAAGCTATCTATTTGCCTACGATATTGCCTGCTAGGCACTCCTTTCTTCCCCTATCAATAAGCCTTAGAAAAAGCTTTAAAAAAGCATCGTTCTTAACCACCGCTACCCGGGTTCGATTGGGTTTAAATCAGGTAAGTGCGCGGGGTAATCCTCGACGTATACTGCGTGGGTTTCAAACCACCCCTACATACCGTAGCGAAATAAAACCTCACGTTATGTGGTATAGATTAGTATTAGCCTTTGCGAGCATCGAAATATACGATATCGCGGTATATCCGCGTCGGGTAAGTCCTCGTCTCGACTTATAATACTAACTCTATACGGCCTCCTAGCTAGATTCTAGCTTGAACTATTTACGAAATATCCTTTACGTAGACCTTTGTATTTACTAGATCGCAGCGGAAGCCTTCCGAACGGAAGCACTATTATAATCTAAAGTTCGAGGTTCGTTACACCGACCACTCGTCCGCAAAAATCCACTATTAAAAGCTTTCTCGCTACTATTTTCTTATAAATCTAAGATCTTTCCGAGTAAGGACCTTTCTAATTAGCATTTTCTTTTTTAACAGGTATTTTGAGAGCCCGAATCGCTCTAAAATCCGCTATATAGTTGATCGAGACGGGTGCATATAGGTAGGGCCGAGTGGGAAGATTTTGAACCCCCATGTATCATTCAAAAAGATAGACCCCTCACATTATACATACACGAAGCCCTGCACCTGGTGAGGGGAGGGGATATGATGGGACTCGGCGACAATATTCGCCAGACAGGAATACTGTAATACAAAGATGGAACTCTATGTGGTTTGTGAAAAGGAAAACAGATGCAACTGGCTATTTCCAGTTTTCCAGGAGAGTCCCACGAGGGCAGTGTCATGTCGTAACCGGAAGTTTCCCTTTGCCCCAAAAACGCCAACTAGCTTAAAAATCACAGCAAAATGTTCTTCTCGCGGCGGAGTGTCTCTTTCAGCGCCGTGAGTTGGATGACTGCTACGGTTTGTCGAGGGACAGATCCGGGGAGTTCGACCAGAGCCTTGCGCATGAGGACGAGACCGATTTGGCCGAAGAATCCTAGGATTCGCTCTGGGGAGGACCGGAGGAGAGAGCCCAGGAGGATGATCTGCGTTTCCTGCAGTTCTGATGGTGGGATGGCTAGGATCTTGGTAATTGAGTCCCAGAACATGGTGTTAGGAAAGGGGTTTTTGCGGGCTGTTTTTCCGAAGTTGCGCAAGGTGATGGCTGCATATCCGGATCCCAGGGCAGTCATCCGATCCAAGTGTGCTTGCTCGCTGATGAAGGGACCGCCGGCTTCTTCACGCGACCAGCCTAGGGCACGGCGTCCGGAATCTGTCTTGTCGTTGCCGGTAAATCCCCATAGGGCGGGGCAGACTACTCGGAACTTGGCCATCAAAATGTCAGAAAGGGGGATTCCTTTGTACATTAAACCATCCTGAGAAAAGATCTGCGCTGCCATGATGCCAATCGGCTCGGCATGGCCTGGGTTGAGAGCCGCTTCGGTGATGAGCGCGGATACCAACGCCTTCGCGTAGATGTTCAAAGCGTATATCAATAGAGCGGAAATTTTATGTTCTGAGCCCGCCATCTCAGTGGGTGGGAACGCGATGAATCGTTGAACATCAACCGAGGGTTCTGGGATTGCAGCGGCCTTTTCGAGCTCGGACTTAATTTGGGCAAGCTGGTCGAGGCGGAAAGTTAGTATACAGATAGACTTGTAGGGAATGGAAAGGTGCATCAACTCACCTGGTTAGTGTTAGCACCCTTGCCGGCACGGAGTTGACCAACGGACTTCCTGATCGTCCGACGCAGATCTCCAATGTATTTTTTCATCTCTGGATTCTTTTTGCTTTCGCCAACCAGCCACGCGCGGAACTCTTTGAGAACCTTATGAAGTTCAACATAGCGCTGCTGAACACCGAGTTCTTTTTCAGAGAGGCGTCCAGCTCCGAGCTTTTGCTGCTGCTCACTGCGGGCCTGTTGGTCGGCTTCTTCCTTGGCCTTTTGCGCATCCTGTTCTGCCTTGCGCTTCTGGGCCTCGGCTGCCTCGCGCTCTTTGCGCTGCTTTTCTTCAATGGCGGCCTTGCGCGCGTTTTCAGCCTCCTGGGCCTTGCGAGCTTCCTCGGCCTTGGCTTTCTCCTTAGCTTGACGTTCTGTCTCAACACGCGCGGCTTCTTCCTGCTCGCGTCGCAGCTTTTCAGCCTTTTCCTTCTCAATCCGTTCTTTTTCTTTGCGGGCGGCTTCTTCCCGCTGGCGCTGCGCTTCTTCCTCTTCGCGAAGGTGCGCTCTCAGAGTAGCCTCGGCCTCTTCGCGGATATGGTTATGGTGGGCTGCTGCCTCATCGAGAGCGGCATTGTGAATAGCTTCGGTTTCACGATCCTTGCGGTCGAGCTCATTCTCGTAGGCAGTGCGCTCATATTCATGGACCTTCTTCAAGTCAGCATTGAAGATCTTGACGCTCTCGAGGCCTTGAATAAGCTCTTGCATGATCTGCCGCGAGGGGCTGTCCAGCGCGGAGCTGTCCAAAGGTGGCACATAGCGGACTGTCATTGTGCTGTGGAATGTGAATGGAGAGGTTGGGAGTTCGACGACAGATGAGACGTCTATGTTGCGTGGATATGCAGAGGGAGAGGATCGGAGGAAAGAGCGAGTCTGGGAATTGGTGGAAGCGTCGAGGTCACAGGAGGTTGCGTAGTAAGGATAAAGTGAGTGACAGATTATATCACAGTATCGAATATGGCGGGGTCCGAATGATCAGGCCCATTTCTAGAGCTGCAGGTCACAGTGATTCTGGTGCCTGATCGGATCCCCAGGCGAGGGCTTCGTAATTGCAACCAGCAGAAGCAGCCTCGGAGTCGAATGTTGCAAGGCCTTAGAGGATCCAAAAGTGGAAGCTCACGGAGGACAAAGCGCGATGCACGCGTCTTATGATTACGGGATTCGAGGCGCGTCCAAAAGGGAAGGATGTGACATGAAGACCGCGGCTATGTGAAGTCAGCAAAACGCGTCGCGAAACCCATTGAGCCAGCCAAGTGCTATACCATGTAGCTGTTGAAGCCCAAGGAAAATAAATTACCAACATCGGGCTGAGTCAGCACTGGTTCCCTGGTTCGAGTGTTGCATCACCATTTACATCATCCGGAGCTGCCTATCTAGCTATCCCTATAGTGTAGCTATAAGGAATGAGGAATATAAGTCTATATCTATGATATTATAGGGGCTGACTATGATAGTGGCAGTTCTGAGGGCACTTGCTTCTAAATGCCCTAAAATCCGCCAACTCACTAGTACAATATAGTATAGAGACCATCCCTGGAAGCCCCTAGGGTAACCCGAGGTAGCCATACATCCAATCCACAATCACTATGGAGTTCATGTAGTCGACTTGACTTTTCCATGCCATCACCATCCACCACCATCCGGTAGCAACGGCGATCATACGGTGTATGATGGATACTGGTTATGGTATTACCACACTCCACCTGTACTGTCTCACATTAATCTACGGTTAATCTATGTGATATCCACGTAATAAATCAGTTAGGTCATTTCCAAACCACCGCTTTCTTTTCCATACCACCCCACACCCTCTTTGTATCTCATCATAACCTCTTCTCTCTCTCTCCTTTCTCTCCCCTCCCCCCATCTCCCTCCATCCTTTTCTTTCCCCCCCATTCCTTGAATCAGTCGGTGTTGATATCGTCTATTCTATCTTTCCCTCTAATTTCAGTCTTTGCTGTCATTCTCTTCGATAGCCCCCGTCTTCGGTAACCCTGGACAAGCTCAGCTTTGTTCTCTAGAAGTCCCAATCTCTTCGGTTTCTGGAGCTTCTAATTTCGACTCCTTACCCTTTCCGTCGGTCGATACGGTCGTGCTTTCCAGCGTGGCAGCTTGAACCGCGAAACTCGGTCCTTCCATCTCCGAATCGAGCTCCCTTGACTTGGTTATCGCTCCAGGTCATATTTGGCGTGCAATTGATTCGACTGTCATTTTCGATCTGACCGCCTGTCAACCCTCACCGCTTGGCTGGCGAATAAAGAAGATCATCCCACGTTGGACATCGCAGACGTCATTTTGGAATGCTAGGGCTCAGAAGCCGTCATTAGTTTCTCAGGTAAGAGAACCACCGTGTCCCCGCAGGCATGCCCTTGAGGAAACCTTTCCCGGCTTCGACCTTCCCATGTTTCCCGTTTTCGCAAGACCATCGAATGGCGCTGCTCTTTGGCTTCTTCTTATCGTGGAATGCGGTTGTCGTAGCTTCCGTATTCAATGCCCTCACTTCGGGACTGCCACTTCTCTCGCTGGCAACTTGTTTGCCCCTCCTCTCTCACGTTCTCTCTTCCCTGTCATACTCTATATATTGCCCGTACTGATCCACTCTTTCCCGCTGCAGTACAGTTCACGCGTTGAATCTTCACTTCGCACATACAAACCTCTTTGGTCGGTTTGTGATCCGTATCACTCGGTTCGACTGCCTTCTGGCATAGTACCAGTCTCTCCTGTCGCCGGATCCATCCCGTCATCCCACATATTACACACTCTACAGTGATAGCCGTCTTCTGTCATCTGGGACCATGGATCAACAGCAGAGTCAATCCGGACCTCAAGGTCCTGGTGGGCGCAAGTTCCATATTGCTCATCGGAGAAGTCCTTCTGAGCTTACCCCATTGATGAGTATGTGATAACGGGACTATCCCTCTCCGTATCAGTTGGCTGACTTGACCACAGTGGAACAACTGGCCATTCAGCAACAGATTGAGTTGCTCCAGCAGCAGCAGCAACAGATTGCTGCCACGCACCAGCAATATGTTAACATGGGCTTGTTGCAGCCTCAACAACTGGGCCAAGTGCAATCCTTCCAACCGGGTGCCTCCATGGGCGGCGTTTCCCCACAGGTCAACGCATTCCAGTTCCCCCAGCAGGGACAGCAACAGCTTGGAGTACCCATGAACCAACAAAATCAGCACTCGCATCGTCGTAACCAGTCCGCTCTTCCGGGCCTCCCCATGGGTCCGCCACCTGCTCCATCCTCCGGCGCGTCAGGATATGCCGATTACAACCAGCAGGGCCAGAACAACAACCACAAGAATGAGAACACCAACCACGGTCGCGGTCGTGGAGGTCCTCCCGGTGGTGGTCACCAGCGCCGTCACTCGCTTGCTCTCCCGGAAGCCAAGAAGGCCGCTGAGCTCGCTCAGCAGAAGCGAACAGCTTCTGGATTCCAGTTCCCGGCTCCTGCCCCTGGTGCAAGCGGTGATAACCAGTCATCTTCAGATGACAAGCCTGCAGCTAGCACTTCCCCGGCACCCCAGGGACTCGGCTTTCAGCGGGCTGGCAACATTCGCGCTGGTGGTCATGGTCGAAGCCAGTCGATGGCCATTGGTGGTAACCGTGGTTCCATCTCCGGCCGCGGAGCGGGTGGTTTCCAATTCCCCCAAGCCCCTGAGACCTCTTCCGGCCAGCCTGATAACCAGCGGCGAGGAAGCCAGCCCGGCCACGCTCGGTCGGGTTCGCGCAACTTCGAGGGCAACTGGCGCCAGCCGAACAACCAGAACCAAGGTCAGGATCAGCAGAGACCCATGGGCCAACAACAGGGTGGCTTCCAGCCTGGTCACCGCTCGCGCGGCTCAATGAACCAGTCAATGGGTTCTATTGGACAGTTCCAGTACCCTCCTCAGCAGCAGCCTCAGCTTATTCAATTGCCCCAGGGTCAAGTCATGATGGCACCTCAAATGTTTGGTAACCAGCAACTCAACCCCTCCAGTTGGCACAGCTCCAGGCCCTTCAGCAGCAGAACGGTCAGGGCATGGGTCTCCAGGCCAGCCAGCACGCCCCGCCACAGATGTCTGTCCAGCAACAGCAACAGCAACAGCAGCGGAAGACCCTTTTCACTCCTTACCTGCCTCAGGCAAACCTACCTGCACTCCTTAGCAATGGACAATTGGTCGCTGGTGTTTTGCGTGTCAACAAAAAGAACCGTTCGGACGCTTATGTGACCACTGATGACCTCGATGCCGACATCTTCATCTGTGGTAGTAAAGACCGCAACCGTGCTCTTGAGGGTGACTTCGTCGCCATTGAGCTGTTGGACGTCGACGAGGTGTGGTCCCAGAAGAAAGAAAAAGAGGAAAAGAAGAAGCGCAAGGACATTACCGACGCTCGCTCCAACAGCAATGCCGGAAATGACAAGCTTGGTCGCGCCGATTCCACTGGTGACAGACAAGAAGTCGGCCCGGATGGAAGCATCCGTCGCCGTGGCAGTCTTCGCCAGCGTCCTACCCAAAAGAAGAACGACGATGTCGAAGTCGAAGGCCAGAGCCTTCTTCTGTGTGAGGAAGATGAGATCAGTGATGAGCAAAAGCCTTTGTATGCCGGTCATGTTGTTGCCGTCATTGAGCGTGTTGCGGGCCAGATGTTCTCTGGTACTCTGGGCCTCTTGCGTCCCAGCAGCCAGGCCACAAAGGAGAAGCAGGAAGCCGAGCGGCAAGCCAGAGATGGCGCCCACGGCCGTTCCCACCACGACCGTCACCAGGACAAGCCCAAGATTGTTTGGTTCAAGCCCACTGACAAGCGTGTTCCTCTCATTGCTATCCCCACCGAACAGGCGCCGCGGGACTTCGTTGAGAAGCACCAGGACTACGCCAACAGAATCTTCGTTGCTTCCATCAAGAGATGGCCCATCACCTCCCTCCACCCCTTCGGTACCCTCGTTGAGCAACTTGGTGAGATGGGTGACCTGCGCGTTGAGACAGATGCCCTGCTCCGTGACAACAACTTCGGATCCGATGACTTCTCGGATGCCGTGTTGAAGAGCATCGGCTGGGAAGACTGGTCTGTTTCCAGCGAGGGTGATGCTCTGGCTTCACGCCGCGACTTCCGTGAAGAGACCATCTTCACGATTGATCCCGTCGACAGCAAGGCCCTTGAGGACGCATTCCATGTCAAGAAGCTTGCTGATGGCAAGGTCGAGATTGGTGTCCACGTTGCCGACATTGCTCACTTTGTCAAGGGCAACTCCCTCGTTGACCGTGAGGCCAAGAAGCGCGGTACCGCTGTTTATCTGGTTGACCGTATCATGAACATGTTGCCTACCCGTGTTTCCACTGAGCTCTGCTCTCTGGTCCCTGGAGAGGACCGCCTAACAGTCAGCGTTGTCTTCAAGGCCAACCCTACTACCGGTGTCGTCGATGAGGATGTCTGGATTGGCAAGGGTGTCATCAAGAGCGCTGGCCGACTTGACTATGACCAAGTCAACGCAATTGTCAAGGGCAAGTCCAAAGAGAGTGCCAGCGGTATCTCCGCTGATAACATTCGCTTGTTGAATGTGAGTATTGTCATTTACTGATGTTGTTTCCTTGCGCTCACAATATACACAGGACACTGCCGGCAAATTCCGTGAGGCTCGCTTCGGTAACCGGGTATCGAACGTCCCTGTTCAGCGTTTGCTCCAGCAACTCGATGACGAGAACGTTCCCGTTGAATATAACATTTTCGAATCTACCGCTGCTCACGAACTTGTTGAGGAGCTTAGCCACCAGGCCAACTTCTTCGTTGCCCGAAAGCTCGCCAGCGCCATGCCCGACAAGGCATTCCTGCGCCGACAGTTCCCGCCCAACCCTCGTCGCCTGACTCTGTTCGTTGAGAGAATGAACCGTCTTGGCTTTGAGATGGACCCCAGCAGCAGTGGCAGCCTCCAGAGCTCTCTGTGCAAGGTGCAAGATGTGGATCTCCGCAAGGTAAGTGTTTCACGTATGGTGCTTCATCAGTGCTGGTGTTGACTTTAGATACAGGGTATGGAAACTCTTCTTGCCAAGGCCATGCAACGTGCCAAGTACTACGTTGGTGGTACTTCTGATGAGCAGCGTCAGCATTACATGCTCAATGTCCCAGTCTACACTCACTTCACTAACCCCTCTCGTCGCTACACGGACATCCTCGTGCACCGTCAACTCGAGGCTGTCCTGTCCGAGGGTTCTGTGGAGTTCACTGACGATGTTGAGTCTTTGAACAAGACCGCCGACCTTTGCAACAACAAGAAGGACTCGGCTCTTAACGCCCAGGAGCAGAGCGTTCACATTGAAGCCTGCCGCAACATGGATCGCAAGAGCCGTGAGATTGGCGGTGACCTCATTAGCGAGGGTATTGTTCTCTGTGTCTACGAGTCCGCCTTTGACGTTCTCATTCCCGAGTACGGCTTTGAGAAGCGTGTGCACTGTGATCAGCTGCCACTGAAGAAGGCCGAGTACCGCAAGGACACTCGTGTGCTTGAATTATACTGGGAGAAGGGCGTTCCATCGTCTGCCTACATCCCCGAGGACGAGCGACCCAAGCCTGGCAACTCTCGCGCTGCTCAGGCTGCTGCGGCAGCTCGGGAGGCTGAGGCCGCTCGGGAGCGTGCTAGAGAGCGCGATGAGGCCATGCGCAAGCAGACTGAAACCGGCACCATGTCTGCCGATGATGTCGATGCCCTCTTCGACGACGATGACGATGTGGACGATGTTACTGAGATGGCGGCCGGTGTGTCGCTCAACTCGGCTGACCGTACCACTCAGAGCATGCCACCATCGCCCACCCGCAATGGCCACCACCAGCAGGGACCTCACCGTACCCGCTCTGACCCCAAGATTGCCTCCGGTGCCAACGATGCGCCCGAGAACAAGTTGACCAACAAGGAGAAGTACTTGAGCCTGTTCAAGCTGAGAGAGGTGGATGGAGACTTCATCCAGGATGTTACTGAGATGACTCGTGTTCCCATCATCCTGAAGACTGACCTGAGCAAGAGTCCTCCGTACGTATTCCAGTTCCTTCGTTCTGACATGGGCATTAGCTAACCTTTCCTTTTTAGATGCCTCACTGTTCGCTCTGTGAACCCCTACGCCCTGTAGTGGTTGGAAACCTGGTTTCTTTTTTTCTCTTTCATGGGACATATTCTTGCATGCCGTACCCTGCAGATTCTTCGGTCCGTGCGAAGCATGCTTTGTTTCGTGCACCTTTACGGACATAATCCAATCCCGACATGCGGATCGAACATATCATTATCAAGTTCCCAGTTCTTGATAACGCTTTTTTCTCGGTGGCTTTATCAAACGCATTCTACCCACCATCTTTCCGACGTGTCCTGGGGTTCTTATACTTATCCTATTATATGTGCCAAGCGGTTGTTAGTCTTTTTTGAGCCTTTTAGTTGTTTCCGGGGAGAAAGTTCTTAGTGCTGGAGCTTGCCGTGTCTCCTTTCTGGCCTGTCTTCTGCACTCTCATGTCTTTTGGGAATGTTTGGAGACTCGAAGGGAAATATGGGTTGCAGCTCGATAGTCCCAGAAAATTCTTCCTTTAATTTATGGTTTCTCAATTCCTTTCGGCTATGTGTAGAGTTGTAAACATTCTCTATAGATGTACATGACTATTGATACATGTTACTAGAACTTAATACTTCTACTCATTTGCACTTCCCAAGCTATCAATCACCTTTCATTGTTTCATGTGCACCGTACACATCTCAAACAGCTAAATAGGCAAGAAGTAGAGGAATCAAGAAACTGAACACCCAAACAAGCCTGTCTATCAATGCAACACATTGCAACACATCACTTCATGCAATTCGCGCACATTCAACAAAATCCAAACGAGCCAAGGGTATCAAAAAGAAAGTCACCCGGTAGAGGTGGATATAGATGTAGAGTAGATGGCAAAGGAATCAAATCAAATCAAAGCATTAGATCATGGACTCAAATCGAAAACCAGAACCACCAGATAAAAGAGGGAATAAGCAAGCTAGTAACAATACCTAGGACCGAAAATGCAATGCTAAATCGTGATAATATGAAAAATGAGGTTCGACTCCTCATAGCCGGCGTACACCAATGCGCGGCTTTGCCTTTACAGCAGTAGTTTTCCGCGGACCACCAATAGTCTTCTTATTCTTGGAGATCTTCGAAGCAGAAGAACCCGGGATAGAAGAAGAAGATAGGGATGGGGTGGGTGCTTGGTGGAGGGCTGTGGGTACATGGGGGTTACTGTTAAGAGCCTTCGAGCGGTGCAAGTCCCGTTTCTCCTTTAGGCCACGGACAGTTGCAGAACCACGGTTTTCTTTTCCGTCGCCGCTCAGCCGGCGAGAAGGGTCGGTCATGGATAGACCGGGGAAATCCTCGAATATTGGCATTGTATCGTGAAGACGACCGGAGGCATTGATGCCCCTGCTTAGGAGGGATAGTTTGGGGGTTTTGCGTTGGGGGGATGAAGTGCGGGAGCGTAGGTTTGCGGTGATGTTTTGTTCGTTGGAGGACATGGCAGGTGAATCGGTATCGGAGTCTTGGTCGACGAGCATCATGTCTGCTTCGTCTTCTGGGTAGGGCATTGAGAGGACTGAGAGGGGACGCTTGCCTGGGGCGTTCTTGCGGGGTGAAGGAGGTGCGAGATTGACTGGGGAAGGGGAGAGAGCTGGGTCGTTTTCTTTGCTTGCGCTGGCTGGGTCGTTTTCGCCATCGCTCATTTCTTCGTCTGACATGGGCTGAGAGGCTTGGGTGAAGGGATGCGAGTGCGATAGGGTCTCGATTCGTGTAGCTCGGCGCACGGGTTTCTTCGTTGTGGCGTTGTGGTTTCGTCGCTGCCTGCGCGTTTGCTGGAAGGATGACTCTTGGCGTCCCTCAAGCACTGTCCCTGCATCCTCGCCTCGGAGTTTTGCCTCGCTCACTGCATCTTTGAGGTCGAGCGGGATTGGGGCGTGGATGGAGGTCATGAGCTTGGCTTGGTGCGCAAAGGCGGCATAGTTCTCTTGTAAGAGGGCGCCAGCGGAGGAATTGAGCGCAGAGTCAGGATTGGGGTAGATGAGAAGACATGAGATCGTCTGTCAAGCAATCAATGATGTCAGTCAAGTTGCAGAGCTCGTGCACCTTGCGTCTCGATCACTTACCACCAGTACATCGCGCAGTGTCAGGTTCGGCTGCCAATCCCGCTTAAGGGTATCCACGCAAACTGCACCGGTAAGCTCCTCCATATTCGGGTGCCAGATCCTTGTCCGGAACGTCGCCTTGGGTGGGCTCTTGGGGTAGTCGGCCGGCATCTTGAGATGGAGCTTCCACAATCCTTCTGAGAAAGGTGTGCCCGGCGGCCCGGTAAGGAGAATGTCCAACTGCGATAGGTCGTCATCATCCGACGGCTTCAGGTAGTACGGCGGGAGGTCATTGTGTAAAGCGGCATGATCGGCAGCAAGCCGGCGCAGGTTGGACGGCTAGATACCAATGTTAGATACTGAGCAGTGTTTTGGCCCACCGCTACGGTTGCTGTTGGACAACCCATGTGTGCGGTCTGCGGTCTGCGGTCTGGAGCAGGACTGACTTACCATGCTGGAGTTGGCGATCAAGGTCTCGAGGAGTAAGTAAGCAGAACAATGCCGAGCTTCACGAAGTGCTGGTGGTGCTTGTGGAGGACTGGGATCAGAGCAACAATCGATAAGACGTTGCTTTGTTGTGGTTCGACGTGGCGCTAGCCGCTTTGGGAGCGCGTCAGTCATGTGCTCTACGCGTCACTTGCGCGTCACCAATATTACCTCTTTTGGACGACGCTCTACAGCCCTACAACTACTATACCCCTTCTTTATGACTCAAATGCCCCCTTGGACGCCCTTGTCACACCATGTCCAAGACATAATCTCGTGTTCTATGCCCTTAATGATGTCAATGCTGATCTACAATTGGCCACAGTTGAATACTCTCAGACGAAAAGTCGGCTCATATTTACCCAGGTATTGAAAGTAATCACAAGCATGGAAGAAAAGAAGTGGGAAATCAGGTGCGCCAATAAAGATGCGTCTCAAATCGCAGTGGAAACACAAAACGAAATCCTGTCCCTCAAAAGATTACAAGACCCATTATTAAACCTGGAAAGCAAACCGCAAAAAGAAATCAATGCTCGTGTTTTCATATCTCTCATTCCCGCTAACCCAAGGACAGGGTCAGCATACCATATGCCCATGTACAGACTCAATGTCCTGCGTCTGCGACAGTCTCAGCGCAGTAGTTCCAAGGTTAAAGCCATGTCATGAATCAGTTGCTCAGTTCCCTTACAGGAAAGCAACAAGAGCAGCACCGGCAACCATGCCGAGACCGACAGGGCCGGCGGTGGCGATGGCAGCACCACCGGTGGAGACAGAGCTGGAGCTAGCGCTGGCGCTGCTGGAGTTCGAGTCAGAAGTGGAAGAAGAGTCCGAGGAGGTAGTGGCAGTGCCAGTGGCCTTAGAGGAGTCAGTGCTGCTGGAGCCCGAGCCGGTGCCACTGCGGGTAGCAGTGGACAAAGTGGTGCTGGTGCTGACACCGGCGACGGGCGAGGTCAGACCGGCCGGGATAGAGGCGGCGGGCTGCTGCGAGGTCACGACGGCGGGCTGGCTGGTGATGACAGAGGCCTGGGTTGTGACAGCCTGAGGCTGGCCGGTGACAACGCCCAGGGAGTTGGTCTGGGTGAGGTACTGGGTAGCAGGGTTCTCCTGTTAGATGTGTTAGTCTGTGTTGTGAGGGATTTGGACGCGTGGGAGCTTGTTTCTGCTTACCACGACAGTCTCGCTGGAGGAGCTCTGGGCCTGGGCCAAGGCGACGGCCGAGAGGGTGGTGAAAACAATAGAGAAACGCATTGTGAAGGTATTAGATTATTGATATAGTGGATGAGCGGATTAGAGGATTAGAGGATTAGAGTATGGGAAGTAGACTCTGACAATATGGAGAGGGGAGGGAGAAGGGAAAGAGAAGAGGCGAACAATGGGCTTTTATCGTTGTCCAGGGAAACACGTCTTATATTCGGTACTTTAGTCTGCGCCATCAGCCCTGAGTGGCTTGAAAATGGATACTTCGGTGCCAGTCATCGGACAGAGTCTGGATCTAGCGTCCCTTGGGATCTGCAAGGTCTTGCAGTTCTATTTTGGTCTCTGGGGTCACACCCGATGCGTAAGCTCTCCTACTGTGTCTACAGTGCTTAGACAATCGCCTCTCCCTGGCTGTCTACACACCCAATGTAACACTCACGCCACTCTCAAGGCAAATCTCTCGAAATAATCAGTCAAAAACGGGATTTATCCAACCTTGGATGGCAATATGCACCAAACACTAGTGGGCCTTAGCCTTAGTGTCTGAGCACGCTCCGTATAACAACAACAAGATAATAATGGAAATCATAGCAACGATCAGTCATATCGACTCTGTGCGACAATCTCGGCCAGCAGCCCGAAAGCTTACTCCCTGCATTGCCTCTCAGAAGCCCCTTGGAGACCGCGTGGCGACATACGAATCCTTTCAAAGCCGTCCAGTCGAGATCTTGGCCTAAACAGCCTAACTCTGGGCAAAGTAGGTAAGAAACAGGCTCGGATGGCGCCATGTCTTGGAGCTAAAAGAGTCGAGACGAGCTAAGATCGGCTAAGTGAGACATCAACTTTGTTCATCCACCCAATCAGCGATTTATACAAATTTCTTCTTACTTTTTGTTGCTTTTTATCACTTTCCCCCTTTACCTTGGGGACTTATTTATTACTGCAAGGGTGCCCTGCGAACACAATAATGTTTGTACAACCCTGCATCGCCACAATTATTGATTCATTTGACTGTTCAAACCTCAACATTTTACATTTCTGCATTTCGATCGCGGTGGGTCTTTTCCCCTCATACCCTCATACGGGAACTCCGTCGGTTTACTCCATCCAGTAAGGACCGTCTCTATATTTGTCTTTTCTTTGGAAACAAAACCAGTCTCACTTTTGACCTCCAGGTTTCCACTTGGACACTGAACATCGGGGTAAAGTTGCCCATAATAATACTTTGTGGTTGCTCTTTTGAGCGAGTAACTGAAAACTTTGCAGTGTAAACTTGCTGCCTAAAGAACTTGATGCCAAATACATCTTGGGATAGTTGGCATGAGAAGGCTAAGATTTGGCCATTGTCAGGTGGTAGTCAGGACAAGTGTTTCGTACCCTTACAATACGGGCATTGTGCGACGTTGAACCACAGAACTTGATTTTTCTAGCGCCTTCCAGAAGACCAACACATTACAGTGCACGGCATTAGAAACTTTTATGTAAGTTAGTAATTTAAGTTAACGTTAATTGTGCAGGTTGAACTATGTCCAGTACGTATTTTGGCCTAGACCACTATCTGTAGGGGCCTGAACGGTGATCGAAACTATGCAACAATATGCCTTATAACCCCATACACCATGCACAATTTGTCGGCATTCTACCAGCTCTAGCAATAGGGTTCCTCGTCCAATTAGGCGGTCAGAATATCTGGCATTACATCTGTCATTATGTTTCCATCTTCAAACATGAACAATGTTGTCATCCTCACAATGGCGGCCAACTCTAGGCCAAAGTCGTTCCGTGATGTCGTGAGGAACCACGCTCGTTCTCTCGTAAATCCTCTTCAGTGAACTTCGCGTCGCCTTGATTCAATCGGCTGTCGCGATTCGAAGATGTCGAAACTACCCCTGTCTAGCCATTAAGCGATGCTGAAGTGATCGCTTTAAATCTGTGTCCCGAAACAAAGCGTAGTCGTTTGGTTAACCTTTTGCCAGGCAAGGAGCGCTCTTTTACATACCCTAGGTAAGAGCCATAGTCTAATATAATAGCTTCTGTAGGAGTGACTAACCACCTGGCGGAGTAGCAAAAGAGCTCCATTCTATTTCCAGGATCGGCCTGTTCACCGACCAAATTATATTGCGTTTCATCGTCAAGAACAACCTGTGGATCACAGCCACTGTGGGTCGCCTCAATTAGGTGGCTCGCCTCAATTAGCAGGCTATAAGCATTACGCAAGCATCAACGGAGATCGCAGGAGGCAAATTGAGACTTGTGCAGCTCCGACGGGGACTAATAACTTCGTCGTAGCCAGTATCTACCAGAAGCGGCTAGCTCAGACAGCCCCGAATAAACGGACCAAAGCTCTATACTTCCTATATCACTTGTTAGCTCTACAGCTCTAAGAGCGCAAGCTTGATTTCCTTAAAACCAACCACTTATACGGTATATTTCTGGCTTGTTCACTATTTAACCTATCTATCGGGCCCCAGCTGATTAGATTCTAGTCGCGTCTTCTCGTAATCAACGTAATAGACCGGAAATATATACTCCATTGCGAGACGGAAATCACAGCCAGCTCCTAGAGAGGCCCAGGAATCCGACGTATGCAGCAAATCCGTTGAAATGGCCTATAACGGGAAAACTCCCATACTATCCTTATCATACTTTCGCTGACCGACGTCTTGCCGAGCTAGTGGCGCCCAGGCCCTTCAATCCATCATTTGATATGAACTGTGTTATTGAACATAGTAGGAGACAACCACACGAACAAACAAGACAGTGGATGGCATAAGTTAAGGCGAATTTGAAAGGGATAAACTGGCGTTTTCAAGAGGGACCGCGGCGTAAAAAGGGTTCTCTGGGTGTTGAGAAATGCGGAATGACTGACAATTTTACAACACTCGTCAACCGAGTTCTTAATGTAGAATTGTGTTATTAAGTCAGACTAGTTCTTTCTTTTATCCAAATCATCAGACCATTTGTCCTCTTTAATGGCAAGGTTCGGAATCGAAGAACATAGTCTCGTTGTAAAATCAATGAACGGATGGCTTGACTCAGCGAAGTATAGAAGCGTGGCTCATATCGACCTTAGAAACACTGCAATGGAGATCCGGGCTTCTGTCCGCTACGTCTTACAGTGCGCCACTGAATTTTGCAGGAGCACAGCACTGCCAAACAGGGAGATATAAGTGGCAGCATTAAAGCGCATGTCGAGCATATCAATTCGGCACCGAACACTCTCGCCGCTGTGGATTTTATACAACTTCCGGCAACATACTATCCCAACTTCATTTTTCCACAATCACTCTTTGATCGGCACATCCTGACCACGGACCCAGTTCGCAAATTCCTTTCGCTTGGCCTGTAGTTCCGAATATTAGCCTTTGTACCCTCAGACTCCCAGAGTATGATCTTCATCCAGCGGTAGATTCGGTTCACAACGATCCAACGCGGCACATAGGCCAACCAAAAACATTTCCGAAGATCAGATACCGAGAAACTCACCCGAATATCCCAGAATGCATAACGCTCCTCCAGACTCAGGAACGGGTTGCGCGCCCCGCCATCCCGTTCAATGGCGCCCGCCCAGTCGCGCCAGCTGACGGGCTTCAACTTCTCTGTGCCGAGGACGAGACCAATTGATACAACCAGGACGGAAACGAGGGTTTCGGCGATGATATCGTGTGGAAGGACGGTGGAGGAAATGTTGCTGTAAAGGACAGTGTGTTCGTGGGCAGAGTAGCCTCTGCAGGCGGGTTTGTTAGCTTAGCTCGGAATGGGGTAGCAATTGGTATATCGGTTCTCGGGAAACGTACGCATGCCCGAGCAGAACGAGCCCGAAGAGCGTGACAAGACGTGCAAGGAAGCTCATAGTGGGTGGTGAGGTCGGGGTTTGGGGGTTGCGGAGTTGGGGTCCAGTGGTCGAGTCTTGTCGGTGCGGCCGATTCTATCCGTATGTGAGGGATACGATTGAATCTTGCGATACGAAAGTTTGAATAGAAAGCCTGCGGCTCTGGACTGGTGGACTGCGTTAATGCTTGACGACCGCGGTGGATTTCGAGGTGTAGTCCGCCTGGCCATCCCACAGTTTACATAATCACTGCTATGGGGCAGCCTCAGAACTATGGATATTCTTCTACTTCAATATTATACTCTTTTTTGTCTATGGTTTTCGAGGTCTTTTCGCCGTAAGGCACTATTTTCAATACTTATACGCTAGTGGTACATATATATTTTGCTTTGCAGCCGTCGTTCACTTGACCTTGAACTGGACTACAACTGGTTCGTGCAAATAATGAACCAATGCAATACAATCACGGCAGTGATATATGTGTAGATTGCTTTGGCTGATGATTCTAGTTAATACCTTGAGCTAACAAAGCATGGTACAGCGTGCTACCTTTGACGACCTTGTAGAACGAGGCATCCCTATATAATTCGTCAGTATACATGCTGATAGTGATTCTCCTTAGGCATACAGACGAGTCTACCCTCCGACTTGCTGTAACTTACGTGGTGGTGTAATACATCGTAGGCGGGAACACGGTCATTTTCGTTTTTTTAGTTGATTCATCCTGACTTGCGCTATGACAGCAGGACGGACTCCTTACTCCAAGGGCAACCCAAACTTGACCGCCTCGTGAAAGTCAGTCACTTCCTTCCTTCGTAAACTCTTGATCGTTACATCTAACTTGTATATCCAGCTTGCCTTGGAATTCTAGGTCTAAAAAGATTAAACTACAATGTGCGGAATCAGCGCCGTCCTTTCACTGGCAGGATACCCCGCGCAATCGAATGGGGAACGCTTGTCATCTCTCGAGCAGCTCAGAAAGAGCCTAGATCTTGTTCAACACCGTGGACCAGATGCGCGTGGTGAATGGACCAGTAATGATGGCAACGTTTGTATGTGCCTGGTTTTTGCTCTTCAAAGTGAACAATCTTCTCCCGTTTAAAATACTGAGCCTTCTTAGATCTGGGTCATGTTCGACTCTCCATTGTTGATCTTAGCCCACAGGCAAATCAGCCCTTTCATGATTGTGCGAATGATGTCCACGCGGTCGTGAATGGCGAGCTGTACAATGACGAATACTACCGAGAGCTCCTGGGCAGTGAATACGACTTCCACAGTCGAAGCGACTGCGAGATCGTCCTGGCTCTCTATAAGCACTACGGGCTGTCTTTTGTGTCCCACCTCCGGGGCGAATTTGCTTTGATCTTGTGGGATTCCCGCAGGAAGGTGTTCATCGGCGCGAGGGACCGGTATGGTGTCAAGTCGCTCTACTACACCGTTGTGAACAACCGACTTCTCGTGGCAACTGAAATGAAATGCTTCCTTCCGTTTGGGTGGATGCCAGAGTGGGATGTTCAGGGTCTCAGAGAGTGCGGCTGGATGTTTGGTGCTGGGACAATGTTCAAGGGAGTCCAATCAGTCTGTTCCATTTTCTCTCGACGCCTGCGTATTTCTGACCAGAAATAGGTTGCCCCGGGGCATTATATTATAAGCAGAAGTTTCAAGCCTATTCAGGATGTAGCTTACTGGGATGCTGAGTATCCAGACAAGGTGAGTACCCTTCCTTAACACTCCGCTTTAGCCACTACTCACTAGGCAGAGAACACCCGAGCTTCGATCAGAAGCCGAGATGGTAGAGGGCGTGCGGAATCGCCTCATGGAAGCTATTAAAGTTCGCCTTCGGGCCGATGTACCTTTAGGGATCTATCTGAGTGGTGGAATTGACTCCTCCGCAGTGGCCGGCATGGTAGCTCATCTTGTTAAGGAAGAGGGAGCCCGACTTGGCAACGATGAGAGCCATCTTCTTTCACGAATCAAATGTTTCACGGTGCAATTCGACAAGGATAGTGGAGCTGACGAGTCCGGTACGAATTTCGCCATACCTTACTAATTCCCAATATCGGAACGCTAAGCATCACCAGATATTGCACAGCGTACCGCCGAATGGCTCGGGGTTGACTTTCACCCGGTATCTGTCAACGAGGAAACTTTTGCTTCCATGTTTGCGGATACTGTTTGGCACAGTGAAACGCCCATGCCGGACACAAATGGCATGGGAAGGCTCGCCATGGCCGAGGTCGCCAAGTCACACGGTATTAAAGTGATATTGACAGGTTTCTCTTCCCAAAGGTATCTTTTATTGACTCTATTCTAACGTTTGCATCGACAGGAGAGGGATCTGATGAGCATTTTGGAGGATACAAAGACTTGTCGAGCGATTTTCTGCTTGAAAGTGATCCCTCATGGCCCTCCTCACCATCCGAGAAAGAAATTGCAGAATTAGCAAAAAATCTCAAAAGAGTCTACGCGACTATGGCCATGGACATACCCTTCAATATAAAGAGAGCACCCGAGTCGACCCGCCGAATGCTTAACAATACCTCAATTTTAACCTTCCTCGCATCGGTCGGCCGCATGCCCTTCGCCAAATGGACAGACATATATACGGCCACGGCCCCCGAAACTGCGCAGGCAGAAACCCTGGATGGAAGGGTTCGAGACGCCATTGCAAACCGGTGGCATCCACTTCACACAGCGGAGTACCTCTTTACGAAGGGCTTTTTTAGCAACTTATTGCTTCGTTATCTTGGTGATAACATCGACATGGTCCATCACGTTGAGACTAGACCTCCGTTCCTAGATCATCATCTGACAGAATATGCCAATGGCCTTCCACCCAGTCTGAAAATCAAAGTGTCATCGTCAGATGGGTCTCTGACGGAGAAGTACATCTTGCGAGAGGCAGTTCATCCTTTCGTCACCGAGGAGATCTATACACGACAGAAGAAACCATATATTGGACCGACGAGGTTTCAGGAAAATGGGCCGCTTCATCAATTGTTCCTTCGTCTGACTTCTCGGGAGAACGTGGATGCTCTTGGGTTTGTGGACTGGGAAGAAACGCAAGAAAATGTGCGGAAGGCATTTGTAGATAAGGACTCGTGGTCTTTGCGAGCTGCGTTCTCTGTTTGCCAATTCGTGGTGCTCTCGCAAAGATTTGGGGTTGCTAGAGCCACGGCTTGATCCTTGCCTGGTACTTGGTCGATAGCTTTCTTTCGAGAGTGCAGCCGCAGTTTGATTAACGAGAATGCATGATAATTTCAGATTGTATCATTGCTACGAAGAGTAGTACAGACAGGCTAAGGATTTGTAGAAGAAAAATAAGCCCCCGACAAACAGGATCAGCTGGCACTAGTCCATGATTTGGGTAGCCTTTTGAGCCTGTTCCATGTTGAAACCGACGATACTCCCTGTCATTGTATTGTCTACATACTTAATATGATTTGGATTGTTAAACAGGGAAGTATTATTATGATAAAGCAATCAAGAATCAAAATCTAAACAAAGAACAAAAACAATCATTCAACCAGATGCTCGGCACTCTAGCCCTTGTAACTGAGAATAGCTTCCCGATCGACGTATAAGAGCTTTCTATTGTTGATCCTAGATATGCAAAGTATAATCCACGGAGTTGCAGTGGCGTCAGATCAGCCATGATAATCTCGGCGAGAGAAATTATACCGACACCACCAACTCCTTGAATGCATCGGCCACGAGTAATATGGCCAAATCATGGCAGCTCTTGCTACGGCTGCTCCAAACTGATCCAACGAAAAAGAAAATACCAAAGCTAGAAGTGTCAAGGTCTTTCGACCAAGTATGTTGGATAGGGATGCGAAGGTTTGCTGGAACACGGTTGCATGTTAGAAGAGAGAAATGGATACAAGAATAGCACAAGTCGACTTGCCAGTTGAAGACAAGAGTAAGGATGTCCCGCCCCAAAAGGCTTCAACTGTTGTTGCACCAAGGACATTTGAGGTGATCTATTAGACAATTAGCGCACCAAGAAGGACTCTTACAGGTAAAGCAACGGATATAGATGTGCCATCCAGAGCAACCATCATAGTTCAGATAGTGAGTGGCAAACAAAATGATGGTCCCAATTCTTCCTAGAGAAAGCTCCTCTGAGGATCTGGCTATCAATTTTGCAACCAAGTCAGCAGACCTGAAGAGGGAGTGCAATCATGATAAAATTCCGTCGATGTGGTTGTTGACCGCATTCTCCGCTATCTCGCACTGTGAACGGCCGGACGCTTCCATGCTGTCAGTGAACAAAGATCGCGGGTTAGACTGTTTGAACTGTTCACCTGCGTCTGGTACCTTGGCTGCGTTACGCTGCTTGGAAGGAGGTGAATTGGAAATCGTCGGAGCAGCATCCTTTCTCTCGGCTTTATGCCATTCTCGGGGAAGGAACAGTTAAACTGTCAGTGTCTTTGATTTTGGGATTCGAACTTATTGCGTTTTGAGCTCTGATTGTGTCCATATTAGTTCTTATCCCCAAACACTGATCTTATACATGTACTCCCTACTCCGTACTCCCTACTCCGTACTCCCTACTCCGTACTTTTATTTGACCTTAATAAAATCAGTGGTCTTGACTTTCTTGCCCTGATTGAGAAGCTGCACTTGAACATCTTACAACAGATTGCGACCTAAGAAGGGTCACGATGCCCAATGGCAACGGTGCCCAACATATAAGCGGGGTGAGCCGTTGACATGCGTAGAACTGAAAAGATCCCCATGGTAACTCGCTGGATTGGAACCAATTGCTTCGATTGCTTCTACTTCGTTCTCTACACTCGTTCTCTACATAATGCAATTTACTGGAAACGTAGTTGGTCGTGAATTTTTGATTTTTTCATCAATGACCGGTCATGTCCGGACCAGCTTTCTAGTTGGTTTCGTAAAAGACTTCCTTGACATCACACATTTCCATCACATTCCTGCTTCGTAAATGAACATCGCAAATTTACAGCTTCTGCATGGCAGCGATATCGGTGGACTGAACGTGGTCCTCGAACTCCTCAATCTGGCCCTGGAGCTCATCGGTGGAGACCTTCTCGTCCTCAACAACCAGGTTGATCTGGAGCTTCTTAATACCGAAAGCGAGGGGAACCCACTTGGAGGCACCCCAGACGAGGCCGTCCTTCTCAATGGAGCGGACGTTAGCCTCGAGCTCCTCAAGGTTGGTCTCGTCATCTGAAAAAAAAAAAAAAAAATGGTTAGCTATTGTTTTACGAGAGCAGAAGATGATATACATACCCCAGGGCTTAACCTCCATGGTGACAAGGGACTTGGCAGCGGGCTTGGGCTTGTTGGCCTTCTTGGCCTTGTACTCGTCGAGACGCTTGTTGCGCTCAGCAACAACCTCGGGGTCCTCCTCCTCAGAGTCGGAGCCGAAGAGGTCCTCATCATCATCCTCCTCGGGCTTGTCCTTGGGGTTGGAGGGAAGCTCAGTGGTCTCGGGGCCGTAGGCGGTGAAGGCCTTGGAGGAGTCACCGGGGAGGGTGGAGAATTCGCTCTCGTAAGAGGCGATGTGCTTGTACCAGCGGGCGACGTGGGGGTACTTCTCAGCGTCAGGGGCGCCGTTGAAGGCCTTGAAGGTCACGACATCGGCCTGGCTGGGCGAGGAGCTGTTGAATGGTCAGCGATGTGCTTATACATCGAGTGAAAATCAACAATGTTGCATAATAAGCAAGATCAGAGGTGCGATTGCTCGCTGGTTGTGTAGTCATGCAGCGGGGTCTTAATCCGCCTCCTAAACACGGACCAATTTTTCTCATCATGAAAGCAGGGAGTGAAAAACAGGGAAACATAAACAAGGGGGTCTTACCCAACAACGTAGGACCGAGTGGACAGGAAGTGGTTGGCCACTGAGGGGCACAGTCAGTCACCAATTGATTCGAACCAAAGAAAATCTCAGGGGCGCCTACGAGTCAGGCCGGCATCAGAGACAAAGTCGGTGAAACCCATTGTGAAGAGAATTGAAGTGGTATCTGGAGGGGGGAAAAGAGAAGAATGAAGTTGGAAGAAATCGAGGGGTTAAAAGGGGAGGATTTTTTTCAACGGAAAATCTTCGCCGGAAAAACGTGGGACGGGGTCAGGTGACTGGTGACGGCGGCGGTCCAAGCTTTGGAGCTTGTCCGCCACTCAGCGAGGCCGGGGTGGAGCATTCGAGAAGCGTCGCGATAACTTACATCACCGCAACTATTTAAGCTATGATCTCCTCAACAACTCGGGTTGTCTGCAATTCTCACCATGGCTGCAAGATTGTCCCTCACTGCTCGCAGTAGGCTCCTGCGAACGCCCAATCTACTTTCAGCCCGTCTACTTACTCCGATCCCGCGTTCGACATTCTTCCGTGCCTCGTCTGTCGTCCTCCCAGCTATTAACATCACCCCAATCTCTGTCCGCCACTATGCACAGGGACGCCCACACCCTCCAGGTGGTACTCACCGCATGGACATGAGTGGGGAGCCCGAGAAGTCCGCCCTCGAACAATATGGTATCGACCTTACAGACAAGGCGAAAGCTGGAAAGCTAGACCCTGTAATTGGACGAGACTCGGAGATTCATCGAACGATCCAGATTCTATCCAGACGAACGAAGAACAACCCGGTGCTTATCGGTGCTGCTGGTACCGGTAAGACTGCCGTTCTCGAAGGCCTGGCCCAGCGAATTGTGCAAGGAGATGTCCCGGAAAGCATCAAGAACAAACGCGTTGTCACACTGGATTTGGGTTCATTGATTGCGGGTGCCAAGTTCCGTGGCGACTTCGAAGAGCGCCTGAAATCCGTACTCAAGGAGGTAGAGGACGCCCACGGAGGTGTCATCCTCTTCATCGACGAGCTTCACACTCTGTTGGGTCTGGGCAAGGCTGAAGGCAGCATTGATGCCAGTAATTTGCTCAAACCTGCACTGTCGCGAGGCGAGCTCCAATGCTGCGGTGCCACCACACTTAATGAATATCGATTGATCGAAAAGGATGTGGCTCTTGCTCGACGGTTCCAGCCCATCTTAGTGGGTGAACCGTCAGTCCCTTCGACCATCTCCATTCTGCGTGGTATAAAAAATAAATATGAAGTGCACCATGGTGTCAGAATTACCGACGGTGCTTTAGTTGCTGCCGCCACCTACAGCAACCGCTACATCACTGATCGATTCTTGCCGGACAAAGCAATTGACCTCGTTGATGAAGCTGCATCAGCGCTGCGGTTGCAGCAAGAGTCGAAACCAGACTCCATCCGGGAGCTGGAACGTGATATAACCACCATTCAAATTGAGCTCGAGTCTCTCCGTAAGGAAACCGATGTCAGTAGCCGCGAACGACGAGACAAGCTCCAAGAAGAGCTCAAGACCAAACAAGCAGAGGCGAGTGAATTAACGGAAGCGTGGGAGAAAGAGAAGGCTGAAATCGACACCATCAAACGTACCAAGGAAGATCTGGAACGTGCCCGATTCGAACTCGAGCAAGCTCAACGGGAAGGAAATTTTGCCAAGGCCGGAGAGCTGAGATACTCCACCATCCCGGAGCTCGAAGCCAAGCTACCCAAAGAAGGTGCTGAGCAAGACGTTAGGCAACAGACTTTGATCCATGACTCCGTTACTGCCGATGATATTGCCAACGTTGTCTCTCGGACTACAGGCATTCCTGTCAACAAGCTTATGGCTGGAGAAGTAGAGAAGCTGATCCACATGGAAGATACTCTCCGAAAATCAGTTCGTGGACAAGACGAAGCTCTTTCTGCAGTCGCGAATGCTGTTCGGATGCAACGAGCAGGCCTCAGCGGTGAGAACCGCCCCCTGGCATCTTTCATGTTCCTTGGTCCTACCGGTGTTGGAAAGACGGAGCTTTGCAAGAAGATGGCTGGGTTCCTCTTCTCTACCGAAACTGCAGTCGTGCGCTTTGACATGAGTGAATTCCAAGAGAAGCACACAATCAGTCGTCTTATCGGTTCTCCTGCTGGATATATTGGTTATGACGATGCTGGACAGCTTACCGAGGCTGTCAGACGCAAGCCCTATGCCGTTTTGCTGTTCGATGAATTCGAAAAGGCCCACCGGGATATATCTGCCCTATTGCTGCAGGTTCTCGATGAGGGATTCCTGACTGATGCCCAGGGCCACAAGGTCGATTTCAGAAACACCTTGATTGTTCTGACCTCGAACCTTGGTGCCAATATTCTAGTTGGAGCAGACCCCATACACTCACACAAGGTCTCTGGTGATGCAGAGCTGTCTCCCGACATCAAATCGGCCGTCATGGATGTGGTTCAGGGAGCATACGCACCTGAGTTCCTGAACCGCATCGACGAATTCATTATCTTCAAGCGCCTGTCGCGGGAGGCTCTGCGTGATATTGTCGATATCCGTCTCAAAGAGCTGCAGGCCAGACTTGACGACCGCCGCATGACCCTGCAGGTTGACGATGAGATCAAGGACTGGCTCTGCGAGAGAGGCTACGACCCCAGATTTGGTGCTCGGCCTTTGAACCGTCTTATCTCCAAGGAGATCGGAAACCGCTTGGCTGACAAGATCATTCGAGGTGAAATTGTTTCTGGACAAACTGCTCGTGTTTCTCTTGATGACACCCAGTCTGGTCTGGTGGTCACCACCCAGGAGTAAATGATAACATGATCTGGCGTTTTGTGTTGCATATACGTACGGTATTGGATTGTTCTCTTAATCTATTGGCCACTGCATGCCCTCCCTCACATATCGGGAATTTGTATATCACCTCCACTCATACAATTTTTACATTAATTCAAATTCAGATGATTGAACAAACATTCCAATTATTATGTAGACTTGAAGAACGTGACCGGGCACGGGGTGGGAGCCCGCCATCCATCTCCCGTCCTGTCTATCTCCAATTCCATCTCTGATCATCCGAGCCCTAAGCCAACCAATTCCTTTCTTAGCAAAATGCCTTCCTTTAAAAGAAAATGGACATCCTCCCGCGCTCCAATCACATCTCATAGTTCTGGGCCTGGAGGCTACAGAGGCCTATCGAGTCGAGCACCGAGCGTTTCCAGCGGCCCTTCTCAAACACCTGTCCCATCATCAGCAAGACAATTGCGAACCCCATTTTCTACTAATACCAAACCCGAGACTGATCGTTCGATGGGGGTTACCGACGATGACTTCGATGATCATGTCATTGCAGCCGTCGACATGAAGGACTACAGTACCGTCGGATGCGCCTACTATTCGGCCGTGGAAGAGAAAATGTATCTGCTCGGTGACAGCCGCTCTGGGGGTTTGGATACAATGGAGACATGTATACTCTTATGTCCTCTAATTGCTCGTTTGTCTTGCTAATTGGGTCATCTCTAGTGCTGCTCCAGATCAAACCAACGGTGGTCTTGGTACCTCCTCGTGTTGATTTAGATGTGCAGAACCAGAACCAGAACCTGGCACAGGAAGACGGTATACAATTCTTGCAGTCAATTGCATTCCTCGTCTATGTCTCCTGGCTAATTGCTTGGGCTCTAGTTTCATCTGCATATCTTCCCTACCAGATAGACGTCCGTCCAACATCGGAGTTCAGCTATTCAAATGCAGAAAGCAAACTTCTTGCACTAAAAATCTCGTCTAATCACGAGGAACACATCCGATTTCTCGTACCCCAAGATGGTCTTGAAGGCCTTGAAGAGGTGAACCCAGAAGAGATGGGTTTCACCCTTCAAGAAGGAAGACTGTTACATATTTCCAGCTCTATCGACATGGAAAATCCAGTAACCATCGGTTGCGCAGGAGCCATACTCCAATACCTCCAGCGGCGAAGGTCATCAGCGCCGAGCCCTCTCGGAGGTGGCAACGAATATCGAGTGCGAGTGCTGCAAATGTTCAATATTCGAGATACAATGTGGATGAACAACAACACATTCACTTCACTGCAGATCATTCAACCGGAATCGCACCCGAACATGTTTAATCAAGGCCCGGGCAAGAAATCGGCTTCGGGAAAAGAGGGACTTTCTGTCTATGGTCTCTTTCGCCGTTTTGCGTATACCCCTCAGGGTAGGGCAAAGCTCAGACAGACATTCCTTCGTCCGAGCTTGGATCTAGATATCATTCGTAAACGGCATGATTTTATCGGTGTCTTTTCGCGACCCGACAACCTTGCGGCGCTGGACAAAATGACCAAAGCGTTGAAGCATGTCAAGAATTTGAGACTTGTTATGGTCAATCTTTGCAAAGGAGTTAGTACTGGCAGTGGGAGGATTACTGGGTTCAAAACTACGGTTTGGGCTAGTCTACTTGCTGCAAGTCTTTTTCCCGACCTTCAATTGCTGAGCGATCCAGACCTCTTTGGTGCTGACTACGCGAGTAGTTTGCGTTCTACTCCATCGACATCCAGGATGCGCTACAGGATGTCTCCGGGGCAGAGATCCTAGCCCTCCGGACTAAGGTCAAAATCTTATTTTTCATCCCATTTCTGACATTATGCTGACTACTGCAGGCTCTTCGGGTGTTTGAAGCAGCACAGCTATACAGAGTGGGCCGCATGATCCAAGAAATTGTAAGCATATCCCGCTTGGCATTAGTAACACATCTAATGGACATAGGTCGACATCGACAACTCCGAAGAACAAGGAAGAACAGTAGTCAAACAGGGGATTGACAGAGAGCTTGACAGAATCAAGGACAGATATGATGGTCTCAACAGTCTTCTCAAGCACGTTGCCCTCAACATCGCCGCGACTATCCCGGAAGTCCTCGATCTCGACGTCAACGTTATCTATTTTCCTCAGCTCGGGTTCAATATTACCATTCCACTTGATGATCATGGCGTGGCAGCATACAGTGGCGCCGACAATGAGTGGGAGTTGATGTTCATCACAGAGAACCGGGGGTATTTCAAGGACTATCGCATGAGAGAGATGGACGAGAAGCTGGGAGATATTTACGGTCTCATCTGTGGTAGGCTTGCTTACTTTTTTTGATCGAGCTTCATGGGAGACTAACGGGTGTGGCATTGCAGAGAAAGAAATTGAGATTGTATACGACTTGGCTCAGAGGGTTCTTCGATATGAAAACGTGCTTGTCGATGCGTCTGATGTCTGTGGAGAGATGGACAGGTAAGTGTTTCTTAAGTGAGGGGCGAACATCACTAATATAGTCTTTACATTCACAGCCTTCTTGCCCTCACGCAGGGAGCCAGTTTCTATAAGCTGACTCGGCCACGAATGGTCCATGACAATGTCATCATGATCAAGGGCGGACGGTAAAAGCGTTAGATCCGAAACACTCTCAACATTTCTGACGAATTGCAGACACCTGCTCCAAGAAATGACAGTGCCGTCATATGTCCCAAATGACACATTGCTCGTTGGTGGAAGTGAGGACCCAGACACCAATGGATTGTCTACGTCTTCAAATGATAATCCCAGCATGCTGGTTTTGACTGGTCCAAACTACTCGGGGAAAAGTGTCTACATGAAGCAGGTGAGTGATTTTCCCTCCTAACGCAGACCATCGTCTCACAGCGCTTTAGGTAGCTCTGATTGTTTTTCTAGCACAGATCGGAAGGTATTCCATCCTCCTACAGTTATGAAAAATGAGGTATTAACTTCCATTGCAGCTTTGTTCCTGCAGATAGCGCGGAATTGGGAATCACTGACAAGATTTTGACCAAAATTAACACTCAAGAGAGTGTCTCCAAGGTACTCCAGATTCATTATTTAAAGACCTACACCGTAAGGTTAATATGTTCCTAGATACAAAGCACCTTCATGAATGATTTACAGCAAATCTCGCTCTGTCTGAAAGAAGTCACGGGGCGCAGCCTGGTAATCATCGATGAATTTGGCAAAGGAACTAACGAGAGCGGTTTGTCCATTTTCACGATAACTCTCTGTTTTCGTCTGTTAACTCTTACAGATGGCATCGGCCTTGCCTGTGGAATCCTCGAGTATCTACTGAATCTTGAAACTGCTTCCAAGATCATCGCAGCGACCCACTTTCATGAGATCTTCGAGAATGATTTTCTTGCACTGCGGCCACGGCTACAACTTGGACACATGGAGGTCCAGGTTGATCAGGAAGTTCAACAAGTTGAGGATCAAGTCACATATCTTTACAAGTATGTGCAGTGCCGCTGGCTCTTGATTTACTATTACACACAAAGGACGCTGACAGATCGAATAGCTTTCGGCTCGGGCGAAGTAACAAGAGCTTCGGTACAATGTACGTTCCTAACTTCATTTTTCCGGTGCGTCTTCCAGCATTAGACTGACTCAATTGGTAAAGCTGCGCGGCTATCAATGGTATCGATTCAGCCATCGTTTCTCGTGCAAACGAGATCGCATGCCTCCTGGCTCGAGGCGAGAACATACTCGCTGCATGCGCAGTTTTGTCTCCAAAAGAGGTGGAAGAGCTAGAGCAAGCTGTAAGAATGCGCCTTCTAAGACAGAACGTCACTAACTCAGCCCCGTCGTAAGGACTCACTCGCAAGAAGATTCCTGGAGATTGACTTCTCAGAAGGGGGCTCAGACAACAGTACGAAGACGGTATTCGAACGCTTATTTGAAGCTTCCGAGCAATGACGTGACCGAGCGTATTGGGGGGCAATGTATTCCTTCATATGACTTACACTTAGGCAAGTCATCATTAGTTGGCCGAACCAGCGTTGTCGATCCATACTATTATCAGAATAAAGACGCTGCCTCACTCCACTCATCTTTCATCCTGTCAACTGGGGGCCGAACCTAGCGAATTGACCCCTGCTTACCCCGGCTATGTCTACGTGTGGTAACAATGTCGGCTGAATCAATATGAGGCTCCGAGTTGCCTCTGACAAAGTTTTCATTCTTACATATCCTCAATGCGATAACAACTACAAGTGACTTTTACCTACCTGTAGCTTCTATCTACGCCCTCCTCATCACAGGAGTGATCCACATTGCATCCGCCCAGATTCTGGGGTTCCTTTGTGCCCCGCATGTCGCAAGTTTCCGATTTTATCAAGGACTCGAAGCTACACACCAAGTTCGAGTCAGAGCTTATAACACACACCTTTCTTGAATCCACAACCATCGCTGGTCGTCGTGGGAGGCGCCGTGAGCGCAACGAAGTATGGAAACGAAAGCGGCACCTTGGAATTGGCATATTTGGTACGGTCTGGCTGGAGGAATGCGTGAGTGAGGGCAAGTTGCGGGCTGTCAAGGAAGTTCGCAAGTCGGCCCCGTCCTTGGAGTCGATAGATTTCAATCGCGAATTGGAGGCTATTGCTCGTTTCTCGCAGCAGAAGGTAAGCTTGGGATTGGCCTTGCCAGCTGCTTTCTCGAAACTCTTTGCTGTACACTACTGACCCAATTTATCTAGTATGACGGCTGCTTCGTGAAGTCTTCGGGTTGGTTTGAGAATACTAAATCTCTGTTTATTGCAATGGAGTATCTGCCTCTCGGTGATTTGGGAAATTATATGACGCAGCTATTTCGTGAAAATGAAACACAGCAGATTGCCTTCCAGCTTCTCGAGGGTCTTGACTTTATGCATAGCAATGGGTTCGTTCACCGTGATCTGAAGCCACAGGTATGTTCAAACTCTATGTCTCTATTTTAGCCCTGTACTTTCTCATTTTGCTTCTTATTATGCTTGCTCTGTCTGATATTTGTTAGAACATTTTTGTTCTATCTATAGGCCCGGACTGGTGGGTCAAGATCGGCGACTTTGGCATCAGCAAACGCGTAATGGAAGGGTTCATGGGTTTACAAACGTTTAACGAAATGCCGGCTTTCACTGCTCCCGAAATCTATAAAAATATTTGGGAACCATCAGAGGAAATTCGGATTTTGGGGTCAGAACTCAACCCCAAGGTTGACATATGGGCTCTGGGTGTGGTAGCTTACAACATGCTCACTGGAAAACTCCCTTTCTCCGGAAAAGTTGATTTGCTTGACTACTACAAAGGCAATGCAAATCTTCCCTTCGACTCATCCCGATCTCCAGTCAGCTCAGAAGCGACATCCTTTTTGGTGGACCTGATAGCAGCACAGCCATCAGATCGGCCTACTGCCAAAGATGCTCTGGACTATGCCTGGCTGGTACCTATGTTACAAGATTCGGAGTTTGATAGAACCGACCAGTCCATTCCAACTACTCAAGATACACCTGAAGTTGCTTCACAGTCGCACGTTTGCCCCGGGTCCCGAGATTCTATGATCCCCGGTAAGGTCGACTTGGGCAACAATCTTCCAAGGACAATCCCCAAATTACAAATGACACAGCATATGTCTATCTCACCAGCTAGTCTGGGGCTAGATGGGGATACTTATAAAGAACTCGTCAATACCCTGAACAACGCTAGGCTAGCGACCCCAACTCCGAGCCCTACAGCTGCTTCAACGTCAATAAACCACGGTCACCCAGCTTCAGACACCGAGTCAATTGCGCGGTCTAATAATAGCGGCTCTCAAAGCAGCGAGTCCAAACTTGACACTCAGCCTCAACATCTCTTTTCAAGCAAATCACCAAGCGATGTCCTTCCGCCATACGCCCGCCGAAGATCCGACGCAGCGCCCATTCCAATATCAGAACTTTCCTATCCAACGCCAGAACCTGAAAGTCCGGCCTCGAGAAGCTCTAGTACAAGCAACAAGCATAGTCCAGTCCGGTTCTCCAAGATCAGACACGCGTCTCGTGAGATTATGCCTAAACGAAGTTGTCGCTCTCGGGAAGTGCTTCCTACTTCGCCGGTCTCACCTGATACGAGGTAGAGTACTTACAATGTCTAGTATGTGCCGTGAGCTATGCTGACTTTCTGTATTTCGGACAGCACGCGGCAATCTAAATCTCAATCTATTGAGATTTCTCACCGTCCTCAGTTTGCAGAGGGATTGCCTTTGTTTCCGATACGGCCTGATAAAAAGGCAAAGTGTATGTTCTCTATATTTTTCGTGCCCTTGTATAGTTGTCATATGCTAATGACCCTCTTCTAAGTCGTGGATAGGAGCATAAACCTGCTGCATGTAGGAAATGATGAAAGAAATGAATAGAACAGTTTGATCTTTGAGTTACCAGGGATGAAAATCGGGGTTATATACACATCGAATGCCTGAGACTGCCCGCAGCGAACGCCATGAAAACATACACACACAAGACTATGAATTTTATGATCAAACAGCGTTCACAGCTTGACACTCTTGACCAGGTTCTTCTTAATACCCGTAAGCTCACCACCATAACCACCGCGGCCTTCACCACCCTTGTACAATTGCTTGGTACTACCAAGCTTCTTCTTCTTGTCCTCGTACTTCTTTCTCTTCTTGACACGCGGGTTACGCGAATCCTTGCTGCGCTTAGCCATGAGACCCTTATTCTTCTCGATCTGGTATGTGATGGCACGCTTGCCATCAGGCCCGACCTCCTCCTGCTCATAGACTTGGCCGCCTTGGCGAGCAGCCTCGGCGTGAGCATCAGCGCGCGCTTGCTTGTCACTCTTGCGCTGCTTGGACCGAGCCGCCACCATGTCGTAGTATTCGTCATCGTCGGTGCCAGACTTGTTACCGTCCTTGCGAAGCTCCTTGGCGACACGGTGATCTTCTTCATCACTGTCACCGCCAAGCTCCTGGCTAGCGTCGAGTTGCTTGCGGCCACGCTTCTCAGCCTCGGCGTTGAGACGAGCCTGTCGGTCGCGCAGACGTTCGCGGTAGGGAAGATCGGCATCTCCGCCTGCGTCACGGCCTGCGGCGTTACGCTTGTTGGCCTTCTGTGCCAGTTGGGAGGTGTAGAAGCGGAGCGAGCGCTTCTGCTTGGCCTTCTCTTCTGCCTCGCGGGCTGTGAGGGCGTCTTCGTCACCGAAGTCGGAATCGTCGTCCTTGGCGGCTGTCTTGAGTTTCTGGGACTTGCGCTTCCGGGTAGGCTCGGTGACCAGATCGTCGAGATCAGCGAGACCGGCTTCTGTCTTTCGGATACGCTCAGCTCGCAATGCCTCGGCTTCGGCTTGCGCTGCCGCGGCCTTGCTGAGCTTCTTCGATTTCGACTTCTTGATCTCTTGAGTCTTGGGTTGCTTCTGGACTTTGCTGGGCTTCGTCTCGATTTCTTGGATTGACTCCTCGTCAGATTCGATGTCAGATTCTTCGATGGCCTCGAGATCCTTCACTGTGTTCCAGAGCTTTCGGAACTTAACGAGCGAGGCCATCACTGGATGTTGTCGAAGCTCGGCGGGGGTCATCGGGACATGTTCGTTGATCGTGTCGGGGGATGGGGAGGAAAGAAGCATGAAGTACATGCTGATAGTGCCAAGATAAGCAGACAACGCACGGAACTTCACCACCTCGACTGGAGAGGGTTGCGGTTCATCTGTGGATTCATCTTCTGTAGGGGAAGCGTTCGAGGCGGCATCTTGGAGATCCTTATAGGTGGACTGGAGGTCGATGAAATCCTTCGCCAATGGCTCAAACTCCGGATATCTTGACTTCAAAATCTTCATTTTTTCGTCGGTATCCATGTCCTCGGTGATCTCCAGCTGCGGTAGCACTTCAGTGACCACGCCGGCATCCTCCTCGTCCTCAGCTCCCTTGCCAGATTCCACCCATTCAGACTCATCGAATCCGAAATCGGCTTCATTCATAGCCTCCAACTGCTTCTTTTGTAGTCGCTTAGCTTCCTGCTCTTCCTCAAGAGCATCGATCTCGGTCTCGATCTGGTCTGCATTATAGAGGTCCTTCTTCGATGATCCCCAGGCAGCAATGCCTTCTTCTTCGTCGGATTCGGCGCCTTCTTTCCTTTTTGGCTCGCCCATGTCATCGTAGTCATCCTCTTCTTCGTCCTCCATATCATCCTCGTCCGAGTCCGCCTCGTTATAGCCTAGAATTTCTTCGTCGGAGGGCTCGAACATCTCCTCTGTAAAATAGTCAGACAATAATTCCCCATGATAGTGAACTAGGATATCCACAAACCTTGCTCGGCAACTCTGCGCCGTCTCTTTGCCTCTGGGCCTTCTTCCAGTAGAACATGGTCCCGGCCGGCTTGGAATTCATCTTCAGACTCATCGAAGCGCTCTTCAATGTCGAACTTGGTGGGCTCTGGGGCTGACTTATTTTGAGCCGGACGGCCGGCCTTTCTCTTCTTGCTACCCATTGTGAGAATGTAGCGACAATGATCTATCGCGATAACCCGTGGACCTGAGATAAAATTATTTTTTGAGCCTTCACCGCCTTGCGCTAGTCTCAAGTGGGGGTGTTTGTTTTATTTGCACTGTTGAAATATGAATACCAGTAACAATACACATCACCACCACAGACGTCCAATATAAGCCTGAACTTTGGTATCCCTATTTCATACACCTCGCATCGCGCTTTCCTCTCCCCAACGCAGCTGCCCATTCGACATGAATATTCGCGCGTTTACCTCTCAGATGCCTCATCTAACCTTTCTAGCTCCCTTGTATAACACATCCACCTCAGTCTTGGGGGCTTCCGCACTCATTTGCACCGTTATCGCTTATACCATTGCTAAGATGTTTGGTTTTGGGTCTCTAAAGAACGAGTTCATTGTTGAGGGCAAGGTATGTGCAAGGCGCTCATCAAATTGAATTACACTGACTGTTTCTTCCAGACCGTTCTCATCACCGGTGGCTCCGATGGCATGGGCAAAGCTGTCGCACTTGAACTGTCCAAGAAAGGCGCCAGCGTTATCGTAGTTGCTCGCACAATCTCGAAGCTTCAGGCTGCCGTTGATGAAATGAAGGTGAAAGAAACCTTCCTGGTCATCCGATTACCATTGCTCACCTATCATTAGGCTGCTGCCGGTAACAGGTTCACGCAGAAGTTCCACTATATCAGTGCTGATCTCATTGATCCCGCCGAGTGCGAGCGAGTTATCGCAGAGGCCACAGCGTGGAATTCCGGTGCTGCTCCTGACATTGTTTGGTGCTGCGCAGGCTTCTCTCGTCCCGGATTCTTCATTGATGTGCCCATCCAAGATCATCGCCAGCAAATGGACACGATCTATTGGACAGCCGCCAACACAGCTCATGCCACGCTCCGCAACTGGCTGGCCCCCGTTCCCCCAAGTGGACAAATGAAGACCCCCAGGAGACATCTTATCTTTACCTGCTCTACTCTGGCATTCGTGCCCATTGCTGGCTATTCGCCATATTCGCCTGCCAAGGCAGCCATTCGTTCACTATCCGATACTCTGAGCCAGGAAATTGAAATGTACAACGGCGCCTTTACTCAGCGACACCGTACTGAAGCTCCCGCTGCGGATGTCAAGATTCACACCATCTTCCCCATGGGCATTCTCAGCCCCGGATTTGACAACGAACAAAAGACTAAGCCGGAGTTGACGAAGCAACTCGAAGAAGCCGACAAGCCCCAGACACCAAAGGATGTCGCACAGATCTCCATCAGTGCTCTGGAGCGCGGCGAGTACCTCATCACCACCATGTTCATTGGCGCTATCATGAAGGGTGCTGCCCTTGGACCCAGTCCGCGAAACAGCATCCTGGGAGACACCCTGCTGGGCTGGCTCAGCAATGTGGTGTTCCTACAGGTCATTCCGGACCTTCGCAACAAGGCGTTCAACTGGGGAAAGAAGAATGGACTTCCCAAAGGTGCACCGGCGTCATAGGGGTTGGGTGTATGCTTACTTTCACATGGTCCAGCACTTCTTGTATGTTATACCCCGAGATCTGTCTTTTCAGCGTATCCTTTGTCTGGCCTTGCCGAGACCTATACCTTTTCCGACTGTGCGATGTGATTCTTGGTCGCATATCCTAAATGCACAAACAACCGACATCATCCTTATCGTGGTTTCAATCGTGTAATCCTGGTTGTTTCTGTCCTTAAAAAAAAAAGAGATTTTTAATCTAGTTCATTCCAAATATCTCCGTGGTAATTTATCTCATTGTTGAATCAATGAAATAGCCAATTGTGTAGAGAAGATATGGTGCGCCACTCGGGATTCACGCGGAATGCGGTGACGTAGACAAGGATGCTTCCTGCCACTCCAATTTCGCCCCCGACTTTTCTTTGACCACAAGCTTCTTTTTGTCTGGGATTATGCCGTTTTCTCGAAATTGGACATGCCCTGATATTAATAGATATCATCACTAGAGCCATTGCTGGTGGGAAACCAAAACCCGCCTTCTCCCCACAGACTCGGCGATAGCGATTGCACGCGACACAGCTTCGCTCTCCAAGTCCCCCTGCTCTGCGCAATTGCTCTATGAAACTCGCCAAAATGGAGGCCCTCTTTTCAATTCCGATGCTATCGCTATTCCTCGTTCCCGTCCTGTCATCGTACAGCACCAGCCTGAACCTACTTTTTCTACATGACATGGACGACCCTGGTACTGTCGCATCCCCCACTCCGAGTGGAACTATTCGGCACAGCCGCTGTGCGCTTATTATTCTATGCGCTACCATCTATCATCTTCTTCGCCTTCGATGTCCTAACCCCGTCGGCTGCGGTGGTCCTCAAGGCGCAAGGCGAAACCGGACTGCCTAGCGGAAAGAAGAACGGCAAGATCCGAACCCGGGAATTCAAGATTGCCGGATGGGCGCTGTTGAATATATGCTTGGGCATCGCTGCACAGGCAGCCATCGAGTCGCTGCTTGTAAAGGGCTTGGGCGTGCGCAGTGCGATCAAGGTGTCGCTGAAGCTTCCTATGCCATATGAGATGTTCAAGGATATGGTCCGGGGAATGCTGGGAAGAGAGGTTATTCCCCTTCTATGTTGATGTTGTTCGCGATGCGTTGTTCCTTCAGTGGGCTAACGTTATGTTATATTGTCTCAGATTCTTAGTTACGTCCTCCACCGCTACGTCCTCCACTCGAAGAACTCAAAAAATCCCCTTGCCAAATATCACCAGACTTGGTATCATGCGCTGAAGGCTCCTTTCCCTTTAACTGCGCACTATGACCACCCGCTCACCTACATCATATCCACGTTCATCCCGACCTACCTGCCTGCTATGCTCTTCCGCTTCCATATGCTTACATATCTTTTGTACCTGTCCATTATCTCCATTGAGGAGACCTTTGTTTATTCCGGGTATACTATTATGCCGACCAGCTTCTTTTTGGGTGGCATTGCTCGCCGCACGGATATGCATCTGTTGTTGGGTGCGGAGGGTAATTTCGGACCGTGGGGGATTTTGGATTGGGTTTTTGGAACTACTGTTGGGGATACGGATTTAGAGGATGATATTATGGATGAGCTTGAGGAGCATGAGATCGAGGATAAAATGAGGAGAGCTGTTCAGTCTTCGAAGCGGAAGATTAAGGCTGGGGCTTCGGGGAGGCGGAGACGACGCGATGAGTAATGAGTTCATGGGCAACGATTGAATTTATAATTCAGAGCTGCTCCTTTTGGAATGATTTTGGTGCTTTTATCATTTTATAGGTTTCAGAGTTCTTCCGAAGAGCGATATATATATATACACATACAGTAATCCACATGATGACCAGGAATATATAGAATTATATTAGCTTTGAAAATATTTACACGCTCAACGACGGAAGTTTGATGCAAATCTATAACTTTTATAACCATTTTATTTACCGGGTGTTCATTTGAGTAGTCAATCGAACCGTCAACGAAGGATGATGAGGCTTGCGTATGATAGCAATAAAACACAAAAGTTTGATCTACAGCATATCAAATATGACAGGCCATTAACAGACATGGACAATATATACGAGCAGTATGCAACGACGCAATAAATACGTACATAGAGTATTAGCTATAGAGACGAAAGACTAGGATACGACAGACCACTCCACCCCCTCAGGATTCGAAGATAACGAGAGTGAGCGGCTTGTCCCACAATAACCTTGATTAACAGGCCGATATAGCTAGACTACTTTAGCTGCTCACCGAAGAAAATCGCCAGGGTAACGACAGAGAAAATTAACGTGTAGGCCTAGATCTCAAGATCTATACATCAGTTCCACACAATGGAAGTATATCCACTGACAAGATCTAAAGACCAACCTTATATTTAGTGTACCTTACACAGATTACAGATTACAGCATATACAAGTCGGTGTTATTGCCCAATTTTAGATTGCCGCCTGAACCTGGAATGGAAATTGGAGACGTAGGTCATACTGAACATAAAAAGAGAATCCAGCCCGCCTGCTGGAACGAGGAGATTTTTAATCTTTTTTTTTTGCTTGAAGTCTTTCTTCATAATGCGGCTTCATGCAAATCGGCCACGCGCAAAAGGGAGCATGTTTCTTGGAGACATGAGAAGAACAACCGGATATCCGTATTAACCGCAGATCCTAAGAAAAAATGAAGCCCGTTTTTTTGACGGATCCCGTAGGAGTACATGACATGGTTCATGAAACCGCCCCCCTGAAAGTCGTGCAAGGATGCCGATCTGCAATCGTGCCGCCCCTCGTTGGAAATGGTCCTCCCCAACTATCTACCGAACCCGCGGCTGCAACACATTTACCACTTCATCTCGTGGGGCTTGTCGCCGTTGCGGAGGCTGAAAGTGGTAGCGAGGTAAGAGCCGAGGAAGTCCTCCTTCTTGATGGAGGCAAGGATGGACTGGTCGATGGCCTTCTGGTCGCTGGCGCGAGCGCTGGCGACAACCTTCTTCTGTAGAACGAAAACATATTAGCATCCCATCGTGTTTCACTTGTAGTGGTTTTCCCAGGTAGATTTCAGTACGTACCTGAGGCTTCTCGCCCTGCTTGAAGAAAGCCTCCTCGGTCTTCTTCTCAGCCTTCTTGTCCTTGGTGAAGTATCCGGGAGCGGAGGTCTTCTCAAGGGCCTTGGCGTCAACACCGCTGATGTCGACCTTCTTGGAGGTAGCGATGACGTAGCGGGAGTTCACGCGGCGGAGGGGAACACCGTTGATCTTGAAGGGGCCGGTGACAAGGAGGACACCCTGGTCGAGGGACTTGAGGAGGATGACACGCTTGCCGCGGAAACGGCCAGCGAGGAGGATCAGGATGGTGCCGGGAACGAGGGTCTCGCGGACCTTGGAGGGACGCAGAGTCTTGCGGACCTGTAGATGGAGCCAGTCAGTCTTTCATGTCTCACACAGAATTCAAATCAATGATGCCAATTGCCATGGCTAGATCTTCCCCGGATGATATGCGGTTCGCACAAGATTTGAAGATTGGGTTGACGGTGGGCTCTCTGACCGCACGTCGTCCGTAAGTCACGGTACATCCTCAGAAAAATCCATGCTATTGTCGCAATCATTCGGGGCAAGTCTTTGCCAGTCGTATATCCTCCTCTTTTTCCTTGGTGCCATTGTTCATAGGGTGTACTGACTTTCTTGGGCTGCGACTGATCGTCCACGGGGTACCACTTCTGGGCCTTGTCGGCGGGCACGACCCTCTGGCTCTTCCCGAACTGCTTCGTCTGGCCGTCCGACATGATGGCTGCTGGCGAAGGATGAATGGTTGTCGGGTTGGTTGTTGGAGATTGGAGGTGAGGACTTGGACTGCTAGCGGAGACGGCTCCAGTGCGGGAATTCGTTGAGGGTTGTGCGGACAAAGCCCTATCACGTGTTTAGCCGAAGAACCCTAGCGCCACTTCTGGAAGGTGACTCAGCAATTGACACCATATATTCAAGGCCACAAAATACGGCTGATTGCGTACACCACGTGCGCAGAACCACAGCTAGTCACAAACAACTGACGTATCCCGCTCAAAGCTTCTGTCTGTTTCTGTATTGGCTATCTCTCACATCCCTCAACTTCTCTTTCCATCCACCTGGAGTGGCTCAATTCTGTCGATACGTTTGCTTCAATCGCTAGACACACAGTCACAAATTCCCACCATGTCGATAGCTCCTATCATCACCTTCAAAGCAGGTATCTGCGACCTCGATGTACGTGAGCTTAGTTTTAGACTGATGATCAACCCATCATATGGGTCCATCCGTGCATATATTGCAACGTTACTGACTGCGTTTCTATAGACCTCCACCGGCGCTGTGAAGCCCAAGCCTACCCCGGGCTACCTCTACCTCTACACCGAAGATGATCTCGTGCACTTCTGCTGGCGCCCACGCAGCGCCTCCCTTGACGAACCCGAACTTGATCTGGTCATGATTCCTTCAGATGGCAGCTTCACGCCTTACAAGCCGTCCGGCAAGGACGCCACAAATGGCCGTATCTTTGTGTTGAAGTTCTCTTCCAGCTCCCAGCGATACTTGTTTTGGATGCAGTCCCAATCTCAACATGAGAACGGTGACCTGAGCTGGTTCAGTCCTCGTGACCTGAAACTTGGAGAGATTGTCGATGTCCTGTTGCAGGGCGAGGAAGTCGATGTAGAGCACGAGATCGCCAACCTGCCTCGCCGATCCTCGGGTGACGATGACGAGACCATGGAGGACGTGGATGGACATGAGCCAAACCACCACGGTGCCGGCAGCGGTGGAGCTGGACCCGATGCCACAGGAGGTGACGTCCGTGAAGAGGGACAGGAATCGCGGGAGGGCGGTGCCGACGGTGGACGAGCGTAGGTACATATCTCTCACAGCCTTGATCGAGGCCATTGAAGCTGACTATTGTTTTTGATACTTCTGTAGAGCACCCACGGATTCCAACCCATCATCGGTAGTCCAGGACTTTTTGAAGTCCCTGGGCGGCCAGAACCAGAGCCAATCCCAAGACACTGAACGACCATCTACGACACTCCAAGACCTGCTTCCTCCCTCGACTACACTGCAATTCATCGATTCTGCTGATACCACCACTGCCGATCATCTACTGAGCTTCCTACCGCCCGCGCTGCTACTGCTGGCCCAGGGCAATGCCGAGGCTTCTGAAGCTGACACGGACCCCGAACTTGCCCAAGCTGCTCTTCTGTCTCTCGAACTCCCCCAGAAAAAGGATATTCTCCGCAAAGTGCTTCGTTCCCCCCAATTCATGCAGAGCTTGGCCAGTCTTACCGTGGCTCTCCGCGATGGTGGACTGCCCAGTATCAGCGAGGCCTTGCAGATCCCCGTCACCAATGGAGGATTTATGCGGAGAGGCGGAGTACCCCTTGGTGGTGGCGATGCGGTAGACGCGTTCCTGGATGGCGTCCGGCAACATGTTAAAGATAAGGATTCTCAGATGGACACCGACTGAATCATAATGCATTTGTTAAATGTTTCACTTGGTTTAATTTGTAGAACTATTTTTGGAAGAACCATACTAGGCAACACTGTTTTTACAAGGCCTCGTCAGCTGAACAAGCGTAGGATAAGTAATGAAGACAAGGAATGGGAAGAAAAGAAAAAGAAAAATATGAATGTAGAGAATTGTATAGACGTGAGGCGGGCATTCCAGCCACGGGGTAAAGGCGCATGCCGACGTCTCTTAGTGCAATCGCGATCCCGACACTTCTGGCCTAATTCTTCGTCGGCCCCAGGGGTCTTAGTCTAACACTCTCTTCCTCATTGTTCTTTCATTGCTGTCTTCTTCTCTGCATATTTACGACTTCACTCTGGCTTCGCCATCAACACGCACCCGTGTCGCGACCGTGTCTGACAACCCGCCCGGCCTGCGATGTCTGCGATTCGATAATATCTAATCTTGCCTGACGATGGCGCCAAGTAACCAGAGCCCAGGAAATGAAGAGAACGCTCCGCCAAATCAGATTCCCCTTCAAGATCTCTCGAAACCAGAAGATGGCGCTTACGACCGTGGCCGAAGCCCGCGTGGCAGCCTCTTCTCACGACCATCAATGATCGGAAGGGGATCGCGGAGGGCCTATGAAAGTGTCGCAGAGGAGTCTCCTAATGATTCGGCTGGACCGAGCAGGAATCCTTTCCGACCAACACAAGGCCATGCGGACATTGCTTCGCCCATTGACGACCTGGGAGGATTTGCGCAAGCCATGTCCTCGGTTGGCCTGAACTTCGACGGACCACAATCAAGAGCTTCACTGTCCGGTCCCCCCGGAGGTCGCGGTTTTGACGATGCTGCTTCCGATCTCGATGTTGTGCCTCTAGACGCTTACGATCCCCACGACCCCCACGAATACCATATACCCGCGGACGATGATGATAGGGCTGGCCTGACAGATCCTCGATACTTACAACCGATCAGCGGAGCTGCGGGCACGGAGGAACGGCGGAGCAGCGACACTGGTGGTCACTCTTTTCAGTTCGGCGGTTCACGGCTGGGTGACGATCTCCCTCACTTGGAGGATGGATTGGGAAGTCGTCGTGGTAGCAGTGCTCGTGACCGGTCACGTTCGCTGTCTCCCTCCACCTCCGGAGGAGCTCTGCAGCGCGCTAGTTCCATGGTGAAATCCATGTCGCAGCGTGTGGTCAACTTGAGTAACGAACCGGAAGTTGTACAGCAGTCGATTGAGAGGGAGGAATCTAATAAGAATGCACGAATGGACGGACCTCCAGTTCTGCCTGCGATGGTGGCCTTTGAAGACGTTCCTCAACAAGAGACTCCAACTGCTAGAGAGAAGCGTTCCTCAAGCAGAATATGGAGGAATCGAAATAACCCGTTCAGAGGCAGGTCGCTTGGGCTCTTTGGACCAGACCATCCCCTTCGACTCTGGCTGTGTGATATCCTGGTCCATTCGTTTATGGAGCCCGTTATTTTGATCGTCATCGTCATCCAGACCATCTTGTTGACTGTTGAAGACGCGCTTCCTAATTATCCGAATTCAGTGGAATGGGGAAGCAGCAACCTCGATTACGTTTTCCTTGTCATTTTCGTCATATATACACTTGAAATAGGTGCCAAAATCTTGGTGTCCGGATTGATCTTCAACCCCGTTGAGTACAGCACATTGAATCGCACTCTCGGCGTCAGGAAAGCGATAGCGGAGAAGGGCAAGAACCTGATCACGCCCCATCGACAGGCTACCACCAGGAAAGCATCCATGCTACCAGCCGAACCGCAAGCCTCGATTCTGCGAACATTCACAGGGATGAATGGATTAGATCCTGAAGTCCTCGATGACCCTTCACATAAACGCCGCGTTAGACTTGCCCACCGTGCATTTCTCCGACACTCTTTCAATCGCCTGGACTTCGTAGCAGTGGTCGCCTTTTGGGTATCGTTTTTCCTTACATTGTCGGGTGTGGAGAAAACACGCCAATTGTACATTTTCCGCATGCTGAGTTGCCTTCGTATCTTGCGTTTGCTTGCCATGACCAACGGCACTTCGGTAAGCCTTCTTTCTTATTGCGTCATCATGGCAAATGAGGTACTGACTACTGGGCTTTAGGTTATTCTTCGAAGTCTCAAACGAGCAGCTCCTCTCCTCGTACATGTTGCATTCCTGATTGGTTTCTTCTGGCTTCTATTTGCTATCATTGGCATCCAGAGCTTCAAATCCAGTTTCCGGAGAACTTGTGTTTGGATTGATCCTGAGGGTAAGAGAAATTTCACATTGAATAACGCATGGGATACACTGCAGTTTTGCGGTGGATATCTCAATAACACGACCGGAGAAAAAATGCCATGGCTTGACTCTACAGGGTTGGACTCAGGATTCGGCCCTAAAGGATACCTTTGTCCGCAGGGCTCCATATGCATGGAAGGTGGCAATCCGTACAAGGGAACATTCGGCTTCGACAACATTCTACACTCATTGGAAATGGTATTCGTGATCATGAGTTCCAATACCTTTACTGATCTGTTGTACTACACCACTGACAGTGACTACCTCGCGGCAGCTCTATTTTTTGCCTGCGGTCTTGTCATTTTGAGTCTCTGGTTGGTGAACCTGCTGGTCGCCGTTATCACGCACTCATTCCAGGTGATCCGAGAAGAGAGCAAGCGCAGTGCTTTTGCCGTTCAAAAGATAGATGTTGTCGAGGAAGATGAGACAACGACTCGCAAAATCAGTCCCCTCAAGCGTATCTATGACCAAACTGAGTGGGTTTGGGTCTGTATCATCATTTTTGACCTCATTGTGCAAGCGCTTAGGAGCTCGTCTATGTCCGCCAGCCGTGCCAAATTCATCGATACCACCGAGACTGTGGTCACTCTCGTTTTCCTCGTTGAGATTATCCTGCGTTTTGCCTCGGATTGGAGAGTTTTTCATCACAGGCGACGTAATCTGACAGACTTCTTGCTTGTTATAATTACCTGCATCATCCAACTGCCGCCCATCAGGAACTCAGGCCGCGCATACACAGTTCTCACTCTCTTCCAGATCCTACGGGTCTACCGGGTCGTTCTGGCATTCTCTGTGACAAGAAAGCTGATCATGGTGGTCTTCCGTAACACCGTCGGTCTGCTTAACCTTATCTTCTTCCTATTCTTGATGACTTTCCTCGCTGCCATCTTCGCAACACAGCTTTTCCGGAGCCAGATACCATCCGAAGATGAAGGTGGTGGCACGATCTTGATCACATTTGGAAACATTTACAACTCGTTTTTGGGAATGTACCAAATCCTTTCAAGTGAGAATTGGACCGTTATCCTTTATAATGCCACTGCATACACTACCGACTTCAATACCGCCTGGATCTCGGCGGCGTTTATCATCCTTTGGTTCATCGTTGCGAACTTCATCATTCTAAACATGTTCATTGCTGTCATTCAGGAGAGCTTCGATGTGTCAGAGGATGAGAAACGCCTGCATCAAGTCAGAGCATTCCTGGAACAGAAACAAGTTCACGGAGCACCTCAAGGAACTTTGGCCCTTTCGAAGATCTTCCGTCTGGGTCGAGATTCAGCCCGGTATAAGGATCCACTCGATCACGGTCCTGCGGCATTGGAAATGCTGCTCAAGGATGCCGTGGTGCACGAGTTTCTAGACGAAGAGGAGGGCAAGCAGGATGAACGACCAAAGGGCACACGAAGAGACAGTGCAATGCATGAAGGAGCTGCTCAGGATACCGTTCAACCTGGCTGGATCTCACTCATGTGGACCAAGGCCAGCACACTCGTCATGCGTCGGGAACCGAACCCTTTCTACTCAAAGTTGAAGTTCTCCCGTGCCTACGAGGAATTGGATCCGAGAACCATGGCAAGAGAAGTTGTTACTGCGGCAGAACAGAGAAAGCGGGACCAGCGGGAGTTCCTAGTGAAGCATCCCAACTACAACAAATCGCTGTTCATATTCTCCCCGGACCATTTTGTTCGAAGACTCTGCCAGCGCATTGTTGGTCCAGGACGTGGTCACCAACGAGTGGAGGGCGTCGATCCTTACAAACCAGTGTGGTATGCCTTCTCAGCTTTCATTTACGCAGCAATTGTCGCAATGGTGCTTCTTGCCTGCATCACAACGCCACTTTACCAGCGGGAGTATTTCCGCACTGATCGCAATTGGTTCGTCTATACCGATCTTGGCTTTGCTGTTGTGTTCTCCATCGAAGCCACGATCAAGGTCGTTGCCGATGGCTTCTTCTGGACGCCGAACGCATTCTTCCGAAGCTCCTGGGGTTTCATCGACGGAATTGTGTTAGTCACCCTTTGGGTTAGTGTCGGCGGGTCGCTCCGAGAGGACTGGAGTGTCTCTAGGGCTATTGGTGCCTTCAAAGCACTGAGAGCTCTGCGTCTGTTGAATGTCAGTGACAGTGCGAAAGATACTTTCCACTCTGTCATCATTGTTGGAGGATGGAAGGTCGTGGCTGCGGCGGCCGTCTCCATGAGTTTCTTGATTCCCTTTGCAATCTATGGTGTCAATCTTTTCAACGGGCAGATGATGAGCTGCAATGACGGTAATTTCGCTGGAAATCTGACCAATTGTGTTGGCGAATTCGCCAATTCGCCTTACAACTGGGACGTTCTCTCCCCGCGCGCTGTAGAGAACGCATACTACGACTTCGATAATTTTGGCGACTCTCTCTTCATTCTGTTCCAGATTGTATCTCAGGAGGGTTGGATCGATGTGCAAGAAAGCGCGATGGGCATTACTGGAAAGATGATGCAGCCGCAAGGTATGATTGCACCAGAGAACGGATTGTTCTTCGTTGTATTCAACTTGCTTGGAGCTGTGTTTGTCCTGACGCTGTTTGTGTCTGTGTTCATGCGTAACTACACAGAACAGACTGGAGTTGCGTTCTTGACTGCCGAACAACGTTCCTGGTTGGAATTGCGCAAGCTTCTACGACAGGTATCGCCCTCGAAGCGCTCGTTTGACGACAAGAGCAAGAAATTGCGGCTGTGGTGTTACCGGATTGCAGTCAAGAAGCATGGCCGATGGGCAACATTCGTGACTTTGATTCTTTGCATCCACTTGCTTTTGCTAGTCCTGGAGTATTACCCCGAACCTGCTTGGTGGGAACTGGTTCGCAGTGAGTTTCTTGCTTAATTTGATCTGTTGGCGCATTTGACTGATTGATACAGGTATTATATTCTTTGCGTTCATGTTTGTTTACGCAGGAAATGTTATGATACGTCTGATTGGCCTTGGGTGGCATCGATTCAGCCGAAGTTCATGGGACCTATTTTCTCTTATAGCCGTTCCTGGCGCTTTCATCACCTCTATCTTGGATATTGCTTACAATCAAAGACACGTCGTGGTTGAGCTCAACAAGCTCTTCCTCGTGTCCGTTGCTTTGCTGCTTATTCCACGAAACAACCAGCTTGACCAGCTCTTCAAGACAGCTGCAGCCAGTCTTTCTGTGATTGGCAATCTTCTGGCCACCTGGTTCGTGTTGTTCTTGGTGTATGGCATTGCGATGAACCAAGCGTTTGGTCTTACCAAGTTTGGCGACAACGAGGATCACAACATCAATTTCCGCGATGTGCCCAAGTCTCTCATCTTGCTATTTCGAGCCAGTTGTGGAGAGGGTTGGAACGAACTCATGGAGGACTTTGCTACCATGGCCCCGCCCTTTTGCACATACAACTCCAACTTCCTCGACGATGACTGCGGAAGTCCGGGATGGGCCCGGTCTCTCTTCATCTCCTGGAACTTGATCAGTATGTATATCTTTGTCTCGCTGTTTGTCTCTCTTATCTTCGAGAGTTTCTCCTATGTCTACCAGCGGAGCAGCGGGCTGTACGCGATTAGTCGCGAGGAGATTCGCCGATTCAAGCAGGCGTGGGCCACGTACGATCCAGATGGAACCGGGTTTGTCTCAAAGGAGCAGTTCCCTCGCCTTCTGGGAGAATTGTCTGGTGTCTTTGCAACACGGATTTACGAGGGTGAGTTCTCGGTTGGGAGCATCCTTGAACGATGCCGAGTCGAGCCTCACAGAAACTCAATGGCTTCGCTTGCAAGAAATTCGATGGTTTCATTGCATGAGCCACGGCCGCCTATTCGACCAACTTCGCGTGTCGCGGCCGGTGTGGATCTCGACGAGCTCTCTCGGATCATATCAAAAATCCCCGTGCAAACTATTCGAGAAAGGCGTGAGCGGTTGAATACTTTCTACGAAGAAGTCCTGGTATCAGCAGACCCTGATCGCGGCATCTCCTTCCACCAGTGCCTGATGATTCTCGCTCATCACAATGTGATCAGTGACAGCAAGAGTTTACGTTTGGAAGAATTCTTGCGCCGCCGGGCACGGTTGCAGCGTGTGGAGGAGGCTGTCCGTCGAAACACCGTCGTCGGCTTTTTTGATACCCTGTACTGGTCTCGTCGATTCCGTCGCCAGGTTGAGCGCAAGAAGTCTGGCCGGATGAGCATGATCCCAACATTCACCGTGCCCGAGATATTTGTCGATGACCCAGTCGACGAGCATGACGAGCACGATGAACCCGGTTCTGGAGCAATGACCCCACAAACCCAACCAGAATTTGATACCAATGTCGCGCCCATGCTCTCGCCGGTCTCTCTCCACCGACGAGCAGAGTCCAGCCCGGCAGCGCGCCACGAAACTCTGCCTCGCATCGACACCAATTTGAGCGGGCGAGCGTCTGGAGCCAGCACGCCAACGAGGGATTGGTCAAGCATCAGCCCCTCCCGCACTCCGCAGCACATGTATGGGAATCGCGCCTCGTTCGACACTCACGAAACGCTCGAGTCTTCTTCTGTCACGCGTTCGCGTCAGAATAGCATCATGAATGTCCAAGGAGTCATGAATTCGTTAGATAACTCCGCCTGGGGCGAGAGTCTCCGGCGAAGTTTCACGCAACGGCGACCCGGCGACCGATCGTCTGATTAAAATCTTGGGTACAATGATCCATGGAAATGTTGATGTTTTCACGAAATGAGTAGAATAGAGCGGTATAGATGTATTGGATGGAGGGTTTTGGTCTTTTGAACATTCTTTTTGGCATCCCCTTTGGATACACTGGGGCTTTTCTTTTCTGTGGCGCTTTTTCTTTATTTTCAACAATGGTTTTCTTGCTGTATACTACTCTCCTCGGGAGGTTTTTGCATGGCAGCGGCGTGAGATCCCATGCTTTTATGAAGCCCTTAGAACTACACTATTGACTATCATTTATCATTATATCACTATATTATTCTCGGTATGTATGAAAATCGTCGACTTGCATGGCTGAGTCAAGTGGGTCGGACTAGTTAATATTGGATATTGAAATCGCCCAAAGAGGAAATAGTTGACAGGAGCATCATTTCTCAAGCAATGGTTAATATTCTCTCTCTCTAAGGAGACAATCGCATTCATAGACTGATCCGAAGGAAATCCATATGGAAATCCACATGGGAACTCCGTCTGACTCCCGTTTGCAGGGACGATTGCATTCATCCGCATGCGTCGGCCGCGTTCAATCCGTGTCTCAACTCTCCCTGCAGCACAGTCCTTGCAGTCAATTTCGACCTGACATTCATAAATTCCAAGAGATTCCCAACTTTCTCTCGTCTCCAAGTACCTCCTGAAACCACCTCTCATTCTATTATGACATAGGCACATAGCCACATCGCCACATCGCCATCTCCGAAAAGCCTCACATTCCACAAAACCAACCAACACGAGATGCACCACCTACCATCGCCCTTCCTCGCACTGAGCACATCCTTCCGCCGCTCCCGTGACTCCAAATCACCAGGCAGCGAAGCCTCAAGCCCACCAAGCTCAACCACCACATCGCCACCCTCCTCTCCAACCTCCCTGCGACACTCGCCACCACACAGCTCCCCCCACCACCTCTTTAACCTCTCCTTCCACCCGTCCAAATCACACACGCACACCTTCCGCGATCCTCACTCAGACGAGAACTCACCAGTCCACACCTCGCACCCACACCCCACCTCCGACATCCCGCTCCACAATGCAGCCCACAATACCACCGGCGTGAGCGTGCTACCCTGCGCAGTCCTGCGGGGCCGTTCGTCGATGATGGTTGTACGTCGCCGACCCTCTGCCATCGATATGGCGCTGAGCGAGGAGCGGTCGCGGTGTGATGGGGATTCCATTGAGCGGCAGGGGTTGGGATTGATGGAGCCGCGGCCAGTGGATCCGCAGGGGCGGGTCGGGGAGGTACACCGTTTTGTCATGGGTGGCATCTTTGAGGTTATGGAGGGCCGCGCTTGATCTTCTTTTCTTTTTATTTCTCTTGAAGTTGTGATACTCTATCCTGTTTGGTTTTACTTTTAATTCCTTTTGCTCTTATCTTATTTTGCGGAAGTGAATATGGCATCTTGTTGGGGTTCCGGAGTTAGGGGTTCCGCTTGCGGACAAGAATGTGAGATAGAACGTTGTATAGTGGCTTGTTACTGGAAATATATGACAAAGACTGTATTAATTTTTTTAACTACGATACAAGGTTTGAGCCCTTGCTGCTAATGGCTGCCCAATATACCTATATTTAATGGTTTTCTGGCTAGTTGTGTTCTCGTGGCTTACCGGTATACGTATATATATACCTTGCCTGTGCCTATGCGATTGGGTAGGCACTAGTGAGACAACACAATGAGATAGCTAGGCCGTTTACAAACCAGGTCTCTGCTATTCATTCATTCATTCTGATAAGGACACTTTTTAAAATATATATTGATCGTATACCCGCACTCCCAAACGGGGCCATTCCTGATGGTATGATCAAATGAGATGCTATGTAATGTATCTTTATACGCTAAGTGCGCACAACAAGGTAGAACGGGTCTTCAGATCTAGTATAGATTATTCTTCAGTTCTCTAAAAAAATGCAGCTGTTGTAAACTTTGTCGAGCATCAGCGCAAGTCTACTGTTCGTATGTCTCGTCTCGAACGCTGTGGCCCGACGTACCCAAAGACCGAGCTTTTCGGATTAATAATAACATTGCCAAAATTTGCCTGAATATTTTGTCTCCATATAAGCTAATATTTCATGTACCTAATTGGCTTAGTCTAATAGCCAAGGCGGGCCTTGCTTCTATACCGGAAGGGCCATCTCATCTTCGGCTCTATGTATACCGAGGAGATGTTATTGTGCTATGCAGACTCTTTACGACATATAACGGCCAAATCTTCGCTTTAGGGGCTAAGCATATTACTACTGGCCCGTTGACGCAGTTATCAGCAACTATGCATTGCATTCATATAAAGTCGGGTAGACCAACCACGGTTCTACCCCTGGACCCCGGTGGTGCATAGGGGTACATCACCCCCACCTCCAGGTGCTTAAACGGCTTACGTTCTGTACTTATCCCGGTAAGCATATATAGGGATTGGGTTGTCTAATTGTATGATACGGTATACGATTCACCGCGTTTTGATATGAAAGGCCGTATGGCCGTATTAATATCAAAATATGGCCTTTGTTCAACCGGTCAATAGCCAGTGCCATACTAACCGTTGATGCGTTCCGGAACCCTTGATATACTTGATAATTTAACGCAAGTGGATATTTTTATACTGGATGACCACTTCTCACCGGCTGGCTTCACCATGCCCAGTGGCTTTACTATGCCCGTTGAATTCATCCTGCCCGTTGGTTGCTTCCCGCAGGTTGATTTCTTTGATAGGTTGGTGCCATTGACCGGTTGGCCATAGATATAGTCGGGTAACATTTGTCTTCACGTATTCAGAGCTGTTAGGGCTGCTGGCGGGCTATCTAGAACGCATGCAAATGTGCTTTCATACCCCAACCTAAGGCACCCCCGGGGCTGCCTAACAAACCGGTTGACAGCAGGCATAACGATAGCAGATGCCAGCCCCGTTGATACATATTCTATGCCTATCGGTAGACGATATCTCCGCTTCTAAAGTAAAGCGAAGGTGCAAAATTTCTAGCTTGGTTGTGAAGTAATAGATAAGGTGTTTGATATTTGCATTTCTAATCGTACATATTCACCGAAGTTATGGGCTCAAACATAAGCGGCATGAAAGGGAATCCAAGGCAAAATTGCCGTAGATACCATAGATACCTTATCAGACAAGTAATGCTATTCGTACAGTATTCTGATCATCAGGGTCATTCAATGCTATGTATCGTGAGAAAAAGAAACCGAGTCGCTTAACGCCGAGAATGCGAGAATGGAATATCGCGAGACAATAGGCAGTTTGGGGGCATGATCCCCTTAAGGCTTGGTGTTTTGGCTTTTGCGTTTGTTAGGCCAGAGCTGCCCGCGGCAGTTAGTCTCTCCACAGAGGCACCGGACCGCCTCAGGTTCCAGCTTCTTCCGTCCCATGTTGTCCTTGGAACTATTATCACTGTCGTCACTGTCGTCGCTCTCCTCGGACACCGGGTTGTAATCGAAGGTTAGTTCGGTGCCGGCGGGAATGTCCCGAAGGGCGAAAAATGCAAGGGTGTACACTTTGTTATCAGCGTGGGAGGTAGTCTGCACCGGAATAATCTTGCAGTTGGGGTTGCAAGAATGGTTGATGAAGCGAGTAACCGATCCAAACTTGCGCCCATCAATGACATTCATTTGTTCCTCGCTGTCATCGTCGTCGACATACCAGTCCAACGAGAAGAGGTATGACTGGTTGTGGGACCCTTCAGTAAGGTTCTCACGGTCATCGGCCTCGTCCTTAGTGATAACTTCGCCAAGGTAACGATCGATAAACTGTCCGGTAACAATCGGGTCAGGTGAACGGAGGCCTAAGCCAATTATTGTTAGTATATATAGGATGAAATAAAAAAGATCAAGATAGGTCTTACCAAAACCTCGTGATCCGGCGTCAAAAATTTGTAGCTGAACGGTCCTTCCCTTCTGGACGACGTGGTTCCAACATCCCTTACCATTGCAACCGCAGAGCGAGTTGCACTCCATAATCATAGCCTTACGGCTAAGGAACTCACGGGACGCCACAATTAACTTAGGGTCGGCGGAAGAAATCCCATAAGGGACGATTCGGTCTTCGCTATCCTTTTCTTGATCTAGACAGCCGCACGAGGAAGTGGCACACCCCCAACGCAGGCACAGCCATAATTGTATTCTTTCTGAACGCGAACAACGCCTGGGCGGTCAATGTAATCATTTGTGAATTCAAAGTTGTCGGCTAGCTTGGCAAGAAGTTTAGGGCTTTGCACTGCAGTGGTGACTGGTGGCCCATTGATTTGGCCGAGCTTCTTCTTAAGATTAGCTCGGATATCGGTAATGTGCTGTTTCGAGGTAGTGGGTGAGAGGTTAAGCGGTTTGTTTGTTTTAGAGTTGAAGGACAACGTGGTAGAACGGCGGTCGATTGGTGCCCGCGACTTAGGGTATGCTGCCTGAGCGACTCTCCGTTCTTCTGAGTCTATTGGGAAGATCTGCTCATTTGTTCCCTTAATTGCGTTCCGCTCCGCCACAGCATTCAGTCGCTTTTGAGTTGAAGTTGGCGAAGGAATCACCACGCTAAATTGCGACTGTGACTGGCGCATAGGTGGAGGGGTGGGCGTTGTGGGGTGAGCATGCGAGACGCGAGGTACCCGGCGCAGAAATTTGTGCGGGAGATCACTGTCGGAAGCATCAGACTGATCAGAGCTTGCTAGGCTCTTTCTCTTTGTTGGCAATACTGGCAACAGGTGAGTTAGGGTGGCGGCTAAAGATGCTTCAGAAATTGCATCTTCTTTAAGCTGGTTGATAGCATTTGTGCCGGGCTAGAAGCGGGGTTAGCAAATAATCAAAACAGATCGCCCTACGCGTAGTTGATACGTGTAACGAGTGTCTTCTTTGTTAAGATATCAAAAACTCTTGGCAGGACGGCGGGATGTGTGGGGCAGGACAAAGACAAAGGGGCTTAGGACACAAAAAGGAGAAGCACTTACTACAATGTTTTCGGTCTCATTCTCGTTGTCCCCAGTCAGGTCAATGATCACCTGGTGATTAGCCGGTTGGCCAAAAGGTGTGCGGGACGACATCCCGATCTCTCGAGCCCGAGAACAGAGCTGATGATAGGCCGAAAAAAAGGACAGAGACGCGTGGCGAGAGCCCGAAAAACGATTAACGAGAGATCCTTTCAGGTAAGCAAGGGAATACAATAGTTGGAAGTGCAAGGTTAGAGAAACCGAGAGATCGAAGCGTGGGGATCCTAGGCTTAGGCCAAGTATCGAACGATAGGGTAAAATTCACACCCGGAGACGCGTAAAAAAGGGCAGGCCAGAAGCTCCACGACCTTCCGGTCAAAATAAAGCAACTTTGAAGAAAATAGGACGTCGTGGTGGGATGGGAGAGAGAAAAGAAGTTTGAGGAGGTTTTGAGGTTGAAGAGGTGAAGGTTTGACGAGAGTCGACGGATTGATATCGCCAGCTACGGGAGACCCACCTGACTCAGCATTCCTCCTCGACCCTACCCTAGCTACTAAAAGCCTCACAATAAGCTCAAATTTAGATTTAGTCTAATAGAATCCTCATTGTTGAATAATAGACCAATTAATTAAGCAAAGTGTTCAAAAATATCCCTCAGATCTCGAAGTTGAGGAGCCAGAGCTGGCGAGGGCCATTTTAGTTGCCGGTTTTTGATTGGGCCACAGGGGTGTCAAAAACGTGGGGACGGATTCCCCTAAAAAGATAACAAAGGTGCCCGTGGCGTCCTGCGGATTGTATTGATTGTCTAGTCACAACAGTAGACCTGGCTGCGACCCTCAAGAGGGTCCGGACCCGGGACCCTCCACTCGCCAAAGGAACCGCCAAGGACCCTCAATTTTACATAAACGTGTATAAATCATGATTTATAAGTAGCTTATTTAATATTGAGGGTGATTTATACATACATAATTTTCTTGGAGGGTCCAAATGGGAGGTCGCAGCCACGTCTACACAACAGGCCGCCAGCAAGCCTAAAAGGAGATCAAATTACAGAATCAGGCGCCCGCGACCAATCGTATTAATTTTCATCGAAATAACCCTCGTCATTAAAAGCCTAAGAGAGAGAGAAGTTTAAATAACCAGAGCGGTGAGATCCTTAAGGAGTCTTGGCACAAGATCACGTGAAATAGCCCAACCAATCACAGTCGCGATATATCTATTAGTCAGTATATTATATCGATTCTTTCGACTTTAATTTAAAATCAAAAAATGTAGTCCTTCGGTTCCTCTTCTAAAATATTTTCAAATTCTCGAAAACTGCCAAAACACTTGTTTGAGGACGAAAAGAGGAATTTAGCGTTGGTCACGTGATATGACACAGCATTCATTAGTAATCAAAGATGATGTCATTAGATGCAAGGGATAAGTTAATGCGTTCTTTATATAAAGGCCGGAAGCCCTGAGAAAAGGGATAGGGCCTACCACTATAGTGCTGCGTCAGTCATACGCGAACAGCGCGCGTAGGGAGCGCAGGTCAAACCCCTTCCACCTAATAACTCGAAGCTCTGAGATATAAAAGACTATATTTCAACTGTATTTCGATTGAAATAATCTATCCTAACGATTCAGATAATCATTGGTATTGAGATCTACTGGCGTGGTCGCTTTCCGGCCCAAATACACTGACTGATGTTGTTGTGTCTGGCTAAGGGGCCCGGTCAACTGGACGGTACAAATTCTCGCGGGCCCCACCTCCTTCTGTCCGGCGGCCCCCTGCTCACTGGCGGTACTTCCCCGGCGGTACTCCCCCAATAATATACAGTGCGGTCCCCTAGGCGTGCCCACAGCAACTTTTCTTTTGGGCGCCGACGGGTAGGTATCCCACGCCCGAATGGGGAGTTTTTGTTTCCGTGGTTCAACAAATCTTGTGCCATTCATTTTAAGCTTACGTATGTTCACTTCGGATCTTGAGAGTTCGCTGGGATTGTAGTGGACTTATTCTGGTATTTTAGAGACATTGTCATGGTGCATAGACAATAGAAATGGCAGTTGACCTATATTAACGGTCTAGAACAATTCACTATTGATTGACTAGAATAGTTACTACCTATAATATTTCGCAATATCAAATGCCGGGTTGGGTTCTCTAAATTTCCGGCTCGAATTTTGTAGAGGCCCTAGGGCCAAATCTTGTCTGTCCTAGGGCCTGTCTACACACTTCGTTATATCAACCCGGCTAGTCATAAAGTCATAAAATAGCCTCCTACTTATTCTCGAGAACCACGCGTGTCTACAAATTGTAGAGAAAAGCCTTCAAGCCGTAAAACGTATGCAACCATTTGTACCTGTAGCGACGACATAAACTTTATGATCAATGTTCAAAAAGGCACCACACCATCCCCCGAAGCCTGATAACAACCAACAGACAGATGACAAGGATGAACAAGGAAAAACGCTAGCATCCACAAATTCTTTTTGACTCAAGTCTAATATCCACCATGTAGACCGAAGAGCAGATCTGGGTCAACGAGTATCGGAATAGGTGAGCAGTAAGTGCAAAACACGAAACACAATATGAAACACACACAGGGCTAATGAAGATAAATGACCTCTCCATAAAGAAATGGTAAAGGTGGAAAGGGAAAGCTGGACATGCAATAATAACGGGACAAAGCTAACGAATGCTCGTGCGGATGCGTCATGGATGGATGTAACAAAAAATAAATCGACAAGATTGTGCCAAAAGCACAGGTACAGTCTCATCAAGCAATGCGATCTTCAGCCAAGGAATCTATACCAGATAGAACCGGCTACAGCCTCAATGCATCGAGAATCTTCTTCGCCATCTCGCGGTATTGCCACATGCCGCCAGAAACCTTCTTGAACTGAATACCATGCAATGAGAAGAGAGGAACCTTCACAATCAGAATCTCGAATCGGAGGACTAGGTTCTCTCCAGTGTCGCTCTGCACACGGGTGGTGGTTTCGCCAACGACTCGTTCGCCGACCTGCTGCTGATCCCGTGCAACAAATTCATCCGACGCGTCCGAGTTTGTGGTGAAACTGCGATCCGGTGCTGCTTGAGCCCGACGAAGTTTGGAGGACCCAGTGCGGGTGTCGTTTTGGCTTTCGTCATGACCAAGCAGTCCGCCGAAGCTGATACGCCGGCGGTGTCCAGAGACTTGACCCTGCCTGTCTGGGCTAGGCGGGGCTACATCAACCACTTTGTCGAGGTCGATGCTGGGGGCGTGGCGGCAGCTGAAACCGCCCTTGATCTCGACATATTCAACGGCCAGTTGTTTCAAGACACGGATAATGTCGGCCCGAATGAGGGGCAAAGGCTTGCTGCTGGTGGTTGAAACACTGAAAAGACCCTTGAGATACACCGGTTTAGACAGATCTTCTCCTTCGTTGGCGCTCTCCAGCGCGGTACCTGCGCCAGAGATGTCTGCATCGGTCTCCTCGGGGACATTGGCCTCCCGAGTTGCTTCCCGCCGAGCCCGGCGCGCCTGGATACTTTCCCGTCGGGCGTGGCCAAGGGACATGGTGCGTGCCGTGTGCGTACGTCTACCGGTCCTCCCACCAGCAACGTCCTTCTGATTATTCGGACCAACCTGATCAGAGCCACTGGTCGAAGGTGGCTGGCGATCTGCGGCAACGTCAATTGCATCAGCATCGCTCCTCCGTGCAGCTCTTCGGGTTCGGTAGTCAGCCGAATTGACACTGGCGGATCTTTCCAAGAATTTGTTGGACCTGGCGCTACGATCTGCCGAGCCAGGGGCTGTCAAAAGATCCTGCTGTTGTTGGCTGCTATTTGAAGAAATACCACCTGGGGAAGGCTCCGCCCGCCGGGTCCTTCGGACACTGAAGCCACGATTGATTGGAGATGCCGAATCGGCCGGGGGTTGGACGTTGAGTGTGGGTGTGTTGGGGGTGCTCGTCCGTTCACGTTCAACATCACGGCTGCGATCTTTGGTTCTGCGAGTGCTGAAGCGTCTCAAGAGACCAGCAGCGGTGCTTTCCTTCTTTGCTGGTGTGTCGTGATGCGATACTTGGACTGCGTGTGCCGATGGGGAAGAGGAATGAAGACCCTTCATTCCCTCTGACACCTCGTCCTCGCCATGGGTGCGGGCCCGTGGGCGGGACCGTCTCCCTGTATCCTTGTCTCCTGGCAGCTGGTACTGGTTCGTGTGGGCGGCCTCCGGGGCCTGTAAATCAGGCACTTGGACCTCACTAGGAGCCTGACGAAGACCAAGGGCTCCAGGGCGTGCCTCAGAGCGTTCCCGGTCAAGCTTTTCTTTGACTAGGTGGTATGTGGAGATCAGGGGACTGTAAGCGTTCAAGGGGTCATTTCCCAGCTGCACCGCCTCAGCCGAAGGCGCGGAGAGAGTATCGCGACTGGCTGCAGAGTTTCGTCGTTTGTAGAAATCGAATACTCCGCGCTTGCGCTCCGCATAGTTGTGGGCGGGTTGTTGTTCACGGAAGTTGAGCCTAAGAGCGTGGTGGTAGTCCTCCGACTCCAAGACCTTGGTTAACTGGGATTTAATGTACTCTGGAGAGCCGAAATCGAAGCCAGTCATCTTTTCGATAACTTCTTGGTCCAGGGGCAACTGCAAAGGCTCGCGGTGGGGGAGGTAATTCTCTGGAGGGGAGTTGAAACCCTTGTTCATCCAGGGATGGGTCATGATTTCGGCCAAACTGGCACGCTGCTTCGGGTCGGTGACTAACATGCGGGAGATGATGTGGCGGCATTCTGCGAGATACGGTTAGCGAGGAGAGCAAGTGAAGGACGCATTTCGAGCTTTACTAACCTGCAGTAAGACCTGGAGGATATTCCACGACACCTTTCTTGATTTTGGCATGCAGCTGGGGCATGCTTTGATCGTCGAAAGGCACCTTTCCGCAAACCAAGACATAAAGCACAATACCAAAGCTCCACACATCCACCTCCGGGCCGGTGTATTGTCTGGCCTGAAGCAATTCTGGGGCCGCGAAATATAGACTGCCGCAGAACGTCTTCAAGAGACTTCGCGGGGAGAAAAGGTTACTGAGGCCGAAATCAATGATTTTGATATCACCAGTCTTGCTGATCAGAATGTTCTCAATCTTCAAATCGCGATGCACGATGCTGTTGCGGTGGCAATAATCTAATGCGCTGGCGATCTGGCGTGCGAACTTCCGCGCCTGCTTCTCCTTCAATTTGCCGTGGGAGATAATGTAATCCAGCATCTGGCCACCATTGACATATTCAAAGAGCATGTACCAGTGGTATGATGTTCGAACCACGTCCCGCATCCCGCAGATGTATGGGTGGTTCACCAGGCTGACAATTGCGGCCTCTCTAGCAGTTCGAATCTCCTTAGAGCGGTCGGCTCTTTCTGTTTCGCGGCTAGTGCGATGTTCCTCTGTCGAGAGTCGTGGGACGATTTTGACGGCAACCTGCGACCGATGTCAGTACTGCGTTGATGATTGAAACCTGCTAAATTGGATGCACATACCTGTTCTCCAGTTTCGGTATTTTTCGCTAATTTGACCTTGCCCATACTTCCGGCACCTATCGTTTTACCGAGAGCCCACTGCCCCGTTGGCGTTGTGATCGTGGTCCGACGCCGAGGCGCCGCGGCAGCTGCGGGGGCAATTGTTCCGGTCGCAGACTGCGTCGGCTCCTGGGTAGCAGCAGCCGGTGACATATCGAAACTATCCCTTTGACGTTGCGATGACGGTTGTCTTTGGTGCCTTCGGGTAGTTTCGGTTCGAGCAGTTGAGGGGCGTTCCTGAGACCGTTCTGAGGACGCTTCCCGGCGAGAGGGCATCCGCGCGACATTGGATGCCTCAAAGTCGCGACGAGCTACACTGTCCAGTGCAGCATGATTCGAGGGAGGACGTCGGTCATGGGAGGCGGTCTTCGAATGCGAGTGCTGGGTTTGTGCAGGGGGCTGGGATGTGTTGGATGGACGGACCGCTACACTCCGTGTCCGATGGGGAAGATCCGATGGCGCTCGGGATGGGCGAGACGAGGTTGAATGGCTTCGGACCACCGTCGGTACTTTAGGTGTCGGAGCAGCAGACATCGTGGGTGATCAAAGTTGAGTGGTCGGAGCGGTCAAAGGAATGAGCGGGGGAGCAAAGAGAAGCCGCAGCCAGGGCTCGGGGCCCAAGCACAAGGATGACTTCAAGTGTAGAGACGGAAGTTGGAATGCAAATGCGAAGATGAGAAGGGAAGAGAGAGAAGAAGAGACAAGGATGGAGATGGGGGGAAGAAGTGGGTTGGATTGCGGAGATGGCCCTTCGGTAACTAAGCTCTCAAGTTGATACCCAAATTATGTCTGAGGCTGGGTTCACGGGAAATTCGCCCCTTTTTTGTTATGCGGTACTTAGTATTTTTTTTGTTTACTTTTCAGGGACTCTCCAGGCTACCACTTAGGTACATTTAGCCATGCGCTCCAGTGTCCACGTAACCACCAAGCTACCTATGTGGGAGCCCCAGACTGTTGGTCATCCACACGTGATCTGAACTATAAATATCCGAGAACTATACATAAGACGACGATCGTTATTTTAGTATATAGAGCACCTTGCAAAATTCGAATTAGCCTTAACAACGTGCAAGGTTGGCTTTCTCCATGGCACTACCCAAGTAATACAAATACTACGCTTCCTTCAAGGGGGCTAGGGAGGAGGACAGCCGATTTGCCAAAAGAGAGCGTCGCCTATTTGATATTCTGCGTGACTACTGGGCTATTTGATCATATCATCAACCTTAGAGAACTCACGTCCAATTGAATGTAATAGTCTAGTAAATCCCCCAAACAACTGGTTCAAAATCACATAATTGGGTCGGATCCCTATAGCGAAAAGTGTCAATGGCCAGGATTCAAAGGCTCAACGGGACCATTACAGGTGACAAAAGCAATTACAGAGAGTCCTCGCCATAAAGCCCCAGCTATCCTATAATATTGTAAAAACTGAGCAGAGGAGAGCCCTACCAATACCAGGCAAACGCACCACCCGACTCATAGAGGAAGTATCGGTACCGTGAGATACTCCACCCATTTGTCTCTCAGAGCTATCAGAGCCACTGTGGTCATGAAGCGCATGGAACAAAAAGGTATTCGAGAATTGAATGGAACACACCAATGCAGCAGGCCTCCAATCGTAAGCGTAACGATTTCAATGGGAAAAGCTTAGGCTTACCAAACCAGAAACCGACGAAACAAACCAGCCAATGACATACCGACTAGCTGATTGCTCAAGGTAAACAGAAACTGAAAGCCCCACGTAATCTTCGGATTGTAAAATGGTGTAGAATGTGTCAGTTAATGGAGACATCTAGTGAACAAAGAATGCACTTACGGTTTGCTCATAGTGCCATGAGAGCATCGGTAGAATAAGCGTAACCAAGTGACACGCTGTATGCTGGTTAATGATGGGGTTAAGCCAATGGGGGCTTCCTACTAATTTTGCCATGATCTAAAAACAGGAGGTCAGGTCTTTCGCGACGAGGGAATCATGACCTACGGAGTTACTGTGACGACTACATCTTCTTTGATTGTGAAGTGGCCAAGGTTCAGCGTCTATTGCAAACCGAGTGTATTGAATACCTTGGTAGGCATCGTCTTGACCTAGAAACAACCGATTGGATAGACTAGCAACTGCACTACAATGGCTGAAAACGATATGGCAGGGCTCCTATTGCAAAATCAGCATATGCCATAGTCTTTCGGGATTGACACCAAATCAGATTCTACCACATGCTCAGAAACATGTTGAGGTTACTTCCGTAGTCGTAAATAACAGTCCTAGGATCCATCACACCGTGTTTGTAACCTCTCCGCCATATGTGTTGCGTACTGCCGCACGAACAGGCTCATATTGAGAGTCCTGCGCAAGGGTTTTCTCAATCTCGAGTGCCTTTGCCTTGTCTTTTGCCTCGATCGCATGGTGGATTGCTTCCAGGTGGATTGCATCCAGCTTTTCTTGAGGTAGACTCGGGTACCGTTGATGGGCGAGCTCAACCTTGTGTAACTGTTCGACAGGATCCCCATTTGAGGTCTCGGGCTCTGGCAGCTCAAGGCCCGCAATGATAAGGCCCTTGGAAGGCATATTGCAAGAATCTAGTTAGTGCCTTTCGAGTCGAATAGGCAATTCTGATACATACATGTAGAATGATGAAATGTGAAGGAGCTTAAAGAAAAGGGAAGAATTGAGAAGGGACTATGTCAAAAAACGTCCTCAGAATTGAGCTTGTCACAATTACAAGAAAACCATCAACTTTATATCCACTACATACCTATTCCTGCATCCTCTACATTCATCCTCCACTTTGATACATAGGCGGCCATAAGTACGTTCAGACTCCCACCATTTTTAAACAACTGCAACCTGAGGCACTTGAAAATGGGCAAAAAGAGGTGAAAAAAGAGGCCAAAATATGGCAAAAATACGCATAGGGCGGTCGACTCGTTCGAGGCTTTTGTGTAGAAATTGTCCAATACTTCATCATTAGTACTGTATACACACTTATGACCCCGTTGTAACAAAGTCCTCCATTCGGCATAAACGCGGAGTAGGGCCATGCAACATCCCAAGCTAGACTAGTGGCTGATTCATCCGACGAGACACTCCTGATTTTGTTTATCATTCCCTCACCCCGCTTCGACTAGACTTCGCGTTTTCACTTTATCGGGCCTTCGTCGTCCTCGACCCCTACAAAGAACGTCGGAAACCCCGGCATTGCCTACTCCAGACTAGAGCCAGATTATTGCCACCATGGTCTCTATCACTACACCCAGGGGAATTGCCATCCAGCGGGCTCAAGGCGCCACCATGCGCGACAGGATTGAGCGCATCACCGAGGAACTCATGGATATCAAAAATTTCTATCCCATCAGTATCTCACCTAGAAGGACACGAGACTTGAACTGATTCTTCTCTTCTGAGTTCGAATCTCTCCGCGATCTCCCATTCGATCATTATGACCAGGAAAGAAATTTTTGATTACCTTCTTGTGAAGAATTACCTGGAAAGGCAGATCCGACAGCTGGAACTCGAATCCAAGCAAGACGAAAAGGCTGCACCACTATTGCCCTTCTCCCCCATTTTGACTGATTTGTGCGAGGCTCGTGCTTTGGTCAAGTTGCTGGATCCAAAGGATGCTGCTCAAAAGCTCTTTCAGTCACAGGCCCAAATCGCAGCCCTGCTTGACAAGACCAAGAATAACTCGAGCGATTTCCAGATCGAGAAACAACTGCCTTTAGGACAGTAAGAACGACTGATACTCTTCGAAAATGCCTGAAAGAATGGATAGATTTCTATAAAGGATACGACCCCTTGTTTGATTGGTGGGTGACGCATCCCTATGTGACCGTGGACAAAGAGATTGGAAGATCTTTCAGTCGGTATTCAGGAGGAACTAGTTGGCATCCAGCTGGGAAACGGCGCTGCAATAGTGGGCAATCCTATTGGGCGTGAGGGATTGCACAGTGAGCTTATGGCAGACATGATTGCCTACACGCCAGAGGAAGTCATCGCGATTGGCGAGAAAGAGTTCAAATGGTGTGTGCATGAGCTCAAAAAGGCATCACGGGACATGGGATATCAGGAGAACTGGAAAGAGGCTCTAGAAGAAGTCAAGCAGGATTTTGTGGAACCAGGAAAACAGACGGATCTTGTTCGAGATCTGACACGTGAAGCAATCTCCTTTTTTGAAGGGCATCAGCTTGTAACTGTGCCGCGACTCGCAAAGGAGACCTGGCAGATGTCCATGATGTCGCCTGAGCGCCAAAAAACGAATTCATTCTTTCTCGGAGGCGAATGCATTATCGTGTCGTATCCAACCGACGAGATGGATCATGGAGACAAGCTGATGAGCATGCGTGGGAATAACATCCATTTCTCCCGTGCCACGGTCTTCCATGAGATGATCCCCGGTCATCACTTGCAAATGAACATGATCGCGAGACACAGACCGTATCGGCGTCTACTTGACACCCCTTTCTGGATTGATGGGTGGGCTTTGTATTGGGAATTCATTTTGTGGAATGATGATCGATTCAAGAAGACATCTCAGAACCGAATTGGGATGCTATTTTGGCGACTTCACCGGTGCGCCCGGATCATCTTTTCTATGAAGTTTCATCTGGGTCAGATGAGTCCCCAAGAATGTATTGATCTCCTTGTTGACGAAGTGGGTCACGAACGTGCTACTGCAGAAGGAGAAGTGAGAAGGTCGTTGAATGGTGATTATTCGCCGTTGTATCAGGCTGGGTACATGTTGGGTGCATTGCAGATCTATGCTCTTCGAAAGGAAACTATGGAAACGGGGAAAGTAGATGAAAAGGACTTCCATGACAGCTTTTTGAAAGGAAACTGCATGCCAATCGAGTTGGTTCGTGCCTTGGTGCAAGATCGACAATTATCACGCGAACGAAACCATCTTGGAAATTTTATTCGCTTTGACTTCACTCAACCCTGGTCAACTGGTCCAGGTCGACTATAGCAACTATCCAAGTTTCTGACTTTTCTAAGTAATCAAAGTTGCGGCCTCGTACACGCTACCATGATCCGGAGTAAAGTACCTACCCCATCACTGTACCTGAACCTTGGCTTATGTATTATTGTTCAAGCTTATAGCACGCTTCAATTGCCATCCGAAATCACAGACCATATGTCTTATATGTTCTTAAACATTGCCTAGTAAGCTCATCCTTTCTTTCATTTCCAACTATAGACCGCGAGTATACCATATTTGACACTGTCTAGTGTGAGATGCATTGGATGAGGCAAGGTGGGAAGCAGTTTGAATAGGATTTTTTGTTCGACTTGAACATGTTTGGACGGGAATGTAGACAAAGGTACTTCACTGATGCGTATCTAGCCGGATGTTTGGATATGCCGGGCCCTCTTCTGTAGAAATTATCCTAGACGCGATCGAGAAAGGGCTTTGATTATTTATTAAAAAAACTGGGAAAGTGATCTGTACGACCAGAAGATGGAAAAGCAGCGAAAGGGGTGGAGCAGCGTATATGACTGTATTCCCATTATATTACCTGTTATGCTACGATTATGAAGCTCCTGTTACATTCCTTCAGATATCTTCAGGGGATTCTCGACCTCGGCACATAAGGAAGTAGGAGCCGACGTCATAGACCCACCTACGGGACTGTGGCGCTGTCATGTATGACTCGCATAGATCTGGCCTGGGCTACTGTGCCTCCGTTCCTTGAAAGCAGGATTCAAGCTCAAAACGCAGGGTCCCTTTGGCTTCAATCTCGCTAGTCACCCGGCCACATTGTATCTAGTGGTTCGTCGCTTTTTTCATGTATCTTGGGTTGGGATTCAGGGGCCGACAGAAATTCTCGCCCTTTTCTTTTTTTCAGATGGCTAGTAAATTCAGAACCAAGCGATGTGATGCAGTGTTATGATATATCTATGTTTCAAAATTAAGGTTGACAGCAGATCGAAGTGAACAAAGAAGTTGAAATATGAGTAGTACAGGGCATGTTGGTACACACATTTTGTCCCATTGACAGATGTTTTATCAGATTCTACAGCATTCTAAGCCGGCAATGACCGCATAGCCTCTGCCATGAAAATTAGAGAGAACTTTGCGCAACAGACTTGGGAAACTTGGTGGCAGGTTTACACTGTTCATCATCAAACACGTCATACATGATTCGGCCGGGTTTGTGGGTCTGGGGAGACTCTGCGCACAATCTGGGGCCTTCGTAGCTTAGGCCTAGACAATAAGGGACCGAGGTATACGCACACCTACAAATTAGTCCAAGTGCGGTGGATTTAATGGGGATCAATAGAATGTTCGATGTTAACCCTACTGCTGGGTTCAGAGCCACGAATCAAAAGCATTTGCCAGGGACACAGGTCACATGCAGACGAAATTCAAGTGATGTCAGGAAGCTTGAAGCCTGTCGTTTATGGGGATACAGCCACCTTTCGTATGGTTCCAAGGTTTTTGTTGCTAAAGGGCTAAACTTGGTTGCTGAAACTTGAATGATTCGGGCTTGTCCAACGATGACGTAATGACATCATCGCTCTTCGCTTCAATATAAATAGCCCTGGTCTGTCGCCTTTTACTTTTCTTCCTCATCCAATTCAATCACAATCAATTTACAAACCTTCAAACAAACAACCTCAACTTCAAACTCTTTTCGCAATGGAGACTGTCAAGGTTCGTGAATCCCTAGATTTCGAAGTTTTAACATACTAACCATTGTATAGAACGCCGCCAACTACGTCGCCGAGACCGTTCAGGGCACTGGCGCTGAGGCTTCCAAGGAGGCAAACAAGAATGTCGCTAAGGACAACGATGCCAATGTCACCACCCGTGCCAGCGCCGCTAAGGATGCCGTTGCCGACAAGAAGGACGAGTTCTCCCACAACACCAAGGCCGATGTCCACAAGGGTATGTCGATTGCTCCCGAAGCTATCTTTGGTCTTAGAGCTAACAATATTGCAGAAGCCGCTAAGAACTAAATGTGCCGCGTTCAATACCCGTGATACCTATTGATCTATGGCTTAATGTGGCGAGCCACGTTCGTTATTATGGGCTTGCTCTTGATGACTTTATGTAAATAGCGAAATAATACCACCCAAGGTCTTTTGACGCTGAAATCACTTCCACCTTGAATCTCAATGCGAGAAAGGCAGAAAAAGGCATCTGCTGCAACAAACTTGATGAGCTTGATTGCCTCATAGTAGTCCGGTATCATAAAACGGAAAAAATGTATATGCTGTGCCGCTTAATGTACTTGGACAGTCGCCATACTTCTGACTGCTGCGAGGCGAGTATATCATCTGACATATTACTTTAGCTCTGTTGTATCTCTTTTTTCGGTCTCTAATTGTACGTAGAGGGCTGTTAATTGTATAATTGTACAGTCATATTCGAAATCTGTTTTAACTCCACTCTTGCGACTTAATTCCCGAACCCTAACCCAAGACACGCTAATCTAATTTTAGCTCCTCCCCTGGTAATCCCTGCAGGGCTGTGTCGTATTCACTGGCAACGACAATGAGTCGTTCTTATAGTAGAACCGTAGTTTCTCGTAGAAACCGATAGAAATTCTATAATAGTATTCATCGTCCAAACACACCAAACGAAGGGGAAACCCAAGCACTCTGGCAAGATTATCCTTTCATTTCTCTCACGTCTTGGTCCCCTTATCACGCGCAACCTTTACCTACACTCGTTTGACTTCTAAAAGAAGGCTGCAGTAATGGCATAAGAACTAATCCGAGTAGTCAGCATGTTAGCTTATACCTTTAGTATCTGTTATTTACTACGATTGCCATAAATTACCAAGGTCTATAGAAATCCAGTACTCCCGAGAAGCAGACATAGACCTCTTAAGGACTGCTATCCTGTCGTGGAGATGACACAGGCTATATCACCACGATTCTATCTCACCGCCCCAAGAACCTCAAAACATAGAAAAACATCTCGCAATACGCTTAAACACCTAGATACTTCGGTGGACCTCATGCAATACGGTCTAACAACAGTTCCACCCAGTCTATTATGACAGAGGATCGTTCACAGCCAGATACCCCTTAGGTTGCTCCCATTGTCTAAATAGGAGGAGTGAAGGATATACAACCAGGACCCACCGACTTATATCCACTACCGTATAGAATGGCGAGTGACAGTCAACAATCGGGAGGTGCCAAAGGACGCGGAAGAAATCCTCGTTTTGACTCCCAGCGCCTTTTGGCAGCTGTCCCTAGGAAAAAAGTAGAGTAAGTTCTTTGACGGAAAATCGCCCGTCATCGTTGGGTGAGAGCTAATGTCACTGCTATTATCGTTTCAGTGAACGCCTGCCCCCAGCACAATCTGACTGAACGATTTGATGGTACCGACATTATTTGGACCGCCATCGAGAAGCAGCTTCTGACGTGGTCAGGTCTACTCTCCCGGGGTAAGGAGCTGTGATGAAAGGACACACTTTCGATGGCTACTACAAAACATGTAAAATACAAGGGGGATCGGCGGCTATACCGAATGTAGATTAACATGTTCCAAGTTATCGCAAGAGTGTGACTTTAAAACTAATTTCAAATACGACTGTACTTGGACAAGCTGTCCACACATTTAACAATCCCACTGTGTCATGAACCTCATGTCTTTCTATCTAAATGTACGACTGCTTCATAAGGAACGAGTGTTTCTGATGAAATATTTTGTACATGTAGTAATCGTATGTGACTACATGATTGAGTGTATATGTACAAGTGGGCTTTGAACACTACCTTGCTTAGAACGGTCACCGCGTACTGTTTCGGGGTGTGTCTGGCTATGGCTTAGGTATTGCATGAACTTTTGGCATTAAGGGCGGGTTCCGTCACACTACGTTTTGAACTATAAGGAATGGCGGAAGTTCTGTATCATCTATTCAGAGGAACAAGAGCGATTGGATTAGGAATAAAGTAAGAGTAGTAAACGCCGTATCCTCCGTTCAAAGAGGAAAAAGGGACTGTTTAGCCATAGCAATGCGCGCCCCTGTACGTAAATCATCAAGAGGGAACGGAAAGATATCAAATGGTGGACGTCCATGTAAAAGAGCAGTTCCAAACAACATTTTACGTGTGACTGTAATAGGGGGTTGAGGAGAGGCAGGTACCGGAAAAATGGCTGCATCCTGTTCTTTGAGTGGGTCACCGTTGATATCGAGTCGCCGTAGTTCAATCGTGCCAGCAATTCTAGCTCATCTCTTATACCACTTAATCAAAATACCAGCAGTCGGTGAGTTGTGGCCGGGCCTGCTGGACAAGGCCACGGGATTGCCGATTGTTGTCTGGCTGGGCCTGTTGGGGGCGGCCACGACATTGTCGAATAGAACCTCGAAGGAAGTCCTCCACCTCGGAAGAGGGGAAGCGGATATACGGCATACCTGCTATGAATGAGGCAGTTAGCAAGTGAAACGTGAACCAACAAGATCAGGGAGGATCTCCGTAAGGAAGGGGATAATGATGAGATGTCCCAGATGCCCTTAAACTGAGCAAGCATGAGATGCCCTAGACGCATCAGAACTAAGCATCCAAATGTCTTAGAACTAAGCCACAGACATCTCAGATGCCTCAGCTAAGGAAGTATCAGGAAGGAGCAGTAGTGAGATTGTAAAGACTTACTAACGATAGAAGCGTATCGGCTGGGGAGAAAGAAGAAGAAGGATCGGCCAGCATGGAAAAGGGTCCTTTTATAGACAGCAGTCCAACGATCGGACCCTAATGCTAGGAAGCAAACATTCGATCTACTGCTCAGCCCTACCGGAATACTCCACAAAGCTTGGCGGAACGACCCTTCTCACCACGTCAATCACATGCTTCTTACACATTACTGCTTCCTACGTGGAAACATCCATGTATAGCCCAGCCGACGTTGGATACATTTTCCTATATCGGGATTTCCTTTCTAAGGTCGGAGGGTTTTGCCATGCATAGTTTAATGGACCAATACGGCCGATAGGTATGACCCATTTCACTGCAAGACCCTAGGGACGTGGTCTCTAAGGAGGGGGATAATTGTCAGGACCTCTTTCTGACTGAGGATGTTGACTCGGTCTAACTTAAAGCATGAATGGATGCCTTAGGACGTACGGTGAAAGGATAATCTAGGACCTCACCGCCCACGAATAGGCCAGTCTATATAGTGTAGTGGTGGAACCCGTGACTGTAGCGTATTATTGGCCAAGGTGTCGCAAATGCCCTAGGAAGCTTGCATGCAGTCTTCTCCTAGGAAGGGCATCCATCCATCATCAATATGACTACAGTTTTTCCACCAGATTCTTCATTCATGATATAGCTTCAAGTTCAGTACTTCAGTCGCTTCCTGAGACTACTTACTCTCTACGCCTACGGTGGGCATGGGAGTGGTTGGTTGTCTTCTCTCCATTGATATCGACCCGTCTGCTATCTCAGATTGCCATCGAGCCGTCCCCATTTCAATATATGCATTTCCCGCTGGTCCGTGGAACAGGCTAGCGTTCAGTCTCTTCACACAATGCACTCTATTGTACTACACACCTAACTGGGCCATCTACCTCGCTTACCCAATTCGTTTCGCTAAATTGCAGAAGGGCACCGGGAAAAGATACGCCAGTTCAATCGTTACGAAATGCAACGTGGGGCTGAACGCATGGATCACTTCTGACTTTCCCATATGGGATGGGTTATGGGTAGTATGCCCTTGATGATTGGCACTAGACTGTCCAACCGCACGGGTTTTGTCAGGAATAAATCCATACCAGATCCCGTAGCATCGCGTTGCACGTCGGCTTGCGCGAGGCCAGTAAGAGCGACAATCGTGACACGGTCCTTGTTTGCCAACGACTTCTCAAACTCACGGATTCGCCTTGTGGCTACGAGGCCGTCCATGATCGGCATGGAGATATCTATTGAAATTATTAGTTTCCAAAGGAGTACTATATGAATTGACTTATGACTTACCCATAACGATAATGCCGATATTGGAGGCATTTGCCTTGAAGAAGTCCAGAGCTTCTTCTCCATTTTGTGCAAGCGCGTAGTCACATTTCAACTTTTTCATGAATGCTACCAAGAGCCGTAGGTTGATATCATTGTCATCCACAAGGAGGACAGTCATCGGAGGAATCGGCCGAGGCTCGGATCCTGTGTCAAGTACTTTTGCGAAAAACACGTCTTCTTCCGCAGCAACCGGAGACATATATGGGCCATCCACATCACCTGGAGATAAAATTTGCCGCGTAGGGATACTCTTCAAGAGCTGGCTGGAAAGAAGTGTGCGGTCTTCTATTTCAGTCTTAGGCTCTTCGCTGAAACCGCTGGTAGGCGTGTTGAGAAGCGAATTCCCTTCAAGATCATCATCGGTGGCTGAAGACTCGGCTGGCCTTGGTCGTCTTCCATTTTTACCACTCGCAGAATCAAGCCGTTGCTGTTGACGCTTGATGCAAATTTCCAATGTATTTGCCAACTTGCGTGGCCCACATGGCTGGCTAATAAACTCAAGGACCTCTGTATCTCCTCGCCTCTGGGCGCTCGCAGACATCGAATGCGCAATCCTTGGGGATGGGCATATGATGATGACAGGAGAAGTGAATCGGGTATTTGGACCAGGGGCAATAGGCTTAATCTCTAAATTCCCAAGATCTAGGAATTCATGGGGCGAAATGTAAAAGTCACAGTGGTCGAATTGTGTCTGCGACGGGACAACCAAGGAAACATTCATGCCAAACCAATCTCGACAGAGCTTTTGCAAGGATGAACAAAGTGCAGTGTCCAAGTCAGATATCCCTAGACCTAACACACCAATGGATTTATCCTGAACAAGTGCTTTTGTCATTGGTGCAGGGGACTGAGTATCGAGGCCATCCAAAGGATCAGACTCGAAGATGTGATCGAGAGTCACGGTCGTGATAACTTCAGTGCCAATATCCTTCTGAGAGTTGACTTGAATGTCACCCCCAAGTGAGGATACTATTCGATGGGTGATGTTGAGCCCAAGTCCATTACCAGTTGTCATGCTATCTTCTTGGGAAAAAGCAGTAAACAAGCCGTTGTTGAGATAGTCTGGGTCAATGCCACATCCAGTGTCTTTGATGGTCAGCGTGGCCTTTGACCGTGTGGCCTCGCCATTCGTTCCAAATTCAACTGGGGCTGCCTTCAAGGAGACATGGACGTACCCGCTTTGAGTAAACTTGAGGGCATTCCCGAAGATATTCGTTAGGATCACATGCCAAGCGCCGGGCCGAGTTGAAAATTTCCAACTCTTTGCAGAATCAATATCTAGGATCACCTTAACTCCCCCTTGGGATATGAATGGTTTGCTCGGTGATGAGAAGCCGGCAACGCCCCGAAGAGGAGAGCGTGAGCTGTCGAAGAAAGAAAAGCCCGCAAAGACTGTTTCTACGGCGTCTTCCACGGCAGCATCGAGTTCAACATAGGAGTCAACATCAACCCTCCCATAGCTTGGACTCTCATCGGCGGAACTGCGCCCTGAAAAAGGTTTAGGTTGGCTTCCACCAGGAGTTCTAGCGAGGGAGTTTGGCCGAACATCATTTATGCTGGCATACTCAAGAAGTTGGTTGATTGAACCCAAGAGTGTAAATGCACAAGCCCCGATGGTATGAACGAAACCACGCTGTAGCGCGTCGATCACAGTATCATTGAGGAGCTCCGCAGTACCGAAAATTCCGTGAAGAGGAGACCTAAGCTCATGACTGAGTCCTGCAAGTAGATCTGACTTTGCCCGCTCGGAAAAGTGGGCACCGAGCCGATGTACTTCAGCCATAACACTATTTCCGAATGCCAGTAGAAAAGCTAATTCCTCATTGGGTGTGAACACACGATGGGGGGCTCGTGTCCACGTAAGACTTCCTGAGTACCATCTTCCTTTGTGTGAATCCCACAACGGCGAGAAAACGATGCTTCGAGAATCGGGCGCGAGTTGAAGAAGCGCTTCGGCATCCTGGCGTACTAAAGCTTTCCGTGTTTTCTTATACTTCTTGCCCCCAGTGCGCCGGAAGAATCTTTTAAAAACACCATCACTGGTATCATCGGACGAGATTGTGCCTTTTTCGCCAAAGTTGAAAATCTTTCCTCGCGGATAACGGTGCAGGAGTCTCCCGAGAAAAGACTCTGATAATGCGATTTGGTTATTTTCGTTCGATTCTTCGCTGACGCTGGACGCACTTGAGGTTGAGAATCCAAGTATCTGGCAGGGATTTAACGTGTTTTTGCCAGCAGGGTTATCTTGATCTGCACCCAGAAGATCCTGCTGTCCAAGCGCTTCTTGATATTTGGTCTCATCATCACTCGAGGAATAAGAAGAGCTCTCGAGACCACTACTCTCAGTGTCAGACTTCGTATGGTCGACCAAAGACTCTTGAGAGCGAAACTGGGCATCGAAAAAGACAACCGCTTCAACTTCGATACTCTCGCGAATGAGGTTGGCCGCACGAGAAAAGGTTTCCTTCACCTTGGCTGCGTAATCTTCTCTCGGTGATTTTTGCTCATCGCCAACTGTGATGGCTGCCCTGGATGTCTGGTCGAGCTTGGATTGCGCCTTGGCATCTCGTCTGCTGGTATCTATCTTGACCATCGGCTGATGACTCTCCTCATTGGGCTGAGGCGTCTGATTCCGGGGAATATGAAGGTTATACGGATGGAAAGGCAGATGACTAGACGGGGCATTTCGTGCCATGGCCAAATGCACGTCCTGGGAAATTTGCTTCTCCTGTTGTTCTTGATTGACATGGCCCTCGGATGTGTCATTTTCATCAGCCCGGATTCGAGGATCATCGGTTTCGATGAGCCACGAGTTGCGCAAACTGCCTTTCCCCTCCAGATAGCTCCCAAGTCCAACAATCATACGCTCGCTTCGGAGATGTTGACTTCTCGCCCGGCTTGTTTCCAAATAATTCATGACAGTGGCCCCTACATCAGCCAGGAACTTCAGCAAACTGGTATCCAAAGGACCGTGTGGTTTATCGTCGAGAACTGTATAGGCACCTATCACGATACCCTTTGGGCTGATGATAGGGCTAGAGGCTAAGAATCGAACATTCGGGAACGACGTGACATCAGGGTGGTCCTTGAACTCGTCATCTTGTGTGAGATCTGGCACGACGAAGACTCCGTCAATAGGGGTTTGCGCATTTGCAGCCGGTTTCATAACAGATCTGCAGAAACTGCGATCATATGACACCGTGCAGCTACCGAGCCAAAGCTCATCCTGGCAATTGTGGTCGGTGTCATCTTGTAGGCTTAGGGTTCGGGTGGCTTCGGTGAGAATGTGCTGCTCGTTTCGACTGAATAGTGAAATCAGGGTGCGTTGGGCATCGAGTCGCAAAGTACCCAGTTGGGCAAACGCCGTCAGAACGGGGTCCACCGACGATCGGGCGACAAATTCCTTCGACGGAGTAATGGGACCGATATGGTGAAGGGCGTGCGCTTTCAAATGGTACGGCGGTAAGTACCTGTGGAAGCAGGTCGTATGATTAGCCTACTGGCGTTTGGCAGAGGTTGATAGCGCAGTCGGGTACGATCTAGATGCAAGAGAATCTGGTAGAGTTACTTATAGAATTCACGCTCGTTTGATGTACCAAAGCTGGTTTGGTACGGGGTGTCCCGTAACGAGGCTGGACGCGACATTGCGCCTGAGAGTCGAAACAATCATGCGCATGCGGTAGTGCTATAAACATATGCGCTTTCTTTCCTCGAAGCCTCCCTCGGAAAGAAAGCAGGACAGAGTCATTGAGAGGGCTTCAAAAATGTGAGGAGTGGGAGCGGGGTGTGGAGAGGAAGTTCAAAGGGATTAGATAAGTGGTGGCTTGAAGCCACTCAAATGATCGAGAGAGTCTTGATTATTGGTCCGATCGAAGTCTTGACGACAAGAAGATTCTTTGCTCTGTTTGTTTTATCCCTGTGGCATTCCATGCGATACAATAGATGTTACAATATTCCTATATAGCTTATCCCTGGCTCCAGCAGATGAGCTCTATACTGACTATATACTCCATTTATAAACATTTAAGGGGTTGGTGCCGATCCTTACCTAATCAACACTTTTCTGCCTACCATTCTGCTTGAGGAAGGCGGTGATATCGTGTACTTGCGTTGTAGAACATCGGCTGGACGGACCTGTATATACTGTGTTCCAGAATTCGGAATGTTGCAGGCATCTAAACCTTCTCTTCGAGCAGATATGTCATCCCAGGTATGTGGCACTTGTTGGAAACGAAAAGTTAAATGCCGAAACGCTCACAGTCTGGTCATATACTATGCGTAAGATGCGAGCGACTGAATCATGTACATTCGTGTCACCCTCCAAGGCAAGAGGCCCCAAGCGACGGTATGCCTGCTCCAAGGACTTAGCTGTGGAGAATATTTCCTACCATCAATGAAGTTCCTCGGTCGCGGTGCGACCTCAGGGACATCAGGTTCCCAGAATACACATCGAACTGACGACATTTGTGACCGATGCCTCTTTAAGCCTATCATGCAAGACTACCTCGATTATATCTACCCCATGGTCCCAGTGGTACATCGACCTTCATTCCGGAAGACCCTCCTAGAGGACCAAGACTCAGAGCATTTTTCTTTCTTTGCACTCACGATATCCATTGCGGCGCTGGTTGTTGCAACAATGCCCAGTAGGCTTTAGGCTCACCAATCTGGGACCTTCTCTTCAAGGTTTACTTCCCACAAGGAGTTTGTTCATTTTTGCTACGCCAAATGCCTGGGGTTGAGAACACCCTCCTACTTCGATGAGCTAGGTCTCCAGAAATTTGCGGTCCCATGTGTCTTTTTTGCAGCATTTTTGCAACTGGCAACGAGATACACAGCTCGATGCAGAGGAGAGTCTCAGTTCTGAAGAAAACTCAACTTTTTAGGGGACACTGATTGGCTCCCACTTAATCGGTCTACCCGGACGGCAATGACGTAGGTGTCGATATGATATCATTGATTGCCAAGAAGGATTGCCTTTTATAAATATCTTTTTGGCCAATTTAGTTTGATATGCCAGGGCGTCATTATATTCAAAAAAATGAATTCGTTACACGAAAAACAGTCATCCTACAGTCTTGCAAAGGAAAGAGAATTCTACAGGTATGCCCCCATTTGGAGTGACCCGAATGCTTTGTGCGCAAGTCATTCGTGTACTGATTGGGCAAGAGATATCTACCACAAGGTCACTCAGCGTACCAATATGCTCCATTTGACGATGCTGGACAAAATACGTTCTCTGCACTTGTTTCGAAAGACCGTGCCTTAACGGCCTTCGCCCAATTGGGCGCCATGACGCTGGGCGCTCAGAGGGCCATGATTTCGCTCTTTGGTCCTACTCATCAATATATTCTTGCGGAGGCCAGTGGAGCGCCGTTAGATCGCAATTGTGACAGCTTGTTGCTAGGATGTTGTCTCTTGCCGAAGGAAAAGGGCATCTGTCAAGACGTTGCAGCCCTGCCACTATCGGAGCTTTCAAATGATGCAGCAATTGCTGGGGGCAGTGTTTTAGTGATACCAGACATAAGGGACAACCGCCGTTTCAAGCAATCCAGATTAGCTGACAATCTTTCTGGGGTAAGATTTTATGCTGGAGTACCCATTGTCAGTCCTAGAGGGATTACAATCGGGTCATACTGCGTAATGGATAAAAAGCCCAGGAAGATGGGACTCGACGAGTCATCCATATTATTTATGAAGGACATGGCAGAGACTGTCATGGAACATTTGAGCATGGCGCAATGCAAAAGCCGACATCATCAAACAGAAAGAATGATAGTTGGCTTGGGGAGCTTCGTTGAGGGCAAGGCTACGCTTCGGGGTTCATGGCTTGAGGCGAGCGAGCAAGACACTGCAACACGGCAATCTGGAGAGGCCGTGGAGGGCAAATTGAACAAGCGGCAACAGGATATACAAGACGTCCAGGATAGCCCCGAATCTCAGCAACTTCCTTACCGCCCCTCTGCCAAAGTCTCTTCAAAACCCCCTCTTTCGAACACTATCCGGAAGGATCCCGATTCTAAGGTCAAGCCTACGACAACTTCAGCAACCCATTCATCAAGTGGAACCGATTCAAGATTGATTTCGAATCAACCAAATTCGGACGAAGCGAATCAGCAAAATAAGGCGACGCTCAGAAGCTCTGTTTCAATTGACGACGCACCAGAGGAAACTGTCCCATCTGCTTTCGAGAAGATCTTCTCCCGGGCGGCAAACTTGATCCGAGAGTCTATCGAGGTGGAAGGGGTTGTTTTCCTTGATGCAAGAGTTGAGTCGTTTGGAGAGCTTGACCAGGATGAATTCCAAAAAGCGCGTGAAGCGTGGGTACACGGCGCAACAACAAGCAGCGATGAAAGTGCAGACTCTGGAAGCCCGCCAAGGCCCATGCATCCCTTCGCCTCGGGCATTGAAAACAAAGATATCACCACTTGCCGAATGCTAGGCTTCTCAACGTCAACATCCTCTAGCATCGACCATGGTAAGCCGGGCCACAATTATGCAATGGGTGATTCATTGTTGAAGGCCCTATTGGGTCGATACCCACATGGGAAGATCTTCAACTACAATGAAAACGGATTACTGTCTGATGACAGTAGCGGTGGTAATACCTCCCGCAGCGCCGAGACGAATTCAGGCTCGGAAAGGAAGAAGAGAAGGCGGAAGCCTCACCATACGCAAAATGCCAATGCTCTGGTTAAAGTCCTTCAAGGTGCCAGAAGCATTATCTTCTTACCTTTGTGGGATTCCCACAAAGGTAGGTGGCTTTCTGGGATGTTTATCTGGACGAAATCTCCAGAACGCGTCTTCACTCCCGAAATAGAACTCACATATCTTCGCGCTTTTGGCAATAGTGTCATGGCAGAAATCCATCGATCTGATGCTGAAATGGCGGAGAAAGCCAAAACAGACCTGCTCAGCAACATCTCACATGAGCTGAGAAGCCCTCTCCATGGAATATTGGGAACTGCGGATATTCTCAGTGACACGGCCATGAATATGCTTCAGCAAGGCATGGTACATACAATTGAGTCGTGCGGCCGGACGCTTTTGGACACCATCAACCATTTACTCGACTTCACCTACATGAAGAAGTTCAAATCTGACTCAGGGGAGAAGTATGCGAATCATGAGAAACAAATTGATGTACCGGATCTAAAACCGGCAAAGCTCCAGCGCAACCCACCAAACAGCAGTGACAGGGCCTATGCCCCTGTGCAGCTTGATTCCGTTCTTGAAGAGGTAGCGGAGAGTGTTTTTGCTGGTCATAGCTTTTACCATCATCCCCGGGCTCAGCCTCAGAAGGTGACCAACAATGAATCTTCCATGTCCATCTCCCTACCAACAGAGCAGGTGACTATTATACTCGACATTCAAGAGGCTGAAGAATGGGCCTTTCTCACAAGCGCTGGTTGTTGGCGACGCATTCTGATGAATGTTTTTGGCAATGCACTGAAGTACACCCCTTCGGGCTTCATATATGTGGGACTGAAGTCAGCTCCCCACAACCGCCAGATGAGTGATAGTTCTGAGGGTTCCACAGCCTCCGAGGGGCTGGATAGCCAATGCTTGGTCACCCTGACTGTCAAAGACACTGGCCAGGGCATTAGCGCGGAATACCTTCGGGACGGCCTATTCACTCCTTTTTCGCAAGAGGATGGACTAGCCCCTGGAAGTGGACTCGGTCTCAGCATCGTCCGCCAAGCGCTCGTCTCTATTGGTGGCTCTATTGAAGTCTCTTCTGAAAAAGGTCATGGCACAGAAATATCAATTGAGGTGCCTTTGAACGTTGCCCCAGAAAAAGATACGTCGGATGGTGCTTCATCAAACGAGGCTTACAGAGAGATAAGAAAATGGGCGGAGGGCAAAACCATTGGCTTGTTAGGGTTTGCTTCATCGCTTGTGTCACCGCGAGACATTACCCTCTACAAATCTCTGGAGCATTTATGCCAAGACTGGTTCCATTTGACTGTCAAACGGGTGTCTCCTTCCGCGGATAACAACGACCCTTGTGACTTTTACATGGCGGTTCAAACAGATCTCGACGACCCAGATGAAGAGCAAGACCAACTGCAAAATATCGGCTCCATCATCGATGGAAAAGATTGTGACGTTTCGCCCCTCATTGTCATTTGCGAGTCTCCTGAAAAGGCGCATACCATGTTCGCACGTGCAGCGAACCAAAAGCGAGAATCCATTATCGAATATATAAGTCAGCCATGTGGACCTCGCAAACTAGCCAAAGCGTTGAGTCTTTGTATTCTTCGGCTAGATGGTCGGGATCCTGAGGCCAATAAGCCAACTCACTGGGTCGAAATGCCAAACTCGTCAAAAATCCCGCTCGATGTTGGGCCCCGGGACCCGCCCAATGAAAGAATGAAACTCGGCAAACGACCAATGTTAGACACCACGGGATCCTCTGAGAAGGAACACCTCAAATATGATCTCGATGACCGAATCAAAAGCCCTACACCTATCGCTGAAGGAGCTCCGCCGTCCATCGCAGCAGAAGATACAGTCAACGATGAGTTATCAGTTTTACTGGTTGATGATAACCAAATAAACCTGCAAATTCTGGTTGCTTATGCAAAGAAAGAGGGCTGGAATATCATGACGGCAACAAATGGACTTGAGGCTGTAAAGACTTTCCGGGCCCACTCTGGAAAGTTTGCAGCAGTCATCATAGGTATGCAAAGCTCCATCTATTTCAACACGTTCTAATTGAAGAAGACATCTCAATGCCAGTTATGAACGGTCTCGAAGCTACTCGAGAAATTCGTCGTTTTGAAAGAGAATATCGGAATGCCCATAAGTCATCAAATCTGCCGTTGGACCCGACAACCATAGTGGCCTTGACAGCGTTAGACAATGTCGATGCTCAGAAAGAGGCCTTTGCGTCTGGGATGGATGTATTCATGGCGAAACCGGTCAATCGGCAAGATTTACGGTCTTTATTGCAAAGAATCGCGAAATAGTCGGCAGATGCGCTAGAAATCACGAAAAAGTATACGCTGTGACCGGCTTGTAGAGATTATAATATGAATATCATAGAATCTTGGTATGCTTACACCTGAATATGATGACTGGACCCAATGATAAGAAAGCCCACATGGCTGTACCACCTGCGACATCTCACAGAAACCTAATATTGCCCTCGATTGTAATTATGGCCCTATTACGCTGTGAAGCGGCTTGGCTCAGTGATCGGGTAATATCTCTTCGGGATATTACTGAACAAAACCAGACAACCTATATCGACTGCATACATCCAAGGGCTAAGAAGCGGCACATATTACCTAATTGTTAGAGCATCGATCCGTTAACCTTAAGGCATTCAGGTGGTTAGACCATCAGTATACTTCTATAAATACTAAGAAACCTCAGTTAAAGGTTTCTCAGCCATTAAATTGCGATAAGCTGGTTTTTCGCTCGTCAAGAAATGTGTAACTCTAGATGTGGGAGCCATTCCCGGATTCCCATCAAGTCCCTCCCTAGTACGTTCTCATTAACTAGTAAGTTATACGTGGAAGAAAGTATCTACCACGACCGATCTCGGCCCTTCCGGGAAACCAATTTTATAATAAGCCCATAAATGGCGACCTTCCACTACTATACATTTAGCCCCGTCAACAAAGGACGGCGAAAGGGCAGGTGTCTGTATTTATTCTGCTCAGTCTCCTCAACAATTCCGTCCGAGAAGCTTCTATAAGGAGTTTTATGTATCTGCCAACCTTTCACGGTTTCTCTCTGCCGAATGCCCTGGTTTTGATACCCAAGATATTATCAGATTTGCTCTGTTGCTATTTTATCTAGTGCATTCTTCACGAACACCTGACACACCCAACCTCTGTCCTGACGGTCCGCAATACTCTTACCCAGACCCATCGCAATACCCATACCCGGACCCTTTGCCGTCTAACGCTGGGACCTCCTCTCGCCGTGTGTCAACCTCACGCGCCCCACGAAGCAGGTCGTCTAATACACAGCATAAGCCGTCCCAAGGGATCACTGCTGACACCCTGCGTCAAATTATGCTCGACATCCTCCGAGATCCGACCGTGAGTGGCCAGTTGCGGGGCGCTCCTGGTCCACCGGGCCCCCCGGGCGAACTTGGCAACACGGGCCCCAATGGCCCATCGGGTTCAAGCGGCGAACATATCTAAATGGACGAGGAAAGTCCGGCATAAAAATCGGCCTTCGCACTATTTAAAAGGGAATATGAGGAGGATGCAAGCATGTTCAGTTGTGAAAATCCCACCAGCAAAGCCCTACTTCGGTGTGCCTATCGTGATAACGGGCGTAGAAGTGGCCCTCTAGAAAATACGCATTGATAGTGAACTTTATAGAACCATGTTTACCCCTTTTGGTTGTGGAATCATTTATGGGTCTTAGGAAGGTTGGCAAATGCTTACAATCAAAACTATAGGATCAGTTAGTCTCGACAAAGATGGAGCGAGGAAACTGGTGATATTCAGTCTTAGCTAGGCGGACGGAGGATAGAAGAAGCAGAGAGAGGAAGAAAAGGTATCTAAGTCCACGCAGCGCATACAGTCATATCAGGCAGGCGGTGAATGCCAGCAGAACTGCCAAAAGTTGATCAACTTAAAAGATAAATTTCAGGAACCAGGCCTAATCCGACTCCTTTGACTCCAACTGCTTAACTTGTAAAACAATATCTCTAGAGCTGTTCATTAATTATGGCTAGGAAAATATGACAAAAGTGTAACATCATTTAGAGACGTTGAGGATATATAATGGCTGGCTGCATAGCTAACCCTACTGATGTGAATCTCACACCATCGCTATTTATCCTCACTCACCTTAGAAGTGTTTTTGGTCCCTGCATGTATGAGGTCCTGTATATACTAAACTCGAACATTGTCAATGCAGCCAAGAATTTCCAACGGTGAGTTGTTCTTGGAGCATCCGGAAGCGGAAGCGGAACTTGCAAGCTTATCCATAAGCAGGTAATGACTTTGCATATGCTGTTTACTCTTTGGGCTTATTGACCTTGAGTTATTTATTTGTTAAGACTGCGATTCAAATCTATGGAAATAACGCCAGCCGAAGTGGCAAAGTGGTAAAAGTGGGTACGGCAGGGTCTTGGCCCACAAGAGGAGCACGTTATGAACGGGTCAAGCCGCATGATAGGCTCAGAGCACTACGAGGGATTGCGATGGTCGCAACCCCGCATATAGTCTTGGCGTCCAATAATTCTCTTGATGATTTTTAACAGCAAAGGGAAGCATATAGAATAATATTTATATAGGAAGTTGCAAATATTAAAGATAGCAAAACATTGTGGCGTTCCAGGATGAACGCGGAGTTGACAACTTAAACCGGGCCCTCGGGCCCCACGCTTGCCCGATGCGGGTTAGATTATTAAAGCCAGTTTTGAGAGATGCCCAGTCTTTGCCTTCTTTTTCTTTTCTTATCTCTCCAGAGTAGGGGTTACTACCTATGAACTGGTGACTCTTCTCTACCCTCTTCTCTATCCCAGTCGCCGCGCTATTGCAAGCTTTGGTACTATAACATCCCGGTATGATCTAAACCAACTTAGATCCCCTAAATTCGACCGGCTTCAGGATTCCCTTCACCGAATCTCAGGATGCATAATCTTATAGCCAGATTTGCCTCCCGGCCAATCTACGCGATTGCGCTGTCAGTCTTTACAATTCTCGGTCTCTTCTACCTATGGCGTGACTCCCCCGACCCCCAGATCACCCTCGTGAAAACCGGTCCGCTCGGAGATGCCTCCCCCAGAGGTAGTCACCCCATTGATGCTTTGATTGAAACTGCAGAGGCCGAACTGGAAGGTTTGTTGGCAAACGAGTCCGGCGACCTGGCATCCGCGGCCAATCGGTACCGATCACGCCATGGGCGTCATCCTCCGCCCGGATTTGCGGAGTGGTTTAAATTTGCGAAGTCGAAAAATGCCCTAATCATCGAGGAATTTTTCGACCAAATATACCATGACCTCTCCCCGTACTGGGCCATCGAACCGAAGGAATTGCGCCGGCAAACGAGAAGCGTCCCCACCCGCATTGTTCTCCGCGACAAAGTTGCGAAAATAGTCACCGACGAACAGAGACCTTGGATGGATATCTGGCACAGTTTGGTCGAAACACTTCAAGATCGCCTTCCGGATCTCGACATGCCGATAAATGTTATGGATGAGACCCGTCTTGTTGTTCCCTGGGAGACAATCAACGAGTACATGGATAAGGAGAGATCGAGTAAGGCCATCTTGGACGCAAAGGATGTCGTATCCGAGTATATGTCTCTGTCAAAGTGGGATAAAGAGACGCTGGAACCCTTCGACCCCGAATTCGGAGTTCCTGGCGAAGGGGGATATTGGTCTATGGCCCGTGTTGGCTGTCCGGAAGGCAGCCCAGCGCGAAATAGCGACATCGCCCGTATCAACTTTACCACCCCTCCCTGGGAGTTTGAAAACTTCAACAGAATTTCATACCACGGCTATGTCTCAAATTTCACCTTGGCTAAAGATGCCTGTGTGCGCCCGGAGCTTCAGGCGTTACATGGCACCTTCATTGCGCCGGTGTCAGTGTCGACCTCGCACAAGCTGCTCCCACTGTTCGGTGGGTCCAAGCTACCTATGAATAACGAGATCCTGCTTCCCCCAGCAATGTATTGGGCCGACAACGACTTTTACTCCGGAGGAGAAAAGAACCACGGCGGAGCCTGGGAAAAGAAATATGACAAGATTGTATGGCGCGGTGCTGCCACTGGAGGCCACACCCACGAAGACAACTGGTTCGGCTTCCAAAGACATCGATTCCTGTCAATGATGAATACAACCTCAGTGCAAAAGGCCGAGGAAGACGGATACCACGGAGCGAACTTCAAACTCCCCAACTACAAAGACTACGGATTCAGCCCGAACGTCTCTCTCACACAGCTCCTTGACGGACGCACCGAAACGGGCTTCATGCATCTGTTCTGTTCGGACCCGCACTGTCCCTACATGGATACATATTACGAAACGATGCCTGGGATTCCCATGAAGACGATGTATAACTACAAGTACATGCCCGATCTGGATGGAAACTCCTTCAGCGGCCGGTATCGAGGCTTCCTGCTCTCCACTTCTCTCCCTATTAAATCGACGATCTATAATGAATGGCATGACACACGTCTCATTCCATGGGTGCACTTCGTTCCGATGGATATTACCTACTTGGACGTATATGGACTCATGGACTATTTCCTTAATGGCCATGATGATGTCGCTCGCAAGATCGCTCTTGCTGGCAAGAGCTGGGGTGAGAAGGTCCTTCGAAGAGAGGATATGCAGATTTACGTCTATCGACTGCTTCTGGAGTATGCTCGGGTTTGCGATGACCGGAGGGAATTCCTTGGATACGCCGATGACCTCAAGGTGCAGTGAGTGATGGTGTTGACCGGGCAATTGTTTATTTACGACAGTGGCCCGCAAGTCAACATCAAATCACATCTTCTAAGTCGCGACTTGTGAATATCAGGTCGGAGATGGCACAAGATCTTTTGAACTCACTATAATCCCGGAACCATGTCCTGATATCATCCCAAGCAGTCATTACTATGTCCCCCTAGGGCATGATTCTCCGTATTCCCGGTCCATCCATGGTCCTGACCATGATATTCGTGGCTTTTCTCTCGATGAATCAGCTGAACTCCTTTGATGCGACGGAAGTTGTTCCTTTCTAGAGCCTGGTGCTCATTTGAATACTCTTTTTTGGTGGCTTTCCTGTTTGTGTGCTTGTCTTAATATATCGCATACCCTCGTCCGCGTCATGTTTGTTTTAATTTATTGATGACTACTACTGATACAAACCATGTGAAATTTCGGACTTTGGACTCATTGGAGTGTATAGAAATGAAGATCTTTTATCCCCGCCTCCTACGCTTATGAAAAATTCAGCCTCATAATACCTATGAGCTTAGCAATATGTTATGGATGAGAAGCCAACCCCATTAGGAAAAAGACTAATTACAAAAAGGCCCAGCCTAGTCAATTCGCTGAGTGAAATTGAATATTCAACTCGTGTTCATAGCCATCCCAATGCTGAGAAATTCCACCAATGATCCAAGGAGCTAACTTGTAGAGAACCACGATATTCGAACCCAGAGAGAGCCACTCAAGCATCCTCAATATCAAACCGTATATTGAGGTTACGACGATAGTCACTAGAATGGAAAGTAACGATTCTCGTAACCTGCTTCACGTCTTGACCATATGCACCCAGAACAAAATACGAGACCAGTCTTCCAATTCGCGAACCAAGCAAAGCATGGAACGCTACAGAGGGAGCCTCCCAACCGACCGGTCTAGTAATCAGGGAACCAAGCCTTTCGCGGGACTCAAGCACGCGCGTAGCAGCTAGGTTCTTATCAGCGTTAACGATGTTGGTAACAAATATATCCTGGAGTGTGCTGAGAGGGAAATCAATCTCATAGACAGCCTTTGTCATTTCCAAGATCTGGGGACCGGGAGGGTACTTGGTGTGGTGGACATCTTCGATAAAATCACACCAGGTCCAGTTCGGCCGAACTAGGAAGTTCGTGGACTTTCGTATTTCACGATTGCGAAAGTTTGATAAACAGGGTTTGGCTTGAGTCCTCCATACTCTTCTCGGAAGGTTAAGGTGACGAATCCAAGGTTGATATTCTGCTGCTAGGGGGGGGGCTAGATGGGCCACAGTCCAGACTGGAAGCGAAAGATCGGCCAATGTAAGGATGGCTCTGGGGATAGGGCATCCGTCTGCTGCGTCGCTCAACCGACAAATAAATCGCACGGAGTTATGCTTTATCATCCTGACTCCAAGAAAGATGTATACGTGACGGTGAAGGCTTAGTTCAGAACACACTGTTCTCATTTACTTGTTTCTGCGCGTTCTATTTAACATTGCCATCTTCGGTCCCAATCACCGTTCTTCTCTAGCTTAAAGAGGAGGTGAGTCGCCTTCATTCCCGACGATAATTTGAATTTCAAGGCGTATGGCCACAGGTTTCCCCTGCTTTTCCAGCATCTACCAGACTTTCAACCAGTTATTTTGAGGGCAAGGTGTTTCCTCAATGCTTATTGACATTGCGAATGTAGATGTATGGATGTAGTTGTTCATAATCCGAATGAATATCCGCTTTTAGTGCTAGTCTTGAAAGACAAGACAGGTAATTTACTTTCGACAAGGTAAGTCTAACGAACATGCTCTGAAACCCCATTATTATAAGCTGTAAGGTTCCTCGCTACCGCGGGCACCATTTAATATGAACCAATTCCGGCCGCTCTATGTGCAATGTAAGGAGAGACCGACTATTTTGCAACACCTCCAAGGCCTCCATTTTGGCTTCTTCAAGACTTACACCCGGCCTTGGTACAATCTGCACCGAAGTCTGACGCAGTAGAGTGACAATGACGGCGGATATCTCGAGTTGTGAGAATTTCCTTCCCGGACATGCTCGAGGGCCTTCAGCCCATGCAAAAAGGTGGTCGACCTTTTCACTGTCGAGGTTCTCCTTACTCAACCATCGATCTGGCTTCCATGAGACAGAGTCCGAGCCCCAATAATCTCGATTTGTGTGTAACGCTGGCGTAAGAATGTTGATCAGAGTACTAGCCGGGATCAGAATACCTGATCCGTCAGAGCTGGTGATGGCCTGGTCTTGATCGGGAGATGCCCTTCGGAGAAGATTCACGACTGGGCCGTAAAGTCGTAGAGTTTCGTACTAGGCGTTCATCAGTTTCTGTCGTGCATTGTATATGACTGGACTATGTTACCATTATTGCTTTTAGCCGAGTAACTCGATTAAATATATCCTTGTATGAAATCTCATTATCCAACGGCATCCCAGAGAATATTTCATCAATTTCTTCAATGACCCAGTTTTGCCATTCAGGGAAGATAGCCAGAAGATAAACTATGTAGACCAGTGTGTTGGCGGTCGTTTCATGACCGGCGAACATGAAAAGGAACAGATTGCTTTCTATTTCTTCGTCGGACAGCATTTGGGCACCATGTAAGCTTAGCATGGAAGAAAGGAGATCAATTTTTGATGACGGGTGGTGTCTTCGATAATTCACCAAGCCTGTCATGATGGGCTTGAGATCTTGATAGCTTGCATGAAAGATATCACGGGACTTTTGGCCACCCTTTCGAGCCTCGGGGTTTCTCGAAATCATATTGAAAAAGGTTTCGAGCTGCTTCATCGCGGTATCGGTGATCGGACTGGCTGCGTCTGCATTGTTACTGTCGTTGTCTAGGCCAAGGCACGCTTTCAGGAGAATTGCAAAGCTCAATCGTATCATATTAGGATGAGTACTGGAAGTAGAATCCTGAGACTTGAAGAGTTTCAAGAGGTCAGATGCTTCAGAACAAGATGCCTTCCACACTGCTTCGTGAATTGTCTCCGAGAACGCTACAGCGGTACATCGGCGATGACGGTTCCAGTCTGCGCCATCGACCTGTTCAACATACCCATCAATCGATTTCATAGGTGAAGGATCGGTCTTCAGCAGGGTGGGGCAACATACAGTAGCTAAGCTTTTCCCAAATATTTGAAGTTTTCCTGGCAACCATGTTAGCACCTCGAGATAGCCGACAAGGTTCAACGTTCTGCTTACTTGCAAAGTGAAGAGGCTTAGGGAAGTCTTTCTTCCGCATGAGAATCTGACTGGCAGCTTTTGAGTCGGCGACGTATATTTCGCAGCCAGCTGGAGTGGCGATTGCAAACACGTTACCATACTTTTCGAAGATGGCATGCTTTTCCCGGAACACCCATTGTGGCCGTAAGATTCGAACAAAAGGAAAAATCCTCTGCCAAGAAATAGGTAGTTTAGCTTCCAAAAGTGTCTGTAGGTGTCCCCATATTTGTCCGTGGTGTATAGGAGAAACGATCACGGGGACTTTTAATCGCTGAGCAAGGGACCAGTTCCGATAGAGAGGGAGGCCCAGGGCGCCAAGGCCCCAGGCAACAACAATTAGTATCAGCAAAGATAGGAACATCGCTGCAGGTGAGGAGAAAAGAGCAAGCAGCAAAGAATAACTAAAGGAGGGGGCTGTAGAGACCCCTACTCTCTATATCGTGCTACATACTCGTACATCGATTGATTTCGGGCTAACGGACCCACATAGTCATCCAGATTTCCGATTCTAAAATAAAAATCTAAATGTTTTGAAAAGTTCGGGTTCGTGCTCGTATTCGTGATTTTATCTGCTTCCGGATCTGCGTACCGACGAAGGAGCCCCAACATCGTCTTACTTATGGCCCCGTGGGTAGTTTCCAATATTGCTTCCCTAGCCTGGAATTCCCTGTATGCTTCACACGAGTACGAATGAGTGCACAGACACTACAATATCTCCGAAACGCTTACAGCTAGATATGGCCACGCGTCGCTCCCATCAAAAATCACGTCATGGATGCTCCAATTGTAAGCGAAGAAAAGTGAAGGTGTGTGATCCTCTTACCTTGAATGGACAGAAACTGAACTTGATCGAATTTGACATGCTAATAATTTTAACAGTGTGAGGAGACGCGGCCATGTTGCCAGAATTGCGCTCAGCGCAATGACACATGCGTCTACATCTCGCCAGGGCCTTTCGTTTTTGCAGACAAACCAGAGAAACCGGGCAGGTCGTCATCAAAGTCTGCGCGTGGTGGAAAATCTTCAACCGAGGGTGGCAGCTTCGAAATGTCATCACATGCCGTCAACAACTATATTTCCGCCTTGGGTGCGACAACGGTGGCAGCTCCGCTGAATTTGGATCACCTGGAACTTGAGCTACAGTGGATAATGCATACTCACAAGCTATTCGCCAGAAATGAGGAGACAAGAAAAGTCTGGGAAATACCAGTGCTTCAAGAAGCACTACATACTCCGTTCTTAATGCACGGAATACTGGCCATTTCCGCATTGCACCTTGCTCATATTCGCCAGTATGAGCGCCAAACAGAGTGGCTCAATACCGCGGTCGTGCATAAGAGCACGGCACTGTCTCTCTTTCAGAAAATCTGCATCGTATTGACGAATCCAATGCTAGAGCTATGATGAGTTTTGCCTCAATTGCAGTGGTATTCAGCTTTGCGAGCGCACTTATTTGCTCCAATTCTGACGAGGGACCCAGTCTAAATGCCTTGGCAGATATTCTGATTTTGGCTCGCGGAGTCCACACAGTCGTGGGCCAAGCAATGGAATTCCTTCGACACAGCAATTTTGCGCCTTTATTCGATGTCACTAATCCCGAGGTGGCTGTCCCTGACGATGTCCTTAGGGCGCTCGATCATCTTGAACGCCTAAACGCTCAGTATGGTCAGCAACCAGGCATTCATGGTGGAAAATCCTACGAGCCTGCGATCCGGAGCATGAAGGAGTTAGCCCCTTTTACCTATTCAGGGCCGACATCATTGACATTAGTGGGCGGATGGGCTATTCGATCTTCTCCAGAATTTTTGGAAGGGCTCAAAAACCGCGAGCCTTTTCCCTTGGTGATTCTCGCGCACTTTTGCGTGTTCTTGCACATCACTCGAGAGAATTGGTGTATTGGATCCTGGGGTCGGGTCGTTCTTGGGGAAATATTACAAATTTTGGATGCAGACTGGCAATGTCATATAAAATGGGCAGTGGCGCAAGTTTTGAAACAATAATTTATGATCAGCGATGACCTTTGTTTATGGATTTATTATTATTCAACTTTAAATTCCGGCGCACGGCTTAATTAAAAGACATCTGTTCAAACAGTAATAGATAATAAACTCATTATGTATCCTCCTCACAGAGCAAATTTTTACACAGCTGTCTCTCCTCGCACTTCTCCCGGCGGACCCGTCTCGAGCGCGGAGCCTGGAACAAACTCGCGAGTCCAAATAACTTTCTCCGAGTACTTGTGGCCCCGGCCGATCAAGCAGTTGATCTCGCTGGGGTGCTCATGCTGAAGAACGAGCACAGTAATGAACATAAGGAGGGCGTCGAAGACGTAGATAAATGCCTCATGCTTCATCAGATATCCATCATAGCCTTGCAGGTATTCCACTACGCGAATGACAGAACGAATCAGAATCAAAATACTGGCTGTGTAGAGAGCAATCATATGGTGCGCCCACAGACTTTTCAACTCCATCGAGCGGGCGGTCGGGGCCTTAGAGATGCGAGCTTGGAAGACAATAGCGCTGATAGTAAAAAGTCCGAAGAAAAATATTTGTACGAAGAGACCGCCGATAATAACGTGTTCGCCAGTGGTTGGGTCATTTCCATTTGAGACCATAAGTCCCGCACCTTGAAATCAATCAGTTTAGCATTCTTGGTGAGCATCTTTGGTAGGAAGAATCTAGGTACCTGAGGCCTGCATCAAGAAAGAAAGCACATCGCCAGCGACGAAGATTTTGGTGAGCCATCCTATCCTGATTACCGAGAGTTTCTCTGCGTCAAGCATATAGATAATGCGTCCGAGAATCATATAGATACTCGCAGCAAGGAACGCCGGCGCAATCAAGATCAATGCGCTTTGCATGATATATGGGCCCTTAGTGAAGTCCGGGGCCTCAAATGATGCAAGTAAACGTCCAATATAACCAATAGTCTCCACTAGTAAGGTATGAACTGATCAGCATTATGTCGGAATTAAAGCAATCGTGATCTGGACTTACAGATTGCGCCAATAAAGAAGGGAATCATGAACCATGTCCTTGTCCGCACGAGCTGATAGAAATGCAAAACACTGCTCAGCCCGAATAGAACAGTGAATATGACTGCCGCCGCAGTAGACGGCGTATAGTAGTAGAAAATGAACTCCATTGCTGCCATATTTTTTTCCCTTCTGTATAGCCGGGGGAGAACGAGTCAGGTCTGGACGGGTCGAGTGTTGTTAGATTTGAAACTGGGAACGAAACCGATCGATCAGAGACTTTATATTACAAGGTCAAGCGAAGGGCCAAAATTCTAATACAAGGACACCCAATTTAGGGGTACTCCATACACGTACCCCTACCCCTGTTTCTCAAGCTTATTTGCTTCGTACTCGTACCATGCTCCGTTGCGGGAAGGCTGAAGTTAGGGCGTTGGGTACTCGCCACTATTTTTGCGACTGTTTGTTCGTGTTCGTGACTTTGTCCAATTTAGGAATGGTTCGGTTTCCAAAACGACAACAACCGAAAATCCGTTTGTTTGTGACTGGGGTCTCTCAATTTTGACTAGACAATATTTAAATGGATGAATTTTATGATTTGCTGAGGGATCCTCTAGAGAACCACAACGCCCGCCGACTATCCAACCAACCCTCACGACAACTTAGATTTTGAGCGACCTGAGACAGTGGTCAGATTGCTGCAATTTCTCATAGCTAAGTTTACTATTTAAATACAATGAACTCTAGGAGCCGTTTATTGTTAATCGTTTTCGCCGCATACTTTTTACCGTTTTATCCTTTGCCCATTCTCTCGTCTCTCGCGTTCAAGATCATGGCTTACAAACTTTACAACTACAATCCTTCCGGCGGCGCAGCCATTCCCGTTGCTGCCCTTTTCGGCCTAGCAACTGTCATCCATATTTTTCAGATGATTCGTGCCCGGAGTTGGTACATGATTCCATTTACAATTGGTGGTGTCTGTAAGTTTTCCCACGATATACGTGAAGCTACTCCTGGGGTATTTTCTAAATCTTCTTTCAGTCGAGGCAATCGGCTACTTGTGCAGGTACATCAATTCCACCGAAACACCAGACTGGCAAACCACGCCCTATATTGGACAGAGCCTTCTTATTCTTCTCGCTCCTGCCCTCTTTGCTGCATCTATTTACATGATACTTGGTCGTCTTATTGTGGCCTTGAATGCGAGTTCCAATTCAATCATTCGGCCGTCATGGTTAACGAAAATCTTCGTGATCGGAGATCTTATTTCTTTCTTGATGCAATGTGGGGGTATGCTCTCTTTTCGCTGTTAGGATATAGTCAAACTTGAGACAGTAATTGATCTGATTTCTGATAGGAGGTGGATTTCTTGCCGGTGCGAAGACCCCAGAGAAAGTGGAAATGGGTGAGCACATGATCCTCGGCGGTCTCTTCGTCCAAATATTCTTCTTCGGATTCTTTATCGTTGTTTCGGTCATTTTCCATCGTCGAATGCTTGCTTCTCCTATGAATTATGTGGGAGGAAGCCGCATCCCCTGGTCACGGTGTATGAAGGTCATGTACACTGTCAGTTGTCTGATCATGGTTCGTTCAATCTACCGAGTGATTGAATACGCGCAGGGAAGCGGTGGCTATTTCCAAAGCAAGGAAGCATTTGTCTATGTTTTTGATGCCGCGTTAATGCTCGCTTGCTGCGTTGTTCTACTTTTTCTACAACCTAGCAAAATGCTGGGTGAACAGGAAAAGGGATACCGAAAGCCTGAAAATCTCGAGATGCTAGCTGGCTGTCAGGAGAATGGTCTAAACTATTAAGATTTGAGCTGAGACAATATGAAATACAATACTCTTTTCCTTCCTATTCACAGTGGCAATCCATCGGTTTGAAACCTTTACAAAACTTGAAGTTATCTCATCAGTCATAAATAGAGCGAGAAACCGAGAGATACTGCACGAGCTATCTAGGATGACGATTCAAGTGTTTCAGAAAAATCATTAAACAAAGTAATTTGAAGCATATCTGGCTGGATCTCTTTTCTTGTCTTCAAATTCAAAACTTGCTACTGCCACTCTATGTGCAGGGCATCAGTAAGACCACCACAGATGAACGAAAAAGGTTGCGTTCTGTCTATTCATACTGTAATGCATCTAGCACAGATAACTAACTGATATGACACATGCTTGAAATTTCTGCAGATTGGCCATGCCACATCTGGAAAATGATACGAATACAGAGACTGTGCATGTATAGTGTAGAACTAGCCTCATGCTCAAACGTCGTGACTTGCTAGCAGCCGATCAACTTACTTGCAAGAATATATAAAGAACCAAGGCACCATTAAATGTCCGCCTTTCGTGTGATAGTAGAGCTCATATGGTGGCGGAGAGTCGCATTGATATCCGTTGCCGTGGAAGGGTTCCGCGTCGACCATGATGGAGACTGGTTCAAGACTTCAGAGCCTTGACATCAAGGTTATCGAGAGATCTTTGAAGAGAATCGAAGAAGAGAAGTTTCAGGCACTGCCAAATCAGTTAGATTACTTTGTCAATCGTAGGGAGTCGGCGAAAGGAACGCCGTGTATATTCCGAGATACCGAGCGCCGAACCGACTATTTGCATGTTCATTCTTATATGTCCCTAGATCCATGGGGGTCCAACTCTTGACAATATCATTGGCTAGGAATTACCGGGTTTTACACGAATACGACAGAGTTTCCTAATGCGGTAAGTCTCATCGCCCCAGTCCCAGATTGATCAGCGAAGTGGGTATGCCCGAGAATATAGTTTCCAAGTTTTCAATTCACTGCCGAAATAATGGAACAATTTCAATAATTTCGGAAAATTCCCATGAGAATCCTCAGAAACAAATACCTGAAATGGCAAAGTTCCGACCTCCCCAGGGTCCACGGGCGGAAGCTTTCCCGAAGGCGTTAAAAGCCGACACCGGAGGGACTATGTATTGGAAGAATGTGGACCTGAGGATTTCGACCAACTCAGGAGCCTGTTTCTAATTGTGGTTGATGATACCCCTGTACGTCACGCCAAGCAGTGTTGATCAGTTCATTTGGAAATTAGACGCACGTAATTTAGCACTCATTACGGATATATAAAGGGCTTCTCAATGCCGGCTTGTAGCCAACACATTTGAGAAGTAAAAGCCATCACATAGCACCAAACTATTTTCAGTATGCGGGCGTTCTCTTTCTTACCTTTATGGCTGCTAGTGCACGGTGTGGCTGGCGCCAGCTCCCCGTGCAAATGTGTAAGGACGCATGCCATACTGGTCAGGCACGCATATATTCTAACTAGAGCAAATTAGGCTCCCTCGGACCACTGCTGGCCTTCTAGCAATGATTGGTCATATCTGAACGAGACCGTCTCGGGCCGCTTGATCAAGACAATCCCACCCGGCTCCGCCTGCTATCAAGACGAGCCGAATTACGACAAGTCGGCTTGTGATGCCTTGCTCAAGAATTGGACAGACTCGCGTTATCACTCGTCAAACCCGGTTACAGTGTCCGATCCCCTGTGGTCGAACAGCACTTGCACTCCCATCTACCCGAATGGCACTAGCATCTCCGGCGATCCTGATGCTGGTGTTAAGGGATGCTCGCTGGGATACCTATCTCCGTATGTTGTGAATGCAACTACCGCGCAGCATGTGCAGGCAGCTTTGGGTTTTGCAAAGAAGCACAATATCAGGCTCAACATTAAGAATACTGGACATAACCCTGAGAAGAGGTAAGGTTGTCCTGTATGCTTCTGATGTTCAAAATCTAACTCTGGCACAGTTCGGCTTATGGAAGTCTATCGTATGTGATCCGACCTGACATGAGTAGAGCATGACTGACTATAGTAGGATCTGGACCCACAACATGAAGAACATCAGAATCCATCCCTCATTTACGCCAGCCAAATGTGATTCTGCGGAGAGCCACGATGCTGCAACTCTCGGCGCAGGAGTCCAGGACGGGGAGATCATCCAGTATCTTGCAAAGCATAACATGACGACTGTCATAGGATCCAGTCTGGTAAGCAAAGAACAAAGCATCCTGAAACAGCATCTTAAATCGACTAACGATATACTAGGATGTCGGCGTTACCGGCTGGGCAACTGGAGGTGGTCACGGTATCATAACTGGCGCCTACGGCATGGGCGCTGATAATGTCATCGAGGCTCGGATTGTCACTCCGGGAGGTGTCATTGTCACAGCCAACGAATGTGAGAACAGCGACCTCTTCTGGGCTATCCGAGGCGGCGGCGCTGGCTTCGGCGTTATTCTCAGTCTCACCGTCAAGATCTACCCCATGCCGTCCCTATCGGTAGCCTCGGTGAGCATCAGTGCTCGCAATGGCACATCATCTACGACTTTCTGGAAGATTATTGCCAATCTCCACAAGGATTTTGTCAAGCTCCAGGATGCAGGTGTGATGGGCTATTACACCGCCAGTGGACCGCCTTACAGCTTCCAATATACCATGTTCCAGCTGGATTCGACGAACACAAGCTCTATCGACCAGTTGATTACCCCACTCAAGAAGCACCTGGGAACATACAACCCCAGTGTCGAGTCTTCGTCGTTCACCTCGTGGATGCCTTCGTGGTACTCTATCGAGAAACTGTATCCGACAGGTGGCAACGCTGGTACAACCCGGGGGTCCGGGCGAGTCGGCTGCTAACTCGCAAGGCGGTTGAAGACACAGAGATGCTGGCAAAAACGCTTGAGATTGTTGCGTCGCGAAGCAAAGACTCTCCAGTTCGTCAGACTCTACAGATACGTTGACCGAAAACAGTACTGATCTCTCACTTATAGGATGGAGTCTCGAATCCTTCGCTCTCGGGCACGATGACTATCAGCCACCGACCCGTGGACAATGCCCTCAACCCGGCATGGAGGGATGCCGCCGTGCATTTGATCAGCAGTGTCTCATGGGATGACACCCTTCCCGATGGTGAAGCCGAGAAGGCCATTGCCAGCGTGACGAATGGCACGGGATATGCACTGAGACAGCTGGCGCCTGATTCCGGTGTTTACTACAATGAGGTATGGCTACTTTCACTCAGCGCGCTTTTTACTCATACTTTCATCATTGGCACAAATACTAATCTAATAAAAGGCCAACTCCTGGGAGCCCGACTGGCAGTGGGCCTTCTGGGGCCCCAACTATGCCCGAGCGCTGTCTGTCAAGCAGAAGTACGACCCGGACAGCCTGCTGTGGTGTCACCATTGCGTGGGCAGTGAGTCATTTGAGCAGCAGAAGAATGGTTCTCTCTGTGCTGCGTTCTAAGACATTGGCGGCGGCGCCAGGAAAGAGTTATTCAGTGTGTATCGGTCAATTTTTTCGTAACGCTTGGCCTTTTGGTCGCAAGCGGGATATCTGAGGGCCATTTTATGGTTGGTTGAAAGCCATGTTTGTTGGGTCAGCGGAACGGAAGAGTGGATAATGGTGCACGAAAACCGTTAAATTCGATTACCTTCTTTTGAGAAATAATATTGGATTACCCCGTCCCTTGATCTTCGCTATCTTATTATGATTGGCCCTTTCCTTTTGGCAGCTGAGCTTATTTGAGCCTCAATTTCTTTGCGGCATGTTTTTTGGTCTCAATCTCGAACGTGAGTGAAAGATCAGAGAGAGAAAATATGGGTTGCTGCATAGGAGGGACCATACTCATCTCATCTCTGATCCATGAATGGATGTATGGATATGGTGTAATGGCTAAACTCGTGTCAGGGCCGATTCCCCTGATATCAGTTTTTATTTTTTACTGAACCGAAGTCGAAAGCAATCATTATCCATCATTATCCTTTCGCACAACTATATCCCGGAAAATGATGAGAAATATTCTAGATCTTGTCGGACAATGCGACAAGTAGGTCAACGGCATGCCATGTGTGACAATTCGTGCTGATTCCCCAATGGTTTTGTTTAGGAACCCAGTGCACACCAATTTCCCACTACTGTATGTCTTCGAGGGTAAGCCAGAATTCCCTATCCAGTAGCTAGGTAGATCTTGGCTTTTGCTTTAAGAAATTTGTTATTTGTCCTGATTTTCTTTGGCCTTGTTGCTTCATGTTTCCGGTCAAGTTATCTAACGTTGTAAGAATGACGTCACGTGGCTATTTTGCGTGGAGCTCCTCTTGACATCTCCGTTTCTCTTCCCCTCTCGGACTCAACTCCAAAATGTCAGGAAAAGTTCAAGATGCTGTAGCGGCCGAGGCTCAAACAGCACGGGCTGTTGTCCAGGATGTCATCATGTCTGGGGGATACCTGTATCCCTTGAAGGTGAGCAGATGGCCCAACAACCATACATGCGCCTGCTCTAGGCTACTAATGACGGAACTCTAGGGGATCATATTCTTCGGAACACACAAAGAGCTCTGGGGTCCCTTCATCTCCCGCGCCGGACAGACCATCACGCTCGGAGTAGGTGTTACCAGCGTGATGTTTTTCTTTACATACGTGCCTCAGATGGCGATCATGGCCTTCACCAGTGGCCCGCTAGCCGCCATTTCCGCCGCGATACTCGTCCTCGGCGAAAGCTCCGCCATCACAAACTTTCTATCACGCGCCTTCTTTGTAGAAGATGCCCTCATTGACACCTTTGATGGCACTCTGGTTGCCCGCGACCAGGAACCTCTTGTTGCACAAGGACGCCAAATCAAACCTCGGTCGGGAGGAATGGATGCAGTCGCCAGACTAGGGAAGATGTTCACTCGACCGCTTGCGCGTATGAAACCACGGGCGCTACTGCGATCTCTGCTCTACTTGCCACTGAACCTGATCCCTGTGGTTGGGACGATGTTGTACATCTTTGTGCAGGGAAAGAGAATTGGACCGGGATTCCATGCCAGGTATTTTCAACTGAAGGGTTGGAACTCTCAGCAGCGCGAGGAATGGGTGGCGAACAAGCGGGGAGCATACACAGGGTGAGTGGGCTTTTCGCTTTGCATTCGTTCATTCTTTTTGGCTATTGTCTCTTTTTGGGTTTGTGCCCGGATATACTGACCAGTATTTTAGACTCGGCATCGCGTCCTGTGTATTGGAAATGGTACCATTTGCCTCGATTTTGTTTTCATTCACGAATACTGTTGGCGCGGCCTTGTGGGCAGCCGATTTGGAGAAGGCAACCAAGTAGTTGGTAGGTGCAGTATGATGAACCTTGATGAGTTGACTAGCCTATCCAATAATAAAACATAATGATTGAGTTGATCTGTGTTCCGGTGATATTCAAATGCTGTTCAAGCTAATTTCAAAAAAGCTAAAGAACAATCAAGCTTTGGATCTATGCTCGACACATACGCCCACTGTTCGACCCAGTCCAACCATGAGACCCAACGGCAGCTAGGCCATAGAAGACATCGTGAGGGTCATATTTTGCCTTCATTTGACAGAGCGCATTATCGTTCGTCCCATAAAACGCTTTCTTGAAGTTTGGTTGGCAGTGAATATTATAGCTTCGAAGACATTGCGTGCTGTTTTGAAAACATTATTGGTGAACCCACTGTCATTATCACAGTTTCCAGTGCGACTGCAAGGGCGTTCTTACCACGTTTTTGCCGCCAAACATGGTAGAGGAAGTGTTTGAGGACTTACCTCTGCTCGAGAATCCAGGATATCATGCGGATGGCAATCTCGCTTCAAGCCTTGGTCTATTGGCTGAGAAACGTGTGTGCGCGAGGGAATTAATTGCATAAAACAAGTCCAAGTGGAGTCAGTGATACTTGTGAAGATGTCTGAAGGCAGAAATTTTTATTTTAAGGTTGTGTTGAATACCTCGTTAATGTATTTAGCAGAGAATAAATAGTTTAGGTTTAGCTACAACTCTTACAGAATCAAACTACCGTTGTAGTTGTAATGCTACTTTCGGGACTCAAGATTACTAGAGATATATGCACTGGGTTATTATATCCGTACCAGCCAACTCATGAACTCGTGCCGCATGTCTGAGATACAAGTAAGAAGAGGTCGTTCGAGACTATTAAAGAGTTTAACTTGACATCAGCCTACCCTATTTGGTTAAACACATGACAAAGTAGCAGAGAGTGACGGTATACGCTACAGAGTTGCGCGCCCTCAAGCTTTTGTCCCGCCGTCTGTTGAGTATTGGCTTAAAATTACAGCTAATCAATCTGTTTTGAATAAAATTGTGCTGTAGATTGAATATCTGTTACTGTTCAGCTGACCGGTCTTCGTAATTTCTGGCCCAAACGGATACTTGCTTTATCTCATAAATATCACTCGGACTCATCAAGCAGATAGACTAGCTTAGACGCTCGGACTTTGCCTTCCCGTAGCATCTGGAGACCATCCAAAGCTCCGGCCAAGCCTCCTGGTTTCACTTGATATGGATGAGGAAGAATGCGGCGCTCTTCCAGAAGTTTCTGCGCTGCGGCCCACCATTTAATTCCGAACTCGAAATTGCTGGCATCAGGAGAGGTTTCTTGTGTTCCCATGCGGTAGGGCTCTCCTAATACGTCGTATGCCATTGAGACATGTGAGTCAACATCATCTCGTGCTGATCGGACATCTAGCAGGGCATTGTAACAACCTCCTGCAGAAGAGATGGCAGCACTGCAGATGGCAGCCGATTGGGGAGTAGAAATTGTATCAAGGACAAACTCCAGGGCATCATCAGTATCCTCCCTGATTTGTTCACCAACCTGAGGATCATGATAATCGAAAACAGCGTGTGCCCCAAGCTCAAACATTAAGCTGCGATTGGCTTCAGAGCATGTCGTCACCACTCGTAGTCCAGACAGCTTTGCCAATTGAATAGCAAGCGTACCGGTGGCCGTTGCTCCTCCGTAGATTAAGATATTTGCGTCTTCTAGTTCACTGGAATCGTCACCAGGAAAGGGCAACTCCATGCTCTGATAAAGATTTTGACCAACGGTTGTCAAACCAACACCGAAGGTGGCAGCAGCCTCGAAAGTCATGGATTCCGGGATGTGAATTTGAATATCACCCTTGGCAATCACATATTCGGCGAATGCCCCGCCATTGGGACGGACTGCGTTGCTGCCATGAACAAATCCGGCCACGCGATCACCTTTCTTGAATGCCTTTTTGACTTGTGGACCGACGGCCTCCACTATTCCAGCATAGTCGCAGCCAACTACCGCCCCTTTACATGGCACAAAGTCGATGTGACGCCAGTCTGTGGGATTCAAAGCCACTGGTTGGTATCTTAGTTACTGCGGACGGAAGAGGGGATTAAATCCAAGCCAGAGAAAGAAATACCAGCTTTTGTTTTGACCAAAATGTAATTATCAGGCAGCTCCGGAAGCCGAACATCTTCACTCAGTATTGCTCGACCTGGTTCCTGAACGATGATGGCACTCTGAGTAATCATATTCAATGTATGTCGTGATAGGGAGGAGGACGGTGAGAGATAAGACGGAAGGCCGTCGTATTTGCCAAGGTAAATGGTCTAAGTAGTAAACTCTAACAAATGTAGGGCCTATTTTGGTGTCTTTGCAAAGGATTTGGGGATGACCCAGACATTCCGGTCTAGCGAAATGGAAACTCCAATACCCACCTTCAATGGGGCTAAATCGAACCATTGACTCTGGTGGGCGGTGTGGGGTCTGTCCGGTTAGTGTGATTTCCACATCCGAGTAAGATAGTCGAGATGTACGTACATGGACAGTTTGTAGTGGGTGATCGATGTGGGGGGAAGAGTGGGTGCAAGTCCACCCCGGGTTGCTCTAAAGTCAGGCAATAGCATGAGAACAACTGATATGGAAGCTTGAAAGGCTAGACTTCACCGGCCATGGTCCTTCGGCGACTGCACAATAGGCAAATCCTCCGTGCCGCCACGTTCAAGCCGTTCAAGCCTGCGGGCCGGAGTAAGGGATGAGAGCGGCCCAGGGTCCTTAGGGCCGAAACTTTGTCTAACTCATACAGGGAAAACACAAACAAAAACTCCCCGAAGTCCCAATTTTCTTCCTGAACACGAGAAAAAACAAGTATCTACTGGGAGTCCGGAAAAGTGGGATCGGCCTCAATCAGGGGGCTGGGAAGTGATCGTTCCCCACTGCGGAATGTGATTTTAGGATCTCACCAACAAAAAATCCTGTACTAGCGATCGTCAGCTATGGCAGATAAGATTGGCTCGGTGCACTCCAGGTCATGAGTGTGGAGCCATGGCTGATGGAGCATGCATGCTATGAAGATCATTACCCCTAACTTGCATTACGGTGATCTTGAAATACAGTGACCGAGACTGGTAAGCCCCTGTCTCAATACTACACCCTACACTATCGACACTTTCTCTGTGCAACTCCGTGTATTGTAAGGTCTAGATAGCCCTGATTTCCGCTGTACCTTTGCGCACTGGCGATCCGGTTCGTCGCATTCCCCACTTGGTAACTTGTTATGGGTTCACCCTCAGCCATACCTCCGGGTGGGTTTTTCGAAGTTGAACCAGATGTCTACTGTATCTATATACCCAGTACTCAAAATAGATTATAATCAATCATCTCAAGACATTTAACAGAACTGTAGAGTTTGAATTGCATGGATGGAGTCTCACCGAAGTGAACTCACAAGTTATATAGCGCTGTTTGGAGAGATTTGGGGCTCCACACACGTTCTCCGCTTGCCAGATAGCCACTAAAACATGCATGTGAACTGCGAAGCTTCCCGCACTTATGTCACTAGCTTCTACACTACGATTCATGGCCTGAGTGGAAGAAGGGCTTACCGAGGCCAGCTGAGTAGCGCAACACCGAGTATAATACCCCACAGCCTCCCAACTCTCCGACCTCAACAACCTTATCTTTAATTTATTTGACACTTACAAGATGCCCGGCCGACCGACCGCGACCTCGCCCAACCCAGAAATGGAGGGAATTGCAGTCATCGGAATCGGGTGTCGCTTTTCTGGAGGTGCAACATCCGTCGAGGATTTCTGGCAGATGCTATGTGAGGGACGTACTGGACACGGAACTATTCCTTCAAGCCGATATGAAGCTTCTGCCTGGCATCATCCGAGTCATGATCGCAAAGGCGCGGTATGTATTCCCTGATTAGACTTACATAGTCATTATTCTCGCGATTACTCGAGCTGACAGATGATTAGATCAATCATGACAGCGGATTCTTCCTAGAAGAAGATCCCTCCCGCTTTGATGCACCCTTCTTCTCTATTACCGCCAAGGAGGCAGCGGGAATGGACCCAGCACAGCGTTTGCTGCTCGAGGTTGCATATGAAACTTTTGAGAACGGTCAGTCGGATCCATACCTGAAATCGCAGGAAGACCAAAAGAGCTAAGATTAGTATGACAGGCGGTATTCCAATCGACTCACTTCCAGGGAGTAACACAGCAGTGTATTCCGGGTCAATGACCAATGATTATGAGCTATTATCAACTAGAGATATTTATGATATGCCTCATAACTCGGCAACTGGAAATGGAAGGACTATGCTGGCAAATCGGTTGTCATGGTTCTTCGATCTCCAAGGCCCCAGTATCATGATGGACACTGCGTGTTCCTCAAGTTTGACTGCGGTGCATCTAGCAGCCCAGTCTCTACGTTCTGGCGAGTGCGGAATGGTACGTACTAGCCTCTCTCCCAGTCTGAGTCGAGCTTACAATTGGAGTTGTAGGCACTAGTGACCGGAGCCAGCCTAATTTTACACCCTAATTTCACACAAAGGCTCTCCTATATGCATATGATGAGTGCAGATGGCACAAGTCACTCATTCGATGAGTCTGCAAATGGATATGGCCGAGGAGAAGGTATTGGCGCAGTGCTTTTAAAGCCTCTCAGTGCAGCTTTGGCCGACGGAGACAACATTCGAGCCGTCATCCGGGGTACAGGGATTAACCAGGATGGTCGCACCCCTGGAATTACCTTGCCAAGCCCGACATCACAAGCAAACTTGATCCGTTCGACATATGAGCGGCATGGAATTTCAATGAAAGATACTGCATACTTCGAAGCACATGGGACTGGTACGCCGGTCGGAGTAAGTTAACCATCCCTGTCAATACCCACGAGGGTTTTCACTCTCTAAACTGATTTGTAGGATCCCATAGAGCTGTCTGCTGTTGGGATGACTTTGGGGGAGGCACGGTCAGCAACCGATGAGCCGATATACGTAGGCTCCGTGAAGACAAACCTCGGTCACACCGAAGGAGCTGCAGGTGTGGCTAGTTTGATCAAGGTCGTTCTCTGTTTGGAAAAGGCCACATTGGTACCGAATGCCGGCTTCAAAAACATTAACCCAAAGATCCGTCTCGACGATTGGCGTCTGCGCCTGAGCGACAAAACGATACCTTGGCCAGATCATCTGCCACAACGGGCCAGTATTAACTCATTTGGATTTGGTGGATCAAATGCGCACGTCATCATTGAGAGCACCAAAGAAGCCTTCAGGGGAAATGACGAAGACAGAGAGCCTCCTCCGCGTGTTGTGGTTTTTTCTACTTTTGACCAAGCTGGCATTGACCGACTGGGTCAAAATTGGAGCAGCTTCGTCCAACGTAAGCAAAAGGCTGAGCAAGAGATCCCAATCAAAGATCTTGCGCATACGATGCTGAATCGCCGTTCCCAATTGGGCTTCCGCAGCTTTGCAGTTGCCAACACAGGGGATCAGCTTGGGGAGATCCTGGAAAAAGGGCTTCCCAAGTTTGCTCGAGCCAGTCGCAAGGTTCACACGCGAATTGCCTTTGTTTTCACCGGTCAGGGTGGCCAGTGGGCTGGCATGGGCCGTGAGCTTTTGAGGACTGTAATCTTCAAAGAAAGCATGGCGCGCTCACAAGAGATTCTTTCATCTATGGGATGTCCCTTTAACATTTTTGAGGAGATTCGAGCCGAAGCAAAGGACAGCCGTATCAACCGACCTGACCGCAGCCAGCCTATAACTTGTGCCTTGCAGATTGCGTTGGTAGATCTTTTGGCCAGCTGGTCCGTTTATCCCAACGCAGTTGTTGGTCACTCCAGTGGTGAGATTGGTATGTGACCCTACCATGCACTTGTTTGTAATTCCAATTGAAACCAGTAGCTGACATAAATGTACCTATAGCTGCCGCCTATGCTGCTGGGTATCTTTCCCACGCAGATGCCATGCGAGTCGCATGGTTCCGCGGCTTCTTTTCGCAGCAGATTGCTGAGAGTGACAAACGGGGAGGCATGCTCGCTACTGGAATCTCGGCAGCAGACGCACAGAAGTATCTCGATGAACTTCCACCGAGATCGGTCGTTGTTGCCTGCGTTAACAGTCCTGCCAGTACAACACTTTCAGGTGACGTGGACCTTATTGACCAGCTTGAAGTAAGGCTACAGAAGGATGGTCACTTTGCCCGAAAACTGCGCATTGACACAGCTTATCACTCCCCCCATATGGAAGAGTTAGTTGGGGTGGTTGGAAACGCCATCGAGTGCATCAAGCCGGAAGATCGACACAATGGCTCGATTCCCATGCTTTCATCTGTCACAAAGGAGCGTGTCCATTCTGCAGAGCTTGGTGGATCATATTGGGTTCGAAACATGGTCAGCTCGGTTGAATTCACCGCCGCAGTCTCGCAACTCGCAAACCTTAGCGAGTCTAACAAGGCTCGCCGACGGCCGGTCCCTATCAAATGGACCTCGCTGGTTGAGATTGGCCCTCACACAGTGCTCAAGGGACCAGTCACTCAGATCTTGAAATCTGTCAATCCAAGCATGGCATCTCTCCCCTATCACTCGTTGGTTGCGCGTAGCCAACACGCTTTGCGAACGTCGCTCGAAACTGCTGGCTCTCTTTGGAGCACAGGACATGATGTAGACCTCGCTGCAGTCAACAGTAGTGTTGATAGCACAACGCCAACAGTTGTTTCTGATCTGCCTTCATATCCTTGGAATCACCAAACATCATTTTGGCACGAGCCGCTGGAGACAACGCAGCTGAGACAGCGCAAACATCCGCGTCATGATATTTTGGGTGCTCCCTGGACTACCAAAATGCCTTGGAGCCACGGTGGAGGAACTTCTTGCGCCTGTCAGAGAATCCTTGGATGGCCGATCACGTCGTGGCTGGGTCGATTGTTTTCCCAGCCGCGGGTATGCTTGTGATGGCCACTGAGGCGGCACGGCAGCTCGCCGATGATCAAGCCAAGGTGAAAGGAATCGAGTTCCAGGACGTTCGCTTTATGCGCGGAGTAGTGATTCCCGAGGAAGACCGAGGCTTGGAAACCGTTCTTCAGGTCTCCCCTCACCCAGGAATACCGGGCTGGTATCAATTTGGTATCTTCTCTCTTCCATCCGGGGGATCCTGGATTCAACACGCGAAGGGTGCATTCACCATGCGATACGAGAACCGAGAAGATGATGAACTTACTGCAAACTGGGAAGCCGCTGTGGCGCGCATCAAGGAAACACAGTCAACTGCGCAAAAGGCCGATATTGGGCAGGCCTACCAATGGTTATCTCATACCGGAGGTCTGACAGTCGGCCCTTCCTTCAAGACTATCACAGGCGTCTCATTCTGTGAATCAGAGCCCCGTCTGTGGCTATCTGGTGTTGTCACAGAAACAAAGCAAGCAATGCCCCACGAAATGGAGACGCCCAGTTTCATTCACCCCACAACACTTGATTGCCTCTTTCAGTCTGCCCTTCTATCTTGTTCCGAGGCTCTGTCGAGCAGCAACGCCAACATCCCCGTCGGAGTGGACCATATCTATATCGCCGATGCCTTCCAGCCACAATCAGGTGAGCAGTTTGCTGTCCACACCGAAACTCAGTGGCGAGATGGCAAGTCCCGATCTAGGTGTATTGCGTCAGATCCTTCCTGGACACAGCCCTGGATCACATTCGAAGGTGTTCACCTTGGCCGACTTCCCTTCAATCCCAACTCGCAAAAGCAAGAGCAAGTCAGCTCTGACAGCAGATATTCTTCCATTGTTTGGGATGAACACTTGGAGTCACCCATCGTCACTGGTCGAACCCCGTCTGACGGGAACAAAGGAACGGTTGTGGAAACCAGCGATTTGCAGCTGGGAGACTGGATCAAGCGCATGTGCCATACAAACGGAGATGCCAAGGCGTTGATAACGACCGCGAACACAAGTTATTCGTGGGTCGAAGACCTGGAGATGGCACCAGGTGCCGGAAAGCGACCATGTCTAGGAAAGCTCACGGTTGCCTTGTGTGGCTCCAAGGATGAAGAGAAGACCGACGCCCAGAAGAACCTCATAGGAACTCAGGTTGTGCCCCTCAATGCACTTGCCGAACTTCCATCCTCATCCCTTGCCGAACAGACATTTGATCTTGTCGTTATCGACGAGCTCAGTCTGTGGGAAGGCAAAACCCTACAAGCGATTGCTTCGCTCCTTCCCACCATTCTTGAACACGGAGGCTTCGCAGCAATGCGCGTCTCAGATGAGAACATTGAATCTGCAGTCGAGACGTTGCAGCGAGTCAATGGTCTGGACGTCCACAGTATGACTGAGGATCGCAACTTTGTCATCACACGCAAGATGCCCGTCCAATGGGCCACAGACTCGGAGATCTATATCTTGAGTCCAACAGACAAGTCCAACTCTTTCCCCGTGTTTGACCACCTGGAGAAGATCTTCGCAACCCATAATGTTCGCCTAGTCTCTGTTGGATTAGACCAGGTGCCTGCATTGGAAAATAAGACTGTGATTTCGTTGCTGGATTTGGCCGGCCCCTGGGTATCCGAGTGGGCGGCCGATGATCTGAGGCATCTCCAAGAGCTAATCCGTGCACAATACGTTCTTTGGATCTCACCATTCTGGGGTCAAGGAGGCGTTGAAAACATAGGATCAGGTGCTACGGGCGGTCTTCTGCGGACACTTCGCAACGAGCATTGGAATACTACTATTCCACAGCTTCTTGTGGATGCCGAAGATTTGCAAGACCAATTCGGACTGGCTTGTGGGATATTGCAGGTCATGCAGCTTACCACGCAGCAAAACTCACGACGTCCAGACATGGAGTATCGTCTCTCCAATGGTCGACTTTTGATCCCACGTGTCCTTGAGACATCTGCAGTGGATGAGGCTATGCAGACACTGGTCAATGGTCCCAAGCCTGTACTAGCAGATCTGGCACTGGACCCGAGGCCCCTTGAATTGAAGATCGAGGACACAAACCGTGCGCACTGGGCGGAGCAACAAGTTCCAGAAGGGCAACTTCCACCAGATCATGCCGAGATCAAGGTTGAGATGGCCACAATTTTTGACCTGAATGGTGAACTGGGCAAGACGCCAGAGACTGTTCTCCCAATGATTGAGGTTTCTGGAAAGGTCATCCAGATTGGATCAGGGGTGAACGATCTCAACATTGGTGACAAAGTTCTGACGCTGTCCTCTGCAAAGTTTGGGCTTTCCACGAAGATCCGCGTGCCGGAGAGTGACACTATCAGAATACCAGCAAACACAGATCTCGCACAGGCTATCTCAACTCCTCTCGCGTATCTTAACGCGTATCAAATCCTCACCGAAGTGGGTCGCCTGCGCTCGAATTCCTCCGTCCTTTTGGTTGGGTCAATCAGCCAAACTCTTCGAGCCATGATTGACTACGCGCTTGCCATGGATATGCATGTTATCGTGGCTACTGATTCCCAATATACTTCTGATGTTCTCTCCTCACGCTACCCAAGTCTACAGGATCGGATCCTTGGTATTCACGGCAGCCTGGAAGCAAGTGTATCTCGGCTGACCAACGGAAGTGGTGTTGAAGCTGCCATAGGCTTCCTGGGCGGATATTCGGGCCGGGTTGCAGCAAGATGCTTGATCCAAGGCGGCCAGTATATCAACTTGTCCAGCGATATGAAGTTGAGTGCTTTGCCAGAGAGCTTTATTGAAAGTGGTTGCACTTTCTCCTCGCCGAAACTGCAAAGATCATTCTCAGAGAAGCCTGGTAGCCTCCACGCCTCGGTTAGGCATGTCATCGACTTCATGAAGAAGCACAAAATGCTGGAGCATGTAGAGCCCTACGCTACTTTCCCTGTAGCTGATGTACAGGCAGCTCTGAAGTATTGCAAAGAGACTGATACCCGCGCTATAGTGGACCTTCAGGCTCCGGGTCAAGTTCCAATCGTGCTCCCACTTCCAGAGCTTGCCGCTTTGCCGGCGGATCAGACTTACATACTGGCTGGTGGACTAGGAAATCTTGGCCTTGCGCTTGCTGAAACTTTAGTATTGTCTGGAGCCCGCCATTTGGTATTCCTGGGCCGATCTGGTGGGGTTCAGCATGATCAGCAACTCGCCCTTGATCGGCTTCGTGGCCGCGGATGCAGCATCGATGTGGTTCGCTGTGATATTTCCAGGAGAGGAGACATTGATCATCTTGAATCGAAAATTCGCAACAAAAAGTGGACAGTCGGAGGTGTGATTCAGTGCACAACGGTCCTTAAGGTAACCCATTGCGATCCTATCTATTTCTTTACACCAGCTGACTCGTTTCAATCTGCAGGACACAATGTTCGAAAACATGTCGTTTGATGATTGGACCCAATCGACTGAGTCCAAGGTTCGCGGAACATTGAACTTACACCATCTCTTCTCCAAGCAAGAAAGCTTAAAATTCTTCGTGGCGCTATCCTCCGTCGCAAGTGTCATTGGAAATATGGGCCAAGCTAACTACTCTGCTGGAAATGGTTTCATTGATGCTCTCATGGAATGGCGACGAGGCAATGGCCTTCCCGGCCATTCCATCAACATTGGCCTCGTCCCAGATGCCAGTGGTCTCAGTGATATCAACGAAGATCAAGAGCAGCGCCGCCGCCGCTACAAACACCTTGAGGGTACAGAAATCATGACGCACGAGCTTCAGACCTTGCTGCGCGTGATCATCAACAGCAAACTCTCTATGCCTCCCCAAATTGTAGCTGGCATGACCGACTCCCTGTCACGCAAAAATGCTCCTTCCGCGTGGCTTTTCGATCGAAAGTTCGATCACCGGCTTGCCCTGGCTGTTGAACAAGACGAGACAACCGAAATCCTCACCAGTACTTTGCTGAAGGAGTCTGGCTCCGTTGATGCGGCAGCTCAGATTGTCGTCGACGCTCTCAGTGAATATCTGGCACATGCAATGGCTACGACAGCTGATTCTATCGACCCGGATTTACCATTGTCTGCCTTGGGTGGTATGTCTCCATGATACCCTGCCACCGCGATCTTTCCGTTTACTAACTATACTCTCTAGTGGATTCCCTCAAAGCTACGGACGTGCAGAACTGGGTCTCACGTGAATTGGGGGCTGAATTGTCCTCTTTCGAATTCCTTGGATCACAACCGACCAAGGCATTAGCAAGGAAGATCGCCTCAGCTAGCTCTTTTGTCTCCGAATCGAGCTGAAGCATAGTGCGGTCTAGCCTCGATTATTAGGAAACTGTTTAATAGTGATAGACTTTAATTCGTATTTTAAAACAATGTTTAATACCCTTGAGATTTACTGACTTTTCTCGTGTTTGACTTTCCGTGTCTTAGCCCCTGTCTCTTGTGTTGATCCTATGTACACAGTATTGGCGATGTCAAATATGTAAAATGATGTATATTACTTACAATACCGCGTCATGAAATGTTAGGCCCCAGTGCCCCCAATAGTTCGTGAACTATGTACGAAGGTCCACAGTGACGGCCTATCCTCGGCTTCCACGGTGGCACTGGTGGATCTCGGGAGACGCCCGTCACTCCCTTAGTCGCCTCACAAGCCAGTCGGGATGCCGCTCAGCCTCAGAGGATTCGGAGCTATGCAGGTGCAGATGCAGATGCAGATCAAGAACGGAGTATAGTAAAAGGGGTGTGGGAGGGAAGACGCGGTTCGTTGGCGGTGAGCGTATGAGCGGCAGAGTACGCGACTTCGCTCCACCGAACTAACCTCGCGTCAATGACAGATCGGGGCGATCAGTTCATCAGAGTCACAGAGCTCAGCTCACCGGTGTCTTTTCTCGCCATTCGGCCGTCAGTGGCCGGACACTGTACGATGTGGTCCCCTGAAAGGATTCTCGATATCTTTCGAAGCGAATGGGAAAGCAAACCGTGATGCTAAAGAAGCTTTGTACTTTTGACCGGCACGGGTGGGCTGCATATTTTCCACGAGAATGATCTCCCTTGCTGCCGCACGGAATATCGGCATTTGACGCCGATTGCTACATGTACTGTATACTGTCACTTTTGGACAACATACAGTACCGAACCCTCCCTTCGCCCTTTTTTGCCAACGGGAAATATTCGGCGCCGAGGCCTCACAAATTGGGGGGAAGAATTGGTGAGGTGACCTCGGGGTCTATCGAGGTACATCAGGGCGATCCCGAGGTTCTCCGAATTTGTGAAATTTCAGCTCAAACCCAATAAGACATGGGGCCGGCCAAGATGTACAATGAGGGGAAGATTGTCGATCTTTTGGCTGGACTGTGGTCAATGGACCCAGCTGGCGCTATGATCAGCGGCAAAGTAACTACTGCAGGTAAAGTCATTGGTGCCAGGGCCGTGTCTTCTGGACACTATGTTTCTAGGGCAATGCATATCCACACCGTGGAGCCATCTTAGCTACGGGATATGGGACCCTCTTTGCCATGCAAACCGGGAACTATGGGTTGGTGCGAGGAACTTTCCGAAATTCTGGTCTCGCTATGGCGCTGGCGCATGACCTTGCTTGATCTCCCACAAAAAATTTACTCCCTTTCCGCATTTAATTCCGCTCTCCTTCGTTCCTCTTCCTCCCTGCTCATTGCCTTCAGCCATGGCAGATCCAGAGAAGAACGGTGTGGCCATGCCAAAACACCCTGCGAGGGTAGTCCACAACAACTCCAATTCCGTAGGGACCATTTTCTCGGACCACGGAAAGCTTGTGGACGACTACTCTTCTAAGGAACTCCGAAGTGGCCATACCTCTGTCGACCTAAGTGATTTAGAGGCTCAGAAGCCCGCCGAACCTCGACGGAAGCATTTTGCGCACTTCAGATATGCTGTCTTTACTGTCTATCGACGGCTCTTCACGTTTGTCATGTGTGCAAATTTAGCATGCTTCGTCTATGTGATGGTCTCCAATCGACAGCTCGTGGCACTGGTGGATGCCACTGCTGTAAACTTGGTGGCGTGTGGTCTCGCTCGACACCCAATGGTTATCAACGGCATCTATAGGGTTGTCTGTTCGCTACCTAGGTCAGCACCACTTTGCTTGCGCCGCATGGCAGCTAAAGCAGCCCATTACGGCGGTGTCCACAGTGGCTGTGGTGTTGCATCATTAATCTGGTACATTGGATTTGTTGCTATGGTTTCGAAACTATATTGGACATCATCCCCCATTAGCACATTGTCGAGTGTCACTTTCACGGCTGCGCCGATTGCTATCGCCTACATCATTCTTTTCCTGTTGTTCGTGATGGTAGTCGTGGCATATCCCTCGTTCCGCAGAAAGATGCACGATTACTTCGAGCTCACCCACCGCTTCACCTCATGGCTTATTCTAGCCCTCTTTGTTGCCCTTCTCATGCTGTTTGCCCATGAAGTCAGTACAGCACAGAAGCAGACCATGGGCTACTTCCTCATTACTCTACCCGCATTCTGGCTTTTAATTGCGGCCATCGTGGCAGTAGTCCACCCATGGCTCCTACTGCGAAAGGTCCCAGTGGAACCCGAGCCTCTCTCTTCACACGCCGTGCGATTGTCCTTCAACCACACGCCCATCAGCTTCGCGAAGGGTATTCAAGTCACGAAGAACCCTCTCCGCGACTGGCACAGCTTCGCCGGCTTCCCAGACCCCGTCCCAGAGCCTGTTGAAGAACCTACACCGGAGCCCGCTCCAGAGCCCGCGCCCGCCCCTGGTCGACAATCCGCCCAATTCAAAAAGGGCCACAGGAGAAGCTTCTCCATTGTGGTATCAAAGGCCGGAGATTGGACCGCCGATACTATCGAGAACCCACCAAAGGAGCTCTGGAAACGGGGATCACTGATGCGTGGCGTTGGCTACGGTCTACGTCTCTTCAACCGCATTATCATTGTGACCACAGGTTCCGGCATTGGACCCTGTCTAGGATTCCTTGGCGATGAAAACCGACCTGCCATCAAGGTTATCTGGCAGACACGTACCCCGGAAAAGACATACGGCCAAGATGTCATTGATCTCGTTCATAAGATGGGCCCCGATCCAATCATCTGGGATACATCTCTGATGGGCCGCATTGACATGATCCCTATGGTGCGACAGCAATACAGGGAGTTTAACGCGGAGGCAGTGTTCGTGATTAGCAACCCTTCGATGACCCAAAAAATTGTTTACGATTTCGAATCTCAAGGGATCCCGGCTTATGGCCCGATCTTTGATTCATGATATATGTTCTTACGTTTTGATTTCTCTTTGGGCGGTTTATCATATTTCTGTTTACGCAACGTATATACGAAAGCCATATGCAGCTCCTTTAGTTTACAACAATCACCAGAGTAATGAATATATTTTAATGATCCTCCTTTTTTGGACACTGTGTTTAATGGCTATAGAATCATTTGGTAGTTAGACCAGACGGCCCGACAAAATGAACGACCCCGGTGTTATTCGTCATTACTCAACCGAAACACTGCTTCGCTGTCCCTTAAAAGAACAGTGCCCTGCCCTATAGGGTGTTATCGAAAACATCTCAAGCGTCTATCAATCAATCGCTCGAGTACTATAGTTGCGTGCACTTCTGCTCTGAGAATGTAGCGACCGGGCCTGCGCAGCACGCTCTCCTTGATGTGGGATATCGTCAATTACGTACAGTACTCGGCCCTAAAGCTAATCTACCTGGTGATCTGCTCGCACGGTGGACCAATATTGAAACTGGCTACATGAAAACCTAAGACATGATGGCTGTAATACCCGGATGTTCGGACATTTGGAAGATCGGATATCATGAAAGAAGTGCATATTGGCTAGCAATCATCGCAGCCCCGCCCGATCTTCCCATGGCAGATCCTAATGTTAGGCAGAGGAGGGTAGAACCTTATTTCAACAGTCGTCTATGTAGGCTGACTGGTCTTCGCGAAAGGTCAGGAGCTGTCGTACATTACCTGAGAATGACGAATTATATATCATTGCTGACAAGGAATGGCGATAATTGACTTGAATTTATGGTTCCGATCAAACAGTGACGTCCCTCCCATAACGCTCGGTGAAAATTGTACCGCCCTTTGCCAGGCTACATTCTTGTGGCTTGAAGGTGGCCGTGACATTATAAGAACACTGCTTGTTCCAAAAGAGCCTTGTCTCATGACTGCCTCAATAAACATTGTTGTCATCTATTTTGGTAACTATCTGTCATTAGCCATACCTCCACAGACCGAGATCAACGCACATAGAGGGCTGTTCACCCGCATGGCACGCGGGCCGTTCCGTGGATTTAGCATAAAGAAATACTGTAGCGGTGTATCAAGGATTATCCAGGTGCAAGATTAGCCATATTCATGCGCGCTATCGGCTAATGCCGCGTAACGTTTACGCGGTGCCCTACAGTATGACTTAACACGGCGACAATAGCTTGCATCTTGGTACCGCTTCCGACTCCCGAAGCTCCACTCCGCGGAACCATGGCTCAGTGAATTTGAAGAGATATCATAATTGGCATTTGAAACTCCGTTTTTGATGTCGGCTTGGTATTGACATGCGGCACGCTGTATGGTGAACTCGATTAATCCGTAAGTACGCCGTATTGTGGACAATTTCCAGAGCTGTGAATGGAAATGAAAACTTCAATCTGCCAAGTGACAGGTTCTATGGATTTCACTCCAAAACAAGATACCAAGGCGATTTTTTCTTGGCGCAATTTCCACGCCAATGAGATTTGGCCTAGCGTGAGACACGCAGCCTCGCTTGCCCGAAGTTCTGTAGCAATCAATTTCCCATGTAACATTGTCTACTGTACTTTTCAGGTTCATCTAAACGTCACGTACGGCCCAGCCCCTTGCGTGCATGAAATTTTAATTACTGTCTGAGTCATACATCAAATGCAACAGGGCAAGAAGAAGCATGCTGAAAAGTTAGGCCCCCGAAACTAGTCAGAATTGTAATCCGGATCGAAGCCTGGGGCGAGGTTTAGGGGTTTCCATGCCTCCCATTGGACGATGACTTGAACTAGGCTGCGCAGATAGCCTGCGTCTGCCTCCAGGCTAATTAATGAGGGATGCTAAGCGCTAGTCAGAAAAGAAATCTTTCTCTTTCTCTTCATCATGCCTGTCGCGCAGGAAAATTCCATCATGAAGAGTGGAATCCTCGATCGAAACAGACACAGATCTCACAGTCATAGTCATCGGAGGCATATCGGAAGATCCTTAGCCTCACGGATCAGGCACCGGCCTTTTACATCGGGATGCTTAATCATTGTGATCGCATTCCTTTTGATAACGGGATTTCGAAATTATCCAACTGGTTTGTCCCCCGCGATGGGCATTTTGGATTGAAAGATGTTTTTTATTCCATTGTTATGGGACGCTAATCAGGATGGAATCATTAGCCAACAGGATAGCGCGTAAAAAAGCGCAATTTGAGTTGGTTCAGAGGACCAAGAACTATAACGCTCATTCCACGAACGTAGGCGTCGTTATACCAAAAATACGCTCAGATGACGTGCGGTGGCTTTGGAAATACCTCAAGCAACAGTACGTGACAGCTATGGCTTGTTCCTCAGGCGTGCTAACAAGAAAGCCGTTCTCAGTAATGACACCACTGCTTTTATTTACTCCACTGACAAACGGCCCGAACTGGATCTACATCTTGCACATTCTCGACGCGGTCGCGAAGTCTCCGCGTACCTCTCCTACGTTATCGACTACTATGACAACCTACCCCCATACTCCATCTTCATTCACGCGGACGAGAAGCAACGACACAACGACTTGTTCGGGCCCAAGACAAGTACAATACTGCAAAACCTGCGCCCCGAAGCCGTGGAAGCAAAGGGATACCTGAACCTGCGCTGTATGCATTCTCCGGGCTGTCCAAGTCATGTTTCGCCAAACAACCCTACGAAATCCGACATTAAAGCCGGCGATGCCCGCGCACACTTCGCACGAATATATCGGGAGCTCTTTGGAATGAACGTGGTAGTTCCGGATTTGATTGGGGCACCCTGTTGTGCGCAGTTCGCGGTAAGTCGAAACCAAATTCGGCGACGACCAAAGAGCGATTATGTTCACATGATGGATTGGGTGGATGGGGCAAGTGCGCAGCTAATAGATAGTTATGCCGTTGGTTGGGTTTTTGAAAGCTTATGGCATGTGGTGTTTGGTATGGAAGCAATTGAGTGAGTGGTTCATCTTCCGGGAAACAATGCTTTTGGTTACCGGAGCACTAACCACAACCAGATGTCCTGCTTATGAACAATGTCGTTGCGATAATTACGGATGGTGCGGACCTCTGGCTTCCGGAACGGTTTTGACACCAATCAGACCAGAAGGCATGAACCAGACGGATATTGGACCGTGATCACTTGCGACTGACAGATGGTGCATATCGGAGGCGCAGGGATATTTTATAATCCTATCTTTTCGGGGTCACAAGAATACCATTTCAAGGCGTTATCTTGGTTTTCGTGGAGATCTTTCATGCAATCCAAAATGTTGAAGAACGAACATTGTGTGCTTATCCAACGGTCGTTTGATTGACTGGGTGCAATGTGAGCTGCCATCTGCTTCATCCATCACATTGAGCGCGAACGCTCTCTAGTCACATTGGCATTCAATCGAAGTTTTCCTCGGCGGAAGTGCGGCGACCGATCAAAATAAATCCCAGCTGGCATTATACCAAGCCCACGATAGGCGAGTTGTGATTCAACAAGAGCACAGGGCATTGCAAACATGATGCCCCGTGATGAAAGGCAGAGCAGGATTCAGTATACATGTGCACCCGTCCTCTCCCCAATATCATTTCGAGCCGAAGCCCCTTTAGTGGGGCCTCAATCCACAACAAAGGACAGGGGTGAGACGACTGCTAAACCTAGCAAGAGCCGTTCAATATTACAATATGGATTGTTTCAACAACCAAAAAACTGGAGATTTCATTTACAATTAAAGTCATTCAAGTAACTAGGTCTTTTTCATACAAATATCCAATGTTGATGGTTGCTCGCGACCTTCTGGAACAGATTTCATCGCCAAGATCCACTTGGTCTTGTATGCATGCTGTGACCCCGCGAATAGTCTTCAATAGTCTTCTTCTTCTGGCAATTCCATGTCGATCCCTATTGAGAATCCTCACAACTATAGAACTATTGATTTACTGATGCCCAAAAAAGTGCGATCGTCGTGCCCGAAATGTCAGAATTTGAACACCTCGGTTCTTGCATACAACGTGCCGTGGGGTTGGCTGAATGCTACCAATGAGACTTTCTGGGATCAATCTGATCGTCAAAACTCAATCTCATTTCGAATTGTTCATGCCAGGTTTGGCCACACATTGACATGCAATGAGCTAATCATTCCCCCGCCCATTAGCCACCCCTAATGGGCGGGGGAGGCGGCGCAACGTGAGTTATATAGACAAGCTCGAGGTGGAGAAATGGCTAGGTGAGATCTTCGGTCTTCCATCTTTCTGCTTCTTAATTTTATAAGCCATGTATATTAGCCGACTCCTTGGACTGGCCGCAGCCTCTGTAGGCCTCGTCAAGGCTGTCGAGCTAACAGGCTACGAATATGTCGTCGTCGGTTCAGGGGCCGGAGGAGGCCCGCTGGCTGCTCGACTTGCACTTGCCGGCCACAAGACTTTGTTGATTGAAGCTGGCGATGACCAGGGTCACAACGTCAACTACACTGTGCCGGCCTTTTCTGCCAAGGCATCCGAAGATGAAGCTATGGCATGGAACTTCTTTGTCCGTCACTATGCAGACAACGACCGACAAGCCCTCGACTACAAGACCACATACGAGACTCCGGATGGCGGCGAGTATACTGGACTAAACCCGCCAGAGGGTTCAACCATGAAAGGCACATTATACCCCCGTACCGGGACTCTTGGGGGCTGCACTGCCCACAATGCTATGGTCGCCGTCTATCCACACGAGTCCGACTTCGAATACCTCGCCACACTCACCGGAGATAGTTCATGGTCACCAGACAACATGCGCAAGTATTTCAAGCGTATGGAGAACAACAACTACCTCCTCCCGCTGGCCAAAGGCCACGGCTATGACGGCTGGCTGGGAACTGAAACCGCGCCTCTGAGCATCGTATTGGAAGACCCTGAGCTTTTGAGCCTGCTCTTGGGTGGAGCGTTCTCTTTGGGCAATGTGACCAACACTGTTTTCAACCTAGGCACACTGCTTGTTGGCGATGCAAACCAGGACTCTAAGCTCCGTGACACCACTCCGGGATACTACCAGATCCCGATTTCCTCGGACGGCAATAGTCGCAATGGTCCTCGCGAGTTTATCACTGCTGTGCGCGATGCCACTAACAAGGACGGGTCTAAGAGATACCCTCTCGATGTTCGGACCAATTGCTATGTTACCAAGGTAACTTTTGACGAGTCTGTTAGTCCGCCGCGGGCTTCGGGCGTGGAATTCCTCGACGGCCAATACCTTTATCGCGCCAGCCCACGTTCTAACAACGCGGGGAGCGGCACCGCTGGCTCTGTTAAAGCCTCGCGCGAAGTCATCGTTGCTGGAGGTACCTATAACTCACCTCAAATTCTCAAACTGAGCGGGGTGGGACCGGCAGACGAGCTGCGCAAATTTGGGATCAAAGTGATCTCCAACCTTCCTGGTGTCGGCACCAATCTCCAAGACCACTATGAGACCGCTGTGCAGGGCCATATCCCCAATAACTGGACAGCACTTGACGGGTGCACCTTTGATCACGGTAGTGATCCTTGCCTAGAGCGCTGGGAAAAGAATGGACTGGGTGGTCGTGGGGTTTATTCGTCCGACGGATTCGCAGCCGCAATGTTTTATAAGAGCTCCGTCACTGCAGATGACAGCTACGACGTCTTTGTATTTGGCGGACCAATCAATTTCCGTGGCTATTTCCCAGGATACAGTATCAACATTACTGAGCGCCATGATTGGTTCTCCTGGGTGGTTCTTAAGGCACACCCACGCAACCAAGCCGGATCTGTGACTCTTCGCTCGGCTGATCCACTTGACATGCCCGAGATTGTTTTCAACTCTTTCGATACCGGCAGTGGAGACTATGAGAAAGACTTACAGGCAATTACTGAGGCTATTGGCGTTGCTCGTGGTGCCTTTGACCGTCAGCTAGTTAAAGTGTCTGAGGTCCTTCCAGGTGACGATGTCCAAACCGAGGAAGAGATCCATGATTATATCAAGAACACCGCGTGGGGTCACCACGCGTCATGCACGTGTCCTATCGGAACAGATAGTGATCCTATGGCTGTGCTTGATTCGAATTTCCAGGTCCGGGGTGTCACAGGGCTTCGTGTCGTCGATGCCTCAGTGTATCCTCGTATCCCAGGAACTTTCACCGCCGTCTCGACTTACATGGTGGCTGAGAAGGCGGCCGATGTGATTCTGGATGCAGTTAAAGCAAGTGCGTGAGATAGGACGAGAGGGATGGATTCTTTTGGGTTCTATCATTTGTACATAGAATATAATCAAGTTTTGCCAACCAGAAGTATCTGGTAATTATCTGAGCATCTATCCACGTTAACATAACTGTACCAAGTTGAGAGGGTACTGACCTGGTGCGGTTGTGGGTTACACATATTATCAAATCGAATTAGCTATTTTCTCATTTCACATTCAAGGCTTTTCCAGGCCCCAGACATCAAGCTGATCCTGCTCATGCCGATATTCACTGACAAACTTGAACCCACACTTTTTCAGCACCCCGGAGCTTCCAATATTCTGCGTCTCACAAAGTGCGAAGACCTTCTCCTGCTCCCCTGGTTGTGAATCCCCTTCATTGCTCCTTCTTGGGAGATCCCACCACATTTTCAACAACATGTTTAGTGCTTCCGTCATATATCCCTTGCCCCAAGACTCGGGGAGCAACGCATACCCAATCTCAGGAAATGGGTCTACGGCGTTGATACTCACAGAACCAATTAGTTGCTCCTGTGGCTCTGGAATAGACTTATCCAAGATGGCATAATGAAATGAGCGGCCAATGACATCGGCTGGGCCCTGGGTGAATACCTTCGTCGACATCCATTGACAAGTTTCTTCAATAGATTTCAAAGGTGTTTTAGGATGGCTACTTCAGTTAGCCTGAAAATTTGGTTGAATTGAGTCCTAAAATAATATTAAAACATACTTCATCTGCGCAACTTCCCATCGGGAACGAACTGCGAACAATGCGGGGGCATCAGAGTCGGTGACTGGACGGAGGCGGAGTCGATCGCTTTCAATTGAGGGTCCCGGTGATGGGACAATCACACGAACCGGTTGCTCAGGTAGAGTGTCCATGTTTGGTATGTATTTTACTTGAATAAATTGAAGAGAAAAGAAAAGAGAAAGAGAAAGAAACGCGAAGGTCAAGATGTAGACAAGGAAGCGGATACCAAGTTGAAGCGGGAACATCTGATTGGCCAGAAAGCCCCGTATGGCTAGGCAAGTCTCGGACCCCGATTGAATCATCGTTGGACGACTTTGTTTTGAATATAATAGATATTGGGAGGGTAGATAGAATGATCGAAATGGCTGGTTGATACGGGTGAGTGATTTCGGAGAAGAGCAGAAACTAAAGCCCCTTGGGCGCAATGGAAGACATGCCCTGGACCAGGCATTTCAACCCGTCTGTCTAAACCTACAAATACATAGGACTCAGGGATTTAGGATAGTCTGCAAGATGACTCACTAGGTTTTGCGCACTTGCTTGTATAATTACACTTGGAAGGTAGTTAGAGCAAATCGACATGCCAATAAGTCGGGATCAAAAGTAAGAGAAGTTAAGCTTGGATCGACCGCACTCTTCTAATTAACTTGGTGACGGCCAATTGTGGACATCTTGGCTTCTCAAACTCTGACATTTCCCAATCCAGGGTATTGACTGGACAATCCGCCGTGCCATGATCCTGGCTTGTGTGGCCTAGGGCATGGCATTGGTCACAATAGAGAAGTACAATCGGCCACTTTGAATTGAGTTTCGCAGTCAAGACAATATAGTTTCTTCCGTGTTACTCTATGGTGGCTGGGTTTCTCCAATCATTTTGCTATAAGGCGAATTAAAGGTTTTGTTCACGGTAGGTTGCTAACTGCGTAAGAGACTTTCATGCCGCCCTTGATGCTAGGTAGTAGGTATATACCTAGATGTAATTCCCCTAAAACTCGTCAGTAATGCGAGCCACTCGGCGGTCGGAGTGTCCCGAAATGTACCGTCGTCTTTGGCTTCGTATGCTCTTTTGCTCCTGTATTGACCATCCCCATTCTTGTCAAGTCTTCATAACGAAAATAATTCTCACGAAATCATTATGGAAGTATTCCCTCGTTATCAAGACCTTTGCCTATCCCGCGGTTGACATACATTCGGCGGCGTTGATTGGTCGGTGCCTTATCTTCTCCGCGTCACGGGGTTGACCCCACAGTTTATGTATCCGTCATGATTCCACACTCTTTTCGTATCATTCTTGCTTCTTTCATACGAGACACAGTACTAAGACGTGACCATGGAACACCGCAAACGCGCGGCCCGAGCGTACGTGATGATGATGCTTTCACAAATGACAAGGCTGTCTAACATAACTCAGGTGCGATGAGTGCCGGAGGCTGAAGGAGAAGTGTGAAGGTGGAGCGCCTTGCAGGAGGTGCTCTCATTTTCAGAGAGTATGTGCATTTAAAGGTCTCGTGCCGAAGAATCGCGAGTTCCGTCCTTACATTCCGAGGTAAGATGCCATCACCTTCTACCACCGGGCCTATCTAACAATGATTAGAGACAGAGCTGGGAGATCTGAATATTCAGAATTAATCGAGCGTTCAAGGTATATGGAGCGTATTCTAAAGCGCACGATCGAAGGGATCTCTTTCGATACGAAGAGTCTGGGGAAATTGGCAGAAGCGCTTGACGCCGATTACCATGATAAAGGCGCAATTTCCTCCGACCCTAAAGATGTCGAGGGATTGGGTATAGACGATGAGGCTTGCACAATGGAACCCGTTGGTGATACCACAACCCGTTCGTTAATCAATCTCGATTTTTAAGGTTGGATGCAAGCTAACTGACTTCAGATTTTTCCGGGGAATTCTCATATTGGAACTTCTCCATGCGCATTAAAAGCCACATACAAAGCCAAATAAAGGAGCCAGATACCCGAGTATGGATTTTATTTTAACCGTCACTATATCTCGTTGGCTGATACAGAAAGCACTTGCAGGATCCTGATCATGCCTCGAACTTTCCACGCGCCCATCACTTACGCCCCTCAAATAATCACCTATCGGCGGCAATCGCATCTTTCCCTCCACCATACATTGCAAATTTTTTGGTGAAAACATTCTTCAAGTACTCAGAGACCCACTACTTTTTAGTGCAGGAGTCATGGGTCCTCTCAAAAGTCGACCTATTATACAATAACCCAGACAGCATTTCCCACAAAGGAGCAGAAGTCACCGTTGCCATTGTTTTATCGGTTTTTGCTATTGGAACACAATACGCGCATCTTGAATCCCTCGGGCAAGCGTCGACGAGCGCGTCGGGATCAACATTTTCAGAAGATGACGTTGGCGCTACATTCTATCAACACGCTATCCGCCTACTACCTGAGATCATCGAGATCGCCTCACTCGAAAGTGTACAGGCTTGCTTACTGTTTGGCTATTATGCGCTGCCTGTTGATGCGTCTGGATTAGGATTCATATATATCAACCTTGCCATGCGCCTTGGAATGCAGAATGGTATGCATCGGAAATGCAAAAACGATGCCTTTACCCGCTCCATGGTTGAAACTCGCAATCGGGTTTGGTGGACGGCGTATGTATTGGAGAGGTACAGTTTGTTTACATGCAAGATATGCACAGTTTTCGCTAATGTCAATCCAGAAAGATATCTATCTTTCACGGTCGACCTCTTTCGGTACTTCGCTCGGATGTGGATGCAAATATTCCTCTCTATCAAGCAATTTTCCAGCCACAAGACTGCCCAGAAAGCATCACTCGAGCAGAGATCTCAATTCAATTAGTCCATTTCCTTGAAGACACCTTCCATGAGATGTGAGATATTGATCGTCCCCTCCTTGTTACTTGTTAGCACCTCGGGGCTAACAAATAATAGCAACCTCCTGCGAAATTGCCAAAAACAAGAGATATCCAAGATTGTCTCTCGCTTGATAACAACAAAAAGCGCTCTGACAAATTGGTGGGACTCTCTTCCAAATGATGTCGTGACCGTACGAGCCCAGCAACCCGAACATATTCGCTCCGCGATGCACCTGAAACTAGAATACTGTCTAGTGCGAATGTTCGTCGGCAGACCATTCCTCCTCAAACAAGAAAACCCACACTCCAACACAAGCTCACCAGCCCATTCCGACGCAATCGAGAATCAGTCCCGGTCAACCGATGGTGGATCCCAGAAATCCATAACAGGTCGAAATGACCTGATCCATGACTGCATCCAAGCAGCCACGGAAGCATTGGATATCTGTCAAATATTGCGAGATAGCGGGCTAGGCCTTGCGCGAGCCTCGTACATCGAGTACAGTTCGTGCCGGGCCTCGCTGCTCGTGTTAATTGCCTACTCGATCCAGAATTTCTCCGAACAATTCCGCAAGTCGTTATATGAAGGCTTGGAAATGATCCGGGAAATGTCTGCTGCTGGTGAATCTGCTCGGTCGGAGGTGTCGTTGATCGAGTCGCTGGAACGTGCTCTTGCTCGGCTGCATACTGGAGCGCAAAATGCTCGTCAGGGCGAAAGTCAGCAGAATACAATGTCTGATTACGAAGCTTTCAAGAACTGGGGAGCACATTTGGCAGAGAAAGGAAAACCCGGTTACTCTGGGTCAGCTCCGGACTCTTCTTCTGGTCACGTTTCAACGGCGGCTTTACAAATTGGTGATATTGCTGCCTTTAGCAACCACCAGGACTGCATGCCTGAAGCTGACAATGACCTGTTCAATGCCTTTGATCCTATGATTCAAATGTCTATATTCGGCACCGAGAATCTATCACCATCTGCTGGATGGCCAACCTACACCGAGGCGCAAGTGTTAGAGCATTTTCTAACCAATCCACACTATGGAACAGGTTGAGAAACAGGACGTGAAAGAGACTATGCCCTCATGAGTTATGATTGATACTTCTGTCGATTTTGCAACCATATATCCCCGTTTGAGTCTACCATGTACAATATATTGAAAATAAATACAATCAAACCGAAGCAGCCACAATCCTCTCAGCCATATCCGGTAACGTATCCGCCATAACCTCCAACTTAGTATCAAAGATCTCCTCACAAGATTCCTTCTCATATATCGTACAATACGCACCCCGGAACCCAACCTTAACCGCAGCCGACACATCCCACATATGCGCAGCGGCGAACCACTTGACATCATCATCCGCAAACTTCGCCAGAGCAGGCCGATACGCCGCCAAAGCTGGTTTCGCTAGTCCCTGCGTATCACAGCTAATAAAGTTCTCAAGCGGCATATCAACACCAGCACGCTCGAAGTACCCGCGGACACGCTTCGTATCGCCGGTCGTCAGACACCAAACGGTGAAACCGGCATCTCTCAATTTGGCGAAACAATCGCTTGTTCCGGATCGGAGCTCCAGCTCTGAATATCCCTGCACGCACTGGTCGCGTTCTGCGTCTGTCGCAAAGGTCCTTGGGGACTCGATTCCGCACATGTATAGAGAGCGGTAGAAGAGGGCCGTGATAATGTCTTTGTAGGGCCGGTAGCGCTCTGAGATTGAGAGGAAGGTGAATTCGAGCTCGGCGGCTGTCATCCAGGCAAAGCCGAAGGAGCGGGCGGTGATGTTTTTTGCGAGGAGTTTTTCGCCGATGACGCGGTTGATACAGTTGTAGAATGCATCGAAGGAGACACAAGTGCCAACGACGTCGAAAACAACGTGTTTTTGGTTCGTCATGGTGGGAAGGGGTATTCGCGGGGAGGAGGGGTTGCGATCTTGTGGGCAACAGTGAGGAAGGGCTGGATATTAGATCGATAATAGACCTGGGAAAGGTAGTGAGTCAATTGGCTTCCGGTTATAAACTCGTCAGATGTGTCAATTGATCCATTGATCAATTGATATCTTCTTATCGCAAATCTCCCCGCACCGGCTTGAGTTCCATGGCTCACTCGACTAGCGTACTATTCCTGATCGGGTAGGCCCGGCCCGGTACATCCTCATTGGACCACTCTAAGGTGTATCACTAAGGTGTATCACTCTAAGGTGTATCTTGATATGCAACCATGTCTGGCCGTGACACACTAGCACGATATCCTATCTCGACGTCCGTTTCGATGTCGCTTCCATTTACACTGTAGCGACTACAGAGATAGACAAGATAAGGCTTCTGGTCATTTAGATTCATTTGTCCTCCATAGGAGGAAATAGGAAACGAGATAGTAAGGTTATAATGTAGAATGCATATTTAGAAAGGATGGTAAAGAATATCGATTCACTACAGAACACTGATAGTACAACAATTCAAGACCACAAGATATTAAGCCTGTTGAGACCCCGCTTCGGCTTGGGCTCCGGCTCAGGGTTATTCTGGTAGCTTTCGATGAAAGGGCGAATAGGGATTTCCGCCAGCGGAATGATCTTGGTCTTCATCCAGAACTTGTAGGCAAAGTATACAATCACGATAAAGGGAAGGTTGAAGTATGATGAGATGAACGTCTCCGTGCTCCAACGCCCGTTCATAAAGGTAGTAAAACCTCCTGTAAGGAAAAGAAGAATGAACACGACCAAAGAAACCCAAGTCGTGTAGGGCTGGAATGGTGCAGCCCACGGAAGCTCCGTGTGGCGGTCGATTCCCTGCTTCTTGCATCCGTAGAGGAATCGCAGATAGACAACACAAATGCAGATCCAGTTGACCAAGGTGGAAATCGAGACGAGGTCTTGCAGCCATGTAAAGACATTGCTTGCTGAGCTGGACAGAGTCATGTATCCCAGAGCCATGAATAAGCCATAAAGAGAGACGGCGACGTAAGGGATGCCGAAGCGGTTGATACGCTTGAAAACGGCGGGGGCATGACCTTGAGATGCCATTCCATAGAGAATACGAGATCCACCAAGCATGTTGGAGTTACCCGAGGACCATGCTGAGGTGAGGACGACGGCGTTGATAATGGAGGGCACAACCTTGATACCGGCATCGCGAGCGGCAATCACAAATGGTGATTGGGCAGCAGTGCCTGTTGAGCCGAGCAGAGCATCATTAGTCGATGCGACGACCAGGCCGACCATGAAGATGGTGATCACGTAGAAGAGCAAAATCCGGATAAAGATGCGTCTGGCAGCCATGGGAATAGCCTGGCGAGGACAACGGGTTTCGGCAGCTGCGACAGTGATATTTTCGATTCCGGAATAGGCGTATAAAGCGTTGTCAAATGTTTTCCAGAATCCCAGGAATCTACCCAGCGCACCAGGAAGCCCTAAGTACTGCACCATAGGTCCATACGGTGCTTTCCAGTAGGCGAAGCCAATGGATTTGTGGTTTGGGGCTCCACCGCATGTAATCACCAGAGCCATGATGTTGATTCCAATTATGAGCATGATTTTCAAAATGGAAAACCCGAACTCCAGTTCTCCATATACTCGGACGAATATCAAAGCGGTACTCAGCATCAACAAACCAAAGACGGTGATCCAAATGGCGTTGTTGATAGTTGTCCAAAATTCGATAATAACGGCGGCGGCAACAATTTCAGAGGGAATCGAGACAATGTAGGAATAAACTTGGTTCCATCCATTGGCGAACGCTAGAGCAGGATCACAGAAGATTTCCGCATATCGAATCACACCACCATTGAGAGGGGGCCAAGGCACCCATTTCTCCAACACCCCATACGACACTCGAGACAGTGAGGCCAATGACGGTGTATGCAAGAAATGCACCCAGCGGGCCAGCATAGACAATTGCTCGTCCTGAACTGAGAAAGAGACCCGTGCCAACCGTGCCAGCGAGGGCAATCATCTGAATATGGCGCTGGTGCAGACCCTGCTTGAACTCTTTGGTCTCCTCCAACTGGCCAGCAGCATTCTCCACATCTTGTGGTTTTCCCATTTCGGTCTCGTGGTTGGAGATTTTCTTTTCAGAGGGAGTTAAGGCATCGATGCCATTATCGTTCCCAAATGTATAGATCGTAGAAGGTGACATACTTGATGAACGGAAATCAAGTTGAAAAAGATTAAATACCGAACATTAGGAGCCACACGTCAATTTTTGTACTTTTAGGCATGCTTCCGTTTCTACCCTGCACGGACCATAACCTTTAGAAGCTTATCAAGAGCTTATTTGAAATTGGCAGGATATCGTTGGTAGATGGAACCGGATCAATACCGGCATTATCGATAATGAAGTCTTAGCCCCAAACGAGAGAGTTAAAAAATGTAAAAAAGATTTCAAGCGCTGAGGGCGCGTGTGGTCCTCAATTGCGGAGATGGCCATCAGTGGATCCCGGTGAGTTGCCCTTTCGGGGAATATCGGCCCGGACTTATCTTATCAGTCCTGCAGGTCCGGTCACCGGCATAAACTCTATCTTCTATAAGACAACTATAGCGAGCTTCTTTCACCATATACTCACCATGGCTATCTCAAACGGAACCACCGCTCCCACTGCCGGCACGTCCAAGTGTCTCCCGACCCATATCCCTGGCGAATGTTTCTGGCAAACAGCTCGTGATGACCTCAGTGACCATCGGTCGACTGAACAGCTACCCGAACACAGTGACATCGTGATCATTGGTGCAGGATATGCAGGTGTGAGTGCAGCGTACCATCTTGTCAAGGATGGGGACGCATCCAAGTCTATCGCGATACTGGAAGCTCGGGGTGCGTGTTCGGGGGCAACTGGCCGCAACGGTGGCCACTGCAGACCTGATTTCTATGGCCACATCCCCACGTATATGGACCGGGCAGGTGATAGAGCAGGAGCAGAAATTGCCGAGTTTGAGATTGCCAATCTTCGTGCTCTGAAGAAGATCATCGAGCAAGAAAAGATTGATTGTGATTTTACTCTTGCGCGGTCAGTCGATGTGTGGTGTAACGCGGAGTCTGCCAAGAAAGCCAAGGTCGTCTATGATAGGATGGTCGCTGCAGACTTTGAGTACATGGAAGATGCTGTTTTCTATACCGGCGAGCAAGTCGAAGGGGTATGTGATTTTGTCATAGCTCCACTAAAAATAAACTAACATCCCCTAGATCTGCGGCGTCAAGGGTGCCAAGGCCTGCGCAAGCTTCACTGCTGGCACAATGTGGCCTTTTAAATTCATCATGCACCTCGTCAAGGACCTTCTTGCAGCAGGAGTGAACTTACAAACACATACCCCCGTCACCTCTATAACCTCGGACCCACAAGGCGGCTTCATTGTGGAGACACCCAGAGGCAAGATGCATGCAGGAAATGTGATTCACGCCAACAACGCCTATGTTTCAGGGCTGCTCCCAGAATACGCTAAGAATATCATTCCCTGCAAGGGGATTTGCTGTCGCATCACCGTCCCCGAAGGAGTCACACCGCCACTCCTCAACAACTCATATATCAACCGAGCGGAAGACAACACGCTCTCGTATTTCGTCCCTCGAGCCGATGGCAGCATCATTGTGGGTGGCGCTGCGAACGTGTTCCGCCCGCACAAGAGCCAATGGTATGACAACGTGGACGATAGTGTCCTGATTGATTCCGCGAAAGACTACTATGACAACTACATGCAACGCACGTATCGCGGTTGGGAGGAGACTGGAGCTAAGATTGACAAGATCTGGACTGGTGTCATGGGCTATTCATACGATTCTAATCCTCATATTGGACATGTTCCACAAAAGGATGGTCAGTTCATTCTGGCTGGCTTTAACGGTCATGGTATGCCGGTGATTTGGCTGGCGGCGAAGGAACTTGCCAAGATGGTTTCTAAGGGCGTTTCTTTTGAGGATACTACCATGCCTCGCCTATTCCAGACCAGTCAGTTCCGTATTGATCGTGCACAGGCTGGGAGGGAGGAAGATGGTGATATTATTGGTACTGGTAGCTTTGCTGCGACTAGGCCTTGAGATGTGAAACCGTGAACATGTAATTTATGACCCACATAGAACCTTTTCTTTTTCTTTTTTTTCTACCCCTGAGATTGTTGAGATTGATTCATGGTCCGAATCATGTCGAGAATGCAAGGCTGTCCAGAAGAAAACTACAACAGGGGTCATAAATATGTGCACAGTGCCATGAAGTGAAGGACAGTTTACACGAAAGCCTTGAAGCGAGTACACCATTTCATGCATTCTTTTTGCCCTACTTTGGCCTCTCTTTCTTAACTTCTTTTTTATCCATTTTAAAGTGCCTCGGGTTAATCATATAGATTATATAAAGGTGGCAGTGTGAAAGGACTTATGACCCCTGTTGTGTAATATTATCGCAATAAATATTCTACGTCGAGAGCGCAATTTATGCCGTGGAAGTAAACTAGTAAGGCCAAGAAGAGCCTGCTGTCCTAGGCACATCGCAACAATCATCCATTTGCTAATGCTGTGCAGACACTAAGGACAACAAGCATGTCAAATGTACCACGCCTAGAGGCATATAAAAGCCCCACACCCCACCTACAATGTACAACAGCATGCACAACGATCATGATGAAAATGCTCGCCAAGTTATTCACTCGAGTTGTTCAAATTCGACCGTAAAACGGATGATCGGCCTTTAAGTGACACATCAAATGCAACCGAAAATTCCAATTCCAACCAAGCCAACAGTGACCCCTTCAATAAAGGGAAAGGGCTAGCCTCGCCGAGCATCTCAACCCTCAACAAACAAGAAGCTTTTTCCACCTTCCAGGTGAGGTCCGAAGGCTGATCTACATCAAGATCATGGGTAATCGGCGCATCCAAATTGAGCGAGAGTGGGAATTCGTATCGCCGTCGCAGCCAGATCTGAAGAAGAGGTGCTGGAAATTGTGGCATAGTGTTTGTCAGGAGAGTGACTTTTTCATTGATGGCATGCACTATGACCGGTGTCTGGAGATGGAGAAAGCGTCTGCGCCGGTGGTGACAAACTTGAGGGTGTGGAGTGGCTGAGAACTTGTGGGACTGCGTAAGTCGTGGTTAAATTGAAGTCTGTGGAGGACTCGTATTGATTCCCAGTTATGAAAACATATCACCAGTCCTATACGGAACAAATATCTTTGTTTCGAAAGACGGCTGCATCACACCATTTCTTATGTCCGACTCTTTATTTCCTACCACCATATCTCACATTACATCTATGAATCTCTCGTTTAGTTACTGGTGTGTATCGAATGGGCAAAGGTTATGTAACCCGCGAGATTCGTTAAACGGACTGGCCTCCATGTGGGACTTCTTTGCTATATTGGAGAATAGGTTCTACAACGTTCAGCGGTTGCGCTCAACAATGCATACTCCACCCTTGGCGGATGTTACAATGAAAATGCTTGCGTAAAGTCACTGGCTAGATGAGGTGCTTGAATCACTTGGAAAGCTTGCGAGGAGTCGAGATTAGACTCGGCTGCAGCTGTATGTTCCATTTGACTGGATCCCTTGTCTAGAGGCCAGGGCTGAAAAGCAAAGAACATGGGAGTTGATGATGACAGACTGGCCTTCTCCCTGGACCTGGGGCGGATGTCTATGAAAAGGTGATTTTTGTCCTTGGTATGATTTATGGTTAGCTGATCTTAGAGTGCTAGGTAATACTATCTAATAGATTCCCTTGTGAGAATCGGCAAACTATTGTTGTCTTTAAAATCATTAGTAATTTCAAAAATAAGATAACTTCTCAGTCGAAAGTGACTTAAAATATACGTTATACTACTCGCTAATGTTCTCTTCGGACTGAAATGATCATAAGTTATCCGAACTTCAAAATCGCCACAATCTGCAACACGACTTCATCATGTTAATTGAAATCAATCAGTACTCTCACAGTGTTTTGTACTTAGGAGCAGCTAGCACCGCTAGGAACATTCTCGCAGCTGTACGTCTTGCCACCAGTAACAGTCACATCAGACCAGGTCCAGTCGGAGCAAGATCCGTCACCGCATTCAATTACAATGTTATATCCGTCGGAGTCGACAGCATCAGTTCCGGTGATATTCTCAATAGTGAGATCAGTGATAGGGATACCGGTGGAAGGGGTGCCGCCGTCGAGGTCACCACCATCATAGTTCTGCTCGATGAGAATTCCGTAGCTGCGAGTTACCATTAGCGTTTGTAATGATGAACAAGAATTTTTGTAGAGCTTACTCGGAAATGGAGCTCAGGGTGATGTCGCTGTATGTCACACTCTTGATTGTTCCGGTCTCATCTTCAATAGCCTTGATGCGAATACCTAGAATTCAGGTGTTAGTCAGGAAATTTTCAAGGTTCAATAGGTGACTTTTTCTCTTACCGTTAACAGAGTTCTTGACTGTAGATCCCTTGAAGGTGACAGTCTCAACGGTGTTGTCCGATCTTCCACCGACAGATCCAATGGAAAGACCGTGGCCACCAGAGCAAACACCGTTCTCGAAAGTGATATCCTAGTAGAGATTTAGCTCCAGAACTGGTCATAAGGTTTAGAATTATTTTGAGCACATACGGTACCAGAGTTGACTGCAACACAGTCGTCTTGGTTGTAGACAGTGGCACCGGAGATGACTACATTGCTGCTAGAGCCAATATCGAAGCCGTCGGTGTTGTGACCGCCAGCGGAGTCACCAGCCTCATTGTTGATGGTCATATCAGTGATAGTCAATCCATCACATCCGTTGATGCTGACCGCCTGAACGGGAGTGTTCTCAATATAGAGATCGGTAATGGTGGACGAGCTAAGATCGTGGGCGTAGAAGAACTTGGGCTTCGTCACACCACCGTTGCTTCCCTCTCCGTCCCACCAGCGGGATCCGTCGGGGTTCAGCTTGGCGCCACTGGCACCCTGGATGTTGATTCCAGTGCCCTTGATTTGGAGGAGAGGACCATCCCATTCCTCGTATCCCCAAGTTGTCTCGCCCTCGAAGATAACCTATCATCATGTAGTTAGAATTAAGATTCGAAAAAAAGGAAGTATGCGTGAATGGTCATTCTCACAGTAGTCTCATCCTCTAGATCACTGAGATCGAGGGTTGTTCCGGAAGGCACAGCAACATCCGAGAGGACAATAGTTGAGCATGACTTTTGAGACTTGCTCGCACTCGCGGCACCAGTGGATCCAGAGAAGGTGCAGCTGCTAGCCCTTTTGGCAAGGCTTGGAGCCTCAGTAATGGCGGGCTCGGCGACTGGTGATGCTATAGCGGACACTGCCCACGTAGCAAGCGCAAGGGACCCGAGAATTCTGGACATTGTGGTGCTTTTTTCTGGGAGTACTGCGAGCTGTAGTCCTTGGATTTCTGCCCTGGTGTTGGGATTTCCATTGCTTTATAACACGTTTTTGGTATATGGCCTCTAGTCTAGACCATCCCTCATCTAATAATAAGGAGTGTTTTAGTATAAGCAATAACATATGTTTTATCCTCCAATTGATGGAGTTATCTTCTCTCTCTATGTCTTCTCATTGGTGCTCAATGACACTGTATAAGTTGAGGATAATTTCAAGCATCAGGGGCGTCATATTTTAGCCTATCCGGAGGATCTTTGTGAGGAAATAAACTAAGAACAGCCAATGGGAGGAATGTCTCCGCTGAGGGTCAAACGTTCGATGTTTCTTGTCTCGTGGCTAAGCAGTGCCACAATGCTTCGACATATGCGAGAGCTTCCAATTCGCTGAACTATTCGATAACCACTTCCGCGAACTACTCACATGGATGACCTACCTCGTGTATTTATGCGCTAAACCCGGGATTTATTTTTCCTACAAATTGTTTAGCAAAGCCCTAAGTACAAACTAAAGCGACAACTCACCCCAGCGCCACATTTCAACCTAGCTAATAAACGACCTCTGTGTACTACTACACCCCCCCCCGCATGAACGCGTCACACAGGCTAACCCCTGTCTCCTTGACGTTTAATATTCCGCCGCGTCATACATCCACATAAAACTAATTGCATGAAGTTATTCCTTAATCGAAGTGATTTGGAGCCATGAACCTAATGATACTAGCGAAATAACCCGTGGTGCGGTGGACAACTGTGTTGTCTCCCAATAGCTCGTCAATACTCCGAAACCGTAGCAGAAAGATGGGTAAACTCTCTCCTGAAAACAAGCGAATATAAATTAATTGCCGATCGGTAAGTAAGCTAATTAATATTGCACGAAGCCTGTCAAATCGCCGGGTAAGTGTGCCGTTTGCTACTTTGCACGGATTCCACGAAGCCGGATGTTTCCACCTTTGGGAACCAGACTCTAACGGAGGATACTGTATCCGCATATCATCTTGTCTGTAAACATCGTTAGTGCATCTGATAATTTACATGCATTCTTTTCACTTCATTATGCGAAAAGATTAAGTTAACTTTAGTTAACGTTAGATTTTTGTTGAGTTTGATGCCTGGCGCTTCAGGCCTCCATGTTTTGAACAAGCATAAAGTTAGATTCCTTTTCATCGTAGAAATTTCTCGTCCGTTTCTTATTCTTCTGACAGTCCACAAAGCCTTGCCATGTTTAATATCTCAAGCAGAATATACAGGATCTAGGCGGTTCATTTCTCTGCAGGGGCCGTCTTCGGGCGACATCCGGTACATCTCCCGCCAGGCGAAGGAAGTCAGTGGCACGAACGGGAGAATTTCTTCTTTCTCCCGATCTCAACTGCTTCAATCCTTAATCCAGCAATCCCCTTGTTGATCAGCACGCTATGTTTGGCAGGCAAAGCGTCGAACTGGGCCTGCCGGAAACGCTCCGACAGCTCCTTCGCTCCGACAATTTCTCCCCATGCACTCAAGCCTCGTACAGCGCAGGTCCGGTGTTTTGGAGCTCGAGCCTTCGCAAATCTACAGGCAATATTCTCGTGCTCGGCTTCGGGCTCTTCGACATTAAGCATGATCAGAACAAGAAAACTCTGTCGCAGATCGGAGCGATATTAACCGTGCCGTCAACGTGAAACAACAACAGCTCTAGAGTACTCCAGTGCAATTAAATCCGCCGATCACTTGCACATTCGAGCAGTGACTCCCTACAGAACTGTCTCGTGGTTTCCTGGCTCCTGCAGAGTTTAAACACGGAAATTTAAATACATGCTGGATGTTTTCCTAGTGCAAGCGCCCGAGATTAAATCTCTCGAATTGTGCATTTGACACATCTGCTGTCGCGTTCGTTCAAAATGCGTTCTCTCTTTTCTATACTTTGTCTCTCCGCTGCTGTGACCGCTACCTTTGTCCACCCCGGTGCGCTGCATACCACAGAGGATTTCGAGCGCATCCGGACTCATGTGGCTAATGCGGATGAGCCTTGGAATTCGACATGGACCTTGTTGGCTTCCAGCTCGTATGCACAATCATCCTACACGCCCACTCCAAAAGAAACTGTCTATCGCGGGTACAATGGGGTGGACTCTGAGAACTATCCGTCTCTCTATCGGGATACCGCAGCTGCATATCAACTCGCGATTCGCTGGCTAGTCACCAAAGACACGAGCTACGCTGATGCTGCAGTCAATATCCTTAGCTCGTGGGCCGCATCACTCACAGATATTGAAGGTACCAGCGATAAGTTTCTGGCTTCCGGGTTGTATGGATACCAGATGGCCAATGCAGCCGAGCTCATGCGCGACTATTCCGGCTGGGCGAGCGATAACAAAACCCTGACAGGGACTATGTTGACCAATGTCTTTGCATCAATGAATACTCGGTTCTTGGAAGAACACAATGGGCAAGACTATTACCACTACTATGCCAACTGGGACCTGTGCAACCTAGCGTCCCTTCTAGCCATTGGCATCTTCACTGATAATCAAACCATGTTCGATTATGCTGTCAACTACGTCCGCACAGGGCCATCCAACGGGGCTCTGCCTGTATTTGCTATCGCCAATTACACCGAGTCTGGCTCCGGCAAGATCTTGACCCAGGGTCAGGAAGCTGGTCGGGACCAAGGCCATGCTACACTGGATATGATGCTTTGGGGTGTGATTGCCCAGCAGGCGTATAACCAGGGCATCGATCTGTTTGCCGAGTACGAAAACGAGATTCTGAATTCGTGAGCGCAACTGCACCTGAACTTATTATGCCTTTATCTAACCATATTTCCCAGCGCCGAATACGCCGCCAAATACAATGTCGGCTCCGACGTTCCCTACACACTATACCAGAGCTACCAGGGAAACCAGACTGTTATCTCGAACGCTTCACGTGGAAATATTCGTCCTGGATTTGAACTTCTTTCGGCTCACTATGGGCAGTTGAAAGGACTCAACTCTTCGTGGACCGACGCCTATCGCGACATGGTGAACTCAAACTCCACGAGTGGTATTGAGGGCGGTGGTGGAAACTATGGCTCTAGCTCAGGGGGATTCGATGGTCTCGGCTTTGGAACTCTTCTCTATCGAATTTAGTATGCGGACCGCTCTATTCTATGACTGTTCTTGGTTTTTGCTGTGCAGGATTCCTTTAAATAACAAAAAAAAAAAAAAAAAAAAAATCTCCTGGGTCTTCTGGCCTTACATTTTATTTTATTTTTATTTTTTTGACGTTCGTGTCATGATTTTCTTGAGTTGTCATGGCGGTACTTGGGTGACTAGATGCATATGACAAGGTAGTGGAGAATGAATAAGTTACTCTTACGTTAGTAGGTAGAAGTAATTTCATTGTCATAAGTTCGCTATAGAGTGACGCGATTGTCGCTTCAGGAACCTGCCCCTACATCATTTCCTCATCCATGTCGTGATTTCTGCTGCTTGTGTTGGTCTCTTCATCCTAACCCAGGTCATTCTCGTGATTCGGAATCGGTCCAGAGCCGAAGAATTGGGTAGGATCTTCTATAATTTGATATTACAGGGCCCCACAGGCCAAGATAATTCGAACTACTGCTATATATATACCAGTGGAAGATGTGTTAGGTTTAATACCCTTGGAATTTGGTTGCTGGGTATCCTCTTATGGGCTTGAGGATTATTTGCGTTGGAATAGAGGTATACTGAAATATATACCCAAGGCCTTGCTCGGTGCTACCAACATATCTCATCATATATTCAATTACACGAGTCTAGAATAAATGATTGAGACTGAAAGAATCCCTGATCGGCTGGTAGGTTACTTATGAGGAGCTTATATTCATGAAGACGCTTTATGTCCCCTGGTGCGTGCAAGACGAAAGCTGGTGCCAGATTAATCAGGCCTAAAATTGTGTTGGTGAGGTCTCCAGTAATGAACGCTAAATTTGGGGCCCTCATCATAACCATCCGGCGGTCGTCTAGTTGGTTTATGGCGTCAGACTGTAATTGACCATTGTAATCTGAATGTCGCCGGTTCGACTCCGGCCCACCGGAATTTTTTTGTTTTTCTTTTTTATTTCAAACCGTTCCATTATTCGGTAACCTATCATTGGTTGACCGTGCCCCACATCCAGATGACTTCTAAGGTTCGCTCAGGCCTTCGTAAAGGGCACACCATGATTGTATAGAGTGATGCGCCCGAATTGTCTGAAGTGATTCGATATATTCAGATTCTGTTTTCCATGTGTGAAATTATATGCCACTAGAAGCTGCGTAAATGAGAGACTCTGACTACCCACGCACTCAGCTTCGGAGGAAACGAATCAAAGCTCTAGCCCACCGATATGCTTGAACATAGTGTTCATATCCTTTAGACTCCGAAAGGGCAGACAAGCTTACACCATACTGAGTACCAAAAATGATCCCTCTATTTACATGTAAGACTGGCTCTCCCATGTATGACACGACACCAGTAAACTAACAGAGGGGGAGAACGCCAGTCAGCACGTGGCCAATACAGAGTGCAGTTACCAACAGGAACAGGGATGGCACAGACTCGTGTTACCACCATTTGTTCTTGTCGCAAGGTGGTACCACCTTTGCTCTTCCAACGTCTCCGAAAGATCTGGAGCTGACCGCAGTTCCCTCCCCCCAGAATATCCATATTCCAGAGTTACCATCTGTACCGTTAGCATGACTGTCAGTAGCAACTGGGAGCAATGTGAGGCAAGAGAGGGTATTATCGAGAGACCCAACGGAGGGGGATTATTTGTATTTACCAGGGGCGCACCGAGACAGCCCAAGCACCCGGTCGTCATCTTTGAGGCTGGACTCGGAGAAACTGGCGCCTGCTGGGCAGCGGTGCAACGGTTGTTGGATCCTCGTATCCGCAGCTACGCTTATGATCGTGCTGGGTATGGACATAGCCCAGAGTCTAAAGCACCGCGCAGCGCAGTCAACGTGGCCACTGAGCTACTTCATACTCTCCAAGCCGCCGATATCAGCCCGCCATACATCCTGGTCGGCCACTCCTATGGAGGCATCCTCATACGTGAATTTCTCGCCGCCGCAGGTGCAGGCGCGATAGCCGGAATGGTGTTTGTCGACGCCAACCAGGAAAATACACATCCTCAGCTTCGCATTCCGTTCCATATCATTCGAGCGCTATGTGGTGAACGAGACTATTTAGATGTCATCGGGCTACTACACGAGAATGCCTATACCCAGGAAGAGCTGGGTCGTATCCGAATAGATGAAGGTCTCCCAACCACGGCGCGTACATTTGAGAAAGAGGGGGCGCTCTTGCTTGAAAGCTCTGCCGCGTTGAGAGAAAAGCACCAGTTGGAGGCATGTCCGCTGGGAATGCGCCCTGTCAGCGTGATTCGAGGCGACTCACGTCGCGACCTTGAACGTCTGGTAATGGCAGCCCAAGAAAGTGGCAGCGGTAGTCAAGAGAATTTGGACGAAATGAACGAGTTTCTCACAAATCGGCTTGACATTTTCGATCGTGATCTGCAGATGCAGCAGTTGCGCTTGTCGGGGAATAGCCGTTTTGTTCAGGCCACCAACAGTGGACATGCAGTCATGGCTACCGAGCCAGAATTGATTACCAGCGAGATTCTTGCTATTTGGGAGGCGAGCCTGTAGATACTGATCAATCTATGTTTTGTCCACTTCCCAAGGTTGCTTTGGCAGGATGTAGAGGTTTGGGGGTGGATATAATGTGGGGTTATACTAATGGGTAACGAACAAAAGCGGGATATGACTTCACCCAAAAGTTAATAAGACCTCAACAATGGCATAGTAAGTGGAAATTATGCGCCACCAAGGTAAGAAGCCTCTGCCAGATATTCCAAGGAGCAAACCGAGAACGGTCACGTGGAAGATAGCGAGGCCCGGTTTAAATCCAGCTCAACTTACTTTTTTTCCTTCATTTTACTTTACACATAGAAGGAAATATTGCCTAGACAACGTGATGTGTAGCGTAGCCGGCGAAGATAAATTGTACAGAACATTCTTGAGGCATGAGGCCCACATTCCAGTGGTCGTCATGGGTCACTGGGGGAGCTGAATAATTGGCTCCTTCGGGCATTCTGTTTACTTTCCACGTTGGTATTTGTTTAAAAAAGATCTCCTCTTTGCAAGGGGATGATCCTTTCTTCTTTTCCCCCACACACGATCTTCATCAAAATGCATGTGTACACCCTTGCTTTCGGGATACTTCTACTAGGTGCAGCGGAAGGGAGGAACCAAGATGGTTCAGCTTCACGATACGACTTTGTTATTGTTGGCGGAGGCACAAGTGGGTTGGTTGTTGCAAACAGGTTATCAGAGATGAAAGGTTACACCGTGGCTGTCATTGAAGCCGGGGATTCAGTCTTTAATAATGCTAATGTTACTGACGTGACAGGCTACGGTCGAAGCTTTGGAACGAAGATCGACTGGGCCTACTTGACTGAGAACCAGACATATGCCGGCGGTAAGAAGCAGATTATGCGTGCTGGGAAGGCCATTGGTGGGACAAGCACTATCAACGGTGAGCTTTGTCTATATGTCTATGGATATCACCGTCTATTTATGCTAATTTTTGCTTCATCCAACAGGAATGTCGTACACTCGGGCTGAAGCTGTTCAAATCGATCTTTGGGAGAAGGTTGGAAATAAGGGTTGGAATTGGAGGGCCCTCTTCCCATACTACAAAAAATCAGAAGGGTTTCAGGTGCCAACTTCAGATAAAATTAGTGATGGCGCCGACTACTATATCGGCTACCATGGGGAGAGAGGCCCATTGAAGGTCGGTTGGCCTAAGATGATGACCAATGGCAGTGTGCTTCCTATACTTGACGAAACCTTCTCTGAACTAGGTGTTCCCTACAATCGCGACGTTAATGGTGGCAATATGGTGGGACTCACGTCACATCCAAATACTGTCGACAGAGATGCCAACATTCGGGAAGATGCTGCTCGAGCTTACTTTTGGCCTTTTGAAAACCGCCATAATCTCAAGGTTATCTCAAACACTCTAGCGAAAAAGATCGTCTGGGACAACAACAACTCTGATGAGCAGGCTGTCGCGATTGGGGTGGAGGTTACTGGCCCCGATGGGAATGAAGTAATATACGCCTCAAAGGAGGTTATCTTGTCGGCTGGCGCTTTGAAATCATCTGTGCTACTGGAGCTGTCGGGCATCGGAAATCCAGATATCCTGGACAGGCATAATATTCCTGTCAAGGTTAATCTTCCCACAGTCGGTGAGAACTTGCAAGATCAAACAAACAATGGTCTCTCTTACGCAGGAGAGGGATTCTGGATCGGTGGACCAACTTTCTCCGCGCTTCCGTCAGCTGAGCAAATATACGGGGACCGTGTTTCCGGAATTGCTTCATCTATCAAATCCAGCCTCGAGAATTACGCAAAGGTCGTCTCTAACTCCTCAAACGGCGCTGTTCAAGAAGCCCATGTTTTGGAGGCATTTCAACTCCAGCACGACCTGATCTTCAAATCACGAGTTCCCTATGGTGAGATAGTCTTCCTTCCCATTGGACACTCGTTCTCCAGTGAATACTGGCCTCTGCTCCCTTTCTCAAGAGGGAGTATTCACATTCAATCTGCCGATAGCTTCAAGCCAGCTGCTATCAACCCGAACTATTTTAGGTTTGAGCAGGATCTTGATACGCAAGCCGAATTGGCCAAGTTCATTCGCAAGGCATTTGGAACCGCTCCTCTCAGTGAATTTGTTGCTGAGGAGTTTGCTCCGGGATTAGATCGCGTTCCTGAGAATGCCTCAGACTCTACATGGCGTAGTTGGGTCAAGTCAAACTGTACGTATCTATTCCATATCGTGCTCACAGCCTAGACGATTAGCTAACTCTTCTTCAGATCGATCAAACTTCCACCCGGTTGGTACGGCTAGCATGCTTCCGCGAGACAAGGGAGGTGTGGTAAGCCCTGAGCTCAAAGTCTACGGAACCAAGAACGTCCGCGTCATTGATGCTTCTGTTTTACCATTCCAGCTCTGTGGTCACTTGACAAGTACCCTCTACGCTGTTGCTGAAATGGCGTCAGATCTGATCAAAAAGAGATATATATTCTAGAGGGTTACGGTTCAGACATCACACGAGGAAACGACTTGGGTACGTGATCGCGATGATATTGTCCCGGTGTACATATAGACGGATACGGATTCGAGATATATTTTACGGTTGCTATGATGTATGACTTGAGAAGGAAGGGCTTTTATGGCGACATTTAGGACTTTGTGCTAGAGATCCTGTTTGTGGGGATTTAATGAAACGAGAGGCGTATCAGTAGTAGCTATGGTGAAAACATATTGGGCACGAGAGAAAGTCCCACGCTTGAATCTCTTTTTAGAAAAATGTAGGCTAAAAGCACCATCGCATTCTTCATACTTGGCACAAATACAAGGGGTAAAAATGAACACCAGAGTACGCCAGGTTAATAATAACCCCCTAGGTGTCCACGGATATCGTCTTTCATGCCAGTAGGCTTAAGGAATTGGCTCAATCCACCTGTTTCTAAATTTACCTGGCTATGTCCATCTCCAACTCGGAATATTCTCCACGTCTATATGTACTACAGTATACAGCACAACGCGGATTCTAGTTCCCGAGGTTTCTCGGCTATTCAACTGCCGATGTTCTGGTAACAGGTTTTTTTTGGCTGAGCCACTGATACCACGGGAGGGAATACTGAGCTATGTGGATTACATGGCCTAACAGGTGTATACTTCTTGGAAGTATTTCTAGGTACAATCGGCTGGCCGTTCTTTGGTTAAAGCTTGGCATGGAAGTACAGGAGAGAGGGGAGAGGGGGATCCCCGGCTAAGCCCGGGGAATCCCGAGGGATGCGGGGTTGGGCTTTCCCCAGGCTAACAACGACTTGAGTCTTTAAACATATCATATTCGCTTGGTATAAGTATAGAATATAGTAATGCGAAGCCTGGGTATCACATATAGCTGCCGGTAGAAGAGTCAATTGTGATTTTTTTTTGTGCTAGCCATGCAGTTTACTCGACAAGAAGCAGGACAACGGCCATCGGGCCATTGTTTCCGGCGGTTGTCACCAAAGTAGCTCGATCTATACCCGTCCCTCTTCGAGTATTGAGACCAGGTCGATATTTAACATCCTCAGTCGCATACGGTATGACTGCCCACTTATACTGCGTCTATTGCATACTACGAGAGCTTCAAAGACATTCTCCTATCTGTCTTGTGGTCTTCACTGTACGAAATACTTGTTCAATTCATTAAGCGAAAAGACTCAGTTTAGCCATCATGCCTAACCGTCCTACTGTTCGTTGGGGTATTATCAGTAAGTCTCCCTCTGCTCAAAGTTCAGAATCCAAAGCAGTCTCGGTTGCGTTCTTCGGGGCATTGTTGATATGTTGAAACCTAACTTTTCTGTCAAGCGACCGGCATGATATCCTCATGGTTCGTGGATGACCTTCTTCTCGAAAGAGAAGACTCTAAAGTGGAACATGTTATCCAAGCCATCGGCACATCAAACGCTCAAAGGGGTCAAGACTTCGTGAAAATATACTGCCAAGGACAAAGCCCACGGGTATATGACACTTATGAGGAAGTCTATCGCGATGCCAATGTGGACATTGTTTACATTGGTACTCCCCACGGACTTCATTTCCGCGATTGCATGCAAGCCATCTCCGCGGGTAAGAATGTCTTGTGCGAGAAATCATTCACATTGAATGCGAAGCAATCTAGGGAGATTTTTGCAGCTGCTCGTGAAAAGAACGTATACGTCGCAGAGGCCATGTGGCTTCGTCACCGACCGATTTTCATCGAACTCCAGCGACTGCTCCACGAAGAAAAGATCATTGGAGATGTCTTCCGGGTCTTCTCTGATTTTGCCTCGGGTGTGGATATTGCCTCGCTTCCAAGTACCTCCCGATACCGTGATCTCACACTCGGTGCGGGGTCTTTGTTGGATATTGGTGTCTATTCGCTTACCTGGGCGCGAATGGCACTGGGTGGTAAGACACCTGATCAGTCGGAAATGCCACGAATCTTGGCTGCACAGACGCATGAAGAAGGGATTGAGATCACTACGAGCACCATCTTGCAGTATGCCTCAACCGGCCAGCAAGGCATTGTTACTTCGACCACGAAAGCTCTTGGTGCTCCCGGCGAAGTCTTTGCTGTTATACATGGCACCAATGGGTATATTGAGATCGAGGGAAGAACACCTTCTGCGCCTGAGTCCTTTACTGTATGGTCGAAGCAAGAAGGAAATCCCGATCGTGCGTTTTTCCCGAGGGAGGCTTGTCAAGGGAAGAAGTATGAGTTTGCAACATTGGGACGTGGCTTTGTTCACGAGGCTGAGAACACGGCACTTGACATTCTTGAGGGCCGTAAGCAGAGCACAGTCATGCCATGGGCGGAAACCATATATATTATGGATATCATGGACGAGATCCGACGCCAGGGCAACACGACCTATCCGGGTGAATAGTTAGTCGATCTATATAATCTATTCTTCAAGTTGCCAACAAGTAAAGTCATATATGTAGCTATGACGATTATATTACTATAGCCTATTCATCGAATCTCCAAGTACATATATAGCCGTCTATGTCTCAAACATAGAAGCTATACCAAAAGTGGAAAGTCTACGCGTTGATCACTCGGCTCTCGGTCAACTCTGGGGAAAGCGGGGAAAACCTATTCCCTCTTCAACCTTCTCTCCCCAGATCTACAACAGTCGGCATCTTCTGGGATACTCTGTTTGAAGGGTTAGCGTCCTGAGACCATGGTGGTGAAGGCCTGCGACCGCTGCCGCTCGAGTAAGGAGAAATGCGCCATTGCGGCTGATAACCCAGCGTGCACCAGATGCATTCGCCTAAAGTTACCATGCTCCATCTTGCGTCGCAACAAGCGCGTGAGCCGGCGCCTCTCTCCGAAGACCCCTGTGGGGGAGCGCAGGTCTCCAGCGTCGAGTCCGTGGCGAGCGACAGCCATGCCTCATCTACCGTGTCCAGCCGACGGTCGATGTCGACCTCACTAACCAATGTAAATGAAGCATCATGGACACCCGAATCTACAGGTGCCGTGGTGATAGCACCGGAAAAATTGCTCGCCTCGACCCTCAACCTCCAAACCACATCAGACGCGTTGCGCACCGTGCTGGATGTGGAACAGTTCTCAGTCATCCATCTACCTTTCATGCTGGGCTCCAGCTTCATTCCCGAGTCTCAAAAGACCGTCTATGCCATGTTATGTCTTTCGGCCCCCACCCTGACAGAAGGCTACTTGGCCTTTCTGGGCCTGATGACAAGCTACCAGAGATCACTTGTCATGCGTCGCGGCGAGCCCGATATGTGCAAAGCAGCAATAGGATTGCAACGATTGCGAAGTGTAAAGATCTCACACGATTACGACGCGGCATGCGCGCTTTTTCTGGGCCAGACTATGTACGTGTTCAACGTGCTCACAGCACCATATTCGAATACGGCCCACTCAATCGTCCGGAGCGCGCTCATGTCCACGAAAAAATGGGTCCCACGATTGATACAATTCCCCATTATGGACACAATAACTATGACTCCTATTCTGATCGACACGGTGGAGTGCCTGATCCATCGTGAAATCCCTATTATACGGCTTCATCCCCAACGGCGCATAATTGTTGACCGCTATGCTGGTCTGTGCGCAACTCTTCTGCCTCACCTCTACGATATCTGCGAGTGCAGCCACACTTTGAAGAGGAATGTTTTTGAGGCTGGATCCGAATCACACTCTGCAATTTATGATCGACTGGATAATATCGAGGAAGCACTTCAATATTGGCGGCCCAAAACGCCCGCTCATATTTTCGACAATTACGGCCAGCATGCGGTTCTCGCAATGGTGACGCAGGCAAATGTCTATCGCCTAGCAGCTTTATTGCTCATTCACCGGCTGCGGCATCCGCTCGGAGTTGAACATGCCGGAGCGCAAAAATTGGCAAATAACATCTTTGCCGAGTTGGCATTCTTTGCCAAATCGTCGGCTAAGGAAACTACCGCTCTACCGGTAGTATTCCCGTTGACAATGGCCATGTTCGAGATAGAAGGTCCTGGAGAAGATCTCTTGGAACGTTTGGCCTCGTTCGCTGTCCAAAGCTCAAGTGCCTCGCGGCTTCAGGAATTCGTGAAGCTTGTCAGGTCTTCACGAGAGTCTGGTTTTGAGGGCACTTTGTTTGATTTGGTTGAGACACATCTTCATGTTGCGATGCCACCCTAGTCACTTCTATAAAAATATATATAATGCATTTCAGGTATCGTCTAGTATCTGGTTCAATGAATGAGGAGAAGCAGGTGATTAATATTTATGTCAGCATTAAGGAATATGTAAGTAAAACAGGTGCACACAAGGTCTATATCCTCCTGAATTGACAAGAATACATCTCCCCTTCGTCTATCATATTACTGTAGCTCAATCCGCGAACGAGAAGCCTTATTCCCCCCAGGCAATTCAGAAGGGGGCAATTCCTGGGGTAAGCCATTCAAAGGCGCCGACTGATGATTCTCACACTCAACATTCGCCATCCGCGCATGCTTCCTCCTTCTCAGGACAAAAAACACCGCAATCACTACCACAGCAACAGCCCCAACCCCAACCCCAACCCCGATCCCAGCCTTCGCCCCTGTAGATAACCCACCATCCAAAGACGATACAGGCTCAGCGGTCTGTGTAGGCATACCCGATGCACTTGATGTACCCAACGCAGTCGAAGACACAATAGTCGAAGTAGGCGTCGATACTCCAGCCGTCCAAAAAGTAACGAGCGCCAATTTATCCGCCGCGCCGAATTTCTCATCTGTTGGATGTTCGCAGTCTCGATTCCCATCTGAGTCGGTGCCGCAACATACCCACGTTGAATCACTGAGGTATCTTATATCAGGTAGTCTATCGTTTCCTGTATACAAAGAAAGTGGTTAGCCACATACTAGCTTATATCTTCGGGTGATTCTGCGTGTTCGGCATACCACAACGATTAGGACAGATACTCGCGTATCTGGGATCTGTGTAATTTCCTCCATTGGAACAAGCAGCTGTATAAAAAACTGGTTCCACCCGCGAGCGATTTGGTGGTGTGGCAGATACTATCTGAAAGACAGACGTCCCCGACAGCGCAGCAAGCTGCCACGGGGTTGGTGGTATTCAGCGGTCCGCATGGTGCAAGTGGATCGGCGAAGATTCGGCCATCTTGCCAGGTGCAGTTGGCCATCTTGACTCTGGGAGACCAGTTGACTCCGACTCGGGGTGAAGTATGTGGGCTTGTTTGTGGAATTGGAATGACTCAATGCATCTACTGTTCCCAGGCCGGGGACAACATTTACAAGTCAGGAAAGCCCCCTATTTGGGAATTTGAAGAAACAGTCAGCCTCATCTTGCTCAGGCCTGAGCTATTGATGACCGGGCGCAGTGAACTTGGCATTTTTCTATCTTCGGAATACTATATGTCGATCATCACCAGCAGGATTGATGGATTAACATGGCAATAAAGGTAAATGTCACTTTTGAAACTCGAAATGTACTCAAGACGGATACAGCTTTGAATTCTTCAAGCGCTCATATTGATCTAAGTTGCATAACCTCCAATGTCAGAGTCTTCTTCTCTCGGCCCCCACAGGGTCTTAGCCTCCCTAGGGGCTGTTGTTTGCTGCTTTAGTGCTTACACCTGCATTGTTTGTCTGTACCATGTTGATCATACCAGCGATGGGGAGCCATTCCTAGAAGGCCTCAAATGAATGCTTTCGAAGATACTTCCGAAGGGAGCAAGCAAGCATCCAAGTTGCCAAAGCCAAGCTTCCACAAGCGTTGCACTCCACTTCGGCTCGACCCGTAGTTCTTCCCAGCAATACTGTATTTTCCGTCTGTTTCGCTACATTATTTGGTATATGTTAGTCTAATTGAATTTGAGTCATATTTCAGTTGATAAAGTATAGTGGTGGAGCAATATTTCAGCATTCTGCGTGACTGGGTCTGATCATAGAGGAACTATGACGGAGGACGAACTCAAAACCAACCGTTTCGGGGACTCGGGATTTCCACTTCATTTCCGCTGGCTCCATTTGAGGGACTTATCGGTGAAACTCACACCTTCAGGATAGCTGAATAGCGAAGGTGGAGCATTAGGCAGATCTATACCAGTAATGCCCAACAGTGGCTCTGTGCGTGTTTTCCACTTCCTAATTACCCAGAAGGAAGGCATCTCCGAAATGTAATTCATAGAATTGATATGAAATTATGCCGAAATATGCCAAGAGTACTACTGACTTAGTACTAAATGTATCTAAATAGCCACTGTAGCTGAACCTCTAGGGCCCAAATGCCCAATCCAAGTCCCCAGGGATGGAAAGCACTCACTTCAACTCAGCGACCTCATCATCATTAAACGGAATACCAAGGCTCCGAAGCAAATTGGTAGCAGCGGTTTCACCCGTCTTGAAAGCACCATGAACACAGCCATTAGCAACAAGAGTACAATGTTCACCAGCGAACTGCAAACGACTACCCTTATGATTCTCAAACGCATTGATAAGCAGCTGCGGATCATCCCCAACCTTGTCAGCCGAGTAACTCCCAAACCCAGCCAACGGGTCCTGGGTCCAATGTGTAGTTTCAACATTGACCAGACGGGGCAGAGCCTTATAAGGCTCCGTGCGGAACAGCTTGAACAGCGGTTCAAAAAACAAATAGATCTCCTTCAGATCCTGCATGGCTTCGATGCGCTGTGTCAGAGGCTCCGCAATCTGCACACACAGCTCCTTGCCGCCTGTCATAATCCACAGGTTGATTGTCACGGTGGCGTAGTTGAGGATATTGTCTTTCTCCCCGATGGAGTTCATGCTCGTGCTGGATTGCACGGAGGAGCCGGACGACACCTCCGACTCGTCTGGTGGAGAGGGATAGAAGACGAACTGGTCGTTATCCTTGGACCAGAAGACATCGACGAATTCGAAAAACACTTTGCCCAGGGCGCCGTAGCTGAACCTGGACATGCCCTCTTGGATGTCACTCGGCAAGGGCGGGTTGAAGGAGATGAGGTTATGGTGGTAGACACCCAGTGGGCTAGTCATCACCACTGCATCACCCTCAACGAAGCCGACATTCCCAACAGCATCCTTGTACCGGATGCGAGCTGGCTCATCGCCCGATTCACTCCACGCGACGTTCTCGACATGGTGGTTGAGTCGGATGATGTTCGGATCTTTGCGAAGAGGCTCGGCAGTCCAGTCCACGATCCGATCATAGCCACCTTTCATATACAAATTGCGCTCTGTAATAAAATAAGACAGATGTTTGGCCGAGGCTTGGTCGGTACTGGTTCCAATCCACAATTCCACCTCGCGGACAGCCTGCGGCGCCCAGTCGCGCTCATCCTCGGTAATGAGCTTGTGCTGCAGCACAAACTCTTTCGCAAACTCATGGACCGGACGGTCCTCAGCCTCGGGGTTTGTTTCGTAAAACCACTCGCAGTAGTCGGCGAACTCGTCGGCGACTTTCTTAGCTTTGAACTGGGATCCAGCTCGGCCTTCCCGGGTGAAATACAACGGAAGGCCATCGTCATAGTAATAAGGAATATTCAGCTGAGGGATCAGCTTCACCAGACTGTTCTGGGACGTTTCGTGCATCCACGCGGCACCTATGTGTAAACCCAGTCAGTACATTCCGTCCCTTTCTTTTCTTCTATCTGGGCGAATTTGTTGTGAACAGTCGCGATCGTACCGATGTCTCGAACACGGTCACCTGTTCTGCTGGTCAAGATTCTTCCACCAATGCGATCGCGCGCCTCGAGCACCACGACTTCACAGCCGTGACGGTGCAGAACGGCGGCGGCGCGCAGACCAGAGATTCCTGCACCTACCACAATCACCTTCTTGCGCTCCGACCTCGCTGCACATGTTTTCGACTCCTGCAGAGTTGCGAAAGGTGCAACCAGGTCGGAGCCACAATTACTTGGTTTTATGGGACTACTGCCCGACAGCGGAGAAGCGATGTGGAAAGATTGGGCCATTCTGAGCTGACAAGTTGACATTCGGCTTTAAAGAAAATTTAGGAGAGTACACAAGGATGTTGAGGTCCGAGAATAAGATTGGGGGAGTGAAGTCGGGAGATATAAGGGGGCTGAAATACGCCAAGGGAGTAAGCTGAAACAGGCACGTCCAGCCGGGCCTTGAATATGCGCTTATCGGCATAAGTACCGACATAAGGAGATATTGGGAGATGTAAATATAGTGTAGAAGTGTAGAAGTGTAGATATGTAGATATAGGGCTGTTGGCTGGTTGGATGCAGAAATGAAGCTAGTCGGTTCCATAGGTCTACGCATTGCTTAGCCCTCTTATCTTCGCTCCACATCAAATTTCTTATCAGCCCAATTTCTTCACTTTCTTTTCTTCTTGTTTGACCAACATAAATATATTAAAATGCGTGCATGACTGCTCCTGGCCCAGATTCTGGATCAGAGTTCGCTCTGGTCGCCTAGACATGGAAGTTCTCAACGGGACTGAACGCATCTCCACCGCCAACGGTGAGATCACACTGATTCCCACGCCGACCAACTCACCGGACGACCCACTGAATTGGAGCACATGGAGACGGTACTGGCATGCGTTCCTGGTCCTGTTGATTGTCGCGTTTACTGCGGCCACCTCGAACGATGCGGGGACGGCTGGCAACGGCATGAACGCCCAACTGGGGATCAGCTGGGACCAAATCAACGTTGCTGCCGGGGTCTTGTTTGTGGGTATTGGGTACACCACCTTGTTACTTGGCCCTGCACCTTTCCTGTATGGGAGACGCATCTCGTACATGATTTGTCTGCTGTCGACGATCGTTGGCTCGATCTGGTTGGCCCGGGTGCAATCATCCGGGGATAATATCGGAAGTCAGCTGTTCGTCGGTGCAGCCGAGTCATGCGCCGAAGCGCTGGCCCAGTTGTCGCTCTCCGATCTGTTCTTTCAGCACCGGAGAGGTCTCGTGCTCGGCTTGTACGTCCTGGCGACCAGTATTGGTACTTTTACTGGTCCCTTGGTTGCCGGCTTCATTGTTGACAGCCAAGCGCTTGGCTGGCGATGGGTCGGTTGGCTCGCTGTGATTATCTCGGGCTTTTTGCTAGTCTTGTTCTACTTCGGGTTGGAGGAGACATCCTTCGATCGGAAGAACCCTATCCAAGGACATGATGCGCCGCCAACTACCCCGGGCGAGCCAACTGACCTTCCGCTGGACGGAAAAGAAAAAGAAATCGCCAAAGTACAGGCCACAGCCTCTACTGTACTCGACGAGGAATGCGGTCAGCAGAAAGGGAAAACGTATTTCCAGCGCATCGCCCTGATCACACCCTCGCCAACCTTGGTCGGCACTGGTTTCAAGCAATACTGCCGTCGTCTGCTTCATACACTGCGCGTCTTCTCCTTCCCGGCAGTCATCTACTCGGGACTGCAGTGGGGCGCCCAGGATGCCTGGTTGACCTTCTACCTCACCGTCGAAGAGGACAATTGGTACGAAGCACCCTGGTTCTACACAGACGCCGCTGTGGGCATCATGAACGTGCCGACCCTAATCGGCGCGCTCCTGGGCTGTATCTACGGCGGATGGTTCAGTGACTTCTTCGTGCTCTGGATGGCCAAACGCAACAACGGTATCTTCGAGGCTGAAATGCGTCTTTGGCTTCTCCTGCCAGTGGCGTTCATCGGCCCGACGGGTCTCATGTTGTTTGGTATCGGTTCAGACAAAGGCTGGAACTGGCCGTGGCCGTACGTCGGACTGGGATTCATCGGCTTTGGCTGGGGCTGTGCGGGTGATCTCAGCATGGCGTATCTTATGGACGCGTATCCGGACATGGTTTTGGAAGGTATGGTCGGGGTGTCTGTTATTAATAACACCATTGGCTGTATCTTCACTTTCTCCGCTGGGTACTGGATGGATGTGCAGACCTTGGCCCAGGTCTTTGTTGCGATCGGTGTGCTGAGCTTCTTCTTTATTATGACTACTATTCCTATGATCTACTGGGGCAAGAGGTGTCGCCAGCTCACTCGGAAGCAATATGAGACTTTCCTCCGGATCCGTGATGGTCCCGCCTAGTTGGATATCTGGGTTTCCGTCATTGGTGCTTGTTGTTGAGACTCTTTCTTGCTTATATCCCCTTTCTATATCCTCTGTTTACGTTAGCTGCTTATATGCATGTCTGTCAATACCTATGTCTAATTAATCAGAGTGTTTTCCTTCCTGGAGGCGTTCATCGGGACTTGCGCCCAAGGGAAGACCTATGTTCTATTTCCCTTGGGGGGTGATGAGCCGTGGCGTGAATGCTCGCACAACTGCTCATTGGAATCTCTATTTGGATCTGGAGCGTTGTTTACCACCAATTCATTATTCTCTATATTATAAGTTATAATGCAAAGTCAAGTACATACGACCACAGGGTGTGGAGAACAGGGCTTCCCGTCCGCTCAGCCGTACTTAAGCCACACGCCGGTAAGTTAGTAGTTAGGTGGGTGACCACTAGCGAATCCTTACTGTTGTATGTTTTTGGCTTTTTTTTTCCTCTTCAAGCCTGTTACTCTACGCGGCCGATTGTTGAGGTGCCTTGAAAATGAAAATAGCGAAAAAAATTGTCTTAGGGTGAGTGTGGGTGATATAGGTGAGAATTCTGGAGACCGAGGTAATAGAGGTGAGAACTGGGTAAGAAGCGGTGATAAAGATAATAGATGTCCCTCGTAAATCTACTTAAGCTAGGGTGATAAGTACCTAAATGGTACTTTGATTCTGGCTTGAGATATTCCATGAGGAGATTGTTGAGATCTATGCATGAATAGAAGGTTTATACCAGATATATCAGACATGAATCAGTCAGCGTAGATCCTTCCATGAAGAGTATAGATCAGGGGAAGTTTCTCTCTCATTTTTATATAGGGTCTCACTCTCAATAAGAGAGAAATCAGACTTAAACAATCTCAACGTCTTGACGTATATGCTTCCCTAGTGCTTCCCTAGTATTATCGTACCCCTTATTTCAACAATTTTTGTTGCTTTTTTTAACAACACGAAAAGCACCCAATCTTAGTATAGCATAACTCGGATCTCATCTTCTTCCCCTGGCCTTGCTGTCACCTGGATTTTTGGTCTTTTTAACCACAATTTCCGACCCTCCGTCACGTCAATACACGATGTCTTCGAAAATGCGAATATTCCCGTCGCTAACCACATCTCCGCCGCAGATTTGCTCTCGGCCTCCGCGACCAGTGTGTGCTGAATCGCAGGTATCAAGGTTCTTTGCATGATTAAATTAGTATTTGCATCTGCTCGCAGCAGTAATGCCGGACTTTCGGTCGCAAGCCTGCCACCACCTGAACACGGCACAAACATCAAATCCCTTTGTAGATTGACAACACCACTAGCGCTACCATCGGAGAGGATCAAGCACGTCTGCTCGTCTTTCCCCCATGCTTCCACCGCAGCAGCATCCTGATCCAACAGCCTCTCCAAATCTCTCTCTGGACACAACAGGCCCGTTCTTGTCGCACCAGAAGCCGCAAAGCCTGCATCAACTAATCTGATGGGTCCAGGTACGATGGCTGCTGGTGACCACCTCACCCTGTGTATACGGAAGTGCCATCCTGACCACAGTTCCAATGCGGGAATCAGGGTAGTTTGGACCTCGAATTCAATTGCCTTCTTGGGTCTCCAGGTACTAACAAGAGCCGGCATTGTTCTCGCTACCGTTCCCATCCCAGCAGCCGCTTCGGAAGTGAGGATCGAGATCTGCCGATGCCGTACATTGAACGGATTTGCACGCACAATCCATGCGTCGCCGTCATCGAAACTGACAGTCAGCGTGCTGTCCGGAGCCATCTGCTCCAGCAGTGTGCCACTGGGGACGCTGAATCCAAAGAAGGACGAGTACGCCATCTTGCCGTACTTTGCCTCTCTGGCGCGGTGGGCCTTCGTGGTTCCTTGGCCCGATGAGAGCAGAAAGTGGTGGCTGCGTCCGCTGCATAGAATATGTCGGGGCGGCCAGAGAAGTTTGACTTCGTCGAGTAGCGGCTGGGCAGGCAAAAGGCGGGCAGCAAGTGGGTGCGGTAACTCTTTTGCTGTCCAGAAAGAGTGGCTCTCAGGTAGACAAAGGATGATGAATGATTTCAAACACCAGTATACGGACTGTGGTGAATTGTAGTTCTCGCTGAGGAACATGTTTGGATAGGTATAGCCGATATTGATGGTACCATCAGTGTTGAAGATGCCAGGCTGCTTACTCCACCAGCGTAGATGGCGGAGGAGGAGACCCTTGACCACGCCGATATTGTTGAGTGGTGCGTCAAGCTGTACCCCGGCGATGGCGACTGCGGACCAGAATGCCGCGAACGCGAACCGGTACGTCAGGCTCCGCCCAAACGGGATGGCACTTCCTAGAAGTCGCAAAGTCAGTACTATGTTCTGGAAATATACGCCTCGGATTCAGGTGTAGAGAATCCGCCGGCAAATATGTAGATAGTGGGGAGATGAGAATGTTTTATAGGCCGACATACCATCCACATCAAAATACCTCCAGAACCCCGACGCAAACTGTCGTGCCTCCAGTTTATACCTCTCAACTCTACTCTGGTCTTCGGAAGCCAAGCCCCTATCCTCCATACACCTCACATATAGCATCCGTGCAAACTGGATTGCGAAGCTTCCCGAGTAATAATCGGCCTGTTTCCTCTCGTTACCCCAGAGCCCATCGCTACTCCATCCCTCACCAATATCGAACGAGTCCAGCATGTTCAAGTCCTGGGCCACAACATCCTCATCCTGGGACCCCAGCGCCAGATTGACCAACACGCGAAACCAGCGCCAGTTGTTCTCGGGCATTTTCCGTCCATTTATTTGGCGCAACCACCTTTCTAGATTTTCCCGGGCCATCCCGTCCATCCCAGACAAAAATGCTGCAGGGGCCATCAGCAGCGCATACGCGATGCTCTCCATTTCCACCATGCGCTGGTCGAAGTCGCCCAGATCACCCCAGTACTCCGAAGATGCTGGGTTTGTGCCAGCTCGTAAGCCGCAGACCCATGAGTCCACGTCAAGGCCAAGGCTATCTGCATTACTTGCGGGAGCAAGGAGGCTCGCGATGGCCCAGAGCGGCCGTGCAAAGCCCTCGAGTTGGGCGGAGACCTCATCAAACCCTGCCGCGGTGCCTGTGGAGAGTTTGATAAAGGCCTTTTGGGGGGACTTGTGCTGCTCCAGCGGCTTTAGCAGGGCGGCGCTTGCCTGTACGAGGTCAAAGCGGGTCTGAAATGGGTTGTCCGTGAAGCCTGGGAGTGCGGCCATGTTTGAAGTTCTGCCTAGTCTTCCAAGTGCAGGGGCTAGATCGAGAGTTAGATATTCGTAGGGAAATTAGAGGTTTCAAGGCAGGTTGGCGTCTCCGGGCACTTATAGTCCATTTGGTGCCAAGTCTGCTCTCGGTCTTCGGGACAATGTAATGCAATTCGGGTGATTGTATTCTTCATGTTCTACTCTCAATTTACGCGGCTCAAAAACAACTAGAGCGACGAATTAACAGTACTCCAGGAATTGATGACGATTGAGGATAAAAGTTTACTAGAACACTCATCAACCGTTCAAGCCACATTTCTCAACCTTGCCGCATTAACTTCATTTACTTCCTCTGTTCACACTCTCTCTACCTTAATCTCATCCTTGGTTGTGGTTTCCACATGGTTGCTTGACGCGCCCAGTTCGGCCTCCTTCTCTGTCTCAACCATGTCTCCATCGACAACCTCCTGGCTTTGGCGTCGCTTCAGCTCTCGCGTCCACAGGTACTGTCCCAACATAAACAGGCACCAGTAAACGACAGTCAAAACTGTGTTGACGGTAAAGCCCTTGCGCCACTTGGGCGCCTCGAGAACGGGGAAGGCCGTGATTGGGTAGAAGGAGAAGAAGATCCAACCGCAGGTCATCTGTAAATTATGTGAATAAACTGAGGTTAGTGCCAACTCTGCTAACTCCGGAGAAATCTTAGGGCCCAAGGAAAAGTAGCAAAGAAAAGAAACAAGAGAAAAAAGAAAGAAAATTCTGAACTCACCATCGCTCCCGTCGTGAAGGCTCTAGCTTCGGCGTCGTCCTTCATGATCATGTTAACCCAAGGAAACAGGATTGGAGTAATGCAAGATGTCATTCCCAAAAGATAGTAGGCCGTGAAATGAAGCCCCACTGGAATGTCCCACACAAGAAGAACGACATTGCAAAAGAGAAGAACTGCGGTTGCGAACGTAAAGGTGGTCCAGATCGGGTAGACCATGCAAAGAGAGGTCGAAAGGATGCCGGTCACTATAGCGACTCCCTGTACACCAGTTGGGATTGTGTTGATCTCCGGGATGGTGTAAGTGCCGTGTTGTTCCGCCTCATATTTCAGCCACAGGGCCATTTGCCCGGCAACATAGCTGGTACACTGAAAGCTAAAGGTTACCTCAAGAGTCAGTTCGGCCCCGCAAAACACTACGCTTAGGGGCTTACCAGATGTAAGTTGTGATAGCGATGTAGAAATGCCAGTGCGTAAACACGCGCTTGAGCATGCGCTTTCCTATCTTCGTGCTCTCCTTGACGCCATCATCGCCCATTCGGGCGCGTGCAAGTTGCTGGTCCCGCTCGGTGAGCCACCAGACTCGGGGGCTTTGCGGGATGCCGGGGAAAAGGAAGAACCCAGCAATTGCAATTGGAACGCTAATGATACCGTCCTGTGTGGCAACACGTAAGTTCCTCATCACTATTTTGTCGTCAGAAAAGGGAGCCATCGAGTACCCACTATGATGAACAACCAGCGCCAGCCGTCCATACCCAAGACACCATTCAGATTGGTGTACGCGGCAGCTTGCAGATATCCTCCGAACATTGAGCCGGCATTGCTACTCACGTACCACACTCCCGCTCTTTTAAAAACCTCGTCGGCGCGGTACCATGAGGTCAGAATGTAGATGCTGCCCGAAGACGCCGGGGTCTCGAGCACACCCAGCAGAAACCGGATACCAAAGATATCGTGCTCGTTGCGCATGCGTGCCTGGCAAAAGGTCACAATTCCCCAGAGAAGCTCCATGGTCGGTGGATAGTAGCGGGACAGGCTCGGCCGAGAGATCAGCATCATGGATGGGATCTCAAAGAGGAGATATCCTATATTATAGAATGTCCCGAACAGGGAATACTGGTTCCCGTTCAGGTGGAGCTCCTCCTTCATGCCCGAAACATAGGCGTTATTGGTGTTGCCTTGATCAAGCCATTTGATGAAAACTAGATATCGTCAGCGTTAGTATGTGGTTATCTTCTCTAATACTTCTTCTGACCGAAGATGGATGATCTTTCATTCGCTGAATCCATGCATTCTCTTTCATGGCCCGCTTTGTTCGGGATGGTTAAAAGGGGAATACTCACACATTAGACAGCACAGCGGCATAATGAAGCAGTCCAGCTTGCGCAGAAGCCTGCGCTCCTCATCTGAATAGTGGCTTGGGTACCAATCGAAGATATATTTCCATGCCTTCCACAGTGAGGGAGCTGCTGGCCGCTTGGTCGAGGAGCTCACGACAGGGGCTTTTTCTGTGTCGGAGGGCTCGTCGGCGGTAGGTGGCGGGGCCACCCCGTTTCCATTGGCCATATTATGCTAGAGTCGTATTCTTTCTGAGGCTATGTTCAGGTCCAAAGGAAAGAATAACTGTGGTCAGACAAAAATGGGTCACTGCTAGACCTCGACCTGGACGCTACAACATCTATATAGACGCCAGCATTCGGGGTAAAGGAAAGGATACGAGTTTGACGTTTGAAGACAATTTCGTGGCCGACAAAGGCGTCCAATCGCAGGGTCAGTTGTGCAGAAAGACATGCGTGGGGTTTTCGCTGCTTAGTGCCTCGGGGGAAAAGCCGCGGACTTCGGGGGATCCAGCTCTATGCCGGAGGATTTTACCCCCCAAAGGGGCCTAGGGCTCCAAAACAACGTCATAGAAGGCAGACAGTCGTGCTGCATTAGTGGCCTTTGTCGGATGATTGGCGTCAGGAATGACATGGTACAAGCACAGCGTGGAGCATTGGGCTTTACCTAAGGCTATTGAACGTCGGTTAATGTACAGCGGCGGGACTGACAATCGCATTTGTGGATTCCATAAAAGCCGTGGACCTAGCACTGACATCGACGCGCCAGCGGCATTTCTATTTAGATTCCGTTGGCAGGAGTTACCCCCAAAGTTCCTTTCTCGGAAAACAGATTGCGCAAGGATGCCTGTTACAGCAACAATCACAAACCCCGATGGGCTGATGTCCCGTCAAGAGGCTTCCAAGGCGTTATTCTCAATATCAACCCCTTCACCTCACGCAGCCTTATCCAATAAGGTCACTTCTGTCGGTGAAACCACCGAAGCCCCTCATCTAGATGTGGATTCCTCAAGTTTAAGGAAGCATCTTGCAGAGCTCTTTGTCGAGAACATTATGGCGAAGGTCTGGCGGGTCGCATTTGAGTCTCTCCCTAGCGCTGGGGCGACACCCGAGGAACGTGCGATGAAATTCCCTCGCGTATTTCCCGAATACGTGCCCCAGAATCCTCAGCATGGCGAGAAGCCAAGCGTCTACCATCTCCGTGAGGCAGACTTCTGGACCTGTGGCTTCTTCCCCGGGACCTTGTACGAGCTGCTTGAACGAACAGTCCGCTATCCCAAGTCCGCTGTATGCTTCCTTGGTTCATCGCCACAGGAGAGACGAGACCAGCTCCGCGCCATGTGCGAAAAATGGTCGGAGCCGTTGCACGACATGGCCACCAGGACGGACACACACGATATAGGCTTCATTGTCATGCCTGCTCTGCGCAAGGATTGGGAGCTCTTTGGCAACTCCCGCAGCCTGGCATCTATTGTCCGGGCGGCCAACAGCCTGGCAACGAGGTACGTTGCCTCCGCAAAAGCTATCCGCAGCTGGGATCTATTGATCAGGAAGGACACGCGGATCACGGATATGAGTACCAATCTTATCGTAATCATCGACTCCTTGTGCAATCTTGACCTACTCTTCTATGCCGCCGCCCATAGTTCCTCCAGACAACTCGCGGAGATGGCCGTCGCCCATGCCCGCACTTTGATACGCACCCACCTGCGTCCGGAGCCCCCTCTCCCACAACCCACGCTCGGAAGGTATAATGGCCAGCTATACTCAACCAACCACGTCACATGTATCGACCCAAAGAATGGCGCCATCAAGCGTCGTATGACAGCGCAGGGGTACGGGGACGGGTCCACCTGGGCTCGCGGTCAGGCGTGGGCAATACTAGGGTATGCACAGACGTACTCATGGACCGGGGACAGGGAGTTCCTGAATGTGGCGTGCGGGACGGCAGAATATTTTCTCCATAGGTTGGAGACGCACCCTGTTGCGCGGGGTCCTGGAGGTGGGAAGTCGCAGTACACTTCCCCACCATGGGACTTTGATGCCCCGATGGAGAGTGAGGGCGAGGAGGTGGTGCGGGATTCCAGCGCGGCAGCCATCGCAGCGAATGGGTTGCTCGTGCTATCGCAGGCGCTGATTGCGGAGAGAGAAAAGATGCTTGCAGCGAGGTTTTTTGACGCAGCGGTGGATTTGATGAGAGGCACGCTGGACTATTCACTGGCGAGGGAGACTGCACGGTTTCGGGTTGTCTGTGGCGGGGAGTTGAAAGAAGGTCTGGCTGTGGAAGACCTTGTGCAGGGCGAGCGGTTCGATGCGATCCTTAAGCATGGGACGGCTAACAACAATGAGAATGCGAGGAGGCGGTATGCGAATCATGGCCTGGTGTATGGTGATTACTACTTGGTGAGATTTGGAAACGAGCTGATGCGGATGGGCTTAGTGTAGAACCGTGCAGTATTGCTAAGAAACAGGCACATAATTAGATATTACATAGTACCGGCCCAGGGTGGACGGAGATATATACTATTTAACTTTAACGGCCTATGTGTAGTATAGTTGGCCGTTCAATGACCCTTCACCAAGATTGGTCCAGATTGGCACTGAACATTCCGTTGTCGAAACTGATGATCCGGTCCAAATCCATAAATTGATGGCCCAGCAACACCTGTGAAATAGGACTCAGGTCGCAGGGCGCTTGATCTCTCCCTGGAGAGTACGTTTCTTTCCCGTGCATTGTCTGATGGTGGTCGTTAGGATTTCTAGGGAGCTGTAGTGGGGATGAAGGCCAGGGTAACGCCATGGCCGGTGCCGCATTGATGGGGTCACCATTTGGCTGGCTCTCCGCGGGCCTTCCACCACCTTGAAAGTTGTGCGCTGGCTGTGCCTGCAGGTGTTGATATGGTTGCTGAGTCAAGCCATTTGGAGTTGACACAGGAACTGGATCTCCTGCAATAGGGTCGGTCTTACTGCTGCAATGGTCGATATCTTGCGTGTAATCCAAGACACTTATTCTGTAGCCCAAGCCCTGCATGCACATATCGTTCATCTCTCTCAGTTTTAACGCGTATTTTGCCGCCAGATCCTCGGTCAAAGTCGTGGCCTCTGGCACCACCACGTTCCCGTTCCATCGACGCGACATTTCATCTAGGCTTCGGACTAGCGTCCAGAACCTGTCATCAACATCCGATCTGGAGTACAGAGCAGTGCTTTCTCCACCGTAGTAGGTTCCGTAGGCTAGTAGGAGTCGGGCTGCCACATAGACGCAGAATGAAAACTGGGGATAGACAGGGAACGTTGCCGGAGACACTTTAAGGTATTGTTCAGTGATAGTGGCAATTTCAACAGCCGCCTGCTGACAGGTCTCTGCAGAGCAACTGCTGGGCAGGCGGCTGCGGAAAGTCCAGTCGTGGGGTGGAAACGCGATAGGTTGATGTAAGAGAATCATGGAAGCATTGTGAGTGATGTGTGCCAGTGTGAGATTTGGGTCCATCACTACTGTTTGGCGTTTGGCATCGACCTCTAGTTCCGTTGCTTCTCCACTGCCACTAGGTAGGCCGTTCCGATTGGCCGTGTCGTGGGGTCTGACAGTGGTGTTGGTAGGGTTGGCGGCTTTCCACTTCTTTGGAAGGAGCATCTTCCAGTGAACAAGGCGCAGGTCGAGTTCCTTGAACCGTGTGAGCCAGCTGGTGACGTTTTCTGGATGGTGCATGTCGACCTTTTGCTGTAGGAAGTAAGTCATTACTCGGCTCAGCGACTCGGTTGCTTCGATGCGGTAGGCGAAAGCCCCAACAGCCTCCATCAGGGGATCTTCCGGCGATGAAACAGAGCCGCTGGCGTCGTTCGGACTCTGTTCAGGGGCGCCATTGGTCACCGTACCTTGCGGAGACACGTAATGGGCCGGAGGAAAGGCGATGGGATTCCCCATCCGCCCTGCTGACTTGTCCCAGATGCCAAAAAAGGCTGTAACATTGGGTTTATCTCTTCTCCAATAGACTCCATCGCAAGGAAGACGACGGTGCACATCGTCCGAGGTGAGGCTAGTGTTCCAGCCCATTGCCACGGAGCAAAACCGGTCGAAGTTGAACACGTTCCAGAACACACGGCGTCGCTCCTCTGCCTCGACCCAGCTCTCTGGAGGGGAGAGAGATATAAACGGTCTTGAAATCGACGTACGACCTCGGCACTCCTCGTCTTCGACTGTTAGTTTCAAATATTCGACAGTCCGAGTCAGTGATCCGACTAGGGACCATGCCTTTACCCCCGCCCATTTCCAATCTGAAGGCTAAATTAGTTGACATGATTCAGAATGTGTAATATCTCGTGGTAAGTGTATATGACTGGAATAGAAAAATCTCACATCATTAAGAACACAAATTACGAGTGCCTGGAGATTTTCAACGCTTAAGCAATCCATCGAAGTCGAAACAATCAGACTCCTGGCCTGCTCGGTAGTCAGATTAGCCAGGGAGATGTCGGATACGGCCTCGTGCCGCTGTATATATCTCCCCGATACTAATATCATGGCTCGCACCAAGACGTCAAGCTTTGATCTGTGTTTTGTGTTGAGAAGTCGCCGACGCAAGCTGGTCTCGTGTACGAGAGGAATCCAAGGATGTATATGCTTGAAGTATGTCTGCAAAACATCTTCAATCGTGTTCGGATTGAGAAAATCAAGTACTAAACGGCGATCAACATCCGGCGGCGAAGAATGAGAAGGGCCGATGCGGTCGTCCAACCGTTGTCGTTTAGCTGGGCGATCAGCGGCCCCGGTCGCCGGCTTGTCGCTGAATCTCTGAAGTTCCCGTGCCAGTGCAGACAGAACAGAACTTGCCGTAGACTCGTCTGCACCCGGCTGTGTTTGTCGATTGGACTCGTCTGGCGTATCGTCTCCCAGTCGGTCGAGAACAAAATCTTCCAGGCGATCTAGCGGCGGACATGTGAGCCTCGTCTGCAATCCTAACAAGCATACCGAGTGGACGTAATTCTACGTGCACCAGCAGAAGCACTCTTTATTATCATACCTAGCCGTCGGTGTAAATTTTCAATAGCCCCAGGTTTAATCCCCGGCTTGGACCGTTTGGGATCGTACACGCAGTCGCTCCCTATACCGGAGCCGAATTAGCGACATTGGAAGAAGCGGTTCTGTCTTAGGAGACAGAGGAATTATGGATGTACTAGCTGACCAGTTTTGCGGCAGTGTTGACATGCGGGTGTTTCCCTGGAGCAGCGCAGTTTGCGGTTGCGACAGTTACTACAGGCAACCGAGAGCTCTGGCAGCTTGCTGTTTTCCGTGACATGGTGGGTATGATTGGTCACAGATGCCGACATTCTGCTAAACGGATATTCTCGTACCAGCTTTGGGTACGCGAGATCAATTCTGGGGTGCATAAAGTGTGAGGAGATCCTTTGTCCTTTCTCTATTATAGCTCCACCGAAGCCCGTATGAGATAGCCCGAAGAGCCGATGAAACCCCGCTCCCCTAGGAATGGGCTCATCCAATCAATCTATTCGCTCTCAATCACGCCGAAAGTAAGAAATGTAGTCAGATTGACTGAAAGAGAAACCATAACTGTGACCGCATTGTCTATGGATGAAGGGCACTGAGACATATGGTAAATACAGCAGAGCAAGATGATACTTCTGCATAAATGGAATTTCGTGTCCACAGAGATGTTGGTATGAACGAGTGCGCTTCGGGCCTTCGAGAGCGATAGCTGGTTTTCATATCGACAAACATATTGACACTGAGAAAATTGGAATGATTCATTCGACATAGTAGAAGAAATCGGTACGTGAGTGTTTGGGGGAGGAGGAACTCTTGGTACAGGCGGTGTTCCCACTGCTGGTCGGATGAAAGGGGCAGATAAAGAGAAGAGAGGCGATGATGGCGAGATACGTGGAATACGGGGAGTATTGTAAAAGCCGCGTGGTGGATGTCTATACCAGCCTTGTGAATGACCAGGATCATCAACGCGTGGGATGTTTGAAACATTCCCCTGGGAAGAATTCAAATCACCAGCTATCGAATTGATCTCATGATCGATCAATCTCATTCTGGTGAGTTTAAGGATGGCCAAAGTTTGTCTGGCCGTAGTAAGCATTGACTTCAATGATTCAGAGGTGATCTAAACCTGATTCAAGTGTAGGCATTTGAGCTGAATGAACTTTCCTCTCTCACAGATATCCTTGAAAAAGTAAGGTTGTGCCTGGGAGGGATGGCCGACACTCTGTGAGAGCTTCAGTCGCATGAGACCAGGTGACAACTCAGTAAACCAGTTTGACCCAAGTGTCCCTCTCAAGTTCTATGCAGAGATGGAGATCCTCTACACTGTCTAGGAACGGAAGACGAGAATCGTATTGCACTTCTGGGAGGGTCACCTGGGAACTGACATCGGCACAGTAATTATGTGAATTCAGGAGATCGGAGTTGTCTGTGATCATGGCTTTGTATGTGTGATAGCGGTCCCTCAGTTCATCGCCATCTAATGGCTGGCAACTTTTCGATGACACACGGAATTCTCCCATGTTATTTTCACCGAGCTGATGTACGCCATCAAACACGGTTGGTATCATCCAAAGCTCTTGGACTCGTTTTCTGACTACATCGGATTGTGCGAGGTCTTCCAGTCTGCCAAGACTGTCGCTCGTCACCATAAAGTGGATGCTTTTGAAATATCGGTCGAAGAAGTCCCCAGACGACGTTGTGCATAATGTGCGACATGTCAACCTGAGCGTTTTCCTTTCCAATATCTGTACATGGCTGCAGATGATGGACATCACTTCTACCGGAAGAGACTTTATGGACATTTTGACGGTGATCGGAATGGACTGTCACAAAGCAGAATCAGCGCGGTCCAGGGGAATTGGAAGAGGGGTGGGAAGATGCTTAAAGGTGAAAATGAAAACAAACGAACCTTGGAAAGTCGCGAGTATATGGATCTTCCAATTTTTTGCCTTCTTTCAGTTGCACCCCCGATCTTGTAAGGCTTGGTGGAGCATAATAATGTGGGGCTCTAAGGGGCCAAGCATTCAATAAGCACTTTCTTTTGATTGGAACTTCCTTCTTTTTCCTCCTTTTCTCCGCTTGATTCCGACATCATTTCAGTTCATATCCCGGTGGACTAGACCTATTGGGGGGTCAGGTGAACCCCCAAAACAGGTGCAGATTGATAGTTTGGCCTCAGCCTCACTCCCTCCCTTCCTCTTTCTCTCCATCTCTCTCTTCGTCCTTTTTTGTTCTCAATTCACGCGGTTTTCTCTGCCTTTTTCTCCCTATCTGTAGCTCACAAAGAATTTAATCGGCTCCGCAGGTTTATGTTCCGTTGAGACACCTCACCAGCATAATGACGGCAACACCACCCCCGGAACTGTTATTCCAGATCGCAACTCTTCTGCAAAATGATGGAAACTCTCTAGTTCCTTGCACTTGTGTTCGTCGCTCATGGCAGGCGGCTTTTGAACCCCTCCTCTACTCCAACCTAGCTGTCTATAGTGACGATGAACACAAAGCAGAGGGGCAACGTGGAATTTCTCTCCAAAATTTCCAAAATCTCATATCCGGCGATCATGCTATACGGAAAACCTACATCCGAAAGCTTGAATACAATATCCTCGTCCCTTACGAAGTCTTAGACTGGATGGCACGCAAACATCGGAAGAATCCTGAGAATTATAGTACAGATAATCCTATCCGAAAGGACAACGATCTAGCTTTTCAGACAGCTATAGTTAGCCTTTTCCAAGAGCTTCAATCATGGGATCAAAATTCCCGTCTGAGATTAAATCTGACTATTCGAGGTCGTCGGCAAGGTCTTGCACCGGAACCACATACTCAGCACTCAGAAATCGCCGCTGACTATCGCTGGGACTATCGAGATGGGCGTATATTATCAATTCCCCCATACAGAGCGCGGTTCCTCAAGGATATGTCGGATCTACCATCTCTTCCGTGCATTGAGAAGCTCTCTTTTCTAAACCGTAATCAAATCTGGACAGGTGCAATGCGGACTATAATTCAACGTTGTACCCAAATCGTTGAATTGGAGCTAGATCTTGAGGAATTTGTCCGTCCAGACCACCTAGAGTATATACAGGCACGTCGCGAAGGTGAGCTATACCCTTTTTGTTGTGAACTTCTATTAACCTTAGAAATTTTACTAATACCTATATAGCGTTGTCTTCTTTAGTCGGATCTATTCCGAAGAGCCTAAGAGTGCTACTCTATCAAGGACACGATGATGCCCCGTGGAAACCGGCCATGCGCCCACTCAATGTCATTCCTTCTGGTGTTGATAATGTGAGCTCCAATTTACGAGATCTCAGTATTCACCTTAAGCACCTAAAGTTGGTGAACACTACTATCGCATATGACTTTTTGTGTCCTTTGGATAAAAAAGGTCAGCCTAAACCGGGTTCCTTGCAGTTGAACTGGCCCTACCTAGAGGTATTAGAACTTGAGGGTATACCACCTTGGCTTCCTTCAGGTAAGAAATCGGTCCCTCCTAGAACAAGAAAGCACCAAAGAAAAAGTTGAAGTATATCCAAGAGGTCTAATGACAAACAAATCGAACAGGAGAACCAACTTATCATAACACGCCGGAAGACCAAAGCGAAATCAACGAGATTGAAGATTGGGAAGACGTGATATGCGATGTCGAAGCGGGATGGGGCTGGCCGGAATTACCGACTGAAGAACATTTCCATCAACTTCTCATATCGCTCGGCTATGCGGCCCAGCGCATGCCCCATTTAAAGAACGTGAAAATTGAGGTGGAGAGCCATCGCCAGTTTACCTTCTGTCTCCAGAACAAGGCCGACCAGATTATCTTGAAATGGGAATGTTTTCACCCATATCGACCAGATAGTCGGGTGGCAAAGGCGTGGGATTTTGACTTGGAGGATATGAAAAGTCACCCTCAATACGAGGATGAAACTTCTGTGATACTTCGGACCTGGCCACCCAACAACCCTATCTAGCCCACTGGATCAAGACACAGGAATTACAAAGGCAACTGCGCTCTCTTTCGCGAAGCACGGTGCACGAAGATTTGCCGTTGCAGATCTCAATTTTGAGGGGCTTTCAGGCGTCTTTTCCTAAATAAAGACGTCGTGGCTTTCCTCGAGGATGCACATTTATAGCTCAAATCCAAAGGCATATGCAACCCACGAGGTCCTTTTGCCAAATCCCTTATTCATTACGCCGTTATATGTAGATGCCGAGATGTCGAGTGCTTTAGGTGGAGGGGTATAATCCAATAATATTTTGTTATAGCTCAACTGAGGGGGTCAGTGTAGTGGTCGCGCGACTTAGGTGATTCTCACCCTAATCCTCAGCCTGTCTATGGAGCACTCACCCTTCTCACCCCCGGTCGAGCAACCGTAAAGCGGCACTAACCCTAAACTCACCTAGGCGATACCACTAGACTAGCTATCCTAATCAAAGGATACATATCCCTTCTATACCAACTCCAGTACATACGACCACAGGGTGTGGAGAACAGGGCTTCCCGTCCGCTCAGCCGTACTTAAGCCACACGCCGGTAAGTTAGTAGTTAGGTGGGTGACCACTAGCGAATCCTTACTGTTGTATGTTTTTGCTTTTTGGTGTCTTTTGTTGTTAATTATGGATGACATTAGAGAGAGACAAATTGTTCCTTGTTAATTAAGCACATGGACCCATGTGGTTGTGGTGCCCGTAGCCAGCATGTCGTCTCGGCGAGAGGTCAGGATAAATCAATGACAGATAAACTCGCACACTGTTACGGTAAAGTAAGTGTACGGGCCGACTTGGATTTGACAGGTCATGTTTTCCAATTGGAGACTAGCTAAGACATCAAGAAAGGAACTCTAGGCCGAACCGAAGATCAGATACTGCAATTTGGCTGAAAAATAACATTGTATCCGAGATCGAGGTATGTACATTGATCTTCAACATCAACCCCCTAACGTGACAATTCAATTGGCGCACATCTATATTGTATCGCACAACAATTCCTCTAAATTCTACTCCGTACTCCACACAGATAACACAAATCCATTAATATTGAGAAAATATTGGCGGGAAAAAGATTCTCACGGGTGTACGTAGGCCCTACCCGCTAGTTCGTAAGTTGGGGCCAACCACGCAAGCTGCCCCCGTCATCCCCCATCCAAGCTTTTCTGGTCGGTACGGCAATGAATTATAACATCGCTACTGATCAGAATTTATTTTGCTCCACCATGGTTCCTGGCATCGGAGCCAATGACAATGGCAATTTCCCAATGGGTTATCTGCCATCTGCGTCGTATGTGGATGTGATGATCCAAGGTCGAGGGGCAACAGATCGGGTTTGACACGCAACATCTAAGAATAAAACGAACAACGATTCCATGTTTATATACCTGTTGTCCCTTGTTCGCCAAGGCTGTTTGCGTTGCCTATAAACCTCGGAGCATCGCTCTTTTTTGGTCCATTCTCTTTCATCCCGTATACTTCGTCTTTCATTCATAGTATCAGCTTCGCTATGGTCTTCAAGTCTTACTACCAGTGGGCTGCTGTCGCCCTGGCTGCGACTGCTCAGCTCAGTGCTGCCCAGACTACTACTAGCTGCAATCCTCTCAAGAGTATGTGTTAGATCCAAGACGTTACTAGTACAACGCTGACAATTGCCTCGCAGAGACTTGCCCCGCGGATACCGGTCTTAACAAGTACCGTCTCAACACCGACTTTACTTCTGGCTCCCTGGGCCGCTGGAACACCACTGCCGGCACCGTGACAAGCACCGACCTAGGAGCCAAGTTCACCGTCTCGGAACAGGGTGACGCCCCCACAATCGAGAGCGAATTCTACATCTTCTTCGGCCATGTCGACGTCAAGATGAGAGCCGCCAATGGTACTGGTATCATCAGCACCTGGATCCTCGAATCCGACGACCTCGACGAGATCGACTGGGTAAGTCCCTCACTCCTATATCATGCCACCGCCAAAAGCAACATCCACTAACCCATCCCACAGGAACAAATCAGCACCTACAGCACCGAAATCCAAACCGACTACTTCGGCAAAGGAAACACAACCTCCTACGACCGCGGCACAACTGTAACCGTCACCACCCCAGAAGAAACCTTCCACACCTATTCAATTGACTGGACAAGCGAGCGTATTCAATGGCTGCTCGATGGCGACGTAGTCCGTACTCTGGAATACGCTGACGCCGTAAACGGCAAGAACTTCCCCCAGACACCCATGCGCATCCGCATCGGCATCTGGGCCGGCGGAGACCCAGACAACTCCGAAGGCACAATTGAATGGGCCGGCGGCGAGACCGATTACACCGAGGGACCCTTCTCGATGTACGTTGAGTCGGTCGATATCATCAACTACAACCCCGCCCAGGCGTACAAGTATACCGATAAGACCGGTGCTTATACTAGCATCAAGGCTATTAATGGGACTAATATTTCTACTAATTTGGCCACGAGCTCAAGCACTGGTTCGGCGTCTGTTATGGCCTCTTCTACTGCTGTGGGGTCTTCTTCTACTGCTGCTTCCTCATCGTCGTCGGCTTCTTCTATTGCTTCTTCTGTTGGAGTTGTGTCTGGTGCGTCAGCTTCGTACTACACTTCTGTCTTTGTTATTGCTGCTGTTTCCTTTGTTGCTGGAGTTGTGCAGTATTAGGGGGCTGGGTTTCGTTATGGATGTATGTTTGCGAGTGGGATGTGTATAGATCTATGATTACAATTTTTTTTTTTTAACATTCCTTCTTGTAATATGATTATCTGCCTGATTTAGACTTACTGTCCACCGCTTATTCTATTGCCAACTTCGTCTTCAGACCTGTTTCTACAAGTAATGATTGGGACCACTGTCGGCTATATATTTTGGCGCAATTCCAGCCATGCGCGATGCTAGTGCAATGAGCGTGCCCACCAGCTTCATAAAAGTCAAAAATATACTCCTAGGTAGTCGATAGGTTATGAATTACATGAATTGAACAGCAACGAATCGAAAATTTTGTCTTAGAATGTTAGATGACCAAAGAAAGTCCCAAATGTAAAACGTGGCGACCCACCAAAAACGACGCTAGCAAATTCTGCTCAAGTAGCACAACTGGCTCAATCCACATATCAACTAGCATCATTGGTCTAGTGGTAGAATTCGTCGTTGCCATCGACGAGGCCCGTGTTCGATTCACGGATGATGCACAGCTATTTCTTCTTTTTTGTTTTTGTTTCCTCGACCTCGATTGGCGCCTTTGATGTCTCCTGTCTGTGGCATACAGGAGATTAGTCCCGCAATACCGGGACCGTCTCATTTTTAGTGTACAAGGTGTTCATCTTTAGCCCATCTATTTGCTAGATTGTTTTCTTGAAGCTGGTATGGTGGCATATGACAACACTTGGCTAAGTAGAGAGTTTCCATGCGGCTAACTAACTATAATACAACTTACGAACCCTGGGAGTGTTCAACCTTTCAGCCAAGGATCCTCTAAGAGCTCTTTAGCTGTTGCCCTCTCACCTGGCATCCAAGTCAAAGTTCTTCGTAGGAACTTGACAAAACCAAGAGGTAGACCCATCTGACTCTTTTCAGGTATGGGTACAATACCCTTCCACTTTCCTGGAGAGACAACTATCAGCATTTCGTCGCATAACACAGAAATGACCAAAAAAGGGAACATACCAGTTTCATCCCAGAAACTAGCAGCGATATCAGGGTTCAGCGCAAGGAACTCAGCAGGCGGTGGATACAGAACAGAAATGATTTCAGCGAGATGAGTTGCCTCATAGAGGTCACCGGCGTTCTCGTTAGCATTGAACATTCCGTCGAACCCGAGGAGATCAATTGCCTACATGTCACAATCAGCAATCTTGTTCTAAAACAAAATACCCAAAGTAACGAGTAAGAAGCGAAAAGGCATACCGTCATACCAACACACCAAATATCAACAGGATAACTCCACGGCACCTCAATCATAATCTCCGGAGCACGATATACCATAGGCAGTGCTTTATATTCATACGGGCCCGGTCCAATCCTCGATTCCCCGAAATCAGAAAGTTTCAGAGGACCCTCTTTAGGGATAAGTGCTCGCGAAGCGTATATTGTTCGAATCTCTGAGACCTGTTTGCGAGTCGACGGTGATTCCTTCTCATGATCATCCATAACTTGGAATATGTCATTTTCGTCTTCGTCAGCACAGGCTAGTAAGTTACCAGGATGGAGATCTGGGTAGATATCAGCACAAAAGCCGACCTCGGTTGAGAGATGTGAATGGTGATACCAGCATGAATAGCCTCGCACTCAGTATGCAGAAAATCCAGCGCCTGGAGTACCTCAACGAGGATCGCTTTCACCATCTCTTCAGGGAGCCGCTGGTTTGGCATGCCTCTTTGAAAGTCGTACAGACCTATATGGCCGGGTTCCAAGACCAGCACGATGTGTGTACCATCTGGACCAGTGACAGTGAAAGACTCGTGGAATTTGCGAATATTTTTCCGCCCGATATGGGAACTATTCGAGATGTAGGGTGTTAAATGCTCGTAGAAAGGGAGCTCGCGGTGGAACATTGAGTTGTGGATGTACACTTTCAGGGCGACATATTTTTTGTCTCTGCATTCAATATTAGCATAGGCAAGAGAAAACTACTGTACTCAGGTGGACGAGCCTCATATCTCTCGCCAGCCATGTCGTAGAACAACTTCCCCAGCCCAGTTTCGCGCGTACTTGGAAGCGATCTTGGAAGATTTCTCCGATGTAGACTGGGTAGTATCGATGGGACTGTAATCGGATATTTGCTCTTCGGCGGCTGGGATGTCTGCTGGGATAATTTCGAATCCACTTGTCGGGAATGATTGAGGCTTCTCTTTGGAGGGTTGGTAGCCAGATGTAGAAAAGAATCTCAATGGGTTGATTATTGAGGCCAGTGGTGGCGTTCTGGGTCTAGCGCTGAAACGTGTTGTCTGTGGTCTTGGATACGAAGACGTGAAAATTTCTAGTTTCCCTAGACGAATGCGAGTCCTGAGACTCTGTCTTGCTATTGATGCCATTTGGCGCAAGTTGTGTAGGAGAGAGCTTGAGTATCACGAGGTCAGGGCGGGATCGTCGTTGCATCTCATCCCTGTCATTCCTAATTTTAATGTTGGTCGCGGACACACTTGTGCTATACAAACGTGAACGGTTCCCTGCTAAAGTATTAATACTTTATTATATGATGCTACCCTAAGTTTTAGTTGTAGAATTGATAGAGCCCAATGAGGAGAATGAATGTTTTGCTCATTAAACATAGTTCGATGCCTGGTATACAAAACAGTAGATCAGTCAAGATGGATGAAAGTGTACAACAAGAATTTATGTGCAAAGAAGAAGAAAAAGAATATGTTCAAGGGGTATCAGGATGGTCACCAACGACCATCTGTATCGGCAAAGAAAAAGGGTGTTGAGCATCAAAGTGGTCCAGTTCGCTTCCGTCGCCACTGTACCCAATGCCATCGCGATTATCGTCTGTAATGCGACCGTATTCAAGTAGAAGAAGATACAGATAAATGTCAAGATCTTCATTGCGCAATGCCTGCTGCGCCCATTCCCGACTCTGAGCGGCAATCACCTCAGCCTCGAAGTCGTGGCTTTGCACGTATGGCTCTCTGGACGCGGGCAACGCGCTGGATGAGGAGTTGCCCAGACCAATAAAATATGTCATTAATGCATATAGGTCATCGTAGCGATTGTCCATCGGAACGAAATGGCGCCAGGCGAAGAGTCTCGAGTCGTGCCATTCACGGAATATGGTGGCTTTGATGCCTAGGGATTTGCTGAGGTGGAAGGCACGCCAGCGGCCAGAGAAGCTGTGTCCGTCGATGTCGACTAGGTACTTTGCTTTGAATTGCTGGCTGAAGTCTTGGGGTTCCTTGTATGTCCAGACGTCGTCGTAGAATGAACAGTTGGGAATGCAGCCCCAAGCTTCAGTGAAGCCGACATCGAAGTGGTCCAATGAAAAGTTACTGGGGTTGAAGTTTGAGAAGTTTCGATACTGCTTCACGCTGTTCTCAGTGAGGATTGGGACTGTTCGTGATTCCATCTCGGTGCTGTTGGCGATCTGGACGAAGCGTTGACGATGCAACTGATGCCAATTATCAACAAGCTGGACTCCCCCAGAGGTGACGCCGCGCCAGAGGAGAGTGTCGGACTTGTACTGCCATTCGTAATCGTGTCGTGAATTGTAGACATACCGCTTGTCCTTCATGAAGTACATATTTGCGGGGAACAAGATGTCATTGTTCACGCTGACCTTGCACTCGCTGAAAACCGGGAGCAACTTTCTTGAAATAACATTGCTGGAAGCTGAGAACAGGAATCCATGCTTGTCTCCGAGAACAGGTCCGACCGTGCACAGATCCGAGGAGGCGGTGAAATTAGTGATGAAGCCAGCCGACGGCGACTTGTATAGCTTATTAGCATCCTCGGTCGTGATGTTGGCACGAGCAGGGGAATCAGGCGGACAGGATTCACTGGCGAAGTTCATGTATGGTTGTCCTGCGATTGAAAACCATTCTGGATCCACGCCCTCAACGGTGGAGTCTTTTTCATACAGATGATCCATACCCGAAGTGAATTGATCCTGAGCATCGATCGGCAGACTTCTGGTCAGCGCTTCGATGCGGAGATATTCCTGCGTATCGTTGTAGGATACCATGACTCGAGGCTGGTCCATCAGGTTGAGCGCAATATCCATATCCGGGAGATAGTTGGCGATGCGTTTGATCGAATCCCGCAGCGTCTCCGGCCGCCAATCTTCAATGTCGATAGAAACCTTATGGTTGCGGATACGTACCCCAGCAATTCCATCGCTGTTTTGGAGTTTGGCTGCCATTTTGCGAATCTCGGCTGGAGGCAACGCCCAGAAGGGTCGCAAGTCGCCGGTGATCTGCTGGAAGTCGTCCACATTGTGCGCGTTCTTCGTGCGCGCAAACATGTACCACTCTTTAAAGCCTGGTGGTGGGTGTCGCCCATATGTCTCACGGTATTTGGTCACTGTCCGGCGGAAGTTCGTAGAGCGACTGTTATCGTATGCCAGCCATTGGCGGTTGGCCTCCCGCATGAGACTGACGATGGGGTGTCCATCGTGGGCATACTCCCCCACCGGCTTTGGTTTCCCAAACATGGTAAACCCGCGCAAGCGGGTGTTGTCCACTGTCTCAGTGAGAAAGAACAGGTTGATCAAACATATTGATGTCGCTGCGCAGGCCACCAGCAGGTAATAGGATCTGCGATTGCGGGTGAAACACAGCATCCTGGAAGAAATCCCCCGGATTTTGGCTCCGGGGTGCAGACCTGAAAGCGCAAGGCAGAGTAGAGACTACGGAGACATGAAGAAGACAGTGGGGTTAGGAAAAAAAAGAAGCCATTGCCCCCTTAATGTAGACCAAGCCCGCGCCAAGGGCCTAGCCTTTTACAACAGAGGCCAAATCGCCATGCTTACATGCATTGTTTCTAGACAATGTAAATTGCTAGGTGTATCTGTGTACTACGAATCTTGATATTTCTATAACCACGTATATCGAAGGAATTCAAGGTGATCGCGCCGAGACATATATATATGAACAACAGGGGTAGATGGGGCGACAAGGGCTATTCATTCGACCTCGTGTTGAGTGGACCACGCTAGTCACAACGTCTGAAAAGATGCTTCGTTTCTCGATCTGCAGAGATAAAGAAAAACGATCCATTCATAATGACATCCTAATGAATATTAAATAAACAGAAGACAGTAAATATAAGAGAGAAGAAAAGAACTAAGTGAAGTGAGCTGAAGTGATCGGTGAACATCAACAAATTTAAACTTTTCTTGACGGGCCAAATCACGGGACCCAAGGTCACGGGATATTGCTGACTCGTGTATTATGTAATTAAAGCCTCAGGCCAACAATGGACCTTGGATAGCTCTTGCTCTGAGCTGTCCAACATATCAACTTTCGCATTTCGCAAATGCTGTGGCCTCTTTCAATGGGTGATACTCCTTGGGCTCGATAGCCATGGCAACCAAACGTAATCGCGCCACGCTCGAGGCAGAACTTCAATCACAGCAATCACCATATGTCTTCTATGGAACTCCGCTACCACCACTCGATGAGAGCGTCCGCGATGACGGCTCCTTCGTACCGATATGGAAACAGGAGGTGACCGATGAACGGGGGAGGAAGCGCCTGCACGGTGCATTCACAGGTGGATTCAGCGCGGGGTGAGCTTCCCCAATACCCATGAGCTCGGCGCAATCGCTGACACTATCTAGGTACTTCAACTCCGTCGGATCGAAAGAAGGATGGACTCCCGCGACCTTCGTATCGTCTCGGCAGAATCGCGCCGAGAAGGCGCAACAGCAACGACCTGAGGATTATATGGACGAGGACGATCTGCGGGAACAGGAAGATTCTAGGAAACTCCAGACTGCGGATGACTTTGCCGGGTTTGGATCGACTGAGCATGGTGCCACACGGAGAGCAGGGTTCATGGATATTTTGAAAACTGGGGGCGAGACCAATGGAGTGAAGCTTCTGAAAAAGATGGGATGGCGCGAGGGCCAAGGAATCGGTCCTAAAGTTCGTCGCAAGGCCAGGTTAGAGGAGACTGGTGCGTCGGGCGGAGATGCCGAGCAGACATATCTCTTCGCGCCTGAGAACCCGGCATTGGTTGCCTTTGTGCGCAAGACCGACCGGAAAGGTCTTGGGTTCGAAGGTGAAGCGCGCCTATCCGATTCGCATACGCCCAAACAAACCAACGATGACGATGATTCGGACTCCTTCTTTGGTGGGCGATTAGCCATTCAAGGGAAATCCCAGCCCTCCAAGCCAAAGAACTCACGGCGGGGTGGGTTCGGGGTTGGAGTCCTTAATGACACCGGATCAGACGACGAGGACCCTTATTCTTTGGGCCCGCAGATCTCATATAACAAGACTATCGGAGGAGATAAAAAGAAGAAGAAGAAGGGCAAATCAGAGGATGGAAAACCAACAATCGCATCATCCAACCCTCTCCTCAATTCAAAGCCGGTGTTTATTTCGAAGAAATTGGCAGCTTCACGGGGAACCGGAGGATTCAGAAAATGTCGGGATGGGCGTCTACCGCTGGATGGATTCGTTCTTGCTGAGGGCATGTCGGGCTTGTCGATTTCCAGCGAGAAGCGCTACGATCCCCCAGTAATACCAGAGGGCTGGACATCAGCCAAGGAGCCCTCATCTACAAAACGGGACGACTCGAACTACACATCAACAGCTGATGCCGCCAAAGCCTCATCACTCAATCCGACGTCTAGAGCAGCCCTTCTGGGTGAGGCTCAACTGCCCGGGAAATCCATCTTTGATTGGATGACACCTGAGGCGCGAGACCGAATCGCCAAACTTACTGGCAACCAAAACTTACCTCCAGCTTTGGGAGAAAAGGCACCTAGGGGATACGAGGTTCCCGAATCACAGAGGCGCAAGGACCTCTGGGACCTCGTTCCGAAGCTCGACAAGCAGATTGCCGTTCAAGCTTTAAATCGAGCCGTGAGTGGGTGGATGCCCTATTCAGAAGACGAGAAGAAGCGCGCCCGCTACCGGGTCTTCCTTGAAGTTAGTGCAGGGCTCCGTGATACCCTCCCAGAACGGGTCGAAGGTTCCAACACCGATGAATGGGTCAATGAGATGCAAGAGTTCGGCCGAGCTGCAGAAGTCTTCAAACCTATGTCTGGAGTCATGGCCTCCCGCTTCACCTCAGCATCTTCCGCGCCCAAGGTCGCCTCCGATGCGCCCGACTCGACCGATTCTGTCCTTAGTCGACCCGCCGAGAAGCCTGATAATCCAGCAGTGGCAGCTGCCAAAATTGGCATGTTCGGCCAAATGACTCGAAGCACCATATCATTTTATCCATCACGTCTACTGTGCAAGCGTTTCAACGTGAAACCTCCGGCACATGTGCAGCTTGATCCCGGTGAACGACCGGGCGCATCCGAGTCTCAACCAAGCACACGGTTCCAGTCCGCCGGATACCAAGCTGATACTGGACCTAACACTAAACCTAAGGAGTTGATTTCGCAAGATGTCATGAACCAGCTCCTCATGGAGTCGCTAGGTCATATTCCTGGTGCCACTGGCCAATCTACTGCTGAGCCCCCACGTCCGGCAGTTGAACCAGAGCGCAACGATGCCCTGGAGGCAGAGAGGCCTGGTGATGCGGTCTTTAAGGCTATTTTTGGAAGTGACGATGAAGATGAATAAATAGAACGTATCAATACGCATCAGATATATATGTAAATATTTATAGACCGTTGTGGTCAAAGCTTACAAACTAAGCATTGTCGATCATTTGAGGCCCACGGTGACAGTATAAAGTAGACGAGATGCGCGATTAACCTACGCTTGGAATGTACCCTTCCAACCTTCCAAGGTTCCTCTTTGTCTTCCTAAATCTCCTAATTCTTCTAATTTCCGTTGTTTCTCTCATATTCTCCTTTAAATCACTTACTCTGCCTACTCCACCTGGTTCCCCTCTTGAAGTCATCCTTGCGGTCTGTGCTCTGCTCTAATTTAGTTCCGTCATTCTCCCCTCTCGACACTCCCCTCAGCTTATGGAGGCTCTTGACATGCAAGATGGTAAGAGTATCCCTGTTTTCAACCTCCTCAACTCCCTGCAATCTACCTAAGCACAAATCCCATTGCTTGGCACCTATTGAACGTCACGCGACCAGCGCCCTTCACAACCAGACCGATTCCCAGCTCTACCCCAGCTCCAAGGACCACCGTATCAGAACCACAAAGACAAAACTAACATGAAACTTCTCAAAACAGGGCTGCTGCTCCTCCGTGCCGTCGCCAGATGACGACCAACAAGATTCGCCGTATACCTACAATCATCAACACACCCAAAACCACACGAGCTCAACAAACCGCAATGGTACAACCCCCGCAACCCCAACAGCAAGAAGAACAAACCGACGAATCAGACACGCCCCAAACCTCCCCTTAGACGAGCACTACAATGAACCGGTGCGCAACCATGTCTGGCACAGCAAACGACGAACCTGGACACGTGCCCAGCTAGACCGCGAACGCACCGAGTTCTTCGAAACGCGCGTAACAGGGCGCCCGGAAGTCTGGGCCGCAGTCGCGAGCGCTATATCGCTCATGCGCACGGGCGATCTTGCTACCGCGCAGAGTATCGTCGATGCAGCGGGCGTTACGGTCCCCACCGGTGATCTGTGTGAGGGGTGCTATGATCAGCAGGGGGTGCTTTATCGGCTTCCGCAGTGTATTGTTAGTGATCCCGAGAATATGGTTGTGACGGCAGATACGGATGCGACTGTTTCGGAGCCGGGGGATGGCCATGATGAGGATGAGGATGAGGATGAGGATGATGAGCTTGATGATGACGGGCTTCGGGATGGGAAGCTTGCTACGGATGATGCTTCTGGGGATGAGTTGATTGCGCGGGATATTGAGCGCCGGAGGGATGAGAAAGGGAAGACGAGTGAGCGTGATTTGATCCGCGTGCTTGCGAGATTGAGTGATCGCGAAGGACCTGATTTGGTGCTTTCTGTGGGGAAGGGGCAGACTGTTGGCTTTTTAGCGAGGAGGGTGCATCAGGAGGCTGAGGTGAGTCTTGGGTGCTTGGCTGCTTCGGTGCGGTTTGGGATATGATGCTAATTGTGTTGTAGCTTGCGGACAATGCGCGCGTCCGGATTGCTTATCTTGGTCATTTGCTCAAGGAGCAGCAGCCTTTGCTTGATCAAGGCTGGAAGATTGGCCATGTTGTTAACGCTTTGGTCGTTTCACCTAACGGGTCCGGTATTCGACGGTGATCCTAGGGCTGCTGATCGCCGTTCTCTTGGATACAGATCTGCTCTGGCCTGTTTCTTTTGTGTCTGCTTTCCTACCACCTCTCTATTCCTCTTGGATCTCTAGCGTTCTGGCGTTTCTTTCTTTTTTCTTTTTTCTGATCTCGTTGCACAATACCCCTTGTCTTTTACTTCAACTCCACCTAACACGTCTGTTCCATTTACTTCGGCATCCCCTCTTTCAGATTTACCTATCCTTCTTTAATACGAAAGCAGACTGATCTATGACATGATGTCTGCGATTTATGAAACGATTCGCAGCGAGTCTTATATGTATCATGATATTGCAATGCTCTAACACCATTGGTTTATGTAGCATCTAAATTCAACCGACGAAGCTGAATGAACGTAACGCAACCAATCTACATCATGACAAGGTTGAATGGCATACTTAGATGAATATGCTTCAAGAAACTACTCAAATTCCATCAAATAAAATACAAAACTGATCAAACCAACCGACCATTATCCGCCTCCTTGCCCTTAGGCGTCTGTCCAGATCGCCGCTTAAAGACCCGACACAAGAACGAAGCGCCCCGTCCAATACCGCGCACCAATGAGGTAGGGTTGTAATGCTTAACACGGAACATGTAGTAGAGCAGAACAGTACCAGCCACATTGAAACCGATATAGGCCCAGCCGAGACCGAAATTGCGCCAGCGTTCACTGTAGACTATTAACCAAGTCAGTACCAGAGCCAACAAAAAAGAAGAAACATACGGAGAAAAACTTACAGATATTACTGGAAGACAAATACTGATCCGCATTCTGCAGCTGACAGAACTGACATCCACTCATAGCAGTAGGATTATAGAGCTGACCACCAGCAGCCTGGACATACGGATCAAGGTACGCACCACAGGACAACCCAGCAGGCGGATTGAAGACACTAAGCTCAGCATCCGCACAATGAACCTGACGAGCATGCAAACCCGTCGCCGTAATGCCAGCAATCAGATATGTCAGCGGCGAGACACGGTACATGAAGATCCAGAACCCGGGCAGGGCGTTCGGCGGTTGCATAACACCGTTGAAGGTCAAGGCCATGATAAACAAGAGTGTGGCAATGGTACCACCCGTTTCGGCGTCGGGTAGGGACGAGATCACAAGGGATGCGAAAGTAGATGTGAAAATATAGAACTGAACGACGAATAGTAGCATCAAGCCCTGGCGCTGGGAAGCTTGGGCTGAGCCATAGATCGGGTAGTAGTAGCATGCCCAGCTGATGACTCCAATGAAGATTTGATATGGGATTTCGACGATGACGTTTGCTATCAGGAATGCGCCCCAGGAGTATGCTTTTGAGGGACGTTCGCGTACTTCGTAGAGGGAACGCTGAACTACGAATTTGGGCATGATCCTGGAGACAAGTGTTAGTGTGATTTTGAAAAGTTTGTGGAGTAGGTTGCATACTGTTGTACGAGCGTTGAGAAGATTGAGGTTAGCATGAAAGCGCTGAACAAGACATCCTGGAGCCCCTGTAGAGAAATGTCTGGCTTGAAGAAGGTGAATCCGATGAATAGCCCGGACATCGTTGCCAGCATGATCTTTGCCCATACATAGGATGGTTCGCGCCAGAAACCTTGGAATGATCGGTAGGTGACTTGCCATAACTGTGAGGTAAATGGCATTGCGTATTCACCTGTCTGGGATTCACCTTCTTCGCTGGAGTTTGCTGCGGCTCGCTCGTCGTGGATGCGGTCGATCTCGGCTTGGACATCTCTGGCTTCTTGGCTTTGTTTCCATACCTGACCCCAGTCTTGGGTTGACTTTCCAGATGCGCCGGCACCGATGATTTCAAGCATATATTCCGCAGGCTGGTTATCTATTAGTGAGTGTGGCTCGAAGATCGAGGAAGTTCGGTCTTACGTTTTCCTGTGAAGTACAGGTCCTGGCTCCATTGCCCTCGAAGTAGTCCAGGAGAGTCCGAGACTGGTCTCCGATTTCACCGAAGTAGACAGTTCTTCCTCCCTTGGCGAGGAACAGAAGACGATCAAACTGTTGGAAAAGCAATGCACTGGGCTGGTGAATCGTCGATAAAACCGCCTGGCCATGTTCAGCTAGCTTTCGCAAGAAAGCGCAGATAGCCCATGAGCTTTGCGAGTCCAATCCGCTAGTAGGCTCATCGAGGAAAATAAGAAGAGCAGGCTTTGCAGCCAACTCGACTCCAATTGTCAACAACTTCCTCTGCTCAACGTTCAATCCTTCTCCAGGTGTGCCGACGATGGCATCTGAAAAATCCTGCATACCAAGCATGTCGATGACCTCTTCGACGTAATCATATTTTTCTTTCTTGGAAACAGTCTTAGGCTGGCGCAACAAAGCACTGAACCGAAGTGCCTCCCTGACAGTATCCGTCGGAAGGTGCAAGTCCTGTTGCTGAACATAGCCCGTTTTCCTCTGAAAACTGGCATCGAGGGCTTTTCCGTTGACCAGCATATCCCCGGTAACAACACCAATAGAGACCCGTTTAGCCAGAACATCAAGCAGAGTCGTTTTCCCGGCACCCGATACACCCATCAGAGCTGTTAATGTGCCGGGCTTGACCCAGCCAGAGACATTATCAAGTAGACGTCGTTCGCCCCCTTTGACTGGGATGTCATAGCAGACATTTCTCCAGGTGAAGATATCATGCTGAGCTGGAATGGCAGAAGTATCTTTGTCGGCTTCTGAATGCTTTTCCTGCTTGACCTCCGCTGAGCCGGTGCTTCCTCCTCCGTTCCTAAGGTGTCGCAGATGAGCGGGAACATGGCCTCGACGGAAAACCAAGAACTCAGCTTTCGAAGAGGTAGACGAATTAAGCTCCGAGGCAAGCAGATACAGGGATACAAAAAAGATCCAAAACCCAATCAAGATCCCCAAATTGCGCCATTCATGCGCATAGGTATACCTATACTGAGTTTCAATGTAGGCATCACCGGACACAGTCCGTTCTCCCGCCACAGCACCTCGCACGGCACATATAAATGAATCTCCAGTGAGACTGGGATAAGCAGGGATAAACCGTGAACATGTAAAGCGACGGCCATGGAACTCGTTTGCAATCAATGCTTCGAAGGTGTAATAGACTGGATTGATCCATCGAATCCAGCTAAACCAAACAACCATTTCAGGTACGGTGATCACAAAGCCAGTGTAGATGACGATTGCTAGGACTATCACTCCAGCTAAGGACATGGCCTGTGCAAGGGTTTTTGTAGATGCTGCCAATGTTCGGAATACGCCTGACATTGCGAGAGTGCTCAGGAAAGTGAAGAGAAAGAATATGAAGAATTGCGAGGGCTCGTATCGCTGTATATTTTGGTCAGATCGGTTCAAATTAGAAGGTTGGGGATTGTCTTCGACTTACTAGACCGGCCAAAAAGTAGAAAATGACGTTGAACACGACTGCTGATACGAATTTGACAGGTATATCGGCGACGATTCCTCCTAGCGATTCTGTAAATGGATGGACAAAGGCGTAGGATGCTTGCTTCTCAACGATTGGTCGCTGATCGTAGAGAGAGTTGATCTCCGTGATACTGATGAGGGCATTCATTCTGGATAGAATCGTTAGTCTACATACTAGATATTTCCACCAGATAGACTTAAGAAAGGATCTCGAGGAGTACTCACAGAACCGAGAAGAAAAGTGCTGCGCCTTTACTTTGAAATCCTGCCGATGCGTTGGGGGTTCTGTGCGAATAAGCAACATGCCAGAAATCCCACCGTATGATACATAGACTTACCCAAAATAAATCGATCCAATAATCAAGGACATGGCTATACGTCCGATGACCGTTGTCATTGTGGAAGGCTTGTCATTCCAAATTCTAGAGATAGTGTCAATTGTGATCACATCGTAGTCAAAGGCTAAGACAAACCGTTGGTAAGCTCTCTTCGTACAAAGCTTGACCTGCATCGAAATCGAAATGACATATGGACTCTTGGGCCGAACATGCTTTGCCTGCCGGAGTCTCTTCGTCTCATTGAAGCTCCTTTCGGCCTCTCCTCCAAGCGGATACTCCTCTCGGTATTGAGAAATATGTTTTTGAAGTGCGGCATAATGAGAACTGTTTTTCCAGTACTTCTCAAAGTCGTCAGGAGTGCGAGGAACTTTGTTCTCCATCCCTTCACGAGCGGTACGCTCCTGTGGATTGGTGACAGAGGTCAAGAAATCACCGGTTGTTTGGCGCGCAGGACACTCCCAGCCCATATCCAAGAAATAGTCTTTGGCTTGATTACAAGGGCCGAAAAAGATTTCTCGGCCTTCATACAAGACAATGACCTTGTCGAAGATATCATAGATTGCCTGCGAGGCTTGATAGATTGCAACCGCGTGGCAGCTGCCAATCAGGTTTGCGGATACTCTGAGTGATTTGGCAAACTCCAAGGCACTTGCAGAGTCCAAGCCTCGGGTACTGTTATCCCATGCTGCAACTGGGGCTCCAGAAACTAAATGGACATTAGCTTGGGGATAAGCAATGGATAGTAGCTATGACTTACGTGCCATCTCAGCAATACTAAATGCGAAGATTAGCATCTGGGTTCTGTAATTTGAGGGTTACATACCTGACTCGCTTTCGCTCACCTCCAGATACTCCGCGAATGTAGTCATCTCCAACTGTAGAGACATTTAGCTTAATCATTTCGGATCAAAATCTCAACATACCCTTGGTGTTGTATGTATGACTCAACCCCAACACAGCCATGGCCACCTGAGTGATATGTTTCGCGTAACATGTTCGACTGATCCCATTCAACCGATGTTCAGGAGTCCTAGCAGCAGCAGCAAACTCAAGAGTCTGGCCGACGGTGAGATGAGGAAAGTGCTTATCAACCTCCTGGTTATAGAGGACTTCTCCTTTGAATTCCTTGTGCATCTTCTCCATTGGAATGCCATTGTACTGGATATCCGACTCCTTATCCAGCTTCAAGCCGTGTAGCTCGCCAGAAAGGGTTTTAAGGAAAGTTGAGCAACCACTCCCAGGACGTCCAAGCACAATCAACAGCTCGCTGCTCTCCAGAACACCATCAAAATTGCGCAGAATCTTTTTCTGCGGTGCACGGCGCCCGCAAGAAAGGTATTCCTGAGGCCGGAACGGCGCCAACGGGACCGATCCAACATTTTTCTGGTACTGCAATGCAGCTCCTGAGCCAGAGATGTTGAGGTTCTCCCAAACCACACCGGTTGATTTGCGGACGGGAACACCTTCTTTGTCCATCAGCTTCAGCATCATGCGAGCCCACTTGTAATGGTCAAACTGGTCGCTTGTAGGATCGAGGACTGGGTCCCCTAGCTGGACATCTTCGAGTGTGTCTTTGCGTTCGACATTTGTCATTCCAGATATGCCAGAGTCGCTGGCACGGTGCCGAGGGAAGTTTGACGCGATGCGAGAAAGTTCTGCGCGGTCCTCAGGGCGGATATAGTCAAACACCACCCCATGGCGCCTTGATTGGGCAGAAGTATCTTCCGGAGAGGAATCAGAGCTTGACTGTGGTTCGTGGCCGTCGTGCTGGGAAGAGGTAGGCTCGATGGCCTCGTGGTCTTCCTCTTGCTGCGCCATGATAGATGAATTTAATATTGAAAACCCTACCAGTATGTCCCCGGAAGCAATAAAATCCTAGGGCTAACATAAACTATTGACTCCCAAAGCATAAAATCCATAGGAGGAAATAAACCATAGATGTAATTCTAAAGTCCTGGACATCTCGGCGGAGTGACCAGCTTATAGAAAATTTCTGTGTAGCATCCAGACCCCTGATCCAAAATAGGAAGTATTTACCCCAGTCATCCTGTGATCCTATTTGGCAAAATTAGTAGTCGTGATGTCAACACCACACGGCTGTGGTTCTGTGGTTCAAACGATGGAACCCGGGGAAGCCGGATGCAGCAATGGCAAGTCAAGATGTTACATGTATCAGTATCTGACGGATTTCGAAGATAAAACATTTATATTGGCTCCTCTGAAGGGTTTAATCAAGCATGGGAGATGAGTAGTAAGAAGTGAAGTATAAACGTAGTCTGATGTCTTCATAGTAGCAATGTCGCCGCCTCAGGCCACAACAGCCAGCCAATCACCTCCCGCAATGTAGCTCCTCCAACAAACAGTGCAAACACCTATCGCAAAGGAAAAAAATAATTTATCGCAGTCTCCGCTCTCCAAGACAGTTCGATCTCGAGTTTGGAATTGATTCCCTTGAACAGATATCTCTAAAGGTGGCCTCCTTATACCTTTCTAGAGATCAGCCACTGCCCTCCCTCCAACATCAAAACTGCCTCAATCGCCTCAATCGCCGATCCTATAGAAATTTACTATGGACGGCCAAAAAACTCCCTTTGTGAGGGAGCTTGGCTCCAGTGGTATGTGGTCATTCTTTGCAAATGAGCCGCGCGAAACTAATCAAGTTCCTTCTCTTCAGACCGAAAGGTCCGCGACAAGGCCCTCGAATCTCTCACTCAGTTCCTGCGCTCACGCACCGATCTGACCCTCATCGACCTCCTCAAGCTGTGGAAGGGACTGTTCTTCTGTAAGGAAATCCACGAGACCTGTTAAACAAACACCACAGAAATCTAATAATTACCAGGCTTCTACCACTCCGACCGACCCCTCACACAACAAGCCCTCGCCCGCGCACTCTCCTACTCCCTCGTCCCAACCCTCCCCAAAGAAACCCTGCACCGCTTCTTGCGCGCCTTCTGGATTACCATCGGCCGAGATTTCCACTCACTAGACCGTCTCCGATTGGACAAGTACCTCTTCCTGATCCGTTGCTACGTAGGCGTTGCATTCGAGCTCCTAGTGAAGAACCCATCAACAAAGCCCGACGGGAAAAAGCGTAAGCGCGAAGATGCCGCCAAGCAAGGCCCCGGCAAGAAGCAGAAGAAACAGACACAGGCCGAGGCCGAGCCCGCCACCGAAGACGACAAGACCAACGACGAAGACGACGAGGCCAAATTCCCCGATCTGGCAGCTTATATCTCCATTATCGAGGAAGGTCCTCTTTGCCCTCTGAACTATGATCCCGACCAGCCAAAGGACGAGGGCGATCCTAATTTCGTGCCTATGCCCCACGGGCCTGATGGGCTGCGTTACCATCTTGTCGATATCTGGGTTGATGAGTTGGAGAAGGTTCTTGAGTTTGAGGAGGAGGGTGGTGAAGAGGCTCCTAAGCGGAAGATTAAGGGTGAAATTCCTATGGAGCTTATCTTGCGACCGCTGGAGAAGCTCCGCACTGAGAGTCCTTACAAGCCTGTTCGTACGAGGGCCGCTGAGGCTTTGGATGATGATCGCCTAGTCGAGTGGGGTGTTCGGACGAGAGAGTCTGAGGAGGATGATAGTGAGGAGGAGGAGTGGGGTGGTTTTGGTGATGAGTAGATGTCTTGTCGTATGTATGGGATTGTGTACATACAAAATGAATTCATTGCACAGCGTGGTAGCGATTATACCATACCAATCACGATGTTTGAGGTCGAAGTTGGTGTAATAGTAGACCTTCGGGTCTACGGAGTACAGGACCGCGAAAATGCATTGACATGTCTGTTTTATTCTGTTATAATATACAGTCTGACCACAGAGCACCAATTGTCTAATACAAGTTAACATATCAACAAAACACCAAGTCTCTTGCGCTAGGGTATCACTGAGTGGATGCAAAGACATGGGAAAGCATCGAGCGTATATATAACAGCCGAAAGAAACAATACGGCATTCAGCAGCTCCTTCGACGCTCAGTATGCAAACTTAACAAAAGGAATTATCGAGGTCCTTCTGCTTCGTAGATGCGGCCCGACTTGGTGAGAATCGTACCGAGCCCTTGGTGAACCTCAGCCTGGAACGCTTCGAAGGGCACACGTTCACCGTCAATGCTGATATATCCTTCCTTCTGATGAGGCACTAGACGGTACGCAGATGCTTTGCGGATATTGAGCTCTGGCATGTCGAAGAAGCGTCCACTGGGGATCTCGTTCATCATTGTGATCGCGGTGCCACGACTAACTCTGCCGTCAATGGTCACTACGTCCATGAGTCCGTCATTGGGTAGGGTAGCTGGGAACATGTTTGTGTCCTTCGACATAATTGCCATGTTTCCTGCATAGAAATTGCCCATCGTTTCACCCGGAACAACTTGCCAGTCGCTAGGTACATCGTCGGTGACTGAACCGTACTTGAGCTCTGGTAGTTCCGGTGACTGTGCTGCAGCCTCAAGACGTTTGACGTCGACACCAGACTCTTCAGGACGTGTGGACCAGGAAGCATAGTGCTCCTTGATCGCCTCCTTGTCTCCAATCTCCACCTTGACGGCTAGATCGCACGGCCATATCGTCTGCCGCATCAAGCGAACCAAGAAACCGTATGTGAAACGCTGAGCACCCATCCACCGAATGTTCTCAGTAGCCAAATCTGACTCAGCAACGATACCAAAAGACTGAGAGAGGAAAGAGAGCGTGCGCGAATCCTTCTGCGAGATGGAAACCAAATCCAGCGGCGTCCTCAATCCCTTGACAATAGCCAGCGCCGCAATGGAGACACTACCAGTCCCAAAAGAATTCCACGTCAATCCATTGCCAGAACCACAAGGAAGCAAAGCAATAGCAGTCTTCACCAGCGCCGTCCGGGCATCAGGCCGCTTACCCAAGCCATTGAAAACCTCATACGGCAACCCATCACCAGAGCAACAAACAATGGCATCATACGCATCGACATCAAGCTTCTCCGCAATATCAATAGCATGACCACGGTGCTCAGTACTCTGCACATCAACCTGACACTTGGCAGCCGCGAAGACCGGGGCCGCATACCTCTGGTACAAACTCGCCGCAGTGCCCTTGCCACCAAAGGGATTAACCAGGACCTTCAGTCTCTTCCCGCGAATTGCCTTGCCATAAGCCGAATCGATCAATTTCCCAACCCACGCCTCAACGAGCTTCTTCTCTTTTTCGATGATGGGGTATTGAACCGTCGCGACGGCTACATCGTCCTTGCCGGCCGGCTGCGCGTAGGCGATAACGAGGTTCGAGGCTGTGACTTCAGCGCCGAGAACGTTGTACAGTGAGATGGCGTGTGTGGTTTGGGGTGCTGTATCGGGACCGAGGTTAGAACTAGTTACAGGGCAGGTTCGCGCCGATCAGAGGGCGTGAGAGGGGCTGTGGGTAGGCCTGTGCAGCTGTTCCTTACCTGACTTGAATAATCCACAGCAGCGACGGTTTGGACGAGCTGAGCGGTCGTCTGGTGTGTGTGTCAGTCATGGGCAAAGAGCTGGTTATGGGGTGGCGCAATGTACCGACTATGAGGAGGGAATCGGTGCCCAGTGTTAGTGACACGGAGTCGACTGTCACTGTTGAGTCATGTACATCTTGTGCGGTGTCTGCGGTTGACATTTTTGATGATAGAGGGATTTAAATCATTATAGGGAGTTGAGGGGGAGTAACAATATGTTGCAAGTAACAAAGATATGCAGCTAGCATCGGGAGCCGCGGAGGTCCGGTGGGCCCGTCCCTGCAGCTGAGACCCAATTGGAAATTCCCCTATTGCGAGGGATGCTTTATAGAAGACAGGTTCATTTTATTGAATTGTATATAATTTACGGTCTATGACTGTTGAAATAAGTCCTAGTTCTCAAGGGACCCATGTACAGAGATGTTTGGTTGGTATCAACGGTTAGCCAACCTACTAGCGCTTATATAGCTACCTAAGTAGCCCTGCAGGATACACATTTATGAAGATCAAAACCATTGTTCTCTATCCACTACTCCCGATGAGACCTCCATCTCATCTACAATAAAGAGACTATAAGTGAACAATTTGTCTCGAGAAATGAACATGGGGAACAGAAGACACGGCAAAATGAAGAAAAGAGGAACGAAAATCATAGACCGCAAACCGCTGGAAAAACATCGACTTATGCAGTCGCCGCCTTGAGGCCCTTCAGAGAGCCCAAGCTCAGTGCTAGGCCCTGTGAGCGACTTCTTATCCGAACAAAGCCAGTAATTGGCCCATCGTCTCCCTCTTTCTCGATACTCAGGTTGGCCAGTGCATCCTCGCCTAGGTCATGGTTAGTCGCTGTGTAGATATCTCAGAGGAATAGAAACATACCGAATACACTGCGGGCATACAAGTTAGCACTCAAGAATCGGCAGTCGCCCTTGAGGGAAGCATCAGGTGTCAGGCAAGCCATGTTAGTGCTCTCCATCAACTGCTTGAGGAATTCGCGGAGAGTCTTGGCCTTGGAGTTGATGTTGACCTTGTTCTCCCACTCGAACTCGGTCCACATGGTCCGGAACTGGGTCTCGGTGCAGTGGGCAGGCTGGATGTAGTCCATGATGTCGGCATGGATGTCGTTGAGGATTACCACGTGGGTCTCAGTGGAGCTGGCGCCGTCGTAGACGATGTTACCGAAGATGACACCGGTGTCGGTTGAGGAAACCTTCACTGTAGCCTGGACGTTGAGGAAGTCACGGGGGCCGAGGTTGTTGGTGGATGGCCGCTCAACAACCTTGAGGTCACCGAGGGTTGCGAACTCCACGGAGAGGTTCTGCAGGGTCTCAGTAGTCTGGTTGACCAACAGCACATCGAGGACAATGTCAAATTGGTGTACGGTGACATAGGCTTCGGCATAGACTGAGTCGGAGAAACCGGTCAGCTGCACCACCCGGCTGAGCTTCGAAGCGACGTTCTCTACGGTCGAGTCACCACCGGTAGCCTTGACAAGATCAAGCTCGATCTCTTCAGCACCCTCGACGGTGTTCTTCTTGGTGAACTGACGGATCGGGATGGCATCGTCAATCTGCACAGCGGTCTTAGCCTTCTCCACGGCCTCCTTTGCAGCCCGCTTCTTATCCTCAACCTGAACCATGGCGCGGAACGCCTTCCGGGTATCCTGCAGGAAAGAAACCTCTAGCTCCTTCTTCTCGGAGAACTCAGCCAGAGAGCGCACACAGGTCATGATACGGTCGACGGAATCTTCATCAATGGGAGCCTTGACGAAGTGAGATTGGCCAACACGAAGGATCGAAATCATGATCAGCATGGCCTCGGCACGGAGAGCGTTGGTACGGGCAGTGTCTTGAGAGACCTCGGAATGGCGCATAACCAACTTGGTCAAAGTCGAAGAGAGAACAGTCGCCAGGTAGTAGTCGCCATCCAAAATAAGTTGACGCAGAGGGGGCTTCTGTGCGGCCTTGACGGCTTCTAGGCGAGCAGCAGCTGCCGACTGGCTGGTGAGAGCACTCTCGGTTGCATATGTTCCATCTGCGAGCACCTTTCGAGATCCGGTAGGCGCGGCCTTGGCTCCGTTGGCGTGTTCCAGAAGCAGGGCATTATCATCAGGAACCTCGTCCAGAAGACGCTGTTCGGATGCCAGGATAGGGATTTCACCGAGGCTGGTTCTGATCCGCTTCCAAGCCTCGCGAATATCCTTCTCCTCCAAAGAGTATTCACCAACAACCCACAGAACTCCGCGGTAAACCTTTCCAGCCCGAACCTCGCTCAACGTCGAGACCAAGCGGTCCACGATCGACCCGCGTAGGTCGGGGAACTTCTCGACAACCTCCTTCACAAATGAAATCACATCGACGGCGGAGTTGTTGTTGAAGTCGGCAATGAAATCCATCAGCAGATCGACCACGCTGGCAGCAATTTCAGAGAACTTGATGGCGCAAGAGTGTATTGACTGCACCAGGAGTTGACGGTACTCGCTGTTCTATAGGAGGAGTTAGCACTGGGATCTGCAAATTGGTTGCACAACCTACCTGTTCATATTGTTCGTCGACGGTCTTGGCTAGTTCCTTCTTGAGGAGCATGATGATTTCTTCAACGTTCTTGCTGGAGACCATCTCCATGGCAAGGCTGAGAGCCTTTCTCCGGACATCGATGTCAGGGCTGCTGAGAACACGGAGGGCCTCCATGGTCAAGTCATCCAGGACACCCTCATTGCGAATTCTCAGTTGGTCCACGCGGTCCAAACAGATAAGCTTCACGTTGTTGTCGGCTTCCCGGATGGCGAGCTCAATCAGCTTACTCGCGGCAGCTTTAACGGCGACGGGATTGCTGGTGAGGGCGGTAAGAGATGTGGCGGCTTCGTAAACAACAGTACTTGTAGAGGCATCGAGGAGCTCGAGCATGAGTTTCAAGTATCGTGACTATTCTCCGTTAGTAATGCCTGAGACACCAGCTTCGATTTCTCCAACCCACCTTGTTCTGAGTGTTCTGTACTGCGTCTTTCCGGAGGAACTCCAACTCTGCTAGCTGGAGCAGCTCATCTGTGTTGGGAATAGTGTCGAATGTAGTGCGCAGATACTCGAGTGCCTTTTGGTGGCTGATGGACATGAGCGCCGCAAAGGCATTGCGCTTGCAGGTGCTGTCGGTCTCGCCCTCGAGGAAAGTCTGGATCAGCTCCGGCGCATCGGGAATGAGGGGTTCGGAGTGCTGGAAGATAGAAGCCACAGCCCAGACTGCGTTCTTGCGCACATAGGCGTGGCGGTGTTCCAGACACGAACGCGCGGAGGAAAGGAGGGGCTCGATGAGTTCCGATTCGCGGAGTTTGCAAAGGAATCGAAGGGTGTTTCCTCGGATATATTCGTTGGGGTGTTGAAGGTCGTTGCGAATACCGTTACTGGAGAGCCAAAAATTGTTAGACCAAAGAGACCAACACGCAATGCCTGGAAGCACCCTTACCAGACCAAGATCATCTCCTGCTTGAGCTTGCCGGACGAGTCGTGCTTCGGACAAATTTCATAGAAGAAATATAGCAGCTTCTTCAACGGCTTGCTCTTAGACGGCATAACAAAGCGAATGATGTGCATAAGGATTTGCGGCATCGGATCGCCATTGAGCATGATCGTGATAATCGTCCGCATGGTTTCCAACTTGGTCTCATCATTGCCCTTCTCCAGCTGCAATTTCAGCTCCTGCACGGTCGGCTGATCTGCAGTGTTGTCCAGATGGACCAAACTGTAGGTGTTTTCGAGGAACGACGCCATGGTGGTGGATTAGGGAGTAACGAAGGAGAGCTGCAAGTTGTCAGTTCTGGGGTTGTTTTGGGGCCACATCAGCATTGTTGGCAACATACACAAAGGATAAATCTCCCGGAGATAGGAGTCCGGGTAGGAGTCAAGAACAAGCAATTAGTGTAAACCAACACCCCTCGCCCTTGAAATCATTAAAGAGTTATGATGCGCAACGGAGAGGGTCAACTTGTCCCTTAATCTGGCCCCGTCTGTGTGGATGACTAAGCTTCGCCGCTTTTCCACTTGGACACTTTCGACGTCGACCTCACTTCTCACACCATTGCAAACATGTCGAATGAGCCTTTTTACCTACGATACTAGTAAGCATGGAATATATAAGCCCGGGTTTCCTCGGCTGCTGACACTCTTCACAGCTCAGGTCACTCTGGGCGGTTCGGGCACGAGTTCCTAGGTAAGTCTACAAGCTAACCATTCTGTTGGACTTTGCTGACTTCCACTAGAGTTTGACCTCCGCACAATTGGTGAAGGTAGCAGTGCCGCCGTACGATATGCGAACAACTCGAACTACCGCAACGACTCCCTGATCCGCAAAGAAAGTGAGTGCGGGGGTCGGCAAGACGAGCGGACATAAGCTGATAATGTTGCAGTGTGCGTGAGCGCTGCCACGATTGCGGAAGTGAAGCGCATCATCAAGGAGAGCGAAGTCCTGAAGTACGCTGACCCATTGATACCCCGAGAGGAACATGCGAGCTGACTCCGCCTAGGGAGGACGACTCCAAGTGGCCCCATAAGAACAAGGATGGACGCCAGGAGCTCGAGATCCGGATTGGAAATGAGCACATTTCCTTCGAGGTATGCCGCGTCTAAAACACGAGTGGAAGCAATCGCATATGACTGACTCGACACTACAGACCGCGAAGATCGGCTCGCTGGCCGATGTGACCGATTCGGATGACCCCGATGGCCTGCGAGTGTTCTACTACCTTGTGCAAGACCTGAAGGCCCTTATTTTCTCGCTGATCTCTCTCCACTTCAAGGTACTTTCCCTCTCGTCCCACATCTAAAACAGTATTCTGACCATTTGTGATACAGATCAAGCCAATCTAAGGGTCGAGCGATTGAAACCAAACTTGATGAACAGTTAGGGGTTTTGTCTAATGATACTCACCAGGCGTTGAGGATTTTTTCGAAGTGCAAATTCAAGCCATAGCGAAACAATGGAATTGATACCACCCAAACATTGGATTTTCACATCAATGTGCAGCCTGAACATTTGCCAATGCAGCAAGTCAGTGTTTAGAGGCCTGAACTAGCTTCAAAGTAGAATTGACGAGTCGCCTGCAAGGAAAACGCCCTAAAAGCTGCAGTGACGCAATGTAATTGAGTTGCTGCGACCAAATACCTCTTTTTATCTATAATACAGGTAACACATTATGGCAGAATATTCTCTAAAATAAATTGGAAAAAAACACTACTACTACCCACCAATTAATTCCACAGAATGATCAGCAATAATGCATGCCAGAACTACTGGCGCGTTATCCGCGGCTCTTACAGTTGTTGTTAGCGGCCAAGTCATACAAAGTCGGGTCTGTCCGGCAGAATACCTGGCAGTTCCCCACCGCTTCTGACAGTTGACCTCCAGTGCCCTGCGAGAGTTGTCCTATACACATTTCCTGTCTGGCTCTATTCTTTCCCAAGATCCTCACACTGTCGTCCCATCTCCATTTTCGGGAGTCGATTCAGCAGACAAGTCAGCTTACGCAGTATATACTTCAGCCAAGGCGGTGATAAAGGCGGTCGGGCCCAATATACCTCGAGTGGCCGCAAAGCCACCCAGTAGCCTCCCCCGCTGTGCGCTCGCATGACCCCATTTAACCCCATTCCCGGGCCCCGTCTTTAAAAGACCCAATCTTCAACTCTGACTTTCATCTTGTTTTTCTTTCTGGAGTTGCTTTCTTTCGGTTCGATGTTGCCTCCTCTCCCTTAATCCGCAATGCCGACTCCGAGTGACAACGCTTCGATCGCCGAGGTGATCTCCACCCGTACTTGTCCACCAGAGCCAGATCGGATTTCAGCCTGGCGTGACTCGCCAGATCCTACTGATTCTGGCATCGAACCCTTTGATGCTCTTTCACCCGAAAGCGCCATCGCACCATCCGTATTGAGTCGTTCCGACGATGGTAGCACTCTCTTGGCAACGGAGCCACTGAAGGTGGAGAAGAAGCTGACGGGCGCGGACGAATACACTGCACCCGTGAGGTCTAGTTCTCCTGCAGAATCATCCTGCATCCGTAGCCAGACACCGACATTGCCAACAAACTCATCACTGCTCGACTGGGAATTCTCAAACGTTCGGGTACGTTGTCAACCTGACTGACTATCGGGTCGCCACCCAATTGTATACTAACGATTGCCATAGCTCCTGCCAAATCACACATCATCCTTTCTGCGCTCCGGAAGTAAATTTGTTGGAACACAACAATCAGATCGCCAGGTTTACAATGTCGATGTTGAAATTAAGCACGTGGATATGGCGGAGTCCTATCTTTGCGGCTATCTCCGCATACAAGGTTCGTGATTCGCGTGCACGGGGGGACCTGCATGGGACCTATCCTAACTTACCCTTTTTTGCACAGGTCTCACAGAGGATCATCCCACTTTGACCACATTTTTTGAAGGGGAGATAATTGGTACCAAACACACCTTCCAGACTCGCAATGAGGACTGGGGCGCTTCGGAAAAGACCGACCTGCACCACTGGTCCCGGTTTCCTGCTTGGCGTCCACTAGCAAAACAGGCCAAAAAGGCGGATTTCACATACCGTAACTTTGCCCAGCGTGAGCATATTTTCATGAGATGGAAAGAATCTTTTCTCGTTCCCGACCATCGCGTGAGGACGATTTCAGGAGCCAGCTTTGAAGGTTTCTACTACATCTGTTTCAATCAGATCGAAGGAACTGTCAGCGGTGTATACTTCCACGCAAAGAGCGAGCGGTAAGCAAATAACCCTAATCACAAAAGACTTGTTTAACTAACGCTGCTCCTGTCGCAGATTCCAACAACTCGAACTCAAGCACGTCGAAGATCGTGGATGCGCGCCAGCACTCGAATTCCGTTAAACACGGTGAACTCGATTGCTGGCGCACCCATTATAATTACCACCCTCACTTCTGAGCCAATGTTTGATGTTTACGCTCAGACTCCACATCTTGTTCTTTTATCCGTGACACCTTGTCTATGCAGTGCTTCGTGGCCCCATGTTGCTCGTGAATTTTGGATGTTTGAAGCTCCCCTCTCGCCGTGTATCCTGGTTGCTTTTTCTCGAATACCCATCGTCTCGTCCCTTATCTCCTACTCACTGTCTCGTCCTTTATCTCCTACCCGCCTGTCGAAGATCCCTTTGTTTCCACACACCCTACGAAGGTTCAAGGCTTTCTCTTTTCCGACGCTGCAAAAGCGACCTGGATACAATCCGCCCTCAAATTGTCCCTTATGTCTCATGATATCGTGATCTATGAAACGGCGTTTTCTTCCCGCCTCTGGCGGCCCTCTGGCAACCTGGTTCTGGTTCCCTGACGCCCTCAACTTGGAGTTATAATCTCTTATATTCTTGTTCGTTTATTGTCATCATCTATTCCTTCTTAACTTAGTCTGTTAGTATCTCCTCTTTGGACATCCGGCCAATTGACATATGTCCGGTTTGGAAAAATTTCCACTCTTTGGCAGCGATATTCACAATTGCATAGTACATATGGATATTGCTTTAAGAGCACTCTTTGATCGTTTCCCGAATCCTAGTTCCAATGGTACAAAAGCTCGCTATTCTATCTCCCTTCGCGGTGGATATCCTCATTCTCGAGCTCCACAACCCGCGTATTCAATTACCCCCGTTTCGTAACCTTCTGTCCTACTGAAAAAGAGTCACACAATCGAAGCTATGGTTTCGCCCTCAGTGCGTATTTGAACCAAGCATAATAGCTTGTATATTGCATTGGCAACGATGTCCACATTATATTCCATTTAGGCAAGAGATGGATACTTGAAAACTTGGATATTCCTTCCAGCCTGGGAGTTCCTTTTTAAATCGGTTGATATAGCAAAGGTCATGTGGCGTGGCTGCGGAGGGCTTCGAATCGTGCAAGTAGGCTAAATTATTGCTCGATTTCGATAATTATCTTGCCAAATGGGACGGCATAATAATTTCAACTTACAGATAAAAAAAGTATAGGCTTTCAATACGACCTGCATACACAAAAGTCTTGACATACATCCAATTGTCCTGGCTTGTAAACCTTTGCCTGAAACCTCGCTCACAGGTCAAAGGAAACGGAGCAACATATGATGAACACTGCCAGAAGACGCCAGAAGACGCAAGTTCAATCTATAGCAACTAGAAGAATACAAAAGAAAACATAAGCAGGAGTGTCGAACCCTGAGGAGAACTCAAATGCACTCCTTTAAGAGCCAAGTCCGCCAAGAGTTCGTGATATGTATACATCCTGAGTGGGAATGAAATTGCCGCTTGTTTTCTTGCCATTCGTTGGAACTGGATGGTAGAGAACGCCTCGGATGACCTTGTGTTCATCGGTAACGGTGCGAATACATCCTTTTTGAACTACTTTCTCGCCCAATTTGCCTTTAGGTGTTCCGATCTGTGCATATCCAACCTCCTTTCTCTGCTTGTCATATGGGAAGTCCTTCACTGCCGGGTACTCAGTAAAGTGGCCGGCTGGTGGGATGAATTGGTTCTAGTTCTGGAATCTATTTGGACGTGGTCCGATCGGGACGTCTATTGTGGAGGGTGGGATAGATGGGCAAGTAGCTGGTGTATTTTGCATATACTCCTCGACATCCTTTCGTTGGATAAAGACGTGTTCTTAGCGTTGTCCTTTCTCGAAATTGGCTTGAATAGGCCGACCTCATAGCCCTGGTATAAGTTAGTCAACAAACCCAGGCCATTATTATTATCAAGATTACATCGAAGAGAATTGATTCTTTAGGTGCTAGATGAAAATGAATACTTACTACTGGAATGCGGAAGTCAAGTGGCTTGTCATGTGGGAGCGGCTTTATCCTCTTCTTTGAGCTGAACAGCCCCATGATGAAAGAGCCTAATAATCAAGAATGACGAAGAAGATTGTACTCGAGATTGGGGTTGGATCATTGAACTAGGATGTTGTAAATGCCTCAATTCTTATAACTTTCCAGCTTCCATATAGCCATTTACTGATACACATCCGTTTAAGTTAGACAATGCACGATGAACTGTAAATAGATAAGGAATATATGCAAGTATAGATTAGTATTGCCTCATTATTCTTACTGTTTACGCTTATCCTATCGATTAGCAGAAAAGAACTATTCGCTTAATTCATGATGAAGTACCGGGCTGGACAGGGTCTGACGGCGGCCATGCGCAGCTAGTTAGTCTGTATGTATGTGCTACTCTTTTTTGTTACTTTTCTCAGTCACTGATTGGTTAGTTTCATACCAACATGGAGTTATTTGAGAAGTGTACAGTATGTAGACTCAGACTCAGCCTCAGCGCTAAGCGATCTAGCGCGTAAGTTTGGCGGCAAAAACTTCATTCGAATACAATTGGCGCGTTAAACAACGACTCGTTTCATGGCTTTAGCTGTATTAATAGGAAAAACAGACTCAGTTCAATTTATTCGCTTCTCATTAGGATGGAGAGGACCGAGCGCCAAATCTGTAGATATTAGTTCTCACCACGGCCACTTCACACTATCCCCGCTCACACACATCGTTCTTCACTTTACTTTGAACTTTTCTCCTATGGCTTAACCAGAGCTTTGCAAATGGATAACCCAAGTGCCATGAGTTAACATATCTGGCTATAAGGTGCGAACAATCCGTGTCCATTCACGCGACCAGCAAAGTCAGCTTGCTATGCCCAATGTAATATGTTTTCCGAACTATGGAACGCGAATTGTAGATAAAACGGTAACATATTTTTGCTCTAGTGGGGTTTTATCTTCAAAGATGACTAAAATAGTTCAGGAGTAACTTAATGGAAAATGCACTATAGTACAATAGAGGTAACAGACCTCGTCGTACCCAATAATTCACGAGTGGCACTGTATACACATATAACCCCTATTGGAGTAAGGTCCCTCTAGCCGGTACAGGCATCTAAATTATAATGCTCGAAAAAAAGCCGCCCCTTTACCAGAGAGAACATTGAAGGGGTTGACTAGAAGAGAACTACGAAATTTCCAGCTATATGAAATATATTGATAGAGTGAAACCCCAAAAGGGAAACAGTATATGCCAGATATGCCAAAAAGAATGATGCAATAAAAAGCACATACACTAAAGACAACCCCCTAATTCGTTTACATCCGAGTGTCATACAACAAGTGACAAAAGGATGCCACAAATACCGACGCCCAGAACAAGAGATCGTACGCGAATAGCAAAAGACAAGAATAAACAAGAAACCGGAATGCGTAGATCTGCGGCCCAAGGCATAAATAAAATAGGACCGTAATTATGAGATGGCGTTATGAGATCATGATATGACATGACAAAACAACAAAAAGAAGCGAGCAGGGGTATCACATGCGACGCCATTCTCGAATGGCGAGATCGAGCGAGTGTGGTTTGGCTTGGGAAAAAGTGAAACGCTTTTAGTTTCTAAGATAATCAAAGTTCAGAAGTTGTCTCGTGAAAGCAGATGACAACAGCGTAGAAAAAGAGAGTCGCAGAAGAGAGAGGTCACAGGTATGTGGAGCCCTGGCGACCATTGGTAGAGCTGCCACTGCTGCTGTATTCGCTGCCCGGGGTAGGGGGTTCCATGACGACCTGTTGGCGGATGGAAACGATCCATTCGTGCTGCAGGAGTTCGGCGGCGGTAGGGCGGCGACTGGGATCGCATTCGAAGCAGCGGCGAACGAAGTCGATGCCCATGTCGCTGAGTTGGTCGCTGGATGGAAGCGCCGGCTGCTTGCCTTGCGCGATATTGTACATGATCGCCCACTCGTTGTCTAGGGTGGACCATGGACGACGGCCTGTGGCCATTTCCAGAACCACACAGCCTAGAGACCAGATGTCCACAGCTCCTTGGCGGTTGGCCAGGTCTGAGGCGTCGCCGCGAATGACTTCCGGGGACATGTACATAGGAGTTCCGGTGGTTGTCTTTTGATTCTTGCGCGTTGGTTCTTTGTTCAGCATGGGGTCTTTGTGACCACCACCCACTGGGCCTTCATTGGGGACAACTGTCCGGCCTGAGCGGGCAATTATCTTGGCGGCACCAAAGTCAACGTATTTGATCACACCGTTGTGATCAAGCAGAATGTTTTCGGGCTTGATGTCTCGATGCACAATACGGGCTTCATGGAGATAAGCGAGACCCTCCAGGAGTTGGAGTGCATAAACCATGATGACTGTTTCATCCTCGATGCGGCCGTGCTCCAGTAAGCTAGCAAGCGAGCCACCGGAACAGTACTCCATGAAGATGTAAACCTTGTCACGATGCACCTCAATGCCATGGTAGGAGACAATATTAGGATGATCGAGCACCTCAAGTACGCCCATTTCGTCTCGAATTTGCTGGGCGATCTTGGGGATGAGTTGTGGGTCTTGAAGACGAATCTCCTTGACAGCCATCAAATAATTGCTGTCCAAGTTGATAGCCACATAGACGGAACCAAATGTACCTCCTCCGATGAACTGCCCCTGCTGCCAACGCAAAGTGACATTTGTGGCAGATGAAGAAAGAACCGTGAGAGAACGATCAGCCTCATTAGATCCTTCCAGCACTCGTCCTAGAGCTTGGCGCTTGGCATCTTCCTCGATTCTTCGCTCTTCAATCTCCAAAACACGTGCATGCCATGTGTCACGAACAAGCTTTGACGCTTCTTCGTCACTGGTGATCCGGCCAGCGCCTATCTGTCGGGCACCATTGCGCTCTTCCATGCGTTTCTCGTTCTTTGCCGCGAGTGAGGAGCGAGCACCCATAATATCGAAGTGGGAAATAAGGAGTGACATACACCCTGCAACCTTCAATCTGAGGCTGCTAAACTGGTCCTCATCCATGGACAGAAGATGCCGGCTGGATGTAATCGCCATCGCGAATTCAAGAGCAGCGACAGCCCACTTGAAAGTCTTTCGGTCTGCAGCATCGCACTCATCACAGACGAACGAGACCCAGTCAAGAGACAACTCCACCAACCGAGCGCTGTTCATCGCGCGTCTGTTGGCGTCAACATAATTGGAGGACCGTTTGCCGAACTCAGTTGCAAATGCATAACAGGCCTGAATCAGATCATTGTTCTCCCACTTGATCTCTCGCAGCTGGTCTTTAATGACAGCCACACTATCCATGATAGTCATGGACAGCTTGAAAGAGATCTTCTTGATTTTGTTCAACTCCACGTTGACACGACCAAGATTGGCACGCTGTTCGATAACCATATCAAGCTGAATTCCCGTGAGTCGCGATAATTCCATCCGAGCATTTTGCAGGCGTTCCTGCATGCCTTCGACAACTAGACGCAGCTTGCCCAGCCGCACATCGGTTGGATGCTCCAAAAAATCTACTTGCATTTGCTTGCCGGCCCACGCAAGAGGTCTTTCAGGGCGAATGACCAGGACATATGGGGTGTGGACATCCTCGGCCGTGTCATCTTCCTTGAATGAAGTAGATAGAATGGCCTGGATGTCAACAGGACGGTTCCACAAAGCAGGATGCGCAACCAAATAAACTCCTTTCTGGCCACCAGCTGCGGAGGAAGTGACGAGGAAGTGGTCGGAGATTAAGAGTGCCTCGAAGAAATCATATGCTATGTCGGTGGTGATGTTGTATTCGGAAGCATTTTCGAAAAGCTGGCACAAGAACTTGGAGAATCGATACAGCTTGCGTTGGCGAATACGCGTTGAATCCAAGATACTCTTGTATCGCTTGTCCATGTCCGACACGGTTTCCTGAGGTCTCGGTACTAGTTCGCGTTCGAAATGAATCATAAGACGTTGCAGTGATCTAGCAGTCAAAGCACTTTGGTTTGTCAGCGCGAGTAGTGAGTAATACTAACGATGAGAAACATACCTGAACTGTTCAGCGACCTCGATATCTCCACCGTCGAGACGGCGGCCGATATCGTAGGAATATCCCCATTCCTGTTCCAAGATTTCGGCTTCTTTGAAGGTATTCTTGTTTGCATTCAATTTCCAGTTGAGCAATCGGAAATAGTATTTCATGGCATCCAATACCGAGTTATCGAAGTTCTCGTCGACACATGGTGGCAAGTCCCAGCCAGGTTCTGGCCTAGAGACATCAAGGTAACGGAACTTAATATCAACCGCAACCTTCATCAGAATCTGAAACTGGGAAATCATCTGGTCGATCAGGATCGGAGCCTGTTGAGCCGGATCTTTCATGTTCTTGGCATAGGACAGACGGACTCGAATGATCTCCTGGATAAGCCGAGAGGGGAAGTTAATCAGGGTTAACAGTTCCTCAATGTATGGCGGCAAATGACGCGCCGCAAACGCTTCTGCATTCTCAATCAGAGTACTCTTTGCTTTCTGAATGACCGCAAGTATTCTAAGAAGCATGCCGTCCTCATCCTGGAGAGTCTTCAGGCCATCTTCCTTCATTATGCGATCCAGGAAGGAGGAGCCATCTGAAAGGTCGTTCTTGGCAGACTTGACCCTGGGCTGGCTGAAGTCGAGAGCCTCATTTCCAACCCAGCTCTGCAACACAGCCAGCTCGGTGTTGATCAAGGCCGTGATGTTGTGCCACGAAAAGATAGCGGCGCGACTGGAGACGAACTCCTCCGAAGCGACACGGGGATTCGCAATCTCCATCTCTTTGTGAGACGAGTACAGAACCTCGCACCGCTCGACCTTTTCCACAATATCCTCGACCTGTTTTCTCGGGGGTTTACCAATCTCAGTCTCGCCTTTAATCTGGAAACTGATGATATCCTCGATAACGGGGCCAAGACGCGACCGAGCGTCCTCAATCAGTTTCCGCTGAAGAGGAAGACTTCGGCCGCATGTCCTTGCCCGAACCCCAATCCAAAGAGCATAGCTTTGAGCCGCCGACCGTTTGGATTCCGCGGACCCAATCAACCGCTGCTTCTCTTGTTTCACCACGTCACCTTTCAGCACTGATGCCAACATCGAATGCCACTCAAGTCGTTCCTGGTTCTTGGGATGCTTGAGTTCTTCCGTCGTCGGTAGGTTATCATCCGGAAGGAAGAGCTGGGTATCGGGGTCGTAGGAATCATCTTCGAAGGCTACCTCAGATGAGGGAGAAGGGTCTTCTAGATCGGCGTCTCCCTCTATCATGCTGTTTGTCTGCGCGTCTTTGAAATGATGATACCAAGCTTGTGGGTTCGCTCGAATCCGCTGAACGTAGGCTTTCTCTTGGGCTCGGTATTGCGCGTTCGGATCGCGCCGGGTTCCGCGTTTGGCTGATGAAGATCGTTGACGGTCTTCTTGAAGGCTTATGTACTGTGGTGGTCGCCGTTGCGGGGCATAGGTGTGGGAAGGAGTTCGTACAGGGACGGACGGACGCTGAAGTCGTGGGTCGCCGGCCATGGCAAGGCCATCAGATTTGTCGAGAATTGAGGCAGCGCCAACACTAGCGCCCCGTGGTCGTGTTGACGGGGTACTAGGCCATGAGGCGAGACTTTGGGAATGATTTGGAGGGGAAGACGTGATGGTCGTGGCAGGCGTTTGGATTGCGCCTTCAGGAATCTCTCCGAATGATGAGTTGGCCCTGGGATACTGGGGAGGGTACTCATCAGAGGACCCTGAGCCATCTGAATCAGGACTGGGGATGTCCGGGTGCTCCATGGTGGATATGTGTGGTGATCACGTCGGGGTTGGAGCTTGCGAAGTGATAGGGGCGTGTGTGGCGGTGCAGTTGTGGCGGAAAACGGCCGGATGTCAGGGATCTTCCCCGCCGCCCACCACTGACCTTCCGATCTGCCGAGTATCTTTTCCTTTTCGATACTTAGTTCCTACGTGGTTCAATGTCTGTCCAGCATTTATATTAGGTCCAAGCCTTGGTTTACGCAGCCAGTCTTTAAATGAACCTGTCTCATTATATGCTACAGCCACGTACTTTTGAAACAGAGATTTCCTTGTTTTGGCGTTGGCCTTTTCTTTGCACAGAGCTCATGAAGTGTCACAGCGATGTTCTATTCCAATGCCATTCGTCCAAACTGACTGGATTTGCACCCAGGACAGGTGACCGAACGTCGGGGTTGACTGTAATATAAATCTAGAGCTTTGATAGGTAGCCAGAGTATTTGAATAAACATGGGTTCTATGTTCTGGGACTGGATGCTGGTTCTGGGACTGGATGCTCTGGCGCATCTTTTCTGAAATGGAAAAAGCGTATCTTAATGGTCCGCGGCTGCCGGATGTAAGAAGTCCCATACTGTATGGCTGATGCTGATCGCTGCGTCTACCTAATGATGTTATTTTCTAGCCGGGATGGCGTCTCCGAGATAAGCTGACAGGACTCTTCGCTTAAGCAAGAGAATGCAGCATAAACAGGGAGCTGTATGGGAGCTGTATACCTACTGATTGGTTGCCGATTACCTGGCAAGGCCAGCAAACTACTAAATAAGCAAACTATCCAAGGCTGGTATGGCGATATGCCAACAAACAGCGCTGTGGATTGACCCAAGGTTCCCTTCATCTAGGTTGCGACTGGTGATAATGTTATTTCTTTCTCGCGATGAGACGGACCAGCATGTATCAGGTAGATGTACTGCTTTGGCAAAGCAAGGGAATACGACAGGCTCATTTTACTGGCAAGTGGTGGAGTATATTTCCCAAATGTGGCTTGACTCGCATCCGTGGCGATCACTGAATGCAGATCAAACAAAATAGCAAGGTGCAGAGAGCACAGGGTTTGCTCCGAAAAAAACTATTGATACAAAAAAGGATCATTTATGCGTCAAAAAGCCTATCTAATAGCTCCATTGTTTTGATGATCTAAGACCAGAAGGAGATGGACAAGTACCTCATGCTAATCGAATGATGAGATGATCTGCTCATTGAAGCAACCAATGTGAATCTAAAAAAGCAATTTTGGCAATAGTCTTCAACATGTAGAACGCTTGAGATTACTAGATTGACTAATCTAGAGGTACACTTCATACAACATGCATCTCTACTACGTACTGTATAAACTACTTAAACTTAATTTACGAGTACATGTCATCATGTGCCCACACCATGTAAACATCACTACGTCTTACTATTTATAAATTTAGAAGAACTACCCCTGACTAGAGGGGCTTTGCATCCACGCTTGATCATCGACGATCTTGAAGGCCGTCGATCAGTGGATCCGATTTGAGCTCAAGGGTCAATTCACTGACAGTTGACCAAGGCTCTGGAGAAGATCTGCACGGACTGAATTCAAGCAATGACGACTTCATTGTATCTGAATGGATACTGCAGACTGCACTGTGCATATGATCGGAAACTATGTTCATGCAAAGCACACATCGTGACTTGCAAAATACTGGGCTACGGTGATCAACATTCCACTATACTATTGCTATTAAATAGGAAGCCAGGAGTATCAATAGCGTAATGAGATGCATATCAGAGTATTCTCCGTACCATGCATGGACTCCAGTTTCCGCGGGACTGGGGCACTAAGACCCGGGATGCCGAAGAGCGGCCCCGCCAATGGGAGACGACATGCTTATCTTGACTCAAGCCCCCAGACCGCATGGAAGGCTTTAGTCTTTCGCCCCCATGCGTTCTTCGTTTAATTCGTGTGGAACCGGGACAGTACCAGGAGACAGGTGTCGGCAAGTGTTAGTCGGGCATATGCTAGTGCTGCACATTGCGCACTCTGTATCTTCTATACATAATACCATGGAAATTACACCAATCTAATATACGAGCATTCGTATCCATGTCAGGCTCTTGATATTACGAGGCGCACTCCGAAACAAGAACCGCGAGCTGGCGGAAAGCTCGACAATAAGAATAATATATCCCTCGCATAGTTCGTTCTATAGCTCCGATAAGGTATATTGCACGTTGATTGGCTGACGGAATGGCTATGATAAGAGCCCCAATGACCTACAGCTTCACGTTCCACGGCAAGGTAGGATAGTTCGACAGGAACCCTATAGGCATCTAATTTGAATTCTGGAGCATTCATGGCTTGAGAATAAGAAAATAGAGCGAATTGTATTGCGGGTTAAGCGATGTACAAGTAAAAAAGCCCGGAAGCCCTAAGTCGAGATAAGCAAATGGCTCTGATTGGCCAGTTTAGTCATATCTACAGCCAGTCGTGGACCACTGTCAGCCCTGCAATGTCGATTTCTCCCCTATTCTTCTCGTCACTGAAATGACCCAATCTGTCTCTATCACTTTATTATCCTCCCCTGCTTATCGGGGCTTAATGCTTACATATTCTCCGAGACGCATTCTTCTGTCAGGGGGTTATAGTTCCTAGACCGAAGCAGCAGAGCAAACAGGCATACAGTCCTGTGTAAACAATGCTACAGATCTTACGCTAAGTATACTACTCTGTATCTCAGAGAATACTAGAAGTACATGCCCGTGAATGGATGTGAAATGGACCCGTAATCCCCCGGTTAAAGGCTAGGGAGTACGTACCCCCGGCCATAGACCCGGACATGGCTGATTTGGGCTGACTTGGCTACTGCTATCAGTGTGATCAGATGAATCATATCATAAATCATAATAACCGGGTCCCGCTATCGGAACTAAGCTCGATGGTCTGGTAGCCTTTTGTGGAGCAATTCTGGTCTGTTATTTAATTATCGTTTGTCCCTGCAGCGTAGACATATCACTTTTGTCTCCTTTCATTCAGCCGGGTGCTTGAACAGGATCATTTTTTTTATCCCGCCCTTCCTCTTTCTAGATCTTGGATTGTTGGGATCTGTGTCACTCCACTGCAGATACTTCATACCCCCTTATCTCTTCTGTGATACACAGCCTTCACTATGTCGGAGTATCCGGTTGAGTACAATGGCACCATTGCCACCGGTGGTGACTCGCTCACTGAGGACTTGAATATTTGGTACAGTGTACGCAGCTATTATTCAGCCTATCACACACAGCCAGTGGAACTGTCAACTAATAATGATAATGTAGTCTGGAGATATCGCATGGGTAATCACCTCGTCAGCCCTTGTGCTGCTTATGATTCCTGGAGTTGGGTATGAGTTGATTATACTTCCTCATTTCAGGAGAACATTCACTAACTGCATTCTCATAGATTCTTCTACTCCGGTCTCGCTCGACGAAAGTCTGCCCTCTCCCTGATATGGCTGTCTATAATGTCGGTCGGAGTAGTTTCATTCCAATGGTTCTTCTGGGGTTATTCGCTGGCCTTCTCCCACTCAGCTGGTAAATACATCGGCGATCTCGAGAACTTCGGCTTCCGCAATGTTTTGGCTGCTCCATCTGTTGGAAGCAGCAAGGTTCCCGACCTTCTGTTCGCCATCTTCCAGGGCATGTTCGCTGCCATTACGTGAGTATTACACCACGTCAAAACCGCAAAAGAAATCACACTGACAATATCTTCGCAATTAGTGTGGCTCTCGCAGTCGGTGCCGTCGCCGAGCGTGGCCGCATGCTCCCCTGTATTATCTTTATGTTCATCTGGACCACCATCATCTACGACCCCATTGCCTGCTGGACATGGAACTCGGCAGGCTGGGTATACAACCTCGGAGGTCTTGACTATGCCGGTGGTACCCCCGTCCACATTGCTTCCGGATCTGCTGCCCTGGCCTACTCCTTGATGCTGGGCAAGCGTCGCGGTCACGGAACCCACGAGCTCAACTACCGTCCTCACAACGTCACGCATGTCGTCATTGGCACAGTCTTCCTCTGGGTTGGATGGTTCGGTTTCAACGCTGGCTCTGCTCTCTCGGCTAACCTTCGCGCTGTCATGGCCGCCGTTGTTACTAATCTTGCCGCATCTGTTGGAGGCGTGACCTGGTGTTTGCTCGACTACCGTCTGGAGCGCAAGTGGTCTACCGTTGGCTTCTGTTCTGGTGTCATTGCTGGTCTTGTTGCCATTACTCCTGGCTCTGGCTTTGTCCCTCCCTGGGCAGCGTTTATCTTTGGTGTTGTTGGTGCCATTGCCTGCAACTACGCTACCAAGCTCAAGTTCCTCATTGGCATTGATGATGCCCTCGATATCTTTGCTGTCCACACCGTTGGTGGTCTTGTTGGAAACCTCCTGACTGGTCTCTTCGCTGCGTAAGTTGCACTCTATCTTGACCACGCTGAACTATAAGCTAACAGTCTCTCCAGTGACTACATTGCCGCTCTTGACGGTACTGAGATCGACGGTGGCTGGATTAACCACAATTGGGTCCAACTCGGCTACCAGCTGGCCGACTCCGTCTCTGGCTTTGCCTACTCCTTCTTCGGAACCTGCATCATCCTCTTCCTGATTAACCTCATCCCCGGCCTCAGCCTTCGTGCCCCTGAGGAAGATGAGATCATGGGTATTGACGATGCCGAGATTGGCGAGTTCGCTTACGACTACGTCGAGATCCGCCGTGACGTTGTCAACGGCGTGGATGCCGCGGAGACTAGCTCCAAGCGCACCATGACTCCCACCGGGGAGAACGCAACCATTGACACCAAGGCCTAAATCAACATGTTCGTTCTTTTGGGCTGACTTGTTCCTTAATACTTAATACTCGGGCTGTTTGTCTCTTTCTATCATTTGTGATCATTTTCCTTTCTCTTATCCCCTTCTCTTTCTACTGATCTCATTTTCGGTGTGGTGTTTTCTTTAGAATCGCAGGTTTCTTTTAGGATACTCTTCTGGATAAAGAGTATTCCATTCTTCACTTCGTTAGCATATTTCTGATACCCAAATATCAATAACAATATCCAAAAAAGCCTTTCAGAGGAACAAGTAGATATAAAAGCACAAAGGTCTCCGTATATCTAGTAAGTTAAATCTTGCCTATAGCCAAAGTAACTATTGCACAGAATTTTATTCGCTATACATATAGGTGGTATTCGCTGTTGCATGGCCCAACTTGTCTTCACGGGATGTTGATGGCAAGTCTACCTATGTATGTGCATACAGCATGTCGCCTAATTTCCCAGTGTGCATGAATAAATTAAGAATGGCCACCTGGGCGAGACCGGTGTCCATACCCAGGGTGGTGCCTTCCTGATTAGGTACCTGCCAGTTGACTGAGTCGTTGGTCAAAGTGGGTCCGCCCGGAGCTGTCACATGTGCCGCTCCGCGCTCAGTGATATTCCGAAATCCCGCCCCGCCAGATAACTTCCGCCATTCTTCTCCACCTCCGCGGAATTGAATCATCCCATACCCATTTGTTTTGTCCCAATAACCTCATTCGACCAGTCATTTGTCAAAATGGACTCGGGAACCCCTGAAACTGCGAGCCGTGCAGGCTCCGTGCCTGCGGGCAGCTTCCCTACTGATCCGTCGGAGTTCGATAAGGATCCGCGCGTGTCTTTCTCCAAGCTTGACAACCAGTACATTCTGGAGACTGATGATGACCGTGAGTTCCTCTGGGATACCGGTATCAAGCGCTGGGTCGAGTCGGTATGTAGGCCCCTTCTCTTGCTCCCTGGCGGCGGCCGAATGCCAGCTTGGGTTGCTCATGACGTTCTTGGTGCTAATTCGACGTTCCTTATAGATCGACGAGGAGCTCTTGCGCCAGCAGCAGGAGGCCTACAAGGTCGAAGGCGTCGATGAGACTGAGGCCGCTCACCCCCGGGATCGCAAGCGCAAGCAGAACCATGACGCGGTAAGAGTCGCTGATTTCGCTTTTCTTGGGTTGACGCTAACGAAAGATCTTTCTCCCTTTCCAGGCCAATGAGCCGAAGCAGAAGAAGCCCCGCGTGAACTGCGCCGTTTATGTCACCTCAATCCCCCTCGATGCGACCATGGAGGAAATCAATACTGTTTTCAAGAAGTTCGGACTCATCACTGAGGAGATCGACACCGGAAAGCCTCGGATCAAGATGTACGAGGATGAGGCTGGTAACTTCAAGGGTGACGCCCTGGTTGTGTATTTCCGGTCTGAGTCGGTAGACATTGCGATCCAGATGCTCGATGAGACGGATTTCCGTTATGGTGTCACCGGGCCCCATGGTCCGATGCGAGTCCAGGCTGCCGATGCTGCCTGGAAGAGTGATGAGGCGAATCAGAAGCCTGATCAGAACCAAAAGCAGTCGACCAGGTCCAAGACTGATCAACGAAAAATTGCAGAGCGCGCAAAGCGATTCAACGAGTATGTGATCAGCTTCCAACTCCGGGGATGCTATGCTGACTTCCTTTGTACAGGAAACTCGGCTGGGATTCCGAAGAGGAGGGCCCAGTCTATACCAAGTATGACCACATGGTCACTTTGAAGCACATGTTCACGCTTAAGGAACTGGATGTGGGTTACCCATCTTTCGTGTAATGGATGACTGAGTCCTCGCTGACATGAATTATAGGACGACCCAGCTGCCATTCTTGAAATCAAAGAGGATATTCGCGACGAGTGTGAAAAGTTTGGCGAGGTTACCAACACTGTGCTTTACGACCTTGAGCCCGAGGGGGTGGTCACTGTCCGTTTTAAGGATCCAGCTGCTGCCCGCAGCTGTGTCGAGGTATGCTATTATTTTTGATCTGGATCATTTTTACAGCTACTAATCATATTCCAGGCCTTTTCTGGTCGCAAGTTCAGCGGTCGAGAAGTTGTCGCCTACGTCCAAACCGGCCGTGAGAGATACCGCAAGTCTGGCACCCAACGCGATGCCCTCGAGGGAATTGATACCGAGGCAGAGGAGCAGAAGCGTCTTGACCGATTCGGAGATTTCCTCGAGGGCAAGTGAACGCACAATGAAGAGGATGAGATAGGAAGGTGCGGTGAGGTGCGGTGAGGTGTGGTGTGGTGAGGTGATGCGAGGTTAATGTCTGCAAATTTCTAAGCGAATACCCGATGTACAATAGTGTAAGAGTGACAATGAAGCACTGAAAGAGTATGACAATGCAAGAGTAGTATAAGCGTAGTGTAAACGAAGAGTTGTTGTTGTCCTCCACGCGCCCAAAGAAAAGTGAAGTGTGGTTCGCACCTCCCCCGAAGTCCCGTGATGGAGCTATGCCCAATCAGGCACCACCCCCCTGAACCCATCAGTTGTTGACTTGTTGATCCCACACACACCGCTCAACCCATCCTCTCTCTTTCTCCTTCTCCCTATCCTCTCCAGTCGATACTCCCCCTATTTTTCTACGGATTCACCTTCAAGATGCGTGAGATTGTATGTGGTCCCCAATAGACGCGTCTATGTCTTTTGTTTTCTTTCCCCTGAACCACCCCCACCCGTTCTAAACAGATCTTTTGCTAACCCCCAATGCTCCATAGGTTCACCTCCAAACCGGCCAGTGTGTAAGTTCGACCTTGACGATGGATACCTTTGCGGGACGACTTTTGGATTGGGACTAAATTGTACTTGGATGACAGGGTAACCAAATTGGTGCCGCTTTCTGGTACGTGCAGACATATATTGAAACTTTTTTCGCGTCATTGGTTCACAATTTTCTGACTAAATTACAGGCAAACCATTTCCGGTGAGCACGGTCTCGATGGCGATGGACAGTAAGTTCAATGTGGGACTTCTTGTGGTGGATTGGGCAGCTGATATCCTGTTAGGTACAATGGTACCTCCGACCTCCAGCTCGAGCGCATGAACGTCTACTTCAACCATGTGAGTACAATATGTTGTAATTGGCTGCTTAAGCATTATCTGACTAGTATGTTTTGACCCCTCAGGCCCACGGTGACAAGTACGTTCCCCGTGCCGTTCTCGTCGACTTGGAGCCTGGTACAATGGACGCTGTCCGCTCCGGTCCTTTCGGCAAGCTTTTCCGCCCCGACAACTTCGTCTTCGGTCAGTCCGGTGCCGGTAACAACTGGGCTAAGGGTCACTACACCGAGGGTGCCGAGCTCGTTGACCAGGTCATCGATGTCGTCCGCCGTGAGGCCGAATCTTGTGACTGCCTCCAGGGTTTCCAGATCACCCACTCCCTCGGTGGTGGTACTGGTGCCGGTATGGGCACACTCCTGATCTCCAAGATCCGTGAGGAGTTCCCCGACCGTATGATGGCCACCTTCTCCGTCGTTCCTTCTCCCAAGGTTTCCGACACCGTTGTTGAGCCTTACAACGCCACCCTCTCCATCCACCAGCTCGTTGAGCACTCCGACGAGACCTTCTGTATCGATAACGAGGTATGTAATGCGTGGGAACCAACAATGGCACATTACTGACGAATTTAGGCTCTGTACGACATCTGCATGCGTACCCTCAAGCTGTCCCAGCCCTCGTACGGTGACCTGAACCACCTCGTCTCCGCCGTCATGTCCGGTGTGACCACCTCCCTTCGTTTCCCCGGCCAGCTCAACTCCGACCTCCGCAAGCTCGCCGTCAACATGGTGCCCTTCCCCCGTCTGCACTTCTTCATGGTCGGCTTCGCTCCCCTGACCAGCCGCAGCGGCTACCAGTACCGCCAGGTCAGCGTTCCCGAGTTGACCCAGCAGATGTTCGACCCCAAGAACATGATGGCTGCTTCCGACTTCCGTAACGGCCGTTACCTCACCTGTTCCGCTCTCTTCCGCGGTAAGGTCTCCATGAAGGAGGTCGAGGACCAGATGCGCAACATCCAGAACAAGAACCAGAGCTACTTCGTTGAGTGGATCCCCAACAACGTCCAGACCGCTCTGTGCTCCGTTCCCCCTCGTGGCCTCAAGATGTCTTCCACCTTCGTCGGAAACTCCACCTCCATCCAGGAGCTCTTCAAGCGTATCGGTGACCAGTTCACTGCTATGTTCCGTCGCAAGGCTTTCTTGCACTGGTACACTGGTGAGGGTATGGACGAGATGGAGTTCACTGAGGCTGAGAGCAACATGAACGACCTTGTCTCCGAGTACCAGCAGTACCAGGAGGCCTCCATCTCCGAGGGTGAGGAGGAGTAGTAAGCATCCCCGTCCCTTTTAAATGCGAATTACCGCTAACTATTCTTTCTAGCCTCGCTGAGGACGTTGTCGACGAGGAGGTCTAAATAAGTCTCCCTGAGATTTGTTCATAATACCCTTGTCAAGCCTACATTCTCTACCATTCGGACCGGCTTTGTGGGCTTACGCCCTGAACCCAATTTGTTTGAGCGCTCCTAATTTACATTTTTTCTGTCTATCTTCCTACTCGGCTTGGGTGATTTGTTCGATCCCTCCAGAATAGCACATAGTGGAAAAGCAATTGACAATATGACTTTCCACATCTTAATCTGTAGTCTAATTCTTGGATGTTGTATGTATGTGGAGTTTCTATGGTTTGGTTCATTGTGTTTTTGGTTATCTTGTAGTTCCATCCTTCACTACGTCTTCTTGTTTTGTATACACCGTGATATGGAAGCATGGAAACACAGCATCAAACGTTCCTGGTCCTGGTCATTGTAATTCGATTTTACCCTGCCTTATCTACTCAACGAAGGAAACGTCAACTGCGGAGAAGGTGCCCAGGTGATGATATGGTATAGTACGTCCTGTAGAATAACGTGCCTTGCCCTAATGACGTCAGGTAAGATCCACGAATATAATTTTTTTTTTTTTTTTTTTTTTAGTAGGTGTATTTAGATTCGGCTCTTTCAAACTAGGCTGAACTATCATTTAGACCTTCTACTCGATGGCTAGGCGTTCATAGTCTTAAAGTTCCTCATCTAGTTTCTCAACGGAGGTACCCCAGACTTTCACGCTTTGATATTGGCCTTCGTTATCACTCTCAGAGGTCTTCGGGGCCAGGGTTAACATTTTTATTTGTTGATATGTAATTTTCCTGCATTAAAAAGAGCGTAACAGAATATTAAAGCGATCCGTGGCCCATTGCCCTATCACTTCCCCCTCAGAAACGCTCAACACCTCCTTCATTGTGCCTCCTCTTCTGGTTACGCTTCCTAAGCACTCTAGACCGACATTTTCTTCCTTGATTCGTAAACTCGGGAACTTCTTGTGCAGATCTTCGAGTTAAACAACAGTCAGTATGAGCACCTGAGAAAACAAGGTCAATGGAGGGTTTATATCCCGGTCTTCCTTGAGCTTAATACAAATCACACGCACACACCCTCAAGATGACCGCGTTGCATAAAGAGCAGCGCACCAATCCAAGCATTCAGATTTTTGACACCACAGTGCCCTTGCTGCTCCACAAAGGGATTTGCAATATTCCATGTGATATCATGGCCGTCTGGGTTATAGTCTAAATGAATGCGCAATTTCCTCCAAGAATTGATTGTAGTTTATGTTTGACTTGTCGGCCAATAGAGTATCTAGGCTGATGTATAAGCCAATCCAAGGCACCGTACTAGCCACACTGCAGTGGTCAACTACTATGAACCCAGGCTAAATAAGGGGCCGAGCGGATCGTCCTAGACAGCTTGTTGAGGGCTCGACTTGATTTGTTGGAAGGGGTGTCGCTGCCGAGGTCACACGGGGAGCTTCCTGGCGCTGTTGTTGCCCCAGCTTGTGACTCGGCTTGAATGATGACTTGGGTAGCATACTCTTTCAGATTCAAGCTTGGTGAAGGACGTAGGATGGGTTTTGCTTTGAGTGTTGAAAGGATAGGTGAAGAAGTTGAAACGTCTAACGTGAAGTGATACTTAAACATTCGGAAGCGTCTGCAACTGCATAAATCAGACAATCAAGAGAAACAACATCAAAACCCTATTCATCAAAGTCTTAGTCACTGAAGCCTCATTGGGTGCCTAGAGAATTGAAAGGCTCACTATTCTAACCCCACGAACTAGGATTCTTTATATAAACCTTCTCTAAGCTACCTCAATTGCGCTTCAGCCGAGATACACGCATTCCTCGTTAAGCCCTTCGTTAACTCTGACGTTTACCAGCTTGACATTATTAATAGCTATCATTATCCGTAAGAAGGGAGTACTAATACATCACAAACCGGATCATTCTATTCGAACTGGAGCTACATACATTGCAGATACAGCATAGACCAACAAAAAGTCTAAATAGCCTTGAAAATCCCCAACCGTATAATCAAGGCAGCACTCAATCCTATGTCTATCGTCATAAAATAATAAATCTCTCATACTGACAACGTCCTGGAGTTGTTTTGATGTGGAGCTAACCCTAGAAGATATGAATAGCAGATAAGCATACTTGAACTACAAGTAGCTCATGTGGAGAACGCGTCATAAACTCGACAATAAAAATGTTGGCGTTACCCGAAATGGGAAATAATACCTAGGAAAATCGGCATTTAAGGCGCACATTTCAGTCGCGGTAAAGGAAGGACTGTCTCGGCTTCACGATCCCGGACTCCGGCTTGTGGGTCAACGGGGGAAAGCTTGGCTGTAAAACCTGCAGGAACATATCTGAGGTAGAGAAGCTACATAGTATGCATAATTAGGGATCTCATAAATGCCCGAGATCTACAATAACGCTATGAGCAACAGGATGTAGCGAGAATGACCGCGGTTCATAGATTCAAGCATTCATGCAATAATATACTTTACGAAGTAAAGATCCAGTGTTCCTCGGGAGGGCTATAGGGCAACGCCGATGACAAGCGAGTTCTCCAAGCCAAATTATGAACAATAGCGAAGTAAACCAATAGAAAGACCCTCAGTGTTAACCCCTTCCCTCAGGCCTCTCTCACCCCATCTGGAGCGAATCACCACAAAAAGGATGGTGGATAGGGCTTCGGAGCAATCACAGGACAACTAGAAGACATTTTTCGCGGAAGCAGAGCGGAGCTTTAGTAGATCACCCTCGCCCCGCAGACCTAGTTCACAAATCTGAGCATCGTATAAGATCATTAGAAAGCCGCCCTTGGCAGCATTCCGCAGGATGCATAGTCGGAGCTTTCCAGTATGCTACTTACCTCATATGGAAGTATTGCGCGGATCACGGGCACAGGGTGCACAGCACAGTTGTCACCTACCATTCTTATGATACCCTACTCTGAAGCGCTTGGGGTGCTTGGATATGATGCTACTTGAATCTGGGATGATGCTTGATACCATATGATTAGTTCATGATCTATGGACCGTGTGTACAGGGAGTAATCCGGGCGTATGTTTGATGTGATTCTTGTATTCTCTATTGGCTAATGAGCTGCTCGGTGCCTTGATTGCTGAGGAATGCCCATTTCCGGGTCCCTGGGGTGGTCGTACACCCGACTGGCAAGACAGGGTGATGTCAGGTTCAACAGCTTGAGGACGGCGCACTGGCCTTGGGAGCATTTTCCATATATCTATCATGCCAGAGCTCCCCTCCCCCTCATGTTACACTGGTGATTCTCTTCCTCTCTGATCTTTGTATAGCTGTAGATTTGCGACATCCAGTATATACCGCCAAGTTCTTTGCGAGCCCAATTTGCTCTGTTTATGAACAGATCAAAGGTTCTGTTAACGGATTATTACCAACTTATTTTGACGCCAACTCTCTCCGTTCAAGAATGAAGCCCCAAGATGTCGAAAAGGCCCACAGCACCCCGTCCTTTGAGAGCGTAGCTCAGTTTGAACTCAATAAAAGCGCCTCCAACAGCTCCTCCGATGCTACAGTTGTCGAAAAACCCGACATTCAGCCGCCCCAATCAATGTTCCAGCGATGCCTTGCTTGTCTAAAGGGTATGGAGAGCAGGGGCATTGAGCCTGTTCCCCTTGAAAAGCGGGAGGAGGTTACGCCGTCGACTTCGCTGCACATGATGCTCATGTGGTTTAGTATGACACTTGCTACAAATAATATTGTCGTCGGGTCGATGGGCACACTTGTCCTAGGTCTCAGCTTCAAAGACGCGGCTTTGTGTGCCATTTTTGGATGTATAGTCGGTACTTCTAGTATTGGTTATATGAGTACATGGGGTCCTAGAAGTGGAAACCGAACCCTGGTATGTGGATCTGTCATAAGTGTTTGCAAGATCGAGTACTAATCACTTCGACAGATCGTGGCCCGCTACTTCATGGGCTACTATCCAAGCAAAGTTTGTTGTGCCCTCAACGTCTTCACCAATATCGGGTACAGCATGGTGAACAGTGTCGTCGGTGGCCAGATCCTATCAATGGTCTCCGGTGGCCATTTATCAGTCATAGTTGGCATCATTATCATCGCAGGCTCAAGTTTGGTCATGGCACTATTCGGCATGCGCATCTTCCAAATATATGAACGGTAAGAGCCACATCCAACATGTGCCCCAGCACAAACTAACCAGCGTGTAGAGTTGCTTGGCTACCCCAGCTCATGGTAATCTGCGTCATGCTGGGCTCAGCAGGACCTCACTTCGACTTCAATATCCAAACAGCCTCACCAGAGTCTCTAAGCGCCAAGCGCATCACCTTCTTCTCTCTAATTCTGTCTATTGCTCTCGCATGGGCTCCCCTCGCCGCAGACTATTACGTCTACTATCCACCCCATATGAAGCGCTGGCGAACGTTCCTGGTGACCGTCCTCGGTGCCGCCCAAGCCATGACTATCACTCTCCTTGTTGGCATGGGACTAGGCACTGTGATAGCAAGCTCAGCATACTATTCTAGCAAATATGGCACCGGCCCCGGAGGCGTGCTGATGACAGCCTACGACAGTCTGGGCGGTTTTGGTAAAGTCTGCGCTGTGATCAACGTCCTTGCCTTGGTTGCAAATAACACTCCTGGGGCTTACTCCATGGGCATGAACTTGCAAATGCTCGGTGGATTTCTCGGCAAGATCCCACGACCTATCTCTACGACTCTCGCCACGGTTGTCTATGCTGCGTGCGCGATGGGAGGTCGCAACTCTCTCTACGAAGTCTTCAAATCCTTCTTGCCTCTCATTGGATACTGGGTTGTCATCTTCTTTGTGATTGTCGTGCAAGAGGACGCTATTTTCCGTCGGCGCAAAGGATACAATTGGTCTGCTTGGAATACTCGTGCTCAACTGCCCATGGGGCTTGCGGCGAGTGTTTCTTTCTTTGTTGGATGGGCTGGTGCGATTGTAGGCATGGTATGTTGGGTTTCTAAGTCTCGCTGAACTGTATAATGCTAAACTATGACTCTAGTCCCAAGCATATTATACAGGCCCAATCGCGAGGCTCACTGGTGGAGCTGACTTGGGTCTCTGGCTGGCCGCAGGCTTTACAATGCTGTCCTTCCCGCCCTTGCGGGCATTGGAGCTGCGGTATATCGGTCGCTAAGTGAAGGTTGAAGATAATGAACAGTGAGTCGGGGGTGAAGATACCGCTGTCAGATCAAAGAGTATATAGTGAGGAAAGTATAAAGTGCGTGGAATGATTCAAGCTGCACAGGGCTCTCTAATTGTTTAAATACATTCATATCTTGTGATTCTGGGGTGGTTTCGGTTAATGGTCTAATATAAAAAAGTATCAGCCTCGGTCATGCACCTACGCTCCCATAATATCTACATTATAGTTGGTCGATCGTCGGAGGCATATGCATGGCGTCCCGTATATCCGAAAACCCCGGTCGCTTCCCACACCAAAGATTGTAGATTAAGTCCTCATTATTTATCCAATATTTATAAATTGACTATAGTCTTGTCGGATCAGGTCCTATAACACTGGCAAATATCAAACATCCTCCATTTGACTGTGTTTGGGAGATCTATGGATGCCGATCACTTTCCAACGCTACCCAATTGACAGGCTACCCCCACTTCATCTTTCCCTCCTCTACTTGAACTTCAACCTCAACCACAACCCCGGAGACTGCAGGCAAAGTCCTCCCCCACAAATTTTCGTCGCATCCATAATGACCGACACCATGGACAACACCATATGGGCGTCGCAGGGGTCACCTCTATCAGAGGCTGTCAAAACTCTCACATCCCCGCACAAGCTCGTCACTTGCATGCTATGCCTCCTCCTCGCCTGGCCAGTAGTAGCAAGCACCCTACGCAACCGACGCGTACGAAACCTCAACAAACAATATCCCTACCCAACCCGAGCCTCAATGTCCAAAATGACTGACGAACACGCCTTTCAAATCCAAAAACAAATCGCGCAACTCGAATTCCCATTCATGTTCATAAAGTCCCTCCAATTCGCTTTATTCAGGGTATGAACCAATGACCCAGTAAACCAGTTTAAAAACTTATATATAACATATGTTGATTCTTCAAAAAAAGACCTACGGCATCCCGACAATCTCAAAGCTCCTAACAAAAACAAGCCAATTCTCTAACCCAGTAACATCCCTAAAACGCTACACAGACACAAGCACCCTCGTCCAAGAAATGGTCGGCAACAATCCAACATCCAAACGCGCTTTCCTCGGTCTCGCGCGTACCAGGTTCCTACATCGCGGGTATAGAGCCTCTGGCCAAATCCTCGAAGAGGACATGCTCTACACGCTAGGATTATTCGCTCTGCAACCTATCCAGTTTATTGACCGGTTTGAGTGGCGTTCTTTGAGTGACATAGAACGGTGTGCTATTGGGACTTTTTGGAAGAGTGCTGGTGATGCTCTTGATATTAGTTATGATCCGCTGCCTTCTGGGAAGAGTGGGTTCCGTGATGGTATTCAGTGGATTGAGGAGATTGATGAATGGTGCGAGGAGTATGAGGCTCGTTGTATGGTTCCCGATGTCAAGAATCGCGAGATTGCGGATCAGACGACTGCTGTGTTGGTTTATATGCTGCCGACGGTGATGCATTCTGTGGGGTTGCAGTTTGTTTCGTTTATGATGGATGAGAGATTGAGGAGGGCTATGCTGTGAGTTTTATGCACCCTCCACTCCCTTTAGTTTCCGCCATCATCTGGTCTATCATGGATATATGCATGGCCACCGACCGGGTGTATCATATTAATCGATATCAACTCAGCAACTAACAATGCAACCAACAAAAAGCTACGATCCCCCAACCCCATTCTGGAGTACGATCTTCTCAATCCTCCTAACAACCCGCAAGCTATTCCTCCGCCACCTAATGCTCCCCAGACCACACATCCTGCGCTATCAATCGTTTACCGAAGAGCCAGATGAGTTCGAGCGGTTCTTCCTGACAAAATGGGAAGCCGCACCGTACTACGTCAAGCCGACGCTCTGGAACCGCTGGGGCCCGACAGCGTGGTTGACCTGGGCTCTTGGAAGACCTCTCCCTGGTGATGAAGGTGATAAATATTCGCCTGCTGGGTATAGTATCCCGGATCTTGGGCCGAAGGGGTTTGAGGGGAAGGGCAGGAAGGAGTTGGAGGAATTTATGGGTCAAATGAAGGACTATCGGACTGGAAAATGTCCTTTCCATTGAGTTGGTGATTAGTTTTTGACAAATACCACAGAGAGAGAGCGAGAGAAATGATCATAGGACAGCCTATGTATCAACCTCAACACAAACACGTATCAGATACTCCTTGGATCCAACAACGGATCCGTAATCGCACACCCCCTAGCCCTAACCCAAACATCAACAACCTTCGCAGCCTCCCCATCCAAATCAGAATCAACAACAAAATACCACCCATAATAAGCCCCCGTAACACAAGCATGATTGGGATAAACCTTAATAACTTGCCCAACCCTCAACGGAATCTTCTCCAATCCAAGCCCACCCTCCCAAGCAACAATAGCATGCTCCTGGCTAATCCTCTGAACAACCAACCTCCCATCCCCATTCCCACCCCTCCTCCAAGACGAAACAACTCCCCACCCATCATAACCCCCACAAGGCTCCCGTCCAAGCGCCAACGTCCCAGCAGCAACAAGCGCCTCAGCCCTCTCCCGCTCGCCATCATTATAAACACTACAGACCTCCGCCAAAACCGAGAGCGCAATCTCATCCTCAATCCCACCAAGGCCAGCAACAGCATTCGTAGAAACCTGCTGCATATCCAGTATCGCATAAACGCCAGCATGCAACTCAACATTCAGATTCGGATCCTTCAGCAGAGAACGCAGTTCACGCGCTTCAACGCAAGAATCATGACGCAGCAAATTCTGCGAAGAAACAACCTGCGGCGTAGCCCCGACACTAATAACCAATTCCCGTTTCTTTTCTTTCAGGAGGAGATGGGCATTGCTCTCCAGGGCATCTTTGCACCCCCTAATCTCAGCGATTAAATGACTCATTGCAATTTGCGGTGTTGAGCCATTATAACTGAGACTGCTGTGCGAATATAAACCAAGCAATAATGCAGTACCAGCAGCTTCAGCCGCGGAGATTTTCTCAAGGAGACCGTTCTTGTTAAGGGAAGATGGTGGTAAGCCGGCGCGGTGATATCCCGTATCGACTTTGACGAAGATATTTGCTGGACTCCCTGCTTCCCTGGCGAAATCTGCTAGGAAGGGCAGTTGGTCTGGGTGGTCGATCATTAGGGAGAGGGAGTTTGGGCCTAGTTTTTTTGCTATTTTTGCTAGGCGCGGGATTTGGGAGGGGATTAGGGGGATGCCGTAAAGGATGTTTGTTGGTCGGGCTTTTTGGAGGGATTGCAGGAGGGGGATCATTGTTTCGATCTCTAGGGGTGTTGAGGCTATAAAGTTTGCTGTTGGGTTGTTGCCGATTTGGAGTTTGGCGATTTCCGGTGTCTGGGGTTGTATGTTAGGCTGGTGGGGGGTTATGTTTATGTTTTGAGATTGGGGATTGTTTACCTTGTGGGTTTTGACGTGAGCTCTGAAGCCGACGTTGAGGGTTTTTACTGTCTGGAGCATTGTTTCGCAGTGGCGGCGGATTATTGCTACGTCTAGGATTGCTGCTGGTTTGGGGACATCTTTGATGTCTTTGCCGATGTAGAATTGTTGCAATTCTGCTTGAGAGGGAATGGATGCCATGGTGAATGTGAGTGAATGGAAGAAGTGAAGCATGAAGAGGGGAGGTTGAGGTTGATGTACTTATAGATATGTGGGGCGGAGGATGTCAACTCCGAGGTGAACTCCGAGGTGAATTCCGCGGTCAAATCTATCGAGATGGACACCGGTGAAAAGAAGAAAAAAGAACGATGAAGCATATGTTCAGAGAGTTTTGAATCTAACAATTAAAAAGGAAAAAGTATGCTAAGTGGCGCCCGTGTATACGCCTTGAAAACCAAAAGGGCCAGCCAAACCAGGCCCAACCAACATGCAAATGATAGTAAGAGTCCCAAGCGGAGTCTATGCATAGTTTTGAACAGCCAAAAGCGTTGCGCCACAGCCCTTTCGTGCACCAAAATCAGTGTCAAGTCAAATCAACAAAGAGAAGGAAAAGACATAATGAAAATTACAAGTCCAACATGGCGGAGAGAACGAGGGAAAGAGTACGGAGGATAGAGATAGGAGAGGGGGAGAGGCTCAATCAGGTACAGTATTTACACCTGCGACTGGCTATAACTAGATCTCGACTGCTGAGACATCGAGCGACGGCCACGGCTAGAAGGCGCGCGCTCCGGCGGAGCATGTTCAAAGAACGGAGTAAGATCCGGGTTCTGACTTGGCGGGATTTTGGAGGTAGCAGAGTACTCGTTCAAGAGCTGATCATTGGCATCTGTATCCGGATGCACTTCAATGCCCGGCTCTCTATCCAAACCACCATGAGGACCGCCCGTAGTTGGAAAAGTGATCGAGTCAGCTTCGTCATGACCACGCTCGATGGGAGACCATCCCGCAATACTGCCAGCGACGATACCGGCCATGGCGGCGGCAGGGCCGAAGGTCGAGTTTGATCGGGAGCGGGTATTGCGTCTGGAGCGGGACTCTGGGGTGAGAGGTTGCGGAGTTGGGCTGCCGTTGTCGTTGTCGCCGTTTGGCGTAGGTGGGGAGGAGGAAGAGTCTCTTGAACGTGAGCCACTGCGGGACCGGGGAAGCAATTCCTGCGGGTGTTGCAGCTTGTGGCGGATGTGGCGGAGACGGCCGCCGCGGACGCGCTTGATGAAAGCGAGCTGGTCGCGGATTTCTTCCAAGGCTGGGTTCCATTCGTAGTTGCGGTCTTCGTCGGAGACGACTACTTCGGGACCCTTGTCGCGGGACCAGAAGTGAGGGATGAGTCGGCTGATGAATTCGTCTGGGATCAGACGGATTATTACAGCGATGGGGAGAGAGATGGCGCCAAGGACGAGACTGACAGCCCACTGGGAGCCTTGGTCGAGTCGCTTGACGGAGAAAGCGGCGCCACCGACGAAGATGATTAGGACTTGGCCTCCGATGATGATGAGCTGAATGCCGACGAACCAATTGTTTTTCCAGACACGCTCCATTATGTTGAGCTTATTGTCGATACGACGGGAGTTGTACTGGTTGAAAATCTGCATGAAGACGAAGGTGTTGAAAACCACGGTCTGCATGTGTTCGTGATCCCACGAGAATATCGTGTCTCCAGCAAAATTCAGAACGAACGTCACAACAAGTTGGTAGATGGACTGTCCGATGATCATCTTCCACATGGTCAGAGTAATCAGCGGGTCGGATTTCGATTCGGGCCTGCGATCGAGCACAGTCGGCGTTGGAGGATCCGTTGCCAAAGCAAGAGCAGCAAAAGTATCCATAATCAAGTTAACCCACAACAGCTGAACTGCACTAAGCACGGAATCCTCATTTTCACTAGCGACGGCAGAGACGAAGGTCAGGATAACGGCAGTGATGTTGACTGTGATCTGGAACTGAAGGAACTTCTTGACAGCATCGCTGACAGTACGACCCCAAGCCATGGCCTTGACAATAGATGCAAAGTTGTCATCCATAAGAATAATATCAGATGCTTCCTTGGCAACTTCAGTACCAGTGATACCCATAGCAAAGCCGACATCAGCATTCTTGAGAGCCTGAGCATCGTTGGTTCCATCACCAGTCACAGCAACAGTTTCGCCAAGCTTCTTGAGCTGATTCACGAGAATCTTCTTATCTTCTGGACTAGACCGGGCGATGACCTGGAGCCTGGGAATAATCTGATTCATTTGACGGGTGCTCAGCTTGCGGAACTTGGGTCCTTCAATGGCGATACCACCAGGCGTGTAGATACCACACTCCTGGGCAATAGCCTTGGCGGTAATGATGTTGTCACCAGTGACCATGCGGACAAACACACCAGCACGCTGGCATCTGTGCACGGCATCCGAAACGCCTGCTCGGAGAGGATCCTGAATACCGAAGATGCCCAGCACTGCCATGTCCTTGAAGATAGGCTCAAAGACAGCCTGGTTGCGGTCGGTTTCCGATGTCGGGGCTCCGCGGGGTGGCCATTGCTCGAAGTCACGGTAGACGAGGGCAATGCAGCGGAGAGAGCGCGAGGCGTAGGTGGTCGTGATGGTATCCAGTGTAGTCTTGTTCTCCTCGGAGAGGGGAGCCTCAGACAGAGCATCAGTCGGATCACGAACGATGCGTGTCGAGTGGGAGATCAGGATTTCAGCAGCGCCCTTGACGAGCATTCGGTATTTGCCGTTCTCCAGCTGCATCACTACTGCCATGCATTTCCGTCCAGAATCGAATGGGTACATCTGCACCATCTTGCCGTTGGCTTTCTCTTCGCCGAGAACCCCCATTCCGAGGTAGTCCCTGGCGAAAGTCAAGAGAGCAGTCTCAGTCTTGGAACCAATGAATGTCTTCACTCCTTCAACTTCGCCTTCGAAGGCGGTGGAGTTATAGACGATTGACTGGAGCAAAACATCCTTCACGGAATCAGACAGCGTAGACACAAATTCTTGCGCGGAAATCTCAGACGAGTCTTCCGGTGAAACACCAGAGTACTTTCCAAAGCGCGAAGAAGTACCCAAAGTTGCAGCTACTGCCGTCATTTTATTTTCCGTCAAAGTTCCCGTTTTATCAGAACAGATCGTGGTGGCACCTCCCATAGTTTCACAGGCTTTGAGGAAGCGAACCAAATTGTTGTCCTTGATCATTCGTGTCGTTGCAAAGGCGAGAGCGAGCGTGACAGCCAGTGGTAGGCCCTCCGGCACAGCGACGACGACGATAGTAACGGCCACAATGAAAATCTGCAAGAAGTCTTGACCCTTGGCGTCTGCGCCACCTTCGATGTCCTTGAGCCGGACCAGGAATTTGATGAACAGAACCACAAAGAGTAGGAGACCAGAAGCGAGACCGAGTTTGGCGATGTACTCAGCCAGCACGTTGAGCTTAGTCTGCAAAGGAGTTGTCTCACCCTCCTCTTGAAGGGACATCATCGTCCGACCATGAGTCGAGTTCGTTCCAGTAGCAGTAACCAAAAAGGTACCAACGCCCTCGGACACCTTGGCACCGGAAATGATGAAGGGATCCATCTTCTTCAGATCTTCATGGTGCTCGATTGTCCGATAGACTTCTTCGGCGGGAGTCTTCCTGAGAACATCAGACTCACCGGTTGCCGAAGATTCGTCACACTTGAGGTTGTGGCCTTCGATAAAAATTCCATCGACGGGGACCATATCACCCGGCTCCAAAAGCATCACGTCGCCAACCAAAACATCGTGAATCGAGATTTCTTCTATCCGGCCAGACCGAGTGACCTTAACCTGCCGGTTCTCTTTCTTCTTGTTGAGTTTCGCGAATTGCCGTTCCTTTTGCCAATCATTCGCTGCGCCGACTGTAACCACAATGATAATGGCCACTAGAATCGCCAGACCCTCCACCCATTCAACACCAGGTTCATCTGGATTTACTGGATGAAGCGACTGCGGAATACCCACAGCAAGGGAAATAACAGCCGCAACGGTCAATAAGATCAAGACCTTGTCATTGTACGCAATCCAAGCTAACTCCCAGATCGATTTCAGTTTCCGCTCCGGCAGCTTATTGTCACCGAATATCCGTCGTCGATCGGTATAATCCTCTCCACCTTTAGCGGTAACCGAACCTTCGGTAGCAGCTGGTGGCGACTGATTCGAAGAAACAGATTTGGGCGTCTGCTCAGGCGAGACAGCGGCGTCGAAGCTAACCGACCCATCGAGGGTTGTCTCATCCACGCTCAGCCCACTTCGGACATCAGTCCGCAGCCCCTTTTCCAGACCGCGCAAGCCTCCCAGTGCACGGAACGCGCCGAAGCTCTTCGGGTTGAGCAGCTTGTTCAGCTGGCCAGGCGAGAAGGCGAACTTGTTATCTTCGACCTCGAACTCGGACTCCCGGCCGGGGTCTGGCTTCAACGCGTCTTCATCGTCCACGTCCACGTTGTGGTTCTTGATCAGGTCGGACCTAGATCCGCGCGATGCTGAGGTCACATACGTTTCCCCGCCGTAGGTGCTCGATGTCTGGCTTGTATCCTCTGACTCAAGGGAGTTGCCTCGGGACCGGGCTCCGGGCACGGAGAGGTAGTTCGAGTGTGTCTCGGGTACCTTGGTCTTGGGCGAGGAGATGTTGTGTGGAGATGTTGGGCGGTTCTCGTGATCCCGACCTTCAGAAGAGGCATTCGAGCGGAGTGAGGCTGGAGACCGCATGTCTGTTGGGGAGACGCTGCCGTTGTTCAGCACGGCACTCGTGTCGCTGTGGGCATGTTCTGTGTTGGTCTGGATGGATGGATGGGGAGCTCCCGCGGCTTGGGACGGGGGATGGAAGGGGTCCGGGGAGTTCACGGCCGAGGTATCGATGGTGATCGTTGGCGCGCGCTCTCGACGTAGGGGAGCCGACTGTTGAGTCGGCTCATCAGGGCGTGAATCGGACATGGTTCAATTCGAGCGCGGTTCACGCGACAGTGGAGATGTTGATAGGCTCATGAGATGGGAAAAGCCAGAGCCCGTGTAAGGGAGAGTACAGTAAGTGGAGGAACTTAGAGGCAAGGAAAGAAAAGAGAAAGGAGATATGACAACCCCTGCGGTCCACACCGGTCTCGAACTATCCTCCCGCATCTCCACAGCACAGCCCCGACTCTACACTACGTAGCTAGTAAGTAGCTAGTAAGTACAGCTTAATTATGCTGTATTTTAATTGTCTAACTACTTATTTACACTTGATTACTCTCTGATTACCTACTGTCAGAGTTTTCAATGGTCAGGCACTGTTTGCCGAATGGCAAATACCAAGCTCTATAGCGCCTGCACTGCCTCACTCTGCCAAGCCTCCAATAGGGGCGGACTAAATTACGGAGTCGACGGGAGTCAACTAATGAATAATATGAGTTATATGAAGTCTAGGCGCCTATGCACTATTATGCTAGTCTGAAAATTGGAGCTAAATTATTAATGTGAGTGGTGACGTTTCCTCTATAACTTATGGGGAGATCGACACACTTTATTCTAGTGATGCCCAAGACATGAGATCATGTAACCTTGAGGAAATTGTTCCCGAAACAGAAGAATTACACTCCTACTGTATGTTACCGGGACCACCCCTGAGCACCTAAAGCGAATCTTTCGGGTTATACCTAGTGGCAAATAGAAATAATAATTAGACAAGCTTAAGTTGAAGCTTTATGTCTCTGCAAACCTAGTATCCGGTATAAAACCCAAAACCAAGGAAGGTGTAGAGTTAACAAAGTAGATAACGCAAATCTGATATCATCGGCTCTATCTCCATCTCCAACTACACAGCCACGCAACCCACCTAAAACTTAGACCTCATCCACATCACACCACATCACAACCCAAGCATGTCCAACAACAAATACATGTATGGCCTCACCGCCGTCCCAGCCTCAGCCAACGCCCTACTAACATCACCAAACAACCCACCCCCAACCCATCCCCCAAGCCCAATCCCCGTCCAAGAAACACCAATCCCAAACACCCCACTAGCCCAACGCATAAACACATACGCACGCCGTCACCTACCAGAAGAAACATACAACCACTCCCTGCGCGTATACCACTACGGCCTAGCAATAAAACAATACCGCTTCCCAGCATGTTCATTCCCGGACTGGGATTTCGATCATGAGACTTACTTCCTTGCGTGTGTGTTGCATGATATTGGGACGACAAAAGAGAATCTATGCGCTACTAGGTTGAGTTTTGAGTTTTTTGGGGGAATGCTTGCTTTGAGGGTTTTGCAGGATGTTGATGATGGGGAAAGGGTGGAGATTGGGACTGGGACTGGGATTGGTGCCAGCGGTGCCAGCAATGCTGCTGCGACTGCTACTGATACTACAACCGCTACTAATGCCAACGCTACGGCCCCTCGTGAACAAGCCGAGAGTGTGGCGGAGGCGATTATCCGGCATCAGGATTTGTGCCATGTAGGCAAGATTACGGTTGTGGGACAGCTATTGCAATTGGCGACGATCTTTGGTAAGTGTTGTACATCTTCTCCTTTTTCTCCTTTGTTTACAGTTCAAGCCAAGCCAAGGCTTGAATGATTCTTTACTGTTTGACGGGATATGCATATCCATATCCGTTTGATACGTCATATTGGTCTCTGCTATCCCGTGTTTCGAAATTTCACCCTTAACTTAACCTTGTGTTTTGATCTGTGCGCTGATCCTCATCTGTACAACTTTTTAGATAATACCGGCGCCTATGCTGATCTCGTCCATGCTGATACTATCAAGGATGTCTGTGTGCATTTCCCGCGGATGCGCTGGAGTCGTTGTTTTGCTGCTACTGTTCAGTCGGAGATTGGTTTGAAGCCTTGGGCTCATAGTACTGCGTTGGGTAAGGAGTTTTCGGAGAAAGTGCTTGGGAATTCGTTGATGGATCCTTATGAGTGATCTATTGGGAAAACGTTCTTCTCGGTTCTGCGTTTCATGTTTTGTGTTTTATGTTTGCAAATACTGATCAACAGGAAAAGCTAATGGAGGGATGATACTGGTAATTTAATCAAATTGATGAATCGAAGACGATGCTGCATTCAAAGTCGACATCCGATGGACGTAAAGACTCAAGGACCTGTCATAATTGTAAAACTCTGTCCTGCCATTCATTCAGATATCAAAACCTCGCCATAAAACAGACAGGACCATGCTAATGTACACAGAACATATTGACGCTCTCACATCTCCGGGAGATTATGAAGCCGAGTTTCACCTTCTTTCTGGGGGATCTCAACGTCCCAGATCTTCAATTCCTGGCCCTTTTCAAAGTGGTGGTCCTTCTTTTTATTGGACAGCTGGAACTCGAGGTTCCGATTGACCATCGCCTTACTGGATAATGCCAGTGCATCAACGAGCTCGGCCATGCGTCGGGACTTGGTGAAGGCGTCGGTCAGGTGCTTGAAATTTGCGACCCAGACCGATACGATCATACACTGGGTCAGCAGCTCGTGTCTCTCAAGGCAGTGGCTGGCGTAGTGCATGGCGTTATGGTAGTCGAGGACCAGTTCTGGGAGGTAGGTAGTTCGGATTTTATCGTAGTCTTTTTCTTCGTCGGCATCGGTAGATGTGACGAGCCAGTCGTCGCTGACCACTGCTCCCAAATAGTCCTCCATTGCTGTCACACAATCATGCATTTCATCGGTCATGTCGGTGACGGCACCCGAGTCACGTCGACGTTTAGTCCTGTGCTGGTTAGCTTTGTATTTAGATAACATGGGAGAGACCATACTTGGAGATCTGCTCGTGAATCTGAGCAAACTGTTCCACTGTATCAAATCCGAGGGTCAAAACCTCCAGATCAGACATCCGCTGGCATTGGTACCATGCTGCCACCAGTCCAAAGTTGCTAGAGTTGAAGGTGCTGCGCCTGTGAAGGCTGTTTCTCTTGGACTTAGACGGGCTGGTTGGCGTGGACGCCTCAACAGGATTCTCTTGTGGGGGAATTGAAATGATATCGGAGCCGAACTTTTCAATCGAGATATCAGACAATCGCATACGGAGGCTCAACTCGCGAGCAGCGGCAAGCTTATCAGCAACTGATAACTGTCAGTAAGCTGGGAATTGAAAGAGAGAACAACACAACATACCGAAGAATTTGCGATACAGCCAAGCGCCTAGCTCACAAATCTTGTCCCATTGACCGTCAACGGCGCGGAACCACTCCAGACTACGGATCATCTTCTCGTCTTCATCGGCGACAGAAGTACCAATCAAATCGGTCTTTGGTGACACCAGCGCTCGAAGACCGTCAGGTCGTCGCACTACTCTTGAATACCCAGTGACGTCTCTGGAATGATGGATTGTGGGGACATCGGCGCTCAACCACGACCATTGAACTTCAAGAACGGCTTCAACGTCGATTCCATATCTCCGCATGAGTCGGATCTGCTGCATTTTCTCTTCGGGGTCGATGATCTCAATAAGAATCTTAGAGAAGACACTATTGGCCATCTCAGTAGGAAGAAGAGACACGTAAAGTGGAATGAGGTCGAATAGGCACTTTTCTTCCAGGGTGGCAATGTATCCAGCAATGATCACTGACGCCTGTTCAAAGAAATGGGTGTCTGCGCGAGCATAAGTCATCGAGCTGGCCACAATGTAAGTATGTGTAGCGATCCTGAGAGCCTCCTCGTCATCGGCAGCAATGAGGAATGATTCATCCACAGGACTATGCGCAAGCTCCGGAACAATGGATGCCTTGCCATATTTGTCGGCACTAAGCTGGGAGACAGCTTGAGCGAGGGCCGGGAAGAAAGAGTCGTAACCCTTGCTGAGAATGGCGGCTTGGATGTTGCGGAATGGATTGCGCGCTTCGCCGCTGATCCGTTCAACGCCTCTGAGGTAGACCAGGAACTTCTGGAGGTCGGCATGACCAGGCGCTTCCGGTGTGAATGATACAGGGGTGCTGGGTGAGAGACTGAGTTTGCGCTGGAATTGCGCGCAGAATCCCCGGTAGCGTTGGAGCACAACACTGTTAAAGAACACGTAGAGGTGGTCGTCCCAGCTGCGGCAGACATTGGAGGCAGCATCAGTTTCGCCAGAAAGTAGCGAATAGACTGCCCGCTGGAAGTCATCAGTGTTAGGGCTGCGTGTCAGGGCTGCGCAAGCGGTGCGCCATGAATCGTGCGCCCGACTATTCATCAGTCGCGTGTGACCATCATCGATTGGGAACCGAGTCTTGGGCGCATTATCATCCACGCTAGAACCACACAAGCTGACAGCCCTCCATCCTTCTAAACGGCCCTCTGCCCATTCACGAATCTTCGTCCAGTTCTCGCCTTGTCTCAGCATCTTCCAACAAGTCACCCAGGTGGCGCGTTCGTAGATCTCATCCTGCTTTTCCAAACCGTGCTTCTGTCGAGTAAGAGCATCGGGATCGAGTTGTGTGACCAGTGGCTTCTGTTCCTCGGTGCTCAAAAGCGAGCGCGCGATGCCCGGGTCATTCGGCTCAAGAGGCTGTGGCCATGCGCGTAGTCGCTTATGACCCTTGATCGCCTCCTTGGTGTAAAGCCAGCCGTGCGACCATAATCCCTGGCCCCTTTCCGAACGCGCCTCCATTTGCGCGATCAAATCATCGAAATCCTGTGTACTGCTCTTGGAGGTCTCCTCTAGCCATCGCATAGCAACAACACATTCGAGACCATACTGATCGGCGTTCAAGAACTCCTCCCAGATCTCGCGATCAGATGAGTAGCGGTGGAGGTTCTGGAAAGCTGTCTGGCGGCCTTCCTTGAAGCTAGCCCGACTGGCAGGATCATCGATACTGATCAGGTTAAGCAGAAGACGCCAGGTATCAACCTCGAGTTGCAATCGCTGGATCTGCTCGTGAGATTTCACATCGCTTGCTCGATAGCTCGCCCGGTGTCGGTTTGTGATTTGCTGTGTCTGGATTTCTTTGATGGCGTTTTTCGCAAGATCGCGGTAGCTCTCCACCAGTTTATAAGCTGCCTGGACATTCTGGAAATCGTCGGTGGTATTTTTGCGCTTGAACTGATCGAGCTTGTCGGCGAATGCTTCAATTTGACGAGTGACGCGGTCGGCGGTTCGGCGAAGGGGATGCAGTGCTTCCTGCGCGCCCGCGGCTGTAAACAGCGGGGTATCTGCGATCCATCAGTGGATGTCATTCGAATGTTTATGTGTAAACCAACCTTGTCCCTTGCCCGGGATTTCGTAAACAGACTGCAGAGCAGGCTCAGGCTCTGACTCCTCAGAGCCGGTCTCCGATTCCTCGTCATTCACGCCATCCATGTCTTCATCCATGTCCTCGTCCTGATCTTCAGATGTTGGTTCTTCACCCCCTGACCCTTCATTCTCGTCAAAGGATTCGCTTTGGTCCTCTTCCTCCTCAACACTGATGATCTCATTTTGCCTAGGAGGAGGCAATGCCTATAACAGATCAGCGGAGTCAAAGAAAAAAGGACATGAGACATACCTGTGAGAACAGGTTACCCCCGAGGAAGCAGTTCGAGCGGAACGAGTTAAGGGCGCCATGATGAGAGGCGTGACAAGGGAGAGAGAAGCTCTGAGGAATTGCCGTGTGTTTGTCTCTTTTGGTTTTTGGGCGCGTTGGCGGACTAACCCCAATGTAGACTAGCGCCAATAGAGAACCTATTTCATCGAATTTTCTCCTCCGCCGTTCTTCTTCTTCTCTTTTCTTCCACAAATGTCATTAGGCTTTCATTAGAGTCTCGGAACGAAAGCTCAATTTTCGTTCAGGTCCTTGAGGCCTCTCTGCGTGCTCAAGATTGTCTTAGAACAATTGCAGTTCTTCAATTAGCCTGGTTTCCTCTATATGGGAGCTCAGACCGCAAGGGAATTGTGACATGCCTGTGGAGGCAACTCTTTATGTACAATGTAGTTTACAGGGATCTAATTTCTGCCCTCTGCTGCCTGCGCTCGCTGTCTCATCTTCAGACGCAGCAAATTGGCCTTGGGACAGCTGACCGTCGACGCCTGGTCTCCTCGCTCCTGGTAAAAGGCATTGCAGCATTCGTATAAAGCGTCGACCTGTGCCTGGCACTTGTCCTCGTTAAACGAATTCTTGGTCAAGCAATCTAGCTTCGGTTAGAGACTGTCGTCGTACGTCTGGACTGGTTCTCAGATACCTTGGATGGCGCACTGGCATTGTTAGCAAGGCCAGCGTATCAGTAAGGCTTCAGGAGACATACAGCGCGCGGGTGACAGGGTTGTTCATGAGACAGATCTTGTTTTAAGTTCCCCTACAGCTTCTCAGTATCTATTTGTGAAGTTCTTAGTGACATCTCATACCATAATGGAATGCTTCAAAGACAAACTGTACGTTGAACGATGAAAGCCGTGTGAGCCGGAATCCGCATGGCAAAATAGTCTCACCGCTTTAAAACCGTGGGGGCGAGGCGCTATTCTGCCGCTGATCTCTCTCTCTCTCTTCTCTCCAACTTCAACCTGCCCTCTTCACTACCATCCACTGCTCCATTCTACCGAGTGAGTCCTTCATGCTTGTCTCATCATCTCTCTTTTCCTTGGATTTCTCTTCTAACCATCCTCTAACACTCCAGACAGACTCGCTTTCAAGACCCCGCACTATTCTCATTTCACAAGCATTACCACTCAGGTGAGCCTCCTGGCTTTTCGCCACGTCGCGTCTGCGAAATCAGTCATCTAACAAATATCAGCCAAAATGTCTGACAAGGAAGGCGGCGCGCCACCCACCGAACATCTGAACATTAAGGTCACGGATAACAACAATGAGGTCTTTTTTAAGATCAAGCGGACCACCCAGCTCAAGAAGCTGATGGATGCATTCTGTGAACGTCAGGGAAAGCAGATTTCGACTGTCCGCTTCCTGTTTGACGGCACCCGAGTCCGTCCTGAGGACTCCCCCGAAACCGTACGGTCTTTTCCTTTTCCTTTTCCTTTTCTTTTTTTCTTTTTTTTTGCCATCTTGGGTTTTTGAAATCTTGAACTAACCACTGCAACAGCTTGACATGGCCGACGGCGATACCCTGGAGGTCCACCAAGAGCAGATCGGAGGTTGCTAAACGTCTCACTCTGTGCATCTCGAGTCGCCAGGACGCGGTTGATAATGTGGTTCCCACGCATGAGGGAGGGGTGACATGAGCTGATTACGGGTTCTTGATAGATGTTTCGTGGCCCAGGGAAGGGAGTTACATGGCTTTTTTATGAGACACGAATCTACAAAAGTCACTCAATCTGTTTAGATTGTAGTGCAACTTTACTCATCTTGTATCGCTTCCAATTATAATAGACAAATTACGACATAAGTTCTAAGGTCGGCCTGGCTTACTTCGCCTGTCGTCACCTTCTGGCCGTCACGCGACCAAGGAGGATAGCAATGGGAATCGTAGGTGGAAGGCTTCCCTTTCCCGTTTGTTAAGAGAGCTCAATGGCATACATGAATCGCAGCCTGACAGCTTCCATGCTAACTCCGCCATATCTGGAAAGAATCGACCAGATCCAGCGCGTCACGATCTATGTCGCGCTTATGCTTAAGCGCCATCTGCCAGCACGCTATCAGTCAATCGATTCCAGAGACCATATAATGAAAGCATTAGTATTAAGTCTTCCCGCCCAGCTAGACAGAAATATCTACCTATACATGGCAATCCAAGTATCCCACCACCTGAAACACGAAACAACAAAGAAATACCCACCGAGCTCTCCAACGGACCAGCCGGAAACCTACAGATATCAACAACCCAACCCCTGTGAAAATACACACACATATAAAGAAAGCCCAATATTGTAATACAACCAAGATGCCCCTAAGCCAAACCTAATTATCCCACACAGCATTCTTCGCCTTCTCGTTCTCCTCCTGGGCCCTAGCCTCCTCCTCCTTCTCCTTCTTCCGGCGACGAATCTCCTGCTCCTTAACAGACCGATCATAAGCTCTCTGCTCCTCTGTCCTCTTCGGCGCCCGGATCCCCAACGCACCAGCAATCAACCGCGAAGCAACAGCAGTCTGCTTCTCAGGCCGCCGAGCAGGTCCATCCTTCGAGGCGGGCGATGATGCTCTAGCACGGGCACCCCATGGATTGGATGTTTGCGGGGATATAGGTGTTGGAGGCGGGTCGAGAGGTCCCTCTCCTGCACTGAGAGCTGGCGAGAGGGCGGCGTCTTCGGGGCGGGGTTGGACGTCTTGTTCCGATTCCGGCTCTGCTTCTGAGTCTGAGTCTGCCTCGTCTTCCCAGGAGTCTGCGACTGGTTTTCGCTTCTTGGTGACTGGTTTTCTCGTGCTGGGCCCTGCGGTTTTCTTTGTTGGTCGGGCGATTTCTGGAATGGACCCTTTTTCGCCAATCGATAGGTTGCGAAGGGCGGATTGGAGCTCGGCGCTTGGGTCGGACATAATGTGTGGGATTGGAATTGGTGGGTGTAGCACGTAGGAATTGGGAGAAAGGGGGTTTTTGAATGGGGTTGTGGGAATGAGCGAATATATATAGATCCAGACACTCGAAATAGAACATGGCGTCAGTGACATGGTCGATCGTGGAGAAGGGCTAGACCATTTCGGGTGTTTCTGCCTGAGGATGCAAGTATGCCTCGGGAGTATACCTCGGGTCTATCATTGGGGACTTGTCTTGTGAAACACACTAGATGCTTAGCATTTTCCTGGAACAAGGCACGAAAATTGAGGTTCTACAGGACTTCACCCTGTAATCATTCATTTGCGCGAATATGTACCTTGTCGCCAAGGGGGAGGCTTTTGTTCGAACGCCCTGGCCATAATTAGTGAAGTTTCTTTTTCAAAAACTTGTCTTTATACCTGTTTCGAATGAGTATGAAACCAAATATGTTCCTTGGCCATACTCTCTGTCATTTTTTTAAAAAAAATTACTTATACACGCAGTCCTCGCTGTAGAGTAGAACAAAACGGCAGAGGATAATCCCCTTCCTGTGGGAACTGTTACTTTCCACTACCTCAAATCTATGTTGACGACTCGCACTGCAACTTACACCTGCAAAGAGGCGACGCCAGAATGTCCAGTTGAAGGAACGATCTACGGATATGACCCAAATTATTCCACAGCCGTCGAATTCTGTGTCATATTCGCCATTTGCTGTCTGGTCCAGCTAGCCCAGATGATTAGATGGCGTCTATGGTCGTTCAGCATTTCTGTCATTCTCGGGGCGTTGACCGAAGTGATTGGTATTTCCTTGTGTTTAAGTTAACAATGGAACGAAAGACTCACCAGGCAAACAGGTTATATAGGTCGTATACTCCTCAATCAGAACCCGTACTCATCAATCGGATTCCAATGCAAATTTGCACGCTGACCCTCGCACCCGCTTTCTGGCCTGCTGTTATATACCTGACATTGAAGCATAAAGTGAATGTATTGGGATAGCATTATTCGCTTATACGGGCGAAATGGTATCCCTATATATTTGCCACCTGTGATATCATCTCTCTGGTTTTTCAAGGTGCTGGCGGTGGCATTTCAGCTACAGCCAAGACAGCTAGCAATATCGACATTGGCAGCGATATCATGATAGCTGGAATTGTCTGGCAGGTGATCACTCTGACGGTCTTTGGACTGACGTCGGCCCACTTCCTTTTGCGCATCAAAGGTGCCCCGAAAGAGGAGTTGACTTTTGAGGCTCAGAGGGTTTGGAAAAGTCAGAAGTACTGGTCATTCTTCTGGGGCACGACTATTGCATTTGCTACTACTTATATCCGTTGTGTCTACCGGTGAGTTCCTTGGACACCCTTTTGCAATTTGCGCTTGCTGATTTGTCTGTAGTGTTGTAGAGATGGCCGGTGCGTGGAAGAACGACATCATGCAGGACGAGTTTAGCTTCCCTCTTTTTGAATCTGCGTAAGTCGGCGTGTGGTGTATATTGTCTTACTGCCGAAGATGCTAACAGGTCTTGTGTTTAAGCATGTGCGTTGCGGCTGTAGTTGCACTGTGCATTGCACATCCTGGGTAACAAAAGAATACTGAGTGATAAAAGCAAAGTGCCTCATGATGGCCAAAAAAAGAGGTGCAAAAAGAAACTCTCCCTCGGGGAATCGAACCCCGGTCTCCCGCGCTTATCGGTTTTAATGACAAGCGGAAATCATCACCACTAGACCAAGGAAGATTGAATGACCGAGTTACTGCTCGCCCACTTGGCTGGTTGATGTAATATTCCACCATCTTTAATGTTATGATCCAAACAGCCATACAGAGGAACCTAAATTCGCTTCCTAGGTTAACAACAACTACAATATTGGCTGGATAGATATTGTAGATATTACGGTGTGTATTTAAGCTGGTACAAGTTAGCCTTTGGTGAAATGATTGTAGCTTTTCCTGCCTTTTTTTTTTTTTTTTTTTTTTTTCCGGCACAACCTGTCGGATATGTATTGATGTAGATGTAACCACCACTCCTATGTTTGTCGACCTGACCGATCGTCACAATCACTAATAGTTTGTCGCATGCGAGGAGAGGCTCATCGATTATTCTCACCAATATTTCCATATATCTGGAGACGAATGCGTGGAAGTCTATACTACACCCGATCTACACCTGTATATACATCACTCTAAGACGCCAACCCTACCCCCTAGCCAAAGCAACAACCTTCCTAGCAGCCTCCTCAAACCCATCAAAAGCATGCAAAGGGAGCCCACTCTCCGCAATCTACAACCACCAGTTAGCAACAAGACAACCAAGTAACAAGCCAACACATACCATCTTCTGCCCCAATTCCTCATTTGTACCACGCAATCGCACAACAACAGGAACCTGCATATTCAGATCCCGGAACGCCAAGATGATTCCCTCGGCAATCATATCGCAGCGCGTTAATCCTCCGAAGATGTTGACGAAGATCGCTTTGACGCGCGTATCAGAGCAGATTACTCGGAATGATGATTTGACTGTTTCGGACGTGGCTTTGCCACCTGTGTCAAGGAAGTTGGCACAGTGACCGCCGTGGATTGTTAGGGCGTCTACTGTATTCATGGCAAGGCCGGCTCCGTTTACTGGGGATGTTGTTAGTTCATTGAACGTGAATACCTGGGTTAGATGGGCGTAAAGTAGTGGGTGACTTACCTAGCGTGCCAACGCCGCCTTCACCTTCCAGCCTGTTTCTCTCTGTCAGCATATGCGAGTATTTGTCATTGTGTGTCGACATACTTGACATAGACAATGCCATCCTTCTCAGCTTCAACTTCCTCCGGAACCTCCTCGGAAGTATTTCTCAACTTGTGAATACCCTCCTGACGACCCGAGCTGCGATATGCCGCATCATCGAATCCAAACCGAGCACCGTGGACTTCCAGTGACCCACCAGCAGAGATACCAACCCGTGTCTCCAGAACGAAGGCTTCTTTCTCCTTATAGATCTCCCAAAGGGATTGCACCAAGTCGGCAAGCTTTTCATTACCAGAAGCTGACAAACCCAAGTGCGAAGCAGCGTCGGCAATAATAGGGCTTCTATCAAACTCGGCTTGGGTGTACGGGAAAGGAAACTTGCGCGACTTTGCTGGGTCAAACTCGGCAGTCGGTGATGCGATGATGCATGGAGATAAAGATGTTCGATCAACAGCAATAGAGACAGAGAAACCAGAGTCCGAAGACGTCTCGTTGACTGGGACGGACTTTTGCTTGAGGAGGTCAAATGCCTGGAACTGCTTGATGTATAGACCGCGTTTTTGGTTGGGAATCGATCTCAAGACTGGAGTTACTCGTCTCATACTATGCAAACCTCGCCTTTGGGAGCCTACTCCAGCGATTGACTGCGGCCATGTGTTAGTATATCAACTTCTCGGATGGACTCGACGCAGAAAAGGAAAAAAAAAAAAAAAAAAAAACCTACACCCGTTCCCGGGCGACTAGCCCGACTGTTCAACAGCGCCTTCATCCCAGCACCAAACTTCTCGGGATGATCAACCATAACCGCGCCAGCACGCTCAAGCGCACGATACTTGGTCTCAGCATCAGGTTCACCAGGTGCAGCCCAAGCCCCAGCATGGCCCATAATACGACCAGGAGGAGCCTCACGCCCACCAACAAGCGCCATAATAGGCCTGCACAAAACACAAACATCAGCAGACCGTCCCATCAAACCCTCCACCAAAATCAAGGATACCACCAAAGAAGAGAAGAGAACAACATACTTAGGATCCCTCACCCTAGCCCGATATCCCCCTAATCCACTCTGCAGCATCCAACTCCGCCGTGCCCCCAATCTCTCCAACCAAAATAATTCCCTCAGTATCAGGATCATCTTCAAAGATCCTCAACCCATCGACAAAGTTAGTACCCGCGAGTACATCCCCACCCATACTAATACAAAGACTCTGCCCCAGTCCCGCGCGCGTCGTCGACGCAACGGTCTCGTAACTCAATGTCCCCGATTTAGCCACTATGCCTACATTCCCCGGCGCGAAGCAGGGTAGTGGCTGGAAGCCTATGCGGCATTTTCCTATGGCGGATATTATGCCTGGGCAGTTGGCGCCTACGAGGCGGGTTTTGGATTGGGTTTTTAGTATTGAGTGGATCTGTTTGAATGTGTTAGAAAGACAGACACAGTGCATCAGTGGAGGAGGGAGAGCAAGTAAATGTTTTCATACCCGGAGAATATCATGGATAGGAACATGTTCCGCAACAGCAACAACAAGCGGAATCTCTGCTTCGATGGCTTCCTCAATTGCTTGGGCGGTTTGTGCACCTGGGACGTAGATGGCTGATGCATCTGGTTTTGCTCTTTCTTGTGCCTGGATGAAGAGTTAGTTATATGACATTATATCATCAAAAATCAAGGAATCAACGAATCAAACTGTGTAGTATAATATAACCTACCACTCTCACAGACGGGAAAACTGGTAATCCCAAATGTTCACCTTCGACATCTGGCTTGACGCCACCGACAATCTTCGTCCCCCATTCTAGGGATTCCTTGACGTTGGCTGTTGCTTGTTTCCCTTTTTTTTTTTTTTGCGGTGTTAGCAGTGTATTCCATGAGTTATTTTTGTGTTACAGCGAATTGGGATTGGATAGGATGTTTACCCGTAAACCCCTGGAAGAGGACCCTAGTATGTGCACCAATCTTCAGATTCGGTAATGTATCCGCGTAGTTGGCGACGCGGCGGGTGGTTGTGAAGTGTCGTCTTGTTAGGGACGTGCGCAATAGTGTTAGCGGGGATGGGCGCTTTGGGAGGGTTTGGAAGGGCATTGGGAGTGGTGGGTTAGGGTTTGTACACTTCCAACTGGCTTCGTTCTTTTTGGGATTTATGCATGCAATATGGAATTGGGGATGTATGGGTGAGGTGAGGGGGATATGGGGTATGGGTTAAGACGGCTTTTTGTGATTAAGACGGCTACATCGGCTAAGCCGGTGTCGGAGCTTGGGCTTTTCCACTGTTTGCCGAGAGTTGGTATATGGGAGTTTATACTGGGGATATTTTATGCTGGATACAGTATATGTTTATTTCATTTTATCTTTGATGTTTTGGATGGATTATTTACTGTCTAGGTATTAAGTTGAGGACACCGACTCGGAGTCAAGTAAGGCTTTGAACATAGATTCTGGCTACTTCATATACCTTCAAGTCATGAACCATCCATACACGGCTAGATATGTGACTAGATGCGAAGAAATACTACTATCGCTAAATTTCCTACCTACATCAATATTCATTAAGATGAAGCTTCTTCCCAACAAACCGTCTCCTAGCCGGCTTCTCACCACGCGATTCCCGCTCGGCATTAAGGCCCTTCAAAGCATGAAGAAGCATACCAGCATCGAAGAAACCATCTATAAGAAAAGCCCAGTCAGTAAAGTCCCGCAGAACACCCAAATATAGAAGAAAACTTACATCCACCCATCCCATCATCCTCCATGTACGCACTATCCGCCGCAGAAGTAGGGGTATCAACACCAGCCCTATCACCACCACCAGGACGAACAATCCTCCCCCGTCTATTCGACTCAGACTGCAAATCCTCAGCCAAAGCCTCCGTCTCACGGGCGCGGCTGGTACGAGGACTCGTAGTCTTGCGATTAGTAGCGCGCAACAACTTCCGAATCTCAAAGAGGTAAGATTCAAGGGTATGCATAAGACGGGACGTCTGGCGATGTTTAGACGAAGCACAGAAAGAAATCGAATCATCTTTGATGATATACCCGATCCCGAAACCGTCGGCGGATGTAGGACCAAAGCCGAAGTGGCGTAGGCATGGGTTTCCGCAGTTCGAGGTTGAGAGGACAGTGTTGTTTATCTTGTCCCAGCCTGCGTCACCGAAGATTGCCGGTGTGGGCGCTGTTGTTGTGCGGTAGCGGGCGCTGCTTCCGCTCGGTGAGGACATGCCATCGTCTGAGTAGGGTGGTTCGGAGGAGAGTTTGGGTGACTCAGGTCTTGGGGACGAGGAGGCTTCGCCTGGGCTTGAGTAGCCGCCTGTTGAGCCTGCGTCGGGGAAGAGGCCTTCGTCGAAGGAGCGTTGCCAGAGGCAGTAGAGGGCGTAGAGATGTCGGTCTTGGCCTTGGCCTTTGGAACATTCTTTTGTCATGGCGGTGTGCTTTTGGGTTGCGGCGCGGAGGGCGTCAACCTTTTGTTCGGCTGCATTCTCGCCCCAGAAGGCTTTGACGAAGTTCACGCTTTCCGGTGTGACGGTGCGCACTGCTTCTGTTCGGCCGTGGAGGAACATCTTTGTCATGGCTGGTTCGTAGGTGTTCTCTACCCGGCCATAGAGGCCGTAGTAGGCAGCTTGGAAGGCCATTTGGACAAAGGCATCGGGTGAGAAGCCCATCGAGGTGATGAAGTTTTTACCAAAGCCTTCGAAGTCGAGGACTTGGAATTCGTGCTGGTAGAGGAGGTCGGAGAGGTGGGATTCAGCAAAGCGGAGGGCGATGTTTAGCTCGGGCGTCATGTCCCATTCTAGCTTGCGGGGTGTGGTGCTAACGTTGCCAAAGCTGCGTGGGTCACGCTTGGCTGGGTCGGGACTGCTTGTTGTCCAAAGGCTTGGGGCTTGACCGTTGATGGTTTTGGCGAAGCGCAGGATCGTGTCGGTGTACACATCGCTGGCGAAGCGGAGAACTGTGTGCCCGTCTACGCCAGTGTGCTCGAAGTTGATACCCGCGCTGCCGTTTTTGCACACTATGATCTGGAGCTTGTCATACCACCGGTTGGTGCAGGTTCCGACTTGGACTCCCTTGATTACTTCACTTGTACCGCAGAGCATGTTGGCACAGAGCGCAGCTGTGGTAGATGGCTCCGTGTCATCAAGACACAGAACGAAAAGCGCGGTATCGACGATATTCAAGCACTCGGCGTTGTTGGAACTCGGATCTTTGGTCATGATATCCCGCAACCCAGACCAAATCTTTCGGTTCTCCGTACTGAGCACACCCAAAGCGCCCTTTGCTGCGTGGTGAATAGGTGTCTGCGAAGCGTCTTCAATAATAACCTGCAGGTTAAGCGAGATATCCTTCTCGCTCATGATCAAGTCACTGTTATCATCCAACACGTCAAACCAGTAGAATTGGCCGCGACACATAACAGCCAAGTGCTTGGCTGAGGGATACTGGCTGATGACACATCCATTCTCCGTGGGAAGACGAGCGGTTCCAAAAAGGCGAGAGTACTGATACATGCAGAGGGGAATTCCTCGCACAGTATCAGGAGGCAACTCTTCCCGGCGCACAGCCCGAACAAACGCCAAGGCTGAAATAACCAAAGATGCAGCGCGAGTCACCTGATGGTTTCTAGCGGGCGTCGGGTCATCTTCCAAAAGAAAGAATGGGTTGAGGTTGAGAACAACAGCTGCAGACGTTAGATGATATCCTCATCTCAAGGAAAGGGGAACTCGTCTTACGATTATCAAAGTTCAAGTATGAATCATACCCTGCCATGAATCAGCATTTGTTCCATATCAATCTCACACCAGAACTCACAGAACTGCTCAATATAACTCGTCTTCGACCCCGCATAAGTCTTCAACTTCTCCTGCAAGATCGGCCCATCATTCTTCAAGAAATCCCGTACAGCAGCCTTGGTATCCTCATGCTCCCTGGGACCCTGCAGCGCCTGCAGCGCATCAATATATCTGCGACAGGTATCCTCAAGATCAGGAATAGGCAGCTTAGGCAAGGAATCCTGGTTCGCAAAGGTCAAGCCCTGGCTCTTCGGTTTGTGCAGTTCTGCAACCTCTGATGAGGGTCCCGTGGTCGATACATTCGGTTTTACGACCGTATGGCCCTGGCTCTGGCCCTCAGACTGGGACTGGGCGTCGGACCCGGTCATCTTTGAGTTTGCGTTGCCGTCCATGGCATCGCCCAGTGGTTTGGGTGTTGTAAAGAAACGGACTGCAGTTTGCGAGTAAGACATGTTGTTAGATGGGTATTCCAACACAATATCAAAATGGGAGAAACAAGTGAACGCTAGATAAAACCAGACTAGGCGTAGTGACTAGCGAGGACGGTGGGGATTGACAGGAGACGTAGGGCAGTGCGGTAGAAGTAGTGGCAGTCTTGGAGGCAGTAGGATGGCATTGAGACTATGTCATGTGCATGTGCAGGCGCAAGTGGCAAGTGACAAGTGACAAGAGCAAGAGGTGTACGGAGTAATGTATAGGCAGAGTGGAATGAAAGCAATAGAAGTAAAGTCCCTGAGACGGAGAGGACAGGGCAATAAATATGCAAATGATAGAGGATGGAGGGCAGAGGGTGGATCCTCGGACCTAAGGGGAGGGACAGAAGGACTTACTGCGAACAGCAAAGCAGCCGTCACTCACCGGGTGTTGACCGGGTGTGGTACTGACAGTGGACAAGCGCAAGGATAGCGCCGGAGAAACGGATGAGCTTGGCTCTGCGGTCAGATGATATCAGCGGGACTCGTGGACATTCTAGATTTGATTTGCTCGGAGCGGTTCTTGTGATCCCGTAAGATTGACAGAGACCGGCTTGAAGAATTTCCTCTTAGAGTGGAAGCTGGAGTGGGCTGTCATCATCCCCGGCGGTTCGGGAGGAACCCATAGGGCGGCGGTATGAGATGGGGCGCACGAACACTCACCTAATTTGACGTGCCTTGCAGTACCCTGCAAGGTAGAAGCTTTAGCTTGTGGCGGGGTTGAATATCAATGGGATGAATGAAGTGAGGATTCACTGTTATGTTAAGGTCGAGTAGCTTTGTACAAATACAGCAGTGCCTCCGACAGTCCCAGTACCCAAATTCACTCTGGATCGAAGGTATCGGGAGAGAAGACCGATGACGTTTCGGGCGAAGGGAGACGCGGGGAGATCTGTCACGTGATCTGGATCTACAACTACAACAGAGCTACAGTTACTTCAATTGAAACATTACATCCAGTACTGTTGAGAAAAATGATCACGCTTGGTCATACGGAGTACATCACGCTCGCAAAAAAGGACGCCGGAGATTTTGATATCCACAGAATGAACCGCAACACATTGCGGGGGAGACAAGATGTCAAGAATATTCACAATTGAAGGGTATCTGCATGCCTTTCCAGGAAAGCCAGACACGCGTGCATACATACAGTATGGGGTCCAACTAGCAACCCCAGCCTCGAGAGATACGGACTGATGCTCTCCTGGAAGTGCCACGAGCGAGATCGCCCTGGCTAGACATGCACATAATCAAGAAGGGAAAGAAGACAAAAGATCAAGATAAGCGAAGGGGGGCAACTGCCACGGAGGAATAAGGGCGAGAGTTGGAATCGTAGGGTATATGGTCCGAGGAGATCAGAGCACAAACTCCACATATAAACAAAGTTCGGACGTGTGTTTCCTCCAGATGAACAGTCATGCATCCCGATTCACTTAGGCAGTGTAGATAGCAGCGCCCTGGGGAGCCAGGACGTTGGTGGCATACTCGCCGTCGTAGTTACCGGGGGCGAGTAGTTGCACACGGTGAACGGTACGTTGGAGCCGCCGGCGTTGCCGAGCGAGTCGCAGACAACGGTGGCGCAGCCAACTTCCTCAGTGCCCTTCCAGACGATCTGAGAGAAGTGGCCCCAAGCGTCGAAGTTGGTCATGTCGGGGCTGGCGGTACCGTAGAGTTCGGCGAAGTACATCATCTCGTCGTTGTACATCAGGTTGGTGATCATCTCACCGATAGAGGCCTCCTCAACACCGTATCCGATGTTCTGACCGTAGCCACCGCCGTCAATGGAACTAGGAATGAAATATCAGTATTGCGGAACAATTGGAGAAAGGGATACAGGGAAACTCACGTGTCATGCTGGTAAACACACTTGGCGGCAAGGGTATGGGCGCTGGACGCGAGGGATCCAGACCAGGTCACAGAGTTGGCAGAGTGGTTGCTGCGGTGGACGTTGTGGTTGTACAGGATGGCCTGCTGGTAGGCATTGGTGGGAGTAGCGGTGGAAGCGGCGGAAGTGGTGGTAGCCAGGGAGGTAGGAGCTTCGGTGGTCGCGGCAGCTCCACCCTCAGTCCAGTAAGAGGTCGAGTACCAGGTGGTGGCGCCAGCGGTTGGAGCAGGGGCCTGCTCCACGGCGTCCTGAGTGGCAGCCGCGGCCTCCTGGGTAGCGGATTCGGTCACGGTGGACTTCTTGGACAGGTCGACGGTGGGCAGGGCGTCATCGGTGGGGACGGAAGGCTGGGAGTCAATGGTGTCCTCCTTGACCAGAACTTGAGTGGCTGCGGTGCTGGTGGGCCAGGCAGTGACGGTCTCGGTGACGGTGGTGGTGGTCCAGTCGGTCACGTAAACATCCTTCTCGACGGCCTTGGCGCAGGCGCCAGCCGCCATAGCGGCGAAGAGCAAAGCAGAACGCATATTTGTCGTGGATCACAGATCAAAGATGCAAAGAAACTTCCCCAGGAAGTTGCGATTGAGGTCGGATAGGGTCAAACAGATCGACTGTTGACAAAAGGAGTGTTTCAGATAGGCGCTTAAGGAATGACGGGCCTAGACACCTTCTTTCTTCAAAGAGCGAAGAGAAAGAGAGGACGTATAGGCTGAAAAGAGTGAAGCGTGGAGGAAGGGGAGAAGAGAGGGAGGACGAGAGTAAATGTAGAAAGGGGAGGGTGGGGCCGTGCGAATGTCGCAAATTAGTTTCATGAGATGAGGATGCTAAGGACTATCTTATTGTTCGAAATTCGAACTTCTTTTCTTAATGCAAATTGGCACTCTCTACTACTTATTGCTTTCCTTCATGCCAGAGACATCTCTCCAACCTCTTGACATTGTACATACCTTGCCCGGCCACCCTCAAGCCTGGCACATCCCTTATTACATTCCAACGCGTCTGATATTCCCACACAATTGGTGTATGGGTCAGAAGGCTGGATCCATGGACCTTAATCAAATATTCTCCGAGAGAGATGAATCTAGCCTGTTAATTTCCATAGAAAGATATTAAGGATCTGTGTATTAAAGAGTATTAAAGAGGGTGATGGGCCCCTGGACCCTCCCTCCCACTAGCGCTTTATAGAGTCCCTACTAGCCGCGCGTACTAAAGGGTGCAAGTGGACACCTGAAAAGAACAACGAAAAGTAATAGAAAATACCGTGGATGTTCCATGGACAGTAAAATGTCACCAGGAAGAAAAAAAACCCCATCGAGATCGGGACATCAAACACCGTGATGGAGACGGGGAGCATAAACCCTTGCCAGGAACAGTTTCAGTCTGCCCTAAGGGGCCAATCATAGTAAGTATAGACGCCAAACAAGACGACACAGACCCACCGTCCAACGCCCACTAAATAACTTGGCTTTGAGTCTGGTCCCATTCGACTGCACGGGCTGATCTGAGATAGATTAATTCCCCGTTGCCGACGTTTCAGCCACAAGATTGTATTCTGTTTTGGTTCCGAACTTGCATAATGTTAGTAGATGAATAGCCCGCTTTTCCCACATACAAGCACAATATAAGTACGTTTCCAATAGGGCATGTAACTTATCACTTTCCTGTTTATTGAGTTCAGCCGCGCCCCAATAATGCCCATGGATCGTCCCTGGTGGATATGAAAAATTGGTTGCATCGGAAACACACCCGACGCACACAATATTGCGATCGTTGTAAACGCGACCAATCAAACCCGGAAATATACGGTAATTTCGCATCAGTCTTGGAACTCCTAGCGTTAGGCGTTAGTTGCCGAAGACCCCCCGGGTGAGACAAGGTGCCTAAAGTGTATCCGAAACGTCACCGTACCCATACCCTGGGGTTACTGCCATACATGTAGATCGTAGATCGACCTAGATGATCGATTTTTCTACCATTTCACTAGTTGCGTCGGCATTTCGAGACCACCACAGGGTCCAGATGTAGGGCGTGAGACCCGATCTCAAATTTCAATACAACCTACATTGCATGTACACAAAAGGACCAAACGGCCAGAACGCCACAAACCCCTGAAATCACCACGTAATCAAGTAAATCATGGCATATGTCGCTATAGGTCAGCTATGGTGCATTTTCCCGCCTCACACATCATGAGGTAATTCTTGGCTGGCTCGGCGGCCTTCAGTTCTTTGAAGAGCGGGTTGCGTGACTTGAGCCAGAAGGACTGGTTACCGACAAAGTCTTTCAAATGAGTGGGACGGATGTCGATAAGCGAGGTTACTACGATTGATGAGGACACTGCCATGCCAGCCTTGGCCCGGACCCGTCGCTTGATCAGGTCGCGTGCCGACAGGGGTTCTTCGGTACGGCTAAGGGGGCTGTCGCCATGGTTGGAAGAGAGTTCGGCAGTAGCGAAAACGCCTGTCACGGTGCGAGTGCCGATCTGAAGACCCACGATCACATCCAGTAGCCCGACGAATAAGAATGGATGCTGAATAATTTCCACCGCGAACGAATTGCAGGTCTGTCGAGCTAGAGACCGGTAGCTCTCATCCTCGACGAGTGCTGCCAAGCGCAGAAGATTCCGCGCAATGACGCCGTTCACAGAGGGTGTAGCAGACTCGGTGCCAGTCTTCAGGCGAAGGAGTGGGCCGGGCATGCCGGGGGTGGTGACTGACGAGGTGCTGTAGTAACCGGTAGAGGTAGAGCCTGATTCGGCCAGGAAGTATTCGTTCAAGTACTCTGTATCAATATGTTAGCCAATGCGATCCAAAGAACAAGATCTTTCTTACTTTGCAGTCGCTCGGCAAATTGAAGATAGCTGTCATCAAAAGTAGCCTCGTACATGTCAAGCAGGCCGCTGGTCAAGTATGCATAATCGTCGGCGAAGCCAGGGGTATCCCCGCGGCAGCCATCACGGTATATGCGCCAGAGCTGCCCTGAGGCCTTATCAAAGAGATTCTCCTTGATGAAGCCGACCGCACGTGCTGCAGCCTCCCGGCACTGGACAGCCTTCGAGCTCTCAATCTCCTCAAAGAGAGTGCTGCACTTGGCGAGCGCCCCGATTGCCAGACCATTCCATGCCACAATGATCTTGTCGTCTAGGTCTGGATGTCCGCGTGTTCGTTCGCGGTAGTCGTGCAGCTTCTGCTTGCCAGTCTTGATGATCTTGACCACTTCTTCTTCGCTGAGACCAAAGTCTTTGGCAAGCTTGCTTGGTGTAGCCCGGATGGATAACACATTTTGGTTCATGAATTCGTCGTGTGGGTCGTACTCGGGCGCAACGTTGCCATCGGGGAGGACGCCCCAGTGTTGTGCGCAGACGGGTCCATCTCGAGGACCGAGAACTTGAGTCAGTTCCTTGAATGACCAGACATAGAACGCACCTTCGCGCTTTTCTGTGTCGTTGGGACTTGGGTAGCTGTCCGCATCTTCTGAAGAGAAGAATCCTCCAGTGGGCGATTGCAGGGGCGCTGTAGTCAAGTAGGCAGCAAGGTCATACACAGCACCAAGAAGTTCAGGATCGTGAGTCAACCGAAATGCATCCACATAGACGTCCAAAAGCTGGGCTTGATCGTAGAGCATCTTCTCGAAATGAGGGAGACTCCAATCCGTCGTCACACTGTAGCGGGCATATCCGTGACCGAGATGATCCCGAATTCCACCGCGAGCCATGTTCACCAATGTGGTGACGGCCATGGCAGTGGCTTGTTCACACTCATCCTGCCCTACAATATCCTTAACCTGGGTCGGGTAGGCACCGAGTCGGAGAAGGAAGCTGAGATTGGAGGGAGTAGGAAACTTGGGTGCGCGGCCAAATCCGCCATTGATCGAGTCATATCGAGATGCGAAATGCTGGTAGGCTTCCTCTAGAAGCTCAATGTCCATGTCCTCGTCAACCTCACGCTCTCCGTGGGAGTGTGTCCCTTCCTCGGCGAATTCCCTCAGCTGCTTGGTAATCTCCTTGGCACTATCAAGACAGCGCTGCTGTTGTGTCTGCCAAACATCTCTCAGCTTCTCCAAAATCTCAACGAAGCCAATGGCATCGGGACCCATAAAAGTGTGTGAATTCGGGCCTTGCCAGTAAGTACCACCAAAGACTGGTTCCAGGTTTGGGGTCAAGAAGACATTCAAAGGCCAACCACCAGAGCCAGTGGTGGCCTGGACATAGTTCATGTAGATATCATCAATGTCTGGACGCTCTTCGCGATCGACCTTGATCGGGACGAAAGACTCATTCAAAATTGACGCCACCTCCGGTGACATGAATGATTCCTTCTCCATAACATGGCACCCTGTACAATGTTAGACCACCCCTACGCTAGTACCTAGAGCAGAACTCACAGTGACACGCAGAGTACCCGATGCTAAGGAAGATTAGTCGGTTATGCTTCTTGGCAAGCTCCATAGCTTCCGCATCCCACATCTGCCACGCTACTGGGTTGTTCGAGTGTCCTCGGACCTGTAATCTGTCAGCGTGGCGCAAGTACCTCTCGAAGACACACTCACATAAGGAGATCTGCTCTGCTCCAAGCGATTAACCATTTTGGGCCCTGTTTCGGGCACTTCATGGCGGGGATGTGAATGGACACCCGAGGCTGCCATGGTGACGGGATGGTACAGTTATCGAGACTTTTTCCCTCCTGGGAGACTCAAATGGTCGTTAGGCCGCAACTCAAGAGGGCTAACTAACGGGATCCGGCAATACCGCGGAGTAGATTACCTGTGCCCCACGTATGATTGGAATAAGGTATATAGCGTGACAAAAAGACTGGGGGGTTAAAGAACAGCAAGCGCCATAGGCGGGGTTGGGGCGAAGGTCGAGGGGACGCGGGAGATCGGCCATGTGCGTCATGGCTGCATCAGGGATGTCACGTGGGAAGTACGCGGTACATTTCAGAGGAGATTATTCAGTTCGGAGATATTAATCAATGAGGGTAGTTTTTTAAGATGTATGTGTGTATAATTGCTATAGCTCACGTCATCAAATTGAAACAATATGAGCTCTGACCATGTCAAAGCTGGATAGTGATGTCTGTGACCACCTTAGAGCGATAATGAACATGCATGCATCTTGATATTTCGTACAGATTAATATAGATAAGACTTAAACGAATGGCATGCAGCCGCAGCCGAAATTATAGGTTTCACAGCTTAAGAATCATGCCGCATCAAATCGGGTCGCCTTTTGTACAGCGTCATACCTGTGATCTATGATCAAACCTAAAGACGACAGCTTTCTAACATGGTAACATTTTTGCACATAGTTTTCCAAGTATGCAAATATTCAAAACAAAATGGGTATCAAACCATCTATTCATCCATGAGTTCGGCCAACTCCCGTTCTTCTTCCTCAGTGAGCATGGATTCCGTCTTCGGATCCTCCTCCTCGACCACGGGCTTCTTGGCCAGCTCAACAGCCTTCTGAAGCTCATCAGGTCGAAGGGACCATTGGCGGATAGTTGCATCGATACCCACGCTGACAACGGTTGATTCGACAAGAACGAGACCAGTAACCTCTTCGAAATGACCAGAGAAAGTATGATAGAGTTCGCCAGTCTGTATCGGTCAGCATATTCCAAAACGATCGCCGAGAGAGAAGAAAGCACTTACCGATCGATTCCACACCCGAACCTCTTCATCGCGACAAGCGGTCACGACCCAGCCTCCGGTTTCATGGATGACAACATCGCGCACGAAATCGGGATGTTCCAGGGTCATATTAGCCTTCCACCCATTCTCACGAACCAGACATTTGGCAGTCTTGTCGGCCGAAGCAGTCCAGAGGTCACCATCGTTGTCGAAGAAGAGCTTGTAAACGCTGGTCTCATGAGGAAGCAGAGGCTCAGGGACATTTCTGCTATCAAAGATGCTGAACTGGCGGATTTCCCGATCACTACCCGCACTGAATACAATGGGTAGAGTACTCTCCGATTCAGGGTCGACGGCAATGTCTTGGATGCCTCGAGCGTGACCCTTGAAGGTCTCAATGCGCTCACCGCTCGCGATTTTGAAAACCAGAACTTGTGCATCAGCACCACCGGTAATAAGCAGGTCCTCTCCACGGAGTCTCGCACTGGTGATTGAGCGGACAAAGTCGGTGTGGCCTTCGTATTTCCGGCGGGGTTGGCCTGAGGCCGTATCCCAGCTCCAGACAGCCTTGTCCCAGCACCCGGCAAACAGGAGCTTTCCATCGGGGCTCACACAAAGACTTGTCACAGGAGCCATCGGCCCTGTAAACACTTTGGCGGTTTCTCCTGTCTGTAGAAGGTGAGAATTGGTAATGATCTGCGAGTAGAGCTGCACGTACAGCAAGGATGATCCTTCTCACGGCGCCATTACTTTGCGCCACATAAACTGTACCATTGTTCAATGGGTCTGAATGGACTGCTAGGATCTTTCCCTGTAAGCGGATGGGATTCCCGTTGGTATTCTGAGACTTTGCATCTTTCCGCTCCTGCTCATCCAGGGAAGCGCTACAGAATCAATTAGTATTGACAATACACTCCCCAGGCAGCAACCCACGATGTCTGAAAGAAATGATCTCGATTGGAAGAAGTGGTCATTGTTGTTGTCGTTGATGCTATCAAACTCCCCCGCCAATGCCTCGTCAAACTGCTACCCGAGCTCGCGCAGTCCGCCGTAGCCCGAATCCACCACAAAACCACAGATTTTGCTCTTCTACGCGCTTCTCTCTTCGCAACATCGCCCTATCTCATCTTCAATCTCGTCACCGTTAATCCCTCTTACTTTTCGTTCCCCCGCGCGACGTCGCGCAGTTCTCAATCATGGAGATGAACCATCTCATTGGGTCAGTCCGCACTCTGAGGTTCTGGGGTAATGAGGGAGTTAACACCTGGCAGTCAGCGTTTCAACCTGATCTCAAAGAGCGACATTCGGTGAGTCTCCTACGTTTGCGATCTATGACTCGAGCTAATGGTTTAGCTATGTCGGCACACTCCACGAAATCAACCCCGAAGCCTCGACGATAGCTCTCGAGAATGTTATGTCATTTGGCTCTGAGGGACGCCGGGGTAACCCCGCAGAGGAGGTTCCCCCTTCCACCAGCGTCTACGAATATATCGTCTTCCGTGGCAGTGATGTGAAGGATATCAGCATCGCTTCAGAGGAGCAAAAGGAGGCACCACAGCCAGAAGCACCCCGCGTACCCGACGACCCTGCGATTCTTGGCGTAAGTCAACCTCCATTGAATCCTACAACCCTGGCCTATTGGCCAATTGATCAAGTGATGAAAGATTTCGGATGTAAACTCACAGACCTGTTCTGAATGCGCAAAACCATGTAGAGCTTTCCGTTGCCTTCCTTCTGATGATCAATCTCACTTCGCCCTGGGGCATATATTATGCGTACCTGTGCTAACTGTGAAACAGGGCATGCAACGACCCGTTCCTGGCCAAGGACCCGAGTCAGGGCCCCAGAATGTTCCTCAAGGCACTCCCCAGCCACCTCAAGGTGCCAGTCAGACGCCTCCCGGCTATCCCCAGCAGCCCCAATTCCAACAGGGCTTTTACCCACCTTATGGCCAACGTTTCGGACCCCCTCCTCCTTTCCCCCCTGGACCTGGTTTCCCTCCTTATGGTGCTCCTCCTGGGTGGTACCCTCCCCCTGGTCATGGTTTCCCCCCTGGTCCCGGCCAATTCGCTCCTCCGATGCCCATGGCCCCTGGTCAGCAGCCTGGTCCTCAGCGCCCCGGCCCTCCAGGTGTTGCCCCCGCCCCGAAGCCCACCTCTGAACTTCCCGCTGGAGATAAGGTCATCAGCAAGCCCAACAGCCGAAACGCAACTCCTGCCGCTCAGAATGCCCCGCCCCCACCGGTCGAGTCTAAGCCGTCTGTGGCTGAAGTCCAAGCTTCTGTCGGCTCGGCCCCCGCACCTATCCCCCACAAGAGTGGCCGAGTGATGCCTGCTATTCCGATCGCGGCTCCAAAAGCTGCCCCCGCTCCTCGCGCCAACAACCAGCCCATCACCGATGCTACCGCAGCTGCCACTGCTGCTGTCGCTGCCGCTATGGCAAAGCTGCCACAGCCCGGTGCTCAGAAGCAGCCCGATGCACCAGTGAACGCTCTTGCACAGCAGATGAACAACATGCGTCCTTATGATAGTGCTCGCGGTGGTCGCGGAGGTCACCAGAACCATCAGCATCAGCACCAGCACCAGCACCAGCACCAACACCCTCGTGGTGGCCGCGGAGGTGCTCGTCACCACATCCAGCACCAGCAGCACAAGAAGATCGAAGTCCCCCAGTCCGACTACGATTTCGAAACCGCCAATGCCAAGTTCAACAAGCAGGATTTGGTCAAGGAGGCTATTGCTACTGGAGTCCCTGCCGCCGAGGCCGAGGCTCATGCCGAGGAGGTGGAATCTCAGGATGCAGCCAACCACGCTGCGGCTTCTTCCACCAACAGCATGTACAGCCGCTCCTCCTTCTTCGACAACATCTCGAGTGAAGCTCGTGACCGCGAAGAGAACACCGCGCGCGTTGGTGGTCGTGAGTGGCGCGGCGAGGAGGAGAAGCGCAACATGGAGACCTTCGGACAAGGCAGCGTTGATGGCTACCGTCCCAATTACCGCGGACGTGGCCGTGGCCGTGGCTATGGACGTGGTCGCGGTGGATACAGCCGTGGCTACGGTCGTGGCCGTGGAGGCCGGCCTCAGTCCGAGTCCACCGGTGTGCCTTCCCAGGGCTAAACGAATCCTCACTTTTCTCATGTCCTTTCAGCGATGATTTCTATGTCTTTTGATATTTAGGAGTGGCAAGACAAACAACCGAAACGAATACTCACGGTTGACTCGTCTTGAATCGTTTTCTTGTCTTCGGCGCAATGGGATCTGGGCTTTGGGGGGCATACTGGGATGGCCATACAATAACTTTTGCGAACCGGCAATTATGGGTGTTGCTTCATTTTTTTGTTTAGTTTTCTTTTCTTCTCTCTGTCACGCATACCCTTCCTGCAGCGTCTTTCCAGGAATCCCCGGATCGGGCGACTATTTCCCTCATGTTTTGTGCAGAAAGTGGCAGATGAACCACGAACACTCCATATGGAGTAGATTCGATCCCGCCACTGGCGAGGTAGACATCGTTATGTGTGTATACCATCTGGGGGAACCTCCCTTCAAATGAAAATGGCAAAAACGAGGCCAATCGGCCTACGCAAGTGTTGTACACTTCGAACCATTGTAACTCCAAGCTTCCCTATACTCTACACGTCATTGTGGGGAAAACTGCTCTCTCCGCATCCCCCGGCTTTCCACCGAAACATATCAGTCTCCCAATGTATCAATATGAAGATCCCCTGCAACCCCCGAGAATACTTGTAGACCCGAACTTAGCCTCGGGATGTCAGACCTATCCTCGGCTCCAATATACTCAGTTCCAGTCCATATAAACCCCTCTCATATAAAGCCCACCTTCAAACTCGGTACCATATAGTTTAAGATCCATCCAAAACGTAACCCCACCTCCGACAGTTTATTATGGTATCTCGCAGTTCTACCCGGCTTTCCGCCATCTCAAGCCATATTGACAACAAGCCGCCTAGCAATAACCCCAAAATGTCTTCGGTCCAAATCCCAGACCAATTACCCTGGAATCCGAACAACACGCAGTTTCCTTCAATCAAAGATCTTCCAAAATTAGCTGGTGCACCGGAAGGCGCTGCTTGGGTCTGGGGAAAAGATGATGAGGTTGGTTATTGCTACTGTTAACACCTACCCTCTCTTTCCTTGCAACTGATTGAATACTAGTTTGGTAGATTGAATCTATTAACACCGCAGCGGGTCAAGGCTTCTACTGCTGAAATTGAGACTGGCGAAATGGTTCGACTGGAGTAAGAACAACCAATATCGTAGCAATATTACTTTGCTCACAGTGTATACTGCTCAGCCTTCCTCTCACGGTACCTCAAAAACCTGCTTTTGACCGCGAGGTATTCCAGCATAATATCAAGACAGTCGCTCCAGATATCTCCTATGATGATACATATACCATGAACACGCAGAGTGGGACGCAATGGGATGGATTTAGGCATGTAAGTTGTCGAATTCGGCCCAGTTTACTACATTACACACCTTCGATCTAACATGCTGTCCTAGTTCTCCCACATTGACAGCAAGTTATTCTACAACGGGGTATGTACGCTCCAACGCCATCCTTATCCCAAACCCCCATTCACCAACTCAACCCTGACCTAAACCAGGCCAAAAGCACCGACTTCCTAGGCCCAACAGCAAACCACCGCTGCAGCATCCACCACTGGGCAAACCATGGCATAGCCGGCCGAGGAATCCTCCTAGACTACTATCACTACGCCCAAACACACAACAAACCCTACAACCCCAACACAAACCACAGCATAACCCTATCCGACTTAAAAGCCTGCGCAACGTCCCAGGGCCTCGACCTCCGCCCCCAATCACAAGGCGGCGACATCCGCATCGGAGACATCCTCCTCATCCGCTCGGGCTTCGTAGATAAGTACCATGAACTCAGCTCGGAGGAACGCTATGCGGCAGCAACACGGTCCCACGAGGACCTATGCTTTGCGGGAGTGGCGCGCGAGCAGGCTGTGCGGGATTGGTTACATGATTGCTATTTTGCTGCTGTTGCTGGAGACTCGCCGACTTTTGAGGTGTGGCCGGTTCCGAAGCATGATTATTTGCATCAGAGTTTGTTGGCGCTTTGGGGTGTTCCTATTGGCGAGATGTGGGATTTAGAGAGGTTGGCTAGCTTATGTCGGGAGAGGGGAAGTGGTCGTTCTTTGTTACTAGTGCTCCGGCTAATATGCCTGGTATGTTCCTTTCCTTTTCTTGAGGCTTTTGGTTGGTTTGCTAATTGGGTTATAGGTGGTGTTGCGTCGCATGCGAACGCTACTGCTATTCTTTGAATGGGGGTTTGTGGTATATGCTGTTCTCGTTGTGCTTTTGTGGATGTTTATACAACAAGGGTCATATGTGTATCGAGTGTCACGCATGAAGTCTTGGACAGTATCTACACAAAATATATTCTCGTCGCGACGACCATTCAATGCGTTAACTAGTTTTCTTTCGCTTTCTTCACTTATCTTTTGTCGTTTTTTAAGTGCTATAGTGATAGGAAGATGTTCACTAGCAATACACTGGCTACTGTACCTGTTTAAACAGCTAAGAGGCATCACTGCATGGAATCTGCAAACCCAACATTAAACATATGAACTGTATAAAAGAAAATTATTGGGGCCGTGAAAGCACACTGCAATAGGAACCAACCCCTGTGCGATCGATGCTTTTCTTTGAACGCCCCTAAAGCATTCAATGAATCACCCCTGAGGAGGTTGATGTCATATATTTTGTTCGTCCCGATTGAGATTATACATCTTGATCTTTGCAACGGAAAAAGTACAATCGGATCAAGAAAATCCAATAGTAAATGACTTCATTGAATCACCTGTTGTTTGCCATCAATGATTTACAAGCGAGGCCACATTATCGAGGCAAAAGATTGACAGATTTTCACAAAAATGAAGCAAGTGGATATAGATCGGCAATTCGTTTCTCCACCCCTGCATTTATATTAACGGGCCGATTGTCATGTGTAAGGTGGTGAGAGCCGGGATTGTCGGCTTCTCGATCTAATCAGGGAATGGCCTCAGAAAAGTGCATTTTTCTTTCGTAAACTTGCCACTGAGCTAACTCACAGCTCTGGAGTAACTTAAACATCAATTTGATCTACGGAATACAATACATGTACATGTAATAATTTCGAGGCGATGTTCCACCTCAGGGATGATCCAGCCTGGCCGGCGCCCGGGCCAATTTTATGATCTTCAAATATACGAGTCATATGGAGTCAACTTGCTCCAAGGTAAGCTATTTTTGATCTACATGTAAAATAAGCACTCGACCTCCACTGTGGCCCCAGTATGCGGACATTGAACTAACCCAATTAGATTCATTCTAACAAGAATCCATTTGTCGTCCAAGAAGGGGAAAGAGGTCACAAAGATGCGTGCAAGACACTTCGGCTTAGGATATCTTGCTGATCTGGCTTCTGGTGTCCTCATCTGCACACACATGGCCATTTGACCTTGCTATTTTCAATGTTCACGTTTGCTCCTTTGCTGACCAGGTATATAATAACGTCGTCTCTTTTAAGATCCACTGCCGTATGTAATGGAGTTTCCCTCATAAAAGGGTACATGTCCTAAGAAGCTTGATGGTTTTCGTATCAGAGAATTGAACGGAGCACCCTTCTCTATAAGGGTTTTGACCACTTCGAGGGTTTCGGACGGACTCTCTGTAAATCGCATTATGCACAAGCTGATCTTTCCTAACATTATCGCCACAATCTAGAAGATAGATGATTGACAGATCGGCGTATTTGACGGCGTGAGAGAGGGGGTGTAATCGATGTCGCATCGTATAGGATCCGCGCCACGATCAAGAAGCCATATAGTTATTACCCGGTCCCCGAGTGCATTGCTAGAAGTAAACAAATGTCACCTAACTAGTACTTTTTAGAGTGGAATAGGTTTTCTCACGCAAGAACGGGGGAACTTGTTCTATCCATTGACTTGTTGATATCCTAGGAGGTTATAAAGAAGCTTGTTAAGATGTCTTTTGCCTTAGCCTTGACAGCTTCGAGTACATAGATTGGTGACAGCAGATTACGACGGAGTAGTTCTTTTACAAGTTAGATATTGTTTGTCTTTAGGGCATCAACCATCGCCCCGGAGAGATGGCGGATATCGCGATCATCAGAGAGAGAGTGATCAAGGACTTGTCGTAACTGTTGGTCGTCGTGAATTTCCTCTAAGCAGTGAACCAAAGAGGGCATCTGGTTTGGCGAGGGTAGGGGTTACACTCCGGTTAGGATGTCCCTTTTGAAGGATATTATAGGCAGACATGGTTGAATACTTAGGCGGAAAGAAGTGAAAAGATCGATCGATGATTCTTCGATCAGATAACAAGCTCTCTCCCGAGCGGCAAGGGGCGAGCATTAAAACGAAAAGGAAAAGCCAAGATTTGCCAGGCATTATCCAGTATACAGATGTATGCAAGTTCGCAGATCATGACAACGCGCGGCGTATCGTCCCATATTTTAGTCAAAATAAAACCGGGTCTATTGAAAAAAGTGATGCCTTGAGCCCCGTTATACGCATGACCTACTACCAAAATAAGAAGTATCGACAGTCCACATTAACCCCCGTCAACACACGATCGACGAGACCGATGCAGAGAACATACCCCACGCACTTGTCATCCCTGATACGGGATTCCCCCCAAGATTCTCCTTACCATGTGGGTCAATTATATGGACAGAGCAGAACCCCCAGGGGTGTACTGTACATCCCAAGTATAAGTATAGAGGCTGGCAGCCCATAATATCTCCCGAGAATCATTTCAAATCCAAACATCAAACAAACCCAAAGGATGTTATCCTCAATAGCAACAGCCGTTCTATTTACGGCTCTAGCACAGGCAGATACCCAACAGCACAACCTCACAATCCAAAAGAATGCCCCAGAAAAGGCCTACCACGTCCCAGCCGACTTCTTCAGCTTCGGCTTCGAAACCGCCTTCTTTCCCCAATTCGACACCGACTTCTCAGAAAACATAATCAACTCCATCAGCTCGCGCATGAGCAAGCCCTTAATCATCCGTATCGGCGGTACAAGTGGTGACCTGGTGCAGGTCAACCTAACGCAAGAAGAACCAGCTCGCTGCGCTAGTGGACCTTCTTGTCCATATTCAAGTGAAGATACCTTTGTACTTGGCCGGGGCTATTTCGATACCTTCAAGCGGTTCCAGAGCGCAACCATGACCATCCAGGCTCCTATGATCCCTGTTAAACCTGACAGCAAGGATGAGGATTGGATTCCTAATTCGATGGAGTTTGTTCGGCAGGCTTATCGTGCTCTTGGAAAAGAGCGTCTTAATGCCATTGCATTAGGAAATGAACCGGACTACTATTCATATGGTGTGGAACAGTATGTTGATAGGGCGCTGAAGATTGAGAATCGGACGATTGAGCAATTGGGCTTGCAGGGTGAAGATAGACGTATCTTTGAGCTGGGTGATATCGGGTGGACGGTGATCAAACAGCGCGATGGGGACGGGGAGGACTTTGGCTTGCGGAAGGTCTTCAAGAACGAGCTCAATGCAAATGGATATGGCAAGTATGCTGCGCAGCATTACTACCAGGCCGATGAAGGGGGTAAATATGATTCACAGGCGCTGCAGGGTATGTATCATATATCTTTTAAACTTACGTTCTGAAGGATATAGACTAACATCATCATAAAAGATCGCCTCATGAACCACCACGCCATCGCGGAACGCTTCCCCAAAATGAGAAGAGGCATTGAATACATCCACAAAGCCGACAGCAAGATTGGCTTCGTGATCTCCGAACTCGGGTGCGCCCTAGGAGGTCCTCCGATTAGCTTTGCCGGCGCATTTGGTGCAGCTCTGTGGGCAGTCGACTTCCACCTGACAGCAATGGCACGCGGCGTGAAACGCGTTTCTAACACCATGCGCCCAGAGGCAACGCATTCATTCTGGATTCCCAGTGATACAGGCCCACAAACCAGCGGACCTTCTGTGCAGGGTGTTTTCCCTGCTGCCGCGTTTATCACAGACTTCGTGGGGAAGGGCGACTCCCTTGGGAAGGTCATTGAGATTGATGTACCCGGCACTCCGCAGTTCTTTAGTGCATTTGCGATGTACAATATTCAATCAGGGAAGCTGGTGCGTGTTGCACTTGTCAATCTGAAGCAGTGGGATCATAATTCCAAGGATGACCGCGGTAGTACTGAGGTTATTCTGAATGTTGATGCTGGCGTCGGGTCGTTGCATGCTCGGAGATTGCACGCTGAGAAAGGTACTTCGGCTATGGGCTTCGATCTTGGTGGTCATGAAGATAATGTTACTTGGGCTGGAGAGCAGTGGTCTCATACTGTTGACGGGGGTAAAGGCCATTTTGTTGACGGTTCTATGGTGCAGGAGAAGGTCACTGTTGAAAACGGTCACGGGACTGTCTCGGTGCTTGATAGTGAGGCGATTATTGTGTATTTTGATCAAGATGTTAGCCTTTTGGATATTCTTCACTGAATATAATTTAATCATCTGGATGGTTTATTAACTATCCTTGATACTTTTTCTTACACACTGAAACACCCATACTGAACAATATTAATAATCCAACAGAACGATATAAATCAGTAATACAAAGACGCGAGTTATACTATCTCTACTCTTAAAAGCGTCCTTGGCCCTCGTACGATGAGCTAGCGGATCTAAGAGCGGTAGCTAAGCCTTTTACTGAACTGTGTCTTCCTCTTGTTATAGAATCAAGGTCCTCGCTTAGTAGCGTATAATAAGGGGCGAAGGCAGAGACTAGTCATCTCGGAATGGCTATTCCGTTCGTTTAGCATATCCAAGATCCAATGCAAACCGCCTGTAGCCTTTCTCGATCTTGACATCGTACCCGAATTGCGTTGATAAAGACACTCGCCTTCGTCATTTACATTTATCTAGGGAGTTGCTGAAGGAGTCTCCCTCTAAGCCCCGCGGCTCCATATCGCCATTACTTCTCGTCATACATACATGTATGTCCCCGTGCAAGCATGTATAAGGCGTGCATTTCCAGAATCGATAGTTGCTTTCCAACGGGAGAGGTGAGAAAGTGAAGTGCGAATATGCCCGCCCCCTACTTTGATCGAGCATTCAGTTGATCCAGATAAGCCTGGACGATGTTTTTCTCCGGATCAGTGGTCATAAAGGCATGCGGGGTATAGTCATCCGCTTCGAAGCCGGTCAGCACTACCCACTTGCATGATGCGGAATGACAATAGACATACCGTAGACGTTCAGATTATTCCAAGATTTAAACCATTGTATCTTCAAATAAGTCGTAGACTGTAGTAAGCTCGGCGGCCATCTGACTCCGAGCTCCCTGAAGCAGTTCAAGTGTTTCAATAGCAGGCCCATCACAGTATTTTTATTCTCAATTCCAATACTAAATTCCCAGACTTACACCTATAAAAAGGTCCGTGGATCTATGGCAATTACCTAGGTGGCATTCGCGTAATGTAAGCACAGTAATGTAGTTCGGTTAAACTCCGGGCCAAGAACAGCGTGGGTTCTCCACAGATGCAACTCCACGTCACTTTCTCCGGCTTTGAATCTCTAAGCAGCTGCAAATAAACCCGCATTCTCCTCTTCTTCACTCTGTCTATTCTACCCAAGACTCAAAAGTCTTGAACATCTTCTCATTGGTACTCGACTCTACCAAACACATCTCATTTTCACATTCTATGTCATCACCATGAGCACACAAACACAAACAGAAACAATCGTACTCCAACCAACATCTCATACCGAAGCCAACACAAACGAAAATGAGGGCACCCAAGACCAAAGTCCCCCGGAAGTAAAATGGATGTATCCTAAGATCCTCAGCGCAGGATTATCCTTTTTCGTGGCGGGAGTCAACGACGGAAGTCTGGGATCGATACTTCCCTATGTGATCCGTTCTTACGATATCAGCACTGACATGGTAGCTGTACTGTAAGACAACCTACAAACAGAAACTTCCCTCCTTCCCTCCAAAAGCCCATTTATACTAACAACTCCCAGATACGGCACAACCTTCTTCGGCTGGCTCGTCGCAGCCCTAACAAACAGCACAATAACCCAATACCTAGACCTAGGCCCAATCATCTGCCTAGGTGCCGCCATCCAAATCCTAGCACACGTCCTGCGAGTCTGGCTACCCCCATTCGGGCTATTCGTGGTAACATTCTTCCTCGCCAGTCTGGGCCAAGCCTACAATGATACACACGCCAATACATTCGTTGCTTCCTTGCACGGCGCCCACCGCTATCTTGGCTTTATCCATGCCATGTATATGGCTGGGTGTTTAGTAGGACCGTTTGTGGCGACGGGGGTTGCGTCGGCGAATGTGGATTCGAAGTGGTATCTGTTTTATGTCTTCCCGCTTGGGGTTGGGATTGCGAATCTTGTGCTTGTTGGTGCTTCGTTTCGGGACCGTATGGCTTCTGCTTTGTCTTCTAGTCGGAGGAGGGAGAGGAGGGAGAGGACTGCTACTGGGGGGGGCGTTGAAGGAGATTAAGGAAACGCTTTCTATTTCTGGGGTTTGGTTGTTGAGTTTGTTTTTCTTCTTCTTTTTGGGGGCTAGTATTACTGCTGGAGGTATGACTTCTTCTTTGATTGCAGGTTGTTTGTTTGCATTTGCTGAGCTTGCTAGGTTGGATGGTCGAGTACCTCGTCAATGTCCGCGATGGCGACGTCAAACAAATGGGTTATGTGCCGGCTGGCTTTTATGGCGGTGCATTCCTTGGACGGCTTCTTTTGGCAGAGCCCACGCATCGGTTTGGAGAGCGGCGGATGATCTTCATTTACGCTGTGCTCTGCTTGGGATTGCAGTTAGTATTTTGGCTGTGTGTATCGCCTCTTTCTGGTTTATGACTCGATGTACTGATCTAAAGCAGTGTTCCGAATATTATCACCGAAGCAGTAGCAGTCAGCTTACTCGGTCTCTTTATGGGTCCATTCTTTGCAACGGTTTGTTCTTCGAATACCTTCACCCACATATGTGAATAGCCACTAAGTTAACTAATGTTTGATACTTAGGGTATATCAGTAGGCACAAAAATCTTCCCACCAGAACTCCAATCTTCCGCGATCGGTAAGCCACGTGAATTTCATCTCTTCCAGATTTCTAACAAAAACAGCATTCGTCTTCGTCTTCGGCCAAATTGGTGGCTCTGTCTTCCCTGCTTTGACTGGTATCATTGCCACTAGGGTTGGTGTGCAGGTTCTACAGCCTATGCTCGTTGGATTGATTGGTGCGTCGGGATTGAGTTGGTTGATTTTGCCGAAGGATGCTGAGTTGCATCGGGATTAAGAGACTGGCGGGTGATGGTTTGTGAATGGTAGTTCAATGTAGTTCAATAACTGTTAACCTCATGTATCAATGCTAAAGTAGAAAGTTTTAAGGAAATATTTGATGTCTGGCACCTACTATTCTCAGGGTAAATTGACTCTCTATATCTCGAGACCCAAGGCACGATTCCACGCATATGCTGGTAATAAATAGACTTTGGTTCATGTGTGGCTATATACATATGCGATCTAGGCGGAAACCTTTTTAAAACAAAAGAAAAGAAAAGAAAAGAATCTTCCCACAATCTCCCATTCTACCTTCACGGCCTCGACAACTTCATATGACGGTTCACATCCTTATAAAGCAGATAACGGAATTTCCCGGGACCACCAGCATAACAAGCCTGCGGACAGAAAGCGCGCAACCACATGAAATCACCAGCTTCAACCTCCACCCAATCCTGGTTAAGACGGTACACAGCCTTACCCTCCAGAACATAAAGCCCATGCTCCATAACATGAGTCTCAGCAAAAGGAATAACACCACCAGGCTCAAAAGTAACAATAGTAACATGCATATCATGACGCAAATCAGAGGGATCCACAAATCTCGTCGTAGCCCATGCCCCATTAGTATCCGGCATAACAGTAGGCGCAATTTCCTTCTCATTCAAGAAAAGTGGCGTCGGGTATTCAAGACCCTCAACAGCCTCATATGCCTTCCGAACCCAATGGAAGCGCGCAGTCTGCGCGCCATTATTGCGAAGTGTCCAGCCGCTCTTGGGCGGGAGGTATGCGTAGCCTCCCTCGGTGAGGGTGTGGTCCTTGCCAGCGAGTGTGATGGTGATTTCGCCTTCTACGACGAAGAGGACGCCTTGCGCAGCGTTGTCTAGCTCGGCGCGGTCACTGCCGCCGCCGGGTTGGACTTCCATGATGTATTGCGAGAATGTTTCCGCGAAGCCGGAGAGTGGTCGGGCGATTACCCATAGCCGGGTCTTGTCCCAGAAGGGGAGGAAGCTTGTTACTATGTCGCTGAAGGTGCCTTTTGGGATTACTGTGTAGGCTTCGGTGAACATGGCGCGGTCGGTTAGGAGTTGGGTTTGGGGTGGGAGGCCACCGGTTGGTGCGTAGTATGCACCGATCTTCTTGTCGAACATTGTGAGGGTTGTGGCGGGTCCAACTGAGGATTTGGAGAGTCAATTGAATAAAGCGAGAGAGAATGGAGGGGAAAGTGAAAGGTGAAGTCGAAAGTGTAGAGATAAGCCCCGCATATATAACAATTCCCGGCGTTGGCCGATTGCTCGGGTTCGACCGACGGTCCCGTGCGGAGCGGGAAAACTCCGAGGCGAAATATGCGAATAGACTTGGATAGTTACATTATTACATTATTGAGTAGAGTAATACACATTTCGATTGGAACAGTTCGATTCGAATTCAATTGAAAGTCAACACACCCAAAACGCCAGGGTATAAACCGTCATTACATCATAACGTCACTCAGAAAACCAGATCCACCTACACCCGTACACGAACAACCTTGCAAATCCATGAAAATCGTTGGTGAAGAGAGAACACGCTAATCGAACAAAATGCCAGCGATAGAAGAAAGAACCCCCTTAAAAGATATCCTCAGGCCACTGGTAATCCTCAAGACCACCAAGAAGACGAACAGAGTCCGGCTCAGGCGAGAGAAGGGCAGAAGGCTGCGCAGGGTAAGAGACCCGTCTCTTAGTAGGTGACTTGTTCTTAGTGACTTTAGCAGCATTCGTGCGCAGTTCCTTTGGGAGGGGTGGCACGGGAGGGACGTCCTCGTTGCGAGTCAGACCGTAACCATAGCCTCTCTGATATCCGGGAGGTGGTTTGGAAGGAGAAAGGCGTGGGCTACGGTCTGGATTGAGGGTGCGATGGGACTGGAGGTAGAAGGCGCGGTGGGAGTCGGATTGGTTTGTTGGGGTGGTGGGCAGAGGCGAGAACCAGGTATCAGTCCGGTCTGAGGCAGCTGACTCTGAGCGCAGTTGCGACTGACTCTGCCTCATGCGGAGAGGGGTTGAGGGCTTTGAATTTGGTGAGCGATTGGCCGTGGAGACTCTTCGGGATTGGACAGAGGGAGACCTTTTGTTGGTTGTGTTGCGGTCTGTGCCGCTGTCTGTTTCGACGGTTTCTGGGATCGCCGTGAGAGCGGCGTTGTCGATAGCTTGCTTGCGCTTGGCCGAGCCTGGGCTTTCGCCGGCTTCGGACTTTTGCCATTTCGCTTTACCCGGGGGACTGAGGAGATCGAAGTCGATCAATTCGTCGAATTCGCATTCGGGTTCGAGGTTGGTGTCGCAGTCCGTCGGACTGGGTTGAGGAGGGTTCCGACTATCGATTGATTCAGGAATGGGTGACTTCCGTTTACGGGAAGAGCTGTTCTTACCCATTGACGACGGCCGTGGCTCTTTCGAGCGGCGTCTTGGAGTTCTGGCCGCAGCCGGGCTTTGAGCTGGGCGCGGCTTTTCGAATGGGAAACTTTCTCGGTCCTCCATGGCAGGCAGGGCTGTCACTGTCACTCTGGTCTCATTAGACCCGGACGCTTCTGCTTGCTGATCCAGAAGTCTCTCCGACGGGAGAGTAGGAAGAGCCCCAGGAACGAACTTCCGTGGGAATGATGCGGGATCCATCTCGGCATTGAGAGGCTTGGAACATGGTGTAGGTGCTGGTGTTCGCTCTTCGTTGCCAGTCAAATCACGAAGCTCCCGCCGAGCGCGAAGCAGCTTCTCCTCGAGGTTGCTGACTTTCTTGAGTAGCTTGGCTTGGCGCGAGAGCTCCCGACGTGAAGGTTGCTTGCGAAGACCAGTAGGCTCAGACTCGTCCGACGTTCTATCACAGTAGACCGCAGGAGCAGTAGAAGGCGATTCATGTGGTCTGTTAAAGAAGGTCATACGCAGATCCTGCAAAGAGGAGCGTTTAGAAGCCGAAGAGTCAGAGCGAGAGGGCACAGCACGATCTCCACGGTCAACAGAATGACGGCGTGAATCCTTCACAGGCGAGCCATTCTCCATCTTCTCTTGAATGGCCTGCCAGGTCTGGTCGGCATGAGACGTATTGACACAATGAGGCTGGGTGTATGAACCCTTATTGGTACCCTTGTAGCCAGCCTTCTTCAATTCGGCATAAGCAGCCTCAGCCTGGTTGATAACATCCTTCTGTGGCGACTTATTAGACGACTCCTCAGAATTCTTGCCCCATCCACCAAAAGGATTAAAAGCCGACGCAATGGCCTTTCCAAATCGGAATATACCAGACGAGCGGTTCTGCTCAGCCGGCTTCTGATCACGGAAGTAAATGCTAGGCGGTTTCTCACTGACACTATCATTCATAGTCGCCTCCACAAAACGGGATGTTCGACCACGCCGATGACGGGGACTAGAAGAAGCAGCAGCGGCATGTCGAGCGCGCAGCGAAGCCAACGACCCGCGAGGCGAAGCACGCGGTGAAGCGCGCGGCGAGGCCTTGTATCCAGTTCTAGTATTGCTAGCACTCAGATTGCCGTTATCGCTGCGGTTGGTGCGGCGATCATTGGCACCGTCATGGGACCCAGAACCATACTCTGCAGCTTCATCAGGCAAAGGCCAATCATTGGACTTGCGGCGTTTGGCTAGGTTTGCCGTGAGCGAGCGATGTTCGTCCTGGTCAACCTCTTCGGCGTCGTCGAATTGGCCAGACACTTCCGAGCTCCAATCGTAGTTGTCGTCTTCACTGGAGCGCAGGTGTTTGCGCGAGGAGCGCTGCGCGGGGCTTGGGTCAAGGTCCATTTTGGACTTGGTCTCGCGGGTTATCTGGAGCGACGCAGGCTGGTCAGTTTCGTTTCTTCTTATGCTGGTGCGCCTGGAACGATCCCTTCCGTGGGGATTCGGGAAAGGAGGATACTGGATGCCATACCTTTGCGGTGGGGGCGTCCTTTGGCATCCCTGCTCCGCGCGCCCTTGCTGAGGGGGAGATATCGCGAAACTGGGAGAAAGGGCTGTAGCATAGAAAAAGGATGCTGAGGAGAGAGGTAGGATACTTGAAAGACAAAAGAAAGAGAAAGGTGTTTGGGATAGACGAGCAAAGTACTGGTTTGTTTACATACTCCGCACTTGCCAAGGGGGAAGTTTGTTGTGGTACTGGGTACCCGAGTCTCCCGCACTTCGTCCACTGTTTACCAAGTACCCGTTACAAAAAGGACTCTAGAATGTCCACTAAATTATTGGCATATTATCGTTCACCTACGTAGTAAGTTATACCTTGCGGGGATTCGATAAGTCCGCGTGTCTCAGACATGTGCTTGTGAGGAATGTCGATACTGTTTACTTTCCAAGTCTATATATTAATGTGCATTCTGCTGGATCTGTGCAAAGGATTGATTGAGCTAACAATGCTTGGTATAAGGGGCATGCCAGACGCCGATGTAGAGAGTAATTAGGCCTTCGAGGGTTCAAAGCAAGGGGCCCAATACCGCGACGTCTCAATGCAGTTTCATAATGAGACCCGCTCTGACTGTCCATAAAAGTACGTTCCAGAAGCAATGATCGCTGGAAATCGGACAAATAAACACTGTGCCGCCCTTTTGAACATCACATAAAACCATCCCATAACACAAAGGGAAAAATAGATAAAGCCAAGGGACCGAAAACTCCCTGTAGATCATAAACATCCCAGTTGGGGTCCAATCGGGAAGGGATGGAATTTCCCCGATCGCACGGCTCGGGGATGAAAGGAGCCGGGTGGCTTGCTCTTACATATAGCGAGAGAGGAATGATGTAGGTCCCAGGAATGATGCGATTGGAAGGGATCACAATTGTGCCTAGGTAGTCGAAGGAAAAACAGAGCCAGCCCCGAGGGAACATAAATGTTGACTGAAGGGTATTCGCGCAAATGATCGAACTTGAAAAGAGACTTGAAAAGAAACAAAAAGCATGTTCCTGAAGAGATAGCTGCGCAATGCATCGAGATGTCTAGCGCTCAAAATGCAGCAGTGAAGTCGAGAAGAAAAGTCATGTACAGATAAATGCCGTGTCAGGATCCGATCCATTGACTGGTTCTAGTCATCGTGACAAGCCCAATGCGAATAAGTCATATGCCATTCAGCAAATCCACTTCAATCTCAAGTTGGCGGAGGGGCTTTCTGTACAGTCCTGCCGTTGGCACGCTTGTATGACATTTCGATGCCCATTTCAGCCATCAATGCAGCCCGGCTCTCTCCAGCGAAATCGCGATAGACGGCAGCAGGGTAAGGCTCAGCATCTGGCCGCATACCATTCTGCATCGAACGTTCATCAAGGCCGAAGGAATCTTCATGGGATCGCTTTCCGTATGCTGGACCAGTCTGGTACAACATGCGCTTCCCTGAAACGTTGTCGTATCCTGGGCTTGGAGACGTGCATTCCACAGAGGGGACAACCTGGTTGGCAAATTCGTTGGGTGGGGCCTTCAGAGGCGGCAATGCTGATACCATGCTCGGGGTCTGAGTGCGTGACACTGCTGCTTGTGGCATTGGGTGGTAGAGATTCGGGTCGGGCATGCGAGTTTCCATGCGTGGTTCCATGCGGGGATCCACGTAGGATGATTGTGCTTTTGGCGGTTCCATGCGAGGGTCCATGTACGGTTGTGCTTTAGGCGGTTCCATGTGGTAAGAAGTCACAGACGGCTTAGGATAGCCCATCCGTTGCTCGGGCATTCGAGGTGCCATAGGATACCCACCGGGCGTCCCTTCATACTCCGAGGCATTTGATGGGTGTCGGATTTGCGCATATGTATGTTGCGGAGAATACATTCCTGCTGATACAACTGGCGGAGGTGTAGGAGGCATGTGCGGAGCCGGGTAATGAGTTGGTGTAGAACCGAAAGAAAGGTGTGACTGATATGAAGGTGTTTGGGAGTGGGACATAGGCGCGGGTGGCATAGGTCGCTGATATGGTTGCGGGCACTGGAAGCCATAATCTGGCGCAGAGGGTCGTCGATCCGGTGGGACAAACCCATATGGCGATTCAACCACGCTGCCGTTGCTATTTGATCGAGGACGGTCCATCGCAGCAGCGTAACGATCCGGTGTCGAGAATCGATCTGTAGGTCTTGCATATACACCAGTGCGTTCTTCGTCGAATTCATAATCTTCCTCTCGCTTGTCTCCCCGGCGTCTCATGCGCACATCACGGCGAATACGAACACGGCAACCCTGCTCGGCAATGATGCGGCTTAAGGAGGTGCTAGTTGCCAGGCCCGGGAACTTTTTCGCACTGTAGACTGTGAATGGTACTGACTTGACCTCGAGACGGAAATGCAGGAATGCTTGCGGCGAATCTTGCTTCGCTCCGCCGGCAGGAGCAACCTGGTTAGGCAGACGGAGATTCGAGTCTCTATCGGTATCTTTGGCGTCCTTGATCTCTTCATATAGGTGGAAGTTCAAACGATACCGGCCTTCATGGCGCACTGACAAATCTGGGAAAATGAAGTAACCTGCTTGCGAGGGACGGTCTAGGTACGCGATGCCGGCGACTGGCACACCTGTCAAGACCGGGCACGATGGTGGTCCAGATACCCGCCCGTGGGCGATAGGACGTGCAGTGTCCAAGGTTGCGTAGAGGAAGAAATTCGCATTGTAGGCAAAAGTAATGTCTGTCTGGTGGGCTTCATTGTTGGGATCGGACTCGAAGATACGCAGCTCGACAACGGGCGGAGGATCAACAGGGCGACGGTCGGCAGATGCTATACGAGATGTTCAGCGAACGCGACCACGCCTCGATTTCTTTCTGCTTACACTTTGCTCCTGCACCACAGGCTCTGGCTCGCTCTGGCTGTTGCATCACGCTCAATTTGTACGTGAGCTGTTTGCCTTCTCGAGTAACTCTGCTGACCGAGTGTTCGGTCTCATTGTGAGGCGGCATGATGGGTGGTCTGGTGGCCATTTTCGCGGATTGGCACTGTTATTTCCGGTGATTCCCAGTTATTCTGCCGGGCGCGATATCAACAACACGTCCGAGTGCGATGGCGATTTCGTTGATTCTTAGTGCGCGACGTACAATCCAGCCCACAATCCAAATCCAGTTTCCAGTATCGAAATTAGGGGGGTTCAGCGTAATTCCCCCTTCCAGCTGGCCTCTCTCCTGTCAGGAAAATCAGACGATCAGATCAAGTTCGCAGACATACGAGATGAAAATCAGGTAGATGAGAAGAGAAAGAGAGGGGGGGACAGTGACACTAGTGGGCCGTGGTATGGCCTCGTATGGTATTCGCAGTGTATTTTACTTTCTCTCTGTACAGAAACATAAAAATATAAATATAAAATAACGTTAGATATCATATAAACAGGGAATACATGCTTATTTCCAGTAGATCATCTTTTCAGTAATGTAGTCATTCCACGTTAACGTTACCCACAGGATCCCAGCCCAACGGACCGGAGACCCCTATCCGCACCTTTATTCTATAGAACTCCATGTACCCCTTAGGTACTGTCCCTGTCCAATCCTGCTTTGTTCCAGGGCTTAAAGAAGCTCGCCCGTATCCATGGAAACATCTGCCACTTAACAAGACTCTATCATACCCTCCGTAGGTTTACCAATCAGATTATGACGCCGGGTAGACGGTTTCTGGTAAAAGCTGCTCCGGTAACCTGAACCAATACTAGCTTGCCCGTGGATTTGATCTGCAAGTCGAGATCCCTGCACCGGTGATTTCTGACGGCGATCTACTGTAGTACTTAATACTTCTTACTGTGGTATCATTGATCACTGTACTGTATTATATAGCCCTACACAACCTGGGCGCCTTAGTTCATAAAGTTAGACACTACAAATTGAGGCCTGCAGATGATATACGAGATCTTCCCAATTCCAGGCCGTTTAACCGTTTGTGATACTGTACCGTATGGTATAGATGATATCCGAAACATTGACTCGTCGGGGAACTCGGATGAGGGCTTCTGCATTAGCTCTACTGTAAGGTTTCCCATATTGCTATACTGCACAAGAACTCATACCCATAAAATACTCGGAAAACAAAAGCCATCATTCGGAGTTTATGCTTATTACCCGACATACTTAACGCATTTGCATGCGAAATCTTCGTGGCGCCATGATCGTCTGCACTGGTCTGTACTGGATCTACGCACCTTCATCATGTCTCGATTGACTTTTCCTCTTTGCCTGTTTGCCTGTTTGCCTGCTTTGTGTTAATTTACCCAAGTTCGTTCCAGAGTACAGAGTACAATACAAGTACAAGGCTACTGGCGGCTTCGAAGTCCTCAATGTATAGTTGCAGCACAATAAGTATACAGTAAGTTGTAGTTGGATATCATACCACCATCGCTTTTTCCGTGCGTTCACAATAACTATGATACAATGATAATCAATTCGACTACCATTACCATTTGCAAGCTGAGAAGATTATTGTAATCATCTCTGAATCATGTCTGCCCTGGACTGTGAACCCCGACCTAACCACATGGATTTCCAGAATAGGTGATAGTAACTTATTTGAAATCGCTTCCAGAAGGAATCACTATAGCGCATCAGTAGCCTCTTGGCAAGTGAATCTTCCAAGGAACGGTGTATCCGAGGATTCAACCTACAGCACCTAGTAACGAACGAAGTACGGAGTACTCTGCACTGGGTATAGCTCTAGACACTGTGTACATGTGAGATATCCACCCCCAGGCCTAGTCCATATCTGCAATAGCCGAACGTCTCTTTCGGGCAGGAGTCTTAACTATTGTACATATGGACTACATGCAAGTGCGATGACGAGTAGATGATTACTGGTCGGAAATTCTACACCCTACACCCTCGACTCTGTTCAAATAAGCCTAACATCCGTGTCGGCTCCGAAGCCCCTGTTGAACTGGGCTGGTAGTGTCTTGGCCCGGGGTCATCTCTTTGTTCGCTACATGGTCCTTGGACGGGCAACTGCGTCAAAATAGCTAGCAATCGGGTCGAGGTTGCGAAGCTGCTTTTTGCGGCTAAACTAGTGGGACTTGGGTGTAGAGATAACACTGGATGACACAGCGGTCGCATCAGGCTACGCGAGACAGTTCGCAATTACAGGGACTGGGACCGGGACAAGTATGGCACTGACTCGCAAATGGGGGCAACGGATTGGATTAATTTCCGTGGCTGGGCCGCTACTGCAGGTATGTTTGTTGCGGCGTTTTGTCTTGAGTGAGCTGAAATGTACGCGAGTGTACTGTACACAGTGTACATTTCATTTCACAAGAATAATTCTGATCAAGCAATGCAAGCCATTGCCGAATACTGTTATGGTTAAATGGCCCGAGAGTACATATATGTTGACCGAATACCTGGCACTCGGGACGACTTTATTTCCACGATAGACGTCCTTGCAGGAAACGCGACCTGTCAAAAATGAACCTATTTTTCGAGCTAGGCGAATGATCAGACCGCTAGTTGGATCCTGACGTTGCCACGTGGAATTTTTAGATCCCTGTAAGCCACGAATGAGATATTGGCCCCCCACGGACTTGACGTCAAGTACCTACTCCGTACAGTATGGCAGATCAGCGATTTAGCGTCCCAGAGGTCGTAGGTTTACATGTACTGTACAATCTGCTGCAGTTGATGAGTTCGAGTCAGCCGAGATCTGCCGAGGTAGGACAACATGATTCAGATATATGTACTCGAGCTTGGTTTTATCACTGTAGTTTATCTAAAATGGTTGTTGTCTGTCTTTTCCTGACTCGAATGGTCCGATCGTGAGCGGAAATCCGCCAAGCCACTTTTATCCACCTCCATACCTTACAGGACAAAGGTACATCGACTTGTACTGACTTGTACAAGCTAAGTGTAACTGACTTTACAAGTAATGGTCAATCCACCCAAAGTGTATGTTAAAATTCGCATGATCTACCCGACCCAGCTGCCTGGAAAGGAGACATGCGTGGGTGCTATTGATAGCAGTTGACTTTATCAACATAGACTCTTTCCAAATGTGTTGAAGCGACATCCGTAGTAGAAACCCCAGTGATTTACAGGGTCTCTCTTGGCTCAACTTGGTCTTATAACCTTCCTAATCGGGAAATCCATGTGATACACTAGTCTCAGAACACAATCACTTGAAAGTATAAGTGACTACCGGCGTGAAATGAGTTGATCAAGCTAAGCTTGGATATACTAGCTCGTTTGGGAAACTCTAAGCAAGCCATTTCTGAAGTTATAGAGCGTGAGATGTGCTCTTGCATTAAGTACTGCGAGGGTGTATCTGTTAGAAGCATTCATTTTAGTGAGTTTGTTTGATGTATTTGAAAAGCGTACAGTATTCGATTCTGCAAAGGATATGGCTCTGTTCATACTACTGTGTTGAGGTTTATCGGTCAAGTCCGGCAACAGAAATATATAAATCATCGAGGTTTCCTAGATGATACGCACAAGCTAATGAGTTTAGATAATAAGATCAAGCAAACCTAGTATTGTCTTTCTAGACCTAATTCTAGTGGTTATTTAACAGGGAATGCATATTCAGAGCATCCATTAAGGAGATCATCTACAAGCATGGGCCATAAGTCCTTTCACTCCCCCGCTTGTATATAAACCACTACAATTTGAGGCACTCGAGAAGGACAAAAAATGGGTAAAGAAAGAGAGGCCAAAGTAGGGCGAAAGCATTGTGTATAGCGGTAGACTTGCTTGGGGCTTTTGTGTAGAGACTGTCCAATACTTCATGGCACTGTGTACACTCTTATGGCCCCCGTTGTAGTTAATATCTAGAAAAGAAAGATATAATAAGGATTAGAAAATCATACCATACGAATAAGCTGTCAGAGCTCCAAGCAAATCCGAACACCAGAACCATAGAGAATCCCCAATCCCTCATAGAATAAACGTGAAAAATAAAATGTGAGCCTCCAATTCCGCTGACCCCAACGCCCGTGATTGGTCCGGAGATCATGAACAATCGCGACACGACCACGCCGCGACTCTCCTCCTGTCACTCCTATGGATCTACTAACAGTCCTACCTGGCTTCAAAACAAAACCATACCAGCACCTTCTCCCAGCCCTCGAGCGGACCAAAATCACCACCGTCGACCTTCTGACCATCGAATATCTCGAAATCGCGAAACGCGCCCATGTTCCCCCCGCAGATATTCGGCGGCTCTGCGACCGCGTTATCGAGGCCCTGCATGCCGACATTGGCCTCAAAGATTCCGAGCCAATCATAGAAGATTCAGACGAAGAGCCGGATTCCAGTATACACCCAGCCAGTCTAACTCTTGGCCCTGCGACGAACCGCACGACGTCAGAATGGACCACGATCAGCACCCTGGACCCTGCGATGGATGACCTGCTAGGAGGCGGCATCCCAACGGGATATATTGTCGAAGTCACGGGTGAGAGGTATGTAGCAGACCTCGATCTCTACGTCGGTTGGCCAGTTGGGTCTGACGTTTTGCGCACCTAGTGGAAGCGGCAAGACCCAATTCCTCATGAGTCTCTGTCTAGCTGTTCAGCTGCCCAAACCATATGGTCTACGACGACGCTCATTATACATCTCGACTGAGCATCCGTTATCTACGCCACGGCTTTCCCAGCTCATAGAATGCCACCCCATACTCTCTACCTTGCCGGCCGAGGAAGCGCCCTCACTCGAAGATATCCTATCCATAAACGCCATGGACCTGGAAGCACAAGATCACATCTTGAACTATCAGCTCCCTGTTGCAATCCAACGCTACAACATCGGTTTAGTAATTATCGACTCAATAACCTCAAACTACCGCGCGGAACATTCATCTACCGACGCCATAGCGCTGGCGACGCGCTCAAATGAGCTTGCAAAACTAGGCCACATGTTACGCAACCTTGCTGTGGAAGAAAATATTGCAATCGTAGTCGCGAACCAAGTGTCTGATCGCTTCGACATGCCTGACATACCGGACGACCCAGATACTGACGAAGATCCCTCGACACAATCAGACATGCCGAGCCAAACTGAAGACTTTGACTTCACCGTTGCAATGTCACAGCCTCCAATGTCCCAACCTCCAATGTCCCAGCCTCAAATGTCCCAGCCTCAAATGTCCCAGCCTCAAATGTCCCAGCCTCAAATGTCCCAGCCTTCGATGTCTCAGCCAGTCAATATCGACTTTGAAACTACTCAGCAACCACCTTCCGATTCTCAAGACCCACCTTCATCCTCTGCCATCCCGTCATCTCAATTTTACGGTTATGACGATGAAGATGCATTCCAAAAGTCGCATTGTGACACCGACCTCACACTAGAACAAGCCATGAGTGTCAACCTCCAGGAACGATTCTTCACTGGCTGGGGCGACGATTTCTCATCTCATACATCCCTAAAGAACCCAGCCATGGGACTGTTCTGGTCGAGCCAGATTGCTTGTCGCATTGCGCTGAAGAAGGAGGAATCTGCGCCAGGGGTTGCTGCAGGTGCATATCCGGCATTTACACCTGAAACAGAAGAAGCCACCGAGCCAGAAAGTACAGACGAAAAGCCTATTTCGGCATCTGAGTTTCTCAGGTCTTCTCAGGATCAACCAAACATCGACCAAGATATCGAGCCGAGAGATATTCCCGCTCCAAATTTCAATGATAGAGCAAGCCATGATTCCCAGCTTTATTCCCCGGATAGAATAGCTCCGGGCTCCCAGGACCAAGATCTCGACCACATTCCCGATCGTGTCACAAGGAGAACGATGAAACTAGTCTTTTCGCCTTGGACAGCAGGACCAACAGAAAAAGAAGAGTATCCCTTACCACAAACTCCACCTGGCAGACCGACCGGGCCACCGACCGACGAGGTAGATTTCGAGATCTGGGCCGGCGGACTGCGGAGTGTCAGCTATGCAGAATAATTCATCTGCTGCTGATATACGATCTTATGGTCATGGTCATAATTTCATCTAAAGCCTCTGATATTTTTGTTGAGATGCATATTGAGCCGGAGCATAGCGAACTATGATATACCATATACCCTACATATTAACATATACAATAACAATCCAAACAGTAAATGTTATACGCATATTCCCTATACATGTACTTGATTAGAAAGGCCGGCCCGGCAAGTGGCGGAAACGAGTCGACCCCGCAAAAACCAAGGTTTTGTCCAACGGTTGTGACGTCGCTTTCTTCATCCCTGGGCTTCGAACATTGCTTTTTCTTTTCCATGCTCGCAAATATGCAGGCCTCACATGGATCTTTCAATCTACACTGGAATCATACTTCGACACTATATTGCAGTTTACTCTGTATCTGCTTGAGCAAAACCTTTGAATGACTAGCAGGTGGACAAGAGACCTGCAACGGTTGACGATCATTCAGACACTTGGCACAGCACAGCCTTGCACTAACATTAACTCTGTTGCCTCTGCACTGCTGACCCTATTCCCCTCACTTCTATTTATCTTTCGGAGCGCTTCGTGGATGAAGAACCTGGACTGAACTGCAGATTAACAAGTGCTTGACTGAAGACAAGCACAGAATCCAGTCGAACTATGACTTGTCCTATGTCCCATCTCAAATGAATGACATGCACCAAGGCTTGAGTATGTCTACCCTTGACACAGGAATACGATGAAGGATGTGCTTGCAGAGGAAGAGAAAGATAACACGCTTCAATTAATCACAATGAGATAGGTGAACAACTAAGAGAAACATAGTTCTCTATATCAACAAGATCATCACGTCTTTCGCCATCAAAACATCTTTTTTCTTGTTTGTTCTGATCTTCATCCAGACATGCCTCCGCCTCCTGCTCCTGCTCCTGCTCCTCTTCCACCTCCAGCTCGAAACGAGACGATCAATCTAAACAAAACATGACATTCACGACAGCAGAGATATGAAAGAAACCATCAAACTCGATCTATGTCTCGCGAAATTTCACAAAGAAGTCTCGATGTATCCGTGTATCTGCGCAACGCAAGGATAATACACAAGATATCGAAAAGCAGCAATCAAATGCGAAAATGCGATGGAGATAAGAGTGGAAAGAGAGGAAGGGAGTGAACACACCCAGGCGGGAGGGAGTCATACACACCCGAAGTCAAAACCAGAAACGAAACAAGCAACCAACGAACCAACAAGGAACTCTCTATTGAGCCTTGGCAGTCATCTTGGAAGGAGGAACACCGATACCGTTGGTGTTACGGTAGAAGAGTACACCCTGGCTCTCACCGGTGGCACCCTCAGTGGGCTCAACGAAGTGGCAGACGCGGGCGGAGGTCCAGAGGGCCTTGAAGAAACCAGTCCAGCCGGTGTGGGCTTCGGTGCGATAGTGCTCGCCCATGACGTCCTTGATGGCGTCGCTGGCCTCGTCAGCGTTGTAGAAGGGGATGTTGCTGACGTAGTGGTGCAGCACGTGGGTTTCGATGATGCCGTGGAAGATGTGGCGGCCGACGAAGCCGAAGTCGCGATCGATGGTTGCAGCGGCGCCGCGGGCGAAGTTCCAGACCTCGGGTTGGTAGTGGGGGAGGGAGGGGTCGGTGTGCTGGAGGAAGGTGATGGCAACTGATGAGAGTTGTTAGCTGATTTTCTTTTTCAAGATGTGGGAGTGGTGTCACAAAAGACACCACGCACAAGAAAACTTACCGAGCCAGTGGTTCACCCACAGGTATGGGATACCGTACCAGACCAGCAGGTTGAGCCAGCCGAAGTTGCTGCCGATGAAGTACAGGGCGGTACCGGTGAGGAAGAGACCGAGGTCACTCAGGGCAATCAGCTTGGCGTCCTTGGCTTCGTACAGAGGGCTGGCAGGGTTGAAGTGGTTGACACCACCGAACCAGCCGTTGGCCTTGCCCTTGCCGCGGCCCTCGGGCTGCTTGGCGTGGTTGTTGTGGCCGGTGACGTTGGTGAGGAGATACATGGGCCATCCGAACAGCTGCTGGAGCAGAAGGTTGGAGGCAGTCAGGATGGGAGTCTCCTCCATGAGCTCGCCGAGCTCGTGCAGGGTGCGGCCGACGCGGGAGGCGTACTGCTCACGGGTCTTGGGGACGAAGACCATGTCACGGGCGAGGTTGCCAGTGGCCTTGTGGTGCTTTCCGTGGGAGATCTTCCACGAGAAGTACGGGACCAGCAGGAGGGAGTGGCAGATCCAGCCGACGGTGTCGTTCAGGACCTTGGAGGGGGAGAAGGCCTGGTGGCCGCACTCGTGGGCGAGAACCCACACGCCGGTGCCGACGAGACCCTGGACGATGGTGTACACGGTCCAGAGGGCCACGCGGGCGGGGAGGAAAGGCACTGTCTGAGGGGTGACATAGTTGTGGAAAAGGTAAAAGACTGAGGCCAGGATGGCCATGTCACGGAAGACATAGTACAGACTGGTGGCAGCGGAGCGGTGGAAGCAGTGAGCGGGGATGGCATCGCGGATCTGCTTGATGGTATAGTCGGGGATCTTGAACTCGTTGCCATATGTGTCGAGCATCTTGCTGGCCTCCTGTTCCGAGGCCATGGACGACAGAGAGGTCGACGAGGGCGACTGGCGCGGGCTGTCGAGAGGTGAGGGTGAGACCGAGCTGGCCGCGGAGGACTCGGTGGGGTTGCGATGAAGCGCAACGCGCTTGGGGACAGCAGTGGACGACATTGCTGAAGTTGTTGACGATATATAGGAACGAAAATGAAAGGAAGATTCCCTTTAGCCCAAAAGCAAAAGCGTCGGGGACAAATGCTGGTGACAGTCAGACTATGTTCAGCTAGCGTCCAGCGGGCTCACTCACGAGATTAAGATCTAGAAAGGCACCAGAGAAAGGAAACGAGGGGTTAATAAACCAGCAAAACACAAAGCACCCCAAAGACCAACGAGAGAGCTGACAATTGACAACTGAAGAGAAAAAGGAAAGCAAAGGATAAAATGGAAGGGGGTGGTGTATTTTTCAATACCTCCCCGCAGTCTTCACTATGGGCGGGACTGTATTGTCGTATTGCAATTTCACCCCGTCAACCTCTGCACGAACTCCTCGACAGTCGATCTTTTCTTTTGGACTCCATGTGCCGACTTTACAGACTTCTAACTGGCGAGATCTCACATTTCAGCAACGCCACTTCAGCTCTACATCTGATACACCAGTTTTTCCCACTTCTCAGTACTCCCTCCAGTATGGCAACTCCGTACATTCTCGAAGTGGTTCTTCACGGAGCCACCGCCTTTCTTACCTAAACCCATTCGGGGCCCCAACACTTTTGCCTCTTGTAAATTTCAATTGTGGAATTTATTTTTCTCGGAGATGAATCGGTGGCCTGACTTATCTTGACTACAGTATCGGGCTTTGGCTTTGACCTATTACCACTTCACATGCGCCCCCTTGACGGTGAGCCCGTCTCCAGCACATGTGGATCGATCGACATACCTCGGGTCCTCCTTGTGTACCCTTTCGACGTGAGCGGATTGGCCTGGGAGATTTTGCCAATGCGATGTGGCAAGTGTTGCTTTAGTTCGGTCTGGGCTCCGTATACTCCCTCCATTCGCTCCGTAAGCATGTGATTCCATTCCGATTCCCAACTTTTGTACGATGTATGGAGTATCCACAGTTAAGTTATACTTCGTGATACTGTAGTTATACTACTCAACAGATTGGGTTATTTATATGTGATGAGATAGAAACACGGTGAGTTTACACTTGAGTATACAGACAGTGTAGAATATACGAATAACAGAAGAGATAATGGACAATGGAATAGCAAGGGGTAGAAAGTATCCCAAAGCGCTTGTTGGGATTTTGTTGGGCCCCACAAGTGAAAATAACACAGACACAAACAGTGCAAACATCTTTAAATTTCTTAGGTTCGCCACCTTAGATAAGATCTTATCGGATCCACTATACAAGGGAACCATGTGTATGGGGACAGATGGACATGGATGTTGGGATAATTGGACATGGATATGAATGGTTCATCACTCGTAAGATCTACAGAACTATACATACACCAATCACACTATCACCACCCCCACCACCATCACCATCAACTAACCTCAGTCCTCCGCTCCGAATCAATCAACCACGACCCAGCACCAGCATGACCCCCAGAAGCACTAAGACTAACCGTAGTCTTCCTCAAATCAGGAAGAACAAGGATCGCCTCCCCATGATTCCGATAATCAACCTCACAAGGAACCGAGCGGCGAGACGGGGCTGCCGGATCCGCCGCAGGAGGCGAAGTAGGCAGCTGAGCCTGCGTCTGCGCCGGGGCCGGGAAGAAAGTACGAATCTCCAGACCTGGGAGGAGGAGATGACCGGGTTTCTGGGGTAAAAGGAGGACGGTGAAGCGGGTTGACTCGCCGTCGTGGGCGAGGAAGTTTCCGCGGCGCCGACCGCCGATTTGCCATTGGTCTGGGTTGGCGTGTAGCTCGTAGGAGCATTCGAGGGGTTGGTCTGCGGGTTCGGTGTCGCGGGTTGCGGGGGAGGACCAGCGTCGCGTGTGGCTGATGATTAGTTCGGCTGTTATCATTTGGCCGACGGCGGCGTGGGTTGACGGTCCTGCTTGGAGGTTTGGTTGGAGTTGGAGTTCTGCTGTGTGGACTACTTGGATCTCTGGGACGTCGACTGGGATTATTATGCGTCGGGTTGGGATCGTTGGTTGGCTGGGGAGGTGGATGGTTGGGTTGGTCTGTTGGATGTTAGTATAGTATAGGAGCGGGATGGTAATTTGGGATGTGTCTTACCTTGTGCCATTCCTTTAGCCACTGTCGCACACCATCGGCGGGTTCCTTCAGAGCTCCTAGTAAGTCATCCCATCGCAGGCTCTGGTATGGTAGCATGTCTGCCTCCCGGATGAGTCCAATGGCCTCCATATCATGGGTGGTCAGCTGCGCGCGGAACTTGCTGACCATATGCGACGTAAGCAACGCTGCGTACTGGCGGAATGGGCTCGAGTTTATTGAGGCAGCGAACCGCTTCTCAATTGCATCGAGGCATTCATCGTCCACACAGGTGAAATCAATGCTAAGACGCAGGCTGCGAGGGGCTGACTTAGCAGCATCGCCTTCATTGGGGCGGATCTTGTAGAGAAGCGAGGCAGGCTGCTTGGGGAAGACGTCAAGGGCGACAGGACCATTGATACCGGATTGCACGTTGTAAATGTCGGAGCTGGGCAAACTGCAGTTTGTAATACGGAGTGGAATCTGAATGGCAGGACTGATGGTGAACCGCGAGAAAAGCAGCTCGTCCTTGAAGATATCCTGAACATTGACTGAGATCGGCAGCGTAGAAAGAACATTGAATGATGAAGACGAAGCGAATCGGCCTTGCTCGGTCTCATATCCAACTTCTACTCGCGCTGAGAGTGTCGTAAATGCCTCTTCCACGGTGTAGGGAATGCGGAGCCGGACGAATGAATGCGCCGCCAATTGCGTGAACTCGATGATACCAGACTCGGAGTTGGCATCCACCTCGAGTTTGCCATCCACAACTTCTGTCTCCGTGAGACGAAGCCGCAGACCTGCAGTGGCTGGTCGGACGCGAATTGTGCCACTCTTGATATCATTTCGTCCGCTATCAAGTTCCAGCTCGAGCGTCCGCATCGATTCTAGATTGATCAAGTGTGGCGATACAATCTTCGCCTGGAGTCCATCCGCTGGAGGGTAACAATAGATGTATGGACGCTCATCCGCTTCCTCTGCATCTTCCGTTTCCCGGAAGCCAACAGGGAGCGAAGAGTCCTGTCCGCTGTTGAAGTGGAAGACAAGGTTGCAGGCCCTTAGCTCGAGACGGTCGACGAAGTATTTGCCTTGCAGTGTGGTCTAATCATGGGTTAGTTATCAACAGCAAAGGTCAAAAGAAGTACTTACCGAAGAGTCTATCAGAATCTGCGTCGATGACGACTTCACCACGAACTTAGCAGAGCTCTCAATCCAATGTTCAGAGTTCTGGGAGGTGTTTGCGCTAACTAGACGAGCCTTGAGAGAATCGACTTCAATCTGCTGGCCTAGCAAGAACCGCAGGGATAGTTGAATCTGGAAACCATCCCGATTATCAAACAATCGAATAGCTGGGTCAACCTTAAGATCGGCGAAGAAGTCTGCCAAAGAGGCTGGAATATCTTTCTGAAGAGCTCCAGATGCCTCAAACAGATCACTGACATGCCCATCCAACAATTCCTGCTCAGTCGACGGAATCGAATTGACTAGGGTCTTCTGCCTCACTGACAATTGCGCCTGCGCATATGAAGCAAATTTGGAGAGTAACCGTAGCATCATGCGAACATAGTCTTCGTTCCGCTTGAGTTCCTTCAGGCACCGAGCGTGGAGTTCCAACATACTCCCCTCCAAGATAACCCATAATTTGGTGCCATAGAATGGAGCCATCCGATGGAAATAAGAAGCTGCTGCCTCGTAATCCTTCTGCCGGTATCGTAGGATGGCAATTTCAGCGAGGGCTGATTCGGCGGAATTAACGCGGTTGGCTGCCATGTGGTGACGGATCAATCGGTCTGTAAGGTCCTCGTAGACCAATAAGTATGCATCTTTTGAGCCCAATGCAGCTTTGAGACCAGGAAGTTCAATGCCTAGAAGCGATGACTGCTTGGATTTGGATTCTGCCTCTGGCTTGGAAGTATCGTCATCTAATGAGACCTCGGCCAAAGCACTCGCCCCAGAACGATACCAGTCATCAAAGAGAAGACCGAGATCGTTCCACTTTTCAGCCCAACCCCGTCTCCGAGCAATTTCTTCCAGCGAGCGTCGTGCAAGTAAGAGCAACTCCGCTCTGCCGGATGACAACTGTTCAGAACCGGTCTTTTGTGTAGGAACAGGCGCAGGTTTAGGATGGTCCATAGTGGACCGACGCTGCAGCAAGCCCACATTATCAGAAATATCCTGAGTTACTGGTCGACCAGGGCGGCCACCCGCCGGGCCTATAAGTGAGCTTGTGCGACGAGGTACGTTGGCTTGAGCATCGGCAGCCGTGACAGCGGCCGCTTCACTGCTTTGGGCGACGGCATGCAGAGAAGACTCGGGCAAACTGAGAGTCGGCGTGAAAGTCTGACTCAATACCTGGAAAGCTGCTGAGAACGCCCACGAGGAGACGAGGTTGTTGATAACATCGGCCTTGCCATCATGGACTACGTCCGCCAGCCCGGATTCGAGATCAAAGCGGAGCGTACGCGCAGCCAGACCGATAAATTCTGTCGATCTTCCACAAATCTCAGATAGCAGAATGAGATTTTCGGGCTTTTTCTTGTCCGTTTTGCCTGACTTGCCGTCAGCCGCAGTGTCACTTCCAAGAAGCGAGGGCGCGCGTGCAGCTCGGAGTAGTAGAGTGAGTTGCCGAGCGAAGATGTATGTGCGGAAATCGAAGATGGAGATGTCGCTTGCTAGGATCATTTCACGGTAAGGCATCTTATTGGCGTTGAGGGGAAAGTCATCCGGCTGAAGCTCTGAGAATGGACTGGCATTGCTTTCCTCGGAAGCACCAGTCTCCAATGCCTTCTTGGCCATCTCTGTCCAGTTCTTACTGGTAGTCAAGAGTGCACCACCATGCTGATCACCACTTCCCTCCAGTTGATCTCGGATAGCTGCATCCAAACCAACTCCCAGCTCATCATACCCGGCCAATGCATCTTCGAAGAGGCCCACATTCTCGAAACCCCTGGCCAGACCTTCTTTAAGGATGAAGAACGTGCAAAAGTTCCACCCGGGCAGACTACGCTGAGAGTCTTTCTCCTTGATATCTTCCTCATATTGAGCCACACGAAGATCGAAAGATGCCAAAATGCCATTCTTCATCTTATCAATCAGGTCCTCCAATTGCTCAGCCAATTCAGGGGACTTGGTCCCCTGCTTTGGAAGACGCAATTGAGCCACCCGGTCTACAGCAGACTTGGACGACCCATTGAAGTCGGCCTTCGCCTTCTCCAGCACCGTAGTTGAGCCTCGGCCCCATTTGGAGGTAGATGCGGCTGCCTTCTCCGCAGCGTCACCATCCGGCACCACGTGTAGGATCAACCACTCGAACGCATCGTGCTTTTCCTGGCTGGTAGTCGCAGACTGCGAGTTTTGTGACGATGCATTGGCTTTAATCCATTCACGCAGGTTCCGTCGTGCCGTCGCCTTGTAGGTCTCGTTGTCGTCGCAGCGGAGGAGGTAAACTTTCAGGTACGGTGTTTGCCGTAAACCGGGGATCTGATGCCGGCGGTGGGTGACTGCGCCCGGAACAGCATCGCTAGAGGACTTTCGCTCGTTCGATTCTTGCGCGGGCGTGAAGCCAATGCGGAGCGACTCGATTGACCGTACGGGGCGCGTTGGTGATTTCCAGTGGAGGTTCCTTAGTGGTAGTTTTGCTTCGATAACCGGTTTTACAAGCGGAAACAGGCCCGAGGGATCCGTGTATTCAACTGTGAGTTGGTCATTGGTTAGTGCGAGCTTTTGTCTCGATCATACACGGTTCATGATCATACCCGTTACATTGCTTGAAGCTGCCTGTGAAGGGTCCATGATTTCCCAGGCGAGTTCGGGAAGTGACCGATTATCTCCAGGGCATTCCGCTCGGAATTGAAAGAACAAGGGAGCTTTCACGCGACTCCAGTGAGCTCGGAGAAATGTCGCGGGGTGAGGTGTTCGGAGACATGGTGTTGACTGCGACGCACGGCCGCGTCTTGGCATTCTCCTTAACGAGTATGAGAACAACCCGAGGTTGATGTTCAGATTCAATTCAATAAAAGATATGGCGCTTAGTTACAATTGGTCTCTTTCAAAGGGACATCTCTCATGCAATTATTTAATCCTTTCTAGTGCTTGCGTAGGTAAAGTTGTCCAAAACAACTCAACAGCCTTATGGTATAGTCACCCAATTGGGTAAAATATGTGCAATAAAACACTTGATAATAGGGTATGAACTAACGTGATACGAAGGTAAGTATAGAAAGTCAACGATATGACGTAAGTTCTAAGGTAACTATAGAATACTTGACCTACACTCAAAGTCTACTCAAGAGCCCATTTGCTCCTATCACCGACAAATGATGTCTAGAGATCTCGTTCAATGAAGCACAACTTTCTTATAGTCAGTGGCAGATTGCGAAATGATCAACAGAATTGCTCACCCTGCAAGTGCCATAGTGGTGCGAAGCTCCTCCTCGAGGATTTTCACCGCAAGCTCAACTCCGTTTTGTCCATCATACTGTAGGTACATCATGCTCGTTAGCTTAAACCAGTGACCTCTATTACTAGGTACCACCTACCGCAAGGCCCCAGATAGGAATTCTTCCAATAAAGCAGAAATCTGCACCCAAAGCCAAAGCCCGAAATATATCCGCCCCCCGGCGAATTCCACTATCAATCGCTATCTTAATGCGACCTTTTGCCACCGGAGCACATTCAGCTAAGGCGTCGATTGTTGCTGGAACACCATCTAATTGTCGTCCTCCATGGTTTGAGATGATCACACCATCAAGTCCGTAATGAATTGCTTTCAAGACGTCATCTGGACAGTAGACTAATCTTGATTAGCATCACAGTATTTATATACCAAAGCATTACACTCACTCCCTTTTAGCCAAATTTCCAAGGTTGTATTCGCCTTGATCCATGGTATAGTTTTGCCCCACGAACTACTGGCATCACGACCAGAGTAATGATGCGAGCGACCTCCGTCAGCTGGCAAATTTGGAAGAGATAGATGTGGAGGGAGCTCGAATTTGTTTCGTCTCTCGCCTAGGCGATTTCCCAGAACTGGCGCATCGACGGTCATAAAGATAGCCTTGTATCCACAATCTAGCCAAGAAAGGACGCAATCATTAGAGGACATATACTTTGATTGGGGAAAATGCCTCACTTTCAGCTCGCTTTATCCATTGAAGAGTCACATCTCGATCCTTGACCACACTCAGCTGAAATGCGTAAGGGTTCTTCTGGCCTTGCTGACGCTCGACAATGACATCTTCTAATAATACCGTTGAATATGTTGAGAGGCCCATTGGAATATTCAATTTACTGGCCGCGCGAGAGGTAGCCTTTTCGCCGTCTGGGTGCGCCAGACCATGCATCGCTGCTGGTGAGAATCCTATCGGCAAGGAGACCTAGACTCATTTATTGGGATTAGCAAAACTACTTGAAGGGGCCAGAAGCTTACCTTTTCACCCAAGATGGTTGTCGATGTGTCAACACTAGACACATCAGAAAGAATGCGTGGTCGAATCTTGAATCGATCAAAGGCCTTCTCATTATCACGGAGACTAGTTTGTCAGCTTAGAATGTACATATTCTCCATCATATCTCTAGGGATGGCTAATATACATACGTGATCATATCCCCAGCCCCTTCATTGTAGTAATCTGGCTAATGTGTGAGTGAAGACTAACATAGGAAGAAATGACGCAACTTGCCTCGAAATCTTTTTGGTAGCTTTGAGGAAGCAGCATCCCGTAGGTCTGCAATTGTGAGAATTGATTCTGAATTTGGTGATACCATGTTCTCTTGGTAAAATTGGACAATCGTTGCAGGAAGGAATCATTATTACTCTATCAGATAGGGGAAACAGGCTTATAAAGGCGCAAATTCTAGCAAGGCTCATCCCACTTATGCACAAATTCTTACCATACTTGAGACTTTCAGTGACCATTGGAGGTGAGACTCGGCTTGTCCCTATCAGTGCGGGGAAATTAGGGCATATCTCGGATGAACCCGAGCAACATCAGTGCATTGTTAGAGACATGCCTACAATACAGCAATTAATGTTAGGTGAATAGACTTGAAGTAACTTTTGGAAGCATACCAGGATTCGTGCTACCAGTAGGCGTTACACGGGCCTGTTGGCGCGTGAACCCGTATTAGTCCATACAGCTCAGAGCACCTGCATTTGGAAGTGCTGTTAGGCGAGAAAAAGACGCTCTTATGGATCTAATATCCTTATTGCCTGAAAATACTAACTAGATATTGAGTTTTCCCTCAAGAGATAGAGCAGATCAGGTAAAAAATGTCATTGAATATCCCCGCACTGTAGCAGGGTCGGGGAAAGAGGTGGCAGAGGAAAGACGTCCCATGAAACTATCTAGCCTGCCGTCCTAACCTTGGAAGGATAGCAGGCGCTGGCTAAGACGGCGGCTGGCTACCTAGGTTGACAAGAGGGAAAGGCAGCCGCCCTGTGACAGGCACTCAAAAAAACAAACCAATGCCCATATCTGGACCGGTCTACCCATACCATCTTCCTACTTTGTAGTGGACGTTACAGAAAAACCCGAAGATACTGTCGCCAATATTTTGCCGCCAACGAAGATCTATACCCATCTCCTTCGCCATAATATCACACCGCACGAGAATTTGCTAGCAGTTGTCAAGGAATATGTCCTGTGTCTCCTTGTTCTCCGGATGTAGTAGCCATGAGATACCGTAAATGCACTTTTCGGCTCATAGTCCGCGTATACCATAATACGTAGGACGAGCTGAAAGAAACCTTTATCGAGAAGCGCTTGTTGGACAAGGGCGACATCATCTGGGGTCGGCAAAAACTCCTCTTGGATATCTTCTCCGAGAGGAACTCAAAAAAGGCAGCAATCCCCAAAGGTATCTCTGAAGACTCTCGAAGTCCCCTCATGCCAAGGGTACAGAGCACGGAGCCAATTCTCCTTCGCCGTAATGCTCGGGGCGCCTGGGTTCCTACGGCGGTTACCCCAAAGAAATATCGGAGTTGAGAAAACATCATGTCTGTCCCCATCAAAGGCGATAGTGCTTTGGAGCATCGTTTGGTTGAACCACGTGTGCTGATAGTCCGTACGATCCGTCTTTCCAGCTGCCTCGTTCCACAGGTGAGGCATGTGCTGGACTATTCCCAGGCACATATAGGTATCCAACACGTCCTCGTACAGCTGGACCCATCCGGCATCATATGGGATTTCCTTTAGAGTCCTATTAGCAATCTCCTTTTGTTCATCTTCATGATGGGGAATGGTCACGGAATACCATAGAAGATTAGGATTACGGATAGAAGGGTTCAATCTAATACGGAATAAATAAGGCCGGCGAGTTTGCCTATTGGCAATTAAATACGAATATATTCCTAAGTACCAACCGGCATTGCGTCTATAAAGAACTGCATAACAAGCTATAACAGCACAACTTTCCTAAATACTGCCCACAATGCTTCTCTAGTTTGGAGCACCCACAGCAGTAGCAAGAAAATAACAGAAATGAGAGGCAAAACAAGTCTTATGCTAAATGTGTACATTTGGATGCCACTAAGAGGTGCAACATAGTCATGCCGCGTCATTATAAACAGAAAGGAGACAAAAGAAAAAAAAAAAGAGATAACAGACAATCCAACGGTTTAAGTTATAAAAGTCCAGTCGCTCAAAGAAAACGCCATAGAGATATATGACCCAGAAAAAAGTAAGGAAAGCACAAAGTAGAAAAGGAAAAAAATACTACCGGTAGCCTAAATGCCCATTTCCACAGCCCGCTGTGTAGAGCGAGCCTTCACAAATTCAAAGCTGTCCGTGACGCCTTGCCAGATTCCGGGTACGTAATTGCGTACCCATGCGCAGATAACCAAAAGAAGAAGGGGAATCTAGATAGATACGTTAGTTATGAACGAGAGGAGTATGGAAGGTAAAAAGGGGGTGCAGTTGCTTACCCAAATGAAGTAGAGGTTGCGGTCGTTGCCTAGACCCTTCATTCGTCGGGCCTGTTGTTCTCGCAGATGCTTCTGTTGCTCACGCGAGATGACCTTGCGTCCAATCGTAACCTCCTTGAGCTCTTCCTTGTCTGTCTGAGCCAAGGCGGGAACAGAAGCTGACGCCAATGATGAGGATGCCACGGTAGTAGTATTGCTTTGGAACTCGCTTTGGGCCTCGAAGTGTTGATCCAGAGCTGCCTCGGTTGCGGCGCGAAGGAGAGATGACTTCTTCATGTCAGACTCTTCGGCATTGTGCTCTGGGTGAGGGTACAGCTCATCGTATGACGGTGGTTGGGTTGGGCTTGGCGCCGAGTTACCCTTGAGGTAATCCCACCAGCCATCGCGAGCGGCAGGTCGGTGAGGAACAAGGTTGGTGATGCGGCGCATCATTCCTTGGCCTTGATAGTCCGGAAGGGCAGGGATTGCGGGTATCGCAGGCATTGCAGGCATCTGGGGTAGAGCCGGAATGGTGGGCCAGGCATTCGCCACGCTGTGTTGGAATTGGTTGATTTGGATAGCCAGCTGATCACGCCAGGCGACCAGAGGGGCAGGCGGAGCGAAGCCTCGCGCATGGCCAGGCGCAGCGTTTTGCTCGCTGGTATCCACGACAGGAGGAATGGCATCTTGATGCATACTTGAACGACGAGAAGAGGTGAAGTGGAGAGAGTTCGAGTCGGAATCATCGCTGGAATCATCCTCATCAAGGTCCTCCGAATCATCAACAGCATGACCAAGAGAGCCAGAAGCCGATGAAACCTCCCACATAGAGCTGAGCGAAGCTGAACTACTTTGTCGGCGGCGGGACGTGAGGGAGCCAACACTGCGAGACCGGTGGTGGCGGGATGGGAGAAGGGCAGCTTGGTGTGTTGCAAGGGTAGTCGCCAGGTCAGCGGCAGTGAAGCCACGGACACTGCGGGCATTGGCGTTCGCACCGGCCAGACGCAGACGATTGACGATATGAGCATGGCCGTTAAGTGCAGCCAGATGCATAGGCGCGTTGCCGGTGTTGTCCTGGACATCAGGATTGGCACCCCGGGCCAAAAGCCCAGCAACAAACCTAGTCAGTCCCAAAGAAGCAGCAAAGTGGAGAAGACTCTGTCCTGTTGCACTGCGAGCGTTGTACCGCGGGGAACGTGGGCTGTCGTCCAAATCAATGAATTCCAAATAGGTCAGCATCTTGGAGTCAAGATCGCTATGCTTGCCCTGGTTTTCAAGTCCGGGGACTTGACGTTGCTGACCGCTAGAGGAGTTGCTTTGCATGTCACCCTGCATGTTGAAGAAGGCATTTGGATCGCTGCCCATAATCTGCTGAGCCGTTTGGAAGGCGTCCGCCTGGCTCCCCAACTTCTGACCAAGGATGTTGAGTGCCAACCGGTACATTTGAAGTTCACGGTCATCCACGTAGCGGAAGAACAGCTGCTGCTTCGGCATAAGGGGCTGAGGCTGCTGAACTTGACCAAATGTCGGGTGCTCGTGCTTGAAGACTACCGACACCAACCCCGGCTGAAGAGCAGGAGGAGTCAGGCAGTTGAGACACTTGTCACCCCAAAATGTGGTGGTTGTTGCGAGGGTGTCACCAAAAACAACCTCCATACCAGGATAAAATCCGCTACCTAGCAAAGTAACTTCAGTGCCTCCTGTAATTGAGCCCTCGGCAGGCACTAGCTTGTGAATGACCGATGGCAATCTATTGGGAGCATTGTTGAGGGGAGGCCAAACCTGGCTAGATGAGTTCGCACCAAGCGCGAGAGCAAGGTTTGGATCCTGGAAGCCATTGCGATTTGAGCCACCCGGTGTCCCGGGACGACTAGGATGGGCGGAGTTAGGTGCAGACCCCATGGGGACTTGAGCCAGACTATCCAAGCTCTGTCGCTGGGCAGGAGTGGGATTGAAGAAGGGATTGTTGTCATTGCTTTGGTTAGGAGTCGGGGGGCCGTTTCCATACTGACCGTTCATGGAAGACGGTGTGACGAAGGGCCGCTCCGTTGGCGAAGCATAACCACGAGCAGCTGCGAGTTGTGCGGCATTGTTCATTGCTGATGCGGATGATTGAGGGGTCTCAAGACGTGTCATCGTCAGTTCTGATGGCAGCCTTCCGGAGCCGCTGTGTTTGCGTCGTTTGCTTTGAGGTCCTTGGAGCTCAGATGGTGAAGCTCCTCTAGAAAGGCTTCGAGATGGTTGCGAGTTCGCGGGGGTCCCGTTTGCTGAGCCTTGAGCTGCAAATGAACTAGGCGTGAGTTGATATTGAGAGTTGAACCTTTGCTGAAGACCTTGGAGATCAGTCGGTGATTGAGGCGCAGCGAAAGGACTTTTCCCGTTCTCGAGGTTTTGCCCTGAGGGGAACACCCCGACTCCTGGAAGTTGTGTCCCATCTGCAAGCGAGGGTGAAGGACCAGTTAGCACGGGTGCCGACGGAGCCTGCGTCTTGTGGTCGTCGGTGATCATAATCGAATTGGTGATGGCCTGAGCAACCACGTTGTCCGCGTGATCTTTAACAGTGAAGATGACCTGGAATCCAAGCTTTTCGTTTTGGTGCCGACAGTAACAAGCGATTCGCATGGGCAACTCCACCTGCATAGATCCTGGCGGTACTGATGCCATGTCACCATAGCTGCCATTGGCGTTCTTCGATGGCTCC